CTTCACTCGAACAAGCTCGCCATACATGTAGCCATTGGGTATGGATCAAGATTGGGTATGGATCAAGATGGCTACATGTATGGCGAGCTTGTTCGAGTGAAGGTCCTTTACAGAAATTAAGCAACCTACGCGTCCTCGAAGAAGGGACCGATACAGTATTATTCAGCAATGCCATTGGGTATGGATCAAGATGGCTACATGTCATTGGGTATGGATCAAGATGGCTACATGTATGGGCCAATGCCCAAATGACTTGAGATTTGTATAGGGCGGCCCAGCCCCAATCCGATCGATTCCTCCAGCATGTCTCCTGCCCCCACCATCGTCGTCACCAACCTACAGGAGGGCGAGGTGCTCTCGTATCCCCTCGTCCTACTCGAAGGGCACATCACCGGCCTCCCCTCTACCACCCCCGCCTCCACCGAAGGTCTCTTCCTGGAAGCGCGTCTGGACCACCTCCGCTCTTCACTCTGGCCGATTTCAACCCCCAGCGGCCACTTCAAGGCGTTCGTGCTGCTCCCGTCCCCCGGCCAATACGCCGTCACGCTGCGACTCGCCGGTGTCGCCGACCGCGTCTTCTGCGTCGAGTACCGACCGCGTGTCACGCGTTACGTGGTGAAATTCCACTACCAGATCTGCTCGGACTCGGACGCCCGCGACGGGTTTGACGCACCTCCGGGCGTCGACAATTCCAACGCTGCAGCAACCGCAAAGGTCCGGTTCAATGCGTTGGTGCTGCAAATGGCCACCGCCGAGTTGATGCACGCTGCCGGGTTGGGGCGACAGACGTTCGCTATGCAGTTCGCGGCCGACGGACTGCCCGACGTGACGCTGCTGCGGTGTAGCTTCACGAACGCCCACGCGCGGTCGGTGGACGGCCAGAAGCTCATCCACTTGATCGGGAAGGACATTGAAGCCTCGGGGGTGGACGACAATGTCGAGTTTGACTTTAAACATGCAGTGGTGCTGGGGTGTTCACGGTACAACACCAAGACGCGGAAGGCGGAGGGCCACACAGCGCTAGGAGGAGGGAAGGTTGGGGTCTTTGGCTCCTGTGGACTGCACACGTGGCCGTCACACTTGGGAGAGATATCGGCCTGCTGCCTGAATAATATTCGTATTGACCAGCGCTACCTCCTGGACGATAGCTGCTTCCGTGGCACGTTCTGGGCCACCTTCTCCACTGGCATCGGCGCGATGCTGCACGAGATCGGCCATACGTTTGGACTGGGACACGCTACGAGCGGCATCATGGCCCGTGGGTTTGACGATATGAATCGCCTTCTGTGTGTCTATAAAGCGGATCCACACTCGCCGCACATGGGGTTCCATCAGGCCTCTCCGCAGGGCTGGCTGGAGCTGAATCATGCAGCTATTCGAGAAGTTTCGAGTCGTGACGGAGCCCACTGGAACGCAGGCTCAGCCCAACTGCTGCGTCACTGCCCGTGGATCTCCGGGTACGCTAAGCCGTCATTGATAGGCCCTACTGTGAGCTGGGACGACTCCGTCCGCGGACCTGTTGGAAATGGCCAATATAACGGCACGCAAGTTCCGCTCCCCGAGAGAAATCAGTCGATGTCTGAAGCTGATGAGATTGGAGCGGTGATGGTCGATGCGGGGAAGTACGTGAACCGTTTAGAGAGCTTTACGCGTGCTCAAGTGTTGGAGATGGAGAAACTGCGCGCTGCTGGGGACAAACACTGGTTTGTTCTTGCCGTCGGAGAACACATTACTCGAATGGATGTTCGTGCCATGGCCTGGATCGATGGCCTTCAGCTCCACACGAACCTGCGGTCGTCGCGATGGTTTGGCGGCACTGGTGGAACTCTTCACGCGTTGCAAGCTGCCGACGGGTGGAGGGTGAGTGAGTTCTTCGGGACAAGAGGTGGTTCGTACGTCGGCAAGCTTGGCGTGCGGTGTCTACCGATGTCATCTCCCGCAGTGTCGCCACGTCCGGCAGAGCTTTATGCAAACGGCCCCACAATGTCCTCATTCCCTCCAGCGGGGAACGCCATGGAAGGGGGACCCAAAACGCCGTTCTCGACCACACTCCCCGTGGTAGGAGCCGTTGTCGTTCGATGTGGGAGATTTGTCGAGTCGATTCGACTGCTGTCTCCTGAAGAAGCAGCGATGAATTCAAGAGACCCGAAGATCTACCGCGCAAACGAGCACATCTTTGAGCTCCTGCCTGGTGAAAAGCTGATGAAGCTCGAGGTGTACAGTGGCCATTGGGTTGACTGCATCCGGTTCACGACGACGTTGCGTGTCGGTCCTTGGTTTGGTGGAGGCAGGGGCCCCCACAATACAGTCATGGAGTGCCCGGCAGGCCACCACATCTGCGGGTTTCATGGAGTTTTCGGTAAGCAGTATGTGGGCTCAATTGGGGCCCTCTACTGCGCTGACGGCGAGGCATTGAAGCCGCAGACTGAAGTCGTAGGAACTGCTGGGGACTCAACACAGCCGCGAATGTTCTCGCTCATGAAAATGGTACAAGCCTCCAGCGAGATCGCGGTGCAGCCCACAAAACAGCCACCACTCGGCATCCTTCTAGCAACTCAAGGCGATGCAGTGACGTCCGTGCAGACATTTGACAGCGCTCAGCAGTTCGACGAGCAGGTGAACCAACTACACTCGAGCCTTATCACGCTGGGCAGCCCTTACCAAGTGCACTGCGTTCCTCTGGCTCCTGGCGAGAAGCTGGTGCAGATTGACGTTAGTTTCCGGCCGGCTAGTGTTAGCGATCCCTACACAGTCATCGACGGCGTTTGCTTTCACACGACGACCCGATGCTCGTCGTGGTTCGGTGCGTACCATGACGAGAATCTGCGCTTCTTCATGGCTGCAGCAGGGACGAGCGTTATCCAATTCAGCGGAACTAACACTGCAGGCCTCTTGACTGATCTTACCGGGGTGGTGGGTACAGCTCAAGTTAACTCAAGTCGATTTGCCCCCGACGGTCGAGTGCTGACCGATAGCGGCGCGTATGATGTCCGGCTGGAAGCAGCTTCGCCTGAGTTTGGCATCCAAAGCATCCTGTTGGTAGAGGAGAACAAGGGCGACAACCGCGATGAGCACGCTTGGACCTGGAACCAAGAGGGGCCATGCCCACGTATGTGGCGAGTCCCCCAGCGGATGCTGGAGGATTACGTCTTGGGAGCCGATCCCAAAGCCACGCTGTTCCAGGAGTACCTGGTAGGCGCGGTGGACTCTGGTGGTGCGTACAGCAAGACTCCCGCTCCAGGACGCCGGTAGACCTGCATCAAACCATCGCACAACATAACGCACGCCCGTGAGATCTAAACCAAGTGATCAACAAAATAAAAGCCTTGAGATAGAGTCTGCTTGTTATTGCGATGACCGCACGTCCACACTGTCGACTTCATCTCTCTCTAATTGTCACAGGTAGTTTTGATGCGCTTATTCTTGGTCGGTATCGGGCGAAATCACTGGCGTCGGCATACTTTCAACGAACGCCAGCGAGACAGCACTCTCGCGGAATCCATGCAGCAGGTCCCGGCATTGGTCCTGGTCCAGCGCGTGATACACCCCGTAGTGCTCGTCGGCCACAACATCCGCGACCTCGATTGACTTCTCAAGCAGCGGCCGTGCAAGCTCCGCCTTGGCGTCCTCCGGGTAGTGATTCAGGCGCATGATGGTCTTGGCCGACTCGAGCTGAATAAAGTGCAGGTTGAACACCAGCGTCGGCAAGCACCGCTCCCGGATCGCGGCATCCTCTGTAGCGTCATTAGAACAGCCCATAAGCCATCCATTTTCGAAGTGCAGCACCTCCAATGTGGCCGCAGCCGACCGCGACACGTGGAACATCAAGTCGGTTAGATAATCCTTCTCCTCGCTGTACAGCGAGAGAGCCTCTGCGCCAGGATTGTTGATGCAGTTTCTCCACAGGTCGTACTGAGCACCCGCCTGGATGTATGCGCGCCAGCAGAGGAATTCGCGCATGGCTCGCTCAATCTCGTCGTCCTCGCGTAGCAACTGAGCGCCACGATTCAAGTCAAGAACGCCGATCGAGTCTTCCGGCAAGCTGTCCTCGACAAGCTCCTTTACAGCAGCATACTTGCCCTCCATGAGGAATTGCCGCGTAAGCAGATTTGCGCGGACCACCGCTTCCGCCCGATGCTCAGTGTAGAAGCACAAGAACTCGATTGTCCGGATACGTTTCCTGTCGATCTCCGTCGTGGGCACATCAGATGACACCGGCTGACCCTTCTTCTGCTGCTGATCTTGCGCCACCAACCGGTACTCTTCGCACAAACGCTCGACCACAGACTGCAACACCGTCGACAAGACATCCATGCCAGCGTACTCGAGAATCCGCTTAACACACAGCTCGCGCTCCAATTTGTCTTCCACAGTTGACAGCATCTGGACATAGATCTCGATCGCACCGGCAGTGGGAAGCCGAGAGGCGTAAATCGGCACGAACTGCAACTGACGGTGCTTCACCAAGTGCCGGATGTATAACTTCAGAATCATGTGACCCGCCTGCTCATCGAAGTTTTCGCCAGTGAAGTTGGCGAACATAATGAAGTGAGCAGCAAAGCGCAAGAACAGCGCAGAAGTATCGTCTGACTGCACCGTCGAGTTCAGCTGCATATCCCAATTGTACGAGTCGTCCTCCGGGTTGAATAGCAGCGTGTCCAAAATGCTTGACACGATGTACTGAAACTTAGCGGTCACCAGCTTGGCTTGGATCTGGCGGTGGGGCTGGTTTGCCTGCATTCGGACGAGCTCACTCTGGCTATCCCGCAGCTCATCGAAAAGAGTGTCCAGATCCACCTGATACCGCTTGAGGTACTTCGTCTTGTCCAGCAAACTCGAGTAATGACGCAGATAGTGGGCATTGTTGCCTACAATCAGCTGCGATGACTGCGACTTTACCTTCAGCAGCTTGGACATAATCTCATCGAGCTGCTGCTCCGTAATACCCTGTAGATAGGCCCAGCAGTGATCCTCCCAGTTCTCGCACAGCGAGCTCTTCGTAATGACCTGGATGTTACCGCTCAAGGCCGCATAAATAAGCTCCTCATACTTCTTCGCAAGCAAGCTGTTGCTCTTGGACAGCTTTCCATTCACAGCCTGCTCCGACAAGCGCCAGCACATTGATTTCCAAAGTGCCCGGAAAGGGTTCCCCCACCGTTCCATCGCCATATCCTCGCGTTCGTTGCTCTCGCTGGCACCGACAGGGTTGCCTCCCGAAAGACTGGCAGCTCGCCACGACTGACCTAAACGGATGCACAAATCGATGGCATCGTCCATTCGCCCAGCACGCACGTACAGCCACAAAGCCTTCATCAACTCCGCTTCATCCTCCATGTCATCGGGCAAAATGTGGTCGTCTCCGTCGCGCACCACTGCGTCAGGGTCCATGCGGACCTCTTCACCTGGGAAAACCTGCTTCTTCATCATTCTCAACGTGCGCGATCCAGTGGCGCCGCGCTTGTCGCTGATACTAATCGAGCTCTCCAGCGCCATACTCTCCAGCCACGCCTTCACCGCTCTCTGGATCTTGTACGTCTCATTGCGCGTCTCCAGCAGACGCACGGCGTCATCCTCCAGCATCTCAAAGCGCAGTTCCTCAGCCTCTGCACCTAGCATCATCAAGCTGTCCTCTCCGTCCGCCATGTCCTTGCTGGCGTGGCACACCTGACGCAGCTCAAACAACAACCTCCATGTGTTGCGTTCGTCCCGCAGCTCCTTAATGTCGTTCTGTAGCCGCTGCTGGGCCATGGTCGGCGCTCCACGGGCCTTGCTGCTGCTCGCCAGCGACGCCTCGAGCTTCTCCAGCCTCGTCTGCAGCACGTCAATGTATCCGCTCAGCAGCTTCTCGCAGTACAAGTCCGAGTCCTGCACGCGCTCCAAGTTCTCGTAGAAGTCGGCCGCCATCTCGGCAAAGGACGCCTCCTCGGGGCGCACGTGGCGCGAGAACAAGTCTCCTCTCGTCGACGGGACAGTGGTAAGTGACAGCGACTGGTTGAAGGTGGCCAGCTGGTTCATGACTTGGCCATTGCCAGTAGTGCTCAGCTGCTCCACCGTCAGTGGCTGCTCCTGCTGCACCGCGTACACGGACGTAATGGACGAGATGGACAGCTTCGGGTCCGCGCGCTGCGTATTCCGGCCGTCGAAGAGGCCGCCGGGCGCGCGGCCCAGGAAGCTGCCGCCCACGGCCGCCGCCTTGACGATGTGGATGGCGCCCTCGAAGCCCATGCCGCAGTCCACGACGAGCCACGCGTCCTCCACCAGCTGCCCGCCGAACATGACGCGCGCCTCCCGCGCGGAGAAGCCCAGAGCTGTCGCGCAGTCGCGGCGCTCGCACAGCGCGCGCTTCAGGTCGCCGACGGTGGTGAAGCGCGGGTCCACGTCCACGAACTCCGTCGACTGGTCGGGGAACACGCCCTTGACGTGCAGCAGGCCGCCGCGCACAGACGCGTTGACCACGGGCTCCAGCAGACGCGCGTCGTCTTCGGCTTCAACATCCTGCGGCTCGTTGTCTGTGCCCATGACGTCGTCGTCGTCGAGGCCGAACCTGGTGGAGGAGCCCGACGGGAGGCTCTCGGCCGCCGAGCTGTCGAGCGCCAGGCCCGACGCGCCTGCAGTGGGCGCATCGCCGAGAGACGCCAGAAGACTCAGCGACTGGTCCGCGCTGTCGATCAGGCGCTGCACCGCCGCGCTGCGCCGCGCGCTGGCGCCGCCGGAAGAGGAGCGTCCCGCCATCGAGTGGATGGATTCCAGAGTGAGGGGACCACTCAACAGTGATATCCGGACAGGGGTCACATTATCCGGATACATTTGTGAAAAATACATTTTATGGTGTGGTAACGTAAATTTATTTGTACAGTACTAGTCCAGTTCTAAATATTTAGGTCGTAGGGTCGCATACAATTTTGGAATGTGACTAAATCTAGGAAAAGTCTTATTAGAGTAAAGCTCCAATCTTTTCCTAAAAACTGGTACCGTAATACAGACAACGACTTACAAAGCCGGCAGACACAAAAAGCCGGCAGACGAAGTCAAGCAAAGCTTAACATGAGCAAACCAGCCAATCAGATTCAATCAAATGACTTCATCTTTGTATACCATCTGGTTTTGTGTACTTTATATGCTTTCTTGTGTACTTTATGCAACACACCGTGTGTTTTATGACAGTTTTACAGATTTGACGGGAGGGAATTTATCGTTGTTTTTATATAGGAGGATGGCATTAAGCATGCCGGCTTTGTAAGTCGTTGTCTGTACAGCACTCGATGAGACTTTTACTGAGATGATCATGTGTTTTGTTGCGTGGATGCCCTCGCTTTCACTCTAGGCCACACAACATAGAGGGCTAACAAAATTATAAAAACGAGAGGGAGATTCAAGAAAATGCAGCTGCTGTACAGTGCATGTTGTAAGGTTTGTAGGGCTATTTGTGGTCACTTATCAATTTGGGGACCCCCGCATATGAATCCGCAGCGCAAATTGTATCTCCGCGCGAATTCATTGCTGATCTGGTTGGTTTACATGCACGCAAACTCGCGTTTTTGCTTGGTTTGACTCCGCTCGAATGTTCAGCAGAGCGTTGCGCATCAATTGGGTCCTCGGGGACCGACCCGCGTGCTGACAGACAAGTGCCTACCTAGAACGTTCTTTTGCGACCCCGCCGTGTAATTTGCATGGGTATTGGTCCCTCCGTTAAGACGGGACCTTACTGACATGTACAATTCAGAAATTACACCCTACATAGAGCTGAGGTAATTTCACGGGCCTCTTCTCTCACTAACATACAATTATCGATGCGTTTCCTTCCAGCAGGTGTGGTTGCCTAGGGGCAGGATCACCGCTCAGTAACAGTAAGATACTTGCCTTCTGACTCATGCCAATTGTCCACTTGTGGGTTTGCTTCATTTTCATTGGTCGAGACGTTTTTGCGTATCAAGAGTTCAGAGCAGCCGAATTTACGACCACCTAACATGAGCCTGGCAGAGGACGCCGTTCTGCTGGACAAGTCCCCGTTCCCGCCGCTGCAGTTGTCGTACGAGGAGCAGCAGCACTGCCATGACGTGAGCCTCCAATTGCTGGAGCGAGTGCTGCGCAGCTACGACGAGCGACTGGCCGGAATCACGCCGCGGCACCACGCGAATCTCGACAGCGCGCGCTGGAAGCTCGAGAAGACGCAGGAGAATGCGTCAATGTACACGGAACGCATCCGCCACGTTCGGTCGGACCTCCATCTCCCCGACGACGTCTGGGAAGATCCGATCGTGCTGATGATGGCGGGGAACATCGCGGCGCCCCTGGACGAGGTCATGTTTGGGCTGGCGATACCTACAATCGAAGCGTTTAAAATCCGGGTGTCAACTCTCGGGAACCAGGACCTCGGTGGCGCAATACTCGCGAAACTAGTGGGACCGACGGAGGAGAAACCTTTCCAAAATCTGTCGGTTCTCTACATGACCACGGAGCTGCCGTGGCTCGTGAGCAAGGTGGTGAGACCAAGAGACTTCGTGCTGCTGTCGGCATCTGGGGTCGTCACGACCGCAGCTGGGGAACGAATTGGGTATGATCTGTTGCAGCCGGCGCCGCTGCCGCAGTGCGGACCACTTCCAAAGCCGATGATTCGCGGCAAGTACGTGTTTGGCGCACTGTATCGACAGCTAGAAGACGGCACCGTTGACGTCTACGTGCAGCAGTATCTCGAGGCAATGGGAAACATCTTCGACTCCTATGCGATCAGTTCCGCGTGGCAAGGAATCCTGGGCTTCTTCAGCGCGCCGGTGCTTTCGGAGCACAAGAAGCTGCAGTGGTGCATAGCCCACATGAGAAGCGCACGGCGACGAGGGATGACGCTCGACTCAGCAGCGTTCGGTAGAACCTGCTCCCTGTGCTCTACTGCGTTTGCACGGGTCGTCCGCACTAGTAAAAGTGACCGACGCACTTGTGTGCTGTGCCTGGCCCCGGTGTGCGTCAACTGTCGCGAGGAACGAGTTTACAAGGTGGTGGAGCGACATCCGCGGAAGAAGGTTTTGTCCACTCGGAAGAAGGAAGTGTTCGTCTGCCGGCCGTGTCTGGACTTCGTGCAGCGGCACAAGCCTGCCGATATTGCGAGATACAGCATCAACGACCAGCTCACCCCCTCGTCCGATTCTAGCCGAGATACTAACGGTAGCGGACCAGTAACGTGGGGCCTGCTGTACGGCGACTCCGTGCCGGAGTGGTCGCCAACGCGATCCCTGTCGGTGTCGAGTCAGTCCTTCGATTCGTTCAGCTGGAATCCCGAACCGTAGACGATGATAACGTGTTAAGATCATCTGGGAGAATAGATATCGTTGCGTTGCATTACAGAAAAAGCTAACCTGTTTGGATACGAATCGTGTCGTATCGTACGATTCGTATCGTACGAAGATCGAGGTGGCGAACCGGACTCTTCTTGGTCCGATCCCTCTTGCTCGTTTTGATCGGAAGGTGGTTGATCTGCAGCGGGTACCTTCCCTGCAGGCTGATCTTCAGCAGGTTGACCCTCAGCAGGACGTTCCTCGTCATTACCGTGTAACGAGAAGGAAGGCGAGGGGGAAAAAATTGTAACAAAATGACCGTGGACGACGAATCTTATCCGATCCTACGTACAGTACAATCGAAGGGGTAAAGATCCTAAAAGCTATACATGTAGAAGTTTACTTGGCACTGTCAATGGGAAGTCATGACTGCAATGCTCCTCGCCGTACCTGCAGCACTTCCCCGAAGCTTCAGCCAAAAGTTTCGCCGCAAAATGTTTTCACGTGCTTGTAGCGCTCGTTAACGAGACTCAGTGCCCTCGAGTACCCCATCAATAAGCCACTTCCACCTAATATCTGTATGCAGTCGCGTATCAAAGTCAAACTCCACTCACGAGTCGTGAGTGGAGTCACGAGGCTCATTGCACCCTGCTTCAACAGCCCTGCTTCAACAGCTTCAACGCCAAGCAGTCTGACATGGCTACACTCCGATCTTTCTTGTGGTGCACGCCAGTGTACCCTCTTACTGGTACACCAGTTTCCAGCCCTCATCCATCCATGTCATTAGGTCAATAGCGCCCTATAGCAGCGGAACGACCCCTCCTTCCTCCCACACGATGCAGCTCCTGATCGGCAAGAAGCCGGGCGACGAGGAGCTCAAGTGCTTCCTGGCGCTGTCGATCACCGCCACCGAGTTCACCGTGGGCGCCGCGGACAAGAAGTACGCGAGCTGCGGCCCGCAGCTGGCCGTCTCGCCCGATGCCGAGCTGCTCTTCTCGGCCAACGCCGTGTGCCGCTTCGTGGCCGCCAACGCCGGCCAGCTGCAGAGCGACGACCTGGCCGTGGACGAGTGGCTCGAGTGGGAGGCCAACACGCTGGCCCCGTGGCTGCGCGTGGCCAAGGCGGCCAGCAACAAGAACGGCGAGCTGGACGCGCAGCTGACGGCCATGCTGGAGGCCAAGGAGGAGGCGCGCCCCAAGAACGGCGGCGACCTCGAGTTCCTCTTCGGCTCGGAGCTGTCGCTGGCCGACGTCGTGGCCGGCGTCACGTTGCGCGCCGCCTTCAAGCTCATCAAGGAGCAGAAGGACGAGGCCCCCGTGCTGCAGACCTTCCGCAAGTACGTGGCCCAGCTCTTCGCCCGTGAGGACGTGGCCAAGGGCGTGGCCAGCATGAAGAACGCTGGCAAGGCTGCCAAGAAGGGCAAGGGCGGTGCCCCCGCTGCTTCCGGTGCCCCGGCCGCGGCCGTCAAGAACGTCGTCCGCTCCACCTTCAAGCTGGACGACAAGCTGGCGCAGGGCCTGACCTACCACAACGTCCTGGGCGTTGTCGAGTCCATTTTCGACGCGGCCATCAAGGCCGCCTACCCCAGCGTGAACGTGCCCGTCGAGGTTGCCCGCACCACCGCCAAGAACGCGCAGTTTGGCGACTACCAGTGTAACTCGGCCATGTCCATCTTCACGGCTCTCAAGGGCACGCCCGACGCCGCCCGCTCGCCCCGTGACGTGGCCAACACCATCATTGCTGCCATGCCCGAGACGCCGGTGCTGGACCGCCTCAGCGTTGCCGGCGCGGGTTTCATTAACGCCTTCCTGACCAAGGAGTTCGTGTCCAAGCGCCTCGGAAATGTGCTGGCCAACGGCGTGAAGCCGGCGCCACAGGAGAAGCAGACCATTGTTGTCGACTTCTCATCGCCGAACATCGCCAAGGACATGCACGTCGGCCACCTGCGTTCCACGATCATCGGTGACACCATGTGCCGCATCCTCGAGTTCCAGGACCACGACGTCAAGCGTATTAACCACGTCGGTGACTGGGGCACCCAGTTCGGTATGCTGATTTGCCACCTCACGGAGACGTACCCGACCTGGGAGACAGAGATGCCGAACGTGACGGACCTGACGCTACTGTACAAGGCCGCCAAGGAGCGCTTCGACGCTGACGCGGACTTCCACGAGCGTTCCAAGGCACAGGTGGTGCTGCTGCAGTCCGGCGACGAGAAGTCCTGCAAGGTCTGGAACACGCTGTGCGAGATTAGTCGCATTGAGTTCCAGAAGGTGTACGACCGCCTCGGTGTTTCGCTCAAGGAAATGGGCGAGTCGTTCTACAACCCGATCATCCCGAGCGTCCTCGACATTCTGCGCGCCAAGGGCCTCATGGAGATGAGCAACGGCGCCGAGGTGATCTTCACCAAGACGCACAAGCAGCCGTTCATGCTCGTCAAGAGCGACGGCTCGTACCTGTACGACACGACGGATATCGCCGCTCTGTGGTACCGCCTGCACGAGATGAAGGCCAACCGCGTTATCTACTACACGGACTACTCGCAGAAGGATCACTTCAACCTGTTGTTCGAGGTTGGCCGCATGTCGGGCATCTACGACCCGACGAAGCAGCGCGCGGACCACGTTGGCTTCGGCACCGTGAACGACGAGTCCGGCAAGCGCTTCAAGACGCGCTCGGGTGAGGTCGTTCGTCTCGTGGAGCTGCTGGACGAGGCCAAGGTCCGCATGAAGGCGCAGCTGGTGGAGCGTATCGAGGCTGGCCAGACGTCGCTGCCCATGGACCAGGTGGACGCTGCCGCCGAGAAGCTCGGCTACGGTGCCGTCAAGTACTTCGACCTGCGCCAGAGCCCCACGTCCAACTACATCTTCAGCTTTGACCGCATGCTGTCCACCAACGGAGACACGGCTGTGTACCTCATGTTTGCTTACGCCCGTCTGTCGTCGATCATCCGCAAGTCGGGCGTCGACATGGCTGCGCTCGTGGCGCAGCAGCAGAAGGAGGGCAACGTGCTCAAGCCCGAGCACCCGACGGAGCAGGCCCTGGTCATCGAGCTGCTGCAGCTGCAGGACGTGATCGTGTTCATCAACAAGGACCTCAGCTCCAACCGCCTGTGCAACTACCTGTACACGATCTCGGAGAAGGTGCAGACGTTCGTCACGGCCTGCCGTGTGCTGGGTAGCGAGGAGCAGAGCAGCCGCCTGCTGCTGTGCGACGCCACGCTCAAGGTCATGAAGACGTGCTTCTCGCTGCTGGGCATCGACCCGCTGGACCAGATCTAAGTTGTCGGCGGCCATTTGGCGCTCGCTATCAGTCAGTCAGTCAGGTGAGGATCGGCTCGTTCGGCTCGTCGGTCATCGAAAAGTAGGTGAGGCGAAGGGTGAAGGAATGAAATGAAGCTCAATATTTGATTAGGAACAGTTCTAACTTGCAGGCATTTCTCAGGTACTTGCTGGAGGCTCTATCTAACATGCAGAATTGGGTCGAAGTGCTGGTGATCTTGATGGTGATCTTGTGTGTGTGGTGGTCGTACTTGGACATGTAGGCAACGGTACATCGGTTGGCGGTCTCTATGCGGTGGTGCTGTACTGGAGTCCAGTGTCGGTCTCGAGCACGGTGCAGTCGCTCAGGATGAAGCGCAGCGAGTACGCCGACAGTCGCTGCTCGCCGGACGACTCGGAGCTGTCGTCCATCTCTTCGTCCTCGTCCTGGCCGGCGTCGTCGTCGGATGCAGCGGCCAGCACGGCCGGGTCCATCGGGCCGTCGGGCTTGTAGCTCGGCGGCGGAAGCGTCGGCACGTCCGTCGGCGTGAGCTGCAGCTCGGACGGGACCTGGCCGCCCACGAGCTCCAGGTACTCCTGCGTGAGCTGCTTGATCTTCTGCTGGATGCGGGCCTTCTGCTCGGCGTCCGACACGTGCGCCATGTACTTGCACAGGTGCTGGATCTTGATGAGCTTGGACGACACCTGGCGGTAGGGCCACCGCTGGATCTGCTTCCGGCGGCATACACGCTTGACCACGGCCTCGCAGCTTCCGAGGCGGCGCGCGGCCTCCCGCAGCGGCAGGTGGTAGTACTTCTGCAGCTCGGACAGCTCAAAGTCGGCGCTGGTGCTGGTCATGATTGACGATGTTGCAGAAGTGGTGGAGTTGGGCTGGGTCGGGTCGGGTGGTCGATCGGAGCTGATGCGCTTCGAGGCAACTTGCGAAATGAGGACACACCGGAGATGGTGGTAGTGAGCAGCTCTCGAGTAGGTGGGTGGAAGCGTGTGCCGTGGAGCGGCCACGGCCCCGAGGAGGAGCAGAGCTGCAGCGCAGAAAGTGCTGCCCTGCCTGAAGCGGAACCTAAGGAGCCCGGCGCCGCGTAGAGTACCGTGCGCGCGCGATGACGCTAAGGCTTCGCGTGCCAATCGGCGAGGATCAGCAGTTGCCGGATGGATTCTGGAGCAGTGCGGGACGGCGGCCGACGACGACGTTGAGCGCGTGATTTCGCTACCCGGGCTCGGTGCTCTGGTCAACAGACAATGGCCGTCCGCGACAAGATCGCGCGGGCCCGGTCGCTGTGATTGAACTGATCGTGACGTACGGATCTCGCCGCCGGCCTATCTGACAGGCCAGCTCGCCTCGAAGCCAAGAGCTCGGGGCTCGCGACTTGCACAGCAGCTCTGCAAAAATCCATCAGCCGTCGTCGCCGCCGCCTCCGCCGCCATAAGCACTCGGCCGTAAGCCGAGCGACAAGATGATGGTTGTTGACCCAACGCGCGTTGTGCCGTCGTGTTGTCTTCAAGTGTCTCGGTAGAGCACGAACGGCGGCTTGCAGAGAGCGACTCCAAGTGCAAGTGCAAGTGGACATCAAGGCACAATGGCTTCCTGCCGTGGCGGGCGAGCCTATCGATCCAGTGTAGCGCGAGAAAGTAGAGAGGAAAGGCTCCACACGTAGATAGAATGGATCTTACACTCCACGACAAAAAGATATGGACACCACCAAAAGTGGCTGTAACTTCGTCAATTTTTATCGTTTTAAGGTGCGGTTTGGACTAGAGTTGCAGAACACGCTGATAAAGATCTGCGTTGCTAACACGCGCGCTTTTGCGCTTCTTCAGGTAGCTCACATACAAATCACTGGTTCTGCCCAGGTGACAAAATTTATGGACAGCTAATCCCCATACAAAATCCTATATTAACCAAAACCCCTTACAAATGATACGACTTGGACTTTGTATGGGGCGACAAAGGAACCAGCCTCACGGCGATACTCGCGACGTTAGACAAAGATCTGATGGCATTATCGTGTACTAGAAGGTGTGTTTAGTAACCTGTAATAAATACATCGACCATCGCACAAAACTGAGCAAGTAGTAAGCGACTGAAATTTCGAGTGGTGGCTACCATGTATTATCTAATGATTTGCGAGGCACGTTCAGTTGCATCCTAGTTAGTGCCAATTTGTAGCTCTGTATGCTGCTATCTCTTGGATATACGATTGTCTTCTCCATTCTAAACTGTTGGTCGATGATATATGGCTCAGTACTAAGGTAGAGTGGAGAAATCGTTACAAAGTCCAAGTCGTATCATTTGTAAGGGGTTTTGGTTAATATAGGATTTTGTATGGGGATTAGCTGTCCATAAGTTTTGTCACCTGGGCAGAACCAGTGATTTGTATGTGAGCTACCTGAAGAAGCGCAAAAGCGCGCGTGTTAGCAACGCAGATCTTTATCAGCGTGTTCTGCAACTCTAGTCCAAACCGCACCTTAAAACGATAAAAATTGACGAAGTTACAGCCACTTTTGGTGGTGTCCATATCTTTTTGTCGTGGAGTGTAGCTGACAGGGCGTGCCTCCTCGAACACACTGTAACTCGGGAGGACGACGGTCTCCTGCGACAAGCCGCCGACCGTTTCGAGTTCACTTCAAAGATCGTTCTGCTTCAGAGAGCTGGTTCAGCACCGTCTTCCGGCCAGCCACGTTTGAAGAACCGCGGTCGCAAGGTTCTAATGTGCCGTAGTGGGCGGCCGGAGCTCCGCCGCTCCACCGAGTCGCTTCGGAGCCGCTCCGGGGGCGGAGCAGCTCCTCCTCTTTAACGTCGATCGGATCGCCAATCGACACGTTGATCTGGTTACGAAGCGGTGCACAGCGTGTCAGCCACAGGTTGCCCGCCAGCTGGGCAGGCGTTGTGTAGGTTCGCGAGAGCTCTCGTGGACGATCGGCGTGCGATCCTAGCTCCTCGCGGCGCTGCACGCCGTAGACACGCCGGAGCGGCGATGCTGATGCTCGAGACACTCCGCGCGCGTCGTCAACGTTGCAACCACCAGCACTGTGTTGCTTGTCCTCGCGCTGGTGCTGCTGCTGCTGCTGGAGGTTGTGGTGGTGTGTGGCGACGGTCGGAGCGTGCAACCAGAGAGCTCTTAACCGCTTCGTCCCTTGCAGCGGGTCAGAGGAAGACAAGAACACGCAGGGCAATTTTATGACAACACTGATGGCCCGTCCTGCGTCCACCGCAACGAGCCAAGCTGCCATGGATCGCCTCGCCAAACTCGTGGGCAGCCGACGCAAGCTCGGCGTGCGCACGCAACGACCAAGCGACTACCAAAAGAAGGCATTGAGCTTCCCGGGTTTCGATGGCAAGCGGGCGATTGCTCGAATCCAGCCATCCAAGCCAGCGACGGGCCCTCGATGAGCGCTTGGCGCTTGAAGATCGCCGCGTTGAGCTGCCGTGAAAAATTTACGTGCTCAACGTGCCGAACGCTGGCGTGCTGCATCTCCGCGGCAAGCGCTGCACCGGTGCACCGGCACGCACGTTTCCACGAGCTCTGTTTAGCCGGCGCGTCCGCTGTCAAGCCCAACAACCACGCGATCGCGGCGCCGAAATAGAAGGGTCCATGGGCCAACCCAGCAGGCTCCAAAGCCTCACGGCGCTGTAAGAAGAAGCGCATTGTGTAGCCAAACGCGGGAATCTCGAGCCGTGAGGCATCTTGAGACGTGTGAGAGCGTTGCCGCATCGTCAAAGCCGTCGTCAATGCGGCGGCGGTTGAAGCGAATAAGATCGGGGCTCGGTCGCGGAACGTTCGACGGTGCTTGGGTGACGAGCCCGCAAAGATACGCGACTGTACACGCATTGATGAGTCCTTACATACCGTACGGCTCCGTGAGTTATACATGTACTACTGACATGATGTCATGTAGCCACCTGGCCCACGCCAGCGCAACGTGAATCCATCAGCTGGCGGTGGCGTACATGTAGCTCGGCCGCACATCCGCTCGTGCCGAGTCGGCGGCGGGCTGCACCCGAGACGATTCCGCCCAGCTCTACGGCCCTGTTCTCGCCGGGTCTGCCCGAGGAGAGACTTGGGTGGTCACGAGGCGCCGACGCGAACGAGGATCAGACAAGGCTCTGGAGGGAGTTCCCCCTCGGAACAATAGCAGCAGCAGTCCAACTGCAGAGGACCCGCACGGACTCACTTACCGGCCCTGACTTGCCTGCACATCCCGCCGGAGCTCACCTGATTATTGACTAAGCGATCTTTCTGCCAGTCTGCGTGTCGCGGCCGGTTTCCCGTCGTGCTGCGGGCATGCTTGGCTGCACGCCTTGAACTCGCGAACGGGCGACTCCAATCCCCTCCTCGGCTCTTGGACGGAGCTTAGCGCTGGGATATTTTCGTTTCGGTTGTCCATGTAGCATGAACGGAGCGCGCGAGGAATTTGATCACAACACGATGGCATGAAGCCGAGGAGCGAGTGGTGCTGCTGCTTTCGGCTTGGTAGGCCCGCTCATTGACAAGCTTTCGCAGTCGTTATTCGGCTTTTGAGGGTGGGGCAATTGTGGACGTTGGACGGTGTTTTTATTACGATCCAGGTCCGGTCGATCCGGTGTGCGCACTTACCTTGCCGCTCGATTCTTGCCGCACCCGCCACCGATAAGGAAGACAGGAGTAGCCAAGTTGTGTAAATGCACAAATACACAACTTGTTTCCTTTTGCTCACTCTGTCTTCGCCCTCTTGCGCTTGACCCTGCCGAATTGAGACTGAGCTCCTACTTGCTCAATGCACTGTGCATGCAGCTACTCTGCCAACCACTCGAACTACTTCAACACCTGTCTCCTGCTGTCCTCCTCCCACGTCCTCGTCGCTCCTTCCTTCGCCTTCTTCCAGGGCGGTGTCCACACTTTCGCTCCTGCGACGCCTCCTCCGATGCGCCAACGCACCACCGCGCGCGCCAACGGCTGCAACCGGAGGCGATTCATAACAGTTTTGATGAAGTACACGAGTGTAACTCGAGCGAACTGGCGTGTTGGACAGTGACACATACCGGTCGTGAACAGTGTATGTAAATGAGCGAAGTGGTCGAGGTCTCATCAACGGGAAATATCTATATGTACTGCCTATCTGGGGTGACAGAGTATCTCCTGTTCTAAGAAGACAAGTCTACGAGGTGCTCCTCGAACGCAACCTTATACCGTTTAGTTTGGATATGACCACGCAGCTCACCCGCACTACAAAATACTCCATCGAGCTGTTTCTTCTTCAAAATTTCTTAGACGACTGCATCGACCTCGTTTGAGTTGCCTTCCAACACAGATTTTAGGGCAAGTTTGTCGTTAGTTTAGCTAAATGAACTCAATACTGCAAAATGAAAATGAAATGAAGTTTGTCGACCGAGTTGACTGGGATCGTACACACCGCATGAAATTCCAATGATCCATAAAACTCCGTACTGCTTCGACTCACAACGAAAGAACTAAGAGGCACAGCGAAGTCATCATCTTTGCCAAACACCAAAGATTCTTTGGTGTCACAGTCCAGCATGCCTCGCACCAAACGCGCCTTCCGCTCCTAGAGAACGATGGGCAAGCACTCGTCTTGCTGAGATAGCCATCGGGGTAGGTCGGCTGAAACTCGCCGAATCGCCGCTTTATCTGGTCGATAAACCCGACCTGTTCACCAGGCCTAGTGGCATTTTCCAGAGCGAAAAAGATGTCAGCACTAGCTTCACCATCGATATTCACTGTAATACAGCCACTCGATGCCCAGTCGATCGTTTCTGTCGGATTCCCTTGTCGAGAAATGGTAGCAAACGTTGAAGTATTAAACTTTTCAGCACACGGAATACCCTCGAAGGAGCAAGTTTCACTGAAATGCGCTTCGTTCGTTGATCCATTCGAGCTCCACGAAACAACATTCCGAGACTAACCTCCACGCGCCCAAGCACCAGCAGCGCGCTGATTCTCATTGCGTAGAGGCAAACACTGAACATGGCCGATGACTCCCACACTGGGCGATCAAACATGGTCTTGTCCACGTATTCATGCAGGTCTCTCAGAGACTTTACAAATGTTTCTTCTTCGGTCGTCGGCTTGAAATCTGTCATCTCGGCATGGTTTGCTGCAGGACCCCGCAACAACGCGTATGGAACGCGAACTTCGAATTCTGGACAAAAGCACTCAGAATCGGGCAGCAAACATAGCGAAGTTCTGACGACGTGATTTTCCCACCGATAGTATCATTCGTCCAGACTGATAGACCTGTAACAGCACAAGCTGCCAAACGGATTCGCGCCCTGATATCCAGTGAGCTCACGCATTTGCTACCATGCCCATGGTAAGCAAGGCCTCAATTTGCTTGCATGCTTCTCCAACTCCGCCATATAGTCAACAGCCCAACATGGGATGCCATCAAGAACACTCAAATCGCGACAAATTTGAGGATTTCCAGCAGTGCAGCATACCTCGAGTTGGTGCCGACAAGCTTGAAAATATGATTCACCGTCAAAAGGGATGGGAAGTCGCCCTTCCCCCTACAAGGGAAAATAACAAATTTTGGCCCTTAGAAACATAAAACGAAAGATAGAGCCAATCTGTTCCGGCGAACAGGATAGCACGATCAGCATTAACGGTGGTGAGCAGAGGAGCTTGAAAGTTCATCCAGCAGTGGCAGATTCGGATGTTTCCGGTGGTAGTCGTCAATTCCAAGGAAGAGGTACAATGGCGTAGGCGTATTTGGCTGCTCCTGACGCTACTCGCACCCGAAATATTTAATGGCCATTGAGAACCTCAGATGACACGCATTAGCCGGTAATCGCGACTTAAACCACGCTTCGAACGAAAAGGATACAGCATCCGCAACGAGAAAGGTGCTTCATTCGTATCACTTGCCCGCTGTACCCGTTAGGGTAAGGAAAAATCGCACTGACAACGTGCTCAGCGTTGAGGTTCATCACTGCTCGGAGTATCGTGCCACCTTCCAACATGCGCGTCTTGCTTAGCCTAGGTAATCAGAACAGAAGGGAACAACAGGTCATTTGTCAGAAGCATCACTTTGCGCCATATTGATTAGCTTCGGTCGGTGCATTGGTGCTGGAAACAGGAAGAGTAGGAATATATACAACGCGGACTTGAGTCTGCTTCACCAACACGCAAACGTGCCCCGTCACTTGAAGGACTCACTTCTTCTCTTACTGGACAACCCAACCTGCGCAATCCTTGTATACGCTGATTCCACTTACCCCCCCCCCCCCCTCCCCTGTGTTCAATTCACGTTTCATGCCGTCCTGGAGGAGCTACACAATCGCACCTTTGAGATCATAAACCGTCACTCCATCATCCACCTGTTCGACGAACGCACTGTTCTGGGTACATACCGAGGTGTTACCGGTATGGCCCTGATTTACCATGACCTCGCCGGTTCGTAGTTTGCGCAGCCTTAGTACCTCGTAGTGGTAGGCTACAATTGGCGCTCCCACTTCCGACACCGTGGTCCACCTTTAATTGTCAGAGTGCTAAATTCAATAAAAGTCAATAAAGTTTGGTAGGTAGAAGACCAGTCACCACAGAGCTCATGGAGCGGGGCCGAAGGTGCTGCAGTGTGCAGTGCAGAACTACGTGCCCACGCGCTTCGAGGACGCGCCAGGCCGCACCATGGCGAAGAGGGAGGTGCGCTTTAAAAACATGCCCATCACAGCCGACGTGGTGGAGGACGAGAGTAACGAGAGTAAGACCGAGCTGCTGACAATCTAGAAAACGGTCAGGAGTCTGGCCCCTAGCTTTTACTCCAGTGGCACCGGTGTTGCGCAAGCCCGGCTGGGCGAGCATACAACAGCGTACCACAGGCCGGCATCAGGCGCCGTCTACCGCAGTTCCTGCCGCGAACTACATAGCGTAAGTGACGCGGCCAAACCCGGCTGGCGCCCGCCATTATTGGAGCCCATGCGCCCCATACAAATTTATAATTCTATATATATATTAAATTTGAAAAATAATCAGGAGATCACGGCGTCGGAAGTGAGAGCGCCAATTGTAGCAAGAAGTCAGTCAGTTCGGAATTCGCCAAGGAATACAGAGATCCTTTCCGTTCTCACCTTGGTTGGCCCGCCGCCGGGCGCCACGCAGATCACGCACACCATACTTTCACCGACCATCCTTCTGGTGAAAATCCGTGCTTCCTGGAAGGTGGGATGAAGGACAGCACCGCAGCGTAACTTGGATTGCCGCCTAAAAGCTTGACAATTTGATATGCGTCCTTCTGTTGCCTGCTCGTTACGAAGTAAAGTGTTTTTGCTGCTCTTTTAAGAGCAATTAAAATTAACGCATCTCCACCTCGCTGTTTCCGCACCGCTGCAGGGAGTAAATGAGAAGCCCAGCGAACGCTGCCGCAATTTGGAGCTGAAGTAAGTTTGTATTGCGGGGGTCAGGCTGCAACCCCCAGCGTGAAGATCGCGATATCGCTATTGCTGGTAATACCAGCCTGGTATTGAAAGCTTCACCTAGCAGTCCCTACTTGTCTATTGATTCGATGACCTGAAGCTGCTAAACTGAGACTCTAATTTTGCCATACTTATACGGTAATACACGAAAATTCCGAAAGCATTAATCTACATGTACCCTTTCACATACGTCGCTTCCCGTCACTTCGATACCCACGAGCTTAAGCGACATGTCTCCATTGAGTTACTTCAGTGAAGTAAAGTGATCACTGGACTTCGTTGCAAACACATAACTATTCCAGAATCTGCTGCTTCGAGGTCAAAGAAGATGGTAAAGCTATTCTGCCTGCTGGTTGGCGTGGCAGGGAGATCCTTCGAGGTGACTCTAGACGGCAGCGAAGGCGGGGATAGAGTCCTTGAGCTGACGGAGGCCATCGCCAAGGCAAATCCTGATGAGGTCAAGTGCGACGCGTAGGCCCTGAAGGTCTTTTTGGCGGTGAAGAACGGCGAGTGGCTGGGCGTGAATTCAGAAGATGTGAAGAAGCTGCGGAAGGGAGAGACAACTGCGTTTATTGAAGAGCTGACTGAAGAGCTCGACCTAGATACGGCGTCCTCCCTGTACGGACTACTGCAAACTGTGCCACAGCTTATATCCGCCGATCAAATTCACGTGCTGGTGAAGCTCCCCCAAGCCACCGTCGATAATGCGCCGGCTCCTGCTCCTGTACCGACTGCTCCTCAGGCTCCTGTCCCCAGTCCTCCTGTACCGGCTGGTCCTCACGTGGATCTTGTTTCGGGCGAGAAGCTCCTCGATTTCCTGGAGGGTGAGATGAAGGAGAAGGAGGACGTCTCGAGCTCTCACGTTTTAACTGCAGATGACTTACAGCACCGTTTCGTTGGGCGGGAAGAGGCGATCAAGGCAGCATCGAGTTGCTTCGCACGGATCATCACCGTTGCAAAGAGGGACGTCCCTGGCAACCTCCGACCTATAATTCCCGTTTGTGCTGGCATCTCTGGACTCGGGAAGACGCGCATGTTGGAAGAAGGTGGCATGATATTACGAGACGTGATGGAGTTGGGTGCCGAGCGCGTTGCCAGCGTGATTGTTCCTTACGATGACATGTACAGCCCGCAAGAAGTCGAGCAATCGATGCCGATTGCTGCATCTTTCTCGTGGAGAATGTTATATCGATTCTTCCTGGCCGAGAACTGCTCGGTCTCGTTCAAAGAGTGGTTTAAGTCGCGCTTGCCGGTCAATGGCCACCACCTGACGTTTGCGACTGCAGTCCAAGCTATCGAGTGCAAGCTTCGCAAGAGGCAGCCGGATACGACAGTGCCATTGTACCTCTTTCTTGGAATTGACGATTACCAATGTATAAAATACGTTGGTGCTCACCAGGAAAATCCGGATGTGTCACTCATACATGAGCTCGTGGGAGTTATAGAAAGCTTCCTATGCACGCCACTGCCGCGTCTGATTGTGCTTCCAATGTTCACGAGGACAGAGTGGGGTTCTGAACACGGTTCAGTACAGAATTGTTCGCTTCCCACAAGTGAGCGACTTTCCATGACCCTCTTGACAATGGACCAAGTTTTCGAGATTGTTAGCAGCAATTCAAGGTATTCTGTGCTGTTAAAACACTCCCAAATTTGCCGCGATTTGATCCTTCTTGGTGGTATCCCAGAGCTGATTATTCAATATTTGACGGGTTGGAGAAAAGATGTGAGCGAGATGGAGTCGTGCGTATGGATACCAGAAACGATTGCTTCAGTGTGGTATGGACATCATTCATTATGAGGTACTTGGGCTTGTTTAATATGAGGATCCAGTTCCGTTTGGCAGCCTACGCAATATCTGGACGCCCAGTGAGGCCAAATCACACACTCGATGGAATAACGTGGTCCAAACTCCGGGATTCTTCTGTTTGCTCGCTGGTTGATGCTGAACAAGACAATGCAGGACAATTTGTTCGCGTTCCGTACGCGCTTTTGCGTAGTTTTGAGTTGGTTCGTTGCAAGATGACAAATGAAGAAGAATATTTAGCTCTTTCTCTACAAGACCTGCGTACGCATGTGGACGACAACATGTTCGCCCTCCAAGCGTGGCAGTTGTGGGAGATGTTTGGTGCTTGTTTCTATGCAGTGAGAATAAATGCGCTGCTGGTGCTCGGATACTCGACCGTTACCCTCAAAGAGCTGTTGCCAGGCGCTGTGATGGATAGAGAGACGGAAAACATTTCCATCACGAGTTTTCCCTTTCAACGGGTGCGACCATTTCCCGCCAAGGAAACACCTTGGAAAAGGTTGACTGGGTGTCGAGTGGTTGTATTGCGGTGAATGGTGATAACGGGCCTGGCGTGGACATCTTCTTCGCTCTGGAAGATGCCACTCCGCCTGGTAAGCAGGTTGTTTTTGTCGACCAGAGAAAACATGTATACGGCGACTTCCAGCCAAGCCACGCCAAGAACTCTTTTAGCAAAATGGGGCTCTGGATGATGCGCGTGTGGTGCGAGGCATCATGAATTGCGTCGCTAGGTCTAATCTTGCCAAGGATCGTGTGTCCGAATTGTTTCCTCGTAAGCCGAGACGAGTCGGAGGAGTTCCATGAAACACTGGCATCTCATCCAGCGTGCTCGCCTAAAATCTCAGTCAACTCGGCTTGCGAGACCGCGCTTGCAACGGTTCTGAAAGGTAGGACAAAAGAACAGGCTATCCTAGCCGTTAAAGCAATCGTGAAAATGAGGGAGGAGAAATCGTTCGGTAACGCCGGCGAGCTGCATAAGTTTTTGAAGGCTCAAGGGCTAAATGTGGAGACTGATGAGCGGTTCTTGGAGTTTTCGTGTTAGAGCAGGCATGTTTGCGCTGTCATAGGCTACTTTATTTTATTAACCAAGCTTGTTATATTCTAAATCGTAATCTTGTCTCACTAACTCTCTACGATCAGTAGGTCCTGAAGATTGAATCTTGTCACAAAGTTAGAAGCCGAGTCCCGATCCTGTAACGAGAAGCATACATAGCCTCATCAACATTTAGCTGAAGCGATCGCAGCACCGTGAACAGTAGCAGCCTCACCTCGCACTTGAACGTTGCCTGGAAGAATCGTCGTGCAAAGAGCAGCACAAACTCGCAAAGGAAGACGGTGTCTGTACCATACTGCGACCCGTAGAAATACACCTGTAGCACACTGTCCTTCTGCTCCACAGCAACGACATGAAACCCATGCGCTTCTAAATGTCGCTCCAAATCTGCTCTACTCGGCTGATTGGCGAAGGAGCACGAGAACGCGCCCCTGTTAGCCAAGGCCAGCAGTTAAGGTTAGTCTCCGATGGGATAATCAACTGAATGCACTGCATAAAGGAACGCACGTTGTCTTCGTCTGCTTCCAGAGCTGCCAGAACTCTGGAGGTGGCAGGTTAGCCTCCGGGTCCATCAGGAAAACGGGCGAAGCGAACGGAATCTGGTGGTAACCTTGAGGCTCCGCAGGTGGAGGCACCTCTACAACATCGCGGGTGGGAACTGGGTCTCGAGAGGAAACAGGGCGTGGACTTGGCGACTGCCGACGAGCTGAGCGTGGGGGCTCTTCTTCGCCCTCCATCGCTAACTGTAGGTGAGATATCGACGCGTTGCCCTCCTCATTGAAAAACCCGCTGCGATTCCTGTTCAAACCAGCTTTGGCACTGCCCTGTCGTCGTGGTTTACGCTGAGACGCCGTCCTCTGTGGCCCACGTGGTGATGTGACGACAGGATGGACGGCAGCGGCACGGGTGCTTGTGTTGTCATCGTCCGAGTCACTGGCGTCGTCATCGTAGCAAGCGTTCTGCTTTTGAGGGCGGACATCAGAGAGGAACTCCGCTCTACACATGCAGGAGAGAGGACACAGGTTAGTCGAACAGTAGAAATATTATCAATGTTAGCAGCACACACCCAAAGAACTCATCTGCCTGGGACCCTTTTCGGTGAATTGTGCGCAGCAACCAAGGCGAGACGAGAAGGTGCACCTATAGTGCAATCGATCACGACCAATTCAAAGCAGAGGTGTAAATCAAACTAGCACAAAACTTAGTGATAGAATTGCTGGACGCACGGTAACCATGACGAGTGTCGTGAGATAGATGAGGTTGGGACTGGATGACGAGATGTACTGAACCTCCACTAGTCCGAAAGCCGACAACGTAGCAATGCCCAGCCAAAGCGCTGGTTTAAAGACACAAAAGGTTAGTCAATCCCGTGGAACTTACAGTGCTTGCAGGAAATATCTGCTGCCTGCTTACCTAGTGCCCATGAGCCGACTCCGAGCACGAAAAACGAGCGCACGTGCAGGATCAAGCGGTTTCCGTCTTGCTGCAGCTTGCGCCACTTGCCGTCGATGTAGAACCCGTGGAAGCTGAAAACCAGCGAGACGGCTGCGTAGATGAAGTACAAGTTGACCAGACTCACGCGCCCAAACACTCGATGAAACTTGAGGATGTTCATGTAGTAGCCCCGAATTACCTGGAACGAGACGCATCACATCTGGGTTATTTAATTGACTGGGGTGTGCACTTGTTAGCCAGTGCGCGGACTTACTCCGCCGAGAGCGAAGGCCACGACCGCCAAAAGGCCAATGATCACTCCGAGGATAACGAGACGACGGCGAATCTTCTTGAGGATGGAGCGCTTAGTGCGTTCGTATTCCTCTCGACGGATTTCCACCACCTGCGCACCTCGCATATCGTGGCGGAAGTTCTGCAACAACGGAGTTAGGTGATCACTTTCATCAAGGTTACATCAACTCACTTACGCTTGGCCGCATCACGGGCTTCGTCTCCATCTTGGTCGGCTCCTGAGCTAGCGAAGTACTACGAAGTTGTCGGTAAGAATCAAAAATGCCCCAGACTGGCACACTGAGCAGACTACGAGAAATAAAGATAGCTGCAGACAAAAAAAAACAGAAAAACAAAGTTATCCGTAGTCTATCTACAGGCCAGAAGCCCTAGGAGCTCAGCGGGCCCGTGGCTTGGTCATCACTTATTTCTTGGCCTCGATGATCTTGACCTTGGCCTTACGCGTCTTCTTCGGACGGCCGATCTCGATCTTGTTGCGCTTGTGCAGACTGTCGAAGCGGTCCAACAGCGGGTTGCCCTTGGGCTTGAGCGTCCGGAAGTTGCCGGTGAGCTCCTCGGAGAACGAGACGGGTGTCTCGCGGTCCAGTTTGCTGCAAGAGATCACACAGAATAAAAACAAGGTCAATAAGAGCTCCCAAGACGATCAGTTCAAGCAGGCCGCCGTCCAATGTTCTTACGTGTACTTTCCGGCCACGCGGACGAGCGGCTCTTCCTGCAGCTTTTGCTCCTGCTGAAGCTTCTTCAGCTCCTGCTTCTTGGCCGCCTGCTTCTCGCTCTTCACGATGTCCTGGAGAATGTGCTTGGAGCTGAACCGGCCAGCAACAAGTTAGCTCAATATTGCGCCCATCGGCAGCAAACTAGGTAAAAGGTTTACGTACGCATTGATCTGCTTGATGATCGCCTTCTCGCCGCGCCGCATCTGGTGCTCCAGCTCCATCTGCTTGTGTCGCGAGCGCTTGTTGCGCTGCGCACGCGTCACCTTCTCCGGCAGCTTGCGGGCCTACACAATCATAACCACATCCCAGTCAGCTCCAGCAGCTCTGGCCACCGTCCACCCCCTAGATGGACAGTTGAACGCACCCTCTTGACTCCGTCCTCGTCCTCCGAGTCGCTCGAGTCGTCCTCCGCGTCGGACGAGTCCTGCTTGATGAACTGAAGCGTCTCCTCCGACATGCCGTTGGACACGGGCTCCTGCAGCTTGGCCTTCTTCTCGCGGCGCTCGAGCTCCTTGGCCACGGCCTCGGCCATGACGTCCTGGTGCGTGTCGAAGTCCGGGTGGTACGACTGGCCCGCGGCCGCCACCTCCACGGTGGGGACCTGGTACTTGGTGGAGGCCACGAGTTTGCGGCGCTTGGTCTTCTTGGCCACCACGGGGGCCACGTACTCGTCCAGCTGCTGGCTCTGCTCGTCGTCCTTGGCGGCGCCGTCCTGGCCCCAGAGGCCCTTGACCTTGGCGTCCTTCTTGGGCTTGGGCTGGGCCGGCGTCTGTTGCTGCTGCTGCTTCTTGACGGCCAGCGCCTCGCCCTTGTGCAGCTTGGCGGCGTCGAACTTGCGCGTGCTGGCCAGCAGCGGGTCCTTCTGCAGCTTCTCGAGCTTCTGCTTCTTGGTCAGCGGCGGCGGCGCGTCCCCGCCCTTGCTGTCCACCTGGAAGAGCTGCTCGGGCTCCACATGCTTGAGCTTCTTGTCCTCCGCGTCCTGCCGGATGCTCTCCTCCACCTGCGCGCCCACGGCCTGGACGCGCTGCTGGCGACGACGCTTGCTGCTGCCCATGACGTTCCAGTCTCCGCAATGATTGAACACCTCTTCACAGCCAACGACCTTGGTAACGCAACTCTTAACCGTTATAGAGTGGTTAGTAACCCTACCACACCAATGATACACTAATTTGTACATTTTGTATGCATTTCAGACCTGAGTTGCAGCGAACATTTCGGCACATTACATCACCTTCGAGCTAGGAAGGATGGCGTCTCCGAGGTTCGCGCGCGTGGGCGCGGAGGAGAGTCGCGACGACCTGGCGCTGGTGCGGCACGGCAGCGGCAAGTTCTCGCCGGCGTCGGGTCTGTCGCCGCTCCGCGCGGCGCAGCGCAGCTTCACGACGGAGGACATTCCGTCGGCCAAGTCGTTCGTGAGCGTGGCGGACGCGGCTTCGCAGCAGCAGCAGCTGCAGACCAAGCCGCGCTCGGGCTCGGACCTGTTCGAGACCGGCCGTCTGGCCATCATCAAGGGCATCCAGGGCGTCGGGCTGGACCGCGTGGTGGACAAGATGCAGCAGGCCTTCACGCCCGACGGCTCGGAGCGCGTTCTGCGGGCCGAGTGGCTCGTTGTGGAGACGGAGGAGGAGCAGCTGCAGCAGCTGCAGGAGGTCGTGCGCAAGCTGCAGAAGGCCTTCAAGTTCTCCAACCGCCTGCGCACGCTCGTCAAGCTGGCCAACAGCACGCTGGCCAAGTGCGACGAGCTCGTGGAGCGCAGCCAGGCGCACCTCGAGCAGTGCAACCTCATGTTCGCGCAGTGTGCCAACGAGATCGCCACGCTCACCGACTACCTGAGCAAGCTGCGCGAGGCCGTGGTGCCCCCGCTGCAGGCCAAGGATCATAATGAAGAGAAGCGCAACGCCCGACGAGCCGAGTGGGCGCTGGCCCGCATGGCCCAGAGCGCGCAGAGCATGGTGGCCGAGATGAGGAACAGCCTCGACGAGCTGGACGACCTCACCACCGAGTGCACCAAGCTCATGGTGCAGTCGATCACGCTGCTGCACATGAGAGGCCGCTCCGCGGACTTTAGTGGCACGGGCGTGGCAGCAGGAGCGGCCGGCGTGGTGGCCGGCGCGGTGGTCGGAATCGCGGGAGTGGTGGCTGCCCCCGCCACGAGCGGCCTCAGTGTTCCGATCTCACTGGCCGGCAAAAGCCTGTTCCTGTCGGGTATTGCGGCGCTGACGCCGTCTAGCATCATGCTCAGCCGTACGTAGCTAGCAAGAGATGGTAGTATTGCAAGGTGAGATGTTGTGTCCTGACAAGGGTATTGCGGTTCGGTCGTGCAGGTCAAAGCCAACAGCTTGGAGGCCTGTCGTCGCTGGTGGTGAACCTGAAGTCGTGCCTCGAGATCATGAACCAGAAGCGGGAGGAGATGGCCATCGCCTTCGCCGCGTGCGAGGGCCTCGAGCTCGACATCAAGCAAGCGACGGACTTTTGCCAGGACGCCATCGAGCTCGAGACGTCCATCTACGTGAGTCGGCCGCGAAATGGACCTCTTTCCTCGCGTGGCAGAGAGAACTGACCCTGGTATTCCTGTTGTTGTTTGGGCAGGAGAGCTCGTGGGGCTTCATCGAGGACATCAGCGTGAAGCTCATGACGCTGAACCAGTCGGTGGAGCTGTTCTTGGCGTCCCCGAGCGTCTGGCACTTTTGCAAGTCGGAAGACGCCATGTACCAGTACCTGCTTGCCGAGGAGGAGGAGAACTGAGAGCGCCAGGATATCCCGCGGCAGCGGCAGCTCACCCTATTATCACCCAGCAGCAGAGGAAGGATGGAACCATGCACAGCCCGAAGGAGGACGTGCGTGGACACTAAGCGTCCACCTGACTCGGTCAGTTCATTTTGTACATGTAGCCATTTTGCATCGTAAATCTCCAAAAGTACATATGGCTTTTGTCAACCACTCACAAATTTTGGCCCACACTTTTTCGGTCCATTTCCGCGGCCCCGATGGATCTGTACGCCGATCTGCCGCTGGCGAAGGGCGCCAAGGCGTCCTCCGCGCTCGATGCGGACGGCAAGCCCAAGTCTGCTCTGTCCTCTACAAAGTCCGGTACGTTTTTCTCCTTCTCCAGCCGCCAAACCTCTCTAAAACTCCATCTACAAAGTGTTATTAATTCTGTCTTCTCGTCCTAATTCTTGCCTTTTCTCGCCTTGTAGTGTGGGCCAGCGCGCCGCTGATGGTGCCCCAAGCGGCCAAGAACAAGAGCAACAATCGACCGGCGGTGGCCACCAGCGTACGCAGGTTTTGAGGCAGAAAGGGAGAAACCCCCAGCTTAAACTTACGTTTTTGTGTAGAGCACGTCGATGCTGCCCAGTGCATTGGCGGCAGGCAGAGGCAAGAGCCCGACGAGGGCCGGAATATCGCTGGCTTTTAAGCCGGCATCGGTGACGAGGAGGCCGGCGGCGGTCGCCAGTCAAGTGTTCCAGAAGAAGGTGGAGGACGGGAGTGTGGTGGCCCGGCCGGCAGGAAGAGGCCTGGGATATGTTGCGCCAACGGAGGTGACGGTGACGTCGGTGCAGCAACAAGAGAAGGAGAAGGAAGACGTGGACATGGACGTGGGAGTTGCGGCCGGTGGCCACTTCTTCCAGGCCACTTACCGAGACGAGTACCATCCGGCCCGGCCGAACAGCTACGAGGTGTATTGCAAGGAGAGGCAGGAGAGGAAGAAGATGGAGCAGGTCAAGAAGGAACTGACGCGACGACAGAGAGAGCAGGAGCGAGAGGTGCGGGCCAAGGCTTGGCCGGTGTGTAGTGGGCTTCTGTGGCTGACAGACTGGCCGGTCGATTGTTTGTGTATTCGCTGCAGGGCAAGTTGGAGCGTGAGCAGCTTGCGAAGGACTTGGCTGAGGGCCGAGCGCCTGCGATGAAGCTGCCGGCTCCTGCTGGCCGTGGCCGCGGTATGACGATGCCGGCATGGATGCGCAAGAAAATGTTCGTAGTTGGTGAATCGTTACCGGAGGTTGAGTGTGGCTCGTGAGTTGTTGCTGATGCTGTGGTCATTTACTAGCGAGGAGAATGCTGCAGCATCCCAACCAGAAAGCGAGCGTGACGTTGACCGGGGCCGCGGCGTGGAGATTACTGCTACCGCTGCTGAAGGACAGTTCGAGGATGCCGCAGAGCCACGAGGTGGACTGGGCTTCTCAACTAGAGGCATCGGGTTTTCCTCTTCTTCAGCAGCTTCGTCATCAATGGCTGGAGGTTTTACGCGAGGAACGAAGGATGAATCAACCTCTCGTCCTCACTACGGCGACTTCAACGGCAGTCGCTACCCCAGCAACGATAAAGGCACAGCAGATCGGCAGACGTCACGTTCTCCGATGCTGGATGAATTTGGGCGGGAAATTCGACAGGAGCCAAAGCGGAGGCATGATGACCGACACAATGATCAACATGGCAGGCGTGATAGCAGCTTGAGCAGCCACAGCGGTCAACCTTACAGTCGAGATAGCAACGGTTCTGGCGAGAAACGGCGTCGGACTAGCGGCTGGGACAGCAGGTCAAGCACCAGCAGTGGATCATCTAGCCGGGTGGTGTTGCTTCAGGTAAGCGAACTCGAGTATTTTTTGTGAGTTTTAGCGAGACTTACCTAACTCGTGGTTGTTGCAGAACATGGTTGGCCCAGGTGAAGTCGACGATGAATTGCAAGACGAGGTGAAAGGCGAATGCTCCGAGAAATACGGACCCGTGGCTAAGTGCACGATCTACGAGGTGACGGGAAGTGTTCCGCCGGAGGAGGCTGTTCGGATCTTTGTCCAGTTCCAGGATGCAGAGGATGCTACCAAAGGTACTGGTTATGGTATCGCGTTTTGGAAGCGACTGCTTCGGCTCATCTCAACTTTTTGTGTGTTTGATGGCAGCTCTTACAGGCTTGAATGGACGGTTTTTTGGAGGCCGTAAGGTAAAGGCGGTGTATTATGATGAACGCAGGTTTGAAAGAATGGATATCACCAGTCAGTAGAGAATGATGAAGGCGCTTGCACTTCCAGACATGTAAGTCAATTCCGAAAAACATGTTTTTTGCTTAGCAATGGGTGTGTTTGTGTACGGTGTCAGAAAGTATGTATAGTGCACACTGTCACGAAGATCTAAGGTCTTCATGAAGCCGTGCGAGCAACACGTCGCAGTGGCTGGCTGAATCAGACGCCAATGGGCAGGAGAAGGTTTAGACCCCATCACACTGGCGAAGGTGGCCAGTCTTGGTGCTAGAGGCGACACCTGTGTAGGTACCAGTGTTGGCAACGGGTGTAGTGATACTATCCGGCACCGCGTTACTCTGGGCAGCAGTGGTGCCCTCCACAGAGCTCACGACGTCATCGGTAGCAGAGCCCGAGGTGTAACCCTGTCCAGCATTAGCGTCCGCTTCAGTGTTGTCTGCCGGTTTGCCAAGAGTGCTGCTCTCGTACGAGGCCGAATTAACGGCAGACGCCTGGTTCACGTCGACATTTTTGGTGCTGGCGATCTCCCGAGTTGGTGTTGCCCACGGTGCCACTGTTGTAGGCGGTCGAATCAACGATTGTGCCGGACGTTTTGGTATAGCTGTAACCCTGGTTCGTGTCGACAATGGTAGTGGTGGTCTCCGAGTCAGTGCTGCCTGTGGAGTTTTCGGTCGTGGCACCCTTTTCGTAGTCAGCGTTCCCAGCGACAGTGCTGACAACAGAGCCGTCAACACCAGAGCTCGTCTTCGCGGAGGTTTGACTAGTGCCAGTCTTGTCCACGTTAGTACCATCAGCCTTGGCATCAGCCGGAACACCGGCATTGGCGGTAGCAGCATCTTGGAATTCGAAGGCGGTTTCCACGTAACCTTGTCCAGTAGTCATCGCGGTGTACTCCTCAGCGTCCTGGCTGTTACCGGAACTGGTTTCCACGTAGTTTTGCGTGTCCTGCGAGGTGGCTGTAGCACTACCAGTGGTTGGATTCCCGTATTGATCCTGCTTGGAGTTGTTGACGATGGTGGAGCTGATGGCGGTCATGACATTGCCCTTATCCATCTGCTGAGTTGCGTCGTCGTAAGCGTTGGAGCCACCAGACGTCGATGAGTACGCGCCGTGCTTTTTGAAGTGTCCGTCGCAGCGGTGATACTTTGCGTACTCATCAGTGCCAAATCCGTGGTAATCCGCGAAGGAGACATTCTTGGCCGGGAGGCCATCCTGGTCAGTGTAGTCGTAGCTCTCGCTGCCAGCGTCGGGCCAACTTCCGCTTCCCGTCGTGGACGAGTTGCCACTGTGGCCGTAACCTGCGCTTCCACTCGTCGAGTAGTTGCTGCCAGAAGTGCTGTACATCTCGGACCCGTTCCCACGGCCAGAATTGGAGCTGCTGCTGCCGCTGCTGCCAGCACGGTAGTCGTCGATGATTCGGAACCAGGACATCATCATATTCTTCTCGTGCTCCAAGATGTGGCAGTGTGCAACGTACGGCTCCTTCGTGTCGAACCCAAAATCCTTTGCTTCGCGTTCGCTGTCCTCGATGAGGTAGCCGCCGGGAGTGCAAGCCACGTAGCAGACTTGCGTGATGGTATCAGCGGCACGGTCACCAGCGCTGGGGATGACGGCCACGTCCTTCAGCTCGTTCGTCTTGATCGTGTCAACCGTGTCTCCGCACTGCACGTGCACAAGGTGCCAATGGAACGGATGCGCGTCGGCTGAAGGGTTCATGAAGTTCCACTTCTCGACCGTGCCTTTGACGCACTGCAGCGCGTCGGCGATGGTGGAGATGTTGATCTGCTTATCCTGGTTGTACGTAATTTCCATGGTGGGGCACGCCTGCGCGTCAGTCATTTCTCCGAGTGTCACGTTCCGCTCCGTCCCGCCGGCTTCGTACAGCGTCTTGAGCGACTTGAACTTGTTCAGCGTCGTGGGGATTTCGCGGACCATCATGGAGTCGGTCAGCGAGCTCTCGACAATGCGGATCTGCAGGACGCGCGGGTCGTACGGGGTCGACTGGGTGGAGGACTGGACGTCGGCCAGTTCGTACGCCTTGCCGTCAGCGATACCAGTGAAGTCGCACACGAGCTCGATGCGCTCCAGTGGGAACAGGACTAGCAAGCTGCCGAGGGTCTGGGGCGTCTCGACGTACCCCGAATCTGTCGCAACCACTTGGCACAAGTCTGGGAAGGGGATTTTGAGTTGGTAGTGGCGAGAGTTGGCGGCGTTCACCACGCGGAAGCGCACTTGCGTCGGTGGGACCTCGACGTACGGCATCACTCGGCCATTCACGAGGTTCACGTTGCCGAAAGACTCGGGCACCCACACCGTCCCCGTTGCCGTGTTGCAGTTGTCGTCCGAGTACAGGAGTTTCCCGGAAGTGTCGATGAGGCGGTCATTGATGACAAGAGGGATGTCCGTCTCGATGTTCAGGTTGAGCTCAGCCTCCTTCGTGGCGTTCTGGGTGATGTAGGCGCCCATCAGGCCAGTCCACGTGTTGAGACGGTTGATTCCGTCAGCGTGGTCATGGTAGATCGCAGTGGATTCGCAGTGGATTCGAGCTGGCGGTTCTGGTACTTGAACTCTCTGGATTCGTCGGTGTAAATGGTCTTGAAGGGGAGACCATCGTACTTCGCGGGCACCTCCCCGCCATGCAAGTGCGTGACTGCGGGCACACCACAGTTGGGGTAGCACGTCGACTCGTTCAGCAGAATGGACCGCTCGACCGAGTCGGCCAGCAGGTGGGGCGCTTTGATATTGTTGTGCCACGTGATGGAGATCGGGACGTCCTTGGCAACGACAATCGACGGACCCGGAAACGTCGGGGTCTGGCCCATGATCGCGTAGCCGTACACATCGCCCGAGATGGATCCGTCCTCAGTCCAGGCGTGAGAAGCCTCGAGGCGGCCTCCCTGGGTCATGTCGATCACTGTGGGCATCGCCAGCGCACTGACGTAGGCCTCCCAGTCGGTCTTGAGGTCCGTCAGCGCGCGTGTATGGGCGGAGGAAAGTACCACTGCGGCTGCAGTGGTGAGCGCGTATTTTGCGAACACCATGATCCCAGCTTCTTGTCACGAGGAGGTCGAAGTGGAGAGGCGTGTTGGAGGGCTCGCAAAATGGAGAATGGGGAGTCCCAGCCGAGGGGGGAGTTTGTGTCGATCCTGTTCGCTTGAGGCACTAGAATGCGGAGCGTTGTCGCGGGATAAGTTCCCCTGCCTGCCTGACGACTAAGGCTAAGATGAGACCACAGTTCAGCCATTCGGCCAGCAACGCCGTGAACCTAGCGGTAACCCGTACGTTTGTGCTGACTGTAAGACACTGCTCAAAGCCAGGCATCGCTGCGGGGGTCATTCCGTCGTTGCAAACCGGAGGATTCGCAAGGATTCGCAACTGTGGCCGCGTTACTCGAACCGTTTGTCAAGATACCTTCCGAGTTCGTGCTGGCTTCATGTGATCGTGAGCAACATCACTTCAACATGGACATGCGGCATTTGTCCAGGCTGTTGTTCAAGGAAACGCTAGTGGCTTATTGAGCCAAACGTGAGCCCCTGGGGTCATGGCGATAAAGCCCGTTTCCTTTGGTCTGTGGTGGCTCGCTGAATAGCCCGCACGCCATCAGTGAGATATTGAGGCTTTCGCGTATCCTGCGTGTCTTGTCGGCACATTGGCCAATTGATCGCCTTGCGACCAGTGAATTGACCCCCTCGTACGCCGACAGCCGACAGCCAAGCAGTACTTGCGTATTGTCCCGTGACTTTGAGGTGCTGAGTCGTGTGATGGCTTGTATCGCCGTCGCAAGTTAACGATCCGTAGGTGTCTACGTGTACATGAACTCAAAAGTACCTAGGTAGATTGCACACATGAAGTGCATCCTGCGTTACCGGCGCGAAAATTTAAACTTTGTGCTTCTAGCGATAAGGGTCAAGGGACATGCAGCGAGATACAAGGCCAGAGTTGAAATGCATACCAGAGCAACCTACCAACAAAACGGTACATGATTACAATGGCGCTGCAAAACAAAACAATGCAGCAAGCACCAAAGATTTACTTACATTATTCCTCCGGGTAATTGAGCACAACTGCGATGGAGATAACGGCAAAGGACGCATACAGCGTCAACAAAGTGTAGCAAAGTCGAGGGCGATATCGAAACCCGTCGCACGCTGCGATCCCAATGTTCAGCAGCAGACTCAGCAGCAGGTATCCGAAGCCGAGGTAGACCAGTGGCGTCGGCTCACCCAGTACGAGAGGGCCTCGCGAGACGATTGCGATCGTAAGCGACAACCCGATACCAATGAGCAAGTTGAACATAGGCCCCGCGAAGCAACCAGCGAACGCCATAGTCGGGAAGCCGTCACGCGCGATCGCCATGTTAGACACAAGGTCTCCAATGGAGTTGCCCCAAGCTAGAACCTGTCCCAATACACACAAAAGTTAGGCCACTGCTGATACTTTTCCAACTCCCACTCAGTGAAATTCACTTACGGATACCCCCAAAACGGAGCTTGAGATCCCAAAGAGTTCTCCAAGCGTCTCCAGCACGGCGAGCACCTCGTTGGCGATGTTCATGATCCAAATGACCGACATGACGAAGGCCAAACAGATGAAAGGAGCCAGCAGCCAGCCTTCCGGTGGTGTGAGCGGGGACGTGGTGTACTCGATGATAGCGCTGAATACCCCACCGACTACGACGACAGTCATGAGGAAGACGGGGTCTTCAATACTGAACGAAAAGACCGAGACGCCGAACACCAGCATCGCAAAGGGAGGGCACACCACCACCAGATTTTTATCCCACGTATCTTCGTCCACCAGCGGGATCGTGAGTCGACGAACAAACACAGTGAACACCTCGAATGGACTCCACACGAACCGCTCGAAAGTCGAGTACACGCAGCGTACAGTACGAAGGACCAACCGTCTCCAACGCTTAACCTGAACCTTCACGCGGTCGATGCAGGATACAGCCATAATCGTCTCCAAAGCTAGCTGCTCGTCCTCCGCTGCTTGGGCCTTCGCCTCCACCTCTTTACGCTTCGCTTGCTCGTCCGAGGCGTCGCACTCAATCTCCGTTTCCACTTCTAGCCCTCCTGCCTCAAGAGCAGGCGCGATCTCGTCAATGTCGCTGAGCGCATGATACCCGCGAGTCCAGCGCCGCGCCGACGCTCCAAACTGCGCACTGGTTTCAAGTGATTCCCACGCAGTCTTGCGTCTTCGCCTTTGGCGCCGTATCCTGTGTAGCGATTCCTGCATGTTCCCCACGCACATGGACGAAGGTCGCTTAAGGTGTACATCCGTGACCTCCAGTAGTGACTGTCCTTCACTCGGTCCGAAGTCGTCGCTGATGTGGGGCTTGGAGCGCGGCGTGGGCACCGAGCTCTTGCGGTACAGCATACGGTCCAGGAAGCGTGGGGACGGTTCGGACTGCTCCGAGTCCGAGAAAATGTGAGACCTCGCGAACGTATCGTACACCACTGGGATCGTTTGGCTCTTCAAATAAGGACGACGCTTCTTCTGCTGCTGCTGCTGAGTCTGAAGTTGAGGCTGCTCCCTGGTGTGAGCAGGAAAGAATGCTGGGCTACCCACGGGGCTCTTCTCGCTCGCCGTAGACGACCAATACTCCAAATCATCGTCGTCATCCAACACAGCGTAGAGCGAGTCTTCCGCGGTAGTCTTGGAGGGGAAGCACCACTTGGCCAAGTACTTGTCCGAAAACACGACCAGCACGTAGACGAAGTAGATGCACAGGAAGCCTACCGCCTCCAGTAGCCCCACTCTACCGTCGTAGAAGACCAACCCCAAGTACAGCACCGCGATGAAGTAGAAGACCACATCTCTCAAAAACGTGCGTGGGATCAACTGCTCCTGGCCGTCGGATACCAGCCCCACACACGCCGTGATCACTGCAACCACCACCAGCATCAAAAATCCGTCAGACATACTGTTGTTCTACCCTGTTCTACCTTGCCACTCTACCTGTAGTGACGAGAAGTCCACCGCCGAGGATGGCGGTGACTCCGATCGACGGCGTGGGGGTCGCGAACGCCGCGATGTTGGAGAACACGTCGGGCGAGCCGTTGCCGAAGCTCAGGAACGTGACGCCCGCCACGTGCGGCGGGATGCGGTACTTCTCGACGATGGCCTGCAGCACGGGGCAGAAGAACTCGTCGGCCGTGGAGCTCAGCAGATACAGCAGCAGCACGAGGCACAGCACGAGCGCGGCCTTCCCCATCACCGGCGAGTCCTGCAGCAGCGCGTTGCAGTGCACCAGGTGGTCGTAGTCGATGAAGCTGTCGCCCGTGCTGGAGGGCCCCGCGCAGTCGTAGGCCGGCGGGGGTGGGGCAGCGTCGCCGTCGTTCACTGCCGGGTCCTCGCCGTTGCCCTGGGCGGCGGCTGCCAACGTCGCTGCGGCCAGTAGCGCGAGCAGCGCCAGCAGTCGCGACCACTTGAGCATTGTCCTCCGCGCCCGAGCTATAATGGTCTGACAGCACTGAACGGGCTGGGCGGTTGGGCGATGGAGGAAGCGGGAATGCACTGGATGTGATGTGCGGGCAGTTGGTCTCCACTAAGTCTGACGTGATAGAGAAGGGATAAAGTATCCAACAAGAACGAGCTTAGCTGAGCGTTGGTGCGTTCTGTTTCGGAGCAGCAGCAGAAATTCAGCAGCGGAACTGCGTCTTCCGACACTTGTTTGGCGTGAGTCACGCGCGCAGAGCAGACCCGCTTGCCCTGGTCCAAAGCTAGCTCGAAATCCTTTGCTGAGATCGTTCAATATCGAGATGCCAAGCTGTCATCTTCACGTAGCAGCGTTGATAGCTGCTGCTGTGCTTCTCCAAGCATGGAACTTTATTCTGAAGAGCGGAACGTGTATACAAACGTGAAAATCCATCGCGGTGCCGTCGAGCAGGTGGTGCCCACCAGCCTGTCAAGAACGCGGTGCGCGCCGCGCAAGTCGCGCAGCTGCGTCTCGCCAAGGAATTTCGCTAGGCTGTACGGCCCATCATTCAGCGTGCACACCGCCGCGGCAACGCCATTGACGAGCCTGTACGTGCAGGCATGCAGTTTCCTGGGGAATGGAAGTCCGCCCTCGCTGCCAGCCAGTCTGTTGAAGCGGATGGTCTGCATTTCAACACGCTAGGAAACCCATTCCACCGACGTCTCCTGCCACCGGACGCCGTTGGCCTCAGCTATCACAGACGTCACTCTTCTATTCACCGAACCTCAACGCCCCCACCTCGCCTATTCCAGCTCAGCGCCACACCTGGTTTCACTTCCGGCCGCGCAGGACTCCGTCTCCGCCGTGCATCAATGGCTCAGTGTCGCAATGGCAAGCAGGCCCACGTGCAAATGAAGGCGGCGGACGCCGACCTGTCCTTCTCGTTCGCGTGCGGCGGCTGGCTCAAGATGTACCTCTTCGGCGTGGCCAAGGCGCTGCAGCAGTTCGAGCTCGAGAAGCGCGCGCGGCTCATCGGCTGCTCGGCCGGCGCGCTGACGGCCACGGGGCTGGCGCTGGGGTGCGACTTCGACGCCATCCGCGACCACGTGCTCCTGAACATCGTGCCTCAGGCGCACGCGTCCCTGGCCGGCTACTTCCGCGTGCGCCCATACCTGCGCGACACGCTGGCGTGCCACGGCTGCCTGCAGAAGTTCGAGGCGATCAACACCTCGCAGCAGCTCACAGTCGTCTACACGTCGCTGTCGACGCTCAAGTCGCGGCGCGCGACGACGTTCGAGTCGGCCGAGCACCTGACGGAGACGCTGCTGGCCTCGTGCTGCGCGCCGCCCATCGCTGGGCTGCCCTGTAAGCTCAACGGCGAGTGGGTCATGGACGGCGGCATATTCGACTTCCAGCCCGTGTACGACGACAAGACGGTGGCCATCAGCCCGTTCTACTGCGTCGGCGCGGACATCAAGCCGTCCGTGTACGTGCCCATGTGGTGGGCCTTAATCCCGCCAGGTGTGCGCGACGTCGAGTGGCTCTTCGATCTGGGCTACGAGGACGGTCTCAAGTGGATCGTCGAGAAGGGGCTGGCGGGAGGCCGCAAGGTGGATATCCCGACCAAGAGCACGGAGTACGCTGGCGGCTGGAACACGACCATCGGGCGCGTGGTGGGCTACCGTGGCTGCGAGAGCCGCTTCTTGGACGCCCTCTTTGTGGGGCTGTTTGTGTGCCTGTGGAGACCCATGGCCTTCATGTGCCTCTACCTGGAGCTGTACCTGCAGGCCATCGTGTCTGGCGGCAAGGCTGTGGTCTTCGGAGCCGCGGCCAAGCTGCTGATCACGAACATCATCATGGCCGCAACGGCAGTGACACTGGCGACGTTGGGGCTGCAGCACACGATGCTGTTCCTGCTGGGATTGGGTGCTATGGGATTCTTCTTGGGCGGCATGGTGCTGCTGGTTGGTGGTCTACAACAAGCGGGAGCGGTGGCGTCTGCCGACTGGCAGCGTTGCCGCTCTTACATGCGCAGCATCACGAGTCTGTCGCTCTTCCTGCACAGCATGCCTGTGATCGGCTCCTCAGTGGAGTTCAAGCGCCGCGAGTTCCTGCTGGAGCAGTCGCTGGTGTATCGCGTCGCGATGCACTTCGTGTGAGGTGGCCAAGGCAACTTTAATTTACGCTGCCGCCTCGGAACGAGAGAGCAACGCGTTGTAGAACATAGAGGGCGTCGAAGGGCCCCGACAATTTACGTTGAAGGTACCACCTGATAATCGACTTCAACTTCGCCGACCACCCTACAGCAGCCACACGTGCAGACGTGCTCGTTGCAGGCATGCTGCCATATTGCTTGCTAGATGCAGCGAGCAGCGTGTGGCTGGCATTGGGCCGAAGCCGAGCAGCGCGGCTCCAGTCGTTCCAGTAACGGCTCGCAAGCCGTTGCAGCGACCCTTCGCGAGTTCTCTCTCATTAGTCACATGACTAACGAGAGGCCCTGCGCGAACTTAAATGACTACCCGTCGATTGGCTGAAAATACTGGAGCCAAGTGCGTTTCAGCCAACCACAATAATGGTGTTGCAAAAATTGACGTGAGCCGAACAGTTGTTAGCCTTTCGTCGATTTTTGCGACACCATTATTGTGGTTGGCTGAAAGTCAGCGCAGGTCCCTTCCAATTGGCAGAAAAGAATGAGTCACAAGGACCCATAATAAATTACCCGTAAATTACCCGTCATTTATTTTGGGTCATATTTTTTTACAACCTTTTTTTTGGGCATCTCGCTCGAGATTCCAGTTCAGAGCTCTAGGATCCAAGTTCCAGGCCGCCGCCTCCTCTTGGCGTCACACGACCATGATGCAATGGCTGGTGTCAAACACGCAGCGATCGGCCCAGGTATGTGGTCGGTCGGCCGTTCGGTGACGCCAAGGTGCTCGTGGCGTGACATCACCGGCAAAGCTCAGTTCCATCAGCTCGACGTGTCAACCGCAATGCCGTGCAACGCGCGACTCGTTCTGAGACCCGCAGCGCAGTTTTGGTCTCCCGTTCGACCACAGAGAGCTCTCAAGCGGAGCCAGCAGCTAACGCATCGCCATGGCTCGCCGCCGCCACGCCTGCCGCGCGCCCCAGGCCTTCAAGGACATGTCCTTCTCGTTCGCCTGCGGCGGCTGGCTCAAGATGTACCTCTTCGGCGTGGCCAAGGCGCTGCAGCAGTTCGAGCTGGAGAAGGACACGCGGCTCATCGGCTGCTCGGCCGGCGCGCTGACGGCCACCGGCTTGGCGCTGGGGTGCGACTTTGACGCCATCCGCGACTACGTGCTGGGCCACGTCATCCCGGGCGCGCACGTGCTACCGGGCGGGTATTTCCGCGCGCGGACGTTTCTGCTGGACACGCTCAGGGCGGAGGGCAAGCTGCACGACTTCGAGAAGCTCAATGCGTCGCAGCAGCTCACCGTGGTCTACACGTCGCTGTCGGCGCTGGCCTCGCGCCGCCTGACGACGTTCGACTCGCAGCAGCACCTGACCGACTGCCTCATGGCGTCCTGCTGCGCCACGCCCATTGCCGGCATGCCCTTTAGACTGGGCGGTGAGTGGGTCATGGACGGCGGCATCTTCGACTTCCAGCCGATCTACGACGGCAACACGGTGACCGTGAGCCCGTTCTACTGCACAGGAGCAGATATCAAACCATCGGCCTACGTGCCGATGTGGTGGGCGCTAATTCCGCCCGGGGTGCGTGATGTGGAGTGGCTGTTCGACCTTGGCTATGAAGATGGCCTCAAGTGGATCGTCAAGAATGGACTCACCGGCGGACGGAAGGTGGCCATCCCCAACAAGAGCGCAGAGTACGTGAGCCAGTGGAGTACGACGGTCGGCCGTGTCGTCGGGTACCGTGGCTTTGAGAGCCGCGTGCTAGACGCTCTATTCGTTGGACTCTTCGTGTGCCTCTGGCGGCCTCTGGCTTTCCTGTGTCTGTATCTGGAGCTGTACTTGCAGGCCATTGTATCGGGAAGCAAGGCCGTGGTCTTTGGAGCTGCGGCCAAGCTACTGATCTCGAACATTATCATGGCTGCGCTGGCCATCGCAGTCGCAACACAAGGACTACAAGACACGATGCTGTTCCTGCTGGGTCTGTCGGCGACGGGGTTCTTTCTGGGCGGCATGGTGCTGTTGGTCGGCGGTCTGCAGCAGGCAGGGGCTGTTGCATCAGCCGATTGGCAACGCTGTCGCTCCTATATGCGGAGCATTACGAGTCTGTCGCTCTTCCTGCACTGCATGCCCGTGGTGGGCTCCTCGGTGCAGATTAAGCGCCACGAGTTCCTTCTGCAGCACTCGCTGGTCTACCGGATCGCCATGCACTGCATGTAGTCGTTCAGGCCACTACTATACTAGATTATTTACCTCGCGGATGGACGTTGTCCTTCAGTATCTCATCAATAAACGCAAGTTGCATTTCGTGCCATACCTGTCGGCTACAGGCTGTAGCTGTTGCCTACAGGCATGATGCGACAATGCGCAAAAAGCTGAAGCACATTGTTTACGACCGTGCACCGATTAGTCTTCGACCACGCTTCCCGGATCAGACTGCTTCGAGCAAGGATTTCGATCTCCAACATGGGGGATATCTCATTATTGCTGCCTGCTGAGTAGCAGCTTACATCATATACGTCAATACTCACGAACGCACACTGCTTTCTTCACACTGGCGACGGACTCCTTGCTCCCGCGCGTGCTCTCAAATAATAAAACTTGGGTACAACTTGGCACTGCGGCAAGCGGGTAACTCTGCGTGGAGTTGGTTGATGGGCACTCACTCGTCCGTCGCTCAAGCGTACACGCCCTGGAAGCCGAACGTGTTGGTGAAGCGCGTCACCTGGATGGCGGTCGGTACGAGAGCCACCGGATGCGCCTGGTGCTTGGCCACAGAGGCGTCGCCGTAGATGGGGTCGCTCACCTGAGGGTCCACATTCACCTTGCGCAGCGTGAGGTCCGTGACACGCAGCAGCTTGAGCTCGAGTCGGTACATGATCATGGTCATGCGCAGCGCCTTGGCCTCGTCCTCAAAGGCTGAAATGACCGCCGTGTCCTTCCAATTGCGGCGGCGCCACGTGCGCAACGCCTGGATCCACTGGTCCCGGACTTCGGGCGTGGACGCGCCCAACACGATGCGCGCGCGGTGGAAGTGCTTGATCGAGCGCTCCGTATCGTGCACCGAGCGCACGGGGCACAACTCGACGCTGAAGGTGTTCGGAGCCAAGCCGTTCTCAATCGGCCGCACGGATACGCGGTGCCGCGTGAGCGAGAACTGGCCCATCCAGCGGCCGCCATCTTTGTCGTAGTACTGCAGCAAGCCTCCTTCGAGCTCGAAGTACAGCGGGTCCTGCACGGAGAGAGATGGGGGACGCACACATCGGTCAGCACCCAGCACTAAGAGTTCCAGGCCCACTCGCCGTCGAGCGAGCGCAAACGTACTGCCTGTCGGCCGACGTCGTGCAGGAGCAGGTAGCCTTCGTAGTCGGCCATGGCGGTTCGAGTCTGTTTTGCTAGCTGCGCCAGGAAGCGTGGTAATCGCGGAATGCGGCAGCAGTTGGAGGGCTGCCAGCGGCCCTCTGCTTTCGCAGCGGCCTGTCCCGCTCTCTCCGAGTCTGACGCACCAAAAGCGAGCTGGTCAACACATGCTGAGAGCAGAGCAGAGTACTGGAAGGAGACGCATCCGGCTTGCGCGGTTACGGCGGATGGCGGGGTGCCAGTAAGGACGTGGCCCAAGGTTCGACCAGGTGGGTTCAACTGGTCCGCACTGGAACCCAATGGATAGCCATCCGCCACTTCGATTTCGGCCTGTGGGTTTGTGGACGGAGGCTGAGCACGCGTCGCGAAGGAGGTGGCGGTGGCAAGCTGTAACAAGATGATTTTCTGCGCGTGCGGCTAGTGGAGGACTGTCGGTGCGTGTGTAGCTCGCAGCGCGGCGCACGCTCCGGCGCCACCGATGGCCGGAGGAGCGCTTCACCCCCAGTGCGCTGCCAATCCAGTTCTGCACGCAGGGACCCGGCATCAGGTCGGAGAAGGTGTTGCTGCCCTGCGTCACGCTGGTCATCAGGTTGCAGCAGGTTCTTGCCGCCGGCAGCGCAGGTGCTGCGAAGACCACACGATATCATGTTGGAGCAACATGGCTGCCCTGTTCCGCCCCAGCTGTCATCGACGCCGCCAACCTTCAAGTGCATGCTGATAACCGCGCCCCAGCTGCTGGCTGAGCAATGCTCGCCCGGCGCGCTCTGTCGTCTTGCACTGCAGGAACGTTTGTGAGCCGCTGCTGTCGGGTCGGAGGGATGTTTGATTGTGCTCGCGCCGCGCTGGAGCCGGCGCTATGCGCAGGCCGCTGCAGGTGAGCCTGAAGCTGGAGTTGGGCTTTCCCCGCGCACTGCCGTGGTGAATACACAGCCTGCTGGCGCGGCGGAAGAAGCGCTGAGTTGTGGCGACGACGCGGCGATCACTAACTGCCGGCTAAGAAGTCTGCAACGCCCAAGCCAGGACGATCGAGCGAGCAGGAAACCGCTTCATGTCAACTGGCAACGGCCCTGGAAATGCCAGCGGATACGCAGGTGTGATCATGATCATCGCCGCGGCCAGCATGACTTCACGTGCAATTCATGTCTCGGGATCACTGTTGCTGATGGAGGGAGGGATCCGCTGAGCCGGCAAAGTACAAGTCCGTTGCACTTTGAGCCTGTACCCGTCACTCGAGTCTGGTTACATCCACATGCACATCAATCGGCCGTCCACCTGCCGGTCGTGGCGCCACGCGCGGCTTTCGTTGCCTCGGAGCGCGTCGCGCATTGGAGTGCATCGGAAGAGCTTGTCAAACAACCGACACGGCGGAGCGATATCGTGCGCAATCGAGCACAATCTCGGCAAGACGTTATGGCGTTACTCACGGCGATATTCAGCAGCTGGGGCTGGCTCGAAACCTGCCAATACCACATACCCGTACAAACGCATTTCATTTACACGGACTTATTGAGGTGATCACGTCTTCGAAATACCTGTTAGAACAAACCCTGTCTAATTTAGCGCGATTCTGCACCCATAAGCCAATTCGTAGGTCAGCGGCCGTCTCCGAGCCAAATTACGACTCCCACTCTTGCGTAAAACGTAGCCTTGCCTGAGCAGAATCCATCGCTCCACACTCTCTTCCATCAGGAGCTCACTATTCAAACCGCGCGCGGAGGCCCCATACGCTCGACACCAGCGTGCGTCCCTATTTAAAAGCGGTAGGTCAGAGCAGCAGCATGTGTGTGCGGCCCCCGAGCGCCGCACGGTCGGCCCGCGCAGACCGCGCCGCGGCCAAGGCGGCCGGCGCCGGCGGCGGCAGGCTCTCCATGTCGCTGCGCCCTCGCTCATGCTCCAACGTGTCCACGGCCTCCAGCAGCTGGTCCCCCACGGGCATGAACGTGGCGTCCCGCGACACCGTGTCCGGCCGCTGGGTGGAGGACGCGGCCGCGCGCACGTGCGCCAAGTGCGAGCGCGTGTTCTCGCTCGTGAACCGGCGCCACCACTGCCGCGTGTGCGGCGAGATCTTCTGCCACGCCTGCTCGCGCACGCGAATGGTGCTGGCCACGAACCCGGGCGAGATCCCGCGGCGCCAGCGCGTGTGCGACCCGTGCGCGGCCCACGCGCACAGCAGCGCCGTGCTGTACGAGGCCGAGGAGTCGGCGCTGGGCCCGCGCTTCCGGGCCAAGTCGGAGATCGCCGAGGGCGGCGCCGTCACGGAGGAGATGCTGCGGGCCAAGGAGCAGCAGGACGCGCCCGCGCCGCAGCCCAGGAAGACGCGCGCAGACGAGCACAGCAGCCTCAGCTTCCTGGTGGCCTCGGTCGTGGGCTTCGCGGCTGCCTTCTGGTTCCTCAAGGACGAGGTGGCCATGTCCAACCCGGCCATCTGGATCCTGCTGGCCGGCTTCATCAAGAACGTGTACGAGGTAGTGGCCAGGATAAACGCGGCCAGGCAGTTCACGGACGGCGTCACGGACCTGGAGGATGCCGAGAAGGTGTTTAGCGGCATGGACTTGGACGCCACGGACGACCTGTCCACGGCCCCCACGGCTACGACCGTGTCCTCCTCGGCGGCCTCGGAGAAGCCCAAGGAGAACAAGTACGCCAGTGTCAAGATCACGGCCGCGCAGAGCGACGAGCTCATCGCCAGCTCGCAGCGCTCGCTGGATAAGGTGCTGGAGCTGGCCAACACGGACGTGACCGAGGACTCGGCCTGGACGGAGGAAATCCCCACCACGGAGAACATCACGGTCCACTCGCGTGACGGCAAGCCGTCGCGCATCTACAAGTGCGAAGGCGAGATCCCACTCTCCCCTGACGAGCTGTTTGACGAACTGTACACGAACCTGGAGACCAGCAACGTGTGGAACGTGACGGCGGCCGAGAGCAACGTCATCTGCAAGCTTGACGAGACGACGGACCTGGTGCACCTTATCTCGGCGCCTGCCCTTGGCGGCGTCATTTCAAGCCGTGACTTTGTGAACACCCGTACGTGGCGCCGCCAGGACGGCGGCGGCTACGTCATTGCCAACAGCTACGCCGGCAAGAACGTGCTCAAGCCACAGAAGGGAATTACGCGTGGCGAGAACGGCCCCACCGGCTGGGTGATCCTGCCGCACCCGACGTCTCCGTTCAAGAGCCGTCTCATCTGGATTCTCAACATGGACATCAAGGGCTACTTCCCGTCGAGCGTCATCCGCAAGGGCTCCATCGGCGAGGTCTCGTGCTTCGTTCGTAACCTGCGCCGCTACATTGAGCGCAACGCGGGCTCAGACGAGCACGCGCCCGAGAAGGCCTCCACCGACGTGCAGTAAAAATCCTCAGCCAATTCCAGAAAAAATCAAGACCCATGACGAGTGATGTTACAACTGAGCTGGAGACTGAGGCGAGCCGCGTTAGTTTGCGGATCGAACGCCTACTGGGAGCTTGCCGGCAGTCTTCAGTGCTTGCGTCGTGGCTCTGTGTCTCGTGTGTCCGTTTTCTCTAGTGGAGCTGTCGCGTTTCGACGGAAGATCCGACCAAATAGCTCCGACCCCAACTTTACAAGGCCGAGCGAGGTGACAGAAGGGATGAAACCTTGCGACCGCCACCCACCCCACCCCCTTCATCGTGTCTCCCGTGAGCTCAGCGGAATGCATTCGGGTAGCGCGATACCCCCAAACTTTGCATTTACATACTCCTATTTGCTTTACATTTTTTTTAAGAACAGGATGATACAATAAAGAATATAGTATTCTCAGCAATTGTGCTTCTTATTGATATGTAGTAGCGTGGAGCTTGCTTTACGTAACTTTGATCGATGAGTCCGCGTTAAACAAAAGCCTGCTAAGCGTCTCGAAAGCTCCAAATGGTTTGGAGCTTTCGAGATACTCGCGTTTTGAAGTTGACGAAGAAATATTGACCGAAAATGGAGATATGCTTTTTAGATAAACGTCACTGCGTACTCGCGGTCTCATTTGAAAATTTACCTAAACGTTCTATCCCCCTTAGCGTTAGGTGTCTTCGTAGCCCCCCAAGGTATGCCAGGCGCGGTGAAGGCGTTGACCACCGACGCCACGCTGATGGTTTTAGCTTGTGGCGGTGGTGGTGTCGTGTCAAGATCCCGAGGAGACTTGACAACTTCGACGGCTTCTTCTTGATCGGTTTCTGAATCGGGTGCGCCAGCGCGGCCGACGTACTTCTTCGGTGAGGTAGGTCGATTGGTAGCGTTCAGGTTCGCGTTCGCAGCTGCGGAGCTGAACTTGGCCATGACTTTGGATACAGCAGCGGCGGAGCCGAAGGACGCAAGGGCTTGCTTGCTGGCGCCAAAACCCGAAGCGGTGGCACTGAGTTCGTTGCGGTCCCAATACCACCCGAGAACTCGACTCACCGTCCACTCTGGAACTTCATCATCGTCCAACTCGTTCCAGACTTTGCAGAACGACTTTCTCGTGACCAATGGCCCTCCCTCGAGTTGCAGCGCCACGTCGATGAGAGCATCCACGTGATCTTCCTTCATGGCCATCAGGAAGAGAGCGTCGGTAAAGCCCAACTCGCGTGAAAACTGGTCTTGCTCTTCGGCTCGATCTGCTTCTTTTTCTGTGAGGCGCTCCCACGTACTCATTACGATCGCCATGAAGACGTTGAGCATGAGGATGCAGAACACGATGTTGCCGGTATAAATGAAGATGGTGCTCCAAATTCCGCCCTGGTCGTAGATCGGACCCGGATCGTACAGTCCAACGTTGAGCTCGAAGACGCGGAACAGCGCTCGTGGAAATGTGGCCCACTCGGTGAAGTTCAAGCCGTACAGCATGTGACCCGCAAACGAGTAGCCGACGATGACCGAGAAGTAAATGGGGAGGAAGGATATCACTTCGGGCATGGCTCCATAGACACTGCACATGAGACGTCTCCCCCTTTGGTTACCTGGAAATATTTGAGTGCGCGTCCAGTCAGCAGCAAAATGTTGAGGAGATTGAGACCCAGCAGGAATCGATCCCAAATCATGAGCGGCAGTGGGTTGATGTACTCGTCGAACGATTCAAGCTCGAGCAGTTTCTGCCGAGTATCAGCTTTCTGGCTGCAATACCGCCAGATAACGATGGCAACATTCACTACAATGTTAGCCCAGTCCCCGATGTTATTCATCAGTCCATATCGAGCGACGTACTGCAAAACCAACGAACCATTACGAAATGTTAGTGCAAAAGTTCTACAACTATTTTTCCTTAGGCGACAGGAGGAATACTTACAACTTTGTAGTTGCCATCGGACAGAACACAAACGTTCCAGAATTCGAGCAAGACGAAGTAAACGACGTGCCCCACGTAAATGGCTTCCAGGATCGCGCGGATGATATTCTTCCGCAGGTAAAAATCGTAGGGCTCAAGATTCAGTACCAGGACGTCCGAAGTTGGGGTGACCCCTCCTGCGAGGTTGAAATCTATCGTCAGATGCACGATCGACAAGATCCGTAAGGTGGGGTTATATAGCGCCATGACAATCGCCACCTCCTTGGTCTGACGGTCTATCCACGCGTACTGCTGCATCAGATTCGCCTTGGCGAGCTCTTCGGCACCGTTGGTAGTGCTGCGCAGGAAGAACGTCTGGTAGCCGCTGATGTCTGAATCATTGTCGGTCGAATACGAAAACATCTCGAGCGACTGAAGCTCCGCAATACTGGCAGTGGATCCGTTCGTGACGCCAAAATCTTCGATAGAGTCTTGCTTATTGGAGAAGCACATTTGTGCCTGGAGCAATGGCGTCTCGCTGTAGCAGTTGCTGGCTTTGTTCTCTGGGTCGCTGAAGTTGAGCGCGCCGAACCAAGTTTGCCAGATGTGGAACCCGCCCAGGATGACCGTGTGCGACGCTAAGGTGTAAGGCTCAACGCCATCACTCCCCGTGTACATTATGGAGAGGAATGAGTTGATGAACCAGTCCCAGAAGTCGTTGGCACTAGCGATACTGGTGTAGACAACACTTGAGGTGCCCTGTGGGGTCAGTAGTAGCTCCGTCTCGACAGTATTCTGCACCACAGAGCGGCCCGATATGTTGCGGTCCATGAGGAGAGCTGTCAAGTAGATGGAGACGAATGTGATGAACGCAAAGAGTTTTCGCGCCAAGAGCCTGAGCTTGCGCTTCTCCTTGAGGTCTCGCAGTAGGAACGGCTGAGGGATACCTACGGGCCGAGGGGGCGGAGGCGTCAGGGACGTCATCGACCGCATGAAGCTCGGGACCGCCTTCATCGCACCCACTCTTCGCGACAACCTCGGATCAGAAACTTGAACGTCAATGGAACGCGAACACCTGCACTGCTTAATTGCTCGGGCACCAAACTATTCTGGAAGTGCTCGTAATGGTGCGAGGTGTCCAGGCTCAACCTGCTAATTCTGGAGACCATGACAAGCAATTTATCGTGTTCGCGAAACATCAATTGAGCTGGAGGCGAATGAGTAAAAGTGGTGGTCGAGCTCCTCGAGCTGGGAAGGAGTCCGAGGTTCAAGGTATTGTGCTGTGTGGCAAGCATCTAGCGCTACTGGTACACATTTGACGCTAACGTGGTGCCTGCATGTGTAACTAGCACGCGTGGTAGCGTCTCGCTATGCGTTGGCGTTGAAAAGGAGGAATCAAAGGTTGCGTTCAGATGCGTGGGCGAAGGCCGCTGGGTTTAACGAGGGCAATCCCAGTCATTCTCCATCCAAAACGAAAGCCTGGACTCCACCTGCATCCCCAACTAACCAAAAGGCTCAACGGGTGGAGAAGAGTAAACTTCACTCGATGCCGCGGCCGCCGTTCCCAAGTCGAATAACGCCATCAAGTGTAAACGAATGCGGTCAGCTGGTAAACTTTCATCGCGATAGCCCTCTCCTCGTGAAGTTGGGGTCATCACACCAACGCATACTGCCAATCGAAGATACCAACAGCGGCAACAGCGATTGGTGTGGAAGATATGAAGACCATGAGTCGGGTCAAGCGTGGATGCCTTGCCAGAGAATTGCAGACAACCTGGGGGGCTTGTTGCAAGGAGTGGATTATCAGCTTCGAGTCATTGAGGCTCGCGGGAGAAACATTCTTCGCCGTCAAGAGCAGCATGCACAGGTTTGTAACGTCTAAACTTTATCATTGAAGACAAAATGTGACGTAACATGACGTACAGGGTCAAATGCTAGTGTCGTGGGAGATGCTGCAGTCGAAGCTCGACCAAGTGCAAGAGGCTTCACTTCGCTTAAACCTTCAGTGCCACGCGAAGGACCGACCTGAAATCATGGTATGTGAACACTTCTGGATTACGTCTTACTGTCGTGAATATCAAAGTGACGTTGTGTTTTTCTACGTGTGTGTACATGTATATAGTCGGAGCCAAGCGCAGATATACCGAAGAAGCTGCTTTACCGCTTAGCTAGCATTTCCGAGCTGCTTTCACCACTCGAAATTGCGCTCAATCAGCTCAGCTGCCCAGGGTTAACGTGGAGCTCCCTTCAACTGCAGCATGACATGGAACCTCTAGCACTGGAGCTTGACCACTTGTTGGGGCTGGTCGAGGCAAGTGGAAGTGGCTGCACCGTCCAAACCGATCAAAAGCTTGACTCGACGTTGCTCCATACCGCGCGCCTTGTCAAAGAACTGGGGGTGGAAATCAAAGCCAGGGTGACAAACGTTAACGACAACATTTAACTGGTTGACAAATTGAAACAAATGGGTAACTACAGTAAAATGAGTCATCGCAGCGTCATCGCAGCCAGATCATTGTTCGTTCCAACGATCAAATGTGACGGAAATCAGTAGCCTCCAGCAGCTTCGCGCAACTTGTCGATCCACGCATCTCGCTCTTTGATGGTTTGCGCGCGCAGTTTGAAGACGCGGCCGCTGTCCGCTGCCGACGAGCGCTTCTTGCTGTTCTTCTCGAAGAATCCCTTCTGCAGCTCGAACACATGAGCTGACTTGCCAGGGGTGATATCAAATCCTTCACCTGCGTCACGAGAGGGATCAATGCGGCAGCTAAACATCGCATACACGGGTGTCAGTTAAAAACTTGACCAGCAACCAGAAACCTCAGATGTTGGGCTTACCCAGTCAGACACAGCTCCTTGATAATCTTTCCGCGCTCATAGTCGTCCTTTGTCTTGGCGTAGATCAAGTTGGCGCCGTTGAGAATGAAGTACCGCTGCTTCCAATTCTTCCGGCCTAGAGGGTTCAACACGTTTCCGCCACCACCTTGTTTGATCAAGTATCCTTGCAGTACAGTTTCCTCCTTGTCCTGGGCTGCTTCGATTACTTTTTGCTCGGGTAGTTGGACCTACAAGTGCGTGGAGTTAGCGCACAAACAATATCACCCCATAGCATAAAGAGAAAACGCACCGAAACGAAGGCAGCCTCTTCCAGGAGCTCTTTCTGCTTTGTCGCCATAGCGTGCATCCTAGTCAGGTCGTTGATGGCTCCAACGAGTGCTTCTTTTCGCAGCTACATTTCAAAGACACGGAGTGTCCAACATGGTGACGTTAGTTATAATGTTTGCCCCCCCCCAATAGGCGCCACTTCGATGCACTTACCGCGTGGACTTTAGCACCTTCCACTAGTTGCCTGTTGACGTCTTCCTGTACGTCCATTGTTTCTCTCTGGTACATTTTTTGCTTCGCATTGAATATCTCAACTTCCTCCTCCTTCTTCTGAATCTCCTCCTCCACCACATTCTCGTCGTGCTGACGGATCTTGTCTAGCTTTTCAGAGAACTCGGCAAGTTGTGGTCGGATCACGTTGTGCATGAACTTGGCAAGTTCTTCCTTCTGCAATGTTCAACGCACACTGCAAGTGAATACACGGGGTGGTATAAAAACAAAAGCAAATGACTTTCTGGCCTTACCCTCACGGGGCCCTGCGCTTGGTCCGTGTACTCCGCCATCAATTCGAACATATACGTTTGGTAGTGATGGTAAAAGCGCTGTGAAAAATCGTTATGGAGGTCAGTTGCAATCTCATACAGACCTCGCAATACCGACAGTAATTAAGACATATCTCACCTTGAATTCCGTTGATTGGAAAGAGTACGAGTCCTCGTCATCTTTCGGACCCAACATTAAATGCCCATCCACTTTCTCCGTCATCTTGGCGTGAAGTGTAGCGAGCAGGGATTGACATAGCTCGGATGAGATCCGGTTATTCTCTTCCTGAATGGTGGTGAGCACAGATTCCACCAAATCACGGAATAGTTTCTGCGAGACAACAATTTACACTCAGTAAGATGTGCGGTGGTACTTCCACGGACACAGATACAATGTAATGGTACCTTCAGCAACGTGCTGAGTTTTCCGGATCGAACAGGCATTGTGCGAAGGTTCATCTTTGCTTCACGCTTTGCAGCATCGTGAACTTCGTGGAGAACGTCGTTTTCGCATGGCAACTGTAAATCATTCCGTGGTATGTGAAACGGGTGGCATCAACAGTCATGACAGCGCATCGGCTAAACGCACCTGGATTAACTCGGACGGTTCTTGGGCAGGAGCCAGTGTAGGTTTGAATCCCTTCAGGTCTGAAACATCGACGATGCTTCCGAGCCGTTCAGACATGCGAAGTTTGTAAAGCTTGACCGCATTCTCAACAATGCTGAGACAGCAGTTGTGAATTGTATCCTTCCAGATCCGACCACGAAAAGCCTACAGCAACACAAAATTATTTGAGTGAGTCTCCTTTTGTAGCAATAGCAACCTCACCATCCAAATGCATACCTTGAACACATTGTCGCGGTGGGCTAGCATCGAAACCACAATCGAGCCAATCAGCGGACCATTCAGCACAACGCCCTTAAGGTAGCGGTTGTGCACCGAGTCCGTGAACACACGCGAGAGTTTATCCAAACGTTTGCTGAACGCCTCCGACTCGATTGGTGGGACGGAAAAGCATCCCTGGTCGGGAAAAACAGCCTCGAAGAAGGTGCAGAATTCAGCTGCCGGTGAATGCGTTGGCAACGCAGCGAGCGCATTGCACAGATAGGTCTGCTCGGTCTCCTGCAGTGACAAGCCGCTCTCCTGGACCTGCTCCTTCACTTGGCTCGTGGTCACATTCTGCAGCACCCACAGCAGCTTCGGCGAGTGCGGGAACGCTGCGACGCAAGACATCGACACACAAAAAATATTAGCGCCGAATGAAAGAATCGGCGACTTAGTTTTCAATGCCTCGCACTTACCGTAACTAGGAGGTGCCCCGCTTCCTTCTTCATTAGCCGCGAGGAAAGCAAACTGGTCCACAGCGTCCGGAGTCAAGTGCCCGTTCACGTGGTGCACCACCACGCTGCTCAATCCCGCCAGGATCGAGTACAGCAGAACATCCAGCTCCTGTCAATTACAAAACAATAACAAAAGTAAGTTCAAATACTTAACTTCCATCATCAACTACTTAAAAATAAATAAATAAAAAATCTTACCGTGCCCCCACATCCCGGTCGGTCCAGGAACGCCAAGTACTTGGCGTTCGGGAAGTTGGCCGTCTTCACATAGAGCCACGCCCCACTGAGTCAAAAAATACATAAAGTAGTTAGTATATTTTTCTACAATAATAATACTAATCATAAATAAGAAAATTTTATATTATTTAAACCCACTCGTCCTGCGGCGCTTCTTCGTCCAGACCCAAAAGACTGCGGACCAATTGCGTCTTGCCGCTGTGCCTGGCGCCGTGGACGCTCACGACCAGCACGGGGTCGGCCAGTCGCTGCAAGAAGGAGATGGCCTCCTTCTGGATCTGCACGTGGGGCGCGCCCGCATCGTCCGTCGTCACGGCCAGCAGCTGCCCCGAGAAGAGCAGCTCCCCCGCCGCCATAATTGTCGATCGTCAGCGCCGAAATGTGCACCCAGGTGACCAAATCCATCGGACTATATCACAATATGGACTATCTTAATAGTCCACAGTGTACCCATGTTACAAACAATAGAAAATTGTCTTGCAATTTAGTCCGCGACCGCCCAAGATATGGAGGCGCTGCGGCTGCAGGACGGCGCGTTCGTGCGCGCCAGGTACGAGGAACTGCAGGAATCCAGGCGCCAGTGTGAGCAGCTTCAGCCTGACTGTGCGAAGGACGAGTCTGCGTCCAGTTGCGCCCCGAGCCGCGAGCTGTCAGCCGAGCAGCGGCAGGAGCTGGAGCAGTGGCGCATCGTGGAGCGCGCGGCGGCGCTGGACGCGCAGGGGCCCACGCCGCAATGGAGAAAGAAATTTTCCGTGCTAGCCTCGATACTAGAGAGTCTGTATGCGGAGCAGGGGGCGGATCCGTCCGTCACTTCACCTTCAAAGATGGCTCTGAGCCGTCCGGAGAGCGGCGACGGGATTTCTGCCGTGCCCCTGAAGGAGCTGCCGCTGCCCACTCAAGTGGCGCTCAAGATGTTCTTCCGCACGTGTCAGTCGCTGCGGGATCCAGCCAAGTTAGTGGCTAACAGTCGACTGTCGGTGCAGATAGCCAGCAAATTGCCGCTGATCTTGACGACGATGCCCCCGTGTGTGTTGTCGCCGGGATTGGTGGACGACACGTTGGTCGGTCTGGAGGATGGAGGCAATGTGTCCAGTGTGTTTTATCACTTGTTTCGGTTGTTTGAGGAACTGCTGGGGGTGGGCCGTGATGAGGAGAGCTCAGCTTCTCCCGGGGATAGGGTCTGTCTTTCGGCTAGTGATCGAGCCACGGTGATTGTAGCGTATGTGGCGCTGGCGTTGAAGTGGGGGCGACTAGCGTACTTGCTAAAGGGGGTCAAGTTGCTGCTGGAGAATGGAGATGAACTCAATGGAGCGCGATTCGAGTCGCTTGGACCTCTTTTCCGGGAGCTTGCAGCTACCTCGATCGAGCGACCGCAGATTGCGTTCGGTGAAGAGGAACAGCCGTGTGGCTATCTGATGAGTTTTGGCAAGGGAGATCACGGTAAACTCGGCCATGGTCAATGCTCACATGTGAGTTGTCAGGAGGGCAACTGCACGGAGAACAAAATGGTGCCAACCATGATTGCAGCTACCAGAGACGTCCTTTTCCGCAAAATCGACTCGCTTTCGACTCACAGTATCGCCATTACGGCGAAGGGTGAAGCAATGGCCTGGGGCAACGGCGACAAGTACCGTCTGGGGCATGGATCCTCTTCGAAAGAGTACACGCCGCGAACGATCGAGTTTCTCAGTCTCAAAGGAAGAGTGCGTGATTTGGCCTGTGGTCTTGGGCATACACTTGCCCTGATTGAATCTGGAGAGCTCTACGCGTGGGGTAACGGTTCCAACGGGCGATTGGGCCTTGGCGACACTAACGATCGCTCTAGCCCAACACGAGTAGTAATTCCCACACCATCAACAAAGCATGACGAAGAACCACCTGAGTCTAATGGTGCATCGATTGCACCGGTGCGCTTTCGGCACATTTTCTGTGGTGCGTCCCATTCTTTGGGATTATCGTGGGACGGAAGAGCGTACGCATGGGGAAAAAACAACCAAGGTCAGTGTGGTCACGGACACACGAACGATCAGTGGACCATTCAAGAGATAGAAAGTTTTCGTGACACCGAAGAAGGCGAAGAAGAAGAATTTGTCGTTTATGCTGCCGGTGGATGGGAGCATACACTATTTTGCACAGCGTCTGGACGAGTGTACTCGTGTGGGTGCGGATACAAGGACAGCCGTCGTGCCGGGATCCCACCGGTACTTGGACATGGCGACTGTGATCGTAGACTCAAACCCACCTCGGTCCAAGCATTAGACGATACCCACGAGGAAGTCGTTAAAGTCGCGTGTGGGTGGGACCATTCACTTGCTGTTACTGCAAACGGTCGAGTTTACACGTGGGGCTCCGGTGCAAATGGTAAACTGGGGCATGGTGACGAAGAAAGCTTTGATATCCCGACGCTTGTACGATGCATGGACGGTAAAAAGGTGAAAGACGCAAAAGCTGGGTGCGAGCATACCGTTTTCTTAACTTACGACCACGAGTTGTGGACCTGTGGCCAAGGCGATAGTGGCCGACTAGGGCATGGTGATAGCCAGACACGAAAACGCCCGACTAAAATTGAGCTCTTCGCTGGATGTGGACTAAAACCTGTGGCGCTCGCAGTTGGAGACAAGTACAACTTGGTGCTGGTGAAAGATGCCGACGGACACTACGACCACGATATCGATAACAGGGGATCCTCGGTTCAGAATTCAGTGCATCCGGTAAACAATGCCGCTGTATCAAGTCATGGGACTACGAATACGCACCATGGTCTACATCGAAATGCACAGCACAAAAAGCACCATGACAATCAGCAGGTCAGTTTTGGGGCAAAATGGGTGTTGGAGATTGCTGTAGGTCAGGACGTCAAAGAAGGGCCAGCGACTACAAAAGCTGTTACTCGTTCCAATGACGAATCAGTCCCAAGCTCAGCAAGAGGAGTGGCCTTGTTCATTGCAGGGCATATTGATCGACTTGCCTCCGACTACATTGCCGACGACTCTCATATTCAAAGCGAGAAGCAGAAGGAGTCGAGTGCAATCGAGACTCTCGCTAAACCGCAATCAGTACTTCTCCCGTTTGCTGTTGACACAAGTTGTGAATCGTTGAGTGCACTGTTTCGGCTTCTGCGCTGGGCGGCTTCGTGTTCAGAAGTCAAAGAAAAGGCTGCGCGGTCTGAAAAAAGCGGGTCGGATGGATCATGCGTACCGCAGCACGTTCGAATGGGTCTTGCATTGTCCTGTTTGCGAGTTTTGCAACTTAATCTGAAAAGATCTCGGGGTGTGTCGAATCAAAATGTTGGAAGCCTGTTTAACCGCATTCACGAGCTGCTGGACACTTTGGCGGGTCTGAAGGGAGAGGACATTGCTTATCGCTTTGATAACGGAGCTCGGCGTTCGGGAGGAGCGGCGAGTCTGGCAGCTGCTGGGAGCGCCGTTAGCCAAGAAGCCGCTTCCGCGCTAAAGGTGCCGGTCCCTACCTACATGTTTTCGTCCCTAATGTCTTTGCAACTAACGTGCCTGATCGTTTTGTCAGATGGGCTTTGGTATATTTTACCCTACAGGTGTAGCGCGAAGCAAGTTGTTGTGGGGTATTTTGGACGATTGCAAGATCGAAGTTCCTTCGATGAGGACGATCATTCTTACGGATCAGCTGTGCAAGGTCCGTAACTATTGTTGCCTGCTGCTTCGTAGCTATGAATCTTACGCCACTTGTTCATCGTACACAGGATTCAGTCATGACAGAAATATTCAAGAGCGTGCCTTCTTATGGTTTGCTACAACTAAGCGAAACGTTTGGTGAATTCCACAGCGAGAACAGTCACGGAAAGGATTTCTTTGAAATTAAAACGCTCATGATCATGCTGCTACAGCGCTGTAGCGTAGAGGCCGTCAGGCACCTAGAGGATGAGGCGTTCACGGATTTCTCGAGGGAGCCCGATTGTTTTCTTTGGCTGCTTCACGTGCTGCAGACGCACTACTTCAGTATCGTGCATCAACATACACACCATGCAATCAATAGACGAGGCTCAGTGGATCCGGGTCCTGCTGCGAACAGTGCGTCCCAGCGGATTATGGATTCTCTTCTGGAGTATGTGGACGCTCTGATGACTGAGGCTCTGGCTGTGCTGAAACGGCTCCACAAAGCAAGCCGGCAGCATGAAGATATTATCACGTGGCGTTTAAACGGGAGCTTTTTCCACACATTACTGCCCAGTGCCCTCGAGTGCGTGTCGGTGCTGTTGCTACCCGACTCGAAACAGGAGAAGACTTCTGAAAATCTGTTGCTGGTGGAGCGTGTTTTACCCAACCTCCACATCATGCTGAAAATGCTCGATGAAGTGAGCTGGAAGATGCATACTGCAGCCGATGGCGGGAATCAAATGCATGACGACTGTGCATCTAGTCTACCGCACTACCTGAGCTGTAAAAGTCAAGAGAGCAACTGGTTTATCGATCTTGGAGATGCGTGCGCGGTTCTTTGCGGGAAATTGAGCTGTCAACTATTTTACCCGTCGCACGTGTCGGCAATGGATAATGCTCAGCATGGAGTAGTTTACGCTACCGTGCTGAAGGAAGGCAGGTTTCTCGAAGAAAGTCATGATGTGGACGTGTTGACTGACCTGGCAAGTTCAGGAGCAATTGCTAGGATTCTGGAATGGGAGCGGCTGGGGGTATTTGAAGTGGAAGACGAACTTGTTGGCTTGGAGGACGACTCCAGTACATGCGCTACATCAGTCTCGCCCAATGTAAATGAGAACCAGAGGTTCCTCTTGCAGTTATGCGAAACAGACTTCTCGGACAAGCCGATGCCTTTTTGGAACTGGGTAGCAGCAAGTCTATCTCATGATATTGAGTTTGCAACCGAGAATCCGCGACTGCTCACAATCGTGGTGAGTGTTTCGGCATGGCACTTGGGTCTCGTCGATGGACTTCGTCGGGTGTATGAACGCTACGATACTTCACCCGAAATGCCTCTGCAAGGCGAAGCACCACCTTCGGATAAAATCTGGAAACTATTTACTGCGGCAGTAGCCACGGTCGAGAATACACCATGGCTTTGTCGTCGCATTGACTCAGATGCTATTACCAACGCCATAAACCTGGCACGGTTGCTACTAAGTCTGCAGCCCAATTCAGCCCTGGTTGGATTCACTCTTCGCTCTGTGGTGGAACAACAAGACCAAACTCAGTTATGGGCTTGTGTTGATGACTCCCTTGAAGATCTGTTCAAATTCATGACTTCAGTGGCTGCAAATGTAGTTGAACGCTCATTTCGCGCAAGAGAAGTCCATGCTGCATTGGTACGAACGGGGATTTGCACACTGCACGATCTGCTTCGAAAGCTGAGCACATCGTCGGCTAAGAGTGGCTTGTTGAACGAATTTGTAAGTGTTACGGGCGCCTCAAGTCCCACGAAGTCCAAGCATAACACCCGACGTGTCGTGCTGAATAGCCATTCCGGCAAGTATGTCCACAAAGCTATTGAGAACCTCTTTGTTCGACTGGCACGCATCATTTCCAGCGACGACGCGTCGTTTGAGCTGAGAAAGAAGGCCCTTCTATCGTGGACGGTGCCACTTGGTGCCTCGAAGCAAAGCGCACCTAGCGTGGCTGGTTTGATCGCAAAGTCTGGCATTATGAGCACGCTTATCGACTTGCTTCTTGATGATGCCAACGTGTTGGAGACACACTCGGAGCTCAATGCGGTTGCACAGTTTACACACCATGCCGGGGTGGCAGCGGAAGGCGACAAAATGAGTGGTTCCGGTTTTACATTTACAACCGAGTCCCTGCCTTCGAAAGTGAATCCAGTAAACACATTACTCTTTGATCGTACACCTGCCCAGATCATTAGCACTTTGGCTTGGGAAGCTTTCTGTGCCATAACTTGGCAGCTCACCAGCTCGGAACGTTTTGTTGAGCAGAGCCCAAATTTGTTCTTACGAGCTGCTGGATCTAGCTTGCAGGACAGAGATATTTTGACACCAAGAAGCACGTCAATGTCTCCACGTCGACGCCTGACGCTTCCGAAGAAAATGGTCATGTCGACCATTGATGAGATTATTGAGCAACTAATTGACGGGCTCTTTCTGCTGTTGAAAAGGGTAAAAGCACGCTTCGAGGCTATCGAGTTTTTCTCCAACGAGTATGAAAAACTACTGCGGTCGTCGGCAGACCACCACGGGAGCACTGGAAGCCCAGTCGAAAATCAAAACTACAGCGCTCGGACGTTCTTGTTTGGACGACCTATCCTGCTATCGCACGCAAATACACAAGACGTCCGAGTTCCGAAACCTACTCAGACTGGTGGAACGTCTGATTTCACGCTATCCTTCTGGATTTACGTTGAGCACACCGGTGCAATAGTATCCAAGCATCCAGCAGACGTGTCATCTATTAACTCTCGGCCAAAAGATTCGTGTGTGCGTCTACTCGCTTTTAGCCCTGATCAAGGTACGAGTACCGGGACCGACCCAGCCGGATCCGATAAACTTGCCCTACTGGTTGTGTTTACTCGAGATGCGTACCCCGACCACATTTCAATAGGGATTTCAATATGGCGCAGTGAGAATGCGAAGGACAGTTGGTCTACAGTTCTCATTGACGAGCAGATTCAACGCGGCAACTGGATTCATGTGGCGTTGGGGTTTGCCAATAATGAACGGGACCCACTCCGGGTGTTTGTCGCAGGAAAACGTTCGACATTGAATAATGGCAAGCTTTCGGTAGAAAGCAGCGAGCTTATATGCCCTGAATTTCTCCGGAGAGCAGCTTCTTGGAGTGGGCTGACTGCAGGTGGAAACGCCAATATTCCTGGGTTGGATCAAGGTGGAAACGACACGACGGTGCTATCATTGCTGCCGAAAAAGATGAATCACCACGGCTTTTCCGCCATTTTGGACGACGTGATTGTCTCGCGTGGGGTTCTAGCGGAGGAGATGGCTGTCCGAATGCAGGTCAGTGGCACCATTCTCTTCCGCTTGAAGCAGCAACACGTGGTAGAAAAGCATTGTGAGAAGGTGCTGCAACTACTATGCCAACTTGTTGGCAAAAGTGAGCGAGACTCGGATCAGTCGCTACCTGCACAGTTGTCGTTCTCGGATCGCTGGATCACTCTCTTCACTCGGATGCTGCTAAGCACGTGTCGGGACCAAGCCCTTGCTCAAGTTTATCTGTGCTACCTTCTCCAGGACATCCTACCGCGGGCACCTCCTCTTCCTGAGTTCGATATTCAAGCTGTGGCGCAATGTTTGTTTACTACCCCATCAAGTCGCATCAAGCGCGCAAGTGTGGAAGAGTTATTCACTGCGTTCAATGATAATTGTTATCTCCCATCTACTACGGCGGCGAGACAGCATGAAGCTCTGTATCGATTGATGCAACAGCGCGGGATTCTTCGCGGACCATCTCAAGAGAAAGGCTCATCTAGCAGCACCAGCGAGACGGTACCTTTCAAGACGAAGCTGTCAATGCGGTTTGCTACCGCTATTCACCTGTTCCAGAAGCTTTGGAGTACGCCATCCTGGAAAAGTCGAATGGACGGATATATTGCAAGCTCGAGCTCCAAGTTTCAGATCATTAAGGGCCCAGGAGAGGTTCTTCAGTCACCGGACAAAGATCCATTGGATCTTGCTGATGTGTCCGCAGTGGTGAACATAATCGCTGGGTATTCGGAGGACGAGGTAAATCTCCATCGCGCTTCAACGCAGGATGGAATAACATTTCCCTTACCCCTTCAGGTATGTAGTATACCTTTCAGCTCTGCCATCTGTCTCGATGATAGTGGAATCGATCAAGTTATCAGCATTCAAAATCTCGTGACTGGGATGCTGAGAGAAGGAGCTCAATCAACGCATAGCCTTCCGGCTAGAAGTGAAGTATTGACCAAGCATCACAATGATATCGTAGCCGTCGTAGCTGCTGACAGAACGATTGGTTCTCTACTTCATCTACGCACATGCGTACTCCGGGTTCTGATGACGACGCTGCTTCGGGAGCAAAAGGAATCGTCAGTGACCAACAGTTGGCACCACTTCTTGCTTGAAAACGCTGTTGCATGCGAGGATCTTCTCACGGTGGCGTCTTCTTCTACCAGGGAGTACGCCACAACAGTTCTAGGACCCGATGCAAAACTCGCCATGAAGCTTCGCCGACTTCATGTTTTCAGCCGAGTAGTGTTGCATGGAAGCAAACGCCGCCGAAACGTGGTTTCTGCAGTATCAATTGCTGACTTGGAGAACCTACAGTGGCGTTTGTGGGAGGAAATGAGTGCATCCCCCACTTCCACTCCGCTTAGTCCTTGGTGGCAGCAAAGCAACGATGCTAATGGAAAATTGACCTTAGAAGTTGTTGGCGGCGACGTGGAGCTATCGGAGTTGAAGGTGACAGCGTTAGAGCACTTCCCCACCGTGAAATTGTCCCAAACCAATATTAGTGCGAACAGCGGTCTGTGGTTCTTTGATGTTGTTGTCCTAACGGATGGTCTGATGCAGATTGGCTACGTGGATGGGGATTTCACTGCTGATCCACTTCAAGGCCAAGGAGTGGGCGACCACACAAATAGTTGGGCATTCGACGGCTTTCGGTGCAAGAAGTGGAACGTGAACTCGTACGACTATGGGGAGCAATGGAAAACGGACGACGTGGTGGGGGTTCTGCTCGATACAGAGCGCATGGAGATCAGCTACTTCCTCAACGGGAAGTTCTTGGGCGTCGCTTTCTCTGGAATCCCAATCACCGCAAGCTCCCGAATGTGCCCTGCAGCCTCGCTAAATGTCCATCAATCCGCGCAGTTTAACTTCGGCACACTCTCGGCGAACGACGAGGGTCCTCTAGCTACGACATTTGATGGTTTCAAGCATCTCCCCACTCTCGATAACGAAGACCAGGCTCGCTTACGACCTATCGTCTACGCGATTCAAAGCCGCCATCCATCGAGGTCTCGTGGCACCTCTAATTTGGACGGTCAAGGTGAAACTAAGACCAATGTAAATAATTTGGGAGATGACTGGAGCAGTAGCAGTAGTGATAATGACACTGATGATGGTGGCATTGTAATCGAAGGCTCGACGATCCCCCCAGGATTTAGGAGACATTTGGAACCAAGTTCTCGAGATGGCCGAGAAACGCGCACAGCAGACGGCAATGACGAGGATACTGGCCAGCGCCGTCGAGACTTGGTCGAGGGACTAACTGGTCTCGGGTTCCCCCTGGAGTGGGCAACCCGATGTGCTACAGAGACTCGCTTACCGGTGGATGAAACTGGAGGGGTGGCGTGGATCTTGGAGCAGATGGAGAAGGTGGGTCTGGATGGAGCGTCGAGTTTGCCTTCAATAGTTTCTGCTGCTACCGGTGATAGGACTGAGTATCCTGGCCACCCCTCCGCGTTATGGAGCACACGAGCTCAACTACCTAACTCTGTGGTTGACAATTCTGGCGACGAAGTGGCTACCGAGTCGGGTTTATTTCCTGGTATTGGGGTGTTGAATCCTGCTGACAAAATCGATGGGGGCGACGCCAGTCAAATACTGCAAGTAAATGATAACCAGCTACCGTTTATTTCGGCTACGCGGCCACGATCTTCTCTTACAGAAAGACAAACAGCAGAGCCCGCACAATTGAATCCATTTATTGATGGCGATAAAGATGACCAGCGCAGTGATGATGAAACCATGGAGGCTTTTCAATCGAGTCTGTACAGACAACGCCAAGCACGTCATAACGAGCTACAGCTTTTAGGGAGGAGTGATGGAACACCAACCACGAACGAAACGGACGGAAAGCGGGGAGTAGACGACCTACTTCCTCTGAGTGTTGCAGTCGATACGACCATATTTATTGCGTACACACGCCAAGCGTTTACGTCACTTTTGCTTCTCGCTCAACAAGAAACAGAACGAGGGGTGGTGTACGCGATGGTCCGACGATTAATGTCAACCAACGAGTCTTCCTTGAAATTCTACCGCGTATTGAGGATGGCGATTGGGCTGGACACGATGGAAGCAGCGTTTGAACTTGGCGTTGTTTCTGATACATTTCACTCGGAGCAGTCATTACAACTGCAGAAAGCCTTAAGCGCACTGTTGGAATACGAGACTCAATGTACTAGGGACTCCACAGCACAGCAATCCGAGCGCAATCCTTTGTTCGAGTCTCTCTCTCAAGAAATGTTGAGCCTGTGCGACCGAGGGCTGAATTTGGTCAGAGGCAAGGCGTCCAGTAAAGCTGCGACGGATCCGGTAGCAATGTCGGCGGCGGCCGCATGGTTTGCGTGGGTATCAGGGATCGTTCTGAGCTTTGTCGAGGCTCAAGCATCAGCAACCACGCCATCGTCGGATGCGACGACGGAGAAAAGGGAGTTTGAGCTTGTTGCATCCGCTGTTTGCAACACAACATTCGTTGAGAGTTTGGTTTCGATCACTTCAAGTTCATCCAGTACATCGAAGCCATGGAAATACGTCGCCTTCAGATTGATATCCCGTATTGTGTCAGTGACGCATACCTGTGAAGGAGAGAAGTCGCAGTTGTTTTCCTCTACTCAGCTCGCAAACCTGACGGAATTATTTACGCTACGGCGACGGCGTGAAATGCACGACAGAATTTTCTTCTCGGATGTAACGAACTGCTTATTCACGCTTCTCGTCCGCTCGACTCCCCCGTGTAGCCCCGCGTCTAGCTCCGACAAACTGGGCCTATCTGATAAATCAAGCGTGAATCTGACGGTGAACAATTATTCCTCAACGCATGTCACGATATCGTGGGAACATGTTTCTCCATCGTTATTGCTGGCTGCGAATTCAGACGACATTGCTGGCAGCTCAAACACAGAGGCAGGAGCTGAAAGTAGCTCGGACATTATGTTCCTGGAAGTCAACCGCTGTGGCCCACTACCAACTCACTCTGAGACCAACTCATCCAAAGCGTTGCCCTCGAAAGGCACGTATACCATCCGTAATTTACTACCCGATACGACGTACCGTATTCGAGTGGGGCCCTCGCAATCTATGGATGAAGCAGCTAATACGGCTATAATGGACGGGGCTGAGCTGATCGTACAGACGCATCCGGCGCCGGTATTCGATCTGGACAACGAGACTATGGGGAAAAACTTGGTGGTTTTCAATCGAAACCTGACGGCCAAGAACACCGTCAACAAGAAGTGGCACTCAGTGCGTGCATCGATTGCGTTTGACGAGGGTGTTCATCAGTGGCAGGTGAGGCTCGACACTTGCGTCTCAAAGAACATCTTCATCGGGGTGTGCACGGCTGAAGCCAGTATGGAGAACTACATCGGCAGCGATGCGTACGGCTACGGCTTTCTGGCCAACAAGGCCGTCTGGCACAACAAGGCGAAGCTGCATTCGTACGGTGAGATCTTCAAACAGGGTGACATCATTCAGGTCACTTTAGACTGCAACGCCAGAACGCTCGCTTTCAGTCGCAACGGCGAATACCTGGGCATCGCAGCGTCCAATATGCGCGCAGGGATCGGTCGGTCTGGGGCCAACGGCGGGGATTCAAACTGCAAGTGGTATCCAGCCTTTTCGATGTACAACATGGACGACAAAGTCACGTTGATTCCACCACCCGCTGTGTCGGTTTTCAACGGCAAGGACGGTCGGCCACAGAACGCATCGACCTTTGAGCTTATTGATGCGATGCAGGATGTGTTGGCGTATCAAAGTCACGTAACAAGTATGAAATCTGGTAGAGACTTGGCAACTTCCAAACTTTTTGAGAGCGCGTATGAAGCGTTTGAAGATTGGAGGCGCGGACGAAAAATATTCCGCGAGATCTCGCTTGGACAAATAATTGCGATCGACAAAAGTAAGGCTGCCACCGAGAAGTACGGATTGGCAGCAGGGGACTCTGTATTTACCTCGAAAGGCCAGTGTACCGTTCTCGGTGAGTATCGCCATGAATTGTGGTACGAAGTGGACGAAGCAGGCAGCTCGTCTCTCTTTGGATCGACTACAGCTCAGCTCGCTTCTTGGAGCTTAGGCGCTTGTCGGGAGATGTTGGCGTCACCGGATGAATATCCAGTCCACCACCACCATAAGTACAAGCTGGAGCTGGAGAGCAAGACTGGGGACGAAGCACAGACTGTGGGTTCTGCTATGGAGCAGCAAGACTGGGCTACCAAAACTAGCGAAGAGGAGGCAATTCCTTACCAAGAATTCGTCGAGGCCCAAGAGCGGTGGGGTGATAGCGGCGTCAGTGCTGCTGAGCTCGATGCTAAGCTCATTGCTGAACTTGATGCTATAGCGTCACAACAAGCTTCCAGCAGTTCATGGGCTTTGTCGTTTGCCGACGTCTCGACAGCTCTGCTCTTGGAGAGGATTTATGAAGTTCACGGCATTTCAGCAGAGCGAGGATCGAGCCAAACAATCGCTCGGATTGGCTTGCTGCTCTACGTGAATCGGTGCCTCTATAATGTATCTCGGCTCGCTGTATCAAGAAATATTTATGCAACATCTATTGGAAGGCCTGGGAGCTCCGATGCATTATCAAGTGAGCAGAACACCAGCAAGTCGCTACCTGCTATGCTCACTACGGAATGCAACCTGGTGTCACCCGTTGCAGCCCTGCTGAACTCGCCGCTTTGGAGACTTAGTGACTCGTCTGATTTCAACTTTATCTCTGCATTGGCTGCGACACTGCTATTTGCCTCACAAAAGGAGAGACTTATCGGTGAAGAGCTCCGAGCAACAAGGACAACCAGTCGTTCATCTGAGAATCTACAAGAATCAAGACATAACGAAGAGGGTGGAGTGGATAATGATCTTCCGGTAGTCAAGATAAATTATTTGCTCCTCCCGCCAACTCCGTTCTGGGAGTGTAGCTCTAGCTCTAGACGTACCAGCCTTCGACTACCACCCTCCACTGAGACGTCGGTATTCGTGCAGTTAGCGACACAGTTGGCTGCTCAAGATGCTCGCCAGTGGAGACGCGAGTCCTCGCAACCATTTGAAGCGATCCCTATCTCGCAGACGTTCCAGATTCGGATCGATAAATCTTCCGCCGATCCGAGCAAGGAGACGACAAGTCAGCAGCAGCCAGACGACGATGAAGATGACGATCAGCTCCAGCAGCCGTCATCAAAGCAGACTGCGAAGTACTTGCAGCTTTTCGAGAATGTTATGCGAGAAGTTCAATCGCCGAGTTTCCCGCTATTTGCACCGGTTGAGTCGCCTCGAACGACTAGTCGAGCGTTGCAGGACAAGCTCGGCTCAACTCTTCAGCTTGACATCAACGTGGATCTCTTCTCGCCCTCCGCATTGGCTCAATCTCGAGTGCGGATCCCTCAACTGCTACTCTGGTACTTTGGCGTTGGTCAATGCCTCGGAATTGCATGGCGGAGTAAGGTCCTCTTACCGCTGCAGTTCCTCTCGAGTGCGTTTTGGAACGAGCTAGCTGCCCCCATCGATCGAGTTGCTCAAGTTAACGGAGACAGTGATGATCGGTCTGCTGCTCGTACGGCAGCTATCCGTGCGGTCCGCGACGGGCTCTTCTCCATCGTCCCAAGTCGATGTGTTACGCTGATGAGCGGCAACAATCCGAGCCTAAGAGAACGTCTATCGGATGTGGATGTCAACTACGTCGTCAGACTAGAACGCCATGCTACCTACTCCGGGCCGCGCCAAGATCGCCACGACATGTTCTGGAAGGTCGTGAGCGCCTTCACATCGCTCGAGCGGCGGATGCTGGAGCAGTTCATCAATCCAGACCGACGAACCGATATGAAGCAGCTCGAGTCAGGGACCGAGACACCGTCGAAATTTGTTCTGGAAATCGCGGACGCTTTGGCCGACGGTCGAGACCACCCCGACTCGTGCTACCCCGTTGTCGTACAGATTGGCCCGCACTCGAGTCGACTTCATCTGCCGGCCTACTCGTCGGCTCAGACGCTGCGTCACAAGCTTATGCTCGCCATGACGAACATCCCATTCATGTAGACTCCCATACCGAAATACAACAGACTGACTGAACCACCCACATCTTTCTTCTCCGGGTGAGACTTCAGACAGTCTTGCAGATGCAACGCCTCCATCGTACGTAGCCGCTCTGGGGGCTGGACGGTAATCTACAGGCAGCTGAGCCAAACGTACAGCATTAGGTATAAGAAATTGATCTCGCTGTAGCGAAGACGGACTACCTACGAGATGTTGACTAGTTGACTAGGAATGCTGGGCGACGAAGGGGTATGCTCTCGGTTGATTCTTGCCATGAGCTTGCTCTCTTTCATCGCTCACTCACAATGACAAAGCCTCTTGATTACCAAACGTAGTTCGGGTGGTAATATGCCTATAGCTCTCTCTCCTTCGAGTCGTGGCCTGCATCACGACGCGATACAGTCAAGGCAGCGGCACTGGCACTGACCGGCACCCACGTGACTCGCGATCGGCAACTCCGTGTCATTTTTGCTAAAGAGAAACCATACTTTTAAAAAAAGCACTTCAACTTGGAGCCGAATTGCCCCCCTTCAACTGGTATTTCGAGAGAGCACACCATCTTGTGACTCAAGGTAAAGACACTTGCACGCGAAAGCAAACGGCATTTTGCCGCATGGTAGCCCCAGGACAAATGGGCCCCTTGCGCCCGTGCTGACCAACTTCGAGCAGCTGTAGGTGGAAGATGGAGCTACGAGTTGGGCTGGCGGGGCACAACAAGCTCCCTTGTTGCTGCTACCAACTGATAGCTGATGTCCAGCCTAAGCGAGACCGCTTGGGGACGTTGGGGCAGATGATTCGGAGGTGTCTCCGATGACTCGAGCTGCAACGCTGTACTACAGCCGAAGCGTATCTAGTGTGGCCGCTTGCGTTGCATTCTTCATGAAGCACCTCGGACTCCCGCTTCAGTCACTTGTGTTTTTCCAGTCTCCATAGCGTGAAGATCAAGCACTGTGCCCTCTGCTTGGCGCCGTGCCACCCAGGTCAAGACCACCAGCAACCACGCCAATTGCTCGTCCATGGTGTGCAGGCAAATGTCATCGCATCCGCTGACTGAGCCATCGGAACGTACGCCGCTGGTGTTCAACGCACCCGCGTCCATCTCGGGTGGTAACAGCGGTGGTCTCACTCCACTGTGCTCGCCGCTGCGTCCAGCTTCAGCCTGGCAGTTCTGGCGCACCACGTCGCCGCCCCACCGCTTCTACCTGCTCGTCCTCATGAGCTGCATCCCGTTCGGCGGCCACTTCGTCAAGGTTAGTAGCCAATAGCCCGAGCCTTGACCACGTCTGGATTGTATCGGATATCGGCTGATGTGATATGGTCTTGTTGCTACGATACCACTGAACAGAACGGCATGTCGTCGCTAGCCCCTCTGATGCTTGAAGACGAGACCTTCCCGATCTCCAACACCATGTACGGCGCGCTGCTGTCGGCCGTGTCGGTGCCCAGCATGTTTCTGCCGCTGCTGGGCGGGCGCCTCATGGACAAGAGCGGCCACCGCAGCATCCGCTTCTTCCTGGTGTGGATCTGCGTGGGGCAGGCCATCTTCGCGCTGGGCATGCAGCTCAAGATGTACTGGCTGGCGCTGTTCGGGCGCGTGTTCTTCGGCGTGGGCGAGGGCAGCGTGGTGGTGGGCGCGCGCGTGTTCATCGCGTCGTGGTTCCGCAACAAGGAGCTGACGTTCGCCATGGGCGTGAGCGTGGCCATCACGAACGTGTCCAAGATGCTGGCCAAGGCGACGGTGGCCCCCATCGCGCTGTACTTCGGCGGGTACGTGCAGGCGCTGTGGTACGGCGTGCTGGTGTGCGTGCTGTCGGCGTTCGTGGGCATGCTGGTGTGCCACTACACGCTGAACCTGAAGCGCATCGTCAAGAGCCGCGTGATCAGCGAGGAAGCGCTGGACCCGAGCCTGCACTGGCTCAAGGACTACGCGGACAAGAAGCGGCAGAAGCACCGCTGGCGCAAGTCGCACGCGCACGCCAAGCAGATTTCGTGCGAGAACGTGCAGAGCTTCTCGCGCATGTTCTGGGTCATCGCGCTGCTGCACGTCAACTTCATCAACGTCTTCCACCTGTTCCAGAACGTGAGCGCGAGCTACCTGTTCCAGCGGTACGACTACTCGATCGTCAAGGCGGGTGTGGTGAGCAGCGTCTCGCACTTGTTCGTGGTGTTCGCGCCGTTCATCGGCCTTGCCATTGACCAGTTCGGCGGGCGTATCCTGCTCATTATCTTGGCTGCTGTCCTGTCGGTGCTGGCGTACGTGTTCATGATCTTCACGGAGATCAACCCACTGGTGTCGATGCTTCTGATCTCAGTATGTCTGTCGTTCACGCCGACGGTGCTGATGGCTGCGATCCCCAACTCGGTGAGTCGCAAGAGCTTCGGCACGGCGTTCGGTATCGTCGAGATCACGGACGCTATTGGCGCCACATTTGGCAACCTGTTGGTGGGGTACTTGCGCGACGAGACCGGCAGCTACCGAGCGAGTATGTTGATGCTGCTGGGCATGGCGGTGCTGGTGCTCGCCCTGTACGTGGTCTTTGAAGACACTCGCAGCGGCCGAGTCCTCAGTGCACCAAGCGAACGCTCACAGGCGCTGTCGGATGAAGACGCGCTTGATAAGCTGGAGGCAAGCTACGGTGCGACCTGGGTGACTGCTCCCGCCACTTCAAAGCTCGATCACGACAGCGGGAGATGCTCAACCAGCTATACCAAGTTGATGGTCGGCTGGCCGGACGACCCGGTCGAGAGCAAAGCCCCTGGACCGCGCTGGGGGACTGGAAGAACATTCCAGTAGACAAACTGGGGCTCAGCCCAGTACGACAGACAGAGAGATCAATCTGTACTTTGTACTTCCACGGTAGTTCGAAAGCAGAACACCGGGAGTATACTAATGAAGACTTGCGTTTTACTTGAAAGGGGTATGGGAGTGTGAGTTTTGCTAAGTATTATTATTTGAATGCGATGTTCATCATGGCGAGCAGAAGCTTGTGAAGCAGCGTCTGCGGCGACGAGTAGGCCGGCAGATAGAGTCCACTCGAGTGTTCTAAAACAGGGTAAGATCGACCGTCGGCCAAAACGTCCGCGATTTCCAAAACAAAGACTTGGTCCCTGATCGCATTTTCGTCAGCATGCAGAGTTTGAGCACGGAGTATGAATGACTAGCGCCTACCGTCTGCTTGCTATTGACAAGCATCCTTTTCAAGAGGCAGTGCATATATTCCTTTTGGTTTAGATGGTGTTCTACCGAACTAAATACATTTTACAGCAATGAGTGGTGCTCTTTCGAGCACCAATGGGCGCGAGTCGATTGATTCCGTGATGATGCAGCCGTGCGCAATGGCTCCATCCACTGGTCCAAGCTCTAAGACCAGAGACTGATCTAGACGAACATACACCGCATCTAAGTCGAACGTCGCTCTCCAACAGGGGACGTCTCTCCGTTGGCACTGTACCGAGCCTCCAGCACCGCCGGGTTGTTCATCGGGTCTTCGTCGTCAACGGAAAGCGCGCGAGACCTTTTGCTCGGGGCACTCAGAACCCAACCATTCCGGCTGTCTTCATAGATCAGTAACACAGCCAGCAGCAGCACCAGCACCGCCATGCCCAGCAGCATCAACATACTCGCTCGGTAGCTGCCGGTCTCGTCGCGCAAGTACCCCACCAACAGGTTGCCAAATGTGGCGCCGATAGCGTCCGTGATCTCGACGATACCGAACGCCGTGCCGAAGCTCTTGCGACTCACCGAGTTGGGGATCGCAGCCATCAGCACCGTCGGCGTGAACGACAGACATACTGAGATCAGAAGCATCGACACCAGTGGGTTGATCTCCGTGAAGATCATGAACACGTACGCCAGCACCGACAGGACAGCAGCCAAGATAATGAGCAGGATACGCCCGCCGAACTGGTCAATGGCAAGGCCGATGAACGGCGCGAACACCACGAACAAGTGCGAGACGCTGCTCACCACACCCGCCTTGACGATCGAGTAGTCGTACCGCTGGAACAGGTAGCTCGCGCTCACGTTCTGGAACAGGTGGAAGACGTTGATGAAGTTGACGTGCAGCAGCGCGATGACCCAGAACATGCGCGAGAAGCTCTGCACGTTCTCGCACGAAATCTGCTTGGCGTGCGCGTGCGACTTGCGCCAGCGGTGCTTCTGCCGCTTCTTGTCCGCGTAGTCCTTGAGCCAGTGCAGGCTCGGGTCCAGCTCTTCCTCGCTGATCACGCGGCTCTTGACGATGCGCTTCAGGTTCAGCGTGTAGTGGCACACCAGCATGCCCACGAACGCCGACAGCACGCACACCAGCACGCCGTACCACAGCGCCTGCACGTACCCGCCGAAGTACAGCGCGATGGGGGCCACCGTCGCCTTGGCCAGCATCTTGGACACGTTCGTGATGGCCACGCTCACGCCCATGGCGAACGTCAGCTCCTTGTTGCGGAACCACGACGCGATGAACACGCGCGCGCCCACCACCACGCTGCCCTCGCCCACGCCGAAGAACACGCGCCCGAACAGCGCCAGCCAGTACATCTTGAGCTGCATGCCCAGCGCGAAGATGGCCTGCCCCACGCAGATCCACACCAGGAAGAAGCGGATGCTGCGGTGGCCGCTCTTGTCCATGAGGCGCCCGCCCAGCAGCGGCAGAAACATGCTGGGCACCGACACGGCCGACAGCAGCGCGCCGTACATGGTGTTGGAGATCGGGAAGGTCTCGTCTTCAAGCATCAGAGGGGCTAGCGACGACATGCCGTTCTGTTCAGTGGTATCGTAGCAACAAGACCATATCACATCAGCCGATATCCGATACAATCCAGACGTGGTCAAGGCTCGGGCTATTGGCTACTAACCTTGACGAAGTGGCCGCCGAACGGGATGCAGCTCATGAGGACGAGCAGGTAGAAGCGGTGGGGCGGCGACGTGGTGCGCCAGAACTGCCAGGACGAGGCGGGGCGCAGCGGCGAGCGCGGCAGAGTGAGGCCGCCGCCGTCCCCGTCTGAGAAGGAGCCGGGCGCGTCGAACACCAGCGGCGTCTCCTCGGTCGGCCCGGCCAGCACCTGCGACGACTTTTGCTTGGGCGCCATGGAGTCGACTAAAGTGACTTGCGGTGGTCCTCTAAGTATATCGGCGCAGCACGCTGCTATGTGGTGCGGAGGCCGCAAAAGCGCAAGTGACCAGGTGGGAGAGACCTCGGCGCTTAAGTTGCGCAATGACCGGCCAAGCGTGACGTGGGCGGGACCCTGCTGCTTGCGAAATGAAGAGGGCGGTCCGCAGACGCAATCGACCTCCCTGCACGCAAGTCCGGCACTGGGGGCTCGCTTGACCGTTAGCGCGCGCTATATCTTGTGCGGCGGCGGCTCCGCGGAGCGCCGGCGACTGGCCGCCGCCACGCGCGGGGCTGGGGCGAGCGAGGACCAGGAGTTGCCCTGGGATCGGCCAAGGCTCGACAATCGGCTTAGACAGGCATATACCATTATGAAGGTCAGTCTAAAACATTTTTGTACCAGAAAGTCAAATGTTGACCTATAGATTTAGAGAGGCGGGAATAAGTTGCTGGGATCGCTTTCGCGACGCTTCGCGAGTCGCTGGAGGCACGCGTCTCGCGACCAATCAGACGCGGCGGATTGAGCTTGCGCCACCGGACAACTGGTGGCGCGTGGTACGCAGCCTCGCTAATTCCGATTTCCGAACCCCGACAGAGCTGCACGCCCAGAGCGGCCTTTGAAGCGCTGCTGTAAGGCACGCGGCCAGCACGCTCGCCTTCGCCAGCGGCACCGCGTTGCGGTCCGCGCAGACTAATGCTGCAAATCGCGCTTGCAAGACGACGAGATAACGAGTCGAAGCCAAACAGGTGCGGGCCCAGCTGGCTGGCAAAATTGCAGCGAGCCAAAGTGCTTCAACTCCAGTGGCCGCGGTATCTTCTCTCTCCACGAGCTCCGCTCACTGGCTGCCGGCTCTCGGTGGCGCCGCGTCTGGGTCATCGACATGCGCCACCGGGCGCGTGCCGGCGGCCAGTGAGTGGCGCTGGCCAGGAAGGCAGCCCGGTCCTTGCCAAAGTGACTCGACTCGGCCGATCCGAGCCATTGGTTGGGCGTCGCGGGACCCGGCGGGATCTGGAACCTGAATCTGGTGGTCGTACGCCGCAGCAGCTGGGTGACCACGAGCGGGGGACAGCTTCAACCAGCCTCGCAGTTGTGGTGCAAATCGCCTACCTCTAGCGTGTTGCCGACGGCGAAGAGGGCGCGTGTCGGGGATCAAATCACGCGGCGTTATACCCACGGTCTGGCTGTCGGTGTGCAGGAAAGCCTGCTCCCAGCCTCTTTGCACCTGCAAGTTTCTGTTGGGTGTGCAAAGTGATGTCGTCGAGCAGTTATGTAGCCAAAAAGGCAAGTTGAAGTGCTTACCCAATCAGGTTAGCCGAATCAAGCCGAAAACTTCAACGTTGGATCGGGCGAGGCGAGGCCTTGTTTGCCGCCGAGTGCGTAAATCTCAGAGACGTTGAGGCGGTCAGCTAGTAGGCTCTGTGCGTTTTAGCAGTCTGGTACGCCTAGCGAGGTCTAGTCTCAGTTCAGGATCTCAGTTCACGTATCAGGTGGGGGGTCAATCAAAGGGATACATGACATGAAACCGTCTCATCTCTTGTCGGCGGTGTTAATCCGTGGGGATTTTAAAAGGGGTCTAAGTTATGTAGTGATGCGCTACTCGTTCCCAGACGCGGAAACGATTAATACAGTAAGGCCTAGAAGTTGTAGGCCGGCTAGTGACTGTGTGTTTACTTGTAGACTGCAAGTTCAAAGGATGATGCGAGCCACCAAGCTCCAAGTAGGTGTAATAATACCGATGACAGCTAATCCAACCAATCGCCAGAATCACTTCAACAATAATACCTCTATTGGCCTCAATTGCCTTACTGTCCAACCCGCACACGACAGCAAGACCGTCCATTCAGTATATAGAGTGTCGATTCCAGCTCTCCACCTACCCCGATGCCGTGGCCCGCACGACGTACAGCCCATCGGCGGCGTTGTTTACACAGGGAGTCCTATCTTCCATGAAGGCATCGGGCGTCCGGAATTCTGTTGACGTTGACGTGAACATCGTACCCCAAGATCTGCATCAGTACCAGATTCTGGAACAACCCGACGACGATGAACATGAGCTGGATACAAGGAGTGCACGAACGGCCAGTATTTATTGTAAGAGCTACTGTGGTGGGGATATCCCCACGCGGGCTGCGCTTGCGCGACCTTGGGGTTGCTGTCTGAACCGCAATCAAAGCAACTTAGAATTTCAACGCCACCGTGTATGACTTCCGCATCGTGGAAGCCAAAGCCCAGATGCCAAGCTCATCCAACTGGCCGACAAGTGATAGTCAGGCCAGCCATGCCGGCCAGGATGTCCGCAGTGACAGAGGGCCTTGTTGTCGCATTAGAGCTCCGTGTTAACATCACCGCGGCACTGCTGAAGTTTGCAGTTGCCAGTGCATCAAAAAGGTAGTCGCCAATGATCGACAGCGAAAAGCACAGATAGTTGCCTGGGTAACAAAAGGATGAAAGAGTCGCATATTCTCTCCATGTTCCTAGAGAAGCCAGACAATATACGACGTCTAGGCGTAGCTCTAGCGTCGGGCTTGGTCTGTAAAAGCTTCCTTAAGCATCGGGGCCATGTTGCTCTTCAAGATCACTTGTGTACACCACATCAACTATTCCCTTTCTGTACAAGTTTCAGAATCAAACATTTAGACTCCTTCTGGAAGTGAACAAAATCCAATACCGATAAAATCAAAATAATAATGTAGAAAACACGAAGAAAAACACAAAACGTGTGCACAAATCACTTTTTGCAAAAAGTTAGTTGAAGCAAAGTGATGGCGCGCAAGCTGGGCGAGCGGCTCGAGGAGCTGGCGGCCTTCCTGGCGCACCAGCACGCCGTGGACAGCGTGGAGGAGACGCTGGACCACCTGCAGACGGAGATCGCGGACGCCATGGTGCGCTCGCGGGCCTCGGCGCAGCAGTGCACCATCCTCCTCTTCCAGAGCGCGGAGCCGCCCAGTCTGCTGCGCTTCCTGGCCGCCAGCGCGGACTTCGCCGACGACTCGCGCAAGAGGGAGATCTGCGCGGCAAGAGGCCTCGTGCTGGAGCTGCTGGCGTCCTTCCTCAAGGCCTACGGGGACCACAGGGCGCTCACCAAGCAGCACGTGGTGGACACGTACAAGGCCTGCCAGCAGACGGCGCGCGCCGACCCGTTCAACCGCGTCAAAGCCCACGCATTAGAGGTAAAGTATCTCGTCTATTACTAGTGAGAGGGAGAAGTAAGGGTTGATTTTGCTGCTGCTGTTGCCCTTAGGTGGTCGTCAATGTGCTCAAGTACGCGGACAACCGAGTTTCCAAAGACGACGTTGAGCCCAGAGCCTACGTGGACAAGTTGTTCTATGATATCAAGTTCTCCAAGGCCACACAGACGGCGAAGGTGTTATTTGAGTGTGCTTTCTGGGTGTTGTGGTGGGTGACTCACTTGGACGTGTTGCCTTACTGTCTGTACAGGGACAAATGCTCGAGGTAATCGGCCACTTGGTGGAGAAGTTCCCGCAAGATATGGAGGAAGCGGCAGCCCCGCTGCTAAGTTGGAGTGAAGACGCACTGGAGAAGCAGTTTTCCAGCAATGCGCCCGAGATGATGATGGTGAATGGGCTACTGTTTGCGCTGGCTCGGCTGCTCGAGTGTGATCCTGAACGCTACAAGGGAGATGAGGGTTTGCGCAAGAAGATTTACTCGTGAGTTGTATGATTTGGGCGGTTGTATTTGAGGAGGAGCAGGCTAACGTGTGCGATTGGAATGGTGTATGCAGGCATTTGTTGACAGTTTTTGCCACGACTGTGAGCGGGAATCTCTCACGGTACCACGTGACAAACTCGTCTGAAATTTTCCTGGCGAAGCACGCGCACATGTTTCACCAAGAGATTGGCCCAAGTGGCCACGTGTGGTTTACGTACATGAAATTTTGCTGCATGAGTGAGAACAAAACGGTACGTCATAGCATATACCCTTCGACGAAGCACGTGGTTGATTTGCCTCACGAAGAGCCGTATTGCGCTTTATTTACTGGTATCTGCCAGGTCAAAGAGCATGCGTTCGCGTGCTCGAATGCAGTTTTTCAAGCCTTGAATGCGTACTTGGCGGGGTCAAAAGACGACACGCGGAAGAAGTGCTTGAACAAGATTTTGAAAGAGGTCCTACCGGTTGTGAGTGATCCTGCCGCTGGTACGACGATGATGGCATTCGCAGTTCAATGTCTTGGGTGGCTCGCTCGATCGATCTACGTATATCTTGGGCCGAAAGGTTACAGCAAGATTGAAGATAAACTAAAAACGTTTGGCGAGACACTATTGGCACTGGATGCAAAGGCAACAGCGTGGAGATGGCCACTTGTTTCCCAATATGTGCAATGCGTTGGACATTTCGTTCAAGAGGTAAGATGCTTTGTTGCGTGTATACTATCAGCATACTTGGGGATACGTTTCAACATTGACATTTGGCACATGCTTTGTTGCCGTAAAGCGTCGTGATGTTCCACTAGATCAAGGCTACGTCAAGTTCGTAGGGGACGTGTTATGCCATTTAATGGCAGCATATCCTCAGTGCCTTTGGAAGTCGAAAGTTGTGGTTCACAAGTCGGTTATCGTGGTATTTGCCGCATTGTCAAAGTGGACAGTGATCGATTCTCTCGTTGATCGATTTATGCTTCACACACTGATGCTGAGCATCTCGAACGTCACGGACCCGGATCAAGCGGTGAGGGGCTATCTTACCAAAGAGAAATTATTTGAGAAATGTCCTGACTGTCTGATTTTTTTATTCTATGCACTGCAGGTTATTTATCACCCCGACACGGGCGAGTTGGTGACAAACCTTCTATACGATTACGAAGGATTCTGGTTGGCTTTGCTTCGTCGCCGCACTAAAGCGCTTGGAGATACACCGGTAGAAACATCTACCAGTAGCGACGATGTTGAGATGAAGGAGCCTACGGATGCCGGGAGATCTTTGCAAGCGATGCTTTTCGATTCGACAGTAAAGCAAGTCGTTGGTATCATTAGCCAGCTTAATCTGTCCTACCAGTTCGATCTGCAATCAACCAACAACGGGAAGAATGCGACTGGATACACGGTAAGTTCGGATTGTTAGGGATGCTTGTGCCTCGAGCTAACTATTTCTGCTTCCATTGGTTCACAGCCAATCGTTCCACGCGATCACTCGATTATGCTCAACCTGACGGAGTTTATTGAGAGAGTGCTTGGTAAATTGCCGAGGTCGCTGTTACACCCATGGGTACGTCGTTATATATGTGAAAGGCTTGAGGGTATTATTTCCAAACATTAAAATGACATGGCGTTGCTGGTGAAACAGATCCCCCCTCTTATGCAACAAGTGTTTGTTTTGGCTTCCAAGTTGCCGCTGGTTTCAAGCTTTTACCGAATTGCTACAGTTCTTGTTACGGCCATTGATGACCTAAAAGACTTCGAAGCCACACCGTATTTCGACGGATATGACTCCGATCGTCAGGCGCGGTTTCGTGATGACCTTACGCGGTTCCTTCAACGGGTTTGTGCTCAAGCGCGCTTCTACCAGGATGAATTGCTTTTGACGAGTGCTGAGTTTGTTTTGGCAGCACCAATAGGATTGACAGCCCTTGAAGCTCTGATTGATGTCGTAGGAGCAATCTTGGAGCTTGGGAGATCCTACCTCCCCGCTGCGATTGTCGCCATTGGAGGATTGGAACGTTGGCAAAAGCACTGCCCAGACAAGCTGGAAGAAGCGATTTTGGAAGTCGTGCCGCTACTCGCAGCATATCTGGATCAAGATGGGCTAAGCAGCGATGATGTGTCTTTGGTGAAAGCAATCGGGAAAAGCAGACTGACTACCGATCCTAGAGCAGAATCCGACCTCGCTCAGCTACAGCGCCGCATCTTGTTACTTTTGGGAAAGTGTGGCGGCAAAGTATCGCTGATGATAAGCGAACCTCCTTCGGTTGCCAATGCTAGTGGTAGCATGGGAAGTGTTTCGTCACCATTTTTTCGGTTGGAGCTTCAACTTAGCGAGGTAGCATTGTCACTGGCGATGGATCCTATCATCTCACATCTCGGAGACTTAGCAGCCAACAGTTCCGTCCGGCGCGTGAAAGCAAGCGCGAGTGAAGGCTATCATGCTTTGGTTTGTTATTTATGTGGCAAAACGACGACGCATCCACATGCAGCGGGCAAGAAAACAGTATTTTACGATCTGTGGCGAGGGATATTTCCACGTGTTTTGCGTTTAGCTACGGACCCAGAGAAGATTTGCAGATCACTATTCGAGCCATTGCTTTTTCAGCTGCTTCGTTGGCTTGCATCGAATAGCGACACATTTCCGTTCGAGTACGCAAGCATGCTGGACGAGTTGACCCGTAGTTTATCGGATCCGGAGACTGCCGTCCGTACGATGTCAGCTCGGAGCATTGCGAGTCTCCTCTCACGGGCCCTCGAAGATACATCTGCTCAGGTTAAGGTCGAAGAAATCTTCGAGAGAGTATTTTCGTTGTGCCGCCATCCTGGTGCTGTGCAGCGCAGTGGAGCCGCCGCCTCCATTAGCTATTTCCTTCGATCCTTAAATGACGAAGATGGAGCAGTGCTGACAAAGTTTGCGATGCCGTGCCTGAAGAACCTTCTGTATGCCCTGCGCTTGTGCCATTCTGATGCTCAGAACAACACAGATGTATCACGGGACGTCATTTCGAAAGCTGTTATGAAGATTGAACGTGGAATATGTCGCTTCCCGCAACTCTTTCTGAAAGGGAAAGGGAAGACAACCTCGCGACAGGATGCTGCGATTGAAGGAGGTAGCATCCTTCAGCAAACGACAATTTGGCTGTTCCAGCAGGTTGGTGCGCGTGAAGTTCTCTTTCGACGTTTATGTCGACAGCTTTTCATGTCATTCAGCGGATTGGTCGACAAGTCGAGTTCCGAATGGATCGATCATTATGCGTCAACGCACGGCAACGATTCTGTTAAGGTCGTGCTAACGCCGATGAGCTCACTAGCTCACGCGCTACCCGACATGTCAGTTGAGTGGTTGGAACAGTTGTCTGCATCCATTGAGAGTTACGTATGGTGCGTCAAGTTGCTAGGGCCGAAGGCAGATGACTTCTTTAAGCTTCGTTCGGTGGATTCGCGACAAGAAAAAATGAAGCGAAAGCACACGCATACCACGGCGGATACAAGTGAACGCAGCTGCCAGCATATACTATCATGGGCGATTGGGCATTTCTTAAAACATGGAAATCCTTGGGAGGGCTCGCTGATGCCGTCACACTGGATTGCAGCATATGCATCGGTTTTAGCATCGCTGTGCAGCTGTATCAAGTCTTTTATGAGCTGTGGCACTGAAATTCTTCGGGATGTTGCTGACGTGGATAGCCAGACCTTCCGTTCTGCTGTGGTTGAGAAACTTCTCCAGACACTACTGCATCGCGATGATGATTGGGCAACTGATGCAAGCTCTTTTGACGAAATTGAAGACTTCTGTGCTGGCGTTGTGGTACGGAGCGAAGAGTGGGCCCATCAAATGCAGGAATCGGTGGACACGTTGCTTTCAAGTTTATCACCGTGCCTTGCCGACGTGAACAGCAATGAAGCTTTTGCCAACCATGCAAGGACCATCCAGAGACTGTCCTTATTTGGAAGCAAGGTAAGCCGTCTAGCTTGGGAGTGATCCCGGGTGAAACCTTGTTCTAAGTCTTTTGTCATAATTTTGCTCCGCAGGTTTTAAGTACTCAGATTATAAGTCATCCCGTAGCGGACAAGCACGCGACGACGTTTGCTCTCGTAGCAAAGAAGACACTCCAATATGGGCAGTACTTACCTGACAACTACGCCGTGGCAATTGTGGCTCTGAAGGCTGCAGCTGCGTGCGGCTGGAAAATTGTTGACATATTCGTGAGCCCTGCTGATCGACAAGTGTACGGCCCAGTACTCAACGATGTGATTCACTTCATTCCTACGCTTGCTGTGTGGAAGTGGAGTGCTAGTGAGTTGGTTTCATTGTCACTGACAAATGACTACGTGGTCAACGTTCTGGCCGATGTCCTGCATCAAGTGACCAGCTTTAAAGTCTACCCGGCAAAGTTGAGCGAATGGGATGTGTTCACTAAAACCTTAGTGGTGAATATCAAGCAATTCATCAAGAATTTAGAGACTGTCAAAGCGGACACGCAGCGGACGCTTTCACTACTGCGAGTTCTCCGATATTTTTTGGAGCTGTGCCAGCAGTGCTCCGAAGACCTGGTCGGGGCTGTGCGCATCGGGCCGATCCCGGATATCCGGGATGCCATTATTTCTCTTCTCAAGGAGCGTGGATGCAGCTACCTAGTGAAAGCTGAAATTTTGCAGATGTTGTCTCTGATGGGGCCCACTTCGAGACTGGTTGCAAGCGACCAACAGTCTTCAAATCCGATTCTAGAGTGTCTCGTGGCGTTCGTTTATGATGAGTTTCCGATCGTCTCGACAGATGTCTCTCGTGGATCGAAGAATTACGATGTGTTCCACTTGTTATTTCCAGAGCTATTGGGTGTTATCGAGCGAAGCAATTCAGTTGCATACCTTAAAATTATTTACCCAAGCCTGAAGGAAGCCGATAAACATCTTTTCAGGGCTGAAATCAAGCAGATGCTGGCAAGATTCTCGATCGCACTAGGAGGCACTGTGGAATCTGGCGTCTCAAACAGCAGCGACAGAGTACGACTACAATTGGGAGCTCTCTTGGATGTGTTGCTGGATCCTGCGCTAGAAGTTGCCATTCGAAAAACACTGCTAGAAGAAGTGTTTACGCCTCTGATTGAGTGTCAAACTGAAGACACATTACAACGGTTTTACTTGATGGAGAGCACAACGAAGAAGTCAACCGTCATTGGCGTGCTTGCAGCGCTGATTTCGACTTCGGCTGAGGTCACAACCGGAGGGAGCCGCATAGGCGTGTTCGTGACGTTTTCTTTGGTTGAAGTCCTGTATCGACTAATGGATCCCGAGGTTGTTCGGACCGACATTAACTCGGCTTTTCTGGGTCACAAAAACGGAAAGGGCCGCGAATTTACAATGCTGGTGTGCAAATGTGCGAGCAAAATGGTAACCAAGGCATACGGAGACACCGACGAGCTCATTCGCTTGGCATGTTGTGCAGCCTACAGCTGTCTGCTGACCGCCGTGTCACGGACACAAAAGCAAGAGAAGTTCTTCGACCAAATTCTGTTCCAGCCAGCACTTTGGAGCAATATCCTAGACCTCTCACATAGTTATGAGCTGCCAGCTGAGACGGAGAAGTTTGCTACGATACCTCTTTCAAGCTTGTCTGCGGTTTCACTGCAAGCGCACAGTGACCCCAATGTATCAGGAAGCTCCAAACCAAAACGAAATGGACCCGCTGCGTTACAGTTCTTTACTTCAAGTAGCTTGAGCATGGACGCGGACACCATGGGAGCATCTGCCATGACTGTGCCTTTGGATATTGATCAGATGACTGCTGATTATCAGAACGTTGAGATCGAACTAGATGAATTCAACCGGCACCCTTGCATGATTCCACTGGTGCGCGTGCTGATGCAAATGAAAGCGGACTTTGGTACTACGTGGGGAGAAAAGGCAATGCCTGGCTGGATGAAGAAGATATTTGATGTGCTTGTCGGCTCTTCAACTCCTCTGAATGTGCGCTTATTCTTAAGCAAGGTGGTGTTGAATGTCCCGGGAGTATTTGAGATGTACGCATCGTCATGGCTACCTGCGGTCATGGAAACCCTTCTCGACGCGACTAGTGGTCAAAAGACCCCCGAATTCAGCTACCTTTTGCGGGATGGTTGTAATCTGATGCTGGATAGCTGGAAGAATATTGCGGTCTCACCTCCCAAGGCCACAGCTGACCGCTTTATTAACGAGCTAATCAAGCTCTGCCCAAACCGGAATAATATAATTCGGGACAGCAATCTGCTGTTGATAACGGATTTGCTAGCGATTTGGAAGGATTTGGTGAGTATCGAGGTGGATCTTCTCAAGAAGTACATCTACTCGGATGATGATGATGGCAGGATGAAGTCGTCAAAGCAATTTACTGCCCTCCAAATTGTCAGTGCTTTGCTAAGTGCTGGACTAGCGGACACGTTAACATCCGAAGAAGAGGAACAAACCATCGAGGATGGAATTTTGCTGGTGATGAAGAGCAGGACTACATCATTGTACACCCTGGCATCAGAAGTCGGTGGGCTCTACTTGCAGAGTGCAAATCCTTTGCAGGGCGACGAGTTCATGTGCAAGTTGACAAACTTAATCATCGGCTCCTACAACGATGAAGACTTTGGCCGCTTTCTGGCACTACTACGCAATGCGTCGATGCATCATCCCGAAATGATTGACTCGATGATGCTTCAACGTCTGTCGTTCGTGCTGCCCAAGTCTGTTTCGGTGGATGCCTGGGCTTTGCTTGCGGCCGAATCTCTGACTAACGCAGCCGCGAACGAGCATGTTGCCAAGGATATGTATGCTCATGTGCAGTCAGTTCTTGGGCGTTTTGTGGCACACCGGCACGCTGGAGTACAACAAAGTACTCTTCGAGCTGTGTCGTGCCTTTTGAATCATTTGGCTATACCTGAGATCGAACGATTGGTAGCCAACACATCCGACGGTGGTCTTGGCATGCTTAGGTATTACGAAACGCACGAGCTCCCAGAATGTCGCGGGATGTTATTTAATGTTGCCAAGAAGTTGTACGAAAGGGATGTGTCATCTCAGGTGAAAACACGACTGAAAGCTTCATTACTCCGCGGACTGTGCGACCCAGATGGACTACTAAGAAAAGAAGCATTTGAGTACTGGAACAATTCGGATTTTATGAAGAACTCCTGTAGTGACCGGCTTCTCGCGGTCTTCGGGTCTTTGTACTCCCAAGATTTTGACGAGAAATGGGTGCTGTATGCGACGAATTTGCTTGTTGGGATGTCGAAAGAGAGCGATGCGTTTGAACGACCATTATTCCCAAGTGCGTTGGGCGGTGGCGAGTATGCAGAAACCAGCATTGATGTGACTTGGGAGTCGACAGCGCAGTCAATGACACCGCTGTTTTCTGTGGAAGCCGACACATTCAGTGTTCGACGAGGTTCAACGCAGCAAAACAACAATACTGCGCACTCTTTTTCATCGGAAGGTGGAGGATCAATAGGTAGCACGTTGCAGTCCCAGTTGTTTACCTCCAATTCGCACGCTTCAGGTAAGCACATGTGTTCTCTTACGGAAGGTTATAGGTTTCTAAGCTATTTTACTGTCGCCTGTGCAATTCATCTGCAGCAGCATTAACACCAAACTACAGTCAAAGCTTTGGGGAAGTGGAAGCTTTACAGCAGAGACCTGGAAGAAGACGCTTTTCTAAACAATGCGCTACTGCAGCGTCCGTGAAAGACCCGTCGAGTTATGACAAGAAGGCTTCAAAGCGCCATTTTCAAGACCAGTATGCTCTGCAAAAGAAGCAAGAAGAGGCTCGGGTGACCCGAGAGCGAAAAGAGCGCCAGGCCCGCGTATCAATTAAGAGAAAGTACCGCGTCGGTGAGTTTCCAGACATTCAGATTTCGCAGCAAGATATTGTGGATCCCATCATAGCACTCTGCGAAGTCCACGTCGAAACATCAAGTCTCGTGTTCGGTGCTCTGTTCTCATCGATTGTGGCAAACCCGCACTTTGAACAGTCTGGAAACATCCCAGAGCTAGCGGATAGACTCGAGAAGACGTTGACCCTCTCCAAGGCATCCCCGGTGTACAGCGGCTGTATCATATCAGCATACTTCGCCAGTATTGTCAGAAGCCCTAATCTTTGCGAAAAACTGGTTATTCCAGCAAAGGCTATAGGGGAAGCGGGTCTGTCCAGCGGAAAGTATCACCTCAGTGAGTTGGCACTGGAAGAACAGTTGATTTATGGCATTCAGCATAATGGTCTGGGCCTGAATCTAGGGTCGGAGGAATCGGTCACAAGTTGGGATCTTCTCCACAAGCTGTTGAGCACGGTGCACAAGCGGAACTTTCTGATCGCGCTGTCAATGGCATGCGCCACAACAGACGAGTCCAAGCTTGCTCTCCAAGCACAACTATCTGGAGACCTCCCGCTTGCCATCGCGTCGTATAAGAAAGCAGAAAGTACGTTGGATTCACAATTGGACATTCTCGACGGTGGAAAGTCTCTTGCGACTGAGACGGATGCCACGCGATGCCGTTGGCAGCGATTTAACTGCTTGGAAATCTTAAACAACTGGGACACATTGATCAGCGAGATTTCCGATTTGAATAAGAACGACAGCGAGTTTTTGTGGAAGCAGCGTGCGCCGTATCAAGAGCAAGGTGTCGGGCATTACATGCGTTCCTGCTTAGGTCTCGCGGAGGCTAAGCGAAGTGACAGCTCGAACAGGGTGGAAGATCTTCGCAGCTTCGTTGAGAAGGCAACCCACGATTCGATGAAGCACGGGCTTGTTCAGTCGAAATTCCCGGTTGAAGCCTGTATGGCGTACCTTTCGGTGGGTGACAAGAACCAAGCACGTGTGAGTATCGAGAACTTTTACAGCAGCTTCCTGAAAGTATGGAGAGAGACTAGCTCGATGGCGTCATCCTCTCGTTTGGAGCTGATGCAGTCTCTGTCATCAATGGTGGAGATTGACGAAGTATTGCTACGTTTCGGTGGTGATTACCAAAATCCGCACGAGACGGAGCAGGTTGATATTATGGGTTTCATCGATGCGTGGAGGAGATCACCACCTTCCACAGGAGAGGACGGCATGGTTCTATGGTCTCAGCATACAATGGTCCAAAATACCATCGTTGGCCTTCTGCTGGATTTTGGACACGCCCAAGGCACTTTGTCAGACGAGCTACGATCAGCTGTTCTGGGGATCAAGAGCAATGTTATGCTGCAATATGCCAATGCCGCCATTTCCTGCAACATCTTAGCTCTGGCATCGAAAATGCTGAAGAACTACCGCGAGCTGTGCAACGCTCACCAACTCCCTAAGCTTAGTGTGCAGATGGTTGAGGTGTTCGTTTCGCACGTACTGAAGTTGGTTGATCGACAAGAGCACCAATCCGGCAAGGATGGCTTGAATCCAACCTCGATCAAGTTAATCACAAGATACTACGAGACAGCCACGAAAATGTTTGACAACGTGGAGATCATGAACATGATGGTAACTGCAAGTGCAAATGATCAAGTAGCCATGGGCTACTTGGAGGCGAAGGCATTTGCTAGCGCTGCAGAATTTTATGCCATTAATGATGTCGACGACAGCCTGAAAGAAGAATACTTTTCTCGCTCACTCGACATGTTCAAGGTTTCCTGTGAGCGCATCAACGCAACGGCCAGCTCGCAAGGAAAACAAGGTGAACAAGCATCAGCTGCATTTCTGAGGTGCCGGTTGACCTTCATTGAGTTTTTGAACGACTTGCTATTCAAGCAGAAGATGGAGAAGCTCAGTCAACTTGCCGACAGAAAAGCATTGGTGAAGCTACTGGCTGTAAATGTTCTTGGAGGCATGGCTGCTGGAGATCGTGAATGCGCACACTACTTCCCTCAAATATGCGATGTGATAGCGCCTTACCCGGACATCGTGACTGATTTTGAGCAGTATGTTCTCACAAAGTGCCCTCTCTGGACATGCCTACAATGGTCGGCTCAGCTCATGGCTCTGCTGAACGGGCCGATCGGTGGAACGATTGTTTTGATTTTGGAAAAGGTGCGTTTCAACCATCTCTTTAGGATGTAGTCCTCTCGTTGTAATCTTCGTTGCTGTTCTCGCAGATGGCCGAGAAATACCCAGTAGCACTCTTCTATGACTTCATGGTTACGTGCAAGTCCTCCATGGACTCATTCAAAGTAAATCTGCATCGCCTGGAGGTTCTGCTCGCCAATCCAGTGATGGAGAAATTCGTCACTGCCTTACGACTGTACGTCTTGTTTCTTACAATGGGATTCAATGTTGTAACAAACTAACCCTTGTTTGAGCTGTGCAGAATCCACCACCCTGAAATCCGGTTAAAAGAGGGTCTACGAGAGATCGCCAAGCTCTTAGAAGACAATCGAACGTCAGATGCACGGCACAAAGTAGAACTCCTGTGGAAAGACTGTTTTTCGCCTGATCGTCCACTACTCGGAGCCCAGATCGGCCGCTACAATCGTGACTGGAGCCGGAAAGCCAAGCGAGACGTTGAGAAGATAATGGGCAAAGATGGCAGTAAGATGACCTCAAAAACGGTCAACAGCGCTCGGGAGTGGATCATGAACCACTTCAGCGTTACCCCGGGCAGGTTTGGAATCACGAAAGACATGAAGGCACACCTCGGAGATTTTGCAGAATGGCTCGAGGAGTTTGATCATTCCAGCTGCTCGCTGGAACTCCCAGGACAGTACACGGCGTGTAAGTTTGCATGTGGGGGTTTAAGGTTATGTACTGGCATACTCACGTAATTGTTCTTGGCTCTTCTTTCGTGGCACAGCTTGGGGCCCGCCAGATCCGTCTACACATGTGCGAATTTTGAGCTTTGACTCGATGCTTGGGGTGCTGGCCTCGAAGCAGCTGCCGAAAAGATTGACGCTTCACTGCAGTGACGAGAAAGACTACACGTTTCTTGTCAAGGGCGGCGAAGACTTGCGCCTCGATCAAAGAATTGAGCAGCTCTTCGGTGTGATGAACCAAATTCTCCAGGCAGACCCACGGTGCCGTGATCAGAGACTCTCTCTTACTATCTACGACGTGATCCCCATGACTCAGGAGATCGGAATTCTCGAGTGGGTTAGTGGTACGTCGACGTTGAAAGGAGTTATCGAGGCGCAACTGCAAATCGACGAGCGCTGTACGGATCTCAAGAGCAACAAGAGGCAGAAACTGGAACTGTTCAACACTACGGCGGCTAAGGCGTACGAATCGTTTCTCCTGAAACAGCGTGGCGCGAGCTTCAGCGCAAAGGTTGTCGCTCCTCGCTCGAAGGACGTGGTGGACCAGTTCGCGAAAGTTCAGGCGATGATCCCAGGGGATCTTTTGCGGCGTCAACTGCTGGGGTTGGGATCAAACGTCGAGGCGTTCTTGCTGGTTCGAGATCACTTTCTGAAGTCTCTGGCTGTGTTCAACGCGTGCTCCTACGTGCTCGGCATCGGGGATCGCCACCTGGATAACTTCCTCTTTAACCTCTCGAACGGCCGTGTGATCGGAATCGACTTTGGAGTAAGTTTTGGTGCCGGCGCAAGTATCCTTCCTGTTCCCGAGTTGATCCCTTTCCGGTACACGAGGCAGATGGACTTTGTTTTCCAGCCGTACGATGGTGCGAATCTACTAGCTCAAGAGATGCAGGCAGTGTTTGAGGCGCTGCGCGCGAAGCGGCAGGTCGTGGAGAGCGTGATGAACGTCTTCCTGCACGAACCTCTGCTGGATTGGCAGCAGTCCACCACGACGTACCAGAAGGCGCTATTTGAGGCATCGGAGGGCGATGATCGGTCAACCCTGCAGGACAGTGACGTCGACATGGAGGACGTGGAGGAGCTTACCCCCACGCGGGCGTCTCGTTCCAGCAAGAAGTTGAGTGCCTCCCCTGCTGGCGCTCCCGCTGCCACAGCATGGCTGCCCGATGTCAAGATTGCAATTGCGCGGAGGAAGTTGGAGGGCGTCTCACCCAAGCTGCTGCTGAAGGAGGAGCTGTCGCAGAACCCACACCTCAAGCCGCACATTGGCAAGTTCCACGCTCTGGTCGACGCTGCGAGCAGCAGTGAGAGCGGCACCCACGAGATGGCGGCAATGAGCTCGCTAGCGCAAGCGCAAGAGCTTTTGGCGATGGCTACTGCACCCGACGTGCTCGGGCGCACGTTTCAAGGATGGATGCCGTGGTTGTGAGCGGAGGCAATCGTGCAGGCGAGTTGTAAGAGCAGTCGACCACCAGATAAGCTTGTCACCCAACGGCCTCTTTCATGCAACACACTCTAGTGTCAATCGACCTCAACGACCATGTTCTGCTGCCAACAGGTCCCTCATAACCACGCCGTTACTGCAGCTGGGGGGGGGGTTCCACTTCAACCCATAACGGATCCCTCAATCAAATGGATCCGTTGCGGACGCAGCAGCAGCACGATTGACAGATGTTGGCCGGAGGTTAGATAGCAACGCCGGGGAATAACTGTAAAACCCGAACTGATTGGCGGAAATTGTTGAACTGCGCGATATCATTGGCTGAAAGTGTCACGTCAGTTTCAACCAATCTTGTCGCACGAAAAATGCATGGCCGAAACGACCGGGGACTAGGTCCGCCCGCCTTCTCGATCGTTTTTCCCATTATCCATCCACGCGAGACGAGCCCGAGCCAAAAGTCGGCCCCCTCCCTCTTCGCCGATCCTCCGCCCCCTGCATCGCCTTCGTGCTCCCCCCTCCTCCCTCTGTGCATCCCCCCTCCCCTCCCCCCTCCCTACACAACCATGGACATCTCCGCCGCCCTCCTCAACACCCAGAGCCCTGGTACGCATGTGAACGTGTATGAATGTAGCCAAACCTGTCCGGGTCAGGATACGCTAACCTGTCTTGTGCCTTATCCTGTCTCCAGACCTGACGCTGCGCAAGCAGGCCGAGGAGTTCCTGAACAATGCGCTGCAGCAGCAAATGGGCCAGTTCATGGTGACGCTCGTGCAGGCGCTGGCCTCGGAGGAGTTCGCCGTGGTGGGCCGCCAGGCCGCCGGCCTGTACCTCAAGAACGTGCTGGACGCCAAGGACGACGCCCTGCAGCAGCAGAAGATCAACGCCTGGATGGCCATGGACCCGGCCCTGCGCACGCAGATCAAGGACGGCTCGCTCGGCGTGCTGCAGTCCAACGACCCCGTGGCCCGCCACACGAGCGCGCAGCTCGTGGCCAAGATCGGCAGCATCGAGCTGCCCAACAAGGAGTGGCCCACGCTGCTCGAGTCCCTGCTGCAGAACGTGACGGGCGGCAGCGAGGGCTGCATCCACGCCACGCTCGAGTGCCTCGGCTACCTCTGCGACGAGCTGGAGGAGAACGCTATCGACGAGCAGGACACGAACCGCATCCTCACGGCCATCGTGGACGGCATCCGCGCCGACCGCCCGCCGGCCATCCGCCTCGCGGCCGTCACGGCCCTGCGCAACAGTCTGGAGTTCGTGAGCGAGAACTTCAAGCGCAAGCAGGAGCGCGACCACCTGATGCAGAAGATCTGCGAGGCCACGCAGTCGCCCGACCTGCGCACGCGCGTCGTGGCCTACGAGTGCGTTGCGGCCATCGCCACCATGTACTACGAGTACCTGGCCGAGTACATGGAGACGCTGTGCAAGCTGACGTTCAACGCCATCACGAGCGACCAGGACGAAGTCGGCCTGCAGTCGCTCGAGTTCTGGTCGTCCATGTGCGACGTTGAGCTCGACCTGATCGAGGAGATGAATTACGCCGAGCTGGAGGGCCGCACCGACTTCATCCCGTGCAACTACTACGTGCAGACCGTGCTCAACACGCTCATCCCGCTGCTCACGGAGACGCTGAAGAAGCAGGAGGACGACCAGGACGAGGACTCGTGGAACCTGTCGATGGCCGCCGCCACGTGCCTTGCGCTCGTGGCCCAGGTCGTCGGCGACGCCTGTGTTGACCTCACCATGGCGTTCATCACGCAGAACATTGACTGCAACGAGTGGCGCCCCAAGGAGGCTGCCATTATGGCCTTCGGCTCGATCCTGGACGGCCCGGACTCGGCCAAGATTGCCCCGCTTGTGCGCCAGGCGCTTGGATTCCTCATGGGCTGCATGAAGTTCGACAACATCCTGGTGCGTGACACGACCGCCTGGACGCTTGGCCGCATCTGCGAGCTGCACTACGGATGCATCAGCGGCGAGATGCTGCCCGGCCTGATGCAGCTGCTTCTCGAGGGTCTGGACCAGGAGCCGCGTGTGTCCCACAACGTTTGCTACGCCATCCACAACATCGTGAAGGCTTTCGAGGAGTCGGAGGCGGCCGCCCACATGCTGACCCCGTACTTCAGCACGCTCTTCGACAAGCTTCTGGAGACCAGCAGCCGCCCGAACGCCATGGAGAGCAACTTGCGCGGCTCCGCGTACGAGGCTCTCAACGTGCTGGTGCAGGCTGGTGCTGATGAGGTGAACGAGCACATCATGCTGCGCCTCCCTGTGATTCTGGAGCGCCTGGAGCAGAGCATCAAGGCCCTCATGGAGAACCCGGACAGCCTCCACGACGACCAGGCTGGCCTGCAGGCACTTCTGTGCGGTGTGCTCATTGCTGCCATCCAGAAGCTGAACACCGACATCGACCCGTTGGCCGACCGCATCATGCAGGCTCTGCTGCAGGTGTTCTCCACCCGCAATGCTGCGGCTGCCGAGGAGGCCTTCATGGCTGCGGGTGCTCTGGCCAACGTTGTTGGAGCCAAGTTCGAAGTCTACATGCAGTACTTCGGTCCGGTGCTGCTCATGGGCCTGAAGAACAGCGAGGAGTACATGGTTTGCAACGTTGCTGTGGGCGTGGTGGGTGACCTTTGCCGTGCCCTGGAAGGCAAGATCCTGCCGCTGTGTGATGACATCGTGGCTGCTCTTATCGAGATTCTGAAGAACCCCATGCTGAACCGCTCGGTGAAGCCGCCGGTGCTTTCCTGCTTCGGTGACATTGCTCTTGCCATCGAGGGCGAGTACGAGCGCTACGCCGTATCTTCGCTCCAGATGATCCTGCAGGCCGCGGGTGCCTGCGGATCTATTGCGACTGATGACGAAGAAGTGGTGGAGTACATGAACCAGCTGCGCGAGAGCGTGCTTGAGGCGCTGACGGGCATTGTTCAGGGTCTGGGTGCTGCCAACAAGGCCCCGATGCTGATGGAGTGTGCGCCACAGATTGGAGCGTTCCTGGCTACTTTGGCGAACGACCTTGCGACGCGATCGGACGCGGTGACGACTGGTGCGGTGGGCTTGATTGGGTACGTGGAAATCTGTGCTTGCTTGGTACTGGAATGTGTATGGTTTATTAATCTGTTGTCTGCTGTGACCTGTATAAATTAGTGACATGGGCCAGGCGATGGGCAAGGCGGTGGAGTCGCTGTTCCACCAGCAGTTTGTTGTTCAGCTTGTGAGCGAGTGCGCTAACAACACGCAGAACCCGCAGGCGCAGCAGCTGGCTGCGTGGACGCAGAAGGTGATCATGGACCTGCAGGCGAATTAAGCTTGGCTGACTTCGGCTTTGATTTCCCGCTGCTTGGCTTTCGCTGTTTGCCTTCTGCAAGCACAAAGTTGAGTGGGTGGAGGAATTGAAGTGCGTGTAAACCAAGTGTTCGATGAACCTGCAGGCGAACAACTGTAGTTGGCCCCGAGTTGCTGTCGGCCCTACCGCTTTTGCTGTTTGCCTTCTGCAAGCACAATCGCGAGTGGGCCAAGTGGTTCGAGCTGCCGATCGGACGACGTGCACTTTGTCGTGCGCGTCGGTTTTCCTGCATGTTGGAGTGCTTTGTGTGGCATGCTGACATTTATTTATCGGGAGTGTTCAGCTAGCTGGCTTACGGCAGCGTGTGCAAGTGTGCTCGTTGGCGTCGCAAGGACTTGTCGAGTGTCAAAGTGGGCTGTGTGCGCTAGTTCTCCCCGACTGGGAGGACGGGCGATGCACGAAGTTCACTGAGCGCTCGTTTGTGAGTCAGTAGGAAACCTAGTTTCCATATTCCTAGAATACAATTGCGGGGGTGGAAGGGCAGGTTCGGCTGCATGACGCAGCCAACTTGTTCGACCATCTCTCCCTTTTCCCACCAAATTGCTGGATCAATCGTGTCGTTGTTGATCGGTAGGGATGAAAAGTGTTTCTACTTGTCTATTGATATGCGAATCTGCTGGCTGCTTGTTTGTCTACAAGAGTTGCTCAAGGTCTACAGGCTTGAACGCTCCCTTGGACTCCTCCATGAACACTACGCCTTGCTCTATGATAATTTGGTGCTTGCCAAACGCGTACACTTGCTGTCCGTCGTGGAAACCCTTTGGCATGAAAGTCAAGTTGTGACTGATTGCCAGATTTTCAATGACATCCTTCAAGCTGACAGTGCTGCGAGATACGCTCCGAGGCGACGATTTTGCCTCCCGGACCGGTGACTCCTTCACCTCCTCATCTCGTGCAAGTGCCAACGCATCCTGATAGTTCATGGCCGCACTGCCGTTCAACTCAGGAACAGGGGGTTTGCTGTCATGGGGCACACCAACCGACTCCGTTGCGACCTGCAGAAGTGTGAGAGCTCCATGAAAATGTACCAGTAATCGCTCGTTCGTCGCCAGCTTGTTCTTCGCAAAGAGAAGCTTCCACCCACAGTACCATTTCTCGAGCTCGATCAGATTTGGCGAGCCGCTTACCCATTTGCGCAACACCTTGAGCCACTTGGGGAAGAACTCGCCTTCCAACAGAGCGATAAACTGACGGTCAGGGAGATGGTCTTTCCACGCCAGCACCCACGTCAGAGCTTCCAGAGATTGGTTTTCCGGGTTGATCTCGAACTCGCGGTGCAAACATCGGGTCAACTTTCGCACGATATGCCGATGAGTGAACTTGCCGTACTCGCGTTCACCCCAAAGTTCTCTCCACGGAGATAAAACAGCAAACACCGACAGGTCCGACGGATGCCATTGATTCAAGGCGCTAGCTAAGGCCAACCGGATATCAGGGTACAGAGACTTCATTGCAGATCCAAGGTAGGGCAGCCAGGGAAGAAGCCACTCGTGGATCGGTATCGTATCGGAGCGAGGGTCCCATCGATGGCACTCCTTCTTCAGACGAGCGAGTACCAGCTGGTTCAAGAAAGCCTCTTCAAATTCACTCGAGAGATATGGTCTGAATCTCAGGAATGCATCAACGCAATCGGTCGGAGCGGACTTGGCCTTCCAGTCCACAGTCACGCACTGCACCATTGCAGGCCATAACGTCTCCTCCAATATGAAGTTGTACAGATCATCACCTTCAGCCAATGTGTTTTCACGGATAACGGGGAGTACGCTAGCCGACGCACTTGCATCCTTTGCAGCCTTCTTGCTCGGTAGCTCCGTCAAGAACGATTGAACCAACCGCAACTGCTGGACAACCGCCTCACCCGACTTTTGCTCCAGTAGATCAGACTCCATTAGCAAGGCTCGAAGCGGAGGCATGCAGATCGACGGCACCAACTGCTGCAGTTTGTGAGCGTCGAATTCCAGCGGGAAGCTCCGTCGAACAGTGCGCAAGTGAGACAACATAAGCTCCACGGATTGCTCCTCCAGAACTTGTTCGCGCAGCTTATCCAGCGCTTTCATTTGCTCCACCATGGCTTGCATATGCTGCAGCCGGACGTCATCCACGTTCAATTGCGCCTTGATCATCTTGGCCTCTTTCTTCATCGCAGCAACGGTCTCCGTGTTCATGTCAATCTTCTGCGTCAAGTCGTAGATCTTGCCTTGCGCTAGATTCACCACCATCCGCACATTGTAAATGAGCTCATCGCCCAACTTCGGCTTGGCCGCTTCCACACGCTGTGGATCGACGTCATAGGCCGCTTTCACGTCCGATAGTACGCGGACAGAAGGTCCGCGCATGTCCAGCACGACGTCGCTTCTCTTCTGCTTCTTCATATCGTGAGCTTCCTGCGTCAACTCGGCCGCTCGCTTGTGTTTCCTGCGTCCAGCCACCACCTTCCTCTTTCTCCACAGACTGTCGTCCTCCACAGCACCCGCAGCAGCTCCTGCCGCCTCCTCGTCCTCCACAGTTTCCCCCTTGAGCTCCTTCTGCAGCTTCCGGTTCTGCTTGAGGTTGCTAGCCTCCACGAAGTCCCCAAAACCGATGCCCATCTGCGCAGGCCGCATCTTGACCGCGATAGTGGCCGACACGCCGTCCTCCTTCTTGCCCAGACGGCCCTTGAAGCCCATCTTGGCCAGCATCTTGGTGCCGAAGCCCGTCGTGTGCTTCTCCCAGCCGAACGTCTTGCTCTTGACGGGTCTGACCGCGGGATCCTTCTTCTCGTCGGCCCCAAGACCCATTCCAGACCCAGAACTGGGTCGGAAGCCCAGACCAGACCCTGAGCTAGATCCAAGTCCAGTTCCTGACCCAAAACCGATGCCAGAGCCGCCGGAAGCTTCGTCAGCGGCGGCGTCGGACGTCTCGGGCTCCATCTCTTGGCGCCGTCTCCTAGCCGCCGCCTGCATCGGATTCAACTCGGGTTCGGCGCTGGTGGGAGATGAAGCGTCCGGCTGTGTGCTAGTGTCCTGATCGGCGCCCTCCTGACGCGCCTCCTTCCGGAACATCCGCGCGAAGTCGGCGTTGCTCATGCCCCCGCCGGAAGACGCCATGTTTGGTGGAGAATGGCAAAGTGAACAATTAATTGGCTTTTGATTTTATTTCGTGTGTACCGGGTTTATTTGTAACGTTAAAAACGTTTCTTTCCTTTTTAAACTGCTGACAAGGTCAACTTCCATTCATGCGGTTTTTTTAGGCAACGCTGTAGACTAGACTTTACTGTAGGCTCGATATCAATCTACAGCACTGGTATCACGCTTCGTGGCGATTAAACGCCAGAGAAATCAAAGGTCTTGGACAACTTGGACGAAGCCGTCTTGCACACCGAACCATCGTCTTCTACGATGTTGAGCTCCGGGCTCTTGCACGCAGCGATCTTCAGCTTGCACGGGTTCGAGTACTTGATGCCGTTCGAGCCGCACACGGGGTTCATGATGTCAGGGCACGCATCGGCACACTTCTTGATTGAGACTGAGTGGTCTTCGCCGCCGAGTCGTCGTTTCCATCATTGCTAGCCACTTGTTGCTTGTTCTTCCTGCACTTGGCTGCACGCATCTTACACTCGTTCGTGTACGTGACCCTCACGTCAAGGCACGCGTCGGCGCAGAAGGAGTCCCAGATGCTTGGCTTTGCAGTAGCGACTGCCGGCGTGGGGGCGCCACCGCCTCCTCCGTTCTGCTTGCACTTCGCCGCCAGCATTTTGCACCTGTTGCTGTACGTGACGCCGTTCTCATCGGACACGGGGTCCATAACGGCGGGGCAAAGGTTGGGGCAAATCGAGTCGAAGACGCTGGGTGGCGACGACACAACGGGAAAGAAGCCCATCGAGCTCACGTCGTGGACGGCGAAGGTGTACTTTTTACTCCAATTTATGAACCCCTGTATCACAATTGAGAATGGGGTAGGGCAAATGAACTATCATAGCCTGCCCGGGGGCGATTTCGATCGAATTTTACCTCTTTTTAAGAACACAGGAACTCATCTTGGACGGCGCCCAAAGACGACCCTTCAAATGTTACCTTGTTCGAAGGTTTAACAAGTTATTAAACTGAGCTTAACTTTTTATCGAACCGGAGATCGCCCCGTTTGTAGCAGCGAACAAACGATTGCGTTAATCGTTTAGTAAGAGTTGACGACCGACGATTTATGCACATGGACCGTGGAACCCTTTTCAAGGGGTGGATGAATTCCGGTTAAATGTGGTAAAGGAGGCAAATGACCGCCGCAAAAAACATATGAGAGGCAGCTCCGTAAAAAGTCTCCGTTAACGTACGAAACAATGTTCTGAAGAGTCGTTTGGACGAGAGCTATGTGTAGACTGGGATAGCTAAAGAACTTGGTGTGAGGTAAGTGGAGCATCTCCAGTGGAGAATCTCCACCACAGCTGTGTCGTCGCGTCAGCGAAAACTACGAGAAACAGCAGTTTACCTCCCACCGGGGCCTCACTGTCGCTCTCCAACAACCTGAGCGTAGGGAAAGAGGTTTGGGTTCGTTCAATACCCCAGTAACGCAGCGATAGCGATAGCGCCCGGAAATGCTGTAAGAAGCAAAACTTAAAAATTGTAAGGTTACTTCGTAATATTACTGGAGTATGATCAATCACAGACAGAACACAAATTAATGTATTCTTTCCTGTCGTTGTTGTCGTTGTAATTGTAAGAGACTGAACGTGCAGCTCACTTATTCGTCTTCGTAGTCGCGAGCGTGACGTATGTGCAGCTCGTTGCTCAACTTGTAGTTGGGGGAGACGGACTAGAACGGGTTCGTAGCCGTCTAAAGTAAGCGAAACTGGACGTACAGTCACTCCGCTGCTCAAGCCGTATACGTAGTATTTTTGTTTTTCACTGTTAACGCCAGCCACACGTCGACGTAGTAAACAGAGGACATCAAGGCTGTAAGCGTTGAAATAGACCAGAGCAGCGCGTGCAGCCCAGGGCTCAAGTCGTAGTAGTAGACATTCAAGGGCGAGTTGGTAGCCGTCGAAAGGGAATGGATCTGCACGTACAGCCCGCTGCTTAAGTCGTAGTTGTACAAGTCGAGCGAGACCGACCTTGCAGGCGTCAAAGCGACGGACAGGACCGTACAGCAAGTCGGTGGTGTCGACGGGCGAGATTGCGCGTGCAGCTCGCGCCGGATCCGTAGTCCGCGAGCGGGACTGCACTTACAGCCCGCTGGTCAAATTGTAGTCGAAGAGACGGAAGACAGTGAGTTTGTAGCCGCCGAAGCGAACGGAGCTGCACGCCGGTACTGTCGTACTCAGAACAAGCAACCATTTCAGCACGAACTGACTGAAGCGGCTACCGGCAGCCACTACGACTACGGAGGCGATCTGTAAGTTTGCATTCTATGCCTACAACATCAGCAGCGGACTGTACGTGCAACCCCGCTCGGCTTCGACAACCACGACTACGAAGCCAGGGACTACAACATCAACGGCGTCCTGTAGGGGCAGCTCCGTTCGCTATCAACGGCTTCAAATCGATTTTGCTCGACTTCCACGACTACGACTTGATCAGCGAGCGGTACATGCAGTTCCGCTCGTCTTCGATAACTCTAGACTACGCCAGCAGCAGCCTGTATGGGCCGCTCTGTTCGCTGCTAGCGACAAAAAACTCGGTCTCGATCGACCTCCTCGATTATGACTGTAACAGTCGGTTTTGCATGGTTCCGTCCGCTTTCGAGAAATACGACTACGGAGCTGGCGCGAGCTTTCCATCTGTCTAATACAATTAACTTCCACATCAGCGGCGGGTTGTACGCGCCGCTCCGCTCGTTTTCAACAACTACAACTTGGTCACGAGCAGCGGGCTGTGCGTGCCACTCCGTTTGCCTTCACCGCCGATGAATTCGTGTCATCCGGCCACTGCGACTACGACCTGTGTGAGGTACAAATGTTCTCCATCACTCTCTGATTTCAGATGGATGAGCCGATATTCGGTTAACTTCAGTTACCGGGGCCAGTTTTTCGGCTTCAGTATTACCGGCTTCAGTTACCGAGGTGCCGCCTAATTAATCTGTGTTGGGCTGGCCACAGCACTCCCTTTGGGCTCACTGCTATCCCAGAATTAAGTTATTCATAGATAACCTAATTCAAGGTATCGGTCAGTACACTGATAAATCCTTGGCAAAACTGGCATGGAGCAGTGAAGTCCAAGTCCAAAGGCTATACTATAAGCAAAAAGGCAGCACTAAAATTAGTTGGCATACAGCGTCGGACAGAATGTAACTGCCAGCACTGAGTGATGGTGAAGAGCATGTCGCTGTACACCCAATAAATAGCCGCTCCAGTTTTGATGATATGATTGGTTAAAACATTTATTGGGATGATTTGCTTAGTAAAGATATATCTAGGATTTTGTATGATATTAGAATATCACAAACTCAAAGTCGATGTTAATTGGCTAGAACTATAATTTACCATGAAATAAATAGTACAATATGTTTACCCTTTGTACAGTTGAACCTCCTCTATATTCCTAGCGAGTTATCCTAAGGTGGCAGTTACCGTATTTCGCATGTAGAAAGCTGCACCGGCATATGAGATGCACTTTGATACTACCAATCAGTGCGCGGCATTTGCCATGGCACTAAATCGCATGTAGAGAGATGCAGTACTCAAACCCTTTCAAAACTAATACAAATGCTCACCACTCACTTCATTGCACTTCGTAGCCCGCGCTCTCGGGGGTTGGCGCCAATTTGTTTTTGCCGATGGCGCGCACCAAGCCACGGCCAGTCGGCAGGCCACGCCTAAATGGCAAAGGCCGCTACCAGACCAAGCACATCAAGAAGAGTGTCAGCGTCGCAAAGAAACTCGAGGTGTTGTCCTTCTGGGCAAATGCGCCGAAGCCCAAGATGAAACATACAATCGCCCATTTCTGGCACGATCTGGCCCCCGAGTTCTATAACTCGAAGCGCACGATGATCCAGCGCTGGCGGCGTGAATCGGCAAAGCTTGAGGCTACTATGAAAAATAGCAAAGGTAAACATTTAAAGGTGCGAAGCTTAGGAGTTGGGACGATCCTCCCACCAGAGGTAGAACTAGAAGTGGTATTCTAGGTGAACAGTTTGCGCAAGGAAGGTGTGCCTGTTTCGCCGCGCATGCTGGCCCTACAAGCACGGCGGGTTGCAGCTGAAGCGGGCATCAGGAACTTCCGATCGTCTGACAAATGGATTCAAGGATTCCGAGGCCGCCATCGCATGAGTATGCGAGTTCCAACTCGTCAAAGCCAAATCAGCCCCGAGGATATTGCCAAGGTTAAAGCGGAGTTTGCAACAGAAGTCGAGAAAATGGCTCGGCAGCTGGGTATTACGCGAATCTACAATGCAGATCAGACAGGTTTGTTTTTTATTTATTCTAACTGCGAATGTATATTTTAACTTATGTTCTCTAGCTGCATTTTTTGAGTATCTGCCTACCAAGAAAACAGTGCATGCTCGCGTGTGTGGATGAGATGTGCCGGCTCTTCAAAGGAGCGTGCGACCGTGATGCTACTGGGGGATTCAAGCGGGGTACGTTATACCCCCTTCGTAGTCTTCAAGATGAAGCCATCGAAAAACCCAGCCATTGTCAAGGAGAACAACGAAAAACGATGTGGCTTTGGCACGCGAACGTGGCCAGAGATCAGGAAGCTGATAGCTGAAACCGGTTTGCAGATTTACGCCAACGGCAAAGGTACGCTTCTTTTTTTTACTTGCTCAAAATGATTTATCTCATTTTCTTTTTATTATTATTGTTTTTCTTTTTAGGCTGGTGGAACAGTGATCTTTCGCTAAGGTTCCTACATTTTCACTTTGGTTACCGCACGTCGCATGCAGAACCCGTGCTGCTCCTCTGGGATGACTTCAGCGGCCACTGGACCGCTGAAGTGCTGGCTTACGCTGCATCTATTAGGGTGGTGCTGCTGAAGGTGCCTCCCCATGCTACGTCTGTTTGCCAGCCTGCAGACGTAGCATGGAATCATCTGTTCAAGACTTGGCTGCGCAGGTTTTGGCTCGAGGACATCCAGCGGCAACTGATGCAGCGGAAGCCAAGTTTAAGCTGACTCCACCAGGCCGCGCCGGGATGTGCCATTGAATTCGCGCTAGTTGGGAGAGCCTGAGCTCCGACACCATCGCGAATGGATACAAGAAATGCGACTTACACCTCAACGAGGAGTGCCTCGCCGCCGCGTCGCTGGTGGCAGAGCTGCAGAACCTATCGCTAGTAGGGCCAGTGGCCAAGGCGGTCGACCAAACTCAAGACTTCGACCGCAATGTCATTCTGGACGAAGTTGTGGTGTAGCTTTCTTCTACAATACATATTTTGATGCACATCGTTTTTTAAAGGTATGTTTTCTGTTGTGAACATCATGTGCAGCTTTCTACATGCGAAATACGGTATATTCTGTCCGACGCTGCATTAGTTGCTGCAATGGTTGACTGAAGAAATCTATAAATCGCTTGCTGCACACAGTTCTGCAGCATCGGGGGCAACCGAGTACGAAGATTGGCATGATACAGAAAGCGGTGACTAGGCCAGACGTGCCATATAGTGGAGACAATAGCCAGGATGTGTGCTCTGTAGCTGTGAAGAAAACGTGGAGAACTCTCTTTTTGCCCTGACATTTGGTATATTATTCTGACAACCTTGATAAATAGACGATGTATTGTCATTTGCACAGGAAGTAAGACGTCGTTGCTCTCCAAAATCGCATGCTATTTCCTGAGCAATTTAAAGTAGCAATGTGCAATTCTGACACCAACTTTTGGTCTTCACAAACGCCAAATGTATAGCTAACACTAGCGTTTGTGAAATGTTTGTTACTGTATAGTGAATCTGGCGAACATGTATGTGGAGTGAGACGTGTAGTCGTTCATCTTGAAGCTCTTTTAAATCACTTACAGTGAGTTCGTGTTATTGTGAAAAGCACTTACGTGTGGGGGGGGGGCACACTGCTGGTCTCGCTGTTTCAATGAGCTTTAAATTAATGTAATGTAAGAGCAAATGTGCTTTCAGAGATATTGCAGCGATGGGGGCACAGTCAAATCATGTTCGGATACGTGTTAGCTAGTCGAGCTCCGTGTTGGAGCTGGACGAAGCCCCAGGGAGTGGTGGGCTGGGTTGTCTGCTTCTGGCGCGTTGAGAGTTTGGAAATGACTGCATCTACACAACGCCGACGAGCTGGCCTTGATCGTGGAGGCTGAGATGGTCTATTCTCCGTGTACTCGCCTTCTTATCTCTGAAAAATAGTCTTCCCTCGAATTAACTCAGGAAACCATCCAATACCAGTGGTCGTTGAATGTGTAACGAGTCTGCTAACGCCAGCTCGTCAGCGGGCCGTCGCTCGTAGTGCTTTTTGCTGCCTCCGCGCCAAGGTCCGTCGTCATGAGGGGTTTGTCACTTCAACATCAACACCTGTGGGCCACCGCAAAGCAGCCGGGACCTACGCCCCTATTTATTAACCTCAGTACAACCAGGGCAGCGCGTTGTCGTCCTGCGACTCGCTCTCGTCGTTCTGGAGCTCGTTCTCGTTCGTCAGCTCGTTCACGTCCGGCAGCTCGTTCTCGTCCGTCAGCTCGGCATCGCCCGGCACCTCGTCCTCGTCCGGCAGAACGTTCTCGTTGTCAGCTTGGCGTCGTCCGTCAACTCGTTGTTGTCCGTCAGCACGTCTTCGTCCGGCAGCTCGTCCGACAGCTCGTTCTCGTCCGGCAGCACGTCGTCGTCCGTCTGCTCGTCATCATCCTGCAGCTTGTCATCGATCCACTGCAGCTCATCGTCGCCCTGCTACAGCTCGTCATCGTCCGACAGCACGTCTTCGTCCGGCAGCACGTCTTCGTCCACCAGCTCGTCTTCGTCCACGACCTCGTCGTCGTCCACCAGCTCGTTCTCGTCCGTCAGCTCGCCGTGCGCTGCTGCAAGGGCTGCGCGGGTGCCCCACTTGCTCTCGTCCGGGTACAAACCCAAGTGAGCGCTCGCTAGCTCGCGCGGCGACGGAGCACGCCACCCGTCGCGCGCTGCTCACCACTCGCTTCGATCCGTTCCTCGGACCGCTGCCCACGGCCCTCTAGCCCAAAGATCCTTCATGTGCAGTTCTCCGCATGGTTGCCACTTCGGGCTGTCGTTGCCGCTTGCAGACGGTGATCGCGGCAGCGGTTGCAGAGCCGCATGGCTACATTTCATACCTGTTACAAATGTAATGTGACTGAATTTTTCGCCATGAGTTACAATTTTACTCATATATTGGTTTGCTGAATGCCCAAGCACGATTTCGCCTGGTACTACGGGGGATATTTAACGATGTCCACCCGGAATTTTGTTGCAATCGATTCAGCGGCCAACAGTGGCAACGCCAAAGCCACTTAGAATGATTCGAAAAGTGTTTATTTACTACTGTAGCATGGAAACCAGGACTAAGCAAAAGACTATACATCGATTTACGGTTGAAATAGGTCGAAAGCTACGACGGCACTACCAGATGCGGCACGAGATCCCTTGCTGTTACGTCAAGCCTCTTTCCTGTCTTCATTTATGGCGGCGACGGATGACTCGGACATGCAAGTTCTAGTTGATCAGCATGTGTACAACGTCGGGAACACGCGCGCTGTCTACCAGTGCTCACTGCGCTCGCTCGTGGCATCGGTCCCCGTGCTGCCTATACCGTATTAAACTCCAAGCCCGGTCATTTTAATAAAATCTGATGCAAACCCGGCACTTCGTGCATATATTTTTGAAACCAATTTGGTAAAAGTACGAGTGTGTATAGGATACTTGGGGGCGGTGCTGAGAAGCTAAGATACAACATTTTCCGAAGCAATGCCTCTCTAGCAACCGGGGCGAAAATTCGCCGTGAGGATGCTGCTATACTAGTACTAATGACATCATCAGAGAACAGCAACGGCTAAAGTTATAATACTTGTTGTACGACTTACAGTACGAGCTCAACTTGGTGGCACACGATATCCTACTGCGGTTGGTGGATTCGCAAGCAAAATGCGGCAACAAGTTCTGCTGAATACTGCTGAATGATCCATTTTTTCATGCATTCATTGTGTATAGCTCAAGACAAGTGGAGGTTCCTATCCACTCGTGTACATTAAGCAGTGCTATACTCTAGGCACTGCGAACGATAACCGAGTCAGCCAGCTACTTAATCCAGCTTAATCGTCTTGCTCGACTCGCGCAGAATCGTGTCGTCCTGCGTCGCCACCTTGGAGCACGCGGACTCGTCCTCCACGATGTTTTGGCCCGGGTGCTTGCACGCAGCGATCTTGAGCTCGCACGGATTCGAGTACTTGATGCCGTCCGAGCCGCAGACAGGGTTCATGATGTCCGGGCACGCGTCCGCGCACTTCTTGCTGGGCTTGGGCTTGTCACCGCCAATGGTGCCGGCGTCGGAGTTGTCGTCGTACAGCTGGCCGATAGTGCTGCCGTTGGCGTGCGACTTCTTCTCCGACTTGGAGCTCTTCTCGGACTTGGAGCTCTTCTCCGACTTCTCCGATTTCTCGGACTTGGTAGCAGCGTCGTCGTCCTCATCGTCGGCCTCGTCGCCAGTGTCACGCGAAGCTCCAAACGAGCGGCCGTAAATGCGCTTGTACTTGGCCAGAACGTTCTCACGGGGGCCCTTGCACTTGGCAGCCTCCATGGCGCACTTGTTGGGGTACATCTTGCCGTTCTCGTCGGAAACGGGCTGGTACACGGCGGGGCACAGGATGTTGGGGCAGTATGACTTGGGGGCACTTCCGTCCGTGACCTTTCTCTCGTTACTGTCAGACTCGTCGCTGGCGGAGTCGTCCGTGTTGCTGTCGTCGTCGACGCCGCGCGAGGCGCCGAAGGACTTTCCGTAGATGCGCTTGTACTCGTCCAGAATGTTCTCGTCCTTCTTCTCGCCCTTGCACTTGGCCGCCTGCATGGAGCACTCGTTCGGATACGTCACGCCATTCTCGTCCGTGACCGGGCTATAGACATCAAGACACGCGTCGGGGCAGTACGCATTGACGGAGGCGACGGCGATGGCCGCAACGAGGAGGCCACCGGCGAACTTCATGTTTTGATCTGAGCTATGAGATTTGAGCTTGAGCTTGTCTTGAGCGAATTCAACAATGGTACTTCCCTCGCTGCGCATTTCGCGTCACGCACGTGGTCTCTCTTGATTAAAACCAAGAGAGCCCGCCCAACCACTACGGAAAGACAGTCAGACCCTCAGGGTTGTCCCATCCACAATTCCAGCCGGGATTAATTTCGCGATGAGGACCATAGTATTTTGCTGTTCGACCCCAGACAGATTGGGATCGAGTTTTGTCGATCTGCAGGTGTCGTCCTCCGCTGTCTATCGAAGCAACAGCAGTTCTGAACGAGCTTGAAGGAGACTGTCTTCGTTGAAATTTTAGCGATGTTCATTATTTCGGGGTGTGCTCTGCAACTTGCAGAACTCAGTCTATCACTGCGCTGCAGTCTCCAATAACTTACCACACATCTTGTGCATGGTACCGAACTGAGCTTACATGTACAGTAATCTGCCCGAGTAAGGAACGCCTGATATAAATAAAGACGCAGAATATATAAATTGATGTTAAGTTGAGTATACTTTTCCAATGTACTGATTTAGTTATTTCAAAATGAACTGAAGAGCAGCTTTACCTACGAGTCCGGAATGATTCCAACAGTGGCGTATGGTCGAAGCACTAACCTTTGACCAGGCATCCTCGCACCACAACAGCGCTGTCAACTGGTCGACCTCGTAGGGATTATCTAGCCCTTCACCAAGCCGGTCGCATCATTTTAAGTGAGGCGGAGACGCTTGGACGGTGTGGACTTCATGGGTGGAGTGGGGCTTGTGGGGCGAGGTGCAAAAGCAAAAGTGCGAGTCTACCACTACGGTACATGTAGTTTGAAGTCAAGTAAGATCGCTAAATGCGCGCCATTTTTCAAACGAGGGTGGAGAGCTGATGATTGGCACTAGATTTTTCACCTTAGTACCTCAGTACCTTGCACATCCCCCTATCGCCACATCGACTGGAAAATAATATTAAATATGTGAGGCTATTAGTTGTACACCCGTTCCTTATTCGGGCAGAATTCTGTACGAGGATCAACGAAGTGAAATGCCGCAAAACAGACTTTTTATTTTATTTTCTGGGTATGGTCGGCTTGCTTTGCTTAGCCCCCTGCTGTCAGCTTGCGAAGCGATGTGCTGTAGTGTGATCCTTCATGTCTGGGTTGCCTGCTTCTCGGTCGCCCGCGTCTTTTGCTAGCTAACATGCGTAATCTCTGGAAAGAGCGATGTGATTACCAACCGCTTACCAACGGCGACCCCCTGCATCGCCGCCACCGCGACGATCGTCCCAGCGCGAACTCTGGCGAGGACGTCCACCGCTGCCTGAGTACGGCGCACTGGAGCGTTGGGCGAACGGTCCGCTGCTTCTATCATTGTTGTGGTACGAAGCGGAGCGGGAGGAACTTGACGTCGGAGCCACCAGCGCCTTCATCTTGAAAAACTGCAGCGCCTGCGACAGCGTCGGCAAGATAGACGACTCGATGCGGCCAAAGAAACGGAAGCCTCCCGACTTGACCTCCATGTGGCAGCTGCGGGGCGTTTCACGCGCGATATACGTGATTGAGAAGCAGCCGGGAAACTTGCTGTACACGTGCAACGCGTACGGAATGCGCGACGGGTGCTCCTTCTTCTGCTTGATCAGATCCTCCTCGACACTTTCCTTCGAGACGTTCTTGTAGTACTTGTAGCGAATCACATCGTCCACCAAGCTGTTCATAGGGTCCACAAAGCGGGCGATCAGCTCGTCGATGTTCTCGTACTTCTCTTCCTTGATAATCAACGTCTGGCCAATGCGGGCTTCAGACGGTTTGTCTTTTTCTTGAATATCGAAGTGTCGGTACACACCATCCAGCATTTTCCACGTCAGTGTGAGATGATCGGTGCCCAGAGTACTCGGACGAATAACCACTTCTCCAACGGGCTGCTCTCGCAGGTACTGCATTGCCGTCTGACAGTTGATGTTGCGGAACAAGGGGTGCGCAATCTGTCGCTTTTTGCGCCTCGAAGGGTGACTGCCTTGAACGCGGGTAGCCTGAGTAAACGTAGTCGCCTTGTCTTCCTCAGCTGGAGGTTCGTTCAACAGGCGATCTACGCGCTCCATGCTGTCGCTCTCGACCAACTTGGAGTTCGTGTATCGCGGGAACCGCTCTGGATAGAAACACATCGACATGTCGATGAGCGAGCGGCGGTTGCATCCAAGCTGCAGCTCGTAGCGACCTTCGCGATCCGACTGAATTGCCAGAATCTTGGCATTCACCGTAATGCCCTTGGGGAACGTCTGAGGGCGTACGTCCGAGAGGTAGTCTGGCAGTCGCTCGCGGTGCAGACTTGAGCGCATACCGCTCTGCAAACGGACTCGAACGAATTCGTCGCCTGACATGTGTAGCAGCGTGGCAGGAACGATCATGCCGATACGCAGCGTCTCCCGCGTTTCACCGTTGAGCAAGAAGAACAAGTCCTCATCCTTCGGCACCTGGTACTTTGCACGCTTGTCGAAGTAGGGGTATCGCAGCTCGCGCTTGATGTACTCCAGCGTCAGAAGTTTCGGTCCCTTCTTCTGAAGCTCAAGACGACCAGCGTAGGCAGACAGGTCGAGCTCGGACAATACATCTTGAATTTCTGCATCACCGAGCCGGGTGTTTGGCGGGGCATTTCGGCTTCGAATTGCAGACGCTGACTGGTACATCGTGTCCTCCACCGCGTACGAATAGTGATTCGGGTCGTACATGTCAATCGTCGAGTTGTTGTTAGCATCACCACAGATCTTCACTGCCATGTAATAGCTTTCGGGGTGGATACGGGTGTCATCCAGCGGATTCAACGGGGCTTCACGCAAGGCATCACGCTCACGGATGCGAATAAATCCGGCACAGTTGCGGTATACAATCTTACCAACGAAACCCTTGGAAAGAAGTTCTTGGCGTCGTTCAACGTAGTTCTTTGCACGAACCTTATCCAGAACTGATGCCGCCTTCACAGGACCCAGACCACAAATGAACTGCAGTTGGTACGATGTATGCTTGTGGTTAGCCAGCAAATTGATGTCAACACCGTACTTGTTGATCACTTGAACGAAAACACGGTCGTACTCCGTCAGGAGAAGGTCCTTCACAAGAGAGTGCTGCATCATGTGAACATTTAAGAACAGCAGCTCACGGCCACGACTCGGTTCGTTCATGGCAACATTTCCCCACATCGCGCACAACTCAGACGCTGGATTCCTCAAATAGCGTCCAAGGCCAATTGCAGCACGAACGTATTCAGATTCCTCAGGAAACTCCTGATCGGCGCGCTTGGAGCGACTGAACATGTTCGGGACATCATCTTTCAGGAAAACAATGTCAAGGAAGTCGTGACCATCCCTGTTTCCGAAGCGAGAAGCATCGTCTCGACCCAGCAAGCGTCGAACTTCATCGACCACTCCACCCATGTCCATGCACTTCATTCCGGCGGAAACGTTAATGACCACGACATGTGTTTGCGAGTGCTCCGTAAGGAACTTCAGCAGCGTGGCCGACAGCTTTTGGATGTTGTTCAGATCTCGCTTGCAGTATCCCTCCGTTTTATCGACCAGTTCTCCGTTCACGTCAAGAGCCACAATATGCGCAATGGAATCCATAGTGTTTTCAACCCAGATTGAAACAATAAACGGGTCCACACCATCGGCCGGCTCGTACGGACGCACAGACAACCTTTCCCGCAGCGCATTTCCACACATTTTCACGACCACATCGCGAGAAGACACTGTCAGGTCACGCTTGAGCTCGTTTTCGAACGACAAGATCATGAAACTGTTGATCGCCTCCTGGAGAACAAGATGACGCTGGCTTTGCCACTCCTCGTCGGAATCGTTGCCTTGGGACAGATAGATCGGCTCCAGCGGGTCCATCAGATCTTGGGCCTTCTCATTGATGATCGTAATCTTCAGTAGACCTTCCTTTTCGGCACGAGCAATCTTAAGCCACAGATCTCCGGCTTCAAAAACCTCCAGAACCGGCATCTTCTCGATGTATTGCAGACCGTGACAATAGTGGAATTCATCGATCTCCTCGCGGCCCTTGGCAGTTGCCTCCGTGCTCAAAACAGCGTTCTGGCGGTACAGCTCGCGAATGCACTTGCGAACGTTAGGCTCTGCCGCAACCTTACTGGCGGCAATGTGGCGAGCACCCTTCATAACATCATCCACAGTTGGAAACTCCTTCGTCGTATACTTCTGCGCCAGAACACCAGGGCTTTCTTCGGGGGTCGGGACGTCACGGTTGGAATCTTCGTGGTCCACGCCAGCCACGATACCACCAAGCACCGACGCATTCATCGTAAAAGCCAGAGAAACGGGACGCAATCCTGCCTTGGTGCAGATCTGATAGAACGTACGACGGACAGGACGGCGGTACTTGTGATCCGCGCTCTCCTTGTCCTGTCCGCTAGACTCCTGCGCATCCAGAGCGAAGAACTCGGACAGATCCTTGTACGTCTTCTCGTCCGGGGTGCCGAACAACTGTTCGTAGCACTTACGCACGAAGGCTGATTCCTTTGCATTCGATGAGTCGACCACTCGCTGGATACCGGTCTGGAATGACCTCCGCTTGCGATTCAACTTATCCCACTTAACATCGAGATCCAGAATCTCGTACAGGTTTTCCGTGTGCAGGCCCACCACTTTCCAGTACTCCTTGCAGTAGCGCTGCACGAACGCCGGCTCGAGCTTCTCATCGTGATAGAAACGCAAGACAGTGTCAATAGCCGACACAATTTCGCCACGCGACGCGGCAGAGTTACGCTGGTTCCGCCGTTCAAGGTTCTTGATAATAAAGTCACTGATCCATTCGGATTCCTCAGCACGGTCCTCCGCGTCCGGGAACTCGCGGTTCTTGAAGAGGTACTGGTATCGCTCCGGTAAATCGTGGTCGCGCACCGCGATGACGTCGGACGTCATCATGTGCTCCTTCAGCACGCTAGGCTCAAACTTCTCCAGCAGGATAGCCTTCTTCGACTTCGCAGGCGTGTCCTCCGGGATCTTACCGCTGGTGGCCTCCAGGAATCCGTCCATGTCTCCAAAGAGCTCCTCGGCCTCACCCATCTGATACACCGACGGGCCCTGCATGGACGCTGGGATCGGCTCCTGTTTCCTGCGGCGACGTGGTCCCTCACGTCCTTCCTCGTCATCGTCCACGATGAACTCGTCGATATCGTCACTTTCGTACTCATCATTGCCGAGGTAGTTGTTGGCGCGCTGCGGGGCCGAGTCTTCCTCCTCCTCGTCCGAGTCGCCGAACATGCGGTAGCTGAGCTCGCGCGACATGAGGCCCGAGTCGTCCTCGTTTTTCACCTTGCGCGACGAGCGTCCGCCCATGTCCTCGTCTTCGCTGTCACTATGGGTCGGGCCCGTGTCCATGCCCATGTTCTCGCGCACGAGCATGAGATCTTCGTCATCGATCTCCTCCACCTTCTGTTTCAGACGCTTGAGCTTCTTCTCTTTCTTGCGGCGACGACGGCGGTGGCGCGCTGATGGTAGGTAGATACCCAAGGCGTTCGACACAACAGGTGAGTCATGCTGTCTCACATAAAGAACCAAGTAGCAGCCCCTCTGGGGCGGGCCACTAGCAGCCAGGCTTACCGGTCTCCCCGTCGTCCGAGTCCTCGTCGTCCTCGTCATCCACCACGAAGCCGTCGTTCTCGTACTCGTTGCGGTCCTCGCCCTCGTCCTCGTCGTCGTCATCGTCGTCCGAGGCGGCGCCTCCCTCCCCGTCGTCGCTCTCGGACGCCATGTCCTCGATGAAGGCCGACTTGGGCTTCTGCTCAGGGGGGGGACAAGTTACCGTTAGACTCCAAACCTATTCTAATAGAGAGGGGAAATGGGTACAGACAACGGCCACTGACCTTCTCGTCCTCGTCGTCGCTCACGGAGCGCTTGGCCTGCTTGCTCTTGCTCTTGCTTTTGCTCTTGCTGCTGAGCTTGCGCTTCTTGCTGCCCTTCTCCTGCTTGACGGCGTCCGAGTCCGAGTCGGACACGGTGGGGGACCCGGCCCCGAACATCTCGTCTGCCAGTTAAAGAGAGAGAGGCGAAACCCCCGCGTTAGAATCGACTGGCAAGCGACACGGGGAGATGAGGGCAAGCGCCCGCCCTACCGTCTGACGTGGTCATGGCCTAGCTGGAGCTGCTGCCGACGCGATCTTCTGCCTCTGGTGTGTGCTGCGCCGCCGCCGCTTGCTTGCGCTCCCCCCCGCTGCGTGGCCTCCACTGCCTTCGCTGCCGGCTGGTCGGTCGCCTTTTGTTTTGCTCCCCTCACAAAAACCGTACTGTAGCCCAACATTTACAATAACATTTTCACTACGTATTGTAAATTTCGCGCCAGACGTTTTGTAGCGCAAAATTTACAATCGAATAATCTGGTTAGCTACAAGGCGAGCGTTGAAGCCCCGTGAGTACATCCAACCCAGCAATCCATCAACTAGTACGTTGCCGCTGCCGCTGCCGTAGTGGGGCAGTGCCGCTTGATTGTCGAGGAGGCGTCTGTCCACCGAAAGGACGGAAGAAAAAAGGTTGGCGGCTTTTCATTTCCTAAGATACACAGCCGCAATGATGCCCACGCCCAAGCCGACCAGCAGGTTCCTCTCCCTGCTCCTCGTCACGCTGCTCGTGTGGCTGCTTGACGCCGCCGTCGCCCAGAGCGCGTCGCCCAAGCTCCTCTGGTGCGCGAGTCCGCTGTCGCCGGCGTCGCTATCCCAGTCGGATACGTGGGTGGACGTCCCGGACACGCGCATGGAGCTGGAGCTGCCGAACGAGGCCGTGGTCCTCATCTCGTACGACGTGGCGGTCTCGCACGTCACAGACACGCAGTCCGAGGGCGTCTCCGTGGACCAAGTGAGCGAGCTGTCCTTCCGCGTGGCGGTGGACGGCTCGCCCTACCGCCAGTCCGCGACGACGGTGGACGACCGGGAGCCCGTGGCCACCACAGCCAGCGGCTTCCTCGTGCTCGAGATCCCGCGCGGACACCACGACGTCAAGCTGCAGTGGAGGAAGCGCGGGACACACGTGCTCAAGTGGGCGGTGGCGAGTGATATCCTGGACGGCTTCGCAGGCGGACGCAACCTCATCGTGTCGGCCCAGCACCGCTTCATCTGGCACACACAGCCGATCGCCGCGGTCTCGTTATTGACGGTGAATAAGTGGGAGGCGGTGTCCGGGATGGCGGTGAACTTCCGCCTGTCGGAGCCCGCGACGATGCGGTTCTTCTACCAGTTGCCTGTGCGGCCAGAGCTGGTTCAGTACTCCCGTGGTTCGTTCCCCCACCTCTCAGCTTCAGTTGCGATTACTTGCGTTTCGTTGACGATGTTGTAGCACTGACTGTGACTTCTGAGCAGATACGGCTGCATACGATGAGATCGAGACGGTGCTCGAGATCAATGGGCTTCGTTACCGAGAGACGGGGTCGTATGGTATCGTCGAAGGCTCCAGGAAGTCGACAGCGCAACTTCAGGGCAGCATTATCATGGATCTAGTGCCCGGCGAATATAGTGCAGTGCTGTACTGGAAGTCGCTTCTGGGATCCAGTCGCCCGTGGTATTCATCGCCTAATGCTCTGGACGGGTTTGCTATGGGGCGCGTGCTGGCGGCCGTAGGCGAGTGGAACCTGGATTCGGTGTCTGTGTACCATTTGGAGCAATTTAAACCGACTTCTGTTGGCGAGTGGTCGGATGTTGGAGACTCGGTGCTCCAGTTCACGCTGCCGAAGGCAACGCAGGTCTCACTGAGCTACAATTTACCGCTTTCGCAGAGTGACAATCCCCAATTCAGTAGCTGGACTGGAGACTCATGGGACCGTGTGCAAGCTCGGTTAGTAATTGATGGAGTCTCGTACCGGCACATGTCTTCACTCGTCGATGGAAGTGTTCGTGGAATAAAGAATGCAAGGGCGAGTATGGTGCTACCATTGGCTGGAGGTAGCCACACAGCCAGACTCCAGTGGAAAAATGTCGACGGAAGCCAGTGGCGAGCAGTGTCATTTATCACGGACCAATCCTCCTCCTACGCGTCCATATTTATCAGTGTGAATACCTGGAACAACGACCCAAAACTTATTGCCCCTGCGCTGGTTACAGGAGAGGAGGACAAGACGCTAGGGATCACCGGCATTTCTATTAGTGATACGGACAGCGAGATGGCGCTCGATTATGAAGTGACGGTCAGCATGTCTGTCAAGAGCGGCGTCCTAACGCTCGACCCGACCCCTGGGATCACATTTGGTTCTGGTAATGGCGATCGCAACGAGTACTTGTTGTTTAGCGGGACCCTCAGTAACGTAAACGCATTTTTGGCTAATGTGTGGTACCGAAGCTACCTGAACTGGTACGGTGACGACGCCCTCCGAATAAAGGTGGTCGATCAAGGCGTGACTGGCTTTACTGCCGCCACCACGGACGAGAGTACTATCTTGATACGTATCGCTTCTGTGAATGATCCGCCTCAACTGACTGTGCCGGGTACACAATATTTGGTTGAAGACCATCAACTCAGCATATTTGGGGTTCGAGTTTACGACGTTGACTCCACATTTGCAAACAGTAACTCCACTTTTGAGATGCAGCTATTTGTACTAAGTGGCGTGATCACTCTTGGCTCCACCAAAGGTGTCGTCCTTATTGAAGGGAATGGAGTTGCCGATCGGCTTCTTCGCTTTCGTGGTGACCTGTCGGCTATCAATACAGCCCTTTTCGAGATAAAGTACCAACCAGACAAGAACTTCAACTCACGACAGCATACAGAAGAACTGGGTATACGTGTGCGGGATTTCAATTATCTGGATGGCACTATTACTGATGCATTCAAAAATATCCATCTCGAAGTTCAAAGCTCAGATGACCCCGTGATGATTGTGCCATTGGAGCTATCGACAATAACTCTTCGTGGGTACGCCGTCAAGCTGGCGGGTGAAACCACTGGCGCCAAGCTCGTGTACGCGCAGCTACTGGCAATGACACCTTTTGGGGAAATTCAACTAACTACGTCGACTAGCGAGTTTCCTGCTGGAGTGATAAAACTTCCTGTCGGCGACCAACCTTCAAACGCGATGAATCTGACCGGCCCAGTGGAGGACATTAGTGACATTTTGCAGTCGGTTGTATTTGTTCGAACGCCTTCGTTTTACGGGCACGAGGTCATTTTTGTGAAATTAAGCACCACACCAGAATTCGTGACGGCGGAGGACTCGACAATTCAACTCAACTTGGACAGTGGGAGTGCAGCCGAGTTTTGGTCGATCACGGAAGTGTCTCCATCTCGCGGTAGGTCCGAAGGAGGGACAAGTGTGTCAGTGACCGGGAAAGGTTTCCGCAGATGGTCCAACGGAAGTCTTTGGTGTCGATTTGGTCGGAGTCCACTCGTGCCAGCCAACGTTATATCTGACACGCTTCTCAGATGCGAGTCACCTCCAGCCAGTGTCGAAGTTCCCAAGCGAACCTTTATTATGGTTACGAACGGCAACGACTTCTTCTCGAACCCGATTCCGTATATGTACGAAGAAAGCTGGTCTGTGACGTCTGCCTCTCCAACCGGGGGGCCCCGAGTCGGAGGTACTCCGGTACTAATTCAAGGCAAATATTTCCCGAAGGATACAGTCTTGCTGTGCGCTTTTGGAAATGATATGGTGCAGGCGCGGTATCTGTCGCCCACTAGTGTCTCGTGTGAATCACCCAAAGTAGCCCAAGGTGTGTTAAACGTCAGCCTCAGGTTAACAACCAACAGCCAGGACTTTTCGGAGCCCCTTACGTTTACGTATCGAGGTAAATAGCACTTGCGATTTTAAGTGCCTTGTGCAGTTGCTAACTGTGCCTGATATCGTTAGATTCACCGGAGATTAACGGTATAAATCCGCCGTATGGAAGTTCTAGCGGGGGCGACATCATCGCGATCACAGGCGCTAACTTCTTTCCAGACGAGCAAGCCAGCTGTGTTTTCAACGGTACTATTATCACCGGGTTATCCTACAAGTCATCAAGATTGGTCTTGTGTCTGTCCCCAGCAGAGCCTGCAGCCGAACCGCAGGAGGTTAGTGTTGCCGTAGTATTCGAAGGAACTCAGTATGAAGCGCCTGCAAACTTCAGCATCTATGGTACGTTGCTCGCTACATTTGCTCCTCGACAATTCTTAACTGACATGTTGTACTCCATCCAGCTGCACCCACTGTAACAGCATCAACACCAGCGTTTATCACGGGGCCCGGTGACTTATTGACTGTGAATGGGTCTCATTTCCAGAATGTAAGCTCTCTCTCATGTCATTTTGACAACGGGGCGGTAAGCACTACTAGTTTGGCAAGCTTCGTCAGCTCTTCTTGTGTGCTATGCCGCGTTCCTTCTCTGCCCAGCTTTGGAGCATGGATTGCACTTCGTGTATCTCTTCATCAGGAAACCAAAAACCAAGTATTGTCGCGTCAGCTTCCGTTGTTGCTTCGTTACGCCCCACTTCCAATGATGGTGTCTGTAGACCCACTTACGCTGCTGAGGATAGGAAGCTCAGCTCTCACTATTAAGGGAAGTGGAATGATGGAGTTCCACAATCTGAGGTGTAATTTTGTTGGCTCAGGATGGACATGGATCACAGTAAAATCACCGACGTTGGGGTTTTGCGCTGTTCCATTCGTACTTGGAAGTGAATCGTTTTCGCACCAAATTCTGCAAGTGGAGAGTATCCTGTCACAAAAAGCCATCTTGGCTGTGTTTGAATACGTGGTGATGGAGCCCATTGAGATCAAGCGCGTGACCCCCATGTCGGGACTGGTGGTGGGTGGAACAAATATGGCAGTTTTAACAGATACCAACGTGCTGATGAACGTGGTGGAATACTCAGCATTGTACTGTAGCTTCGGCGCGATTGTTGTGCCTGCAACCGTCCTAAACAACTCCGCGCTCTCGTGCTATACCCCACCAGTATACAAGGCGCTAACAGTGCCCGTGGATATTCGGATTGCAGCCACCACGGCACATTCAACACAAAGTGCTGTGCTATTTACTTTTGTAAATGCCATCAGGATGGAGAAAATTGTCCCTGCTCGTATTAGCAGCGCCGGTGGAGTTGTTGTAAGTGTGAGCACTACCGATTTTGTCCCGGATGGTTTAAGGTGTTCGTTTGGATCAATCCTAGTTCCAGCCGAGATTGTGGACCAGACTGTGGTTTGTGTGTCTCCACCTCATCCTGAAGCGTTCGTTCCTCTTCGCCTGTTGGATGGCGACGGTGTTTTGATGTCTGAAAACGCGCTGGTGGTTGAGTTTTACTTGCTCGCCGGTAAAGTCTCGATTTCTCCATCGAATGGAATTGTGTATCCAGGAACAACAATTGGCATTGAGTTGGAAGGTTTAGCATCTGCTCTGAATGTCGAGTGTTCATTTCGTGGTGAAAATGAATCCTTGCCATCCCGTTTTAACGCTAGCATTATCTCCACGGGGCTAGCGGAATGCACAATCCCAACCGGGAAGGTTTCGCCGCCATCCAAGCTATTCCTTTCGGTTTCTATCGACAGCATTGATGTGGTGTACGAAATGGAATTATACCTTTTGCCTGAGCTGGTGGTAAGATCAATATCTCCGGTCGTCGGAATTGTCGGCCGACCAAACCTCATTCAGGTCGAGGTAGATCCTGCAGCGATATCCTCGCTGGAATATAGCTGTGGGTTTGGCGGTTTAGTGGTGAGTGCTCAAAATCTAACCAAAGGATCTTTCGAATGCTTGTCACCGCGCTTCAATTCTACTACGGAACTTCCGCTTAGTATCACGGGTAACGGGGTCGATTTCTTTTCATCAACCATTGTTGAAGAACGAGTGTTCCGTCTAGTGAAGCAGCCAACTATTTACTCCTTTTGGCCTCAGGCGGGGTCCTTGAAAGGTGGAACTAAGCTGGTACTGAGTGGAGGCGATTTTACAGAAGAACTTAAGTTGATGTGTAGCTTCAACAATGTACGGGTGGAAGCGGCGTGGCAAAGTGCGACCCAGTTGACGTGCATTACACCCCCAGATACTCACGATTACGGCTTTGCAAGCTTATCGATTTCAGATGCGTATGGTAATTTCCACATCTACTTTCAGCGAACATTTGTGTACACGCAAGAAATCCAATTACGACAGTTATCTCCACCTTCAATTCCGATGAACTTTAATGGAGTGGTTCGTGTCTTTGGAGATCACTTCCCGTCGTCTCCGTTTTGGCAATGTCGGGCCAATTCAGCCACACATGAAGGGATCTGGATTTCCGAGACCGAGATACTGTGTCCAATCGCTCCCAGTTCTCTGTCGGAAAGTGAAAACAGTACCATTGCCATTAGTCTCAATGGCCAAGATTGGAGCGTGGCTCTTCCTATCAACGTTACTTCCAGCTTTACGGTGCAGTCTGTGGAACCACAATTCTTCTCGTGCACAGGAACAGATCCACTGCGCATCGTAGGAACTGGGTTTTCAAATGACTCAAAGATGGCATGTTTCTTCGGTCGGACTCCTGTACCCGCTGTATATGTTAGCGACACCGAGCTGGCATGTCGTCCACCGTTCATCACAAATACTTCAACACTCGACGTCACCATTTCTGGCTATGACGGGTTTATCGCAGACGGAACCATCTTCGTCTCGTGCCACGACACACCTGTGATTCAACGTATTGAACCGAGCAGTGGTAGCGCAGCTGGTGGAACTATAGTCACCGTCGAGTTGCAAGATCCAGTTGATTTGGATAATGTGGAGGACATCCGATGCTGCTACATACCAACTGTTTGCTCCGTGGCTTCAATGGTGAATGCGTCAACAGCACAATGTGTGACTCCTCCTTTGAACGCAGGATCAAGATCTTTGAAAATACTGTTGGGATCACAATACGAAGGTCTGGTTAACTCAAGTGAAGTGAGCTTTAAGATTATTGTCGAGCCGCAGATTTCAAACGTGCTACCACTACGGGCGCTATTGGCCCCACATTTGACCTTATCAGTGTATGGCGGGCCGTTTGTAAACTCCGACACTTTAAAGTGCATCTTGGTAATAAGCGGTGGCGATAGCTATGAGTTAGCAGCTCAGTGGCGCTCAGTGAACCTTCTTACTTGCTCTGTAACCCACGATACATGGTTAACATCCATACCGGCCCCTGCTGAGGCCCAAGTGCAGTTTTCACTCAACGGACAAGATGTCATAGACACAGGGTTCAACATAACCTTGCTTCGCCCCCCTGAAGTATGCAGAGTGACGAGCTCAAGTATTGATTCCCAACATTCGATAGCGCTGGTTGGATACAATTTTGACGACGAGTTGAATCTGCTGTGCAAGTTCGAGTCGTTGGGCAAATCCATGGTTACACCCGCTCAAGTTGTGAATTCAACGCTGATGAACTGTGAAAACCCTTCGTGGAATGTTGGCAATGAGTTCACTCAAGTTAGTGTGTGGTCGCCAAGCAGTGGGGAAATAAGTCCGGCGGAAAGGATTCATGTAGAAAATGCTACTTCGGGTGGCGTTTCGTGGGCTCTACAGCCTAGTGTTGGACTAACAAAACATGGCGGCACGGTACACCTTGAAATTAACGGATTCCAAACGAACAGCAATCCGTCCAGATGGAGATGCTGCTTTGGTGACGTGGGGTGTTCACGCCCGTATCAAGAGGAGTTGGATGGGCCTTGGCTGGTTGAGCATCCGATCATGAATGCCTCGAGACTCGTGTCGGTGTCATTGACGGAGGACGATGGACGTACCGTCGCAGAGCATAATGCTTGGTTTCTATTTGCTAATTCCCCTCAAGTGATGACGATAGTTCCTTCGTCTGGGAGCGTCAACGGCGGTGACGTTGTTTCCGTACATGGAGAGGGATTTTCGCTGGTATCAAACCTGCGTTGTCGTTTCGGTAACTACTCTGTCAAACCCTTCTCGGTCTTTGATAACCAACTGCTCTGTACTACGCCATCACAGCTCTCAACACTGCCTGCTAATCAGCATGTCAGCTTTGATATTGTTTACGCAGATCCTAGCACAAATTCCACTACTGAACAAGTAGCGAGAAAAGGTAGAACACTTTACTTTGATTTCGTGGTTATTCCGGTGGTGGTAAATGTGACTGCGAGTCGCAGCGGAGTTAATGACGGAGGGCTCGATTTGACTATCATCGGATCTCAATTTGTTGAAGTGGAAACGCTAGTGTGTCGAATCGATCGTGAAGTGGTGGCTGCGCGCTTGGTAGACCCCAACTCAGTGGTTTGTTCTACCTATCGGAATATCGTCCTTGGGCAAGAGCTTGCTGTATCTATTTCCAATGACGGGTTGATATTTTCACAAGAAACGGTGATTTTGGTGGAGGCGGTAAAATCACTGCATATTGCTCAGCTATCGCCAATGCTTGGATTTGCTCGGAAAAACGGTAATATTTCTCTTCTCGGGGATTCATTTCCCGATGAGCCTCTTGATTGCGTCTTTGGATGGAATGATCAGCAATATCTCGTCGAAGCTGAGATCGTTAACCGATCTTGTGTAACTTGTGAAATACCCGAGTGGCTCCAACATAACTCGATGGAACTACCGGTATCTCTTCAATCGAAATCGGGCACAATACAGAGCAACACGCTCCTTTATCGCTACGTTCCAGAAATGATTATTTCCTCGATAATACCGGTTCGTGCCATTGTGGGCGTATCTGTGCAAGTTTCGATTAAGGGCGGACCTTTCGTGTTCAGCAATGAAATGACCTGCGTATTGCAGCCGAGCGACCCACAGGTTTCTGCCTTGTCTTCTCGTTTGATATGGAAATCGCCATTCGAAAGCGTTTGTGTCCTACCGGCCGGAGCTCTTCCAGGAATGTATCGGGTTGGAATTGCACATAGTGGCGTGAATATTGTCTTTGCGAACGCATCCATCGATCTTATTAATGCGCCTGTGGTCGTTGGAGCTACACCTTCTCGTGGAACATCAGGAGGAAATACCACAATTACGCTAACGGGCCGCCATTTCTCCAACGACATGTCATGCTGCTTTGACAGTTCCTGTGTGCCACTCTTAGTTCTGAATGAATCGAGTGCAAAATGCTGGAGTTCTCCTCATACAACGGGCATGATTCCAGTAACGCTGTATTCTGATGTGGTCGGCCATATTGCCACTGGAATAACGTTTGAATATCTGGACGTGGCGCGTATTGATGCGCTTATTCCCCCCATTATTCTGATCGGTTCTCAACAGCCAAAATCTGTTGTTATAGTTGGCGCAAACTTTGATTCTGACTCGGTTCTTGCATGTCGTTTTGGAGGCATGACGCCAACGTCGTTACCTGTGCTTGAGCGAAATAGTACGAGTATTACTTGCCCCCTTCCACTGATTCCGAAGGCAATGCATTCCACTATCGTAGAGGTTGGAATCACGGCATCGGCAGAACTCACGGCCGCCCCAGTTGCCAGGGCATACATTGAACTGCTGGAACCCTCGGTGATCTCAAGTATTGATCCAGAGGTATCCACACCTGGCGAAAATATGACTTTCGAGCTGCAAGGTACATTTACGTTCGCCTCGGAAAAGACCAGGTGTCGATTTAGTTGTATTCAAGACGGTGGTAGAGTGGTGGTTACTGGTCCGATTCTCGTGTCAATTGCCACTGTGGTCGAATGCGAGATACCCGGAGTTTCGTCCCCGCTTGGATTGTGTCAGGTCTCTCTCCTCCAAGATGGCATCCAAGTGTCGAGTAATAGCCTGGAGATCTCAATACGCAATCCTATATCGCTGAGTCGGGTCACACCCTCTTCTGGTATGGCAACTGGTGGAACACTATTGCAGATCGAAGGCTCAGGTTTCGCACCCACCATTCAGCCATATTGCCATTTTGGGCCAATGATCACAGTGAAGGCAACGGTTGTGTCAAGCAGCAAATTGACTTGCTTGACCCCCGCTATGAGGCCAACAAATCGTACGGAAGTCGTAGATATGTGGGTTTCGCTTGGTGATATCGAGTCAACAACGCTACCATTCACGTTTTACGCCCCAGTTTACATGCGTAAAGTGTCACCGGCATTCGGCCCTGCAGATGGAGGAACACGACTAGCTGTTATAGGCGCCAACATCTTACCGGAGATGGACATAAAGTGCTTGTTCGATGGTTCAACGGAAGTTGCACCTCTTGCATTTATGCTCGGAACCGTAGAGTGCATTACACCCCCAATGCAAATCGGATCACACACGGTGGAGCTCATTACAGACGGCGCCAACCGAATCTCGAGCAACTTCGTGCAGTTCGGCGCTGTGGCTCGTGAGCAAGTATTCCAAATCGACCCGTCTCGCGGCATTCAAACCGAAACTACTGAAAGAAGAATACGTATCGTTGGCGAAAACTTCATGGACTCGGCAAACTTAACGTGCACGTTCGGTGAGGTTGAATCACCTGGGACGGATTTCATTTCGTCATCTGAAATCGAGTGCGTAGTTCCCTTTACCAGGCTGGGAAAGAAGCATGTCCGTGTTTCCAACAATGGTGTCGATTTCGCGGAATCAAAAATGATGTATGAGGTGCTACCGAGAATGTCGATCGCTACTATTTCACCTCGCCACGGATCATTTCTGGGTGGAACTGTTGTTACTCTGACTGGAGTCTTTGGCAAACATGTGGGGATCGAGTGTCTTTTTGGCGAAAGAAGCGTCGATGCTCGCCTTGTTAATATGTCGAGTATTGAGTGCACTGCACCTCCCGGAGCAATGAATGAGACTGTGTTGGTCGGTGCGCGCGTTTACAACACGCTTGCCCACGTCGAAGAAAATGCTGACATGTACTTTGTGTACGGAGATGGCCCCATTGTAACCGATATTTCACCTCCCGTTATTTCGCGGTCTCTGATACGGACAAATGTGTCCGTGATTGGATCAGGATTGAACGTAACGGAGTTGGTGGGCTGCCAATTTTCACAGCAGCCTACTTCTCGTTTGTATCGCAATCAGGGCAGCGTATGGTGCGAGTTTGATGCTCATGTAACTGGTGTATACAACTTGACGTTTATCTTAGAGAACAGCACTCTCAAAAGCATCCCAACACACCAAAAGATTCACGTCATTCCAGCTATTCAGCCCATGGATATATCCCCGTTACAGTTTGACGAGAGAGGTGGTGCAGGAGCTGTTATATCTGCGCTTAACATCACTAGCACATCAAGGTCTGTTCGATGTCTGTTTGGGAACACTACGGTTACGGCGTTGGTCCTGTCAGATTTAAAACTGCACTGCATAACGCCACCCATGCCTCCCGGTCATGTATCCCTCCGATTGAGTCAAGATGATTTTTCTTGGTCTGAGCAATCACTTGATGTTGTAGTGTATGCAACGCCAATGCTGTTTGAAGCTTATCCGAACCGTTCCGTTGCGATTGGTGGTAATACTATCGTGGTGTCTGGAACAAACTTCAAGCCTTTCCATAATGCAAGCTGTCTGTTTGGAGAGACGAAAACTCTAGCTATCAGCGTGAATGAATCAATACTGAAGTGCATCACTCCCAATGATATCACGTCGGGTGTTATATCGCTTGGAGTTAGCTTAAACGGCATCGAAACAAGTGGCAACAGGCTGGATGTGGAATTTTATGACTTACCCAGTGAACTAAAGATTCGATCGGTGAAGCAATCGCAGGATGGTCAATGGACTGCAATCGTTCAAGGAGTCAATATTACTGAAGACGCCAACTACGAGTGCCGCTTTGACGGCGTGCCCGGGTCGGGAATGGTTCTAAACGTAACGGATCGTGGCATGGAATGCGTATCCGACGCACAATTTGAACAAAACCGCCCAAATTTGTTGACGATTTCTCTAAATGGAGAGGCATTACTCCACCAAGACATTTTCAGAAATACGGGATGTCCAAGTGCTGTTAACGGATTGTCGACAACCGTGTTGCGACCTGGACAAAGTCGTTCCATTACGCTGTCAGGCTATCGGTTTGACCCTTCAATGACGCTAGCCTGTCATATCGGCCCAGTAACCATCCCTGGTTTTGCGAGGTCTGAAAACACAATGGCATGCCAACTTCCTACTAAGAAACCTGGAAACTACACTGTTCAAGTTACGTGCGCAGCAGGGTCGGAGATCCTCGGCATTTTTCCAATTGAATACGCTCAGCCACCTCGTATTGAACGGTTTGAACCTCAAGTGGTCCCTGTGGGTGGCGCATTCCCTCTGGATTTTTACGGAGTAAATTTTGACCGAGGCGATATGATTTACTGCATCTTCGGGGAGGCGTCAATGCGTGTCCAGGCGTCGTTTATCTCACCGTCTCGTATAAAGTGCCTGACTCGCCGACACTGGGTGGCCGGTGAAGTCCAACTTACTGTAGTGCTGGAGACCTATGACGGACGAACTGAAGTTATGCTCCAATCTCCGTTCAATTTCGCTACCACTATTGCAGAAACTTCTGGCTTGAATCCCGACTTCGGTTCTGTAGTGGGAGGCTATCCCATAACTATCGCTGTGAACAGTTCGTGGAGAAGTTTCAGGAATGTAAGCTGTAGGTTCTCCGGCGTGGAGTCCCTGTTCTATCGGACGGTAGGTGGATCAGTGGAGTCAGAAATGCTGCAATGCGTCGTCCCGCGGCTAAAAGCTGGGACTTATTCAGTCCAGATATCTCCAAATGGTCGCGACTATGACCCCGCTAACAGGGTATTTTCCGCGCATTCATCAATCCAAGTGGCAAGTATCGATCCCCGTTTTGCGTTCGCAACTCAAAAAGTGGTGTTAAAGGTCTCAGGAAAAGGTTTCCAGCGCTGGATGCGATTGAGGTGCGGTTTTCGAGGTACCCATGAGCTGGAATGGGTTTCTTCGATAGCCGAGTATGTCTCGAACACCATAGTGAAGTGTGAAGCGCCCAACCACAAACCAATGACGGGAGGTTTTCAGCTGTTGCCGACAACTTCGCTTTTATACCCCGATGTGGTGCTACCGTTTGATTTCAAACAGGAAGTTGTGCTCCACTCAATATGTCCCGAGAGTGGAAGCACGAGTGGGGGTACGGTTGTTGATGTCATTGGCCAGGGGTTCTCTCGAGATCTCAACATCAAGTGCCGTATTCAAAGTGAAACGCTGATAGCGACTTTTGTGAATGCGACATTGATCCGATGCCGAACACCGGCTTCTCGAGCAATGACAGTTCCCCTACGCTTCTCATTCGGCGGCAATAACGTTCTACAAGAATACTTCATGTTTACCTATTTGCCACCGGTCGAGGCTCAAGACAAACGCAGCAACTCCAACATCGACCCGCCGACTGGAAATACTGAGGTTGCCGAATTATCTCGTAGGTATAAACCTACGCCCACGATTAACTTTATTGAGCCTACATCTGGTTGGATTCGTGGAGGAACGGAGATTACGGTTCATGGATCGAGAATGGCGTTTACGCAGTCAATTGAGTGTGTGTTCGGAAATGCAACAGCCTACGCAACATTCATATCTGCCGGAAAGCTCGTGTGCACCTCACCCCAGTTTGTAAGCCCTGGTCGTATCGCTTTCTTTGTTCGATCGGATGGTGAGCAGTGGGAAGTCTGGACCCCGCTTTGGTTTAATGTTGTCGAGCCCCCTATTGTTCGGTCGATGAAGCCACAGTATGGAGACATCCGTGGGGGCACCAATATCATCTTTACGGGGAATTATTCCGGGCTTTTGACGCAGTCAGACAACGCCATGTTCTGTTTATTTGGTGATAGTGCATCTAGCCCTGTTCGATTCACGTCGGAGTCTGAAATGGAATGCACCTCGCCACCCTCAACAGGCACGGCGGTCGTGGAAATGGGTCTCTTTATACGTGAGGATGATGTTTTCTCTTTATCCTACGCATTCCACTATATCGCAGAGCTAGAGTTTATCTCCCTCGCACCATCCATTGTCAGTGAAAATATGGGTGGGTTTGTGACAATATCAGGAGGAGGGTTTATCGACTCGAACGATGCCTTCTGCATATACGATTCAGCCCCTGAAATGCGGCAGTCAGTCACTTTCATTAGTGCAGTGGAGATTCATTGCCCACTCCCACGGCTCAAACCTGGTGTAACCGAAGTCAGTGTGAGTCTCGACGGCGATAAAGAGCTGTCTACAGGTCTCTCGTTCACAGTCAAAGCACAGCCGACGCTCCTGAGCATGACCCCGCAACTGGATTTTGTTCACGGAGGCGCTGTGGCAGAATTTGCTGGATTGAACTTGTTCTTCTCCGATTCGCTTCGATGTTTATTCGGAAAGATGTGGACAGAGGCAGCTCTTCGGTATGGAAAAGTAATCTGTACCGTTCCCCCGTCTTCATCGCTCTCTATCGGTTCTCGAGTAAACGTTTCGGTGGTTAGTGGTACCACAATATACGCCTCAGAGACCTTTGAGTTTTCGTATACACTGGTGCCTCGTATTACAAGTGTTCAAGTTGTCCCTGATCTGAGCAATGGTACACAGCGATTACTTCTTTGCGGAAGTTTCTCGAATGATTCATCCGCTACCTTCGTGAGGCTTGACAAAAATGACGATGAAGCGGGAACAGGCACTGTTGTTGTTTCTAATGCTGGAAGATCATTGAATGAATCCTGTCCAGCTTTCGAGGTTGGGAGCTCTGACGAAGACTGCTCGACAGGTTGCGAAGTGATGATATCTGTGAATAATCAGACTTTTGCGCACACTGGAACGCGAGTTAAACTTTCACCAACAGTTCAAATACTGGACGCAACGCCGTTGTACAGTTCCTTCCGCGGCAACGAAGTGATTCACTTTAAGGCAAAGCATCTACGCTCATTGATTAAATTGTTTTGCGTATTTGCTGGCAACGTGACTTCCGAGTTGACGGCGATAAGCGAGAATTATGCTCAGTGTAAAACGCCATCTCATTCGGCTGGAATTGTAACATTACAAGTTGCTCTAGTAGCGGACAATGGCGCTATGCACAACTTACGAGCTTTCAATTTCACGTTTGTTGGTGCGATGGAGATTGCACATGCCGCTCCATTAGTGGGTCTAGCTCGTGGGGGTACTGAAGTACTCGTTCATGGAAAAGGGTTCGTTGCGCATCCTCAACTCCGGTGCCAGTTTGGCGAGATTTTTGGTGCTGCACAATATGTGAATGGGTCCTGTGTGCGATGTAGAAGTCCGCCGAGGTTTAAAGAAGCGAACGAAGTTCCACTCGTTGTATGGTTGGGGCAATCGTCAACGTCCACTGAGGATACCGCGCAAGTGATGTTCTCATACATAAGCACACCGCAGATTCAGCGGGCGGAGCCTTCAAGTGGTATGTACAACAAATACCATACCGTCAAGTTATCTGGATCCGGATTTGTGCCAGAAATGGTCGCAATGTGCCGCTTTGGAAACCTTATTCAGAATATTCTAGCAGTTGTCGTGTCCGACAACGAACTGACGTGTACATTTCGAATTAATTCAACCGAGGATCTACGAGACCGTGGTCAAATCCTGCCGATTGGCTTACGTCTTCAGGGTGAGGCATACGTTGAAACTGGCTCAACTTTCACCATCTTCGAGCCTGTTGTGCTGACGAAGGTTAACCCGAACGTGATCTTTCCGGGGCAAACGGATCGAATCGAGCTTGAATGCAGCGACGTGTTCCCATCTCGCGATTGGCAGTGCGCATTTATGAGCTTAAACATCACTACGATCGGAAGATTCGTTTCAAGAACGAAGATATCGTGCCCGACCCCGCGAGCTGCCGTATTAAGAACTGGGGCACGTGCTGTCAACTTACTCCATGCTGGAATCGATTATTCCTTAAATTACGTTGAAGTGGATGTGCTGCTACCTCCAGAGATTTTCGACTTCAACCCCAAATCCAGAGCTGCCCACTTGCCATTAGTATCCAGCGACGATATCATTGACTATGCGTTTATCACTGGCAGAAATTTCCCCCCGTTTCGGCGCATTGATTGTCGATTCGGATTGTTAAGTTCTGTGGGGACGTACGTGAGCTCTACGAGCGTCCGATGCCGAATCCCAATCGCGCACATGCCCGGACAAGTACGGCTTGCGATTTCATTCAACAGAGTCGACTACATCTCTGCCCCGCAGTCATTTCAGTTTCTTGAGGACTTTCGTATTGACCGCGTGTTTCCTACTGGCGGTGCCGTATCTGGAGGCTCTCTTGTACATGTTTACGGTGGAGAGTTTGAAACGAATGAAAGCATACAGTGCAGCTTTGGATCCCATCGAAGCGATGATGACGCAGTGGTGGTATCACCCACTGAGATCATTTGTACGGCTCCTGTTGGAGCAGAAATTGGCAAGGTTGATCTCAGTATCTGGTCGGTTAGTCGCCGACTTACTGGCACGCTTTTGAATGGCTTCGCGTACTCGAAAGTAGCTGTGGTGCTGATGGTCTCGCCGTCGGAGGCACTGGAAAAATCGGAGACTCTCTTTGACATTTATGGTCGAGGTTTCATTCACTCTCCGATGCTTGGATGTGATTTTGGTGGTATCCAGAATGATACCGTCATGGCAAAAGCAACTGTCCGTGCAATTTGGGTCTCTTCAACGCATATCCAATGCTTCTCTCCAGCGACAAACACCTCGGTTGGGAATATTCGCATCGGTGTGACCAATAACGGAGCTGACTTTGTGTATGCAAGCCCTTCATCAGTGATTCACTTCCGAACGTATTTTGACGTGTCTAGCATCTATCCATCGATTGGTAGTGCCAAAGGTGGCACCTCTGTGTTTGTATATGGAAAAAACTTTAGCGATGCCGACAGATACTGGTGTCGGTTTGGAGAAACAAGCGAAGCGTTACCTGCTACAATTGTCAGTGCAGAGGAGCTGATCTGCATCAGTCCTCAATTCTCGTTTAAAACCGGCCAGGTGACGATTTATCTGTCTGTGAACGGCCGAGACTTTGTATCGACAAATCAATGGTTTAGCTACACAGTGGAGCCACAAGTCCATAAGCTATCACCTACGAAAGGTTCAGTGGACGGGTCAACTATGGTGACTGTATTTGGTGTAGGGTTTTCGTCCGATCCCCCCCTCTGTCGCTTTGGAGATAGTGCCGTTAATGGATACGTGCAGTCCGACACGAAGCTAGTGTGTATCGCCCCCGCCAATCGATATGCTGAAGCCGTGGCCGTTGAGATATCCATCAATGACGGAGTAGACTTCACTCAAAATGGTGTGCTGTATACGTTCGTTCTTGATCCTCGAGTACGCCAAGTGACACCAGCATCGGGGCCTGCCGCTGGTGGCACTTTGATACAAATCACCGGACTGAATTTTTATTCGTCCAAGCTTACCCAATGTTGTTTCGGAGACCGCTATCACTGTGTACGCGGGTGGTTGCTGAATGGCACGGTGATTGAATGCGTGACGCCACCTTCTCCTGCCAAACTTTCGCTTGGTGTAGGTGGATCAAATCGAGTGCCGATACTGCTGGCTTTGAATGGACAAGACTTTGTGGCGTTCAAGATGCAGTTTAATTATGTTCTCGACGCCTCTGTGGAAGATGTTGTACCAAATGTTGGCGACGTCGATGGCGGCACGTTGATCTTTGTACGTGGTCGTCATTTTCGCTACTCGACAGGCTTGGAATGTCGCTTTGGTAACATCAGGACTATCGCCGCATTTTGGAATGATTCCGCGATATCGTGCGAAGCGCCAGCTCACCCGACCGGAATCACGAATCTTAGTGTTTCGTTGAATGGCCAGGATTTTATACTGGCAAGCTCAAGCTTCACGTATATCCAGCTTCCGTCCGTGTATCAGCTGGTACCAAACGCCGGGCCCCTGAGAGGGGGTTATAGAGTTAACTTACGCGGGGAATCCTTTCTGAACACAACAGCGATGACTTGCCAATTCTCGCAAGATAATGAGCTGCTAGCGACTGAATCGGCTCTGTTTGAATCGCCATCCGAATTAAGCTGTATCGCGCCGTCGGTAAGCAAACCTGGGGATGGCTCCATTTCGATGTTTGTTAATGGAATCTCGGTACCTCGGCTGCAGAATCTATCGTTCTCCTATTACCGAGATTTGGTTTTGAACACGTTGGTGCCGTGGCTATGCGATAATGGTGGGGGATGCAGTCTGGTGCTTTTTGGTGATAACTTCAGGCAAGATGCGGACTTGGAGTGCTGCTTCGGTACTTCTGAATCTCAAGTGAAATGCGTAACAGCAGAGTATATCAGCGATATCCGCGTACATTGCATCACTCCTCCGATAGATTACGTGGGTATCGTCGCAGTGAGCATGAGATCATATGGTGTTGAAGCCTCAAACCAGTCACTGAGTTTGGAAGTTCAGCACCCCATCGTCATCGATAGTATATCTCCTATCACAGGCTCGTATCGCGGTGGAACCAAAATTATTGTGAAAGGATGGAAGTTCCTGTTCACGCCTCAGCTCTCGTGCTGTTTTGACGATGTCCGTGTACCTGCGACGTTTACAAACTCTTCACAAATTGAGTGTTTGACCCCGAACATCGGGGCAAAATCGGTTACGCTGAAAGTGAGCCAGAATGGTCAGGACTGTTTGAATGGTGGCGACGTCCAAACTTTTACGTTTCAATTCCCCCCATCCGTGCTTCAAGTGTCTCCCAATATTGGAACTCGGCTTGGTGGGACTCCAGTTATTGTACAAGGCGAAAACTTCAAGGCGAACGAGTCCACGTGTTTCTTTGGGTCCGTTCAGGCAAGTAAAACGGTGGTGCTGTCGGATACTCAGATTGAGTGCACAAGTCCAGCCCAACCTGCTCCGCAGCGACTTCGAGTCATTGTGGCTGACAACAATCTCGACTATTCTTCAAACCCAGTGTTCTTTACGTTCGCTGCTGCGGAAGAAGTGAAGTCGGTGGTGCCTCTACGACTGTCTTCAATTGAAGGCGGCAAGATCACTCTGACGACCGAAAATATTCGCAATACTGCCAATCTGAGCTGCTTCTTCGACGACGTGTCAGCTTCTGCAACTTATGAATCATCGACTTCTGTACACTGCACGGTTCCGCGGCTTCCTCCGGGGTATCGCAATGTGTACATCTCGAACGACGGAAAGCTCAAGTCTTCAAGTTTTGCCATCGTAGAGCTCGTGAGCCCTCCACTAATTGTTTCAGTAACTCCCCTCGCAGCCGATATGACTGGTGGTGAGCTGGTATCGGTCGTAGGCTCTCGCTTGAACCTCGTATCCCATTGTCGTTTCGGCCGAGTGACTACGTCTGCGTATGTTGTCAGTCCAAACATGCTCCAGTGCAAGTCGCCGAGTCAAACAAATTTCGGTGATGTCGCGTTCAAACTATTGGATCACGGGGCTGAAGTTCCTTCTCAAATGATTTTGTTCTCCTACTTGAGTCCAGCGCAGTCTACAGAACGTAGACTTGCCATGTTCGAAGAACAAGAAGCTGATGTCGGTTTGTTACCGATCCCGACGATCCTGTCGATCGACCCAGCAAGTGCCCCCATTATTGGCGGGACGATCATAACTGTGCACGGTCTGAACTTCACGAATTCTTTGGAATTGGCTTGTCGATTCGGCTCGGTCGTTGTTGGTGGAAGGTATCACAGCCCAGAGCAAATGGTATGCGTGTCTCCGCGACTTCAGCCGAATCGCTACACTTTCCAGGTGTCGAATGATGGCAAAGTCTTCTCAAACAGCCCTGTTAGCGTCACTGTATACACTGACTCGTTCGTGGAGTACATTGCCCCCACACATGGGCCGCAAACGGGTGGCACAGCTGTAACTGTGTATGGAAGACATTTCATGAAAAGTTCACAATTACGTTGCAGGTTTGGGGATTTGGAGGCAGTTCAAGTGGTAAAGTACGTGTCCTCGACTGAAGTGGTGTGTATTTCCCCTCCTCAGCGTGACAGGACGTCTGTGGTACGAGTTACAGTGATGAACAACAACGCCAGCTTCACGCGAAACCCTGTGTTCTTCACGTACACAACTCAGGCAGACGTGGTTTCTTTGACGCCGAAATTCGGGAGTATCGTTGGAGGGACGGAGCTTATGGTTCGTTGGTACAATCTCGAGATCATCTTTGGTGGTGTGGTAATGTGTCGCATCGGAGGAGTGAAGTCGAGAGGAGAAGTGTTAGCATCGAATGTGGTCAAGTGTACTACACCAGCAATGGAGAAGGCTGGCAAGCAGTCGGTTCAACTGAGCATCAACGGACGTGACTTCACAATGCCAAGTTTATTCTTCGAGTACGTGGAAGATATCGTAATTTACGAGTTGATTCCGAACTTGGGACCAAGTACGGATGCCAATACCGTGGTAACCATTCGAGGAACGAGCTTCATCGACTCCGTCGATGTTGCCTGCATTATCCGCTCAGCGAAGGTACCAGCCACATTCATCAATCCATCCATGATTTCCTGTGCGATTCCTCGCGCTACCCCGGGGCTGGTCACAATCCGAGTCTCGAACAATGGCATGGACGCGTCTACAAGCTCTGGATCATACCTGTACGTTAAGGATATGTCAGTGTCTCGCTTATTCCCAACGAGTGGTCTGAAGGAGGGAGGAACTACGGTATTTTTCCAGGGCAAGAACTTCGTGAACCACACGCTGCTAGCCTGTCGTTTTGGGGAGATTACAACTCCCGCAACCTTCCTCTCGGTCTCCGTGGCTACGTGTGTTGCTCCGCGTCAAATTGTTGATCTACGGAAGACGAACGGCACTGTGTCGGTCGAGCTTACGAACAACCAAGTGGACTTCACGAGTAGCGGTCTTCAGTACACGTACCTCCAGGAGTGTCCAAGCTCGCAGTTTTGTTCGAATGGGAACATCCAGCCTTGTCCGAATGGAACCATCTGCGAGTCCCACGACACTACCAATTTCTCGGTATGTGCTCCGGGAACGTTCCAACCACGACAAAGCCAAGTAACTTGTCTCCCCTGCCCCGTTGGATTTTATTGTCCAGATCACGGAATGTCCAAGCCTGTATTGTGCCGTTCCGGGATGGTTTGTGATGAACATGGACTGCGAACACCAGTTAAAGACTGCCCTTCGGGCCACTACTGCCGCAAGGGCACCAAAACCGCAGATACTCGTGATTTTATCACGAACTCGGAGTATTCCATCGAGAAGGGGACGCAGCTAGCCTCTTTTGTGGAGAGTTCTCGGGCATGGGCACCCATACCTCGTTTGGCTCCGGCCATTGGAAGCCGTCGACTTGAACACCCACCCAGTCTGGCTAACTGTGACGGCCGGCTGTGCGTCGAGAACAGCACAACTCTCTTAGCAGAGCGGCCGTATTCGTGTCCAATTGGAACTTTCTGTCGACGCGGTGTTGCTGTCCAGCAACTGCAAGCGAATAACTACAGCGCGCCGCAGAAATGTTATCCAGGGTTTTTCTGCCCGCGAGGATCGTCCACTCCAGAAGGGAAAGGACCGTGTCCAACCGGCCACTATTGTCCCAACGATGTAGACGCCATCGTGTGTCCCGCTGGCCAGTATTGCCCCGGTGTCGGCAACCTCCGTCCTCGAGATTGCTACCCTGGCACATACAATCCCGTCCCCCGCCAGTCGAATTGTACGCTGTGTCCGACTGGTCACATTTGCCCCCAGCCCAAGATGTTGGCGCCTGTGTTGTGTCCTGCCGGCTTCGTTTGTATCTCCACCGGACTTGCGTCCCCAGCGCTGCTTTGCCCTCCTGGTTATATCTGTGGAGAAGGTACTCGTACTCTGGATCCGTCCGACGTGAACCCCTTCCGGCCAATGCCCTGTCCGAAGGGCACGTACTGTCTTGGTGGAGTGGCCCATAATACTACGATTGATTGGATTCCAAGTCAACCGGAGGGTGCTGTCGCCCCACAGACTTGTACCGAAGGCACTTATTGTGAGGAAGCGACCCCAACGCTTTCTGGAACAAAGGTTTGCTTCGCTGGTCACTACTGTCCTCCTGGATCCAGTGCCCCCACGCAAGCTCCGGTCGGCACCTTCGCTGGCACAACGGGGTCTGTAGCTGCGACGATGTGCTTCCCAGGGACTTACACGCCTCTCAAGGGGACCGTGGAATGTGAAATCTGCCCTGCAGGTCATAGCTGTCCCAGATATGGCACGTACATTCCGTCATTGTGTCCGAAGGGCTTCTATCGGTCTTTAGCTGACAGTATCACATGCCGAGCTTGTCCAGAGGGCACGTGGTCCCCGCACACTGGACTAACCGATATCTCGCAATGTGAGATTTGTCCTGCTGGGCGTGTGTGCGGCAGTTCCGGGATGTTTTCGATGGCGTCGAGCTTACCATGCGCGGCTGGGCACGTGTGTGGAGAAGGAACCAACCGACGCGCGCAGTTTGACCATTTGTGTCCTGCAGGACACTACTGCTCGAGTGCGACGCCGATTAGTGAGCAGTACACCAATGTCTGTGAAAAGGGGAACAGTTGCGTCCGCGGCACCAAAACCATCGAGAAGAGCAAGAACAAGTGCCCCGACGGCAAGTTCTGTCCCCTCGGGACAGCTAACAGCAGCAGCATCTACGTCAACTGCCCCAGTGACACGTGGTCAAGCTCGAGCCAAGATGAATTAATGGACTGCTTCATCCGACCGGTCCCGATCTGCGATAAGCTGGCCGATAAGCAATACTACCCTCAGTTCAGCTACAACTTCCAAGGCAGCCAAGTGACTTTCGACTCGACGGTGGAGACTAGCCGCACGGGTGAAGTGGAAGTCGTTGACATCATCTACCCGGTGAATGAATCTGCGTCCGTGCCTTTCTGGAAGAACGATACGATCGACACCATCCGTGTTTGCCCGCCACAGCTGAGTATAAGCGGTGGAATTCTTGTGACTGTCATTGGTCGCAATTTCCAGGATACAGGGCGTCTGGCTTGCAAGTTTCAGCTCCCGAAGTCGACATTTTCTCAGTTGGCACCGGCGTTCTTCGTGAGCAGCACGAGGGTGACATGCCGCGCTCCTCCATTCGTAGGCAACGATACGGCAGCAACGGGGTCTTCGTTCTCACAAGCGGTGCAAGTCAGTGTGTCCAACTATGGCGTCCACTTTTCAACGACTACAGCTACATTCAACTACATTTCGGTCAAGGCAGCTACGGCGCTGAACATGAAGCAGTTGATGACGACGTGCCTGAAGCGAGTGGAAGAGGAGGAAGGGTTCCGAAATGACGACAAGGCGTGGTTCGCTCTGACCGGACTGGGGAAGGCCAAGCTATCGTTCGACTTCCGCCACTTGCCATCCGATCTGGTCTATGATGAACACTACAAGGTTGCGATTTTCGTGAAGAATAGCTCGTGCGAGGACCAGACGTGTGATTCTCGTGGGGTGGTTCTCCCAAGTGGGCCGGATATTGAGACGTCACCGTGCCGTCGTCCAGTGGAATTGCCGCGGTGGTTCCTCTCAACAGCAGTGGACAAAAATGACCTGTTAAACATTACACTTCTTGCTCTTGAGGACATCACGTTCAAGGTGGAGATCCACATCATGTACGGTTTGTATGCGTCAGTTTCTCCGTTCTTCGTGAACTCGACCACCGTCAAGCTCAAGACGCCGACGCGAAGCAACGTTACACAAGGCGTGACAGCCGACACTCGGCCGCTCTCGCGTTCGATTTCGTATGAAGCTGAGATGATTCCTCGGGATTACACCTTCCTCTTGGCTTACTTTGGGGGCGATGGAGACTACACTTCTCCACCATTGAACCTCCCACCAAAGTACAAGGCGTATGAACGAGGTCGAGTCCTGCTGTCGCACAACGTAAGCAGCGATGCGAGCGAGATTCCGCTCGTGGCTGATCCGTACGCTGACGTTGTGACAGACACTTCCTACTGGTTAATGCCCTACGGGTCTGCGTCATTGACGCACGAATATGTTGAAAAGTACCGCGAGACTTTCCAGGAGATGTACCTGGACCCGACGGATGCGACCGGGACGCAGTACCTGTTCAAATTCGACAAGATGCTGCTGTCCTATCTGCCGTTCCAGTCAAACTGCATGGAATATGACTCGTACATGCCTCTCTTTGACCTATTAGAGAGCGATTCGTGTCAATTGCCTGCAATGACGTCCGAGACTGGAATATATGGACGCACTTGGTGGAGACGAGAGTTCCCTCCGCTACCGAATCAGGACGATATCCGCTATGTTGGTCCATTGGATGTCGCTCAAGAACCAACGGCAGACATTTGCATGATGGACATTCAATGCCATTATGAGGAAGACCTACCGACTGCTGATGTCACTCCGCGTTGGTTCGAGCAGTCTTCAAGTACTGTCTTGTACTACCTCTTGCGAGAGCCTGCGACATTGGCGGACTACTTGCAAGGTGGAAAATATTATGATGAGATTCTAGACCAGTCCGGCTCCGACTATTTCATCCCCGTCACAGTGGATAACTCGGCTGCTGCATCACTTGAAGGCGACTGCTCCACACTGTGTTTCCCGCGGTCAGTGACGCTCGACATTGCGTACTATCAGTTGGACGATCACGTCAAGCGGATCATCAAGGCGACCCTTGTCTACGATAACTACGACCGTGACTCGACCAACACTGCGTACACCTTCAGTGTGAACCTGCATCCGCTGAACTACTTTGGACTGGTGATTCAGTTCGCGTTCGAGAAGCAAGTATTCGTCGGACTCTTCTTCGTCTTAGGCAGCATGATGACGGTGGGGGCTCTCATCTTTTGGATTGTGGTGCGAATCACGTCCATCTTGCAGTCACCGCCGCGATTCCGGTTCTGGGCCGTTTTCGCTCTCATCTCGCCCCCTCCGTCTGTGGGTGTGGCCATGGCATCGCTGCCGATATTCTCAGTGGTCTGCAGTTTCTACGTTCTCTTGAACGGTGACTCGTACTTCTCGTCCAGTGGGTACTGGTTGACGGACAACATCGTAGCCCACTACATTGATACGAAGATTGATCGAGAGACGGTGTCGGAAACGAGAAAAGGACGCGTGGGTCTGTGCTTCATTATCTTCGGGCTGTACCTCATTGTACTGGGCACGAAGGTATTCCTTCCGAAGCCGATCGCCATCTCCGAAAAGGTCATGGCCGAGCAAAACGATCGGGACGCTCAGGAGCGCAGTATCTGGTGGCCAACCCAATGGAAACGGGCCAATATGATCTTCGCGTCGATCGTGCTCGGCCTGTTCCTCGTCCTGATGCTGGAGTTTTCGTTCTGGAGCTCCTTTGGCGACTACATGTTTTACGTGATTGTAGCGCAGGAAATTATCAACGCGGTGGTGGAAGGCTGGATTAAATCCCAACTCAAGGAGGCGCTGTTGATGGCGCCTCTGGTTTCGGCGCTTAGTCTCATCGGTGGGATCATGACTTTCGGTGCTACGGACTTTGGTGACTTTGTTCTGGGTAATACGCTCGATTTCGGCATGATGCTGCTCATGAGGGTGTATGGTGACACGGCAATCGAGGCGATCAGCGATTTCATCAAGGAGGTGCTGAAGTACTGCTGGGAGAAGACGAAGGTCATTGGACGAGGAATTCTACTACTATTCCGAAGCTTCACGCGCTCGACTGCTGCTGTTGTAGCGGCAGACGCAGACGAGAAGAAGAAGGAGAAGAAAAAGGAAGAGGAGAAGAAAGAGGAGGAAGCGGAGACGGTCGAGCCAATTATCGACTTTTATGCGGGGTGCTCCATGGAACGACTAGCACTGTTCTACCAGCCCGTGCTGATCCTCATCATGATGTTCTTCCGCGAGGAAGTTATGCTTCCGATCATGTACAACATTCGCGAGAAGGACATGGAGATTTATCTCTGGTATTCGCTGATCATCCTCTTCTTCCAGCTCGTGATCGAGGTCTTCGTGCTGAACGTGGTTGAAATCTTCCAGGGGTGGAAACTGTACGATTACCTCGTGTACTGCCGATACCGCTTCCTCCAACGTGAAAAGCGTTGGAAAGGGCTCGAGCCCAATCTGGACGAGTGTATCGACGAAGGATTGCGTACCCTGGACCAAATGTGCTTCTCGTCGCAGTTTTTCATGATGTGTACAGTTCACGTCACGGGCATCGTGTTCTTCGTTGTGGGCATTGAGATCATGGCACGGGCAAGCTACAACATGTTCGGCGACCCCGCTATGCCACTACTACTCGCGTTTGTGTTGGCCACCGCAATGTTCATACGCTCTCTGGTGCTCTTCTTGGCGGTGAAGTTCGAGGTCTGGAAGATTAAACACGAGAACACAGCTTGGCTTGCTCCGCCGGACGAGGATGACGAGTTTGGCGTCCCCCGCTGGGATGAACTCGAGAAAATCAAGGGGGCTTCACACGAAGCCTACCTCATGAACCAACGCATCACGTCCGAGACGTTCCGCAACAAGTTCCTCAACTACAACCGCACGTGGCTCGTGAACCAACTCCCGTCGATCCTGACTCCCCGCACGTTGCGTCGCGCTAGACCCTATCTGTTGGCACAGTTCGCGAAGATCCTCGACAGTCTGAACCCCCAGGTCTCGGACGATGATGAGGATGACGACGGTCGCCCTCGCTTTGGTCCCGTGACGCTGTCCGCTCCTTCACGCACCATTATCCGTCTCTGGCTGGCTCGGGCGCGGCGAATCTTGCGTCTCAAGACTGTGGTGCAGCCGCTCATCCAGCAAGCGCGCAAGAGTGAGTGCGAGATGTGTCTGTCTCGCCGGCAACTGCAGGTCGAGATGGCCATTCCGATCGAGGTGCTGGGCGACAAGTTCGACAGCCAAACGCTGGCTGAAGAGTTCGACGCCGCCGCCTGGAAGGAGTTCTTCGCCAAGCACCAGAAGTTCAAAACGCTCTGCCTCAACTGCATCGTGCACCTCAAGACGACCGGGCAGATCGGGGATCTGCGTGGTCTGGGTGGAGGTGCCGGTGGCTTGGGCGGAGACGAAGGCTGGGGCCCGACACCGTTGAACGCTGCATCTTACGCCCTGCTGCAGAAATGGTATCGCAAGGCTCAGGACCGCGTCTTCGGCAAGAGTGGCAAGCGCCGCCAGCAACTGGACGTGAGCGACGACGAGGAGGAAGCCATGCAGCACCGATACGAGTGGACCCGACAGCCAGTGGCGCTCAATGCTGCGTCCACCGCGTTGGCGCGCAAGTGGCTGATCGCCGCACGCCACAAGCTTCGCGAGCCTGACCGCGTGCGTAATCAGCTGCCGACGAACCTGACAGCAATTCACCCGACAGTGCGCGGCGGCGCCACACCCGTCCCGAAGCCTGCTATGAAGATGGGAGCTGCCGGCGGAGAAGCTGTCAAGGCGTCCAAGATGCGTCGCAAATAGGGAGCGGAAGTCCTAGCACACACACGCACCACTGCACATCAAAACACCAGTGAGTAGAGAGAGAGAGAGAAGAGCCCTGCACACAACAAAATACATATCCAAAATGCATTCTTTCTATAAGGAAACGGCTCGAAGGTAACTTGGTGGCTTTCACGGAGCCAGCCGAGCGTCTAGGTGACCTTCTTGGCCAAGTTCTTGAAGCCGACGCCCAGACACGAGAGCAGCACCGTCTTGGTCTCGGGATCGGGTTTGATTTTGAACGTGATGCCGAAGAAGTCACGCAGGTGGCGCAGACACTCGATGCTGTAGGGCGTAAGCTTGCCGAAGCGCACCTTGGCCACATCCTCGGGCCCCAAAGCCATCATCAGCAGAACCAGCGCCTGGTTCGTCGAGTCCACGCAGCCTCCCTTGCTGATCTCCTCGCACAGCGCGTGCGACGCGCGGGTGGCCACGTCCTCGGGCAGGTCGCCGGGCTCGGCCGCCGCCTCCGCGCCCAGGAAGATGCCCGTGGTGGTCTCGGCCACGAGGCTCAGCGCGAAGCCCGGGGACTGGCCCGACTCGGCGCCCTTGTAGTGGTCCGAGTAGATGTAGACGTCGGGCAGCAGCTTGTTGAACAGCCCGCGGCTGGTCTCCACGATGCGGTTGGACGTCTGCGGGGACACGCGCGTGCTGTAGGCGACGCCGCGGATGCGTTTAATGAAGCCCTCGTCCGTCAAGTGGATGGGCCGCAGCTCGCGCACCAGCGGACACCGGAAGACAACCTGTCCTCCGCCGAGCGGGGGCGCGCCGCGCTTCTTGACCACGAGGTCGAGCCCCTCCTCGAGGCCAAAGTGTCGCAGCAGCGGCAGCGTCGTGGCCTTGAAGCTGTCCACCGAGCTGTCCACGTGGTCGTTGGTCACGCCGTCCAGCGTCGCGTGCAGCGGCAGCTTCCCGAACGGGGCCAGCGCCGCCAGCACCTCCAGGAACCAGCCGACGGCGCGCCCCGTGCCGCAGTCGTGGGCCACGCGGCCGCCCAGCACCAGGCCGGGCTGGTACTTGAGCTTGGTGCCGGTCTCGTTGATCTCCAGGTGGCTGCCGCTCGTCACGCGGTCCAGCAGCCGCAGCAGACTCGCCTCGAAGGGCCGCAGCCCCGGGTTCTCGTCCTCCGAGCGGATGTCCTCAATGATCAGCGGGCGCCCGCTGAGCGTGGCGCACACCAGACGCTGCCTGAAGTGCGCGCAGCCCTGGAAGCGCAGCACGCTGCCCGAGCGCCGGCCGGAAGAAGACGTCGCGCGAGGAGCCATGGCGACGGTCGTTGATACACTTGGGGATTGAATGGAGCGTAGCAATGACTGGCGGCTTTTGAGTGGGACTATTAGTGTGGGTGGTGTGGAACACATAATTATGGGGACCATTTCTCAGACTATTATTCGCCAGCTGTACGAAGTACATGTGGCTAACTTTTGGATACAGTATCCGAAGAGGATGTTGGAGGACGACAACCCTGGGGGCGTGCATGTATGAACACAGCGGTGTGGAGTCCGCAGGAAGAAGCGATGGCATCTCAGCCGTGCTAAGTTAGTCCTTCAATCAGGTGGTTGCCACACACTCACTCGTACTTGTTCGTTGCGGTGTCGGGAAACTGCCCGAGTCGCGCAACGGGTGATAAATCACGAACAAATCAGCAACGAAAGCCCGCGAGTCTTACGCAACCTGAAAGCCTTCGCTGCAAAGCGTCTGAACTTGCAGCGCGCCAACTGCAGTGGCCTTCCTTCATGCAGCGTGTTCCAATTCTGAAGCGTATCCATGTGGACAAACTATCGAGCATATGGGGACACTTTTCGCAACATGTATCGATGTTGAAGCTACTGTTTCTTGACGATACAAGCCAGCCCCCAAAACCGCAGGGCCACCACCAATGCTCTTCGGTCCTCAACGCTCTGTAGCTCCGGCAAGGCTCTCCGGCATGACAGCGTGGCGTTGCCCGCGAGACCTGCCGCACGCTTCAACGAGCGCCGCCCAATCCCCGCCCTTTTTCATCCCCGCCTTCCATCACCGGAACCAGGGTCCAACGGCGGTATCCGCTGCTCCAAGTGATACATGCCTTACCGTCCTGCCCGAACGAGCATGCCTCGGAGGCAGCAACGCCTCAGCCTTCTCCACCGCGCAGCGGGGACAGCCATCCGGTCGCGTGCCTGTCCTCGCTGGTCGTTTCGTGTCGTGCCGGACGCATAACGGGCCCTACCTGCCTGCAACGCGCGACTGGCCTTGCGGTCTCCCTTGCTTGCACATGGTGTCTCTTTGAAGACAAGCGCACGCAGCGGGTAAAATTAGGCAAAATCGAACGAAGCGGCGGGCGCGATCTTGTCGTCGCCATCCATCGCACGCACGCACTCCCCCACTTGCCTTACGCCGCAGGACCAACAGACCTGGACCCAATTCAATTCAATTCATCCCACCCGCAGCCATGCTCGGCAAGAAGAAGCTCTCGACGCTGGCGACGCAAGTGCCCCGGGCCAAGACCAGCTCGCCGCGCGTGGCGTCCCCACCCGCGGACGCCAAGCGGCCGGCGCGGGACTTTTCGTCGACAGCAGCAGCGGCGTCCAAGCCCAAGACGGCGCGGCCTCTGAGCCCCGAAGAGCTCGAACAGCTCAGTGCAGAGCTGCGCGAGCAGGTGGCGGCCACGCGCCCGGAGCTGCTGCCGCTGCTGGGCCCCCTGCCGGACCCGACGCGCCGCTGGGACCTGCGGAGACCGTCGGATGCCGCCGCGCTCAGCGCGCAGCTGCAGGACCGACTGCTGTGCCTGCCGGAGCTCAACCGCAACTCGCCGTGCTACAGCGCGCGCGACCTGGTGCTGCTGTTCACGAAGCTCAAGTACCTCGAGACCTTCTCGCAGGCGGAGCTGGCCGACTACGCCAATGCAGTCGACACGGCGCCGCGCGCGCGCATCCGGCAGGAAGAAGTGCAGGTCGTGAGGCAGCTGGCCACCGTGGGGAACACCACGGAGCTGTTCTCGCGCCTGGCCACGCTGCTGCACATTCCGTGCCATGGAGACGCGTGGAACGAGATCGTCAAGTTCGCAGCCAACGCGCTGCCCTTCGCCGAGCAGACCGAGACGCTGCTGGTGCGCGGCTCGGACGACAGGTCCGCGCTGTGTCCGTTGACCAAGACCAACAACTACAACGCGTCCACGATCCCATTCGCCACGGACGTGGCGCGCGGAAGCTGCACGTGCTCCAGCGTCACCCTCGAAGCGTTCGAGCGCTGCGAGAAGCTGCGGCAGGAGCTGCTGCTCAACTCCCTATCTATTAACCCCAACGCCAAGAGCTCCAGCACGCTCTTCAACAACAAGATGCGCGCGGTGAGGACGCGCGTGGCTGCGTGCCTCGGAGTCTCGGACCTGGTTCGCAGCGACCAGCTGAGGATTCTGCTGTCGCCTTCAGGAACGGACGCGGAGCTGCTGGCTACGGTGGCTGGACTTGCCAGGTTGTACTCTGGACTTGGGGAGGAGGAGAACTTACCCGGCGGCGTCGGACCGGAGCAGTGCAAGGTAACCAGCATCATCACGGCTGGCGGGGAGATCGGTCGAGGATCGAACAGCGCTTCGGGTGGCAAGCACTTCAGCAACTTGACACCAAGCGGAGAGGCTGGTACTGCTGGAGATCCGCTGCGTAAGTTTCCAACTGAGCTGGTGGATGTGGTCACGATGCCGGCTCGTGATGACAATGGCGATATCAACCGTATCGATGGGCGAGTGGAAGAACTGGTGCATGAACGCCTGGATCGCGGTGGAGATGTAGTGCTGCTACACGTCGTCGTAGGGGCTAAGACGGGCTACGCGTGCCCGTCGATGCCCGTGGTGGACGCTCTGGCTGCGCAGTACCCAAACCGCCTGCTTGTCGTCGTGGACGCCTGTCAAATGCGTGTGGACCGATCCCTGTACCGAGAATGGGCTGCCAAGGGCTACGTAGTGCTCACTACGGGCTCGAAATTCTTCGGAGGCTCCCCGTTCTGCGGTGCTGTGCTCATGCCCATGCGCTGCGTATACGAAATGGAAGCAGCGGCCGTGGAGCGCCACTCAGAACTGGCGCTGCCACTTGGTCTGGAGGACTACTTCTCAAGATACGATATACCTGAGAACATGCGTCACGTGCGGCAGCGGTTCGGAGCGAACATGAACGTTGGTTTGCTGCTGCGGTGGGAGACTGCGCTAGTCAACATGGAGCCATTCTGTCGAATTCCACCGCAGGATATTGCGGCGATATGCAAGTTGTACATGAGCAATTGTAGAATGAAGATGGAGTCGTCGTGGGGTCACATGGTCGAGCTGCTGTCGCCTCCTGAGCCGACTGAAAATGACGGCACAAGCACGGTGACGCCGATGGACACGATTGTGTCGTTCAAGGTGCGCGATGAGAATGGCACTTTCCTCGACATGACGGCTCTGAAGGCGCTGCACACGCTTCTATCGAAGGACGTGTCGGGTGCCCTGCCGGATGATGCATTGGCCAAGAAGCGTTCCCTACTGGGTCAGCCCGTATCACTCGGCAAAAGTGGAGTTGTGCTACGAATTGCCATGGGGGCAGATATGATTAACGAAGTGTACTCTCGTGGCAAGGGTGAAAGCGACTTCGCAGCTGCTATTGAGCCTCTTTCACAGGACGATGATGCCATCCTGGGGAAGATCGCGTTAATACTGTGTCACTGGGAGCAGCTACACCACAAGTACATTGAAGAGTGTGTGGAGACCGCACCACTGGAACCGCTCAAGCCGCTTAGTGACTGGAACTTCAGCGTCAAGGATGCACAGGTCGCACGTGTGGTGCAGCACATGGTTGAAAGTCGTGTACTGGCGAACGAGGACCAACCTGAAGAAGAGAACAAACTGGCGGTTGTGTACGATCTGGACTCCATCGATATGGCATTCCAGGCGTTGCTAACGTCTTTCCCCGTGCACTTTGAGCACCGCTTTGCCATGAAATCATGCCCACTGGCGTTCTTTGTGAAGCGTGCGATCGAGAACGAGGTCGGACTCGAGTGTGCATCGATCGTGGAAGTGAAGCACGCGTTGAGACTTGGTTGCCCGCCTCACCGTATAGTGTTCGACAGTCCGTGCAAGACGAGACGCGACCTGCAGTTCGCCATCAACGCTGGAGTGGAAGTCAACGCTGACAACTTCGACGAATTAAACATTATCCGTGAGCATGCGGAGGCGATTTTCCAGTCCAGCTTCCCTGAGTGTACTCCGCGATACGCTGGTAATCTGCCTCGGATCGGGCTGCGTATCAACCCACTGCTTGGAGCTGGAACCAATACCTGCCTGAGCGTCTCCACGGTACAATCCAAGTTCGGTGTGCCACTTACTCCTGAGAACCGCACCAAGATCATAGAATTTTTCTGTGCGAATCCCTGGATGACCGGACTTCACGCGCATGTTGGATCTCAAGGTTGCTCGCTTGAGATGCTTTCTCAGGGTGCTGTTGTATTGAGCGAATTGGCCAACGAGATCGACGCTGCGGCCGGTGCGAGTAGAATCAAGGTGCTGAATATTGGTGGTGGTCTCTCGACCAACTTTGACGGCGAGGATGTGTCACCGACTTTCGCCGAGTACGTGGAGGTACTCCGTCGTGAGGCTCCACAGTTGTTCGAGCGAACGGGTCGCACCATTTTGACCGAATTCGGTAGCAGCGTCAGCTCCAAGACTGGCTGGGTAGTGAGCGAGGTCGAGTACGTGAAGACTCACCCTCGAGTTGATGGTGACACGCTCGAGCAAACCGCCATTATTCATGCTGGATCGGATCTCTTCTTGCGCGCGTGCTACCGTCCTGAGCTCTTTGCCCGCCGGATATCTGTCTACAAGTACGTCCCTTGTCATTTTCCTCGTACTTGAGACTCGCAAGCTAATGTTGTTCCGTTTGTTTGTGCAGCTCTGCTGGCCTGGTATCTACGGCTCCGCTGGCAGTGCAGAATGTGGCGGGACCGTTGTGCTTTGGAGGCGATATGGTGGGCCGTCGTCTGGAGTTGCCCACCATTTCTCGAGGCGATTTCGTCGTGGTGCACGATACTGGAGCAAACACCATGTCGATGTTCAGCCGCCATTGCAGTCGTCCAGCACCTGCTGTCTATGGCTACCGCACGAACGAAGATGATATTGCTCTCGAGTTGCTGAAGCCCGCAGAACCCCCTGAAGAGGTGATGAGCTTCTGGGGGTAGTTTTGCTGCCATCCTGCTGTCACTAGGTCTGTATAAAATTGTACGTATCAGTCCGCATTGCAGAGTCTGCAACAAGTAACTGGGCACCAGCGAACGTACAGCTTGAACGAACTCTTTTATTATGACTGCTACATCGTCCTCAACTCAAGCCTGGGGCTTTTGAGAGCGAATCTTTGCCACAAGTGTCTGGATTTTGCCGTCTTTGAGCCGCACAAGCTGCTCCAGCTTCTGTACTTTCATCTCCAAAATTTGCACGGTCTCACGGAGCTCTGCAATCACGCTGTCCTTCTCAGCCAGCACTTGACGCGCATGCTCGTTTTTCACTGAGGTTTCGCTGCTTGGCGTGTACGATTTTCCAACTGAATCGATCGGGTACACTGCTGCTGCTGGCTCCATGAAAGCCCCCGGTTTGTCGGCCTCTTGCAATGACAGGTCTCTCATCGGCGCCAACAGGTCTCCGTGAGCTTCACCTTGCTTGTCTGGTGAAGCTTGCAACCCACCACGACTGCCTCCGCCGACAGGACTCCCGCCTGCCAAAGTGCCCGCGACTGCGGTGTTTGCGGAAATGACGCTACTCGTGTCGTCTGCGTTATCACTGATCTGTCGAGGTGCCTGAGGCACTGGCGAGGTTGACGGACGCTTTTCACGATAATTGGCGATCTATTCTCCGTGAGCAGCAAGAACATCAGATCAATAAATCAAGCTTCGGGTGCACAATTACGACTGTGTACCTTGATTTGAAGCTTCACGAGCAAGTGCTCAATCGCACCAGACTGGCACTGCACGAGGTCGTCGATTTCCTGTTTGGACAGCGAGATGTGTAGCTTCTTGAACACCTTGCCTAGCGCATTGGCGACACAGAAGAAAGGTAAGTCACCAAGAACGCTAATACGTTCAAGTCCCACCGTCAAAACCACAGCTTACGATTAAGCGTGTTCCAGTTGTACTGCTTCTGCTTGATCGAGTTTGCAGCGCTGTAGTTGTGCATCTGCACAAACTTAGGGAAGTAGAACGCCACAACTTCGGCAGCTAAAATCCCATCGCTGAAGTCGCGCGCGATGCTCTTCTTCGGTCGGGACAGCGGGATCTCGTCGATCCAGGCGTACACGCGCTGCAGGGTTTCGTCATCGAGGGGTAGATCCATCATCGTTCGTCCAGCTTCAGCTGCAGTCCTCGCTGCTCTGCGAACACGACGCAATAATGAGCCTTTAACCTCCCGACTGCAATGCTCGCACGAAAAGGCACCAACCGTTTCGGGCTCAAAATCTCGATTTCATTCATGATGGAAACCCCTTTTCCAACCTGCTCAACCCCCAAGCCGGCGCAGAGCGGCTTCGCTCATCAGCTTGCGCTTGTGTCCATTGACACAGCCCGTCGAGCAGTACTTAAAATCCAAGCGTGTGAACGGAGACTTGCCTGCGTACTTGCCGCAAAAATCGCAAGCAAGGCCTGCTGCAATTTTGCGTTCAAGCTCTTCCTGGCGAGCCTCTTCTTCGCGTTTCTGCTCAGCGGCCTCCTTCTTCTGCTGCTTCTTGCGTTCCCGGGCGCGCTTTCGCTTTTCAGCCTCCTTTTCCTTCTTGCGCTGCTCCATCTCACTCGTAAGACCCTCGGGAATCTGCGCCGTCGCGTAGTCCCACGCATCTGGGTGCTCTGCCATGTACCGACGGAATGCATTGCGAGCTTCTTTTGTTCCACAGAGGAAGTACGGCGGGCGGTTGTGAAGATCCACAAGGGCCGGGTTGGCTCCTTGCTCGAGAAGATATTCCAGAATGGAGACTGCGTTCTTTGCAGCAGCGTGGTGAAGTGCCGACATGAACTTTGCGTCTACCTCGTTTACTTCGATGTCTTTTTCTTCGGCACTCGAAAGTAGCTCCTTGATCGCCTTCAGGTCACCGTCATTCACTAGCTGGATGATCCGGGGAACTTCTTCTTCTTCGTCCACCTCCTCGTCCTTGGGGGTTTCTACCTTAGCTGCAGCATTGGAGGGCGAATCTCTCGGTTGTTTCTTCTTTTTCTTCTTCGACTTCTTGGAGTCATCAATCGGAGACGATGCCTCTGCTTCGAGTGGCGAGAACCGAACGCTGCAGAGGTCGGAACGCACTCGGCACACCTCTTCGAACGTCGGACGGAAGGTAGCAAAAGGAATCCGCTTCAGTCTCTTGTCGCCTAAAAGACAGCAATTCAATTGGCACAGCCATCAAAATCCTATTCTACATAAGCACAAGCCACTGTCCAGCAAAATGCACCTGGCTGCAGCACCGCATTTTTCTCGGGGAAAAACGTCGCGCGCTCCGTCTTCCCGCTCGAGAGGAAGATCAAGTCCGCATCCTTCAACACGTCCTTCCACTCCAGCAGCAACGCTGCCACATCCTGCTTCAACGCGGCTTCATTGTACCTTCGGAGCGTAGCACCCGCCGACTTGGCCTTGCCGCTAGCGTCGCTTGCAGACTGAGCACCTCCCTGCTTCCGCCGGGTCGTGTACCGCTGGAACGTCTTGTGACACAGTGCCTTGTCCTTCTCGAACACAGCGCCTGCGAAGCGACCGCTACGCAGCAGGAAGACCGCCCACCGGAACTTGGACGCGCAGACTTTGTCCAGAGAAGCGTACGGGTTGAAGCTCTCCTCGTCGGCATCCGGTAGAATGTTCTTGAACACCTACAATGCAACCACCAACAAAACAATCAGGACCCTGCTCTTGCAGCCGTAGTAGCCATTGTAACAGCACCGACCTTGAAGATGCTCTTGCCGTCCGAGAACTCCACCACGGGCTCTGTGGTCGTAGCCACCTTCTCCTGCTCATCTTCATCTTCCTCCTCCTCCGACCAGGAGGAAGAAGAAGAGGATGATCTATAGCCTTCGTCCGCCTTCTCTGCCTTGCTCTTCTTGTCCTGGCTGTGACGCTCCAGATACGCGAGCGCGTTCTCCTCCGAGAGACTCGCGAGGCCTCGGGCTCGGCGGTTGAGGTTGACGCAGTGCGCCGCCGACTTGAAGTGCGCGTACTGCTCGTCCAGAGACTCGAAGGCCGCGATGTCGCAGGCGCCACAGCGGAGACCAACGCTCCTGCGCTCGTCCAGCGTCGCCGTCTGCAGGCGCAAGGCCGCGGCGGCCACGTCGGGGTCAGTTGGCGCGTTGTTCTGGGCCTGCGGGCACTCGAACTGCCGCGAGCTTCCGGCTACAGCTCGCACGGTCCACTGGCTCGTTTGGGACGCAGTCAGGTCGCTCAGCGCGATGCGGCCGTACGTCTGCGCGGGCTTCTTGGGCGCCATGGCGATCACGGGGAAGGTGCTCAAATGGGTCTCCGCAAGAAAATAGGTAGGACCTGTGTTGTGAGTGATGGTCTACACAATCTCCACTCAAATCAACTATCGTCGAAAATATAAATGCCATAAAGCATGAGCGGTTATCATCCCCCGGGCCATACTGGACTTCATAGTGATCTCCTGCTCAAGTGAAGATGCCGAGCCTGGAGCAGCGCAAGCGGCCGGCGGCGTGCGGCACGGGCTTCAATGTGCGTCTGTGGTGCAACAAGGACCCGTGCGGCGTCGTGTGCGCCGTCATCTCCTGGTTCCTGGTGCTCTACGCCGAGTGCACCGTCGTGGTACGCGTCCTCTCCTACTCGCTCGCTCGCTCGCTACCGAGGAATGATTATGGCCTAACGCTGCTGCTGCTGCTGCAGGGCGTGGTGGTGTACCCGTGGATGGGTCTGTCGCCTCTGGGGCTGCTGCACATTGTTATCTTCTCGGGGCTGTGCTTCTTGGCCCTCGTATCGCACGGAAAAGGTCGGTAACAGCCAGGCAGGAGCTTCAAGCAAGAGTGCACCCATATCGGGTTATTCATCGTTTTCTGTGCATTTCTTAGCTATGCTGACGGATCCTGGAGCTGTACCCGAGTCGGCGCTACCAGTGGCACTTGCTCACGCCTCGAAGGACGAGATTGCGCGGTGAGAAGACGAGTTGGTTGCGCGGTGGAGCTGGTTAAGTAAGTGCTGCAGCTGACGCTATGGTTGTTCTGTGCTGCAGGATGGAGGAGCAGAGATACCGCACGTGCCGCCGTTGCCGTCAGTTTAAACCGGGGAGAGCGCATCACTGCTCGATCTGCGATCGCTGCGTCATCAAGATGGACCACCACTGCCCCTGGGTCAACAACTGCGTGGGCCTGGGCAACCACAAGTTCTTCCTGCTCTTCATCTTCTATGTCTTCGTGCTGTCCGCCTACGCGCTGACGCTAGTATTCTTCCGTTACGCCAAGTGCATCAACGAATCGTACGTGACAAAGGGTAGCGGAGTAATGTGGCGTTTTGACTTGCTGCTAACTTGTGCGTGCTTTTGATGCTCGTAGCTGCCCGACCTACGGAGCGATTCGGGTCGTATGCTTGATCCTGGAAGCCGTGCTCTTCGGCCTTTTCACCATGTGCATGATGTGCGACCAGTACAGCGTCATCACCACGGGGACCACACAGATTGACCGCCTGAAGGGCGAGGCTGCGGACAGCCTCGGCCTGCGCGAAGTGTTCGGCGGGGCAGATTGCAAATTCTCGCTGAATTGGCTTCTTCCGGTGAACATTTGGTTCCCCACGTACGACCCTTTCTCAGGTTTTATTACTACAGCGTCACGACCAAGGCTAACCTCATTACCGAATATTTTCTTTATGTAGGTCCGTCAAAAACCAGGTGCTGGGCTATGTGCTCGAGCACGAGCTTATCTTTTCAGAGGACGAAGCCTCGGAAATGGATACGTTCCTGGACGATGATAGCGTGTCGGAGACTGCCATTACAATGACGACGGAAACTCTTGAAGGAGGGTGGTCCGTGGAGAAGCGAGTTCCGGCCAGTAAAGCTTCCGATGTTGTGTAGGAGGCGTGCGTATCGGTTCGTATAGTAATTAGTCCCGGCATGGAGCGGAGCGGTAGAGATATTGGTGCGCAGCTATCGCTCGAGCTGTCGTCACGTAACAGCTACGCAGACTGCTTCCTCTATTTTCCTAATGCACTCCATTGCGTACCGTTACTGAGATAGGCTTTTCCTCGGGTTGAACTCGGAGTCGAAGCGGATCCAATGTTGAAGTGTCCGGAAGATCGCTTTATGCGATGGGGTTTCCCACGCACGGAAATCGTCGTGGAAACACTTGTGATAAACACAGCGCTCCGCTACAGAGACAACCGATCTCGAGATGCGGTTGTCCTGTGCTTTGTGTTCACAAGGGCCGGTTTAACAGCACAAAAAGTCTCCCCTTCGGCCTGGTCGGAGAATGATCGTCTCAGTCGCTCGTCTCCGGTAAGCCTACCCCTAAGGTGAACCGAGCCGACGTGGTCGGTTGGCTGGAGACCGTCTTAGTTTTGGTGTGTCAAGCTGCTCGACTCAGCACCATAACACTCGAGAACTCGCAGCCATGGAAGGCACCCTTACTGCCCAAGCAACCTTCTCCTCAAAAGAGTGCTCCTTCATAAATCGATCTAGCTCAAAATCTTTCAGCTCCTGACGCAGAACACCACAAAGCCGTAGAAACGTAGCTTGGCTACACCTGAGATTCTGTCGAAACCACTCGTCGTAGACAGCGTCGTAAAGCGTAGCCTCAAACTCTAGCGGTGTCAGGGTAAGGATGTTCTGCGTTGGGTTCGAAATTGCCCACACAGTGGTGTGGACCGCCGTCGCGAGAGCCCCCGTGGCCGCAGCAACTGCAGCAACGATGCTTTCGCTCTGCACCATCGAAACGCAGTGAAGACGCTCGTCTCCAAAGTGAGACTGGTGATTTAGTCGTCTCAGATTGGTCAGTCTGGAGACGATGAACCTAGCCGATCGAGCTAATAACTGGCAATCAAAAATAAGAAAAATGTCGCCACATCGTCTAAGACGATCGAAAGCCGAGACGAGCGTTCCCCGACCAGGTCCTAACGAAGCTGCATTAGCAAACGGCAATATGACTGTGCGGAACGCAGATCCGTGGTCGGGATCGCAACAAAAATTGATGAAGATAAATTCTTTCATATTCATGATTCGACAGACATACACTTAACACGAGGTCCGGGGCGCAAGCTAAGAAAATAAACGGACCTTGGGGAAGGTAGGTATATCTTACAAGCAAGATACGGACGGAGGCGGGCAGGGGCGAGAACTACGACTACCAGCTTTTCTGCCCGAGCGAGCCCTGCGAGCATGATCCCTCCTTCCGATCTCCCTTGAAATTACTTACGCGAGGACTCCAGCCTCCTTCAGGGCGCGGTGTGCGTTGCATGCGTGCTTCTTGAGGCGGGGGTCCTCAATCTTCTGCCACTCCTGCACAAGCTCCAGCACACGTCCGGCGTTCTCCGACTTGGCCAGCTCGTCGTGGTACAGCGGACACAATGTCTCTACCACGTGGAGACTCTCTCGCTGCACCTCGGGCTTCACACCAGCGCCACCAGCGGCGCAGTCCACAATAAACTGCCAGCCATCGGACTGAATAAAGGCTTGGCGGCACTGCGGGTGATCGCAGAGCCGTGCGAGGGCAGCGCTCACTAACCGCGTCACGTTCGAGTTCTTGGACTGAGCCAGCGTCACTAGCTGGGGCACGAGGCCAGCCATGCCGGATCGGGTCTCCTCAATGGTTGACATGGAGATGGCACCAAGCACGCCCTGCATCTGCGCATCGGCGTACTTGCTCTCGAGCAGACCCTTGAGGGCCGAGACGCCGTCCTGGATGCTCTCGGGCGACAGCGGCAGCTTCGGGAGCGGCTTGGGGGCGGCGCGCTTGACGCCGTTCGACGTGGGGGTCTTCTCGCTGAGCAGCTGGCTGCGGCGGAACAGACTCTTGAGCTCATGGTACAGGTGCATCAGCGCGGTGACGTCGCCCTCGCGACGCTGCACCTCGACGACGTACTCCTCCTTGTTCGTCTTGAAGATGACGATGTTGAGGCTGACGCGCTGGGCGCCGCCGTTGCGGCGGTACTCGACCTTCCACTTGCACTTGTCGGCCTTGAACTCGAAGTCCGTATCCAGCTCGCAGAGCTTGATGCCCACGACGCCACACACGCGCTGCGTGGACTCGAGCTTGACGTGGAAGTGGGTGTGCATCTCGAGGCGGAAGGGGGCGGGCGGCAGGTCGCGCGGCGTCACGTTCACGTACTTGGTGCGGTCCACGCGCATGCCGAAGGAGTGCGAGGCGCCCGCGGCCTCGGGCTTCTTGCAGACGCCTGCCGACTTCTTGGACGCCATGTTGAACGCCAGCGGGGCGGGGAAGGCGCCGCCCATCTGCTCGAGCGGGCTGCGCTGGCCCATCATGCCGAAGGCCGGCGGCGCGGAGGCCATGGCCATGGAGCGGTACTGCACGCGGTCCGACTGCTCGTTGGGCGTGAGCGTGCGGAACACGGGCTTCTCCTCCTGCTTCTGCTCGTCCTGGTCTTGGCGCGGGCTGCTCATGGTGCTGCTGGCTGGGCGGACGATCGACTCTGTTTCTGTCTCTCTTGCGGCCTAGCGGGGATATCGGCGAATGAGCCCGAGATCGGAAAAGGCGAGAGGCAACGCCCGGCTGTGCGCGCGACCGGGCTGGCAGAAGGAACATTCTTCCCGACCCCTAATGGATTTTCGCTAAATCGGCGGTAAAAATGATGTCTTGAGGCGTAAAGCGGAGGTGGGAAGTTTGCAACACACGGCCATTGTCGAGTTCGTAGCGAAGCGTGCTTCCCCCCCGTTTTTCGGTGGCGCTTTGCTGTGAGATTTCTGGTGCGCTGGCAACAGTGACAGCTACTAGACCATTGCATGCATGAACTATAGCGACTTGCAGCTGCCGCTATCGGGATCGGTGGAAGGCGCTACATGTAGGCCGCCGGCAATTGCTACTCACGAAGCTACACTAGGGTTGGCGCGTGCATAAGGAGCTGCGTTGATGGACGTGGTCAGCTCTACCCGACAGCCGGTTTACGGGCTTGAGTGTAAGCGTGGCGAGACTTGGCAAATGTATGCTCTTGAGGCCGCAGCGTCCGGTTTCGGCGCTCCCAGCTGACTCGTTTGCGCCGCCACCCTTTCCTGCTGCTCTGTGCAGCGGAGCCACGGCGTGCTTTGTGGCGAGGGCGGCGATAAGAACGGCAGGCCGCGCCGAGTTTACCAGCAAAAATACCGCATGAGGCGCTGCGTCTTTTGGTCTTGCCGGCGCCGTTGGCACGCCGCTGTTGACGGCGAAATAGGCAATGCGCCAAGCGGATTTTCCTTTCGACCGGACTACAGCGCCATGATCGCTGCTATGTTGTCCCGGGCTCGACGATTTTACACGGTGTGCTGCTGTCGTCTGCAACAATTGATTCAGTGAAATCACTCAAAGTGACGTTGGTATCGGCTTTGTGTTAAACTCTACACTTTTCAGTAGAGTTCTGCCGCCCACATCATGATTATTGCGGTCTTTCAGCGGTGGCTGCTGAATATTGAGCGGAGTATGGTCACAACCCTCGGATGTACCAGTATACTGTAGTGCTTACTACTGAATTGCGACCCAAAATAAGTTTCCTACCAGGCCGCTCATGGGCAAGATGTAACACACAGCAGACATTTGATCCAATCAAGCCGATGCATTTGTTGGTGCAGGACAACATAATATTGAGGTAAAAATAGTTTTCAGGGAAAAACATCGTTGATCAAAAGGAGCATATTGAGGGGAAAAGTTGCTTTTCAATTTTCCAGAAAAAACTCATGAATCAAAACGGATGGGTCTTGCGTCTCGATCAGAAGCAATTCGCACAACAGCTCCAACAAACTGGGTTTTTTAAAACCCAGTCTTAAAAGACTTGAAAAGCAACAGCCTTTTTCCGGCCACTGGCTGCTTGCCACTGAGCTACTGCCAATGACAGTCTATCACTGCTTGCACCAATGATGCTCCAGCTCCTCAAAGCTTGGAAGCGAAGACAGCACTGCTCGCAGCAGGCAGCAAAAGCTGCTGCTTTCGCCTGCGGGAGTCCCCCAGCGATCTTCCAGCACAGCTTTAGCAATGGGCTTCAACGAATTAGCGCAGAGAAGGTTCGCGGAAGCCGCCCTGGCTGTGACCACCGCGAGCCATTCGGCGACTGCACTCCTTGCATCAGGGCAAAGCTCGGATCGGAGCCACTTGGTCCCTTGGCGCTGCGCCGCCTTCAACTGCAGCAACTTGCTGCGTCACTCCTCCCCCGCCGCCACCCCCCGAGCTGCAGCGACGCTGGTTGCCAGCCGCCTGCCGCTGAAGCCGCCGAGCTGATCCCGTGATGGCGCGAGGTGTCGCTGCGCCCCGCCACTGATTTAAATTTGCGTGCGCGGCGTGCATGAGCCCGACCAGAACGCGCCGCAGCCAGTCGTGGCCGCCACGAAGCTTCGCTCGGCGGGCTGCACGTTCGCTGCGGTTGCCGCGCGCTATTTCGGCGTCGCGCCCAGCCGTGAAACGCCTTCCCCTTGGGTCCAGCATTGCAGGACGGCACCAACGCCAGCCCCATGGCCGGCCCAGCAGATGGAGAGACCGCCGCACGCAAGCTGCTTCGCGGGAACCCCCGCACCCGAGCGAGCATACGAGTGACGTGACGTGGCGGCGCCACCGGCGTGACGGGATCCTCGGCGCTGCAGCTTCAACGACAGGCCTCGCAACGCGAGCTTTGCAGGCTGCTATCGGAAGACGCTTTGCTATTTACTGAGCACGGCTTGATAACGGCCTGCGGCCGGTTCTCGCGACGGCTTTGGGTTGACGTCACTATTTGCTGGCATTAGGACGCTCCGGCAAATGAGATCGTCCTGGGCATGTGACCGACCAAGTGGCTGCCTCCCCAAATACAACTTCAGTATTCTGAATAAGCACCAGTGCTTGCACTGAGCGAGTCTATTCATGGTGCACTTGGCCCAAGAAACCTTCAGTAGCGAGTCGCAACAACCAGCTTTCGGTTGCCTGGAAACGATTAGCTTGAAAACTAGCGATCCCTGGACACAACCCAAGACCATGTAGAAGGAGGTCTTTCCCGAACCTGTCCCCGGACTACTCGGGAGAACAACCACTATGATAGCTAGCATTGACCATCGACACCCTCCGCGGCCGCCAGACAAGAACCCGCATGGGATTAGTCTTGACATCGCCTCCCGGTTGCCATTTTCGTCCGGTGGTTTTCCACATCCGTTACCTTCGGAAACACTAAGGTTAGCACTATTTTCCATCGCACCCTGTGCGGCTGCCGCCATTACCATAGTATTGGCCACTGAAACACTGTGACTACGAGCACGCTGAACTACCAAGTGAAGTGAACAAGGATGGCTGAGAACAAGCCTCCCATCGAGATGGGGAAAGTGAGGCCCTTGAAGTCGGCCACAAGCGTGAGCCGATACATCGTCTCGGGCAGGAAGCGATCGTCGGTCTACTGCGTGGACAGTGAAGGGGGTCCTAGCAGAACCATCAGCCGCATTAGCCAAGAGACTCTCGATGAAGAGGGGGGTGCCAAGCTGTTCACCGCCAAGAGGATGCTGGTTGCAGTGTGGATGTGCGTCGGACTCGTGCCGTTGCTTCTCCAAGCGAGGAGCTACCTGAAGTTCGTGACGCCGCACAAGATTTCGCAGGAGCTGGTGGTCCCAGCAACCGCAACGAAGCACACGGCCGACATGGAGACGATGTGTCCAATGGAAGGGTTGGTAATTGCAGGAGCCTGGTGGAACGTCGGTGTCACGCACTACTACGAACTCGAGGAGAGGAGGGTGTGCCACTTTGTTGTGCCGCAGTACAATATCCACGGCAACTACGCTCTCGGCACCGAGTTGGTTGCACCGTCGGAGACATCGCCCGCTAGCTGCGCTGAGAACAGCTACTTTCTCGAATACTACTTCTACCACGGGAGTATTGGCTACTACGGCTTTTATGAAGAAGCTGTTGGCACCTTATGTGCTAATGATAACATCGGCTACGTGCTTGTCCGAGGCCTCGGGACCTACGACAGCAATGGAGCCAATCTGGCACACGATATCGGCGATACAACGTACCGACGCTCGTACTGGTACGGCTTGTTCGGTTCTGCCTGGATCCTGTATCGCTCATTTCTGCTGCGGCGGAGCTATATATCGTGCAAGCGGTACGGGCGGAGGTGCGATCGTCTTCAGGAGCCCATGCGATTCAAAGATTCGGTCGTGTTTGTTCAAGAGAGCATGAGACTCTCAGCGCACGGGGCCAGGAACTACCACCGGGCTGCACTAGTGTACCTGCTGGTTGAGGGCTTGATGAGCGACTTGTTCATGCTTATCGCGCAAGACGGGTTGTTCGCGAAGGTGCAGTATATCTCACTGGGGTACAATCTTTCGGGAGTGCTGTCGATGTTGTTCGAGATGGTGGAGGCGATGAACTGGATGGGTGAGAAGGTGCGTTGTTTGATCAAGCGCCTCCTCTTCAATTACGAGACAGCTTTGCTTGGTGAACTGGTGTGCTCCGCTGCGATGCAACATTACCTTACTGGCCTGAACAAATCCAGCCTCAAAGGGACGAAGCCGGTAGCAGAGGCAGTATCGTATTACGTTTGGAGCCTTGTGGGTCACGGCATCATCGTACTCGGAATCGTGTTTGTGATAACCTCAATTCGATCACTCGGGGCTATCGTCAGCGTTCGATGGAGCTTCGGGTCCTTAAAGCTGCTAGTGACCCCGTGCTGTGTTGATACGGCGATCGGGCCACGATGCAAGATGATCTTGTTGACGGGCTATGTGTGGGAAGATGAAAGGCTTTGCTACAAGGTGGAAACACTGAAGTCATTCGGGATGCTCAAGATGGTGGAGGAGGATGGCGCTAAATTTATAGTGCTTCACAGGCTTCACTGGTTCGCGATTCCGAGGGGAGACTTGATGGTGATTGGAGAAGTGAGTGGGTACATCGTAACAGGTTGCAGCGAACGACCGTGTACGGGCATGGTTAGCATGGTGGGGTCAACATTAGGAGGGGTTCCCGAGTCGAATTCGCCCACTAGGGCAGCTATCAAGTATCGGATGTCGATTGATCCATTGGATACTTTGCAGGAGTAGCACGCGCAAAAATGTACTTGCAAATTCGATATGATTTTTGTCATTTTCAAACGCATTGTCATCTTTTGATCCGGGTTTGTTGCTGGCGGAGTTCGGGTAGTCAACACTGCTGCATATTGAATGAGGAGTCCTCATTGACCTCACTGGACCAGCGAACGTAACCAATTCTGTAGACATCCGACTAAAAGCGGGGACAAAGCAGTTTCAGATTTTGAATTCGGCCTACCATCTTCACCTCTTCGTCGCCACTTTGCCTTTGCAAATAAATGTTCGTAATGATGAAGCTCGGCTCGAAAGCTGGGCCGGTGCTACCCACGACAAGGCGCTCGCAAGGGCACAGCACTACCATCGGGTCTTTTGACAGCAGAGAATCCTCCAACAGAATTTGCGACGTGAGGGTTGCGCGCCGAATGCTGATGGCTGTGTGGTTGACCGTGGGCATGGTGCCATTGCTGTTGCAAGGACGAAGCTACTTAAAGTTCGTGACGCCGCATAAACTAACAGATGATCTAGTGGTTCCTGCTGATGCAAAGCGAGAGACGGCAAATATCGCAGAGTTATGCCCCGTTGAAGGATTGTTAATCGCTCATGCGTGGTGGAATGTTGCTGTCACGCACTACTATCGGGTCGATCACGGGCAGGTTTGTCACTTCGTGATCCCGCAGTACAATATTCACGGCTCGTACATCCTGGGGACCAAGAAAATCGCGCCGTATTCGACAGCGCCGAGCAGTTGTGAGGACGAAAGCTACTACTTTGAACACTATTTCTACCACGGATCCATCGGATACTATTCTTTTTACGAGGAGGCCGAAGGCACGTATTGCAGGCAAGACAAGACAGCATATGTTCGAGTTCGAGGGCTTGGGACATTGGATATCAATGGGGTGGAATTGGCTGAGGACAGAGGAGATTTTGGGTACCGACGATCGTATTGGTATGGTACTTTTGGCGCCATTTGGATGATATACCGCAGCATGTTGCTCCGCAAAAGCTACATAATGTGCAAGCAATACGGAAGGCGGTGTGATCGGATGAACGAAAAACTTCGACGCAAGAACGCAGTAGTGTTCATGCAGGAGAGTCTGCGACTTTCAGCCCATGGAACGACGAACTACCATCGTTTCGTGATGATGTACATGCTTTTGGAGGGAATTATGAGCGATTTGTTTCTGCTGATCGCGCAGGACGGGCTGCTTTCGATAATTCAGTACATCTCCCTAGGGTACAATCTGGCTGGGATACTCTCGATGTCGTTTGAGATACTTGAGGGCACTCGGTGGTTGCGTGACAAAGTGAGACTTTTCTTCAAAAGGCTTCTTTTCAGCTACGAAACATCTCTGCTAGGGGAATTTCTGAGTGCTGGTCTAATGCATTACTATCTGACGTGGATAAATCGATCGAGTCTACGGCACTCGAGGCCAACAGCTCTCGCGGTGTCATACTATCTCTGGAGTTTGATCGGTCATGGCGTCATCGTTTTGGGCTTAACAGCATTCGTGACCAGCGTCCGAGTGGTCTGGGCGGCCATCTGTACGTGGCGGTGCCATGGAACCTTGGCCGTATTGACAGCGCCATGCTGTGTAGATACAACGCTTGGGGTTCGCAGCAAAATGACCATGTTGGGAGGATATCTGTGGGAGCACGACAAACTCTATTACAAAGTCGATGCTCTCAAGTCCTTCGGCATCCTGAGAATGGTAGAAGAAGGCGGAGCTGAATTCTTCGTTATCCGCAAAGTTCACTGGTTAAATGTGCCGAAGAACGATCTGTTCGTAATCGGAAGCGTGTCCGGGCATCGTGTAGAACCTTGCAGCGAGCGATTATGCACTGGCCCCATCAGTGTGTTTGATCGACATCTTGGAGGCGATCTCAACCAAACCGGGATCGCTAGACCGCGTGGCATCCGCGTTGATAACAGAGTCGCAGTGGGGCCCAAAACACTGAATGTCATGCCGTCCTACATCAATCCTGATACGCGTACAATACCCACAAATTCTTCGCCTGCAAGGGAAACCATATTTGAATGAAAATATCAAAACTCAACATTAATATATACTCAGCCTTCAAGTAGTTTTAGTCTGATCCGGCGTAATGGATAAGCACCAGACTGGACGCGATGATCGAGATGCCAACAAAGAAGGACAGTACGAAGTACTTGCCCTTGGGGTCAAATCGATACGCTCCCGGCAGCAGCTCCTTGGCAGCAATGCAAACCAACATGCCTGCCACTACAGCATATAGTGAGGCTTGGAGTGCGTAGCTCAGACCGCCGGACACAGCAGCCCATCCGACAGCAGCACCAAGGGGCTGGGCAACACCACTGATAGCAGTCCACTTGAATGCCTGTAACTTACTACCCGTGGCGTAGTAGACAGGGGCAGCGATTGCCACTCCCTCCGGCAAATTGTGTAAGATGATTCCGATGGAGAGAATTATCCCAGTTTCCATCCCCTGCAGCGATGACACGAAGAGTGCCAACCCCTCTGGAAAGTTGTGAATTGCGATGGCAATGCTTGTCATCATGCCAGCTCGTCGATACTGCTCCTTTTGCTGTTGCGCAACCGCTAAGAGTTTCGCTTCATCATCAGAACCCGTCTCAAGCAGATTCATCTCGCGGCGCGACCCCATGACACAGGGTGACGTGTTAGCGCTAGCCACCGCAACTTCGTCTTCCTTCTCGTTCTGCTGGTCCCAGTACGATCCTTTCTTCTCCACCGTCATGTGCACGATATACTCCACAGGAAGGATGCATGCCATTCCGAGAAGAAAAGCGCCCATTGTAGCAAGCCATGCATTGCCCGCACAGGTGTTCCCACACGTACCCGTGCTACCAGAAGTAGTACCGGTCTCGTACGCTTCAGGGTCGGCACTGCCACCCGTTGTGAATGCAGCTTTGTAGTACGTGACAGCTTCCATCCACAAGTCGGCAAAGGCGATGAAGATCATGACACCGGCAGACAGCGAGAAGGCGACAGAAAGTGAGCGCGGATTGCCGAGGAACATGAGTTTCTCCACGGAGATGACGAGTATCGACATCGAGGTCGCGACAGCTCCAAGCACGCTCATACCCATTGCAGACACGATGGCCGCTGTGGTGATTTCATTTGTAGTGGAAGTCGATCCATCGTCATTCGGGGCATCGTCGTCACCGTCAGTGAGCTGGAACAAACTCAACATGTTGTTCTCTTCGTGCTCCAAGATGTGGCATATGGCTCCGAGGTGTCGAAGTTATACTCGGTAGTACCTCGCTCGCTGCCTTCAACAAGAAACTCGTCCGGAGTACACGCCACATAGCATATTTGGGTCACGGTGGTTGAGGCACGGCTGGATCCTGCATTTGGAATCACCACCACGTCCTTCAGCGCGTTAGTGTCCACTTCGTCGTCGTTGGCGCCGCACTGAGCATTCACCACGTGCCAGTGAAAAGGGTGCGGGTCGTCGGTCGGGTTCTGAAAGTGCCACTTCTCGACCTTGCCTTTCGTGCAGTCGAGGGTATTCTTGATGGTGGTCGAGTTGATTTCGATGCCACGATATCGGATCAAGCTCTTGGTCGGGCAGTTCGTAGACACGTCCATCTCACCCAAGATGATCGATCGATTCTTCCCTCCAAGCTCTTGATACAGCTTCTTGAGATCTTTTCGCTGGACTAGGGTGGATGGCAAGGTGCGTGTCGTCATCGTGTCAGTCTTGAGCTCTTCCGACACGCGGAATTGCATGACACGCGGGTCGTAAGTTGTACTGACAGCCACTGTCGGGATATCTACAATGTCGTAGGTGGTGCCGTCAACGTCACTTGAGAAATCGCAAAACAACTCCACTCGCTCGAAGGGATAGATTAACAAATGTGTCGGCAGATCTTCGGGCTGCTGCACGAAGCCGGAATCCTTGGCAATAACCTTGCACTGACCGGCAAAGGGCAGCGTCAAGTTGTAGTGCCGAGCATTGGCACCGTTCGTGATGCGCAGACGAACTTCAGCTGGCGGAACGTCGACGTAGGGCATGACAATACCGTTCACAGTGTTCACAGCTCCGAACGACTCGGGTACCCACCGCGTGATGCCCGTTTGGCAATTGTCGTCCGAGTACATTAGCGCTCCGGTTTCGTTGATGAGCCGATCTGCGATCATGATGGGAATATCGGTCTCCACGTCCACGTTGATCGCAGCATCTGCGTCGGCATCTTGAATCACGTAAACCCCCATGAGCCCAGCCCACGCATTGAGCCGAGTGAGCCCGTTTGCGTGGTCATGATAGAGCTTGGTCGAGGCAGACTGGTTGTTGAGGTACACGAACTTCTGCGACTGGTTGTTGTAGATCGTACGCAGTGGCAACCCATCGTACTTGGCGGGTGACTCGAGGCCGTGAACATGAACAACAGTTGGCACGCCGCAGTACGGATAGCAATGAGACTCGGCGATGGCGATGCTAGTCGTCCAGGAGATGCGGCGTCGGCAGCTCGTTGTACCATGTGACGGAAATGGGGACGCCTCGAGCCACCTTGATCGTTGGGCCCGGAAACGTCGGGGTGGCGTTCTTGAGCGCGTAGCCGTAAATGTCCCCGGAGACGGAGCCGTCCTCTGTCCAATTGTGCGCAGCGCGACCGATCTGCATGTCGATGTGGCCGCCGCTCGTCATGTCGATCACATCGGGGATCACGAGGGCACTGGTGTAGGCGTCCCAGTCGGTCTTTAAGTTTGTCAGCGCTTGGGAGGACGTCAAAGAGAGCAATGCAATCGAGGCCAGCGCCCTCATGTCAACGGCAAGTGTAGCTTCCGGCGCAGGTCGACGAATGAATGATGAAGTGTTTCGTCGCGAAAAATACAGTCGAGCTCACATCGCAACGAGGGCCACGAATGTCATCATCGGGATGGACCAATTGAGCCACAGACGTCGAGTGAGGCGGCGAAAGGCACGCTGCTAGCAACTAAAGCAGGGCCATTGCGTGTGTGCTAGGCCAATCATTGATATGGAGTCGATCTCTCACTGACCCAATTCTCCGAGCTCATTCTCTGAATGGAAGGCATTTTGCTGTCTGGGGTCCAATGCTACTACACACCGAACGGAGCACCGTACTTCAGGCGTCTGAATCTATGAACACCAATGTCTCCGCCACACTTCAGTAGCGCAAGTACGTCAAACAAACAACATAAGGAGATGAAGACGACGGCGAACAGGGATTTCGTCAGTCTTGGATTCCAACGGATCCATGTTGAAGATATACAAATCGCCCTGGACATCTTGTTGGCCTCATATAGCGCTGCGTTCATGCACCTACAGGCACAGACAGCACCCGCACAGGAAAGATGTCTTTCCAACTAAGTTTACTTCATCCTTGGGAGATAAGATTGGAGAGCGAGCAGGTTGAGTTGCTGAGGCAGGGCCCAAACAAACTGCTGCTCAACTATCCTTCAGCCTTTTAAATAGCTCGCGACGCGAGCGAGGCACCTTTGTCTACACCACAATCTAACAGTCGACTGGGTGCACGGAACGCTTGGGAGTTTTGAGGGTGGTAAACAGCTCGTGAGAGCAAGCGCGAGCCATTATGTCCGAGTCGGAGCCCAAGAGCCCGCGAGTGACGAAGGAGAAGCGCAAGAAGCAGTCCTCGGCCACCGTCGCGGTCGTCAACACCCCGAACGAAGAACCCGCGGCCTATGCAGGCGAGCAGCACTCCTTCGGCAGAATGGCCGACGGTGGCGTCGACAAGGTACATCGCCGCTCGTCCAGTGTCCACCACCACAACCAGGACTCGCCACCGGCCCCGGAAGCGAGTGACATCAAGCCACCAGATGACAAGGAGTTCGAGTTCGTGTCACCTCGACAGAACACCAAGACCGGGCCTCGCTACGATGCCATGGCGGTGCTGGTGGTCATGTCGTTCAAGGTGCTTGTGGCCCCGATCATCTTGATCGCAATCTGCGCCAACTCGCCGTACTTGCAGTCGCCGTACGTCTTCCGAGCTGCGAGTGAGAGCTTCCTGGGGTACGAGAAGCTGAACAGTGACGTCACGTACGACTGCCCAGAATGCGGGGTCACTTGCAAGCGTTCGGTGCTGCAGCTGGCTCAATTCAAGCAAGACCCGATGATGGGGAAGCCGGCCTTTGGCACGTTGCGTACCGATTCCTTCGAGGGTTACAACAACACATTGAGCGCCAGTGCAGAAGCCTTGATCGAAGAGCTCGACAGTTCCGGTGCAATCTGTGGCGATGGAGATTCAGATTGGGAGGACTCGCTCATTTTCATTTCGGCGGAACCAAAGCTGATCGTCAAGGCGGTGCAGGTGCTTGGACTGCCGGTGTCCAACGACATGGTTGCCGAAGTCACCGCGGCCGTGACAGGTAGCTGCGACTCACGCTGGACAATTGAGGCCCGGCTGAAGACGTTCATGTTCCAGCCCATTCCGCACATTAACGAGTTCTCGTCCATTCTGGCCGCCGACCTGACTATTTTCCCGGAGTCGTTGAATTGCCGCAAGGAGGTTGCCAACTACGATAGCGGCACCGCGCTAACCCGAGCATTTGTGTCGGAAGGACTCGACCAAACCAGAAATGCTCCCACGACGCTGCGGCTGTTCCCGTACAACTTCCCCTGCGTCATCAACACGGTCGGAAGGACTGTTGCGCCAGTAAGTGACGTGGAGTCCACCGATGTCGTCGTTCAGCCGATGCTTCGTGGATACTACGGTGGTTGCTTTGTTCACCTCGTGAATACGTCCGGTATCTACATCGACGAAAACTGCGAGATTAGCTCGTTGTGGATCGATTACGGCTTGATGCTCCAAGCTCCCGATGATATCCCGCTATGCAGCACTGAGGGCGTCTGCGTTCACAACTACTACAATTCACAGTGGGAATGGGTGTCGACAGAGGACGGAGTCATCATCAAGATGAGCCACAACACGATCCGGTCGCGGTATGCTGACAAGGTCGAGATGAGTGTTCTGCCGGGCATTGTGATCATGCAAATTCTCTTGATGAGCATGCTGAGCATGTACCAAGTAATGAGTCAGAAGCAGTCCGTGCTGCTCAGCCAGATCTGGGCTTACCGCTGCCAAAATGGTCGTATGCAAGCGATGTACCTGCTCCAGATTGCCTACCACTTGTACCGCGAGTCCGACACATACTACTTGGCGCTCGGCACGGGTACGATGTCCGTGGAGTGCGTGTGGAACCTCACTTTCTGTGTGATGGCCTTCTCGTACAGTTTTGTGAACATCGTCAAGAGCCGCACGGGTGAGCAGCAACTGGATCGCCACTTTCGCCTTTCCTGGGAGATGGTTCTCCTCATTGTCACGGCCATCGTCGCCAACGCGCTCATCTCAATTCGCTACACCAGCCTGAGCTACATCTTTGACATCAACTCGAAGACTCTGCTGAGAAATGGTGCTGGCGCCGGGATCTGCAAGCTCACGGACTCTTGTGTCGTTTTCAGCGTGAACATCGCTCTTGTGATCGCCGCGTTAGCCATGGTCGTGTGGGGAGCGACAGCCTCTGTTGCCTACGGCTTGCGAACTCGTCACGACCCCCACCCTATCGAGGACTTGAAGGCCTGGTTCATCTCGTGGAAAGTTGCATTTGAAGTCACGCTTCGACCTCCGCCAAAGACTAAAGCGAAGACGCTCAGCCACGGAGCCTCCGTCGTGAACCTGACAGATGCGACATCGTTCGAGTGCTACTGCATCGGTGAGCACTTCCGGTTCATGTTCAACGACTGCGAAGACATCTCCCACGTGAAGAAGAACAATCTTCGCGTCCCGACTGCCGAGGCGGTGCTGCTGTCTGGTTTCGTGTACCGCGGCAAATATCTATACCGTGCAGACGATGTGATCCTACTTCTGTTCACACGTTTCGCGCCGAACTTCATTCTGAGGACGTTCAACGTGCTGATCGTACGCTGGGACGTGAATCCGACGACGTACGCAGTTTCGCGCCCTACCGTCTGCTTGTGGACTGAGGTTGGTACAGACTGGCGAAACAAAACGAAACCATTCCCTTCAGCGTAGTGCAGGGCAAGGTAAGGTATGAAGGCGACAGTGAAACTTATATTCCTTCAATAAATAACTTTCATAACTTTCATTACCACGTTGAAGTTGACGTGACCATCACTCTTGTGCGCACTCGCGGGTTCCGCATTCTCAGAGCTGCCAGCTGGAGCGCAAGTGCGCAATGGCCGAAGCTGCACCTGTATCTCGCGTGGAGCTGGACGAAAGAGCAGTGAGGCCTCCGCGGTACGGCGTCCCCGCTCCAGACCGAGCAGAGGCGATAGCGGCAGGCTCTCTCAGTAACCTTTCGTCAAGTCGTGGGGGATCAAGAGGCTCAACTTCCACGGAGATCGAGTCCAGATCCTCGTTCCTCATCGCCGCGGTGGCCGAGAACCGCGCCCGTGTAATCGGTAACGTGATAGGAACAATCGGTTTTCTCCCAGGAATCGGCTACTGACACAACTTTTCAGGGATTTGTGCGATCGACTTAGTGTCGCCGTATGAGCTGCTGCTGTGGACGGTGATCGACTCGCACTCTTATGTGGACACTATGTCGCTGCTTCAAGCCTACCAGGTGGAAGGATTCGAGTGTTCTTTTGCTTTACCGTAGTAGTACTAAAGCTTTGGCTTGATCGATTGGGTGCACCTTAGCCCGTCGAAATTCTCGTCGTTGAGACATCCAAATCGCGCAAAATCAACGATGAAATCGCGAAACGCTTCTCGGGATCAAATTGTCGTGTCGTGCCGCTTGCGCGGAAGTACTTTGAGTAAGTTCTCCGATATCATTTTTTTCCAAGCACTTCCTTTTACTAACCAACGACGCCGATATTGCTACCTCAGTCAAACGAAAGGAGCCGAAGATATCAAGCGTGTCATGGCGAATAACGTTGATATCAACATTGGCAGGGTACGTTCAATCACGAATAGTACCTTATCAACATTTCCCAACGCATCCTCAACAATAATGACAGAACTACGTCGCCATGGCCTCGGTGGCGTGCGTGATGAAATATATCGAATACATCCAAGGGGTGTACATCGCTGAGAAGACCATGAAGGTAGTTTGGCATGGCGATTTGCTTATCTAGCTAGCTCAACACATCTAACAATGCGTTGTCACACTCTGAACAGGTTGTTCTCAGTCCCTCAACGCGCAAACTGCTCATGGACCAAGCTACAATTTCAGCATTGGAGCTGGTTCAGGGCACACGAGGGAGAAACGACAGCCAGGTAAGACGCAATTTGCACTTGCCAAATATGTGCTTTTCTGACCTGTATTTGCTAGTCCCTCAGCAAAATGCTCAACAATACGCAAACCTCGGCTGGAAATCGCCTCCTTCGATCAACGGTAGGTTTGTGTGGGCTGCAATAATACACCGTGTAGCTCACATCATTTTATAAATTCTAGATGCTGCAACCGACCTGCCATTTGAAAACGATGTACTCCATCTTGCGTACTTCTACTGTGTCGATGCAGTTCATTCTTACAGCTACTATGCTTCAGTCAGGCACGCCAAGAGGTTGTCGGGATTTTCCTGGATAACCCAGCTTGGTTTTTCGATGTTATGGAAGAGCTGCGCGACTTCATCGACTTAGATCGTCTCCTGGTTTGTTCGCTTTGCGCTCATCGTGGTGATCGGCATGGACATTTATGCTCTATTGTGCGTTTAAATTTTATGAGCAGAGTCAGCTAGTGTTTGTTCCGAAAATTATCACTCCACGAGTGTCAAGGATCGCGATCGGAAGTGTGATAGCACTCAAGCACACTTTGGAATGTCTGCCAAAGCTGGTTTCATGCTTGGAGACTACGTCAGTCCAACTCGATCGCCCGTGTCCACTTCTCGACTCGATAATTCAAAGGTACCGTTCTTTCGCTTATGCGTAGAGTCTGTGCCTTAGTGTGACCAAAACATGTGCAGTTTACGGGATGAACAGTTCACGAGTATCAAGGCCGATATTGAACGAGTCGTAAACGACAGGTAGGTTGTGCGGTCGAATATCTTTGAGAAATGGTGATACTGACCCAAATCTGCACGGTAGAGTCAAGGTTTGTCGTTCGGCGGCGCAGAAGCGCATACAAGAGTGCTTTGCTGTCCGTTCAGGGGTCGACGGCATGCTTGATGTTGCACGCCGAACCTATCTTGACACGATTGAGAAAATTCACGAGGTTGTACACTCGTACAAAGAAAACGTTGGGATTCCGATTCGGCTCAATTACACGTAAGCTATCTATACATAAAACACTTTATAATTGGGGAGCGTGGTAGAGCAGATAGGTTGACGATGAACGCTTCCACATACAGATCAAGAAGAGGGTACCATTTGGCCGTACCGCTCAACTGCAATGATTTGCCTGCCTTCTTCATCGAGAGAGTGGCCACGAAAAGCGGTACGGACATACCAGGGGTGCTTAGAACTGCGGACCTTGTGTCTGATCTATATTGTGTAGTGATCTGCTGTTCCACCAAGACGCTAGTTTCTCTTAACGTGAGACTCAACGAAGCGCTTACGGCGGTATATAAGCTATCGAACGACGTGATTCAGCAGCTCTTGGATAAAATCCGACCTCGAGCTTCTACCATGCATGCGATGGTTGAAAGCGTTGCATTGTTGGACATGCTTTTGAGGTACGTCCAGCCTTCCTGCCACGATACAAGAGATGCTGGTATTAACGGACAACCACCGGTCAGTTTTGTTAATGTCGTGGCTCTCTCGCCGCCAGATCAACCATGTAAGCCAATCATTGTAGTGCAACCTCTCCTGATGGCTTACCACCGCATTGCGATGTTGAATGTAGACACAAGACCAACTGTCACCGAACACGGAAATCTGGTTATCAAGAAGGGACGGCATCCGCTCGTCCAGCGAGTGCTGAAAGATCGAACGTATATTCCGAGCGACACTGTACGTGGTTTTAACTATCACCAAATTATTGGAGCTGCACTAACTACACCTCAGTTCTTTGATCCGCTCAGCACTTTTCACAGTAAGCAGTTTTGTTTATTTTGGATCAGGCGCTGAGCTAAGGTTTTACGTGCTAAGTTGTGACAGGACCGAACTGTGCAGGCAAGTCGACATACCTGCGGGCGCTGGCACTCATCGTAATTCTAGCGCAAATGGGGTGTTACGTCCCCGCTTCCGAGGCCACAATTCCTATTCGAGATCGTATTTGCACAAGATTCGGGACGTCGGATGACATGGAAGAAAATGCTAGCTCGTTCGCTGTCGAGATGACCGAGACGGCGTTCATCCTGGAAACATGCACGCCACGATCGCTGGTACTCATCGATGAACTGGGTCGAGGGACTGCCAACGATGAGGGTGCTGCAATCGCGTGGAGTATCGGCGAGGAGATAATTCAGAGAGGGTCATATTCATGCTTCGCGACCCATTACCACCAACTCAATCGTCTTGCACGACTCTATCCTCGCTGTCGATGCTACCACATGGGCACAGGACCGAACGTTGTACGTTAAGCTGCTATACTATGCGAAAGGAGGTTGACTGACTGACCCTTCAATTTGTGCTCATGCTAGAACTCCGCCCATTTCCGCTACGTACTGAAGGATGGGCCTTATCCATCGACTGGAATGTATGGAATCAAGACGGCAGCGCTGAGCGGTTTGCCAGCAGAGGTTATCCACGAAGCGGAACGCATATATGAGAAGTTGCGAAGCGACCGTGAGGTTGCTGAGAACTCAATTGACCAAGCCTCCACAAGCAGTGCCTCCAGCACGATCAACAGAAATCTTCTCCACCATTTGTATGTGCTCCGCTATGCAGACCTGGACTACACAGGTATGACATAATTCATTGTGATGAGCAAGCTGAGTGCCGTTGTGCTAACCCGCTTGGTATTGGCAGGCCTCCGGCGTCAACTACAGCATCTGAGAAACCGATTTCTAGCTCCAGCAGCTGAAAGCTCGTGATATTTTTCTCTTTCGGTTGCCTCATTCATCGTCTTCAACGAATACACACTTTTTGCAGCTGGTGAAACAATCACAGTGCCTACTTATTGCATCTACCATGGTGTATCTCAGTTCTAAGCAATGCTGAATGTGGCAGTGGTGAGCGCATCCAATGCAGACTGCATCGAGCTGGCACGGTCCGCAGCGATAAATGATGCGGAAGCTATCCGACGTCAGACTCTCATACTCAGGTAGTGAGCAGCACATGCTATCGGCTGAACATGAAACGCCCCACGTGTTAAGCAGATTCGACATCTCCTTAATAAAAAATACTTTACCTGCGCTTCCTCCGAACGGCCGAGGTTTCTCTCGTTCGATTGCTACGTGTCAAGCCACCGATGTAACTCAGCACCTTGATGCAGCATCATCTCAGGTAAACTAACGCCGTACCTCGATCGCCCCAAACGAATGTGCGTCCTCTTCCTGCACGCGCACTGATCAACGACAGTTCTGGTAGCTCAATCTTCAAGAAAAAGGAGAAGCATATCACTTTGAGTTGACCAACGCAGCTGCCCACATATGTAGCCACTGCCTTACTTTGATCGGGTACAAAATGGAGCTGCTGGAAGCATCCGGATCAGGCACGTCGTAGTCACCATGAATACCCTGTCCCCACAGCCAAAGCTGTTTCGATTCCGAGATTGCCAACGAATGGCGCTGACCAGCATCGATGTAGCGAATGCTTTCGTACCGAATCTCATCCACAGATCGTGGAATTAACGTATCCCACGTGTCTCGATGACCTAGTAACTAGCAACTTAGTACATGCATGAACACAACTCTTCGCAAACTCGGCAAACCAACGAACCGAGCTGTCCGTAGCTGCCAGCTCCCCATGACCACACGCATACCCCCCGTGGCATTTCTACATCGACAACAAAAATGCAAAATGCGAATGTGATGCTAGACCGGTAACTTTCCAAAACATTGTTTTTAGGTGTTCTGCACGCACCCGACGTTGCAAGATTATGAGCTCCCCCAGCAACAAGAGTGATAACTTTCTGCAAACAAGTACTATCAATTCCCTCGATCTGTCAGTGCACAACATTCTAGCAATCGTACCCGTCCACGGAAACAGTTTACGCGAGTTGGCTTCAACCTTGTTAACTCATCATTGTGGCCCAGACGCCTATCAAGACACGCGTCGATAAAACTGGTAGCTCATTCAACGAGTACGTACAGCAGATCCATACCCGTTCTTCCCGAGGCCCCACGAGTACACCTGCCGATTAAAGAAAGTCTCTCCAGTCATGACAACTGAGTGTTCATCACCAGCAGAAACATGGACCACATTCAGCCCATCGAGACTCGTAATTCTGGCCGGGGACAAACGAGGATTCGTATCCCCTACAATGGCATTAGAATCCCTATTTCGAAAATAAGAAAAAAGAAGTATTTTTCAACGTACCCAACCCTAACTTTCCATTGCTTCCGTCTCCAAACGCATAGACACCATCTAGTTCTGTGAGCACCAGAACGTGATGCAAACCAGCGCTCACGCATGTTACTCGCATCGAGTTGAAAATCTTTATCACACGAGGAGTTGCTGACGATTCTGTGTCCCCATGTCCCAGTACCCCGTAATCGCCTCGGCCCCACGAAACAACTTATACAGCGGTGGACGAAGTTAAACGCAGTCATGAGTAACTCCTCCTGGAGGCAGTAGGTGAACTGACAGACGTACGATTATTGACGGCTGCAGCATTCATTGCAATGTCTAGTTTAGCTTGTGTTGACATTCGCTGAAGAGAATGAGCTCGACCTCGAGCCATCCTTTCCAGCGAGGTCAGCCGCCCTCGATTTTGCTTGGCTCCTTTGGATGTTGGCCGCTGGACTGGGTCAGGGATTGGCAACACTGAATGAACGCGGGTGAGATCTACATGTAAAATAGTGTATGCAGAACACAGCAAAACGAACCAACAAGAGCGAACGACGCGAATCCACTGGCGGCAATCATCTTTACGCAGCCGCCAACATCATCCAATCCTGTTTCCACTTTGCCTGGTGCAGACCTGCTTGCACTGACCCCACCGGCAACCCCAAGGGCGCCGTAGGTATTGTCCCCACTCGCAAAAACGACTGCAGACTCTGCTCATACATGAATATCATTAGCTGAGCATTCTCTACCTCACATAATATTTTTTCCCCTACCGGTAAGCATAAGCGTGTGGTATTTGCCGGACGCGACCTATGGTAGCGCAAAAAGAACAACGCTAGGATTAATTTTGCAGTTATCACTTTCGACCAGACATATCGGCTCGATTCACGCACAGCAACGAATTTTGCAGCCCGCTCGACTGTCCAAATTCGATCCTTCGAGTCGTGAACTCGAATTTTCTCCGAAATGGAAGGCGTCAAGACTGGCTTGGTCGTGGTAGTTGAATCTTCCGAGTACAGACACTGTCGTTCTGCGTTCCCCCATGTGTACTGTTGCCATTGGTCCCTTGGTCCTACGATGGCTGTGTTGACATCTCCAATTCGCCATTCTTGCTTCCGGTGGAGTAGGCAATCCAGACAAAAGCAACCCGTCTGGCCAACAACATGACGGATCTCCTAAGGGATAGTGTTGTTAGTGCTGATTCAAGTGGCGCAAGTCTTCCGATCCAAACAAGGTCTCTTACGCGTGCTGCCACAGCCCTTTGTGCGGCAACCTTTTTCTCGGCGGAGTAGTCCTCGCGGCACTCCTCAATCTCGCTTTGATCACGGATCCGGCGCTTCAAAACAGCATGGAACCCATCCAAGTCCGCCGGCAACTCCATTTCCTCCAAATGAACAGGCGCGACTATTCTGGATAGCGTGGACACAGACGACTTCATAATGTAAGGTTCACATTTGGACTGCTGGTGTTCTGACTTCCATGGTATCGCAAACAGATTCCGATGGCGATTACACTTTAAGAGGGGAACGCAGCTTGTAAAGCGCATTATTCCGGGATTGGCGCCGTGATCACTACCGGGACACTCTGCAGCGAATTCTCGATAACTTCGTTCGCATCTTCATCAAACTTTTCTGTATCCATGATAAATCGGGCCGAGATGGTTGAGCTCGGGTGTTCAGCAGTAGAATTGACAGCGATCTGTAACAACATGGGCGCCACAAAAACCTTGTTAATGCTGATGACGTTGAACAAGCGATGGCTACACAAGCTTACGGTGAGCTTAATCTTGATAAGGTTTCTAGTAGCTTGGAGCAGCATTGCGTTGTGCTGGTCGCCATTAGCACCGAAGGGCGGCTCATCATCGATGAAAGCGTCTGCGAGGTTCGGATCTTCGTACGGCCCCACAATGATCGGAGTCGAATCTTGTAACACAATCTATACGATATACACATCAGCGTCCAAAGTCCCTGCAAAATTAATACACCCTTTTCCAACGCACCTGTCCATTTTCAGTTGACTCTTCTCCACTTGCAGAGGCAGAGCGGAATGTGATGCGAATAGCATCATCCAGAGGGTTTTCCACGAGCAAAACACATTCAACACCACCGCCACCTTCAGCCCTGTACGGCAGTCTCTGAAACGTTACGACGGGCACGTACTGCGCCGCCAGATTCGCCTTCTTGAACCACGACGCGGATACGGGCAGTGAGCTATCTCCACTCATCGGGCTGATCTGCGGCTTTACAAGGATACCGGCCGTGCCACGCTCAATTGATTCCACGCACCGCCACGTGCGCTTCACCCGAAGCAGCGGGCGCGAGGGGAAAAGTCGATCCGCATCACTCGATTGATCCAGCGGATTCAACAGTCGTTGGTGAAGTGTCGACACCTGCCCCATGTCACTTGTCTGCGCGAGTTTCTCCAGTGTCTCTCGGGTCTTCTCAGGCGTGTCTTCCCCCCACGACGTCCCTTGGGTCTGCAGGGCGGTGAGCTGCTTCTGCAGCTCCGGCCACTGGTGCTCACGCCGCTGCTCCAGCAGCCACTGCTCCTTCTCCTGCACCTTCGCCAGGGCCTGGTCGTACTTCCAGCCGCCCATCTCCGCCATCCTCTGCAGCCTGAACTTCTTCATCTGGTGCTCGCGCTGCAGCTCCTTCATCGAGTCGGCCAGCAGCTGGAGCGAGCTGCTGCGGCCAAAAGCCGCCCCTGGCGTCGACGCGAAGGCGTTGCCGGAAGAAGAAGAGCTCGACAGCGTCGAGTAGTGCGAGTGCAGCGCCTGGAAGACGTCCTCGTGCGCCGCCTGGCGCTCCCGCGTGATGGCCGTCATGACCAGCGCGTCCAGGTCGTCGTCCGCCAGCCCCAGCTCCAGCGAGTCCCAGCGGCAGTGCGCGCACAGGAAGAAGAAACGCTGCTTGCTCTCGTGGAAGGCCGTGGACAGCGCCGTCTCGCACGCGGGGCAGCTGAAGCAGCGGCTCGAGCGGTTCTGGTACATGCTGGCCTCCTTGGACGGCAGGTTCACCAGCAGGTTCCCGCAGTAGTACGACTCGAACTCCTCCACGCTGCAGCCCGGCAGGCGGCACACCAGCTTCTCGCACGTCTCGCTGAAGAACAGAGAGCTCACGGGCGCCAGGTGCCCGCACTTGCACGCGTAGCGGACGCACACGCCGTCGACCGCATCACCCTCGCAGGAAGACATCCTCTATGGATAGTGACAGAATATAAGCACCGGATCCAGGCGTTACATACTGTCCATGAGAGGCGTTATGTTTCGATCACGAATCTACCACATAAATTGCACACCATTTGGCGCGCTCAGTTCAATTGATCCAACGGGGCGATGGCCGAGGGCAAGCAGAAGGCGCTGTCTTCGTCGTTCCTGTGCTCTCCGATCCCCAAGGACCCGTCGCAAGTCTTCTACGTGGACGACAGCAGCTCCGTGAAGGTGCGCGCGACCCCCACTCTGGACGTCCTTGCCCTCCTTGCAGCCACAATTTAACTAACGCTGTACAACGCCAACCTCTTGCCACCTTTTTGTCTCTTTCGTCCCCAGTCCAAAGCCGGATCCAGCGACAGCTTCCTGGACGGCATGGACACGCCGCTGAAAAGCAGTAGCAGAAGCTTCTCGTCAGAGTACGTGTGGCAGCTCCAGGAGCGCGTGCGAGAGCTGGAAAAGGAGCGGAGGGAAGGTGCGGACGACGATGATGCAATGCATTGAGAAGGCGTGGAGGGCTGAACACTGACGAGCAATTGGGCTGTTGCAATTCCACAGCGAAGCAGGTGGAGGAGAGTGAAAGCGCGAGGACGAATAAGCGCCAGCGACTCGAGATCGAGAGCCTCGCAGTCTCCAAGGTGGGGTCCTTTTAGGTTATTGACTGCTGTTTAGTGCTGTCGAGGCTGATTGCGCTTGTGTGGTGGATGTGGCAGAGTGATCAACTGAAGCGCGAGGTGGAGACGCTCCGGATCCAGCTTGGGACTAACTCACAGCGACACCAGATCGAACTCAAGGAGAGAGATGTGCAGTTGGACCAACTACGCCGCCAGCTGAAGTTCGCTGTGACTGAGGAGGAAGAGACGCTGAAGGAACTGAAGAATGTCACGAACGAACACTCAGCAGAGAAGTTGCAGCTAGAGAAGAAAGTGGTTGAGTTGGAAGCTCAGCTGGAACTAGTCGAGGGCAAGCTGAACGAGTGGAAGGAGAAGGCGCTCGAAGCGACCAGCCAGCTGCGCACACAGTCTCGGCAATCTGCATTGAAGGTGCGATAGAGTTGCAAAAGGTCAAGAGAACGAGTGTAGCTAACAAGCTTCTGTTATTGTGCATGGCGACAGATTCAGCTCCTGAAGGATGAGCTGGAAGCAGCCCAAGACTCGTCATCGACTTCATCGCAGGTTAGTACAAGCCGGCTTAGTTTCATGCATGCTGTGTATTTATTCGTGTTGATGTTCCTCAGAGCGAGGACAATATCCTTGAATCAAAGATTCGTTTGCTAGAATCCCAGCTCAAGCAGAAGAGTATGGAGGCTGAACATGCAGCTTCCAGTTTGCTTGGCGCGCAGGAAACACTCGACGGTGCCCGTGAAGTTCGCGAGCTGAACGAACAAATCATGCAGCTTCAGTCAACTGAACGCAAGCTTAAGGCCGAGGTAAGTGGACACCCTGCGCACTTCGCAACTGAATAAACCGCTAATTCACGACGTGTATGCTGCAGTTGGTTGATTTGATCGAGGCATCCAGATCGTCATCCATCCTGCAGGAAAAACTGTACCAGACAACCCAAAAGCTGCGGCAGAGTGAAGAGCGCAATGCCCAGTCCCTCAAGCGCATTGTACGTCCGTCGTAAAAAGTTGATTGAGTCATGGCTGTACCGGCGTTATCTAACGGATGACGTTGCTGCAGGAGAGTGCTATGCTTGTGGAGGAGGCTCACAAGCAATTCTACGACTACTTCGAGCCGATTGTGAAAGAAGCCAAGAGTAAGTTTGTATGTATTTTTTGTTCTTGACCAAGCAAAGTCTAATCCCAGTATGTAACTCATAGATGGAGTATCGCTGGAAGATCTAAAGACCAGACCAGCGGCAGCGGTAATTGAACTGTACAAGGCACGCCAGAACGCTTTCGAGATCCTCTTCGAACAAAAGAGCACTGTGGATATTCAACGGCGTCGACTGGAGAAGCAGTGCGAAAAGCTCCAAAGCGATTTGATCACGTCCGGAAACAACTACGCCAAACTTGAAATGCAGCTGGCTGAGATTCAAGAGAAGATGAACGGATCGACCAATGTTGCCACGCATTTACGAAAGGTTAATGCTGAGCTGGTGGAGATCCTGGAAAGTTATGGCAAAGATCTTGACGACCAGGAGGCCAGCGAGCTGCCTGCACAGCGCATCGCATTGCTGGAGTCTTCCCTCAAGCAGTCCCAAGAGTTAATTCAGGGGTTGGAATCGACTCAAAAAACGATGGCGACACCCGCTGCTGTCAAGAAGTACGAGGCTCGTATTGATCGGTTGGAGAAGGCCTTGGCAGACGCGAAACAAGAAAATGGAAACCTCACGAAACATCTCGAGAGGGTCGAGACGGAGCTAGCTATCTTTGAGAAGCGACTCGGACGAGGAGAGTTCAATGTCGAGACGACGAAGATTGTTCATCTAGCTGTGAACCCAACACGAGAGCTGCTCCAAAGCAAGGCCAAGTCAAGCGATATCGAAAAGCTGCGCCAGGAGAATGAAGCACTGCGGGCAAGACTCAATAAAATCACAGATGGCGAAGATACCGAGGTACGTTTACCCACATGCACGAGTTCTATTGCTGCAGTGTTTAACTTCATGCATTGCGTGCTGGTTATTTAGTCTCCAAGTGCCCCCGCCGAAGACAAGCTTACAACGACGACTTCATACGATACCGTAGAGGGTCTGAAAAAGCTGAATCAGCGCCTGAAGCAGGTACGCTTAGTCGGTACACTTCTTGCATATTCAAGCCAATCTCTTATCAAATGGATAATGTGCTATGCTTGCAGGTTTTCGGTGATCAAATCCGGCAGTACCGAGAGGCCGTGTACTTGCTGACAGGCTACAAGGTGGACCTGAAGAAGAGCAACGGAATGGAGCTGCTGCGTCTGCGCTCTGTCTACGCCGAGCACGATGACGACGAGCTGCTCGTGCGAATGGAGGCCAATGGGTCGTTGGAGCTGCTGGACAGCGAGTTCTGCTCGCAGATCAACCAGCGCGTGTTCGCGTACCTGACGACATGTCGATCGTTCCCGGCCTTCTTGTCCACGCTGACGCTGCATCTCTTCGAGAAGCAGACCTTCCAGGGCACTTAGGTTGGTAGGTACAGTAGGTAGTCGACTCTCACACACGTGCACAAATGCTCAATACAGTCGGCCCAGCGGCCTCTCTCCGATTCGTATCAACACTTCATTCAAAGCCACTGCATTGCATCTTGTTACTGTAATGCGATTGCCAGGCCACGTCAGTGTAAGGCCATTGAGTGCAGCGCCAGGTAAACAGTGGATTGGACGTTGGGGTCATCATCCCGGTCGAATTGTGTGCGCCACACCACCTTCGCGTTGAAGTTCCTCTTCGGGATCCGCTCCAAGTCCCACACAATCGAATCCGCCGTCGACGAGCAACAAGCCTACAACTCTTCGCCTTCATGCTTAGCCTCGCCCGTGGAAAGCCCCAGTCGGCGCGCATGCTGACGCACCTGGCCCGCCGCCGGATGTCCGTGGCGTCCGGCCGCCTGGCGCAGTTCCCGTTCCTGGAGGAGCTCGGCCTCAAGGAGGAGAACCACGGCGTGTACAACGGCGAGTGGTTCGGCAGCGGCGACGTGTACACGTCCGTGAGCCCCGTGAACGGCCAGCCCATCGCCAGCGTCCGTGCGGGCAACAAGGCCGACTACCAGAAGGTGGTGGCGGCCATGGACAACGCCAAGCCCCAGTGGTGCGACCTCCCGGCCCCTGCACGCGGAGAGATCGTGCGCCAGATCGGAGAGGAGCTGCGCAACAAGCGCGACGCGCTGGGCAGGCTCATCTCGCTCGAAATGGGCAAGATCTACGTCGAGGTGGGTCCTTTGTGCTGCTTTTTTGGAGATAATGGTCTCTGATGGTTGTTTTATGGTGTGTTGCAGGGTGTCGGCGAGGTGCAGGAGGCTATTGACATTTGCGACTTCGCTGTGGGTCTCAGCCGCACGCTCAACGGCTCGGTGATCCCTTCGGAGCGCCCGGGCCACTTCATGATGGAGCGCTACAACCCGCTCAAGGGCCACGTGGGCATTGTCACGGCCTTCAACTTCCCGTGCGCGGTGCTGTTCTGGAACGCTGCACTGAGTCTGGTGTGCGGCAACACGCAGATCTGGAAGCCGTCTGAGTCGCTGTCACTTACGTCCGTGGCGTGCACCAAGATCATTGCCGATGTGCTGGAGCGCAACGGCCACCCCGGCGCGATCGCCTCGTTGATCTGCGGCAGTGGTGCTGAAGTGGGCGAAGCGATGCTGCACGACAAGAGCATGGAGCTGATTTCGTTCACGGGGTCGACCAAGGTGGGCCGTCACGTGAACGAGGTGGTGTCGTCGCGTTTCGGTAAGACCATCCTTGAGTTGGGAGGCAACAACGCGATGATCGTGGACAAGGACGCGGATCTGGAGATGGCACTCCGAGCGACGCTGTTCTCCGCAGTGGGAACGGCTGGCCAGCGATGCACGTCGCTTCGTCGGCTCTTCCTCCACGAGGACATCCACGACGAGTTCCTCAACCGCCTCGTGTCGGCGTACCAGAACGTGAAGATCGGTGACCCGCTGGAGGATGGCGTTCTGTGCGGCCCGCTGCACAACACCCAGGCTGTGAAGAACTACCTGGACGGCATCGATTCAATCAAGAAGCAGGGCGGCAAGGTAAGTTTGGTGGTCTTGCTAAAACAGAAGTGCGTCGGAATGGATTCTTACCAATTTGTTGCTAATGCTTGCGCAGATTCTGACCGGTGGCAAGAAGGTCGAAGGCGACGGCCACTTCGTGGAGCCGACAATCGTTTCCATCGCTCATGATGCTGAGATTGTTCAGGTACGATTGTCTTGGCTATCGTGATCGAGTTGGATGTGAATCACCGGCTGACTGTGTGAAACGTTGCATTGTGCTACACGTGAACAGAAAGAGATCTTTGCGCCGATCCTGTACGCGCTGAAGTTCAAGACTCTGGAGGAGGCGATTGAGAAGAACAATGCTGTTCCCCAAGGTCTGTCGTCGTCTCTGTTCACGAAGAACCAAGCCGCTATCTTCAAGTGGACGGGTCCGTTGGGATCGGACTGTGGCATTGTGAACATCAACATCGGACCCAGCGGAGCCGAGATCGGCGGCGCCTTCGGCGGCGAAAAGGAAACCGGCGGCGGCCGCGAATCGGGTAGCGATGCTTGGAAGCAGTACATGCGCCGATCGACGTGCACGATCAACTACAGCAAGGAGCTTCCTCTTGCCCAGGGAATCGACTTCAGCTGAGCAACATGGACCGAACCGTTGCAGATGTAGAACCATAATCGACAATCTTTTGCGTTCCTTTGCTCATCATCAACGTTTACTGTTAGGAGAGCTCGAAACCCTCCGCATTTGTAATCGCAAACGTCACTTTCTCGACGAGAGTTTCATAGCTGGTGTACTCGGGAAGCACTAGCTGGTTGAAACAGGTATGAGTTCGTGGCAGTGCTTGCGGGTCAAGATCTGACTTCGTCAGGTTTAGCGGAGGTTCAAAGCCGTCGAGCGGGATCTTGTTTGTTCCGGTCATAAACTTCAGAAACTGACCTCGAAGTTCAATGGGGAACTCACGTAAAGCCTGCCACAACCACAGCACAACTTGTGCGTGTTCGTCGTAGCCACCCTGAAAGACGGTGCACGACCGGAGCTCTTCCACGTCAATAGTGGGCTTACCATTCACTAGCATTCTCAACTCCGCCATGTCAAACACTTTAATTGCAGATAGGGGGATCAGCGTTGTGAAGCCCTGAATCAAAGCGTCCATTTGAGCTTGAGCACCGAACTGGGTACGCCATTGAACCACTAGATCCACGTACTCCTTCTTATTGACGTCAGTAACAGGGATATCCCTGCCGTTCTCTTTCAGATCCACGACCACGGGTTTCTTCCCAGCACCCTCCATCTCCACGCTAAACGTTTCATCAATCACATCTGCAATGTCGTTCTCGAGTATCCACACGAGCGACTTATGATACTGCGAGTCCATTTGATGGAGATCATCCATACCTGTAGGCAATTGCAGTAAACGCTTGTAAACTACGTCACACAAGGGTAGATCCAGCGTCTGCCTGTCAAATATCGCCTTCGCGATGAACTTGCCGAGGAATTTGTACTGCTGTGCGGAGTTAGGTACTTGTGACGACGCGAGATCGACGGCAAATAATCCCTCGTCACAGAGCTTAAACAGCCTTCGACTTTTGTCAGTGGCAAGCTTCGATACTTGCAGAAACCAATCTTTCGAGAGCCCGCCTGAGTCGATTCCTAGTTCGTTTTCAAACGAAATCTTTGGCTTGGCAACTAAGTCTGCTTGCTTCAATGGTTGGAAGTACTTCATTGTCCCCTCAAACATTGATTCTCGCTGAAGCTCAATCTTGAGTGTGCTGCCAAAATTGAGTCCATGCATGCTTTGACGCAGATCACGATGAAATCGAAAGCGTTTTCGTCTGAAAACCATTTCAGGGGTTTCCTCAACATTTACCAGACCTTTTTCTTCTCGAACAACAGCGAGTTCTGGAGGCTCTTCGACAACCCGCTGGCTTGTGAACTTGTTAAAGTAAAACACTTGCTCTGTCTTTGGGTCCCAGCACTGCACCCATCGATCGTACGCTGCAGTCTTCTCGGCACTCGTCAGTTCCACGATTTCGAGTTTCCCGTACGCCATAGTTTTTACTGATTTACTTTCAACAAATCCAGTAGCACCGACAATGTTTGAAGCTTGAAGACGAAAAGTGTACACGGTTTTGGGCGAGAGATCTCCAACTACAAATCCAGTCCCGGGCCCTTCATAAACCTGAACAAACGACGACTGCTGGCCCACACCACTTTCTCGCATCTCAAGAGAATAAATGACTGGCGGAGCTCCATTGGCTTCGACTGGGAACCAGAAGATGCTCGCGTACGTATTGGAAACTGCGCCCGCAATTGGCTGCCGTGGGAGGTCTGGAGGCCCTGGTAAAGTCCAGAAAATCTCACTTACTTCACTATACTCATTCCATCCACCCGGGTTTCGCGCGCGGACTCGAAACTCAAAGGGTGTGTGGCACTTAATCCCGCTCAAGCTCACATGTTTGCAGGCCGTCACTACTGCAAGCCCTGCCCACGCGTTGTTGACGCTGTCTGCTTTTCGATACTGCACTTCATAGCGATCGACCGTCGAGTCCACCGACTTTTTCCATTTCACCACCAGCTCCGTTTGCTGTGCTTCCACCAGCTTCGGCGGCTTCAAGACAGGCGGTGCCTTCTTATTAGCAGCAAAGTCCATAATGTTTTCTGCTGAGATCTTGTACGGGATCTGGGAGTCGTTCGCATTCGCCTTCGGCGTGCTGCCAGCCTCCGACACGAACACATTACCATCACTATCGACTGCAACTCCTACAGGGTAGCGGACAGCACTAGCTCCACCTCCTCTTCGCTTGATCTCTGCCTCATCCACAGTGATCCAGAGGTAAGCCTGGCCAGCTTTGGGGCTGGAGCTCGGATACTTTTGCGTCTGCACCGTCACTGGCGCGTACGGGAAGAGGTTCTCCACGACGTGGGCCACCGCCTCCTTCTGCTTCTCTGCGGCCTCTTCCTCTCTGAATGCCAAGCGTACAGTACAGATAACAAGTCTAGGATTAGTATACATTGGTAGCTACGACACGATAGACTTTGAGGCCAGAAACCTCTTGGCCTGCAGCTCTTCCTCCAGGTCCAGCTGCTCGTCGGTGGGGGCGGGCACCACCACGCGCGAGTTGGAGGGCGAAGACGGCGCGAATACGCCCTTGGTGGCCACCGCAGGCGCCGCCCAAGCGCGTGCCGGTGCCTTGCTCAGCACCGCGCCCATGATTCATCACTTGAGGGCGGTTGCAGTCTGGCGACTTCAACATCCAGTAATTCAAATTTGCAACCAATCAGAGAGAACCGCGATCACCGCCAGAAGGAGAGCATGTCATTCGTAGATTGGACTAAGAGACCAAGAACCCCCATATCTGCACCATGAGCTGCTGCCCCGTGACCGCTGAGCCCGCGCGCGACCCTGCCGCCCACATCGGCGTGCTGAAGAAGGCCGGCAACACCAACATCTACGTGACGGGCCCCGCCACCTCCAAGGCCGGCGTCATCGCGTACCCGGACATCTACGGCCTGGACAGCGGCCGCACCAAGGCCGACGCCGACATGCTGGGCAAGCTCGGCTACACCGTCGTGGTCGTGGACCTCACGGACGGCGACTACTTGAGCGACACAAACGGCCTGGTGGACTGGTTCAAGAAGTACACGTTCACGGAGGACTTCGCCCCGCGCATCCAGGACGCCATCAACTACCTCAAGGGCGAGGCGGGCGTGGAGCGCATCGCCAGCTACGGCATGTGCTGGGGCTCGTGGGTGGGCGCCACGCAGACCACGCAGGCCGACCCCGTTGTGTTGGGCCACGTGTCCTTCCACCCCACGTGGATCGTGGAGAACATGCTCAAGGGTGACGGCGCCGTCGACAAGCTCGCGGAGAGCGTCAAGGTGCCGCAGCTGCTCATGGCCGCCGGCGACGACCCGGACTTCGTCAAGCCCGACGGCAGCGTGCACAAGATCTTCAAGGCGCGCGCGGACATCGGCGCCAAGTCGGACGTGCTGCTCTTCGCCGACCAGAACCACGGCTGGGTGCACCGCGGCGACATGAGCAACGACGCCACCAAGGCGGCCGTGATGAAGGCCTGGCACGCCGCGGTCAAGTTCATCCAGACCAACTGCCCCGTGTAAAGGAGGCAGGATCTCCCCCACCGGATGGCTTCGCTTCCCATCTCATGCAAGCACGCCGCTTGCGATCTTCGTGTACGTGGCCAGCGTCAATTAAGCTGATTTTCAAATCGGCAGAAAACTTTTCGACGATTCTGATTCGCGCGCAAGCCCGAAATTTGTGATTACGCCTCAAAATTGCATCTCAACCGCTCATTCCTCAATCTGCACTGCACTGCACTGCCCACTTGTCCAATGCTGAGACCCACGACGATGCTGGCGCGCCGCGCGCTTGCCGCCTCCGTAAAGAACCAGCGCCGCGCCGTGCAGGCGGCGGGCCTGCACTCTGCGCGCGCTGGTCAGCAGAGCTCTTCCTCCTCGCGGGAATCTTTCAAGGCCTTCGCAGCTGCGGGCGCCGCGTTGGCTGCTGTGGGCGTCTCCGCGGGTCTCTCGGACGCTGCGCAGGCCGAGAAGCAGCAGCAGCAGGATGACGAGGACCACCACGAGTTCGTCAACTGGTCGGCCACGCACGAGTGCCGTCCGCAGAACTTCCACGTGCCGGAGTCGGTGGAGGAGGTGGAGAAGCTGCTCAAGCAGTACCACGCCAAGAAGCAGAAGCTGCGATGCATGGGCGCCGGCGTGTCGCCTAATGGTCTGGGCTTCTCGGGCAAGGTCGCCGGCAAGGCGGACTCCAACGAGGCCCTGATGACTCTGGCGCTGTTCGACAAGATCCTCAAGGTGGACAAGGAGAAGCTGCAGGTGACGGTCGAGGCCGGCGTGATCGTCGGAGAGCTGCTGGACAAGCTGCGCGCCTACGGCATGACCATGCAGAACGTGGCGTCGATCCGTCCCCAGCAGGTGGGCGGCATCTGCCAGGCTGGCTGCCACGGAACGGGGGCGGGGATCCCGCCCATCGACGACCAGATTGTTGAGATGGAGATCGTGACCCCCGCCAAGGGCAAGATGACGCTGAGCGCCACGCAGAACCCGGAGATGTTCGAGCTGGCCAAGTGCGGCCTCGGAGCGCTCGGTGTGGTTACCAAGGTGACGCTGCAGTGCGTGCCCATGCACAAGCTGATCGAGAAGACCACCGTGATGACTGTGGACGAGATCCGACCGAACCACAGCCGCTGGCTGGCCGAGTATCAGCACCTGCGCTACATGTGGATCCCGTACACGGATTCAGTCGTGGTGGTGCAGTGCCGTCGCGCTCAAGAGGACGAACCTCTGAACGAGAAGCGCTTCCCGCCGGTGAAGCACAGCGACGACGTGCGCATGGAGGCTCCCCGGAAGCTGTACCTGGAGCTGACCAAGGGGAAGCCGGAGCCTGACTACTTGGACTGGAGCTTCACGAAGATGCGCGACAAGCTGCTTGAGATCAACCCGCTCGACAAGCAGCACGTCATTCGTGTGAACCAGGTCGAGAAGCAGTTCTGGAAGCTCAGCGAAGGCTACCGGGTGGCGTACTCGGACGACATCATCGGCTTCGACTGTGGTGGCCAGCAGCTCGTGGAGGAGGTCTCGTTCCCGTGCACCGGCTCGCTGGAGCTTGACTTCATGGAGAAGCTGCTCAAGCGCATTGACGCCGAGGATATCCCGGCTCACTCGCCGATCGAGCAGCGCTGGACGGCTCGTAGCACCTCTTTGATGAGCCCTGCGTCTTCTCCCAACCCGGAGCAGATCTTCTCTTGGGTGGGTGTCATCTTGTACCTGCCCACGGCGGAGAAGAAGGTTCGCACGGCCATCAGGAACCGCTTCATGGACTTCTACGCCATGTACCGCGACTTCATGGAGCCGTACGGAGCGACGGAGCACTGGGCGAAGATCGAGTGGCCTGCCGATGCTGCCGAGCGCAAGCAGATCCGCGATCGCCTGAAAAAGAGGTACCCGCTGGACAAGTTCAAGAAGGCGCGCGACGAAGTGGACCCTCACCACATTCTCTCTAACCACATTGTGGACGAGATGTGTGCCTAGATCAAAGCACGTTGTATCGTTCCAGAGCTGACTTCCAGCTAACCTGTAAGCAAAATTGCAGCCCTGTCGTGTTGAATACGGAATTACTTCTAGTTGTTTGTTCTGCTTGCTAGAAAGTTGAAAACTTGCTCGAATTGGCCAGCAGGCAGGTAAGCCAGCCAAGCAGCCAGAAAATACTGACTGAAGCGTGCGTCTGTAGGCTCCGTTCCTTTGAGTATGTCTACCTGGTGCAGCAGCCGTAGCAGCAAAAGCTCTGCCTGTGTTCGAACGGTAGGCCAGGTTGATATTGCATCCAAACGCATCTCGTAGGCAGCCGAAACGAGGGAACAAAACCATTGAATGCAGAACAGCGAGCACGAGAGCGATTTCTCGGAGGAAGTTGCGACCTGATCGAGTGCTGACAGCACGTGGCTGAGTGATCCCACCAGGAGGACGTTAGGTGCTGTTCTTAGGTGGGTGCTAGCAGCACACGAAAGTCCCCAACACTTTGCAACGTAACGCATTGCCGCCTGGGTGGACTGCAACCTGCATGACATTTGCAAATCAAACTCCGGTTGACTCGGTACTTTGTCGGTGGACCATTCTGGAATGGCGATAGTTTCTTCGTATAAGGAGTTTTGCTCAACCGACTCGTACTCCAACAGATACGGGATAACGTTTTTATACAGAGTCTGGAAGAGAGCAGGTCCGCACTCGAGCATCATCTCTGCGACTGCAGATTGAATCAAGGGACTCCCCGTCACTGACTGCAATGTTGAACCAGTCTGAGGGAATTCATATCCAGCGATATTGTCTAGCAACCTCCACGTTTCACTCTTCGTAGATTCCACCGACGCATTTGCTGATAGCATTGAATCCCAGAGCAATCCCCAGAGCAGCACTTGAACAGCGGATATCGCGTTTGGCAGCGGCACGTGAGTAAAGGACTCTTCTCCTTTACCAGCCTGCAAGCAAGCCTCTATCTCCGCCACATCTTCGAGCCCCTGACATGTTTCGTCGCTCCCCAGTTCAATATTGAACAGACCCAACAGAGTCCACAGCAAAGGGTTAAGCTGGGTATTGAATCTTCCCTTTGTAGTCATTGTCTCTGGCTCGACCATCATCTCCATGATATGTTTATGGATTAGAAGCAAACTTTCTCGAACCAAAACGCCAAGTCTTGGACCGCCGCTAGCCTTCGTAGACTGCAAAGCCAGTAAAACGAACCCAAACGAGTTTTCCAAAACGCCAGGTTCAATCCTAGCACCAACGTCCGCCGTCACAAACACTTGCAGCAGCTGCAGGACCAGTGAATACAAGTTCAGCTGCGTTTGCATGCCGTGAGTGGCTCGGTCTCCACTTGAAACAATGGGGAATAGAGGATTCAGCACACCACCAAGTAGCTTGCTGATGGTCATCACGGGCTTCTCTTGGGTTGAACGAGCATCCTTGGAGACTCCAACCAGAGCCAGCAGAAACGAAATCACGTTCTGACTTTCTCTGTCAAAACAACTCTGCTCGCTTGATAACTCCATCAGAGTCTGCTGCAGTTCACACTCAAGGAAGGATACGCCACTTACAGGCGTTTCAGTCCAATCCAGCAATAGAGGAAATTTATCCAGGACTTTCAAGCACAGCTTATGATGAAGTACATCCGTTCGAGAACCTCGGACAAACTGTCGAATGACGTGACCGGGGCAGAAGGCAGCGAAAACAATCAGTGACGCAGCATGCTCCAAATCTCGCGTTTTGCCTGTGAGGCGATTGAATACGCTTCTAATCCGGCGCTCAAATTCTGTTTTTGCTGTTTCGTTGCGGTCAACAAAGCAGTGTTGTGCTCGCATTTGCAGACTGAGGATATATGAGGCGTGGATCGAGAGGATGTCCAAGCTTGTCACCGCCGACAACTCATCAAAAACCTTTTGAAGCAAACCACTTGGCACGACTAGCTCTCCATCCAATGAGGAGCAAACTTGCGAAAGCTGCTCAATGGCAGACAGCTTTGTATCGCTACCGTTAACCAAAGCGTCTTGAGCCAACGGTGTTGTGATGCTGGGGGACGAGATTGAACCTTTTCCTTTCAAATGTTCCTCCAAGTCCTTCACACTTTCCACAACAACGAGTACGGTGCCAGAAGCATCGATGTGTGCGCCATTGTCATCTCGAGCATCTTCTCCTGTCTCCGAATTGGCCAACTCCACTAGTTTCTCCGCAAGGGTCCACAGAGTATCTGCAGACACTTGCTCTCCATCAACACAACGTTCACGTGCCCCGAATACTTTACCCAGATCGATCTGCTGCAATGCAACCACTTGTTGAGCCTCATCCAAGAAAGCCCGACCACTTCGTGAATTGAACAGCCGAGCCTCCAGCTCGCTAGGCAGATCCAGGAATTCCTTCCAAGCTCCTGCATCCTCGTTCATCACATCCAATGCTTGAATAGCACTCCAGGCTTTGCTGTTCACAAACACACTTGAATCCAGCTTCTCCACCATCCCCACGATTCGTCGCTTGCGCTTCTTGGCTCCTCGATCACAAGCCGCAGCTCGAACCACAGCGGCTGTCAATAGCGTATCCAGCAACGGCGACAGCAGCTCTAGCCCTTCCGCCATAAAATAAGGGTCTGAGCACGTATCAACCAGCGTCTGCATATCCTCCGCAGCATCGGAGGCGTGGAACTGCATCAGCCACAGCAGAAGCTGCTCCTCCAGTCGACAGGCCACCACCTGCAGCACGAACTCCCTGGCCGCGGAGTCGTCCCGCTTCGCGTCCTCCCATTCACGTCTAGCTAGTGCAAGCAATTCCGCGTCACTGCAATCATGCTCCGAACCCCAGTACTGCCGGATGGCAACCACGGCGGCGGTGAAGTCTTTGGAGTGAAGTATCAACGACTCCATGGGTGGTGTCGGGATGTTTGGGATTTGGAAATGGAAATGGAATCAGACGACAGAATCAGACGTACGAATTGACCACCTACGATGGACCTACAATGGCGGATGTATCGCTAGCTACACCAACGTGCTGGTCCTGCCGTTGTTACTATACCCGTGACTGGTGCGCGCTTTCTTCAGGTAGCGAGTCCGAAGCAGCTGGAAGGCGTGTCGAGCCTCCGCGTCCGCGATCATCTCGCCGTCCACCTTCAGCAGCGCGATGGCGTTCTGGTCCTCCATGAGATCGTTCTGTCGTCTCAGCTCCTCAACCAGCGTACTGGTGAGTCCCTGCAGGTGCATCTGCTGGTGAGTCGGGAGGTGTCCGAACGACTCCAGCGACACATCCGATCGGCGCTTGTGACTGGGGTGAACGACGAACGCGTTGGCGTCCTGCGCAACGGAAGCCGCCGCTGCAGCCGCAGCCACCGTCGACGGTGCAGGCTCGCCTGGCGTAGTAGACGGAGCAGCTGACACCGCAGCAGAAGAAGGAACGCTGCCGGCATTGTCCTGTGTCACGACGTCGTGCTCACTGCTGGCGGTCGACGGTGGCGCCGCCGCCGCTGCTGCCGCCTGCGCAGCATGCTGGGCTTCTGCAGCCAACGCTGCAGCATTAGCGGCGGCCAGCGCGTTCATGGCGAGCACTGGGTTGTTGTTGCAGTTGGCGAAGAGCTGCATCCACTTGGTCGAGTAGCGCAGCAGCTTCCAGCAGCCTTCGAACGAGAACTTGGTGTTGTAGATGCGGGAGTAGATGTCCTTGGCCTCGTCGACCCACTGCTGCTCCGTGAGCAGCGCCACGGCGGCGGCGTCGCCCGAGTCCCCGCCGCTCTCCTCGGCGTGCTTCATGCCCTTGCTCTGCAGCTCGTTGAAGATGGCCGCGAACTTCTGCGAGTCGCGGTTGATGCGCGTCCAGCGGACCTTGAGCCCGTTGAGCGGCCGCTCCACCGCCGTCTCCACCTCCTCATGGAACAGCTCGCGCACGACGCCCCAGAAGTTGGCGGCCTTTTGCTCGCCGCCCTGGAGCTGCAGGTCGCTGGCGCTCAGCCACACGCGGCACAGCGTCTGGTCCTCCGCCACGGTCCAGTTTGTCTTCTTGCCCATGAATTTCTATTCAAGAAACGCGTTTCTTAAGCTACTGGAGCTTGAATAGAAACTCAAATACTCGCGACTATTTCCGACTTGCCATTGCTTGTCATTAACGGAACAATGTCAAGTCGAGCGTGGCAGGTGGCGGCGGCGACCGCGGCGCTGGCGGCCGTGCCGCTTGCGTGCTGGCAGTACGAGCGATACGTGTGAGTGGCTTGCTGCATAATGTTGCTGTGGTGCTAGTGGGGCTAGAATATCGTGTAAATTTGTTGTGGTAAGGCCGCTAACGGAGCTCTTGCCCTGACGTGTGGCGATCATGGACCCAGTGAGCTGAAGGAGCGACGCGAGTCTATTAAACTGCTGAGGAAGGTGGAACTCATTGCGACGGAGGTGGCAGTGCGTCTGATGCATCTGGAGAACCAGGCGAAGGAATTGGTCGAGTACGAGGCCAGGAAGGCTGCTGGAGAGACCGAGGAGGAGGAGGACCCGGCTGCCAACTCGACGTTGAACTCATGTGTGTTGCTGCAATGTCTACCCTGCAGTAGCTTGAGCGCTAGTCTGAAGATACTTCTGTGGTGATTCTCTTGCTTATGGTTGTTTGCTTGGTTTGCGTTTTGCAGACTACCACTTCGACTCGCAGGGCAACAAGCTCAAGACAAAGTGGGACTCGTACAACGTGGACGCAGAGCTAGAGCGACTGGAGAAGGAAGAGCGAGGCGAAGAAGTGTCGGGAACTGCAGCTCAACCGAAGAAGCCTGCACGGAAGGTGCCGCAGCTCACTCGGTCAAAGGCACTCGCCACTTCCCAAGGCATCGAGCACGAGTTCGAGGCCGTGCTGTCGTTCTTGGACGACGTCCGCGGCGACGACGAGGTCAAGCAGCTGCGCAAGGCCATCGCCAACAAGGTCACCAACGAGTACTTCGCCCGCATTGACGCTATTCAGTCCATGCTCGCGTGAGCACTACTGTTCTTAGTACAGGGGAGCTATAGTACACTCAGCAACCTCTTTCACGTCTACATATTGATTAGAGTTACTATCGTGCTTCGCTTAGTATCGTGGCGTTGGTTTGAGAGATCGCGACGCGAGCGGAGCGCCTTGAATCCTTTCTACTCCATTTGAAGTATCTTACCCCAGTTGCACTTTCGAAGCATATCCTTCTCGGCGCGATTGTTCTACCTAGGCGCCTGCACCTACTCATTACGAAACCTCCAGTTAAATATATAAATGTGCACGTTCTTAAGAAGCGTTCGACGGGTATCTGCCCAGCCGCATACGTCCTAATACTGCGGTTAAATGGATCATCTCGTGCTCGCCCTCACAAATTAAGGACAAGTGCCAATGCAAGCGTGAGCACTGTGCTCGGAGACGTTGAGGCTCGTCAATCCGTCAGCACAGAATTTATGTTAAATTTGCTTGTTTGTTTTTTGCTGCGGACGATACCATGCCAACAAGCGTTGCCTGCTATGCCTGGCCATGCTGTCGATGACAGCCTCTTGTCGCACTTAGATAATGTGCAAGGGCTTCTTACTTGTCTTATCGCTGCCTAGTTTAAATTTAATGTAGTATGAATAGTATCTTCTAACATTTTAGCTTTAAAGCTGATTATTAAAATAATCAGTGTCTAAATAGTAAGCTAAAACTTTTGAAATACTAGCCTTAGTACTATAGTATCACATATATGAATGCCTTAAGTAACGTTATTCCTCACAATTATTTTACTACAGTACAAGCTGCGCACATAAGCATGGGACGCAGCTCGAGTCCTCGCCGTCGGTACCGGACTCCGTCGCCCCGACGCAGTCGCAGCCGAAGCCGCAGCGCGCCCAGAGAATCAAGACGCCGTCGCAGCCGCAGCAGCAGTCGGCGCCCGCGTTCTCGCTCTCGTTCCCCTCGTAGAGGACGCCCAAGCTCGTCGAATGTGCGCGGCGGAGACCGTGAGCCAATGGGTCGCTACGGCCCCACGAGCGGCTCCAGCAGCGGCTTCAAGAGCAGAGGAGGCAGGTACAGCAACGATCAGACCGACGACTTCTTCGAGGAGAGGAAGAGGGAGCGGGACGCCAAGGACTTCAGCGTCTGGGCAGAAATCCCGAGCCCCCCGCCCATGAAGAAGAAGGTCAAGAAGGAGAAGAAGCGGGAGCCTACGCCATCTCCGTCCAGATCCAGATCCAGATCTAGATCACCGTCTAGATCGTCTAGCCGATCCAGATCCAGGTCGAGATCGCTTAGTGCCTCGGAGTCGGACGTCTCCAGCTCGGACAGTGAGGAAGAGGGACGTCGTCGGAAGAAGAGCAAACGCAAGTCCAAGTCTTCGCGTCGGTCTCGTAAGAAGAAGAGCTCGAAGAAGAGCAAGAAGCACAAGAAGGAGAGCAAGAGCAGACGCAAGCGCCGTCGACGCTCACGCAGCGAGAGCGACAGTGGCAGTGGCAGTGACTCCGATGTCTCGGTGGCTTCTGAGAGGAAGGACAGGGCTCGTAAGCTGAGCGTTGACAGTCGCGACAGCATGAGCGACGTGGGTGAAGATGAGAAGCGAGAAGCGGTCAAGTTCAAGGAGGCGGTCCAAGGAGCTCGCCACGCCGACGACAGTGACGAGGAGATTGGACCCAAGCCTCTCCCAGCAGCTGAAGAGACGGCTGCGTCGTCGCTGAACTATGGCAAAGCGCTGCTTCCCGGTGAAGGCGCTGCTATCGCACAGTTTGTGCAGAAGAATATGCGTATTCCGCGTCGTGGTGAAGTGGGCTGGAACGGCGAGGAAATCGAGAACTTGGAGAACCTAGGCTACGTGATGAGCGGTAGTCGCCACAAGCGCATGAATGCGGTCCGCATCCGAAAGGAGAACCAGGTGTACACGGCTGAAGAGAAGCGTGCGCTGGCTCTGATTAACTTCGAGGAGAAACAACAACGCGAGAACGCGATCATGAACGATTTCAAGGAAATGCTGACTGAGCGGCTGACGAAGAAGCACGGCTCTCGACTTGTTGAAGACATGGAGTCATCTGCAAAGGATTAGATCGTTGTGGTCATCCGTTTGAAAAAGAAAAACGGGTAGAGCAGAATTCCACTAGACTCCAGCACCAAACCAGCCTTTGGAAAGACAAAAAGTTTGCCTGACTCCATTAACGGATGCCAAACAAGCAGAAGCCTTGCGAAATGCCAGCCCCCCCCCCCCCTACTCGGACTCGTTTAAGTTGTTTGAAGCAGATCGCGAGTACTAGGACCGCTAGAAACCTTGTTACTTGCAAGTCGGCGTCGGTTGCTACTGCTACCGCCACCAATGCTACCGCCAAGCTTTCGGTCAAACATACTGACGAAGCCTTCACACCGGCGTTCCCCGCATGGCGTTGCGTGGTCGTTATGCACGATGCCGATCACGAGCAAGTCAGTAGATGGGGCAGTCCATTGGAGTTTGTGGAACGCGAGATACTCGGAACCATCGTCTCCCAGCAGTCGAAAAATCCCGAAGGCGGCTAGCGTACGGCACTTGTAGTATAATTCACCACTTTCGTACACGTACCCCGCCAACAGTACAAGCTTGCAGCGCTCTCCAATTATTGTATCAATGCAGCAAGGCGCAGTCAGCACGGCTAAGGTTCCATGGCGGCACTGGACGTAAAAAACAGCTCCCATTGCACGAACAGATGCGAGAACCAAGATGCAGCTGAGCCGTGACCAACCCCCCAAGCTCCACACGTAGTAAGATATTATTCTTGCCTCGGACTGTGTATCCCTTAAACTTGTTCGGTTGAGAGACGTAAGGTAGTTTTCAAGTGAAGCTGCACATACGAGCTCACCTAGCAGCACAGTCTCGTGGTTAAACAGCAACCGCTTCAGGCAGCATCGACACTTCTCTCCAAGACATCGTGAGTGTTCAATCATCTCAAAGAACAATGACAAGAGTCCGGAGAGGTTGTAGCCCAGAGAAATGTACTGGAGACGTCCCATGATCCCTTCGAGGGCTATCAGCATGAACAGCTCACTCATGATTCCTTCGACCAGAATGTAAACCACGATCAGTCTGTGGTAGTTTGTGATATTGTGCGGGGATATACGCATGCTTTCTTGGACAAACACGATGGCATCAGCCAGGCGAATAGTATGCTGGGCACTCTGGCGTGGCGCATACACAGGATAAAGCTTCGCCGCAACAAAACAAACCTATACGCGATCCAAATTGAGCTGATCACACCGTACCAATACGAGCTGCGGTATCTAGTCGCTCGATTCGCTGCCAGTGCCGACCAGGCCTCGGAAAAATAATTATTCCATTGCAATTACTGTATTTGTGTACGGAAATATGTATTATTGGTTGCCGTCGTATTGAAATTACTATTATCGAAGCCCAATTTTCAGTAAAATGTTTAACTATACAAAAACCAAGTTTAACGTGAATCTCCATATAAAAGTAATTGAAATAAATACATATTATTGGTGATTGGTATATTGAAATGATTATTATGGAGACCGAACTTTTGCAATTCAATATGATACTGTATTTTCCGAGGTCTGGTGCCTACCCATTGCTGTCGAATGACCCAAGCCCGGTTACCAGGAGATAGCCCCTTTCATCCTTAGCACAATACGATCCGGTTCCCTCTTCATAGAAGGCGTAATACCCAACACTTCCGTGATAAAGGAAGTAGCTCAACGCAAAGCTATCATCTTCGCAATCTCCTTGCATGTTGGGGGAGGGTTTTGAATGCTTCGCTCCTAGAAAATAGACGCCGTGGACGTTGTACTGCGGGACCGCAAAATGGCACAGTCGGCCCTTTTCCAGGGTGAAGTAATGAGTCGGCACGATGTTCCAGTAGACATCGGCAATGTAGAACTCTTTGACCGGGCAAAGTTTGTTCAGATCGACGAACTCTCTGGTTGAGCTAGCTTGGTCTATTAGGTGCATCGAAATCTTGTGCGGTGTCACGAGCTGTACGAAGCTTTGCAGTTGCAGTATCACAGGCAACAAGCCGAGGCTCAGCCACACCACAAGAAGCGAATATTTTCCCGTTATCCGCGGACGCCGTCGTGCACTTCCGTCCACTTGCGACCGACCTTCGACGATCATAGAACCCATGCTACTCGGTTTCATTCTCCCTCGACTACAAGGCCAAAGTTAGCAAAATAGGTTTTGAACCAAAGTTAGACAGTAGTGTCCGTAGCGCGGCACTGAGTGAGACTGCGAGCGAACACTTCCACGACAATTTCACACGCAGAAAATACATCAACTTCTGTTTGTTTTTGGCACATAACGTATTATCATCGAAATGATTCCAGTACGGCTGGTCGACTGACTTTGACGTCCACTTGAGATGGCGTTCGAAGGCTACTCACTGTAGTTGAGGACTCCGCACGAGAACTTGCAACTTTGATAGTTGCTGGCTCCAAGTCAACTCTATTGTCAAAGGCACCGCGAAGCCACCGTCTAGTGCCAGACCCTCCGACGGGTCCTCCTAGCACTTGAGTAAAGGAGGTCACAACTCCAGTACAAAATCGTTCTGGGCATGGTTGAACTTGCCTCCCGTGAACAGATCCAATTACAAACAGATCCCGCCGGGGGATTGCAATCCAATAGAGCTTGTGCAGCACCAAAAAGTCCTGCCCGTTCTCCTCCATCATCTTCATCATCCCGAACGCTTTCAGAGTGCTGAGTTTGTAGTACAACCTCGCGTTGTCGTACGAGTATCCGCCCAAAACTACAAGTTTGCCACGCACCCCCAGCGTTGTATCGACGCAGCACACAGTGGTGAGCACCGCAAAGCAGCCGTACTTCCATCGCATGTAGAATATTGCCCCGAGAGACCGAACGGATACTAAAACCAATACACAACCGAGGACAATGACGCCATGGCCGACTAAGCTCCACACGTAAGGCGAGATAAATTTTGAGGCGGGCTGGGAATGTTTGAAACCTCTGGAGCGATTCAGTGCAGTGAGGTAGTGCTGCATCGCACCGGCGCAAACGCACTCTCCTAGCAGCATCGTTTCGTAGTTGAACAGAAGCCTCTTCAGCAGACACCGCAGCTTCTCGCCCAGCCATCTCATGGTTTCCAGCATTTCAAACAGCATTGACATCACGCCCGATAAATTGTAGCCCAGCGAGATGTACTGCAACCTCCCCATCATCCCTTCCTGAGCAATTAGCAGGAATAGATCGCTCATCAGTCCTTCGACTAGCAGATATAGGAGCGCGAATCGATGGTAGTTTCGGGCATCGTACGCTGACAGCCTGATGCTCTCTTGGACGTACACCACAGCGTCATTTAGGCGGAGGCTTTCACACATCCGATCACACCTTTTGCCATACCGTTTGCATGATATATAGCTTCTCCTGAGCATCAAGACGCGATACGCTATCCAGACGGACCCGCTGATGCCATACCAATATGACTCGCGATACTCGGTGCTGCCTCGATCGTGAGCAAGTTGAGCCCCATTGCAGTCATGCGTCCCCAAGCCTCCCACCAACACATACGCGGTCTTGTCGATGGCACAGTACGTTCCTCTAGCCTCCTCGTAGAACGCGAAGTATCCAATACTGCCGTGGTAAAAGTAGTGTTTGAACGCGTAGCTCTCGTTCGCACAGCTGGACGGAGTTGTCGACGACGCATTGGTCGCTTTATTCCCAAGAAAATAGTTGCCGTGGATATTGTACTGGGGCACGACGAAGTGACAGAGTTTTCCATCCTCAACCTGAAAATAATAGAGAGGCGTGACATTCCACCAGATTCCAGCGACGAATAGCCCGTCGACCGGGCAATGGTCAAGTAAGTTGGTCTTGTCGTGCACATCCGTCTCGGGGGGAAGCAAACTCTTTGAAATCTTGTGTGGCGTCACGAATCGCACGTAGCTTCTCGCTTGGAGCAGCAGGGGAGCGACGCCGATACTCATCCACATGAGGAGCAGCAGTCGCCGGGCCGAGATCGCGAAGCCGCTACGCTCGCCAAGATGCGGCCCTCTCCTCAGCACCATGCTGCTGTCCAAGTTGCGGACACCCCTCATGACTTGAGAGGCCACTACGCCAAACTTCTTAGCTCACGTTGATAGCGACAGTGAGCCTTGGACTGAATCACACCTAGCGCAACGCGAAACGGCGTTCATCACGGCTATGAGGCTATTTTGAAGGAGCCCACATTGACGACGGAGGGTTTTTTAGCGTTCGGTTACTCTGCAAGATTGGCAGGTCCTATTCGGACAGCAGCAAGGTCTTACGCTGTAAGACGCACACTCATCGATGAAATGACCGCGTTGATGTGGTGACCAAGTGCATAGCGGAGGAAGGTAGTGACGCCTTTGCCGGGGGTGAGGCCATTGGCCGCTCGCTTCGCGCGTTTGCGGGTGATACAGCCCCCGCGTCACGCGTTGCAGTGCACAGGTGATGGGAATTGCTACTGGGAATGGCAATACATGTACGCTTCTCCAAAAGAATCTTCTCGTGCCTTCAGACGATGGATGTTGGTGTTGTCCGGTGCATCAAGTGCCAGCGCCGATCGTCACGCGTCCATCGTGGTGGATACTGTTGATGCAGGCACGAAGACGCCGTTCATTTGGGGCCAGGCAAGGTTTTGAGACTCCATGTCGGGTCTGCATTGCATTGCAAGCATCGCCGAACACGCAAGCAGGTTGAAGGCGTCTGCCCAATCGGCACAGCTCGGTCCACCCTTGTCTTTGTTGCTGTGCGCGCAGGATGGGTATTTAGCGCCGATGTGTGGCCGAGTGTGACGTACTTCGATCGAAACCGAGAGCTCCTCGGCGGAGCGACTTCATTTTCAAACTGAAGCAATGGCGCACAAGTCGACTCAAAGCGTTCGCGTGGGTATCATCGGCGGTGGCGCCGCTGGCATCAGTACGTTCGCCCTTGCGGCAAAACTCGGTTATGGTGCCCGTCTCACCTGCTGTCTGTTTTGCTTTCGACAGTCGCAGCCAAGAGCTTGAGGGGGGTTGGCCACAACGTCGTGGTGTTCGAGAAGAGTTCCCACCTGGGAGGCATCTGGAAGTACGACGACGCTGCCGATGCGCCGTCCTCAGTGCTGTACAAGGTACAGCAAGCCTGCTTGATGCGCTGTGGATTGTGGTGAAATGGTACATGACGCAGTGGTTTTTGCTGGGCTGCAGTCACTTCACACGAACCTGCCGACGTCTATCATGCAGCTGAAGGACTTCCCCTTCCGAGCCGGTCTCCCGAGCTACCCGTCGCACGCCGACGTCTTGGAATATCTCCAGAACTACGCAAATCACTTTGGTGTTGATGAATTTGTCCGCACAGACACGAAGGTGGCGAGTGTATCGAAGGTGGGGGAACTCTGGAAGGTCAGCGTGGAGTCGAAAGAGAAGGGGGCGTATGACGAGGAGTTCGACCGCCTTGTGGTGGCTAACGGTCACTTCAACAAGGCGTGGCAGGCCCCTATCAAGGGTATCGAAAACTTCCCGGGTGCTGTATCGCACGCACGGTCCTACCGCACTCCGGAGCCGTACCAGAACAAGCGCGTGCTCGTCATTGGTCGCGGACCATCGGGCCAGGACATCTCGCTCGAGCTTGCCGAGAGCGGAGTGAAACAAGTGTACGTTGCTGCTCTTGACTACGATCCGAGCGTAGTGGACAAGAAGGACAAGCGCATTCTCAAGCCTGCGGTCGATCACATCGCTGAGGGTGGCACGGTCGTGTTCACGGATGGCTCTTCGATCGCTGCACCCGACGAGATCATGCATTGTACGGGTTATCTCTACACTATGAACGACTTCTTCCCGGCAGAACTTCTGTTCCCGGAGACTGGGGTGGTCCCGAACAGCGTTGATGACGAGGTCGCAAGGGACTTGGGAGGAGCCGTCTCGGCTGGAACTGCAGTGGCTCCCGTGTATAAGCACCTGTTCTCCATTGAAGACCCCACTGCTGTGTTCATCGGTCTGCCGTTCTCCAACCTGCCGTTCCTGTGCTTTGAGCTCCAGTCCAAGTGGGTTGCTCGAGTGTTTGCTGGCTCAGCGCCGCTCCCGTCAAAGGAGAAAATGTACGAGGACTTTTACGAGACTCTCCGCAAGATCGAAGGCCCGGCCCGCAAGCTGCACTCGTTGAGTGGCCTGCAGAAGGACTACTTCACGTGAGTACACTTCGACTTGACTATTTTGTTACTAACACTAACGATGACTTGCTTATACAGGGAACTTGGCGCTCGTTCCGGTACCGTTGTGGACGAGAGCATTCACGAAATGTATGAAGACGCCGCCTACCTGCGTGTCAATTTCCCGCACGATTTCCGCTCGGCTGACTTCAGCCTGGATCCGGCAAGCGGGAAGTGGGTCCGTCGGCACAGCGACCTTGTAAAGTCTTTCAGCTAGGCCACGCCCTCGTAGCTCATACGACAGCACAGCGAGCTTATTCACAAAATGAAAGCGTTCGAAAAGCTTTGTTGTCGTTAGTTTGTTTATGGTTCCGCGTCCCAGCCAAAAGACTCAAATGACTCACTTGACATGGACAAGGAGCGCGCTGGAGACCACGAAGGCTGCGAATCGCTGAAAAGCAGACCCCATGTGGTAAATGCGTTATCACTGGACGCTCCAGTGGAATCCGAGCCTGGCGTAAGCTGTTCGGTGGTGTTGTACCTCGCAATATCGGCAGGCTTCTGGCTGTGCACGAAATCCAGACACGGCCGACAGACAAAAATCTGTTTCTTCCTGATCAGCATGTGCCTCTTCTTCGGGTGTCGGTCCAGCACCTTGAAAACTCGTTCCTCGCGACAGTTTGAACACACTGGCGCCAAGCACAATACACAATTGCGCTGGTCGCTGCGTCGAGTCCGAGCCAAGCGTCCAAAAGCCATGGAACACAAGGGGCAGCTCAACGAATAACCGGACAACTCACTCGCGAGTCCTCGACGATGCGCGCTTTTCATGTTGGCGATACACCACTGCAGCTTCTTGTGCTCGGACAGAATCGGAGCCCTGAAGAAGCCAAGAAGCGACTGCCACGTGGAGCTGATGATGAACGACTCCATGAGGTTGCCCATCGACTCGACATACTGCTGGATGTACACATCCACATTCCCATTCTCCAGCTCTCGGTACAGCGCTCCGAACATGAACTTCCCGCGAATCATGGGCTTGGGCAAGGGCGGACACTCCAGCAGCGGCACGGGCTGCAACAGATCGTATCCGATACGTTCTCCATCTTTGGTCGTCATGACTCCGGTCGCCGACAGCAGCACAAAGTCCCTCGGCTTGACTACCCTGCTCACCAGCCACGGCAGTCGACTCGCCATGTACATGATGGACAAGTTCTGGAAGGGTTTGTCTTCTGTCGGCCCGACGAGTCTCGCGAGCATAGCGCCGCCTACTTCTTGATCTCCGAGCGTGGACACGCGGATTTTCAGCGCTTCAAACGTGGGGATCGACATGCCGTACATCACCTCGTCCAGAGGGGCTGGGATGGTCCCGACCATGAGAAGAACAGTCGGGTCTTGCCAATTGTCGTCCGGCAGGTGGAGGTCGGTGCGAATATGGCGGACGCGCTCCGAGTAGAGCGACGCATTGTGCTGCGTCCTCTGCAGCTTCCAGCGCGCGCTGTCGAGACTCGCGTGGTGTCTGGGCGTGGCTCCTGGAAGACGCTCGTCGTAGCTGTGCAGCGTGCGCTCGAGCAGTTGCAGACTGAGCTGGTGGCATTGCTGCTGCTCCTCGAAGGACAGTTGCAGCGGCGGGAACGGAGACTGGTCCGGCAGAACGTCCTCCTCTGTCATGCTGGTCACAATCGGCTGGTCCTTCGAGACACGTTCTGAACTCATGGAGCAGCGACTTGGACGGAGAAATACCGTTTCCGGTCAGTTTAGGGCCCTTGACGTTTGCTAGCGGAGACTTTGGATTGGCGGGATTTCGCTAGTTTGCCCCTCGTACCCGAGTTTAAGGACCTCATTTCGGAATTGGCGCAATGTCCATCAAGTCGCAGAGTGTTCGCGTGGGAATCGTCGGCGGCGGCGCGGCCGGCATCAGTGCGTGGTGTGCAGTGAGATGCACTGTTCTTGAGTCTAGTGTACACTAAGTTTTCTTTTTTATCAGTCACGGCCAAGTGTCTGCGCGACGTGGGGCACGAGGTCGTTGTGTTCGAGAAGGGTGCCAATGTGGGGGGCGTATGGAAGTACGACGAGGCTGCGGATGCCCCGTCATCTGTGCTCTACAAGGTGCGATCTACATGCCTGGTGCTGTGGAGGGGGGAGGAGGGTGCTAACTGTATTGGATCTTGACAGTCGCTGCACACGAACTTGCCGACGGCCATCATGCAGCTGAAGGAGTTCCCGTTCCAGAAGGGGGTGCCTAGCTTCCCTTCGCATGCCGACGTGCTCATGTACCTGCAGAACTACTCGAAGCACTATGAGGTGGATAACTTCGTGCGTCTGAACTCGGCGGTCACGAGTCTGTCAAAGGTCTCCGGCCAGTGGAAGATCGGCGTGACGTCCAAGAAGAAGGGAGCGTACGAAGAAGAGTTCGATCGCGTGGTCGTGTGCAATGGCCACTTCTCCAAGCCATCGCTGGCCCCCATCAAGGGAATTGAACACTTCAAAGGCAACGTGTCCCACTCGCGAGCGTACCGTACGCCGACGCCTTACAAGGGCAAGGTAAGGACAAGTTCCCTCATGTACTTAGTAGGTGGATTTGGTGATAGCATTGCTCTGACATTGCAATTTGTGCGCAGCGTGTTGTGGTGATTGGACGGGGACCTTCAGGCCAAGATATTTCACTTGAGCTGGCCCGACGTGGAGCGTCGGAGGTGTTTGTCGCCACTTTGGACTATGATCCGAGTGCTATTGATCCGCAAGATAAGCGCGTGCTGAAACCTGCCATTGATCACATTGCTGAAGATGGTTCGGTGGTGTTTACCGACGGATCCTCGATTTCGTCCGTGAATGAGATCATGCACTGCACGGGGTACTTGTACACGGTGAAGGACTTGTTCCCCTCCGAGCTGCTGTTTCCTCAGGCGTTCGTCCGGCCTAACAGCATGAACGACGAGGTTGCTGCTGACTTGCTGAGCTGCACGACTAACGGAACTGCAGTTGCTCCCGTCTACAAGCAATTGTTCGCCATAGAGGACCCCACGGCTGCCTTCATTGGTCTCCCTTTCAGCAACCTGCCGTTCCTCTGCTTCCAGCTTCAAGCTCGTTGGGTCGCACGCGTATTCGGCGGGTCGGCGCTCCTTCCATCAAAGGAGGAGATGTACGAAGACTTCTACGCCTACGTCGGAACCCTGAAGGATGGCGTGAGGAAGCTGCACCAGCTCGGAGCGCGCCAGAAGGACTATTTCACGTATGTAGTTTGTGACGATTTTGCTGATGATTTGATTTTACAGGTTACTTACTGATTGCCATGTTTGCGTGCGATATTATATAAACAAGTGAGCTGGCGGCGCTCTCCAACTTCGAAGTTGGCGAAGAAATCCATGAGATCTACGAGGACGCGCGATTCCTGCGGACAAACTTCCCGTTCAACTACAGAACTGCCGAGTTCCGCCAAGACCCGGTCACCGGGAAGTGGGTGCGCCGTATCACGAACTCGGAATCGTCGGAGCTTGTCGAGGAATTCTCGGGGTGAGATCAGCAGTGCCTGTAGTCAACGTTCTTCTGCCTAGTGGCTCGCTGGACCAATGCAGCTCAGTAGCGTTAACTTCTGTGGCATATTTCTTTTTACTTTCTTGCTGATGGTAAACCTAGCGAAGCGCAGCTTTACTATGAACCTGAAGGTTGGTTCGAGTTAAACTGCGAGTCAGCACTGCCTGTCCACATCCGAAGAAAGCTAGCACCACCATGACGGCGTTGCATGCGGTCCTCGCGAGATGCCACCCGCTGCTCCCTGTCTTGCAGTCTGTCAAGGTAGCAGAATCGCTCACCCGCGACTTTGCGCACGTTGGCTCGCGACTTCCAGTCCTTCAGTCGTTCCTCTTGAGCGTGTGCATTCTCGAACTCTTGTACTAGGGCTTGCGTCCGCTCGTATCTCGCAGTGCGTCGTGCACGACGTGCATCTTCCTCGATTGTTGTCGAAGGCTTACCAGCTCTCATCATAAGGAACGAGTCGTCACCGTCCACCTTGGCGGATGGCGGTGCACGATATAAAGGACTATACGCCTCTCCGCTTGTCGTTAGAAAGCGTGCTTGCGCAGATTGATACAATCCTGTATCGGCACCAATTCCATTGCCTCCAACTCCAACGCGGGTCCAGTCCGTGCGCTCACGGCGTCGATGGTAAAATCGGTCTGGAGAAACTGGGGACAAAACTGCAACTCTAGGCCCCCCAGTACCGCATGACGTTGCGGGGCGGCGGTCTATCTCGAGTTGTAGCGATGACGGCGAAGTTAGTAGCGCTTTCTTGCTTTCCGTGTCGAGTTCACCCCTCGATATTTGCCCAGGAGACGCAGCCCCTCGACCAGCATTGACGATTGCAGCAGTTCGCTTACACAGCTCCTCTGGAAGACAGGTACCTGGGGCCACTTCCTTAGGTTTTGGAGGGGGTTCTTCTTGTTGAAGCATGGTATTCCTCCGCTCAGCAAATAAGGGGTCGACGACATCCCGAGGCGTCAATTCCACCGTACGCTTGGCATGCAAGGCCGCGAGCTCCTTCTTCCGCGCATTGTCTATCAAGTCGGTAGCCACCTCCTTCTCCCCAACAGCAAAGTAGTGCACGAACTCGCGAAGACTAATCTGCTCGTCGCCATTGCGATCCATCAGCTGCAACATCTCGCGCATCTCGGCCGCTGGTATAGCGTCTTCCATTTGTAAGAAGCCGCGCCCCAGTGCGTGTTCAACCTCGCTATATGACAGGAAGCTGTCGTTATCCGAATCCACATTTTTGAACGCGTACGCAAGGAGTTGCTCGGGTTTTCCCCCGCGCACACCAATTGCCAGACCATGTTTTCGACGAAGCTCATCGGTCACCTGCTTGCGCAGTTGCTTCATACGTCGTCGGGAACGTGGCGAGAGCTCTAACGGAGTGCGATATTTGATCGCCACCGACGAACTGGGATCTCGTGTTGGTCCTAACGGGTCCTTGACAGGACTGTAGGCACTAATTGCTGGGGCGTCGGCATCACTTGTAGTAGCACTTGGACGGAACATTTGTACAAACTCGTGAAATGCCACAGTGTTGTCGCCGTTGATGTCAGCGGTCCTGTAGAGTGCTCGCGTTTCGTCGGGTGTGAAGTCCACCTCAGCAGCCTCCACCATGTCGTGGAAGCGTTGCGCTGAAATCATTCCATTGCCGTCGTTATCAAAAGCTCGAAAGACGGCACGCATGGAGCCGTACTTCTCCATGAACACATCATACAACTTGGCTCGATTGTATGCCAGTGTTACATTTTCCTTGTCAACGGAAGCGCGGGTTTTGGAGGTATCGCTTTCAGGTACGTTGTTGATAGTTGATCGTCCGGAGGATGCGTCTTCATGAGCGTTGTTGCCGCTGACTCCAAGTTGCAGGCCTGGTAGTTCTGTTGCTTCGTGTACCTTGATGTTGGGAACTCGCTTCGGTGTAATACTGCCATCACGACGTTCATCAGTGCTCCTGCTGCTGTTAGACGGGCCTACTGCACTTAATCGCCGAACCTCTGTCCGTAAGACAAGAGGCATCACCTTTCCCGAAGCATTCGACCTGACGTTGAAGGGACTTCGGGTTTGGGGTGACCCAAGGGTAGCCTTCATCGCAGCGACGTTTGTTTCTCCGATCCGATCTACAGCAGCAGCAGAGACACTCGACTCCGCGGGTCCAGGACTAGGACCGGGTAGGCCATCAACCTCTACAATGGAGTTGCTCTTGGACAAGTTGGTTGATCCAACCTGTAAGCGCTTGCGTTGTCGAGCAGGAAATTCAGCATGATACTTTCCAGGACTTACGGTACCCCCCATGGCAGCGGCACCTGCCGACATGGATGCCGTAGCTTGCGGTGATTTGGAGCCATCAGGTGGACAGCGAAAGTTGTTGCGCTGCAAGGGCGCTGGCATGGCTCCTGCACTTCGCTAAATCACGCCTACCTCGGGTTTTGAAACTCGACTGCAAAGACCGCCTAAAAATACGAAACAATCTCCATAGACACACAAACGCTAAATTAGATGTTCATTGCTGACTGACCTTCATCGATTGGCTTCCTCGTTTCTTGGCTGTATCTCGATCTTGTCTCGGTGAAAGTCGGTGCAATATTTTATCGCATTGGTTGGAACCCATGTCGTTATACGTAGCCTATATCTTTTCGACAGCTCTTAAGTCGGCGTAGTCAGAGTCGTCGATTTGGCTGGCCTCTTTCGTTTGCGCTTCTGCGGAGTTTTTTGCTGGTCACTGGAAGATGGGATCACGACATTGTGTTGTCGTTGCGCCAGCATTTTTGATGCAGCTGCTGATTGCCTGGCTTGCCGCTGAGGGAAAGACCGCTCCAGCGCTCTTGCAAGGCTTTGGTCATATCGAACACGAACGCGGTGGGTGCGGGTGGGACCTACCGAGCAAGGGCGTGTACCGTCGGCGACACCCCGTGGTAATATGCGTCCTTCGCTTGCTGCAATCCATTCGACGGTGTCTTCCGACCACAGCGAAAAGCGCAATAGAACGAACTTAGCGAGTCCCCTCTTGTCTTCCGAGTAAACCTCTACGACTTCGCCATAGTTCCAGCAACCATTCCGATCCAGTACATCCACCACATCGCCTACACCCAGTCTAAGAGCAAACTCCACCGAAGCTGCAACAGCGAGGGAACAGTTATCAGCAATATCGTGGCGTACACTATACGCGATCAAGTCGTACGGAACACTGTTAATCTGGGACGGTCGAGGTTGACGCGTAGGACCGACGCCAGGAAGGACGGGCACATCCGCACTAGTATCTTCAGGAGGACACAATTGCAGGAAAACGTCCTCTAGTTCTCTTGCAGCAGCAGCTTCACCCTCCAGTATTGGTGCACATTGAATACTGCACGCAGCTCTCTCATGAACGAGCTGGGCAGTTCGCCAATTGTATATGGACAGCGGAATCAACTTACTGATGGAAGCTGCAAGCGCTTGCGAGATCTCGTCCTCTTCCACACAATCGCCAAATGACGGTAGTTCACCAGTGACCTCGCTGTTAGAAATTGTAGCCCGGAGTAAATCACGCGCATTATCTCCGGTGCCTTCATCATCCCCATCACTGGGGTCACCAAATTCATCAGTCCGCTGCAGTTGCAGTTCATACTGCTGTTGGTGGTGCCGCTTCATTTCTTCTTTCCAGCGAGCTGGTACCTGGGAGCGATTCGCAGAGGCAGGATGCACCACTGAATAGTCGGGCTCTTGGTTTTTGCGGAGCTTCCAAAGCCCAAGAGATGCCGGGTGCAACTGATGCATCGGAAAGCTTGGCAGAACCTCTTCATCGAAGACAACTTCCTGTTCAGTTGCGTCCGATGCGCTTTCGTCCACTTTCGCATTGGCGCTGTGTTGCCGTCTCATAGGAGGAGTTAGTGGTGAAGATGGGGGCGAGTTCGATTGGCACGCCTTCACTCGATTCTCCAGACGATGCATAAAGTCCTGGAATAGATCATCGTCGTATCCATACACTAGATCGCGAGGCGACGCTAATAACGAGCCCTGGGCATCAACCGCGCCCTTACGTTTCTTTTTCATGTTCACCACTTGGCTTTTGACGTGACTTTCTCCTGTTGAGTGATCGCGCTTCTGCTGCTCAAGAAAATCCGTCTCTTCCCATACGTCACGGTAGCTACGACCGCGACGAACAGGAAACTCCACGTACGCGATCGAATCATCGGAAGCATCCGCAAGCATGGCCTCTAATACGGCTCGTTTACTTTCCATACCCGACTTACCGCGCCATGCGGATGGGTTCGCAGCAATAAAATCAGCGTTTTCCTTGCGCCATCGAACTAAGTTGTCTAGGTCGTTCTGCGCTAGAGGGTCAAAATACGCGTCAGCATCCTCCCATCGCCATGGCTCACCTTCAGGAGTGGAAGGATAGAGATGCGAGGCGTCAGCATCAGGATATACAGGTGACGGAGGCGCAGATCCATCCGAGTCGCCGGTGACTCCGTTCTCTCCTGCATGCCCGTTCACAGAGATGCTGAGCTTTTCCTCCAATGCAGGTGATGCAGGCGCACTCTTTTGTTCCTGCTTTGCACCAGTTGTTGCCTTGCTTCGAGGAGCCGAATAACTCAATTTCTTCCGCCGCTTTCGCCTCCCTGCGGTATGGTTCACTGCTGCTTGTGCAGTTGACTCTTCTGCTGTCACCGACGCCGGTGTTGCCGGTGCGGTATCAACCACCGGGTCTTCGGCAGGTGTCGCTGGCGTTGCAGCTGGAGCCTCAGTGGATGCTTCCTCTGTGCTCTCCGATCTTCGAGGTGGGGACTCGAGATGCGGTGGGTCCACGCTTCCATCACTCGAAAAGGGGCAAAGTTCAATTGGCACTTCGTCCTCAGGGAACACCATATCAACTCCAGAGTGAACGGCAGGCGATGGTACTCGTGCCGGCGTCGAATTCGTGGGTCGTGCTTGGTCGCTCCTTGCTGCTTCCACCACTTCAGTCTCATCACCCACATCCTTTTTGTCCACTCCATCAGCACCTTTACTCTCTGGCTGTTTCTCATCGCCCGATACTTCTCCGTCATGTGCCTGTGCTTCTGCATCTCCCTCCGCCTTCTTCGTCGACCCATTCGCCTCATCTTCACGTGCGTCCTCCTGCTCCTTCGCCGTCTCCGTCTCTTCCGTTGCATCCACACGCCTATTCTCCTCCAAAAAATTTCCATTCTCCTCCGACTTCTCTTCTGTAATACCCCCCTGCTGTTCCGCGTCTGCAGCGGCTCTGTTCGCGTCCTGATCTCGCTCCACTTCGCCGCTCTGCGTTCGCCGACGCTTCTTCTTGGGGCTGGGGCTGCCCCACGAGTCCACCATCACGTACTCGTCGTCCGAGCGGAGGCGCTGCGCCTCTTGCTGGTGTTTCTGCGACGCCGGAGCCTCTTTGTTTGCCTCCTGCGAGCTGTGCGCACGCCCGAGCTCCGCCGACTGCTCTTCGGAGGCGCTTGACGCGTCTTTCTGGATCTGCGCGCTGCTCATGCCTCCCATCCAGCACTGCGGGAGATTCTCGCGGTCTTTGAAGCGTCGTCCGCCGCTTATTCTCGCCGACGTGGCCGCCAGCGCTCGCTCCGAGGGCGCGACCGCTTCCGTCCGGTAGGTAAGCGCGGTCCCTTTTGATCGCTCGACTTGATCGCTGAGCAGTGTGTGTGTGAAGTAACATAGTGTGGGCCACAAATTTATATGTGGACCACATTGGTGCTTGAAGTAACATCGACACGACCGACAGTACCGTACGAGTCATGCTATGACAGCTAACGGTCGGTTTAACAATTCATGGCGGCGGTACTTGACCGACTAAGGATTAAGCCAGGGAGTTGTAAGTATGCCATTTAAGCAACGACGACTACGCTCGATAATCTAGAGCAGATCCACCACGTCCGACTTGGCCTTTTTGGCAGCCGCGCCTTCGGCTGCGTCCTCCTGCCTGCTGCGTTTGTGCGCGGGGGCATCCACCGGGTCTACCATCTCAAAGTCGTCGTCGTCCTCCTCGTCCTGGCCTTGGCCGGAAGCGGCGGCCAACTTGAGCGCAGCTTGCTTGGCCTCCTCCTCTTTCAGGTCCGCTGCCAACTTGGCGATGTCACCGCCCAGCGCGAAGAGCTCCGTGGCCTCCTCGCCAAACTCTTTCGCGTCGCGATGCAGTACGCGGATGTTGCAACGAAAATCCTGCGAGAAGTCCTCAACTGATACCGTGGTTTCATGGTGGATGCCCTTGCCAGGGAGGTCCGCGAGCTTCTTCTCCAGGTTCACAGCCAAACTCTCCTCGGCGTCCTCACCTTCTTCGTAGATCGTGTTGGCGCCAATCGAAATGGTGGGCTCGTTCACACCCAGCTTCTTCTTCAGCACTTGCTCGACCAAGTCACGCAGCAGCATGCGGTTGGTGTCGACGGCCAGCTCCACCGTGTGCTTGGAGCACACGTAGCATTGCGGATTCGGCTTCTCAAGATTGGTCGGCTGCAGCAGCTCGCCTTTAGCGTTCCACGAACGGTTGCAGTGCGTGTACTTGCACGCCTCGCCCACGGGCTTGGCGGCCTGGAGAATACGGAACGCTTCCAGCACCTGGAATCCCGCCACGATCGCGTTCGTGGTGGCGATGGCCGGGATAATGTTACCGGCGATGCCCTTGCAGCTGTACAGCGACTCCATCGGGATAGAGAACACGAAGGCGCGCAGGTTTGCCGCCGCAGTCACAAACTCCATAGCGGTGGCGTCGTCCTTGTCGAACTCATAACTGCCCAGGTTGGCGCGCGCCTGCTCGCTGTTCAGGATTCGGACGATGCACGAGACGAAGCGCGTCACGCATTCCGAGACGCTCCACACGTCGCGGTCACTCCAGACCTTTCCGTTTTCCGCCTGCTTCTTGGCCGCAGCGTCGTTCAGGTTGATAGCCTGTACGATATCCGCGCCCACGATCTCCTCCAGCACAAGCGGACTAGGGCGCTTTGCCGCTGTCTTGTACGTCTTCATCTCCAGTCTCTTCTTGATCTCAAAGTCGAAAAGACCGCGAAAGACGCCGCACGCATACTCCTGCAGCTTGCCCACGCCATCGAACTTCATGTTGGGCGAGCGCGTGACGAGGTCCATGAAGGCCGACTTGTCCTCGTTGGCGGGGTCCTCCCACAGCATCGAGTCCTCCGTCTTGCCGAACAGCAGCTTGTAGCACTCCTTGGCCCACACGATGCAGTGCACCATCTTCTCGGGTGTGCTGCGGATGGTGCAGATCGGGTACTGCTTCTGGGTGACCTTGGGCGTGCACTCGTAGCACTCGGTCTCGCCCTTCTTGATGACCGAGACCTGGCCCAGGTAGCCCGTGGTGCCGCTCTCAATGAGCGGCGTGTTGGTGGCCAGACACAGGCGGTTCACGTGCTTGCGGGCGTCCACGTTGTCCAGCGCGTTGAGCACGAGCGCGAACTGCTGGAAGTAGTCGATGTCGAACTGGCTGCTCTTGATGTTGCCGTGGTGCGCCGTGATCTGGGCCTTGGGGTTGAACTCCATGGCGATCTCGCGCGCCACGAGCGCCTTGGACTGGCCCACGTGCTGCGAGCGGAAGAGGAACTGGCGGTTCAGGTTGGACACGTCGATGGTGTCCAGGTCGATGAGGTGGATGTCCACGAAGCCGCTGAGCACCAGGTTCTTGAGCAGCTCGCAGCCGATGCCGCCGGCGCCCACCACGAGGATCTTGGCGCTCTGCACCTTGCCGCGCAGGTCCTCGCCCTGTCACAAGATAGCACAGCGGTCAGTAAGAGGCGACAGCAGGGCAGGAAGAGTAGGTAGAGCGCAGACGCACCAAGGCCGTGGCCAAGCTTCCCGCCATTATCGCTGCTGCAGTCGAACGGCCAAAATGCCGCGGATCTTGGTGTGGCGTCACACAAACGTTACGTGCACCACACCACAACTTGCTGCTGGGCGGAATTCCCCCTTCAAACAAAGAAAAAGGCCAGCGCTCGACCAACTTACCCCCTTCTCCAGCCACAGGACAGTCTCCGTACACCTCTGTCTGCCTGCGGCGTCTTCTCTTCCTCCTCCTCCTTGCTCTTCCGCTCTCTCTCTCTCTCCTCCGGGTAAAAGAGCGGCTCGTTCAACCAATCCCGGGATCGGACGGACGGACGGAGCTGAAACGGCAGGCAGATTGGATTAACTCCTCCCCTTTCGACACAGCAGCATGGAGGCCCAGCAGCAGGACGCGCTGGTGAACGCGATCCGCGCCATCATCGCGCCCCGCGACGTGGCGCGCGAGCGCATCCTGGCGCTGCTGCAGCAGGCGGGCAACGACCCGAACAAGGCCGTGGACCTGTACTTCCAGTCGGAGGCCGCCAACGGCGCCGCGGAGCTCAAGGTCAACGACGTGGAGGGATCCGACGAGGAGGACGGCGACGACATGGCGTGGGCCGAGACGCCCGCGCTGCCGCGGAAGGCGCTGGCCATCGACGACGACGCCGAGTGGACCCCCAAGGCCGAGGAGCTCAGCGGCCTGCTGGGCGGAGAGGTCAAGCGCGACGTCATCCTGGGGTTGCTGAGCCGCACCAACAACAACCTACAGAAGGCGGTGGAGGTCTATTTCTCGGAGAACGGAGCGGACGCCGAGTTTGACGAAGGAAGCGACGACGAGGACGAAGCTGCGACGGCGGCCAAGACGCCGCTGCCCCCGACGCCCAAGAGCACTGAGAACGGGACGGCGCCTCCTCCTCCTGCTGCCCCGATGTCACCGGCTGGGTCCTCCAGGACAGTTTCGCCGCCGTCGGGAGCTGCGAAAACGCCTCAGACGCCGGCGCAGTCGTCCGCTGCGATGCCGCAAGCTCCGTCGGCGCTGACGTCGATCGAGTCGCACCAGTTGACGCCTCTGACGTCGCCTTCCGCGAAGGGTCCCGTTAGCGCTGAAGAGACAAAACCTGCTGCTGTTGCTGAGCAGGCGCCGACGGAAGAGGAGTTGAATGGCCCCGGGACGTATGAAGTGGTGATGTCGAGCAGCAATTTCCGCTGGCAGATCGGGAACGTTTTTGGACGCGCTGTTGTGCAGCAAGTGCAGCCTGGTGGACCGGCGGCGCTTGCTGGTATTCAGAAGTCGGATGTACTGCTCTCATTCCGCGAAACGGTGCTGAACGAGGAGAACTGTGCTGCTGTGGTGCAGCAGTTGTCGAAGGAGGTAAGATTTCTCGCTGCTGCTTGCCATATCGACTCGATCTTTCATGTGTATTAATTACAGTCTGGTTTGTTCAGCGTGTTCTTGTTCCTTCAGCGCTTCGCTTCCGCCGTGCGTCGGACTCGCACACTTCTCAGCAGGCTACTCCCAAATCCAACGGTGTGCCTTCTTCTGTGGCGACTGCATTACCACCTCAAGACGGTGATGGCGATATTGTAATGGCGGATGGTGAAGCAGCAAAGACTCCCGTTGAGCCGAAGTATGGCCTGCAGGTTTTGTGCCAGGCTGTGGAGTCCATGCAGGATGCCGTAGCAGGGCCCTCGGCAGTGGAGTTTAAGATTCTGGTGGACCTGCTTCTGAATTCAGAATTCAGTTTGGACCGCGCGGTGAATACCTTTTTGACTGAGGACCGCATTGTTAGCGACTTCCGTGGCATAATTGGCTTCGATTGGGATCCGGAGCAGCCCATATCAACTGTGATGGGTGCGAACAAACCGTATGCAGCTTCTATTCCTGCGGGACCCCTTGGGCTCACAGTCGAGAATATCTTAGAGCGAACGATTGTTGTGGACATCAAATCTGGAGGTGCTGCTGAACGAGCGAATGTGAAGCGATCGAGTTGGCTGGTAGGTTTGAATGGCGAGCGAGTCACACATTTGACGCATAAGGAGACGCTGCGTTTGATTGAGACGGCTTCGCGACCACTTCAGCTGCAATTGGTTATTGTCCCTCCTGATGAATACAAGGCTCTCCGTAGACAGCTCTCGATGAACATTCGTCAGCAGAAAACGGAGCGTCCAATTCCTGAACAGGACCGAATGTCGTTCCGCGTGTTTCAAATGAAGATTCACCAGGGCGTGCTGTCGTTCCCGAAACTTGTGACCAAGGCTCTCTTCCAGTACCTCAGCACAGAAGAGTATCATCCCCCGACTATGGACCCCCAGTACCCGAATCCGCTGGAGAGATTATTACCGGCAAACGACGCTTGGGATGCTGCACTGTTGGAGGACATTGAGACGATGGAGGAGGAACGCGCTGGCGAAATGTGTGCTGAGCGCCGTTTCTTGCTCAACCTGTTTGCATCCATTCACGACTACGATGACAAGGGCGAAAGCACTGTCATCCGGACGATTCAATTCCTCGGCTGGCTCGCTGTGCGCACGGCGCGGATGCAACATTACGTGGACTCGAAGGAACCTAAGTCGACTGGCGGTGACCGGTCTTGCAGGCGCCATCGTTACGAATTATTACTGGCGGTGGTGCTCCATGTACTCGAGAGTTTGTCGATTATTGAGAATCACGCTACATGGGACGTCATGGTGAATGCGCTCAAGATGCTCATCTTGTCCTTGTACAATGAAGATGTGGACAAACTGCTGGTGCCAATGTTCGCGCGACTTAGCGTCAGCTCGAGCCCAACAGCCAGAATTGTGCCGGTAGCACTCCTATCGATGGTTTATCCGCATGTGCGAGGGGATGTGCGCGTTCAGCTCCGTGGTATGCTTGATCGTATGTGCAACGACGATAACCCGTTGGTTCGCCGCGCTGTAACGTCGGTTATCGGCGACTTGGCTGCAGCGGGTGGCTCTCCTGTGGCCGGTTGGACTGTTCAATTACTTGAAAAGTCGACGGCCGATAGCCATGACATTGTTCGTATATTCGCTGTGAAAAGTTGTATTACCCTGGCCACTACTCTTCGACGCCTACTGCTTGAAGACCAGAAGAAGTCCAAGGAGGAGGCAGACCAGGCGCTGCGTCTGCTGTACTGCCAAATGGTGCCGATGGTGAATACGTACACGTCAGACTCATCGTGGCAAGTGCGGCTGGAAACGGCCCGAACTCTGCCTGCGTTCTGCCGAGCATTTGGTGCCGAGTACACGGACGTCTTTGTCGACCATTTTGTGTCTATGGTCGGTGATCCTACTGTAGAGGTGCGTCGCGCATGTGCTGAGGGCTCTTTTCTTCTAGGCGAGGCACTCCGAGATATCGCTCTGCAGCAAACCACTGCTTCAAGTTCAGAAGACTCAGCTCCTGAGAAGACCGAGCTTGTGGTCGCTGCTCAAGTCAAGTTTGTACGCAGCGTACTGCCCGCGACGTACGCGCTTTCAACTGACGTCTCGGTGGCTGTGAGGCTGTCCTTAGCGCAATCGGTTGGTCGCTCGCTGCAGTACATCGGTAGCAACTATTACGACGAGTTGATTCCGATTTTCACGCAGTTCCTGGACGAAAGTCAAGACCCTACTGTGCGCGCGTCTCTCTTGGAAGAAATGGCGCGCTACTGTGACAGCTCCGCAGAATCTGTGACCGCGATGATTTTCCCGGCCATTCAGGCTCTGCGTACCTCGGTACAGTGGCGAGTGCGTGTAAAGTTTGTTCATTGCGTGGATGCGTGGGCTGAGCGTGAGGATGGCGCACCACTCCCAGGTGACTTTGCCGATGCGTGTTTGGAGCTGTTGGGCGACGCGGTTCACGAAGTCCGAGCAGTGGTGTGTGAAAAGCTTCCCTCCCTGGGGAAGTCGTTAGGTAGTGAGTGGGTTGCTGAAAAGTGCGTGCCTCGTGTGTCTGTGTGCCTTCAATCCACGTTCCACGGGCGACTCACCGGTTTGCTAGCAGTGGAGCTTCTTGCTCCTGAGCTGCAGCACATGGATAAGTTGCGGGACGTGGTCGAGACGGTGGTGGAGCAGTGCACATCCACGACAGCGAACCTGCGCTTCCGTGCGCTCCGCACTCTCGGGTTGATCGTGCCGCGGCTGAACGATCCTAGCACGACCGAAAGGATTCTAGAGATCGTCCGTCCTCTCGCTCACGCTGAGACGGAAGCTGATCCCGACGTACGCGAAGCTGCAGAAGCGACGCAGACGCTGTTGGAGGCCGTGCTGAACTAGTAAATCAATTCACCTTAAAAAGCTCAAATTTATCCCGGCCGGCTTGAAGTATACACTCCCCCATTCTTCTTCATTTTAAGACGGACCTGTCAAGCTTTTCTTTTTTAGACGACTGTTCTTATGATTTTCGTCTTGCTTCCGGGGCCTCATTTGCTAATCGCCTGGGTAGCAATGAGAGGGGTACCAGAAGTCCGTCCGCTTGGTGGCAACTGGCTGAGTCGTACTCGCTTTCGCTCGCGCTCGGAAAGAAAAGTTTCCGCAAGTCAAGATCACTCCCAGCAATCTCTGGAAGACGAAAGTCGCGCCAGTGTGCAAAATGTGCAGCTTACCCCCGTGAAAGCGATCATCTCGAAGGATGCTGGCCTTGCATGGCTCTCGGCAAACCTGCTTGTGCTGATGTACTTTTTCATTTCGTTGGCACTCCTAGTACTTCTGGTGTACTTGAGCTTCTTCGCAGCGTCAATGGAGGACGGGAGCGCGCCGGACTTTCTGAGCTGCCGCTCGTGGGGCTTCGGAACGTCGTGTGGGTTGTGGGGAGTCGACTGTCGCCCGTTTGAATCCGACTGGAATGCCTTCCGGTGCCCCACGCGCTGCACTTTAGGTATGTTAACTTCTTGCCACCACTTAATCTCAAACTTTGGCTAACTATTCCTCAAGATCAATCATCATCACTTGCTGTGTATGGTTCTAGCCCCTATAGGTACTGTTTCCTTCTCAGCAAGCATCTCCACGCTACATGATGAATGCTAATGTTTTCTTTTCGTGACGCAGAGCCGATTCAAGAATCTGTCGAGCAGCGGTTCACGCTGGAGTTGTTGGACCCAACGGTGGTTGTGCGTTTTATCGATTTGCGGGTAAGTCCATTCTACCCTTTGTGTTTCCATGTTTACGGAAGATTATTCTGCTCTTGATGTGATTGTAGGTGCGGCAAATGCATTTTACTCATCCACTGCAAACGGGGTGACAACTACCGAGTTCTTGTCCTGGTTTCCCAAAACTATCGAGTTCAAAGAAGCATCCAGCGCCTTCTGCAGTGATCTATCGTGGTGGATTCTCGGGGTTGGATTTACTGCCATGGCAGGCTTTGGTCTCCTGCCTCGCATCCGTCCTGTCATATTGTTCTACTCGCTGGTAGCGTGGGGCTTCTTTTACGTTCGCCTGGTCGGACAGCCCTCGAGTCAAAATTACGCAGGCATCTCAATAGATTCTTACGGCGAGGTGATGGTTCTGCTAGCAGCGAGCAGTGTGGCGTATCGAATGGCAGCGTCGAAAACTTTTCGAGGATGGAAAGCGTTGTCGCTGAAGAGACGAGTGGTGATGTGGGTATTTTGCTACATTGTACCATTCCACGTTATGATCAACATGAATCTCATCGGATACGTCCCATGGCTAAACGTTGACCTTGGCGGTTTTGAGGAAGTGAACGCTAATGCCGGCACGTACGTTGTTTTTACTATCGTCGGCATTGGAGCGGTGTTTTTGGCCTTCACTCTCTTCCAAAGCTTGTATCGTGCCGGGAGATGGAAGAAATGTATGGTGATGTACGTGGTAATGGTCACATCGGTGCTCGTGTCGTGGGCACTCTTTCCATCGACCTCATTCCATTTACACCACACCATGCTGGGTGCATTCATCATTCCCATCACGGCTTTCCAGACGCCATCAGCAGCGTTTTCGCAGTCAACAGCGTTAGGTTGCTTTGTACAGGGTTACGCTCGGTGGGGCTGGTACTCCTATCTCGACACGATACGTACGTAAATGTTGCATTTGAACTTGGTGAAAAAAGTCGTCACTGAACTACATGTAAACATTTTTTCGTTTTGTATGGTAGCCACCTACATGACGATTAGTGTTCCAAAGAACCCGCCAAACACGACCAATGTAACTTCATCTCAAGCGATTGTTCTGTGGGAACAATTGGAGTCTGTCGAAGCCTACTCCCTTCGGCTTAACCGCGTGGAGGTCTATCGTGGTTTGGACACCTCGGCAGTCATCTCAAATCTGGAGCCAAACATGACATACTTCGTCGGCGTCGCCGGAGTGGCCAGCTGGGGCACGGATGGTCGAGTCGGCCCTCTATCAAACTTCACGACGCTCGAAATGTAGAATGGGAGATCTAGCTATCTAAACATGCGTTTTGCATTTCACACAATCATCCTGTTCAAGGGAAATGGGTACTTTTTGTGTCCCTGAAACATACTTTAGGTCATTTTCTAATGGAGGCGAAGTGTGCACTTCAGTTGGGCATCGCACAGCTGCACAGCTCGGCAGTGGCCTACGACGCGCAGACTCGCGGCTATAGAGTGGCTCATGCGAGTTTCAGTCGTGTTCAAGTGATGGGGGTGCTCGTGAAGCGGGCTGACACGCAGCTGAAGCTTGGTTAGTTGGGAACAATGATAACTTGCACATTGATCCCAGAGTACCTAAATACAAATTTGTGCTTGGATTGATACTACAGACGACGGAACGGGCTTGCTGGATGTGAAGATGCTGCCAAGTGGAAACACAACTGAGAGCCAGGAACTGCAGCTTGGGGCATTGGTAGGGAGCGTGGTGTTTAGTTTTATTGAGAGGAGGTTTTGAGTCTTATCGTTTGATACCAGGTGGAGTGCACGGGGACCATCGAGGAACCATGGCCGCCTTCGGATATGACGCGCAGTCGACGCTGGATCAATGCAACGCAGTCAGTATCTATGTAGGAGGATCGTCAACCTTGGAATTAAGCTGACGAGGCTGACTGATTCTTAAACAGCGTTCACGAAGTGCACGACCGCAACACGGAGACGCTCAGGATGCTTGAGATTATGCATCTGTACGTATTGGCAGTGTTGTTCGGTACATCAGCTTCTAGTGATCCCTACATTGTGGTGGTGTGCGTGCACGTGACGTAGATACAAAAACGACTACGCGGTTCATCATTCTTCTCCGCCTGCTGCACTTGAGCTGCTTGCGTTCCCATCGCTTGGCAACAGCAATGAAGCGGCCAGCTCCAATACAAGTGCTGCTAATGGTCATCAACGTACAAATGGCCAAGAACCAAATCAGTTTGGCGCCGCGACTCTAATCGAGAAACCGTGGGAGCAGAGCAATGTCGGCGCTTTTCATCAGGAAGCCACTCTACCCCCTGCGGACTATCAGTTCGCACTCCCCGAGAAAGACCAGGCATTGATCGAGCAAGGAGCGAAATCGCTTGAGATTCGGTACGTGGATGAATAATTGCCAGCATAATCATATCTTCATCGCTAATTCGTATTCACTGCGCAGGTTAAACGTCACCCCTTACTCCATCATTCGTGCGAATGACCGGATTACCATTAACGGGAAAACATTGACTGCCGTCGTGGCGGTTCGCAAGTACTCGCGACTGCAATCCGTGCTGGAAGCAGAAAATGTGAACGCGCTACTGCCGCAAAGCTCCTTCGTAGGAGCCGGTACTTTCAATGCAGCGGCTGCGGCGGAGCGCCATTATCGCCATTTCTTCAGCAAGGAAGAGGAGGAGCAGTACGGTCTCGTCGTGTTTCAACTGGCGGTGCCCATGTCAGCTTCATCTGCACCCAAGTCACAGGAAGAATGGAGCGGTGCGTTTGTGTTGCACCCTCAGTTTTATCTGGTCTTCATCTACCTAACTTCTTTGCGTTTTGTGGACTTGTCAGGAATGATTCTGCAGCAGTTGCAGGCAAAGAGTGATACCGGCTGCTCAGTTGCAGACCTTCGTTTTGCCTTTCCTAGCTTGCCGGTCGATCAGATCATGGAAATCCTTGCAAATGTAAGTCATTGCCGTGCCAATTCGCAGAAAAGAGCACTTCTGACGATTTTCTGTGTACTTGCTCCCTAGCTCCAGTTCGATGCTTTGGTCGTTTATATGAACGATAAGTACCGTTTGGTTTAAGTGGGTAATGCGTAGCTCCATACGTAATGTACTTCATTTGGCTTATTTTAATAAGCCAGCTTTAAAAAATTAGTTCGAATCATGATTCTGGATCCACGGGTGCTTGGCTGCATCGGCCAAGCTCATTCGGTCTCTAGGCTTCCGTTTGAGCAGCCCCGCAATAAAGCTCTTTGCGTCCTCAGAGACGAGCGGGCTTGATGGAAACTGGTAGTCCACAAGTTCAATTTTCTTGTACATCTCCATTTGGTTCTCGCTGTAGAATGGCGTTGACCCGACCAACAGCTCATAAGTGAGTACACCAAGACTCCACGAGTCGGTCCGATAGTCGTATGACTCTCCCATCACCATTTCTGGACTGAGATAGTCCGGAGTCCCGCAAAACGTCTTACGGAGATTGTAGGGCTTTGGTGCGTGTACTGACCACCCGAAATCAGCAAGCTTGATGGTTTGGTTGTGTCCAAGTAGAAGGTTTTCAGGCTGCAAAGCATGACGACGTTAGAGCTTAGCAGTACCCAGATATAATGCCAGTCAGAGTGAGCTTACCTTGATATCTCGATGAATCACGTTGCAACTGTGGCAATACCTCAGTGCTTCGATTACTTGGGCCACGTAGCGGGCAGCCACAGCGTCAGCAAAGAATTTTTCTTTGGCCAACTCTTTATAGAGTTCTCCATACGGTGCATATTCAAGCACGAGATAGACGCATGAGTCGTCGTAGAAGTAGCCGTGCATGCACAGAACATTTGGGTGGCGAAGGCGTGCTTGGATTTCGACCTCGCGCTTCAAGTTGTTAACACCGCCGTCGCGCGTCAGAGGGGACTTGAACAGAACCTGTGAAATCGGTGTCAGTAAGTATCATCATCACACATGGGACGGTAAGGTTCACCTCGAGCAAGCGTACCTTGAGAGCAACAGTGACGTTTGTGCATTTCTCCTTTGCCAGGTACACGTTTCCGAACTTGCCTTGGCCCAAATTCTTCGTCACTATGAAGTCGTCCATTTCCCATTTTGTGTTCCCACTCAACCTCTCGCTGATAGATTGGACTGGCTTGGAATCGTCAAGTGATGCGCGGCCTGAAATGCTCTTTCGAGATGCCCTTCGTTCGATACTGGTTCTCATTGGTTTCTGCGCAGGGTCCACAGGAACTCGGTCCGGTAAAACCAACTTCCTCTCAGTTCGAGAGATCTCCACGCTACTTTGTGCTGTCTCCTGCGCGTCTGCGATCGTAGCATGTAGTGACAACGGGTCCTGTGTCTCCTCTTTCAACTGCATCACGGAGTTGGATGACTCCAGGGCACCGCTGCTTCTTCCCGAATCCGAGTGCGGCACACGAAGTGCCGTTCCAATACTTCCAAGCGAGATCGTCTCTCTTGAGGACGCACTTCCCTCCTCTTTAACATCAACATCAAGCAGTTCCCGGGCTGCGTTGTGTGGTGTCACTGCATGCACCGACGCAGCTACACCTTCGTGACTTTTCCTTTGTCGAGATGTCAGCACACTCACACGCCTAGGCCCTGGTATAAGTTCCGGCGTCGCGCCCTCCAAGTCTCCATCCATCCCGCCATCATCGCTCTCATGCTGCAGGAGCCGCGTGGGCGTCATCACTCGCTGCGCCCCACCGGCCAATGACGGAGCGTTGGAAGCCGGGGAAATGTAGCTTCTCCGCCGCTTCTTGCGCTGTTTGACTGACACGACGTCACCGCTATCTTCCTCGGATACTGTAGCTGCGCTGCTCATTGTCTTGGACGCCGGGGTCTTGGGTTCGTCATAGATCTGTCGCTCCTGCGTCTCGTCCGCCGTCTCCAGCTCTCGGATCGGCACGAGGCCAGCAGGTTCGTCCGACACGCGACGTGGAGCAGCTGGCGTCGATGGCGGTGGCATCTCGCGCTGCTTTGGGGCCACACGCGTGCGCACTGGGGCTCCTCGAGTGATTCTGCCGGTACTGGTTGTGATAGCAGACATTCAGGTTAGTATTGTCACACTTGGGAATGACTGGCTCCAGTTGCGTATTGTACCTGTGGGCGAGCACCCGGCGCGCAGGACGAGCTGTCTTGGTGGCCTGCTGCTCCTTCTGGCGCCGCTTCTCCTCGCGCCATCGCTCCAGCGCTAGGCGCCGACTATCCGCCATCGTCGCTGTGATGGCGGGAAGTTCAAAACTGGTTGATGTTCATTTCTATTGGGTAAATGTTGATTTCTAATTCCGTTTCTTACCTATTGTGAATATTGCATTAGGTAGAAATGGAAAGTGGTATCCATACGAGCAAGAAGTTCTTCTTGTTCTTCTGAAGAACAGTTCTTCAAAAACCACTGCAACTACGTTGCAAGAAATCGTAGTAGCATGAACCACCTTAGATATAGTGGTTCACATTTCTCCTACTAGGGCTTCGCGAAGGCTGGGATAGGATTGGTTAACTCACCTTTGATCGCCATTGATAAACTCAATCCGCACGCTCCACGGGCATCTCCTGCGCCTGCTTCGCAGCCGCAGAATCTGCCCGACAATGTATCGCCGCTATGGTCACGACGTACAACCGATTTCAGAGCAAAATCAATGACGAATCTAACTCGACGAATTTGCAAATGAACTGGAGCAGCCTCCATCATTCTTGAGACGGCTAAAACACTCGGTCAATAGACATCACTTACTGTAAATTGACCTAAAGACGTTACCGGTTCATCACCGGTGTCGATTGGACGGGGGGACATCGCCCATTGGTTCAAGTCCAATAGTAGGTATTATTTATTATGAGGGCTATCAGCACTTCGTCGCTTCCTATCCCAGTATAATAAATGGACTTGTTCCTAAGGATCAGCACACATGAACTACAACCGTAGGAGCACGTTCTGTAAGAAACGAAAAGACTGCATTATCGTTATCGGTATGCACTCCGACCTAACCTGCTGGTCGATCGGACATCAATTGCAACTCCACCCTCCGCTATGGTCCCATGCAGTAAATCACAGGCGCGACTTGGCACCAGACTCTCGCGCAATTTCGTCGCGGATCGGGCGCAGCAACTCGTGCAACGCCACCTTGTCCGACGAGTGGTTCAGCGGGTCGTGCTGCGCAGACTCGTACAGAGCCTCGTACACGTTCCCGTCGTAGCGACCCAGCGTCGAGTTCAGCGTGTGGTCCGAGAAGTTGAAGCCGTCCACCAGCGTCACGGCGTGCGGGCGGATGAGCGCGAGCAGCTCCTCGATGTTGGCCCGGATAATCGGCATCTCGCTGGGGAAGACGCACCCGCCCTCCATGAACTCTCCGGCGGTGGCTTCCAGTTGCGTGAGCGCGAAAAGCCTGCAAAGCATCTGAAGCACCGGCACAATTTCCGGGTTCGACAAGCGTTCCTTGGTCAGAGTCGAGGAGGAGCGAACGGCCTCCACGAAGTTGTCCACCAAGACGAGATACGTGTAGGCGTTCGACAGCTTGTAGCAGTGCATCGAGTTGTTCTGGATACCGGCGGCGACGGATGGCTCGGATGCAACCTTGGTCACAAGACCACGGAGCGAGTACAGGAAGCGCTGCTGGAAAACGTCGATGTACGTGTCGAGCTCGAGCCATTGGTCCTTGCCCCGAGGCTGCGCACGCGACGGCTTTCCGATGTTTGCGATAAACTGCATCGCTGCCGGGAGGCGTCCGCTAGATTGGAATTGGCCATGCACTTTCAACAGCGCGCGAGCAGTCTTGTCATACAGAAGGGTGCTACGTGTCAGTCACGTGGGCCAAGCAATGGTGCCTGAACAAAGGCAAATTAATGTGCTACCAACCTGCTGACAGATGACAAAATTTTCGCCTTCTGCGGTCACCATTTGTAGGATATCGCCGAGGAGAACAGGCAGGCCACTAGACAGCAGGTAACCGTGTCCGCCGCATGCCTAAAAGATAACAGCGTACATGTCAGAATTCCAGACCGAATAGGTCCGCTTCGAGGAGTAACTTCTTACCCGACGGCAAGTCTCAATGCCACCGCACGCCATTTCAGACGTCAGCACTTTGAGTCCACAGCTCATCGCGTGCCCCACAAGCAACATGCTCAGGTCACCGTGCTTGATCTGATCAGCGAGCTGCAGTGAGAAGGCATCCACTTGGTTGCCTACAACGACAGAAAACATTAGCTGATCTAACTATCGTTCACCAATTCCCACTGAATAGCAGCTTACCGGTGAGAGTGATGGCATACGCCGCCGCAAGCAACGGGAACAAACGATACTGCTGCGTCTGGTAGTCCAGCACACTCAGCTCTTCCTTCGAGTCGGGTTTGTTGGCGTCGTACCCCTGTTGGCGCACAGCCGAGTAGCGAATAGTGATCGTGCAGGCTTTCGCCAGTGCAAGGCCACTCGACCGAATGTACGACATGCGGGTCTGCAGCATGGTGAAGTACAGCACCTCCTGAGGAACTCCCGAGTTCTTGACGTACTTGCCGTCACGAGTAACAGTGGCAACACGCATGCCCATTTGTTCACGAGGAATCCGCACGTGGTCGAATGTGCAGTACCCGTTGTCCACATTGTTGAAGCCGATCTTCGGACCAATGTCGCCCAGCGTCACGCCCGGCATCGCGTCGTGCGTCTCCAAGTCACGCAGCTGCACCATGAAGTTGTGCACGCCATAGTCCTTGCCCCCGAGCAGCAGTCGCGCGTACACCACTCCGAAGTTGGCCGTGCGAGCCAACGCGCCCGGCCACCACTTCATGGACGTCAGAGTGGGCGAGTGGATCTCGAACTCGTCGGTGGCGGGGATGTACGTGGCGGTGGTCTCGAGTCCGCGCACGTTGGATCCGTGGCCGAGCTCGGTCTGGGCGTAGCATCCGATCATGCGCCACTGCTTGGCCATGTCCATCCACCGCGCCTGTTGCTCGTCCGTGAAGAGCAGCCCCAGGTTCTTGAAGAACATCCCGGTGTGCAGTGCCGTCGAGGACGGACAACTCGTAAAGCCCTGAAGGACCACATGCAATAGCGCTGTGTCCTCCTCACTGAGCTTGTTGCGGTGGGCGATGATCTCCGCGCGACCAGCCATCTGCGTGGCGCGCTTGTACTGCTCGCCGCGAGTTAGGTAGTTCATCTTCTCATGGTTGAAGACAGGGTCTTGAACCAGCAACTGCTCCAGCCACTCGAGCTTCTCCACGTTGCTCTTGCTCTGGTGCAGCACGTACGCGAGCGCCCTCGCAGGCACGCGACTCTTGCGGCGCTCGGCATCCAACGGGGACGTCATCTTCAGGAAGGGTGCAAATCACTCGCGAATTGAGGAATGAGCTCCACGTTCCGAGCTGGTGGTGTTTACTCGACACGCACGTGATAATTGAAGTTTGTCACGTTGAAGCTGATCGATCATGTGCGAGCCTCAGGAAAGCTGGAGCGCCAATGATTTCATGTTGAAGCTCGTTTGGAGACGGTAGTATCGTCGATATCGTTTTCTCGTTCATCATCAATCGATATAAGCTTCATTCGTCACGAAACGCAACGTTTGCCATACAAGTTCAGGCTGTACTGCAACCAACAGCCTAGTGCCGTCGCTACTCCTACAGTCGCGACTGCGAAAGCTCGTCACGGATCGGGCGCAGCAACTCGTGCAACGCCACCTTGTCCGACGAGTGGTTCAGCGGGTCGTGCTGCGCAGACTCGTACAGAGCCTCGTACACGTTCCCGTCGTAGCGACCCAGCGTCGAGTTCAGCGTGTGGTCCGAGAAGTTGAAGCCGTCCACCAGCGTCACGGCGTGCGGGCGGATGAGCGCGAGCAGCTCCTCGATGTTGGCCCGGATAATCGGCATCTCGCTGGGGAAGACGCACCCGCTCTCCATGAACTCTCCGGCGGTGGCTTCCAGTTGCGTGAGCGCGAACAAGTGGCACAGCAGGCGCACAACGTTGATGACTGCCGGCGACGACAGGAACTCGGAGGTCAGCGTCGATGGGGCTTGAACAGCTTCGGTGAAGGTCTTGACGATCACCAAACTGGCGTAGGAGTTGGTCAGCTTCAGCGTGTCCATCGAGTTGTTCTGCAAGCCGGCAGTGACAGAAGACTCCGCTGAAATCTTCTTCACGTAGGAGCGGAGCTGGTAAAGGAAACGCTGCTCGAAAGCAGCCACGTATGCCTGAGGCTCCAGCCACTGCTGCTTCGTACGAGGCGTAGCAGTCGGCAGCTTGTCAATGTTGGCCAGAAAAGCCATAGGCTCAGGCACCTTGCCCGTCTTCTTGTACGACGTCAAGATCTTCAGCAGAGCTCGAGCAGTCTTCAATTTTATATACACACGTAGACGTTTGTATTAGATTATGAAGGGAGTCAGTCGGTTCATGCACGAAATGCCAATAGCCGCACAAACCTGGATCGAAAGCACCAAGTTGTCGCCTTCAGTCGTGACAGTCTGCACGGCGTCGCCCAGCAAAATCTATACGAGACAATAGCACAAAGTTTAGTCGATACGTTTACCTTCATGAACATCACGTGCTGCGTGTTTACGAACCGGCAAACCTGCACAATAACAGCAACAATATTATCGTGAGAACTCCGCATGAGTGCGAGGTTAAAGGCAATCGTAAGCTTAGCTTACCGCTCGAAAGTAGGTAGCCGTGACCACCACAAGCCTAAGAAGTATACAAAACAGCACCGCAACAACTGTCAGCGACACCAAGTACAAACATATTGTAGACTAGACACTCCACGTACCCGACGAGCCGTTTCGATGCCGGCAGTGGCAAGATCCGTCGTGAGGACCTTGAGCCCGCAGCTCATGACGTGACCCACAGTAAGCAAACTCACATCTCCACTCTTCGCCTGCTCCGACAGTGAAGCCGCAAACTCGTCAACGCGGTTTCCTGTAGCCCCACCACAAAAGAAATCCATTGTTAGAATCATAGCCACTGCATGATCATCATTGCATTCAGTGAATTTCCTACCCGTCAGCACAATAGCATACGCCGCAGCAAGCAGCGGGAACAGACGATACTGCTGCGTCTGGTAGTCTAGCACACTCAGCTCCTTCTTGGACTTCGGGTTGTTGGCGTCGTAACCTTGCTGGCGAACAGCCGAGTAGCGAATAGTGATCGTGCACGCCTTTGCCAAGTTGATACCAGCCGAGCGGATGAACACCATCCGCGTCTGCAGCATCGTAAAGTAGAGCACCTCCTGAGGAACGCCCGAGTTCTTGACATACTTGCCGTCACGGGTGACCGTCGCGAATCTCATGCCCATGTTTTTGCGCGAGATGCGAACTCGGTTGAACTTGCAGTACCCGTTGTCCACATTGTTGAAGCCGATCTTCGGACCAACGTCGCCCAGCGTCACGCCCGGCATCGCGTCGTGCGTCTCCAAGTCACGCAGCTGCACCATGAAGTTGTGCACGCCATAGTCCTTGCCCCCGAGCAGCAGTCGCGCGTACACCACTCCGAAGTTGGCCGTGCGAGCCAACGCGCCCGGCCACCACTTCATGGACGTCAGAGTGGGCGAGTGGATCTCGAACTCGTCGGTGGCGGGGATGTACGTGGCGGTGGTCTCGAGTCCGCGCACGTTGGATCCGTGGCCGAGCTCGGTCTGGGCGTAGCATCCGATCATGCGCCACCGCTTGGCCATGTCCATCCACCGCGCCTGCTGCTCGTCCGTGAAGAGCAGCCCCAGGTTCTTGATGAACATGAGCGTGTGCAGCGTCGTGGACGCCGAGCAGCTCGTGATGCCCTGGAAGATCAGGCGCAGCTGCTCCGTGTCCTCGTCGCTGAGCTTGTTGCGGCGTGCGATGATCTCCACCCTGGCCGACATCTGCATGGCGCGCTTGTACTGCTCGCCGCGGGTCAGGTAGTTCATCTTCTCGTGGTTGAAGACAGGGTCCTGGACCAGCAGCTGCTCCAGGCGCTCGAGCTTCTCCACGTTGCTCTTGCCCTTGTGCAGCACGAAGGCGAGCTCGCGCGAGGGCACGGGGCTGCCGCTGCGTTCGGCGTCGAGGAGGGACGGCATGGCGGGCGGTGGGTCGAAGGACGACGGGAGACTTGGGAGCGACTCGGTCGATCCGGAAATGCTTCAAGGCGAGGAGGACTTTGGCCTGGTGTTGAGTTGACATGATGGGTAGAAACGGTACACTTCATGGAATCTGCTTGTGTTGTGCACAAAGATCACTTGGAACTTCCAAGTTGGATGGCTGCGATAGTCGATAGAATGGTGCCTGAGAGCAAAATGCCCAATACCAGCGGATTGGAGCTTTACGAATCGCACGGTTTGCCTTGGAGGCATTGCTGCAAGCAGCGGGCAAACAAGAGCTTCGGTTGCATGGAAACGGTCTCGGCTTCCCGGCGGAAACGATGTTACATGTACATGTTGAAGGCAACTTGTTGACACGACAAAACTTCGATGCTGTCGGTGCTGGCGCGACGTGGCGTTGATGTCAAGTCGACGCATGAGCACCTTTGAGCATTGAAAAGGGAAAATAGTCTAATGGTTTGATTGACAAAAGCGCGTACTGAACTGACACGACTTGAGAGTACTGCTCAGTTGAACTCCAGCAACTCCTGCGCGTCCAGGGTGCGTTCTCGGAGCTTCTTGGACGACTTCTTTGCATAAGAGGACCGTGAATAAACGGGGTAGTTATAAACACTGGCCAGCCCACTTTCTTCATCTTCGTCGCCTGCTATACTCTTGGCGCTGTAGCTGATGTTGCCTGCTGGGTTGCATCCGTTGGAAGTGGAGGAGATCACTGCCGAGCTTGACAAGTCGCTAAGACCGTCGTGCAAACCACCACCTAGCTGCGGTAGGTAGCGCGGCAAGGTTTGCTGGGACAGCAAGACTTGTCGTGATACCGGTCGAACCATAGCGATACCGACACCCGAAGGGAGCCCTACGTTCGTCGAGGACGCAGAGTCACCACCGTACGACGTCTTCTTTTTGCTGCCTCCACCACTTGTACGCTTTGGGAGGTGATTTCCACCTTTCTTACGGCTCTTACGGCGTCCACTTAGGGTGCTCATCTGCCCACCATCATCGTCCTTAGGTGCTGCACATTCGCCTGGTTGCCATACCGCTGATACCGAAATACCCGAGATGTCTTCTACCGAGTCCGTCATCTTCCTCAAACTGCTGCTGCTCGTCGTGTGGCCGCTTCCACCTCTTTCATCCTTTCGATTTCGTCTGCTTCCCGACCGACGCTTATCTTTTGAAAGCGCTGGATTCTTCTCCTCAGCTTTTGCTACCCCTCGACTGGACATCCAGCACTTGCTACGCCCAGTTTCATAAGGCTCTGAAGGCCAACGAGAAGCTCCAGAAGCAATATCATCGTCCATCGTTGTGGATCCTGTAAGCTTCTCGCCCAAATTGAGCTGTAAAGCCTTGAACTCGGAGGCCATGCTTGTAGCGGACGCTGAGAAACAATTGGATGCGCTAGGTTCGACTGAGGCGGAATATGACAGCCCCTCGAAGTACGGGTGCTTCAGACACTCTTCACTCGTGAATCGGTCCTCTGGGCATAGCTGGATTGCCCCCTCTAGAAAACTTATGGCCTTCTTGGACACGCGTCCGCAATATCGCCGAGATAACGTTTCAGGGACCTTCACTTCGGGGATTTTCAGCCCCGAGAAGCGAGGGTTTGTTGCAAACAACTCCATGTGTCGTTTCTGCAGTGGGCCAAGCATTTTCTGGATCAAGTATAGCTGATCAATCTCACTTTCTCCAGGAAACATTGGCTGGCCTTCGATAAGTTCGCCCATGATGCACCCGATAGCCCAGATATCCACAGACCTGGAGTATTTGGTATCGCCAAGCAATAATTCTGGGGCGCGATACCATCGTGTTGCAACGTATTCAGTCAAGTCACACACATTTCCATTGCTAGGGACGGAGCGCGCAAAGCCGAAGTCACACAGACGCAGCGAGTGTTCACCGTTGGATGTGTTTACGAGCAAATTTTCAGGCTTGATGTCGCGGTGCACCACATTATTGGTGTGGCAGTAATGAATTGCGCAGCACAACTGGAATATGTATGAGCGCACGAGCTCACTGTCGACACCGTTTGGTTTGTCCTCCAATACCTCCAGGAGATTCTTCTCGACGTACTCGAACACAAGGTACAGTCGACCTTTCCGGCGGAACGCCTCTTTGAGAGCAACGATGTTGCCGTGCTTGAGAAAGCGCAGCATCTTCACCTCACGCAACGTCGTCTTGCGCACCATGGGGTCGTCGTCCTCGTTCTCTTTGAACTTTTTGATAGCCACCGTCTCGTTGGTCTCTTTGTTGTGACACTTCAGCACTACGCCATACGCGCCCTCTCCGATCACGCCGAGCACTTCGTACTTGTTCATCGCTGCAGCTACCTACTTCCGTGACTTGGACAAACGAAAGCCTGAGCAAGTTACGATCCATAGCGCTGCTGTCACTCAGCAGCATCGTTTTTAGAACGCAACCTCAGGCAAAAATACCACGCAGATTGGTGTCCGTTTCAGCAGCAGCCTCGTACTTCAACGTCGAGCGGCCAATCTGCGCGACAACCCCGCGTTTTGATAGTTTTCTGGTCAAATCTGGGAGTATATTTGTCGCTGGTAATCGGATCGGGATGTTCCAGCTGATGACAACGTGCTAAAGGAACTGATATTGCAGGATACCTCGCGCAGCAACTGCAACAACCTTGGTCAACCCACTCTTCCATTCTTGTTGCTTGATTCCTCTTGCAGCGATTCTTCGCTCTTGCGCTTTCTCTTTTGCTTGCGTTCAGGGACCCATTCTAGGCCTTGCGCCATCGCTACTTTCCAGCTCATGTATTCCGCGATGGATGCCTTCCACCTCTGCTGCAGATAGCGATTAAAATGTTCATGCACGTATGGATACATGTCGTCATACGGGTTGTTTGGGTCCAGTGGGGGGAGAGGTCGAGGAGCAGGTGGAGGGCCCGGTACCGGGGGCGGGGGATGTGGGCGCTTTAGCAAACCCTTACTTCTCTTGTAATGATGCTCCAGGGTCTTCGCGAGTTGTGTGAGCGTAGCATTCGCCTTGGCCTTGCTGTCTAATCCGCCAACTGACGCCTTAATACACTGCCCACCCTCTAGCGTCGTTGCGTATTGTAACTTATACGCAGGACTGCCGTGCACGGGATTGGCCTTCACTGACAATCGGATGGAAGGAGGAGAAGCCGCCACCGGCGCTTCCACAATGTCGCTCTTCTTCTTCCTTGTTCGCCTTTTCGCTTTCCCATTCCTCTTCTTGGATGAAGTCTGGTCCGCTTCAGCATTCGGCTTGGATGTAGTCCACGCAGATTCAACACTTGGTCCTTTTCGAATGGCACCAGTAGCGGTGAAAAAGGGGATGACGATAGCGCTTCGAATCCATTTCTCCAGATCATCTCCGTGCGCCTCGGAGTCGAAACCTTGAGGCTGCGTTGACACAAACGCATCGAATATCATGGCTGTTATCTTCTCCGGCAGAGTTTCGACCTTTTCCAGTGTATCTAACGGGAAGTACGACTGGAAGAGCTGCCAGTTGAAGCCTACAAGGAGCTCCCTCGTGAAGGCTTGGACACTTTCTTCCGTCGGGGGGCACACCGCTTGTTGTTTCACTACGGTATCTTCAATCAGCTGTGCCATGTACTCCTCAATAACAATACTACCAGCGACGGCAGCGGAGTCTTCGAATGTTCCGATAAGCTCCCCCACATTCGATGTCTTGATACTTGCCATATACACAAAAAAGTCGACCAGTTCCTGTAGGTATTAACAAACAAATTAGAACCGTATCATCCAACGAAAATCTCACTATGCCTTGCACGTACGTCAGATGGCATCGTCGCATTCCGGTCTGGGCAACATTATTGTGCATTGCACACAAATACGATTAGAATCATCTATCGGACAACCATGCGTCCGACACCCAGTAAAACGTACCAACTTCAAATGCGAAGTTCTCCAATCCACGCATGAGTTCGAATAGCATCGCATCGCTCGAATACTGGCGACACAAGCAACACAAAGGTTAGCACTACGTTAGCTTTCGATGCTTCAGAGAACTTAGTCAACACTGAAAATAGGACACAAACACGTACCGCTGAATATTCTCTCCTGCAAATGGTGCCACTCCGTGGTTCAATGGTCTCCAGTAGAGTGTTCCCCTCAGAACGATGCAATGGGTGATAAGACGCAGGGTGGAATACGGGATTAAACATTCTCCTCACCATCGTCCGCGGAACCACACTTTCAGTACGTGGTGGTAAAATTTCAGTGCCTGGTCCATCGTCGACTCCATCGTCCCACTCATCTTCCAGACCTTCGTCACCAAGGAATGTCGAGATCTTCTTGGTGCGAAAAATATTGTCGCTTGAAGGGAATCCGGTAGCTCTCTTAATGCGTCGGACACGCTCAATTTCCTCCAAGGCCTTCTCTTCCTTTTCCTTCGTTACAGTCGCACCTCCATGCCGGTTCGCAAGCACGAAACAGTTGCATGCTACCTTCTCCTCTTCTTCCGTCAGCTCCACTTCAAGTTCAGGATGCCGTTTAGTCCACAACAATTTTTGATGGAGTACGCAGCGACAGTGACTGAACCCTTGAGGCTGTCGACAGCCACGGCAAAGTTTGCAACGCGCCGTCGGGTCGAAAAGTATGCAGCTGCATGCTCGAGACTCCTGGCACAGGGCACGACGCTGGCGTACGGCTAATCCACAGATGCAGTGGAGCTCCACGCACCTGCTGCAGCACGCACAAGCTTCAGAGCTCGAGCAACCACAGCGCGGGTGAGACCGAGGCTCCGGTTTACGTCCCACTGGCACGCCAGGTTTCACCACACGAGAAGATTTCAGGTCAATCTTATGCTGCCTGATGAATCTGGCCAAGTACTCCATGCGCTGCCGGCCAGGGTTCATGGACAAAAACTTCTCCACGTCGATGCCTTCGGGCAACTTGAACTTGTCTGGCACCACGACTTTCTTCCTACTCGGCATCGGCGTCAGACCTTGCTCCTTCCTCAACTTGTTCACGTACTCGTGGCGTTCTTCGTGCCCCATTTTGGCGTATTTCATGGGGTTGAAGCCCTTGGGCCAGGCTCCGCTATTCTTCTTGGGAGGCTCGAGCTCCTGGGCCTCGGCTGCGAGTGTTTGGGCGGCTTCCTCCATATCGGGCTTGACCCATGGCCTGCGAACGATGGGCTGTGTGTGTTCGACGGCCTCCGTCTGTGGCTGCTGCCGCAGGCGCTCCTTCTTCTTCTTCTTCTTCTGGTACCACCTGACGTTCTTCACGTACGCCATCCGCTCCTTGCCGGGTTTCTTGGCATAATACTTCTTCATGTCCATGCCCTTCGGAAGCGTGAGGCGCTTCCTGCGGCGTTTCTTCTTGGTAGGCGCCGCATTGGTCTCATCCTGCCGTGGTTCGGCCGCTGGCGTGGGCGGAGCGGCCGGTGGCGAGGTCGACGCAGGCGTCGGCGTCGTTACAGGCGTCTCGGGCTCCATTCGTCCAGCAGGAGAATGTGATACTTAAGTAAGATAAAAAATATAATGGTGTGGTGCACACACACACACAAATTCGGTTTCCTCTATACATTTGCCGAATATGGAGAACGTCAAGCGAGGAAAGCTCAAGCTCAAGAACGGCAGCAAGCTCAAGGTGGCGTCCAAGCACAAGCACAAGAAGAGCAAGAAGAAGAGCTCCAAGCGCCGCGAAGACGAGGAAGAGCAGCGCCGTGATGAGCGAGACGAGAGCGACGGCGTGGAGGTTGACTTGGACGACATGACCCCGGCACAACGTCGCCACGCGCAGCACCAGAAGAAGAGAGTGCGTCCGTGCAAATGAGCAGGAGACTGCTACCTGGTTACATGCGTAAATTGTACGGTGTGATAGACAAAGTTTATTCTAAGCTGTTGTGGTGCTGGTGGGTACTAGGAGCAAGAGGAGATCGAGAAGCTGGCGTCAAAGACGTACCGAGAGCGCATCGAGGAGCTCAACCAGCACCTCGGCAGTCTCACAGAGCACCACGACGTGCCTCGCGTAAGAAGTAGATGCTCTGTTTGCATGCGTTTGGATGGTGTTGCTGATTTCTCCTGGTTTGTATTCCTATTGTAGGTGTCTGCTGCTGGTAATGGTTAAACACTACCGCTTCGTGGACGTGAAACGCTGGTTCCGTTTTCTTGCTACGGTTGGCCAAGTAATCGAGCTTACGCTACGTCAGTGGACTGGGTCGTGTTTATCCAGCTTATACATTTAAATCTTACCCTTGCTGCTGCCCTACATTCGTCATAGGATTCATATATGATCGTTGCTTGCTCTCGTTACCGAGGAGCTTTTACTCGCCGTCGTCGTCGTCATCCGACGCAAGTTTGTCGTACGCAATGCATTGCTGGTTCGTGGACCAGTTGCGTTGCCGAGGATCACCGCAAGAGAAATAGAGCTCGCACAGATGTGTACTCGTGCTGTGGCAGCCCATTGGAGACGACTTCTTGCACCGAATCTCCTGAACTAAGCCACCCAACTCGTCAACCGATGGAATGATATCTTTCCTCGGCTTCATCGTCAGCACGTAGTCACGAACGTCCTGGGAGGTGATGTCGAAGCGCCCCAGCGAATACAACAACCCGGGCCCAGAAAACGACACAGCACTTGTTTTCGTCTTGGCACCAATCATGGCTGCTATAGCACCTCCGAGACTGTGCCCCGTGATAACAAGATTGTTTCCGACGCGAGAGCGCGTATCCACGGCATGGTTCAGCAGATCTGTGAACACTGGGGATGGCATCACGCTTGCAATCAGCCGCATCGACAACATGTTCACTACGAAAGCGCGGGGCAGCTGCTTAAGAAATGGCACGAACACGTTTGCTGCTTGCATGATGGTAATGCCGAACCAAAAGTGCATATCCTCCAGCGCGTCGGTGGCCGAGGCTGTACCCCGCACAGTGATCACAGTCATGTTGATGGTCGGGAAGTAAATCTCCATCCATTGCTGTCCGTCCGTGCTCTCATTGTTACGCGCGACATATTCCCAGTTCTCCAGTTCTGTTCCGTTAAAACGGTTTTCAAGCGCAGTTTGTTGAATCTCGGTGGTAATGCCATACACAGCATCGGCCATCAATGCCAAGTCGAGCACGGAAAGCCCCTGGTAGCTGATGCTACACGCCGCGTATTCGGACGTGTCATCGAAAGTAATCACCTTGCCGTTAATAGTGACTGAGGCCGACACGCCATGCGTGGTTTCCAATTCACTTGACACCAGTGCGGTAGAGTTATCGAACGGACCGAGCTTGAACCCACCAGCAGATACAACCGTGCCGATAATGAACGAGGAAGAGAAGAAAACGAGCGACACAAACACAAATCCTGAAATGAACTTGCGGAACGCGCGCCCGAAGATCTGAGGAAACCGCTTTTGGGTCACTAAGCTCAGGGCAATGAGACACACGCCCATGATCGGCCAACCGATAAAAAATGACTCCAGCGATAGTAGAGCAGACCCAATCACCAGCGCGAGCAAAACCACAGCACGCACATTCAGCGAAAGGTTGTGCCACGGGTTGCGCGAATGAAACCAAGCTTGAAATTCTCGCATTTGCTGGAGCCGCGAGGCATACACGGACGTAGCGTTGGGCTGCCCCGCCTCCGCACTAGCCTCTACCCCAGCGCGAGCCGTAGTTGACGATATGTATTCGGATGTTGCAATCGGAATGGTGACTTCATCCGCTGGAGTCTTCACGCGTTTTTTCCTGTCTTTGTCTGTCTTGTTGAAACAGACCCAGCGCGAGGGATGCAGCGCGATGCCCACGTGATGGACGAAGCGGAAGCCTACATCCAAGAGCCATAAGTGCTCCGCACGCTTTTTACGCTCGAGAGCGCTCACAGCGCGGCGCATGATACGCCTCCGACGACGGTAGTTGCTGACAATGACGCGCATCTTCTTGTTTCGGCTGCTCCAGAAATGCGCTATCATCCACAGCACCAGGTACCCTCCGACAAACCAAAATCCCATCTGCACATATGCCAAGAACGCGTCCGACAGTGACCAAGACGTCGCAAACTTCAAGACCATTGAAGCTGCCGTCACCACCTCGAACAACACTGGACACACAATGTCCACGATGACAAACGTCGACAGGTCGATGGCTGGGCCTTCATCCTTCACCTTCTTGATGAGCAACGTTGTCTTCACTGCAGCGCGGATCCGCTTCCAGCGGTTTCGCGCTCTTGTTTTCGGGTCCTCCTCATCCACAGGCGCCAGCCTCGCTGCACGAGCTTCCGCCTCCTCCGCAGCTGCCTTCCTCCTCTCGTCCTCTGCCTTCTTGCGCTCCCACGCTTCGTCCTCCTCCTCCTTGTCGTCATCCAAGAACGGGTCGTCCTTGGCAGCCAGCAATATGGAGCCTCTCGGATGCAGTAGTCCGCCAGGAACTGCACTCGTCCGACTTCTCCGCAGCTGGTCGCCGCCATCGCCAGCGGCACCGTCGTCAGCTGGTTGGTCGTCCGGTTCTTCCGGCTCCACCAGCTCCGTGCGATGGCGGATGTAGTGGATGACCACGGCCAGCGCCAACCGGAAGTTGGGCAGCGAGCCGTCGGACTTGTTGAGGGCATCGAGGAAGAGTCTCGACGCCTCCTCGAAGATGTAGGACAGGAAGAAGAGCACCACGGGCAGCAGCACCAGCGAGATCACCGCTCGCACGGTGTAGTACTCGTCGTACTTGGCGCTCGGCAGGAAGATGGCGAAGAAGATCTCCATCAGCAGCGTGAAGGAGAACATGAGCACCATCATGACCACGAGGAACGACAGGTAGCCGAAGCGCACCTGGCACAGCGTGCGGTAGAAGCGCCACTGGCCGGACGACTCGCTGTAGGCGTGCAGCTCCTCCTCGCGGCCCTCGGCCGTGGCCAGCACGCGGTCTTTCTGCTTGTAGGCGTCCACCAAGCGGCCCGAGTAGCCCATGGCGGCGTCACGCATCATGACGTTGCGGCGAGGGGTGCTGCTGGACGTGGCATCGAAGTGGTGGTGATGGTGGAGGTGCGGGTGCGTGGTGTCCACCGAGACGGAGGACGACCGACCCAGACGATCGGCCTCTAGAATGGGCACGTCTCCGCCTCGGCCCGGTCGATGCGCCATGCTGCCGGGGCCCTGAGTCGCCGCTCGAAGGGTTCAAATATTGGAGTGGCGACGACAATCGTCAACAGTGCATTTGGCCTGCGACTGGTACAATACAGCCTGCGATATCCGATATATGTTGTAAATCTTCTATTCAATATCCAAGGTCGAAACTATTCTACTGTAACTCTCTATTTCCATATGTACCTCTTTATAGTTGTCAAAGACTGGCAAAGACGATACATGCGTGCCACACCACGGTTACCTCATTCATTCTCGATCAACCATGGCGCTGCGGGGCGAGAGTGCGCCGTGCGGCAAGCCGGCGGCATACGTGCAGCTGCCGGAGCTGGACGGACATTCGCGCAAGGTCTACGCGCTGGCCTTCAACTGCGATGGCACCATGCTGGCGTCCGGCTCGCTCGACCGCAGCATCCGCATCTGGGACCCCGTCACCGTACGTCCGAGCTCTGGTAACTTTTGACCCTATAGATCCTGACATGTTTGTCGCCAATTAGGAGCGCGAGCTGACGGACCTGCGCGGCCACTCAGACTCGATCCTGTCGCTGGCCTGGGACCCCACGACGCCGCACCGGTTGGCTAGCACAGGCTCCGACAAGACGGTGCGCTTCTGGGACGCCAAGACCGGCCGCATCGTCAACAGCGTCTCGCTGCCCGCCGACGCCGTCAACATCGCGTACAGCCATGACGCCAAGTACGTTGTGGTGGGCAACCTGAACATGGACTGCATCACGCTCATCGACACGCGCAAGGCGCGCGTGGTGCGGCGTGTCGTGAATCCGTTCGAGTCCTACGAGATGCAGTTCAGCAAAAGCGGCTTCCTCTTCGTGGCGGCGGGCCACGCTGCAGGCTTCGGCACGTTCGAGATCATGCGGGTTGTAGCTGAAAAGAAGGGCAATCCGAATCTTGAAAGCGCGCACAAGGTAAGAGCGGCGTGGATGCAGCAACAAGTAAAGAGGAGATCGTACTCATGGTGTCTATGCGGGTCTGAATAGGTCATGGCACACGCAGGAAGCTGCGTCAGCTTGGACTTCCACCCATCGGGAAGGTAAGGATTGTGATACCCGGGCTCTCTTCTGCAGTATTTCTAAAAGGTTAAAGCTCACCGTGAACTTTGATAGGTATTTGGTTCTGGGCGGCCTGGACTCACTCGTTAGTGTGTGGGACCTGGAAGAGCTGTACTGCGTCAAAACATTCGTGGTCACAACGTACGTAACCTGCGCCCCTGATTCAGCCTGAGCGGCAAGGTCAAATTTTCTCTCACAATCATTGTTGTAACTGCAGATCAAGCATTAGGTTTGTCCGGTTTAGCCACGACGGCAAGTACATTGCTGTTGGCATGGATGACCCCAACGTGGTCGTGGTGGAAGTGGAGAGCGGTGAGGAGGTCGTGAACCTCCAACTCCAAAACAACCTGCAGTACTTGAGCTGGCATCCAAGCAAAAACGTGCTGGCGTATGTTGGCGACAAGGGCTCAAGTGACAAGAACTCTAACCGCGACGGTGTCATTAAGATGATCGAGATGAAGGAGTAGATTGTGATGTTAGCATTGACACCAAGAGCACAGCAGGAATAGTTGCCGCAACAGCATCGACGACAAGAAAAAAAGTATATCATTGACTAGAGCTGTTTGAAGTGGGTGTCCTCAACTGGTCGTCGGAGGTAACAACGAGCCTGTAAGCTGGCGTACGTATCCCTGCATTTGCAGACGCGCTCGGGCAACTCCTAAGTAGCAGCTACACTGCTTCACTGTGCCGACATCTCCCAGTTCCTGCGCTAACCGATGGGCTTGGTCGAATGCACGCTCCGCCTTTTCGTATTCAGCTCGCCGACTCGCAAGATGTCCAAGCTGAATCCACGCGAAGGTCTCCGCTGGACGATCGTTGACCGACTGGATAAGCTGTAAGTGCTGGTTCATGCATGCGACAGCAGTGTCGAGGTCGCTCTGACGACTTGCAAGCAGCCCAAGATTACCAACTGCTAGACTTTGACCGTACGCGCTGTTGAGCTGGATGGCTAACCGAAGTGCCTCCTGATAGTAGTGTGCAGCTTCGTTTGGTCGGTCGAGGGAGCCAAACGTAAGTCCCAGATTCAAGTGGGCCACGAACTTGCCGGCGTCATCGGCGATCTCGAGGTGTTTCTGATGGTACACAAGTGCATACTGCAGGCTTTTGTTTTGCGGGTCGACGAACTTGCCTGTGTAGCTGTAATCTTTCGTCGAGGATGAAAGGAGCTGGTAGTTGACGCCAATGCAGTTGGCAGCTAGTCCCATAAACAATTTGTTCTCTGTGCTTTCACTAATTGAAAGCACCAATAGGTAGCAGTCAATGGCCTTGGAGTAGTCCTCGACGTTGTCGTGAAGAATCCCAAGACTACAGTACAAAACACACAACTGCAGTGTTAGGATCACCTTGAGAATGCGAACGAGATATGAAGGCTTACCATAAGTAGGCAGTGCACTCGGCATCGTGGCGCCCCGCTCGTTTGCTCGACTCCGCCAGCATGGAATACTCTTTGATGAGTTTGGCGGAAACAGCGCGACCGCGATCCTTCAGTTTTTGCGAAGAGCAACAGCTCAGCTTGGCCTCCACTTCTGCTCCATTGTCAAACGACGAGCGAATTTGTGTCTTTAGCTTGCGCAGTGCAGTTGCGTGAGGCGAAAACACAGTCTTTTGAATGCGCTCCTCTCGTGTCTGGGGGAAGTCTCTAGCTGGGGTTTTGATCTGGTGTGCAACAACAGCTTCAATGATCTTCCGTACCAAGCGTTCGCAGGGGGAACAGGTCAACGTACGCTCTCGGGGGCATCAATTCGCTGCGGGAGGTCTAGCTGCGGCGTAGCCTCGGCGAGCTGCGTGCCTTCCCTCGAGTTGACCGTCGTCACATTCGAGTTGATGCTACAAACGCACCACAAAAACGTCAGAAGCAAGGCCAACCGCAAGTCGCAATATTCGCCACGTACAATGCATCAAAGTCTCGGCTCAAAGGCGACTTGGGCGGAGAGCGCGTCTGTGACCTCGCCATTTTCCCAGCTACGAGCGAGGGAGTGAAGCGACGTAAAATTTCCGTTTCTGAAGTTGAAGTTGCTAGCATATTCGTCTGATTGGCTAATTGCCAACCGCGTCAGTGATTGGCTAATTTACCATCCGTGTCAATGTCACGAGCTCATTTACATTCTGGAAGCTTGGCGCACGTGTCTGGCTGTGATGGTGGCGACCAAGAGCGACCCGAACTGCGTGGAGCCGGCGTGCGCCGACAAGATGGACTTCTTCAAGAGCTCCATGGGCAAGAAGGCCACGAAGCCAGCAGCGCAGCCCAAGCCAGCCACAGACTGTCCGCTGGATCGCCAGGAGCTGGGCAACGCCACGTGGGGACTGGTGCGTGCGCGTATCCAGAGCTAGCAGCGACTTACAATGCACTAACCATCGCCGATGTCTTGTAACCACGACTACAGCTCCACTCGATGGGTATTTACTACCCGGACAAGCCGTCGCCGGAGTACCAGGCCAAGGCCAAGACGTTCATTGAGGCGCTGGCGCTGATGTACCCGTGTGTGCACTGCGCTGACGATTTCCAGAAGGAGATCGCCAAGTCCCCGCCTCGGTAGGCTATAGACTTGTTCTGTTGGCGTGTGCTTGGTACATGGTTGTCTAATGTAAGTGTTGGGATTGTCTAGTGTGGAGTCGCGCACGACGTTCTCCATGTGGCTGTGCGAGCAGCACAACATCGTCAACCGCAAGATCCACAAGCCTCTGTTCGAGTGCACAATGGAGAAGCTGGAGGAGAGATGGCGGAAGGGCAAGCCGTCGTGCTGGGGCGAGGATGGCGATGAGGAGTCGGCTCAAGATGCTCTGGGCTGAAGGATTGGTGTCCGAGCCCGTTTTGCTCGGGCAGAGAAGCGTAGACGAGGAAAAAGCGGTGTGAACGATATGTGCGTAGCATTGTCTTGCCTTTAAGCTGCCAATAATGCTACAACTACAACAGTAATTTTGAACGTGGTAAACATATGTCATCTGCTGCTGGGCGCTCTAGTGAGATTCCTCGGTTCGGAGCAGCGGCATGGCACGATCAAAGTTCCTCGAACTTCGAAGTTTTATCGGGCTGAGGACAAACTGTACAAATACGCTAGTTAGTCAGGTGGCTCTAAGTATCTGGCTGTGGAAATGACATGTCTACCTTTCAGTGAGCTGACACACACCCGCTCCTTTGCCGGGGTGAAATCGTCGAAGAAGGTACGAGTAAGCTCATCCTCGTACTCACCGACGAAGTCGTTGCACTGTTGTCACGCAAAAGCAAGTATGCGCTTTAGAAGGAAATTTCAAGAAGCGACCTACTATCTCGCGCGTTCGTACCGCAGCATTGAGCATTCGCTTAGCCTTGTGGTTGCTGCCCGGAAGCTCGATCGGGACTTGCTCACATACATCGTCCAGAACTTCAAGAATGCGAGCCTATTACGAATGTCACACGATGGTGCAGTACAACATAGTCAAGGTCAGACAAGTGCTACGATAAAGCACTCCAATGCCGCTTTCGCGTACCTCGCTGCGCGAGTACTTGATCTGCTTCTTTTCCTCGCTAATGCGGAACACGACATCCATGTCGTGGTCATTCTGCAAACCACGCATTCGATATCATTAGAATAGCTGCCAGCTTCGCAATGGTTTGCCTCGGTCAGATTCATGAAGGAGTTGCTGACCTCCGTGTTGTTTAGCTGGGTTTCGATCTCAAACACGATCGACTTGCAGACTGCCGTTCAAAGCACCAAGCAGTAGGACAGAGTTACCAGCTCAGCAACCGATCCATAACAGCAATAGGAAAGAAATAGCAACGCACTGCAGCAAGACGCAGGCTGACTTTCGCCGTCACAGTCCAGTTGACCGTGGCCCGCAGCGTTGAAGCGCTTGGAGTGGTCCCACCTGGCAGCAGACATTGGCGGCACCGTTAGTGACATTTAAACTTGTGCAATAGTAGATACCTTATCTGCAACCTGTCGGTCCATCCGAGCGCCGCGGGGAGCAAAGCTGCCGCCGACACGATTGTCACCGCTGTCGCTGCCTTCATAGTCGTCGTCCAGACTGAGTATGTCGGCAGTTACAGCTGCATGTTGGCGACCAGCCAATCGCGTCGCGCGATTCGACTTCGCACTTTAGCGGAAATTCTAGAATCTCGGTCCGCGGTTCACACGTGGCAGCCGAACCGCGTCGATCCGTACGAACCGCCGAGCTGCACACAGGCGCAGCGTCGTAAGATCCATAAATACATCTCCAGAATCCGTACACTGATCCCACACGGGACTCCAACCTTCAGCTAACCAAAACCAAATCCACGGAAAGATCGCTCTGTCCAAGAGCCGACCGACCGACGGACGACCGACCGAGCATAGATGCAAATCAAAATCTCACGAGCTCATTGCCATTTTTACCAGCTAGATCTCAAGTCGATCGATCGCAATGAAGGGAGGCCGCCGCTCGTCGCTGCTGCTGCTGCTCGTGACGGTAGCCCTGTGCTACAGCGCGCTGTCCTCGGGCAGCGCCCGCGCCGAAGTGTCCACGGGATCGGAGGACGTGTTGGGGTGCGTTTCGCTCGCGTCGTGCAAATTCTCTCACGTCTCTGCTAATGTGTTGTGTGTGTTGCTCGGTGTACGCGCAGAAGAAGCACGCCGAGTCTGCTGGTGGACGACCTGGACGACGAGCCCATGACCGGCGGCGAGACGTTCGCGTTCCAGGCCGAGGTCTCGCGCCTCATGGACATCCTCATCAACTCGCTGTACCGCACCAAGGAGATCTTCCTGCGCGAGCTCATTTCCAACGCCTCGGACGCGCTGGACAAGATCCGCTTCCTGGCTCTGTCCAACAGCGAGCTGCTGGGCAAGCTGCGCGACCTGGAGATCCGCATCAGCTTCGACAAGGACGCGCACACGCTGACCATCCGCGACACGGGCGTGGGCATGACCAAGGACGACCTGGTCAACAACCTCGGCACGGTGGCCAAGTCCGGCACCGCTAACTTCGTTGAGGCCATGCAGGCTGGCACCGACGACAGCAACCTCATTGGTCAGTTCGGTGTGGGCTTCTACTCCGTCTACCTCGTGGCCGACCGCGTGCGCGTCGTGAGCAAGAACAACGACGACGACCAGTACATCTGGGAGTCGGACGCCAACGCGTCCTTCACGATCACCAAGGACCCGCGCGGCGACACGCTGGGCCGTGGTACCGAGATTACGCTGTTCCTGAAGCCGGACGCTACTGAGTTCCAGGACCAGGACAAGCTCAAGAGCCTCGTCGGACACTACAGCGAGTTCATCAACTTCCCCATCTACGTGAACACGAGCTCCACGGAGACGTACGAAGTGGAAGAGGAGCCCGCGGACGTCGAGGAGGCTGCGGAGGAAGAGGAGAAGGACGCTGAGAAGACGAGCGAGGATGATGAAGAGCTTGAGGCTGTGGAGGAAGACGTCGAGGCGAAGGCCCCCAAGACTCGCACGGAAACCCGCACTGTGTGGAACTGGGAGCGTGTGAACGAGGTGAAGGCCATCTGGACGCGCTCCAAGGACGACATCAGTGACGAAGAGTACGAGAGCTTCTACCACTCCCTGCAGAAGACGGACATCACGGACCCATTGACTTGGATCCACTTCCAAGCGGAGGGTGAGCTCGAGTTCAAGTCGATCCTGTACGTGCCTGGCCAGGCCCCTCGTGACCTGTACACGCGTTTCGAGAACAAGAAGGCGGACATCAAGCTCTACGTCCGCAAGGTCCTCATCACGGATGACTTCGACGAGTTCCTGCCGCGCTACCTGAACTTTATCGCCGGTGTCGTGGACTCGGACGACCTGCCCATCAACGTTTCTCGTGAAACGCTGCAGGAGAACAAGATCCTGCGTGTCATTCGCAAGAAACTGGTCCGCAAGGTCCTTGAAATGCTGCGTAAGCTGGCAGAAAAGGATGACGACGAAGATGATGGAGATGACGACGAGGACGACGAGGTCGCGGACACGTCGGCCGATGCTGAGTCGGACGCTGAGACAAAGAAGGGGTCTGAAGAGAGCACTGAAGAGGAGGGAGAAGAGGAGGAAGAGGAAGAAGGAAATGCTGCGTACAACAAGTTCTGGGAGGAGTTTGGCAAGAACATCAAGCTTGGAGTAATGGACGATGCCGCCAACCGCGGAAAGCTGGTCAAGCTTCTGCGCTTCGTAACGAGTCAGAGCGATGGCAAGTGGACCTCGCTGGAGCAGTACGTTGACCGCATGAAGGACTGGCAAGACACCATTTACTACATCGCTGCCGAGAACGCTGAGGCCTGCGAGAAGTCCCCATTCATGGAGAAGATGCGCGCCAAGGGCCTCGAGGTGCTCTACTTCGTCGACGCTCTGGACGAGTACATGGTGTCGCACATTTCGGAGTTCGATGGCAAGAAGCTCGTGTCCATCACCAAGGAGGGCATCAAGTTCGGCGATGAGGACGAGTCGCTCATGCAAAAGCGCGAGCAGCTGTACGCGGACAAGTACGTGGCGCTCACGACAGCCCTCAAGACGCTGTACGGAGACAAGATTTCTCGTGTGACGATGTCGCAGCGTGTGGTGGACTCGCCCGCCGTCATGGTGACGTCCCAGTGGGGCTACTCGGCTAACATGCAGCGCATCATGAAGGCTCAGACTTTCGCAAGCGGAGAGAAGAACTCGCCGATGTACGGCACTGGATCCGCGATCCTGGAGCTGAACCCCCGCCACCCAATCGTTTCCAAGCTGAACGACCTGATGGTGAAGGACGCTGAGAAGGAAGAGACGAAGGACCTGGCCTGGATGCTGTACGACACAGCGCTCATCAACTCGGGCTTTGACATGACCGACACCAACCAATTCTCGGCTCGTGTGCACCGCATCATGAAGAGCAGCATGGGCATTGACAGCATGGAGCTGGAGCCTGAGATCGAGGTTCCGGAGGAAGAGGAGGATGTAGACGAGGAGGAGGCCGAAACCGAAGACTTGGACGACCCGGAGGAGATTGAACTCCCGCAGTCGGACGATGTCGAGGCAGCTGAGGAATCTGCTGAGAAGGATGAGCTGTAGAGTGCGCGAAATTCTTCACGTAACTTCGAGACCACAATGCACGTTCCTTTCAATGTTTTCAAAATCACGATTCAGCGCTGCAGTACTTATGGAATACTAGTAGTATTTGAATGAATGTACTTGCTATTGATTGAGACTGAAGCCACCTCCTACAAAGCGGTTTGCTGCGGCGATCGCTAGCTGCCGCTGTGCCTCAGCAGGGCTCGGTCGGCTAGTACCTTTACTACTGTTATTGATGTTGTTGTTCGGGATGTTAGGCAACTGGGACTGCTGCTGGTTTCGCGAAGGTAGAACGACTGGCTGTTTGTCCTTCATCTTCGCTTCCAGCTTCTTCTTGTAGTATTTGCGCTTGAACTCGTGCAATTCTCGTGCTAGGCGCTCGATCTCGAACTTCAGTTCATGTTCCTTGGCCTGGAACATGTTCTGCTCACTGAGCAAGCTCTTCAACTGCTTCTCTTTCTCTCGTACGACCTGTTGGTACCAGCTGAGCTGCTCTGCCACTTCAGGTCCAGGTTGTCGAGCCAAAATCGCCTTGAGCTCTTGATAAAGTTTCTCCTTCTCTTGGTTCACCAGCTCCTTCTCGACGACCTCCTCTGTCTTCTGGATAAGTCGCTTCTGTAGAGTTTGAATCTTTTGCAGGAGCTCGTACGTAGCTGGATCACTTCCTTCAAGCTTGCGCCACCGATGGACGTTCATGGGGTTCTCTAGCTCCTCGGACAACGCCTTCACTTTTGTCTTCTCCTGCAGCAGCTCTCGTTGAAGATGATACACTTCACGCTTCAGCTCGTCAGCTTGGCCAACTTGGTGCTTAGCGATGTACAGCTCGCGCTTGAGGTCTGTCACCTTGAGCTTGAGGACGCGAATATCCTGCAAGCGCTCCTGGTACTGAGCTTCGCCCTTGCTCAGAGTGGACTGCTGGATCTTGAGCTTCTCGTACAGAAGCGCTAGCTCGTCATTGCGGCGGATAAGCTGCGTTCCGAGGATATCACGCTCGTTGATGACTTGGTCGTACTCTTTACGCTGCTCCAACGCTTCGTCGTCCATCCGTCGTATCAAGGTACTGAGCTTTCGCACTTCAGCGTCTTGATTATTGATGGTCTCCTCGTTCGCCGCCAGGAGTGCACGCAAGCGAGCAAGTTCGCTCTTGTGTTGCTCCTTTTGCTTCTCAACCTTTTGGTGGTCGAAGTGCTCTTTTACGAGCGCCACATCCTTGGCAGCAACCTCTTCCTTCAGCTGCTCGATCTGATGCGTCAAGATCTTAAACTTACGCTTCATCTCGGCGATTTCGTCTTGCGACTCGATGAGGTTCTTGCTGTAGAGGTTGCGTTCACTGCGAACGGCCTCATAGAGCTGCTGTTGCTGCTTCAGCTTTGTTTCACCCTCGTGCACCTTCTTCTGCAAGTCGTGGTTCCGCATCTCCTTCAACTTGACCTCTTCTTCCGACTGCAAGTACAGCTTGCGTTGCTCTGCAGCCTCCATGCCATACTTCTCCCGCTCCTTCTCGAGCTGGTAAATAAGCTTACGTTGCTTTGACGCTTCGAGCTTGAATCCTGCCAACTCTTGCTCCAGGTTCTTGGCTACGCGTTCGTTAGTCTTGATTTCATCCTGAGCGCGACGAACCTTGCCCTCAGCCTTGAGCATTTGCTTTACTTGCATGGCCTTTTCGCGCTCCAGCGTCTCAAGCTCCGTACGTGCATGGTCCTCGTTGATTTTGTCCAAATCTAAGTCGTGCTGCATGCTCTTGATTTGAGTTTGCAGCACCAGTTTCGCTGTGTGCTCCCCTTCGAGCTTCTCTTCGAGCTGTTGAAGCTGTCGCTTCTCCTTGTCAAGCTTGCGCTCGACCGTGCCCTTCTCGAGCTTCACTCGATGAATTTCATCCTGCCGGGCCTTGAGCTCATTTTCGAGGTTGCGTCGCTCCACTTCGAGTTGCATCGTCTTGTCACTCTGTTCGTTTAGCAGGTCTGTAAGTTTCTGAGTGCGACCGAAGAGCGTCTCGTAGTCGCGAACATACTTGTCCATGGTACCACGGGCCTCGGCGAGTTGCTTCTCAAGTCCACCAACTTGCGTCTGCAAGCGGATGAGCTCCGTCGCTCCTTGGGTCTGCTCCATCGTTTTCTTTTCCAGCTTACTCTTCACATCCTTGATTTCTTTATCAAGACGCTCTTTCCGTCGCATCTCTCGCTCCTGTTCGGCAGCCTTCATGGCAAGTTGGTCCTTCAAAGTTTGGATATCACTCTTCTGGGTAGCTGTGAGGGTGTCCATTTCACCGAGACGACGATGCAACTCTTGTATCCGCTCGTGATCTTTCTTAGCATTGATTTCGTGCTCCTCGTTAGCTCGCATCAGCTCCTCTTTAGCTCGCATGACCTCCTTCAGCATACTCTCTTGACCAGCACTGAGTCCTGTTCCTTGCTCTACAAGCCTGCCGAGGTTGACAATCTCGTCCTTGAGTTGCTGAATGGTCTCTTTGGCGCGGAGCTCTTTCTCGTGGGATGCATCGACCATTTTCCAAGCCTTCTCCATCTCCTTCTTCAACGAAGCAATGCTGGCCTGATCCTCTTGGGAGAGCTTGAGCGCTGTCTGCACCTTGGCGGCATTGTTGATGATTTCGGCGTTCAGTTCACGGCACTTCTTGATGAGCTTCTTTTCTTGCCCATTGGACTTCTTCAGCGCTCGATGTAGCTTCTCGTACTCGAGTCGAAAACGCTCCAAGCTTTTGTCTCCTTCCAGCTCGGCCAGCACTTCCTGGAAATCATTCTCCAGTGCCTCCAGCGACGTAGCCTCCAGTCCGGCATCGTCACCGAGCAACTTTCCTTCAGGTGATGATGTTTCAGGCCCACCTCCGGCTGGCTCGTCTTGGGTCCTGCCGCTCATCGCTGCGGCCCCCGATACCAACTTCTCGGAGATCGCCGCGGTTCCTAATTGCAGATGCACCAGGGTTGAGCTCGGTCTGTCGTTTCCTTCCAACTATAGCCACACCTCGTCCTGACACTCCACCATTTCAGATCATATCGCCGCTAAATTTGATAGCCTTGCCTGCTAAAGCAGAATACGTCTTCTAGACGTGATATCCGTGATGGCAGAAAAAAAACACGAGTTAAGCGTGCGGACGCATGTGGATGGAGCGATACGGAACGGGAGTTAGCTACTGATACGTGTGGATTGACAAGTTGTCTGGATAACTGGTCTTGGCTTCGTAGATTTTCACTGGGAGCATCGGCTATTGCTGCACATCCCAGATCTCGGCAAACAATTCAATGACGTCGCCAAGGCGCATGCGCTGCGGCAGGTCGAAGGTCCGGCGCACGGATGATAAACCGTCGAACAGCAAATGAGCAGGTACTGGAGGCGGGCGAGGAGGACTGCACCAGAAAACAACACATCAATACCCATATTCAACGCACAGCGACCTCTCGTCGAAACGACAACTACGCACCGAGTCTGCGTGGCCGTAAGCCAGGCGGTCCGCGATTCCTGCCATGTGCGCAAACCCACATTGAAGAAAGGCCCGTTGCGACCTTGGGGCCACCACGGATCGGTGTCGCTGGTAGCCGCAGCCACCTGGAAGCGATGCAGGTGCTGCACAAGCCAGTCCAGAATCTCCGCGATTGCCTGCGTGGCGGCGTCTTCATCCGTGATGTTGGAGAACGCAAAGCCGCTCTGCTGATTCACAAACAGCGACGCCTTGAGCGCTGTAGCCGCCTGCGGGTTAGCCGCGCACGAGCTCAGCAGCGTCTGGTACTGCAGTAAACAAACAAACAATCAAACAACGAATCATTGTCAGTATCCGCACCTCCAAGTCAACGTCTTCCACACCTCAAACCGTACGTACCGCTTCAGACCCAGCGTAGGGCGATTTCTCCCCCAGCTGCAGCAGCAGCGGAAGAATAGGCGGCGTCGTATCTGCTGCATCTATGCTGTCGCCCTCTCCGATCGGTTTCCAGGGCACGAGGCCCTTGGGGCACATGGCAACGACGCAGTCCATGGCCGCGGACCGCTCCATCGCCACCTTGATCGCCAGATCCGCCCCCGCCCCCACTCCGCAGAGCCCCACACGCTGGATGTCGTGCTTCTGCTTGAGATACAGCGCCGCCTGCTGCACGATGGCCACGTGCTCCTGCGTGACGCTGTCGCTGGGCGCCGTTTTGCCCTCCTGGAACAGATCCAGCACCAGCACCTTGTAGCCCTGCTCCGCCAGCTTGTCCGCGAACGAGATGGTCGTGAGGCCGAAGCGGTCGGTGGCGCCGGCGCCCGCGGCGAACGCGCGGCTCACGCGGCTCTGCTCGGCCACGAACACGACGCCCGTCACGACGCGTCCGATGTGCGAGGCGGGCGCCACGAAGTACGCGTCCTGCAGGCGCCCCTCCAGCGCCGCGACGTCCGCGGAGGGCTCGGAGGCGACAGCGGGCGCAAGGTCCAGTGGAAACTGCAGCGTGGAGCCCGCCCCCGAGTACACGAAGCGCGGGCGCACGATGCCGGAGACGCTCATCTGGTAAGCTTTGGGGGTCGAAGTTTGGCTCGGGAGTCTGACAGCCCCCAATTATTGTGATTTCGATTTCGTTGAAGGGCGGAATCGGAAAGGCAATTAATTGGCGGTTGCGCTACGTTGGTGGTGTACCGTACCCAACACAAGCCACGTCACTAGTTGCCGATTGAGGGGTTGTGATTGGGCCCCTACAAACAGACGGTTGCTGCTTACGGGGGCTGGAACAAGTCGCCCACTGTCTGCCTCATTATCGAACAGGCCACGCGTTGGATCGAGCGTCAGCAGCAGCCAGATTGGAGCACGATGAGCGCCGAAGACACCCCCAAGACGGAAGCCGCATCCACGGTACGTCCATCTCGTCCGACCACGTGCTGCCGTGGCCCGATTAGGCTCTAGCGCCCCGCTGGAGGCTCAAGATACGGCCCCGCAACCAACTACAGGAGAACACCGCAACTGACGCATTGCCCTCGTTGTGCCCATTGCAGACGGCGGAAATGCCCTGGGAGACGGAGAAGGGCATCCGCAAGATGGCGGACCTGCTGCGCGGACGCAAGGGCATGCCCTCGCGCCACGCCGTCGAACTCGGCAAGCGCGTCGAGTACTTCCGCGGCGACCGCCTCGCCACGTTCCTGCTGGCCAGCCCCATGGCGAAGAAGTACTTCCCGGAGATCAAGACCAAAGAGGACGTCCTCTCGGTCGGTCAGGCGCTGGTGCAGAACGAGTACATCCACCGCTCGGAGCGCGACGCCAAGAACAAGAAGCTGCTGAAGCCCACCCCCAAGCAGGACTTCTCCCCGGAGGGATACTACACGTGGATGTACGAGGGCTCCAAGACCCTCCGCAACATCATGACGGCGCTGCTGATCATCGGCTTCCTCACCATTACGTGCTTCCCCATCTGGCCGCAGTGGGCCAAGGTCGCGCTGTGGTACATGTCCGTCACCTTCCTCATCTTCATCGCCATCTTCGTGGTGGTGCGCCTCTTCATCTTCTTCATGCTCTGGATGATCGGTTACGAGTACTGGCTGCTGCCCAACATCTTCGACGACAACCTGTCGGTCGCCGACTCGTTCGTGCCGCTCTACTCGCTGCGCTCCACGGACCCGTCGGAGCGTATTTACCGTATCGTTGGACTTGTTGCTTTCGCGTGCTTCTGCGTCTGGGTGAAGAACCAGCCCACGGACTTCGACGAGTACATGAAATTGACCAAGCAGTTCACGGACGATATTTACAGTGGCAAGCTTCTGAGCGATATGTCGCAGAAGGACCAGGACAACATTGACGGCGTCAAGGTGCCCGACCTCGAGGATCTTCTTAAGGATGACGACGAGGATGACGACGACCAGGACGCCAAGTTCGCCAAGATCTTAGACGAGGACGAGGAGGACAACTCGAAGTTTTCGGAGGCAACTGAGGACGATGAGGAAGTCGTAGACCGGGATTTGTAGACGGCAGCGAACAGGCAGACTAGCTGACTGACGGGCGCAAACACCGTAATTTCAACTTAGTACTTGATCATTTTGTTGTTGTGTGACGGCTCAATCTGCTGCATGGTGTTGCAGCTCCCTCCTACGTGAATGAGAACATGTAGCAGCTTGTAAAGATATGAATACATGTAGTTTCGCCACGATAGCCACGCCATCGAGTGGCGCAGCGTGCACTTAGTTCCACGGAGTGAGGGTGACCTCGTCGTAGACGACGCCGTTGCGATTCAGGATAAACTGCACGCTCATCGACTGTTCGGTCGATTCAATGCGCAAGTAGCCCCAGTCGCTCAGGTGGCTCACGCTCCACTCGCCCAGTTTGCTCGAGAAGCCTGACTTCTCCAAACCAGCGCCTGCGGAGCCGATCACAATATGGACGGGTCCCTGGCCGTCCTTAGTGCACTTGCCGTTGCGGACTGCACAACTGCGCTCGTAAGAGTGCTGGTGGCCTACGAGCATCAGGTTCACCTTGTGCTCCCACAGCAAGTCTTCAACTTCCTCACGGAAATGCTGGGATACCTTGTAGTCGGCTTCTTCACCCAACTGCGTCGTGTACATCATCCGGTGCGATGTTAGCACGACCCACGGCGTCTTCTTCCGGTCCACACTCTTCAAGTCGTTCTCCAACCACTTGTATTGCTTCGATCCACGGCGCCAGTCGTGCTCCGATGAAATCTGGATAACGTGGACACCACCGTAGTCGAACGAATACCAATAGATACCGTTGCCATTAGCTGGGGCATCCCAGCGGTAGTACATCGGCACGGAGCATTCCCCGGATGAGTCCTCGCCGTAGTTGGCCCACTCTGGGTGGAAGTCCATTCGGCCATCCTTTCCTGTAGCTCCACTGGGATCGTTGGCACCTCCCGTCGTGTAGTCATACTCGTGATTGCCGATGCTTACCATGTATGGGACTCTGGTCGCGTAGGGCTCGATGAGGTGGAAGAACTCGTCCCACATGTGCGCGTGGCCGCGGGCATAGCTGATGTCTCCGAAGTGCAACAGGAAGCTGTCGTAGCCGTCCATCACGTCTTGGTACGAACGTACAGCCGTCGATGTCGCCGCAGGAGCAGGATCGACGCCCATATCGGCGTACGCAATGAACTTGGCACTCTTCACCGAAGCATCTGGCCGACTCATAAAGGAGTGTACCGAGCTCCAACCGTCCTTCTCGCTGCCAAACCTGTAATAGTAGCGCGTTCCGGGCTTCAGTCCCTTCAAGATGACCGTGTGCATATTGCCTGGGTCTCGGAACCATTGCTGGCTCGTCAGATTCGCCGGTCGGTTACACAGGTGAGCTGCCGTGTACGTCTTGAACTTGCCCTCAGCTTGCTGATCCAAAGCATCGGGTTGGAGACCGTACTTGACCATGGGCGTCTCACGGGACGCCGAATTGAACATCACCGACATCTCGTCGACATGTTCCGTCAAGGCAATGTGGCCGTGCTTGGGGGCAGTGAAGGCCTCCGCCATACCGACTTCCAGCTTGGCAAGGGGGGCGAAGACGTTGCCTTTGGGCTGGAAGTTGAAGTACTCGACGGTGTAGTTGCAGCGCATCATGTAGAGCGCTGAGAAGCGGATGGAGTTGGGCAGCGTGGGGCCGTCCGCACCAGGTCCATTGGCCTCCGTGATGCCAACCTTCACGAGGAAGTCCTTGTCATGGGCCTTCGGACCGCAGCTGAGACCCAGGAAGTCCGTTTGATGCGGACGCTTGACGCCGCTCCAGGAGATCACCAGATCCTCGCCGTCCCTCAGCAGCGGCGGCGTTGCAGTCAGCACAGGGCCGCCCAGATCCTCAGTCGCCTCGTCCTGGGCGAAGCCGTGCAGGAACCCAGCGGGGTCGTCCCGGGTGGCGTCCCAGACGCTGTCTTCGTAGTGGACGATGGGGCGCGGGTCCCTCTCCAGCGCGTCGCGCAGCGTGTCTGCGTATCTGTAGCTCAGCGGGGGCTTGTCGGCCTGCACCAGCGCAGCCAGGAAAGCTGGAAGTAACAGCAAGGAGTGAAGAGGCGCGACCATTTCCAGCGCAATGGGGTTTCTTCCCCCGAGTCGCTTGTCTTCCACGCCGCCGATCCGGGAATGGCTCGCATGTTGAACTGAGTTTCCTGTCCGTTTTGTGCCAAATGGCGAGTAGATAAATGCTCCGGTCCTGTCACTATCAAACGCATTTTCAATTGGTGTAAAATGCTGCAGTTTCAACCAGTTAGCGCACTGGCGCGGTCAATACGCAATTTCCCATACTGGAGGCAGCACTTGCCACCATGGGCATGAACTTCTGGCACTCGACGCACTAGTACGTGGGTCTACGCGCCCACGAGACACCAGAGAATGCGAAGCTGACGTCTGTGTGCACCACTTGACCAAAGTCTGTACTGGATGAAGGACGTGACCAAGTCCGACCTGCGCAAGAGGAACCCGCTGGACCGCAAGCACCTGACGGACGACGAGATCGACAGCATCCACCTGGCCAACATTTCGCGTGAGTAGTCGCTAAGGAAAAACATTCTAGACTAGATTAGAGGTTGTGAAGGTCACGGGTAGAGCAGAGTTGACCTCCCGGTGTTTGACGCAGTGCTGGAGGAGATTGGGCCGCGCCTGCGGGTCCGCCAGATCATTATTTATACGGCAATCATCTTCTATCGGCGGTTCTACCAGACGTGGGCTGAGCACTTTGCTATTGGACGTGGAGGAAGTTGTCATCTGACAAGTGGATTGTGTTGGTGCTGCAGGCAAAGCTTTGTGAACTTTGATCCACACTTGGTCGTCGGGACGGTGTTCTTCCTCGCCTCCAAGGTGGAAGAGAGTCAACTGTCGCTCACGACCGTAGCCTCTGTTCTTCATCATTACACTACGAGTACGTTTTCGTCGTTTCTACCATCAGAATCAACGCAGAAGGATACTCACTTGACATTGTGTTCGCTTGCGACTTGATTAGCTAGTGTCGATGAGGACGAGTCCATGTACACGTTCCAGGACAAGGATATCCTCGAGTGCGAGTTCTACGTGATCGAGGCGCTGCAGTTTGATTTGATCCTGCACCACCCGTTCCCGTCGCTCCTCCAGTACGTAAGCCTCGTGTACTGGGAAATCTCTCCTTTTTCCTGTTCTCACTCATGACGCTTTCTGGTCTGTAGGTTTCTGGATGAATTTGACATCCACGAGGAGTGTCTTCAGCTTGCATGGTAAGGCATGGAGTGAATGCATCCCCACCTGGTTTAATGCGCTCTGCTGAGCTAATTCCGACGTGTTGTACGTGGTCCGACAGGCAACTCGTGCAATACTCGTACCGCACAGACATCATTCTCTTGTACCCCCCGTTCATGGTAGCGTACGCGGCCGCGTACATCTCGTGCCGCGACGCAGGATATGATGCCGCGCAGGTGTTTGCCACCGTGAACATCAAGAAGGACCTGCTACTGAAAATCGTTGGAGAGTTTCAGGAAGCAGTTGAAGACGAGAAAAGACTGTACGCGGTGCAGGCGACTGCCTTGGAGCGCTTGGAGGAAATCATTCCAGATGCCTCCGCTGCTGAGGCCGAAGCGGCGCCCAATGCGACTGCAGACAAATGAGATGGTGTGGAAGCTTGCGGCGGCTCGATTGTGCCTCCGAAGTTCATACAGAACCTCACCAACATGACGGATGATAAATTGAGCCCATACATGTTGTTTTGAACACTTTAGTGCTGCCTTAGTATCTGTTCCTCACGGCTGAAGCTACACTTCGTGCAGCCGCGTTTCACTCTCTCTGAGAACCTTATTCTTGAAGTTGGAGCAGCCTGTGTCTGTCCGCAGCTCGATTGCCACGTGCACGAAGTGTGTCGCGCGCAAATGCTAACACGCATGCCTGCAGGCTTCGTGAGCTACGGTGCACCTGGTGGTTGCTCTTCTCTGAGATCGTCGGCTGTCATTTCGTGCAGGGAGTACAAGTGTTTGTTGCACGCATTTGTGAGCTCGTCAAGTAGCTCACAGACAGAGTACTTGCCGCTGAATCTAATACAAGCGTGGAGCAATTTGAAGCGTCTATTGCTTGTGATATCGACGCTCTTCAGTGAGGCACGCCCAGCAGGTATCCCTCCACACAAGCTTTCACCACCAGCAGTGCCTCGCTGAGACGTAGTGCTGCGTGGTGAAGCTGAATTGAGACCGCGCGGATAGGGAAAGAGTGCGGATGTCCACCAAGCTGCTGGCACTCTATTTCGAGCCTGGTGTTCGAACGCATGGTAAGCCATGAATGAGCACGGACACTGTGAGCACGGACGCCTATGAGATCCGCACCATCGGATCTCAGCCGAGCCGCTGCCAGCCGTGGGCAGCAAGCATGTTGCCGTTCGCTGAATTGACGTTGAGAATCAAGTTGAACCTCGTTTTCATTGGCGATGTGCACTATCGCACGAAGGTGGGCTGCCACGTCCACTCGCTAGCATTGCGCTGCAGCCTGCAGGCGATAAACAGCGAGCGTCGCGCCCCCATCGGGTGCTCCGAACATGTATGTCGCCGCAGAGAAGCGAGCGGCGGCCGCTGCGGTGCTAACAAATAGGCTAGGCAGCAGTATAAACAGGAGGACCTCCTGTTTATACGCCCATGGTGGCGGCGCCGGCGGCGTGGCGTCCGCGAAAGCGATTTTCCCGGCGCTGGCGAGGCGGGGAGGAAGCTATGCACGGCATCCAGTTTTGGTGTTGTTCATTCGCGCGAGCATGAAGCGCAAAACTGCACTCATGCAGATCAGGGAGGGTTTCGTGACTGTGCATCGAGGCTTTGCGGCAGACGTGTGGCCTGGCGGCGCCTTCGCAGATAACGCGCCGCCGAGGCCCGCCTTCAGAGCTAACCGCACAGCGCGGCACGCGGTGGCACTCCAAAGCGAGCTCGACCGACTAACTTGGTCGCCGGACATGCTAAAAGATCTGGTGTCTCGCTAAAAATACAGCAACGACTTGTGGTACCGTAGGTTGAAGCTTTTGGGAGATGGACATTCTGTGAACCTAGAACTATGGAGTCGCATACCACATGCCAGAATCTAGTTTATCATATGTCAGAAGTTGTGACCGTTGTCAGCATACCAATTTAATGATGATTACCGCGAAGTGAATTTTTGGCACCAACGCCATAGCCGGGTATTGGTTGTCAAAGGCAGTGCTTAAGAAATTTCTTGAGTGAACCGTCTCCTACGGTCATATGGTCAGGTTCAGGGGAGGGCAGACACCAGGAGGCATTTTCAATATCACCGCCGAAGTGGAACGCTGCCGCTGGTGGAGGTCAAGTCCGCTCGCGCAGCACCGCCAAGTTCAAGTTGTCCGGGCTCGGCGTCTCTGCCTCGCCAGTCCCTTATTTCCAGCGCGGCCAAGATAGGCTGAAGCGCCACCACCAGCAGCACTAGCGGTCATGGTCATGCAGAGCGTCCTTGCCGCGACGCCGCCGAGCGTGCTGCACACCTCCATCGCGCACGTCTCCAAGCCCTCGGCGTCGGGCGCGCACACGTACACGCAGTACCTCGTGCGCGTGTCGGACGAGCGCTCGCCGGGCCTCAACTGGACGGTCTACCGGCGCTACTCGGAGTTCCGCAACTTTAAGCTCGCGCTCGAGGCCGCCATCAAGGGCGGCGACATGTGCGCGCACTGCGCCATCATGTCCAAGCGCACGTGCTTCGTGCTGTTCCCGCACCGCCGCCTCTTCGGCAACCTGCGCGAGAAGACGCTCGAGGCGCGCCGCGTCGGGCTCAACGCCTTCCTGGACGCCGTCGCCAAGCATGCGCGCACGTGTCGAGAGAGCATGACGTGCCAGACGCGCCCGCTCATGGACAAGTTCCTCATGGTCAACGACATGCGCTACACGTACTTGAACGTCGACATGAGCGAGGCGGGCGCCGACCGCAGCAGCAGGTCCTCGGTGGACGAGAAGCGCATGCTCTTGGGCGGCGGGCTGGCGCACCGTTCCTCGTCAATGGTGAGCCGCGCCGACCGCCTGAGCAGCTACTCGGACTACCGCGACGAGACCGTACGGAGCTGCTCGGAGGAGTGGATTAGCGGGAGCAGCGAGCAGCGGGCAACTGATTCAACGGCAGATCAGCGCCAGCCTCAAGCGGAGGCGCCCGCCACAGCGGCGACGACGACAACGACAACGACGACTAAAGAGTCTACACCAGAGCAGGAGGAGAGCAACCAGCAGCCGGAAGCTCGTAGCACGATGCCGAACTTGCTGGCCTACTCGAACGAACGGCGCACGCGCACGCACTCGTGGAACGACAACCCGCCATCAAACACCGATTGGGAGCGTTCGGCGTACAAGCAAGCGCCGAGCACGTCCACGTCGCGTCATTCCGACCCTGGACTTGCCCGCAATGAGCTGCTGAACTTCGCCCGCGGCAGCTTTTTGGGGGGCGGTCGCCCGCACCGCGCTGAGGGACGACCGCGCTCCCGCAAGGTGCACTTGTCATCGGCCGCCAAGCGCGTGAAGAAGCTCGAGGAAGCGGAAGCGCGCTTCTCTGTGCAGCGGCAGGCTCGGAAGCCCAAGTGCTTGCCGAGACTTGCGACGATCCCCGAGTAGAGTCGCGCTCTGTTAGGCCTTCATCCAGCCAAGCCCGCCGGCATCGAAGGCGGCGCTTGCAGTGTACAGTTCTTATCTATCGCAGCATAACTTACAGAGAGATCAGTATGACCATGTACGCCTCGTGTCCCCTCGCCAGTGAAGCGGTGCCGAACATTAGGTGCCGACATACACCTTGACGGATCTCATGTAGCAGAGAGTTCCAGCGGAACGATACAGTAGAAAGAGCCACGCGTTAGTCGCGACGAGCATTGGACTTAGGGTGTTCAGCAGCTTTACTGCAGCGCGCGTAGCGCATGCGTCGTGTTGTGGCCGTTTTGGTGCCCTCGGGGCGGACACATGAATTCCATCTAACGTGTATTTTGTAGAGCAGCAATTCAAGTTGAAGTCGTTCTTCGACCACCTGCCTATCCACACTTACCCGGTGATCACCCGCACGCCGCCGAGTGACGCGATGGTGTGGGCGAAGTCATGGTTGGGCTGCTTGATAAACATGAGGTTCTTGGGCTGGCTGTACTTGCGCGAGACCCACTCGACCATAGCGGGCCCGAAGGGACCCTCGACGCTGAGGAAGTTGAGCTTGATCTTGAGGTACACGTGGTCGAACATGGACACCGTCTCCTTAAAGCCTTCGGGCACAGGCGTGCCGTGCGGGTGGCAGTGCACGATGTACAGCGTGTGCGTCTGCTCGTTGGTGCGCACGTACAGGATGGCCTTGTTGATGATGTTCAGGTTCGGCGTCTTGCAGAAGAAGAACACGGCCGGCTCGTTGATCTCGCGGATGAAGCGTGCGATAGTCTGGCCGCCGCGGGCACCCGTGCGGAGCGAGTGGGTTTCATCCTCGTCGATGCTGCGTTGAGACGGACAGAGCTGCCGCATGCAGTACAAGCACATCCGCAGCAGGAACGTCCGCTCGAACATGATGTACACCAGCGACAGCACCGCGATGAAGTAGAGCGAGAAGTACGTGAGAATCGTTGGGTCACCGAGCAGGTTTCCCATGAATGTCGTCACCACCATCGTCACACCCAAGACGCAGCTCCACCAGGGCGCGATCACTGAGCGCGGGATCTCTGCGCGCTTGAACTTGAGCAGCATGCAACCCATTCCGAACAGCGTCATGAGGCCCAGGAAGGCGTACGTGTACACGCCCGACAGTGTCTCCGTGTCGCCGTGCAGGATCAGCACCAGACTGGTTGCCACCAGGAAGTAGCCGATAATGATGAAGTGGTTCGTTCCGCGCGCCTTGTTCACGTGAAGCAGGAACTCCGGCACCACACGGTCGCTCGCAAGCCGACGCACGAGACCAACAACACCCACATACGCGGTCAGAACGGCGCCGGAGAGCACGATGAACGCGTCCAGAGCCACGATCAGCTGCATGTTCTCGCCAGCGACCTTCAGTCCCATTTCCGCCAACACCGTGTTCTTCTTGTCCACAATTCCTCCGGGCCCATCAAGAGGCAGCACACCGAGCGACAGCAAAGAGATCATCGGGTTGAAGATGGCAACGCCCCACCACATATTCTACAATCAGCAGACACCACAACTGTCAGTCAGCGATATGTTTACAGGATCCGCGCAATGAGATCGACTTACCCGCAGCGTTTTGGGGAAAACACCATCAGCCTGCTCCTCCACAAACTGCGACGACGTCTCGAACCCGGAGATTCCAAGCATGGCAGTCGACGTGCCAAAGAAGATGGCCGTCAGGAAGTTGCCCGACATGATGTCTCCTGCCAAGTTGATGTCTGGGAAGTCCGTGCTGAAGTTCGCGTGGAGGGTCTGGAAGCCGTCGTTCCAGACGTAAACGGCAGACAGCACGCAAAGCACTGTGAGCGTAGTAGCGTGGGTGATAAAGATCACCAGCGCCACGACAGCGCTCTCCGTGATGCCGATGAGACTCAGCATCGCGAAGATGAAGAGCAGTCCGACCGTAGCCGGCACAATCTCCAGCGACGGCACGTGCGACGCCAAGTAATTGCACGCCGAAGTGCCGGAGACAACACCCGTCGCAATGTACGACAAGATCGCGAGCGACGCCGCCATGGCAGCCACGCGCTTGGACGTGGTGTTGAGCAGGACGTTGTACGAGCCTCCGTTGAGCGGCACGGCGTTCAGCACCTCGCCGTAGATGAACCGGTACAGGTACAAGATGCCGGCCACGATGGCAAGAGCCACGGGCGCCAGCTTGCCGGCCTTGGAGGCCACGAGGCCCGACACGTACAGGCAGCTGGACAGGATGTCGTTGCCGCAGATGGCGGTGGCCAGCCACTCCGACAGCTTGGGGTGGTCCATGGACTGGTGCGCGCGGATCTCGTTGAGCTCGCTCTCGCTCGCCACCGCGGTGAGGTTGTCGCCCCAGCCGGGGAACTCCCAGCCCTTGAGCGCGTTCGTGTTCTTGTCCACGTGCAGCATGAGCGGGCTCAGCGGCGGCGTGCTGGCGCCGATGCCCAGGCGCACGTGGCTCGGGATCGCCCCGTAGCCCCCGGGGTGCTGCTCCTTGTCGGCCATGGATGAACCTGAGTTGGATCGGAAGCACGGCGGCGGCAGCGGCGTGCGAGCGGCGCTTGGCAACTCTGGAAGTGTCACAACTGCAACTGACGTAAGATATAGTTTGCTCGATCAGATACCACCGATACCGGTAATATACCGGTAGGGGGCTCTGATTGGCACAACGATGTCGGTAAATGTTGGGTGAAGGCGTGCCTACACTGGAGCGTTCATGAGTGTTTGGTTCTTGTGGAGACCTACTTCGTACTACTGTAGCAGTAAGTCTTTGCGAAGCACTTCATCAAATGAGAAATAAGCCGAGTACGATTGATGAAAGTGCATTTTGTGTTTGTGTGAAAGGCGCACATACATGCACTATCTTGAGGCACCTCAGTTACCTGCAGCTCACAGGTCGTTCAGCTGCTTCACGTTGTTGCGCAGAAGCTCCTCGTCCGCGCCGGAAAACTTCAGTATCATTGCAACAGCACCGATATCCAGAGTGAGTCAAGTGATCTTCAAAAACTTCACACGCATTTCTGTCTTACCGAGAGCGACTGCTGGAACTTGCCATCCATGAAGTAGAAGAACGTAGGCATCGACTGCAGCACACGAGCACAACAACAACAACAACAACAAAACCGTAAGCATGTGGCAAGGCCAGACCCATACCAGCAACGGCAGGACGTACGCGGACGCCAGCCTTGGAGGTCGTGTCGTTCAGCTCGTCCACGTCCAGCTTGGCGAAGTCAATGCCTTCGTACTTGGCACTGCAGTATGGCATCAGCAACAACGTAAATCAGATACGCTACAACGCCGATCCATAAATTAGTTCAGACGCCCACCTCAGCTCGTCGTAGATGGGTCCGATCATCTTGCATGGCGGGCACCACTTGGCCGTGAAGTACACGATCGCCTTGCGGCCCGTTCCCTCCTACGTACACGACACCGACAGCGACGATCAGTTAAGATCCATTTCGGGCCTGTCAACGTCCCCCTGCAAAGTGATTTCACGCACCGTAGCGATCTGCGTGTACGCCTCATCCGAGCCGATGATCTTGACGCGGCTTCGGGCGCTCGTAGACAGCGCGCGGCTGCTGCGCAGCGCGGCCCGGGACGTGAATACCTTGCGCATCATACTGATTTTCAAAAAATGGAGTGATGCTAAAAATCCCAAATTGGGTGGGTACCACCCACTGTACACCCACTGTACCACCCACATTTTGACGACCCTGATAAGGGGTTAATCCAAAATTATGTTGAAATAGGAGTTTAAATAATAAGGGTTAACACATGAAGTTGGTGCTTTGCTCATTTGTGTCTTGCGCAATGGAGAGCTCCGAGTCTGAGGCCGGGAGCCGCGACGACCGCATGGCGACGAAGGCGGGGAGGCGCGCCGAGCTGCAGAAGCTGTCAAGCGAGGAAGGCGAGTGGACACTGTACCGCACGCTGTGCCAGTTCAGACTCGGCTACTTCTCGTTCCTGGTCCTGATGTGCATCCTCATGTTCAGCGTCACATTCCTGATGGAGATCTTCTTCGCCATCTTCCTGCCCAGCGCACGCATGGACGCGTACTTCACAGTGCGGGCCATTGTGCTGCTGGCCTTCCTGCCGTTCGCGCTGATCTTCCTGTCCTACTGCTTCGAGGAGTCCAGTCGACTGTTCCTGGACGCGATTGACACGAGGGAAGGCAGTCTGGCCAACTTCCGTCTCTCGCTCTGTGTGTGCATCCACTACATGCGCCACTGGCGGGCGATGCCCGACGACCGACTGGAGAGAGAAAGGTTCGACGCGTTCCGCGGAGACGACGAAGACCAAGAGGCCTGGTCGCGCTTGGTGAGCTGCATCACTGCTGGGCCAAAATATCTTCTGAGCACCATCTATACCAATGACCCGTTCAATGACAAGAACAAGGAGTCGGAGGATGAGATGAGGTACGAACTGGAGCTGCTGTTCCAGAGAGAGCAGACCGAGGAGTCTGGTCACAAGCGCAGCAGTCGCTTCCTTCGTCACCGAAGCAGTAGCAACAGCAGCAGCAGCAGCAGCAGTGACGAAGAAAACTCGCCCTCGGCTCGGTGGAAACGTGCGTTTCAAGCTGCCAGCACAACAGTCAAGTTCAACACCACGCACTTTGACGGGCCCCCTCTGGACTTCTCGACGCTTGTCATCACCGACGTGCTGTGCCCCTTTGTTTTCGAAGTGATCACCATGTGGACCTTTATAGTTTCACTGCTCGCGAACATGTCCCCCCTGGCAGCTTTCTTGGACTACATTCAGTGCGGATTCTACATGCAAGCAACATATCTGGGCGTATGGATGATCTGCCATTTCTGCAGTGCTCGGAACCGCAAGATGCGCGAGTTTGTGAGTAACTACCGACGACGCTATCGCGATATGCAGCGAGAGCTACTGGAGATGGAGAATGAGAAGCGGGCAGAGCATCTTTGGTTGGTGAGCATTGGCTTCCGTGCGGTGGAGCAATTCCAGACCAGCTTTTACACGTTTGTGGAAGCTGCTTTTGAGTTTGGAGGTCGGTGTCGCGATACTTGCTGTCCTTGGAGATCTTCAGCAACTTCTGAAACGATAGCTTCGAACGAAGAGAGGCAGCCGCTGAATTCTGGCGACGAAACACAATACGTTCAAGCAGATACGACCGCAGAAGCGATAACGGAAGGCACGTGCGACCCTGTTCGGGACGCCAACGAAACCCAGGAGGCACTGGAAGGGAAGCAACGGATACACAAAATTGGAGAACACATACACGAGATGAACCTTTGGGCGAAATTTTCCTATGAGCGTCGACTACGAATCTTGTGGCCAATTGTAGTTTTCAGTGCGATCATCTCATTCTACGCGTTCTACCTCGGTTGGGGCATTATGGGGATTTGCCTTATTCTACTTGGCGATACAATTCAGGCCAAATTTCCTCAGGTACGATACGATACGCTTCTTCACTCAAGTCATTTTATGTTCTAAAGCTATTCACTAACGTTTGATGTGGCTTTCCGGCAGATCTTTGGGCTTACGTTCAAGTCGTTTATCACCTTTTTCGTGATTCTATCATTCGTGTTTTTCTCGTCAACGTGGGCAGTTGGCACCTTCGTCCAGGGTGGGGATTTCTTTGTTTATCCACCGACGGCTGAATCTCTTGCTACTTCCTCAACTCCATTTGCAAAACACTCGACGGGGTTACCAGGCCACTGGACAAAGGTCGCCGAGTATCCAGTGTGTGCTCTCCACGTGCAGTCGCTAAACATCGTGGACTTCGCTCTCATAGCTGATGCTGTCTACGGTTGGAACACTGCAGTTCAAGTCAAGTCGTTCAATCAGCGCTTCAATGGCACGGAACTTGGCGATTGGGAGTACGTAGCGCGCAACAACGAAGATGCAGGCCACCAAGTGTGGGCGGAGCTGTACTTCCCCACGATCAACATGACGGTTATCGCTGTTCGCGGCACCGCCACAGCGACCGACGCTCTCGAAGATCTGCACTACTGGTTCGGTGTGAGTGTCATGCAGGCTGCCAACATTTTCTTCCCATTCCTGAAGCAGCTCCCCAGCGAGTTTGTCGTGGAGATGCTTTCGATGAAGTTCCTTCGGACCATCATGCCCCCTCCAGTGTACTCCGAGCTGCTAGACCACGTGAACGTTGTGCGCAAGCGTGTTGGTGGGGACCACCTCGTCCTCACTGGTCACAGTCTTGGAGGAGCGATGGCCGCGATGGTCGGCGCTAAGACGCACACGCCGGCCGTGTCGTTCTCAGGGCCTGGTTTGCTCTACTCCCGGGGTCGATTCGACGTGGATGACGAGTCGATCCGGGACTATGTGCTGACCATTAAGCCTCGCCATGACATCGTGCCTCAAGTTGACGAGCTGGGTGGAATGGTGCAGGAGATCGAGTGCCGAAGAGACAACCCGCTTGCCTGCCACAGCACCGTCACGCACATGTGCGAGCTGTACGCTGCGTGTGGCGACAAGCGCAAGCGCGACTGGTCCAAGGCCAGCCAATGCCAAGAGTATTTCCACGGCAAGTAAATAAGTTGCCCGACCACTTCAACTCGCAAGATGGCTACACTGTCAATATACTAGCTTTTTCTATTGCCCTGTAAATATACTGCAGTTTGTATTGCTCTAAATTGCGACACCACCTTACCTTGCCAGCCATAGTGAGAGAGGAATTCGCCTTCGAGAACGATGAGCAGTAGCGCAGCGCGCGAGGAGGTGGCGACGGAGGTGGTGGCGCCGCCCGCACCCACGGGCAGTGCCCCAGTCTACCGCATGGAGCTGCAGCCGCGACCGCACGTGACGTTCGACGAGAGCGTGGTGGACAACGAGCACCTCGGACGCAGACGCTCCAACAGTAAGTTGCGCGAAATGAATATCCGAGAGCCTTCTGTTGTCATGGGCTCACTCGCTATGTTGCAGAATGTTGTATTTTCCACAAGAAGAGGGAGTTCGGCGAGAGCTCCAGCGAGAGCGGCGAGGACTCGGACGACTCGAGCAGCGGCGGTGAGCGTCATCATCAGCACGCGCACGACTGCAAGCACAAGGTGCGTCGTCGTCGGACCAAACCCAAGAAGCGTGCGCCGTCGCCGTCATCTTCCGACGAGGAGAAGATGCCCGCACCGTCGCAGTAAGAGCAGACTGCTGCGTTCATATAGTTGGTTAGTCACACAGAAACTCGAGCGGTGTTGACTGTGAAAAGAGAGCGAGGTGTAGGAGGAAGCACTTTATGTATTCGAGCGTGGAACGCTGACTCGCCGAGAGCATTAGCTCTGGGACGAAGCCCTTCCACGCAATTAACACTGCAAACAGGAACGCTAGAAGTAATACAGACCGTTTGCACGAATCCCGTACTTCGAAGTGTTGTTGGTTTACTGGGCTGTGCTTGCTTGTGCCTCCACTTTCGCCTGTTCAGGTTCACCTTTCGCCTGCTCCGTCTCCGATTTCGCTTGGGTTTCAACTTTCGCGTCGCTCTCTGGTGCCGCCTCAGGTTCCTTTACACACAAAGTTTTCAACAGTTTAATCAGTAAATTGTCACTGCAGCACAGGAAGCATACACCAACCGTAGCTCACCTTGTACTGGTCGACAATCAGCATGCAGTCAATGATCGCGCGCGAGTTTAACAACGAGTTGTCCCATAAATTAAGCAAATGGAGCAAAAAGTTGTGGCGCAGCCCGTGATCCAAGAGCCACTTTCCGTGGTCCCGAGCAAACTTGCGGCAAGAGGACGCAACCATAAAATCCGCCAGAATTCTACTCATGCAACACGCAACGAAAAACAGTCAGTAACCTATTCGCGTTGCTGATACCCACACAATAGAGCAACCACGTACTTAAATTCCTTGACGTGGCGGTTCCACTTCTTCATGAACTCCTTCTCTTCCAGCGACACGTCTTCAAACTCGTCCAGTAACTACAATATCGAACAAACCAACCGGCATTAGGAACGATCATAATGAAAACTTCCAGGGCGTGAATCAATAGCGCTACAATATTCACCCGTACCTTTTCGCTTTGCTTCGTGATCCAAGTTTCGTCCACATCGTCGTCACTGTCATAATCTTTTTCGTGGTCCAACACCACAGCTCCTGTTCGAGAGTGGAAGTACTGGCGCTGAAGAAGCGGTGCATAAAACTCCTGCGGTTGATCTTGGGAGATCTCCATCTCATCGAATTCTTGCATCAGACCCTCGACAGCCTCCACACCTTGCGAGCCATGCGGGCCGTACTTCTTTCCGGACACGTGCGTAAAGTGGTGCTCAAATCGACTAGGCTCCTCATTCGGGAACATCTCAAGCTCAGAGAAAGCAGAGCGGCGTCCAGGACTTCCCTTGTGCGGCTGGTGCTCCTGCATCACCATCACATAGATGTGCGGGATGTTGTCATGCCCAACCTGCAATTTAATGAATTACTAAGTTAGCTCACTAAGTTCTCCACACCAACCTCTTCTCTAAGAAAAAAACGCACCGTAGCTTGGAAGCGGAAGCGGTCGTGCGAGGACACAAGGTGCGCCACAAGACCACGAAGCGACCCAGCGAACATGTTACACCATGCACATGAGTATTCGGAGCGTTTTTCGCTCATTCGACGAAGCATTGAGTGATAGAGGAAGTGGAACCAAACCTACATACATCAGGACAAAACATTTAGCTACGACCCAGTTATGATGCGACGCAACCAACAGCAAACGTACCCCTGCGCACGGTTTACGCTCCGCGCTCGCGATGTCTCGTTTCGGGACCGCCAGCGTAAAACTCTCGACGTTTTGATTGTCATCACCCTCGACCTTCAACTTCGCCTCACAGATCTTCGCGAGACGCTGCATCTTTTTCGTCTTGGGCAGAGGATCCCAAGTAAGACGGAACTCGCACTTGACGCCACCATGCACCGAGGACGCGATGGCCGGCAGCTCAATGCTGACGTAGCCCACCCGACGTCGCGACACGTTAAGCCGCGTGATGTTGCCGAACAGGGGCGAGCGGCCGTTCACCGCCGTCGTCAGCAAGTCCTTCCCACTCACAGCAGTCGCTGTCGACGGCGCTGCAAACGTAAACGCCGACTGCGCTGCAAGCTCTTCGCCAACGTCACTGATCTCCACCACCTGGAAGGCCAGCACGACGATATCCGCGTTCGGGTGCAAGAACTGCTCGGGCAGCAGCACGTCCTTGGAGAACGGGACGGGGATCAAGCACGTGGCCAGCAGCGTGAACTGGTTGTCGTCGAACTTCTTTCCAGCAGCTGAGAACACCGAGATGAGCACGCCTGGCCGCTGCTTCTGGCTCTTGAAGGCCTCCATGGTGTCGGGCGTCATGCCGATCTTGAAGTCCGCGAGCTTGGCGCCCGCCTGCGCCGTCTGCGGCTGCGTCTTCCCCTCTCCTTTCACCTCCGCCTTGTCCTTCTGCTGCCACGCCGGGTCCAGGCGGTAGCTGAGCGTGCGCGGCAGGAACAGGGGGCTCTGCAGGTGCTTGACCTCCAGCAGCTTGTAGAGCGCCGTGAGCCCGTGGTACGTCTCGGCGAACTCCTCCTCCATGTGCTCCTGGCGGACCTTGGTGCGGCGCTCCTTGGTCAGCGGCAGCTTGCGCTCATGGCTCTCGTCGCGCTTGCGCTTGCTGCTCCCCGACTCGGCCATGGCTCAGCTCCGTTTTGCGCGCAGTTCCTGGAAATGCGGGCAGCCAACCCCGACCACCTGTGTCACGTCATAAATATGCTACCCAGTAGGTATCAGGTAGGCTTTATCATGGTGTTATGTGTATTCATAGGAAGAGTCTACAGTGAGGATCTTTTGCTTCTCTTCAAGCAGTCGAAGAGCTGCCTGCCCCAAGCCGAGGCCATGACGGTATCCAGCAGCAGCGGCAGCACTGAGGCGGCGAGCAACAGCGCGGCGCCGGCCTCCTCCGCGACGTCTATGGATACCGGCGCGGACGACGCGTCCACGCTGCGTACGTTCGCCGTGATCCTGTGCAGCGAGTGCCAGTACCTGGAGTTCCCCGGCTGCGACGTGCACGGCGCGCTCTACACGCAGCCGCTCACGGACGCGGACGGGAAGCTGCACGCCAAGTGTCCGACCTGCACGGCCGCCACCAACAACGCCAGGCCGTTCCGAGACGGCTGTCGCCGCTGCAAGGCGACCACGACCGTGTCCATGTGGGTCTGCTCGCTGCAGGAGATCCAGCAGGCCATGGAGGCCTTCCCCGTCGCGACGGAGGAGGTCGAGCACACGGTTATTAACTGCGAGCGCTGTGCCAGCGTCATATTCCCGCGGGCCAGAGAGGTGCTCACCACTCGCTCGGCGACGCAGCCCCTGGCTGCTGCTAGCGGGAAGCCAATGAAGGTGGCGAACTTCCAGCTGAGCATGCCCCACGTGGACGGGTGTCTTCGCAAGGGCATGCCGCTGCAAGCGGTGCCTGTACGACTGCCCAAGAGCGAGCTGAAGTTTGTGGTGGAGAGGATTGCCAGGTGCCCGCTGGCGCCGAGGTTGACGGGCAAACCGCAGTACCGACCGAGGAAGGTGGAACTGATCACTCAACAGAACCATCTGCACCAGGTGAGCAAGCAAGTGGCTGATGAACATACAAAAGAGAAGGATATATAACAGAGTATTTGGTTGTTATGTAGGTGGCTATTAAATTGCTTGCAACGGTTGTAGGCGCGTTCGATCCGAATTCACCTACTGCAGTGGGGCCTCTTCGGCAGGTATGTACTTGCCGCTGCAATAATTTTTCGTATTTTTTTTCTGGCATCAAGTACTGAATGATACCAATTATTAGGTTGTTGCACTGCTGGGAAAGATGGAGCCACTTGCGTTATTTTCTGAGTGGTCACCGCCTCGGCAACTATCAGAGGAAAATGTGATTCCGAAGGAAGTGACTTCGAGTTCTGCATTTGACGACCAGCATGTCATCTCTAAGTACGTTACCAAGTGATCAGATGAAAACACGGCAACGATACTGATGTATGTATTTTGGTGATACGTGCAGCATTTTAGATAGTGGATCAAGCTTTTGGAGGTCAGCAAGCAAGGCCGAAGCTGAATCGACCCAGCCTGGGGAGTGGATTGTGTGCCAATTTGCATCTGCAGTGACGCTGTCTTCCATTGAGCTGAAATGGCACGCAGATTTCGTACCAGAACGCTTTTCCTTAAGTGTCTCAAAAGATGGAATGTCGTACGAAGCGGTGGCTATTGTGACCGAGCGCAACTCTGACAGCCGAATACTCGTGCCAAAGGTTTGTGATGCCAGCTGCGTTAGGCGCGCCTTTTGGGAGTATTCATGTATTTTATTATTGTGTGTTTGAATGCAGGGGACGCTGGCGACTTCTATCAAGATTACATTGTTTTCGTCCAATTTTGTCGGTAGGCTACACGTCGCACTGTATGTAAGACGTTCATTTTGAAGTGACAAGGTCTGACCATAATTTATTGAAACCAGGTGAAACATTTGGGCTCGAGTCGATCACATGCAAGGAGGCAGCCTTTCCCTCTTTGCATACTCCCGCCGGTGTGGTGCTACAAAACATTCAACAGTGGCTACTTGATGCTGCTGTTTCGACATTACCTGATGTCCGAGATCTGGCCCTTCAGGCGCTTCAAAAACTCCTACTTGCATCAGGCTCCCTCTGCGGACTCCTACAGCTCGCAACATGCCTCGTACTCAATACTCGTGTGGAATCAAGCGCCCCGGCTATTGATATGCAAACTTGGAACCGACTGGACGAGCTCTCCGAAGACGCCCAGTCTTCGACACACTTGTTCCTGGTGGAGCTAGCAACGGCGATTCAAAGTGTGGTGATCGGAAACCACTCGCAGGTTGATCAGAAATCCCTTCTCGACAAGCATGCCGTTGAAAAACTGTTCATGTTACAAGAAGAGATTCACGCTCCAGAGAGTAACTCATCGTATACGGTAAGAACGTCGATTGACGTATATTTGGCGCTGAAATGATTTCTAACAAAAATGACGAAATCCTCCAGGCCGGCGATGATCCTGCGTCGCTTTCTTCTTTGATCATCTTACTGGCTGGAAGGCAAAAGTTTTTGGATTGTGTTAAGCGCCGGTCACAGGTACGTTGAAGCGTGCGACGTTACTCGTTACACTTTCGCTAAGCAAGGGTCTAACGTATTTGCCAATGTGCTTGTAGCTGGGGATAATTGTTATGCATATGCTTAGCGAGCTATCGGCGTGGCAAATGAAACGAATGCAGAAAGCCGAAGAGTTCACGGGAAAACGCGAGCTTGAACTCATGCAGTTAGAGGAGCCTTTCTCGATGGAAATTTGTCCCGATTTTTTTACGATATCGCATCGATTGCTGGTCAGCGTGCTGGCACGGTGGCTTCCAAGTGGGCTAAAATATGAAAAGGCTGATCTTCGGCCAGAGGAGGAAGAAGAAAAAAAGGAAAGCGATTCTGCACTCAACGCTAGCCGTGCGATCCAAGACGTATACGATGCCTTGGCATCCTCGTTCTTGCAGTTTCGTGTGGATTTTGAGAAGCCGCGGGCGCCAATCGAACAGGATCCACCACCACAGACGCTTAACGGGGGATACGAGGGCCATTCTAAATTCTCACCTGATGGTCTATGTGTTGCGGTACTCGAGATAGTAACCTCCAACCTTCGCCGCTTGGTTCTCTCCAGAATTGATCCGGTCGATATAGGTATCAAGCCGGCATTCGTTCAAAGCGAAGATGACTTACTGTCGGCCCCGCCAGCGTTAAACCCGACGGTGTCTTCTCTCGAACAGTTAATATCACTGGGCACAAAGCGAAGTGACGCATTCTTCCCTGTATCCTTGAAAGCTGCTGCCGCGATGGAAGTTGGGACCGAAGCTTTCTATCCGTCAGCACACCAACGAACGAAAGTGCTGGCTTCACGTATGGGCAAGGGTGCCACGCTGGAGGTCCAAGTACGCTGGCCTGTTCAGGAGCGGGATCAGGAAGACCCGCGTTACGAAAGGCTAATCCTGATGCTTCAGTTCGAATGCATTAAGCTGGGGATTCGACACGCCATTCGAGGAAGCTGGCATTTTTTCATGCACTTGGTGGTGGAGGTGCCTTCGACGCGTGACACGGAGGAAGTGCTCACGCAACACTTCGCCCCATGCATTCAGCGCGCTGGCTTTTCGTCGTGGCAAGTAGCTGCAGGGGCGCAGGAGCTCTCGATCAATTTACAGCGGCATCTCCATTGGAACCGTGTTGAGAAGATGTCTCAAGACTCTGGGGCCGGGTGGATTCGCGTGTATCCTGCCGACGTTGCTGCCTATGACGAGGTGCTCGCGGATGTTGAAGGATTTCTCTCAGAGCACGGAAAGTATAAGGCGACACCGGCGCGCCCGTAGCGCCGCGAAATGCCGTTCTCCAGATGAATACAATAGACTTGTTGAATCGCCGAAGTTTATTGCCTAGGAGCTAAATACCTCGAGCAACGAGTGTCACGACGGCCTTGTCGGTAACAGAATAGGCGAAAAGCGATGTAGCAACTTTTCCTACGACCTTGGGCGTGAAAGTTACCATGACTTCGATAAACTTTCGAGGCTCGATCGTGGTCGTTGTATACGCACACGAAAAAGGTTCCTGCAGGTCCTGCAGGAAAACGGTCATCGACGTCTTGGACCCATTGCACACATACACCGGTACCTCATGGGATTCGCCAACGTTGCAACAGCCGAACTCCACGGCTCTGGCATGGAAATACAGTCCTCGCCGCTTTCCACGCTTTGTGTAGTAAAAAGAGTCCGTTTGCGAGGAAAGCTGGTGCCGAGATCGTGCGATCTCATCGAACGGTGGGAGTACTTGAATCACTCGGCGATCGACAACGACACTTACTTCTCGTGAATAGGCTTTACCGACTCGAACTGTTAGCGAGCCGAACCAATTTTCGGCCCTTGGAGTCGAACTGACGCTGCTCGTGTCACCTCCAGTTCGCCGCTGGGTGAACGGCTGCGATATCGGCAGCACAGAAACAAAAACTTCCGATGCAGGTTGGATCATACCAGTGTCGGGACGGACATTCAGGTTTTCCAGCGCATGGACTTTGAACGGCAACGCGTGGGCCGTATTGTTGGCCAATCGAAGCTTGGCTCTCTTGATCACCACTTCGCCGCTTTTGTTTCGAACTCGGTCAAACCGAATGAATGTGGGGCTAACTTCCACTTGATCCCCAGAGGAGCTGGCTTGCAACTCCTGGATACGTTCCTTAGTATCGGTCTCCTTCCGCGACTGAGTGGTGGTTGCATTCCTCGGTGCCTCCAGCTCCTTCTGCCGTCGCACACTGGCTTCAATGACAACTTCATAGGGATGGAATAACGACTCGACACCGACCCCCCTAAACTGGAAGATCCCCGATACGGCTCCCGCGTACCGTGCGTTAAAAGTAACGTGGAACGCACTTGAGGCCTTTGGACCCAACTCCAACACAGCGGGAGACACACTGAACTGTTGGCATCCAGTGCTCAGAGGCAGAAGGGAGACACATATTCTTCCGACCGAGTTCGTCCCATTCGTAAAGACGACCTGCTCCGTCATGACGTCACCAACTGAACAGAGGAATCTGCGGCACCGACGTGGTATCTACACGCGTAGGCAACAGATACGTCTTAGAGTCCTGCATGACATTGAATCGTAGCAAGTTGGGCAGCCTCACCATCGCAGCTTCCATCGTCACATGCAGCTTGTTGCGCTCCATCTGCACAGAACATGAAATTTCGAGGCATGCAGGTAAGGATTTTAGCTTGCAGATATCACGTATAACCTGTGACGTACCAGATCTAGGAATCTGTCCGAGGGCACTGGCTGCTTTTGAACTGCTGTTAAACCCGCCTCGAAGGCATTAATCGCATGACGCTGTCCGCCCACGGGTTTCCTCTTGGAGACACTTCGCAAGTCATCCTGAGGTCTCTCTTCGTAACGAAGATGCATGGCATTCAACTCCGCGTCATCTGGCTCAGAGTCCCCATACCGTTCTGGAACTGCTTTATCGTTCACATAACTTTCATTTTTGCCAGGCCCGCCGTAGTCATCGACAAAATCCCCAACACCACGCCTGTCATCATGATCGCTCCCGCATTCAGTATCATCTGCCTCTACGCGATAAGCTCCATCACGGAATGGGTTTTGGGTGGCTGCCACGTCCGCCAAGGATTGATCCAGCGTAACTGATGTCGCTCGGGATTTTAAGCCTTCTGATCGCTTCGAGTTGATGCCATTAAAACGCTTGCTGGAGAACCGGTTAGCTTTCCGATCTCGATGCTTCTCGTCAATGAGATTCGTAGAAGAATCGAGGCCATTCTGTGCTTGGGGTGCTTTCAAAAACCGATTACGAGAATCAGTTGACCTCTGGCTTCGGGATGCAGAATCAGTGTTGGACGGGCAAGGGACTTCACGGATGGTGTCAAGCTCAGGCGTCTCTTGAGAACGACTACGTCGAACCCCACTCGGGGCCTGTCGACCGGTTTCAGTGCCACTAGAAAGCCGCTCGAGATCTCGACTCCGACGACTAGTATCATCGTCCACCAGGGAAACGGAAACATCTTCTCCCCAACTGTCTGTTGTCCGGGACAGCGGCAGCATCGATTCCAGTGGGCGCTCGTAGTCACGCACAAACTCTCTCATGTCCTCGGACAGTTCCACACCCAATGGATCCTTTGCGGTAGGAGCCGTGGCCAGTCGGATGGAGTTGTCAATAAGAGCATCGATTTCATCTAAGGATTCCTTGATGACTCCCGGTCCACTCTGCAAGTTAGCCACATACTCCGGCGATGGATCCTCCGCAATATCTTGATCCGGTAATGACGGAGTCTTTTTCGTAACCGCCTTCGCCTCGCCTGTGTGATCTGCAACGCTTAAGTCAGGCTCACTCTCGATGCGCAGTTCGTTTGCCCTCCTGAAACGACTTTTATCCTGGATGCTCATAAAAAAATATCAATATAACAGCAATTGGGTATAACAAAGTGCTGTTTCACACACCTGCAGATACTTCAACGAGTTCGGCGTGTACATGAGCTTGGCATTGTCAAAGTGGACATCGTAGCCCGACGAAAAGGCTGTGCCCTATGGAGCCACACATAATCAGTCGTTATAAATCTCCAACAAAAGCTCCTTAGACGATACCAAATTCAACGCACCGATCCTGAAAGCCCAGAGCTGCCGTTAAAGTTGTCATGAATGACTACATCCTGTCGTGCAGCATTCGGGGAAAGCCTCTTTGGCGTGCACAGACCTGATCCTTCTCCTTCATCTTCCACGCAGTTCCCTTCAAACTGTTAAGCGGCAACAGAACCAGTCAGCACCAAACGCGAAACTCTGTCACCAACGCTAGCTGCCAGTACCAACGGATCGTCCACATTTCTGGGCGACGACAGCTCCACGTGATCCAGATTCCGCGACTTCCTTTCGAAGAAGTCGCTGGGCCGTCCACTCGAGTTCACCTGGTCCCAATTGTCCCCAGCCAGCGGCCCCACGTCCTGGGAGAAGCTGTCGTCTCCCCCCAGCTCATTATTCTTCAAAAACGTAGCTAATTCAGTCATAGAGACCGCACACAGCACGCCCAAAAGCACAGTCAGCATCAATGTCAACACTAGTTAGGCCTTTCAGCCACGCAATTGCAGCGCAGAACGCACCAGCGTCCACGAACTCATCCTCCGCCGGCATCTTCTGCTGCTCCTGCGTCTGTTCTGCGAGCTCGGAGGCCGGGAACGCGTCCATCGTCGGCAGGTCGAAGCTGTCGTCCCCTTCCTCTAAATACTGACCGCCCAGAGCGTCCGCCTCTGCGTTGTAGCGCTCGTGCTGCTCCGTCTCGCGCTCGATGGCCGATATAAAGCTGAGCTCGTCGCCCACGCCGCTGCTGCGGCGGCGCTGCTGCTTCTGGCGCTCGATTCGGCTCTGCGCCTTCTGCTCCTCCCATCGCTCCAGGTACGACGCCATCTGCGTGCGCGGCGGCGTCGGCATGGGCACCCACAGCGGCGTCCGCCTTCGACGTCAGTTGCTGGTGTGCTCTTTTTGGGAGCGCGCGCGCTCACTTTTGAGTGTTTGAACCTTTCGACCCAAAATTCTTTTGGGTCGACCCTGTTTTTGGTCACAACAGTACCTTCGCGTGTTTATCTGAAATTCGATGCATACAAAGTTCAAGATGGCGTCACACGTCGCAGATTCCTGTGGTGGATGGAGCGCAAGCGCAGCTTTCGCCCACACACTAACGAGCGATCAGCAGCGCTCATGGCGACCGCAGCAACTCCGGTGACGGCGGAGGCCAAGCAGGTGGCCAAGCCAGCGCCGGCCAAGGCGCTGTCGGCTGCGACTACTGCGCAGCCGCCAGCTGCTGCGACCAGCGTGCGCGTGCCCAGCAGCAACTTCACCTACCGGCACTTCCTTGGAGGTGCAGTCGGTGGCATGACGGCCGCGCTCATCACGTCGCCGCTGGAGGTGGTCAAGACGCGGCTCCAGATCCGTGGTGGAAGGTGGGTCCCGCAGTGTTGAATGGGGTGCGGTGGATTGACTTGACTGTGGTTGTTGCATTGGTTCAGCGGATCCTTCGGCACCCAGACGACGTTCGGTGTTATGCGCTCGATCGGACGATCCGGTACGTTCCTGCTGCCTCTGTAGTGTTTGAGTGGAGAGAGATCTTGTTGGCGCTTTGCTGATGAAGTGGTTGCATGTGTGTTGATACAGAGTCGGTCTTTGGTCTGTGGAGAGGCATCACGCCCACGCTCATCGGCGTCATGCCGGCGCGCGCGATCTACTTCGGCGCGTACTCGACGTTCAAGGACAAGTTTTCAAGCTACGGCTTGAACGGTCGTGCGTATAACTTCCTGTCAGCTGCTGGGGCAGGATCCATCTCGGCGACCTTGTGCTGCCCCATTTGGGTCGTCAAGACGCGTTTACAGCTCATGCCAGCGCACTCGGTGGCTGCTACTGCCGTCGCAACGCGCCAAAATGTTGTGTCTGTGGGGTTTGCCGAAGTCGAGACGGCAGTTGCAACGAAAGCCAGGCCACAGTTCTCGAGCGTCCGTCAGGTGGCTATGGACATGTACAGGAAGGAGGGCCCGCGAGCATTCTTCCGTGGCTTGTCAGCTTCGTACTGGGGCATCTCGGAAAGCGCGATCCAGTTCGCCTTGTACGAGGAGTGCAAGGATCACATCGAGGAACCGACGAACCTCAAATACTTTTTGGCGGCCGGCGCGTGCAAGCTGCTTGCGTCGTTGTGCACATACCCCCACGAGGTGCGTATTTCCTAGTTCATTGCTAGTTGTACTGGTATTCGTCACTAACAGACCGATCTATTGCAGGTTGTTCGAACACGAATGCGCGACCAGCGAGCACCGCTGGGTTCGAAGGAGCTGAAGTACGTTTGTGTCTGTCCTAGCTTTCGGGAATGACCTTGTTCTAAGTTTATTCGTGCCTTTCGTCGCAGGTATCGCTCCATGATCCAGTCCATCATCAAGATTTACAAGGAGGAAGGAAGGCGCGGACTGTACGGTGGTCTGCCGGCGCATTTGATGCGTGTCGTCCCGAACGCTGCAATTCTGTTCATGGTGGTGGAGGTGATCGCCAACCAGGACTAAGCCGTCTTCACTCTAGATCCCGCCCCGCTCTGCTCGACGCCGATTGCCGTAGTAGATAGAAGATGCAGCCGCGGGGCTCCGTAGGTAGGTAGGTAGGTAGGCACTGTAAGTAGGAACCAATGCATGCACAAGTTGTGTCACTCAACTTCAACCAGTGTACTGATGCCTTTGACTTTCTTACAAACAACTGACTCAAGTTAAGAAAGACGTGTTTTCATTGGCCAGCACTGCTGGCCAGTCATTCGATGTGCAAAAAGTCAAAGGCCACACAAACTGGTCCGTCATTCCTGCACCAGTCCGTCCGAGTACACTTACTGCAGCAGCCATGGCGTCGCTGGAGGCCCAGATCAAGAAGCAAGTGGAGTTCTACTTCTCCGACAGCAACTTCCGCCGCGACCGCTTCCTGCGCGAGGAGACCAAGAAGCGCGAGGGCGGCTTCGTGCCCTTCAGCGTGCTCTTCACCTTCAAGAAGCTGGCGGCGCTCACCGTGGACGGCGCCGTGCTGCAGGCCGCCATCGCCGACTCGGACGTCGTGGAGCTCAACGAGGCCAAGAACGCGCTGCGCCGCAAGAACCCCCTGCCCGACCAGGACGATGCGGCCGAGCGCACCATTGTGCTGGCTGGCCTGGGCAAGGCGCTGCCCACCATCGACGAGATCAAGGAGGGTCTCAAGTCGCTGGACGTGGAGCTGCTCTACATTGACCGCAAGAGCTTCCGCCGCAACTTCTCTGGTGTGGTGCACGTGGAGCTCAAGGAGAAGGACGCCGTGCAGCGCGCTGTGGACTCGGCCGCGTCGCTGAGCATCAAGGGCTACGTGCCCAACGTGATCTCGATGGTGGACTACCAGAAGCTCTCGAACGACGACAAGGTCGAGTTCGACAAGGCCACCAACGCCATGCTGGTGGCCAAGGACGTGCCTAACAAGCCCGTCACGTTCTTCCTGGACGAGCTGCTCCCCGTGTGGAAGGATGACGCCAAGCTGCGAGCGCGCGTGCGTTACTTCGAGGAGTCCAACGAGCTGTACCTGCTTTTCTCGCAGGTGGCGTTCGCTGAGAAGGTGCAGAAGCTGCTGTCCGAGGAATCGCCGGTTGTTGTGGACGAGAAGAAGATTGCTTTCGAGCTTGTGACCGACAAGGAGGCCATTAAGGCTCGCCCCCGTCGCCCGGAGAACGAGAAGGAGGGTAAGAACGTGGACAAGAAACGCAAACGCGAGGACGAGAAGGTTATCCACATCTCGAACATTGGCCCCCGCACGCGCCTCGATGACATTAAGCAGCTCCTCGCTACGGTTATTGACCCGGCTGCTCACTCGCCGTACGTTGAGTACGATGGCCTTGACATCGCGTCGTTCAGGATCGGTGTGGCTGAGGCGACCCCGCTGTTCGAGAAGCTGTCGGCGCTTTCGAAGCCGGAGCTTGGCGGCAAGAAGATTTCGTTCCACCTGCTGGAATCTGGCGAGGAGCTGAAGGTTGACGTTCAGTACGACGCCGGTCTGATTGTGCACTTCGATGAGGTGGATGGCGAGGTTTCGCGTGATGACATTAAGAACACCATCAACGAGAAGCTCGGTGACAAGGCCGCTGACGGAGAGGGTGTCGCGTTTATTAAGTACCAGATCAACGACAAGGACGGCTTCCTCCGTGTCACCACCGCTGAGCTCGCGAAGGAGGTCGTGGCCATGTTCGCGGACGGCGGACTCGAGGTCAACGGCGTGAAGATTCCGAAGGCTAGCATTGTTGAGGGCGAGGAGGAAAAGCAGTTCTGGGAGGATGCTCGTTCGGCTCGCTACAAGCGCTTCAAGCAGGCGCGTTCCAACCGCAACCAGATGCAGCGCGGCCGCGGCGGTCGCGGTGGCCGTGGTGGCCGTGGCGGCCGTGGTCGTCGCCACTAAGTGTAGACTTCAAGACAGCCCGATGCTGTTGTCTGAGCGCAGCTATAGGGCTGCAGCTGGACACGAGCGTGGGGCAACAATTCTCTTTCGTTTGGGGGCGATGTAGCTCCAGCGGATGAGACAACAGGGCCTCATAGATTCTCATCGAACGGAAAAATAAATATATTGCGGAGCCCGCGTTTCATCATTGTCAAAACTCTTAGCATTGTGCGATGGATTACTTTTCACTTTTCATGAGCGAGAAACGACGGGCCGTCGCTAATGCTGCCGTTGTTGTCAACACCAGAGCTGAGCTGGTGGATCAAGGCCTGGAGTTTCGCTTGCTTCCCAACCTCGTTCGTCTGTTTTCAGACAGTCAAGTAACCAGTTAGTGAGACGAAACCTCGAGTTCAGTCATGCGCAAGTTGCTTACCAAGTGACGGATCTCCTCTTCACATTTGCGGATGTGCTCGTCCTTCGATTCGACCACAAGACGTTGCTCTGCAGCCTGGATTTCAATCATGGCCATGTCGCTTTCGAGCTTACGATGAGCCTTCCTGAGATCATCGAGATCACGACTAACAGCGCGGCGCTTTTCTCGCTCGTCTTCTAATGCATTTCTGCTAACGGTAGCTGCGTCATCGAGCCGTGCCATCTAATTGCAAGTTTCAAAACGTTTGTGAGCCCGTTGAGGATTTCGCAAAGAGAAAGTCAAAGCTGTCCATGCATACCTTTCGCTCGAGCTGATCCGCAAGCTCCTTTTTCTCTCGCAACCTCGACTGGATAGAAATATTCAGCGATTCCAAGTTTGCCATTTCATCTCGCACCGTATCCATTTCGCTCTCAATGCTCTTCTTTTCGTCAGCCAAAGCTTTGTGAGCCTTCGAAAGTAACACCAGCTCCTTGTACGTATTTTCGTTTGAGAGCTTTTGCTCGTTTAGCTCATCTTCCAGCCGCTGCACAATAAACACCCCAATAATGTGGTTAGAGATCAATAGCACTACCAACCAACACTCATACAACACTGTACCCTAGTCTCATCGTGAGCCGCCTCAAGTTCTTCTCGTTGCGCTGTGTAGTCTCCAGAAATGGTTGCAATTTCTTCACGTAGCTCCTCTAGCTCCTTCTCGCGAAGTTTCATTTCTTCCATCGCAATCGAATGGGTCTGGGCAATCTCCTCGATCCGAATTTCCAGCACTTGGACTTTACGCTTGAGCTCACTGTTCTCATCCTCCAACATCCCTCGCTTAGCGCGGCTCTCTTGGAGTAGGGATTCCCGCTGTTGAAGAGCACTGATCTTCTTGTTCATGTGTTGTCCCATGCTTTCGCATTGCATCGTAACCTCTCGTAATTTTTCTTCGTATGCATCACGCATTTTCTGCATCACATCATCTTTCTGCCGGATCTGTTCGGAAAACTTAGCTCCGATATCTTTCAGAGCCTGATCTTGTTGCGCCTTGAGCTGATCGTGGAGGTGTAACATCTGCTGCATTTCACCCTGCAGCTTCTCGACAGTTTTGGCACTAACCTCAGCATTAGCCTGAAGCGAAGCAATCGTCGACTGCAAACTATCGCTTGCATCTCCAACGCGTTGACTAAAGCCCACGATTCCCTCAGCTAGCCCAAAAGCGTGGAATCGTTTGTTTCCGGAGGCGACAAGCGACTGACTTAGTAACAGCAGCGTCTCGACCACGATGTCTTTGTCGTTGCGGTTAAACAAAGCCGTCCCGAGCACTGTTGAGACTTCTGAAGTTTGGAGGAATTGACTGAGCGTGCGCTTGTTTTTATCAGTCATGTTTTCGTCCGACATGAGACTTGAGAGGAGGCTCTGCAGAAGCACGCACATAGCAATGAATGTCAGGCGTATTTCATGCAATTCGCTGGGCTATGCCATCATTACCACTAGATGAATCGACAACTGAGGGTGGAAGCGTATCAGATCTTGTGGCTCGACAGAGCAAATTAGAGCAGACTCAACCTGTATCAAAGTAGCACTCTAACACCGCACATGACGATGGGTTAGTAAGTGAAACGACCAACATCTTGAACACCACATATATGCGTCTGACAAACCTGGTTTAAGCTCATTGTTTCGACGCACACGGCCCGGATGGCGGGGAGTTCACTCAGTTTCGCAAGCAGATGGCACACCTCCACGCTGTGAAGATACTCGTCGGAATTACTAAGCGCTTCGTTGTCTTCAGCACCTTGCACCACTGTGGTGGCATCTGTGCTACACCGGATCATCCCAGCGACCACAGGACTCAACCTCTCTGCATTCTCCGACGAGTCGAAAAGGCTTCGAAGTGAGCGAATGTCGTCTCCGATCAGCTTCAAAATCAATTGCGTGGTGGTCGTCGCTGCCAGCTTTGACGGATGCAGTGTGGCTTGCAATACGCGGTACAGAACATCTTGATCGGACAGGCCTTTTATCAACATTTTCCGGAACAAATGGCTGAGCTGGACGATGGAGGAGAGATAGTGGGCAGCAACCAGAATCTGCTCTGCATCGCCGTTCAGGTTGATCGTCATGAAGCAGTTGTCGATTGTCGGCGCGATCTTCGGATACTTTTCCAGCAGCTCCAAGATCTCTTGGCTGTCGGCTAAATCACACAGCAAGTCTATACTCACAAGCTGGAGTAGGGATCGCCGATCCAGAATTGTAGTCGCGTCAGACATACTTTCCCCAGCATTGTCATGCCATGACCCGTCAAGAACTGAGAACACCAACGCGAAAGCCTGATCCACATTCTTATCACTGAAGAGTTTGCTGCCCATGGACTCCGTAAGCACGAGACGCGCGAGAATAGCCATGCTAAACACCAGGAGCTCCGCGTCCTCCGTGCTATTGAGCAAAATCGTCAAGGAGCGGTAAAAATCCTTGATCTTCTTCATCTCCTTGGCATAAATCCGGACGCCGGCGCTGATCTTGATCAGCTCCGCCAGCACCAGGAGCTGCAGCTTCAGCCCTGTATCGTTCTCGCACCCGTTCCGCAGCGCAGCCACAGAAACACTCTCCACGAGCCACTGCAACAACTTGCACAGCGCGTGCGACGGGTATCCAATGGCGGTTTTCCTAGCAAACAGGTAGCAGAGCTCCAGCAACTGCAGCGAGTCCTCCGGTGTCTGCTGAGCCTGCGTCGGCTGCGAGTACTGCGTCGCTGCCACCTCGTCGTCGTTGTCGTCGTGAACTTCTTGCGCCTTGCTGGGCGCCACAACCGCCAGCAGATGCCCCGCCAACGTGTCCAGCAGCTGCAGACATTGCGTCGTGTGGTTTATCGAGAAGAATTCGTTGTGCGCTGAGAGTTTTCTCGCCGACTTGTACAGGTCCGAGGCTGTGACGGTGCTCGGAGCCCCGAGATAACCGTCCACGGCGACCACGAGAGCGGATCTGCCGGGCTTCTTGCTGCGCTTCTCGACGGTCGCCCGTCGGTTGTAGGCACCCGAGATGGAGGACCTGAAGGAGGCGAAAGTCGCATCGGCGTCCGATTCGTCCATTGCGTCGGGGGCCTACCACGTGAACCTCGCCGAGGTGCTCGTGCACCTTCACCAACAAGAGAGCTCAATTGAGTCCGTTACAAACTTTGATGCAACTAAAATTTGAGGATACACTAATAAGAGCTCAATTGAGACCGTTACAAAATTTGATATGACTAAAATTAAGGATGCACTAACTTTTGTGACACAGAGTTTCGCCAGGTGTGTATCGGTGCGAGGCCAACCCAGACAACAGAGCATGGATCTCTTGCGCAAATACTTTATGCAACTGGAAATCGACCCCCGCGACGTGCCGCGTTATATGCACGCGTTCTACACACGCTGCGTTTGCTCCCCAAGTCGATGCGTCTCCGCCTCCACCTACGCCGCCAAGTGTCCCGAGTGAGCCTCCGCCACCAAGCCCGCCGCCTGGACCAGCCGTGATCGAAGACAACAGCGACTCGGACCAAGAGGTCATCGACATGACGGTTGGAGATTCGCCTGTCAACGAATATGGCTTGCCTGACGGAGAAGATGCCATCTACGTTTACTACGATATGACGGAACGACGCTACCAGCACGTTCTTCTTCGTGGCGGGGAAGAGTAGAAGATCCGCGGGGCTAGTTGAAGCAGAATCTGCGGTTGCAGCGCATGACAGCCATTTCAAAGTTGACAGGTGAAGAAGAAGGATCGGGTGGATGCCTAAAAACACACGGTGCCGGTGATTGAACTGCCCGATGTCCTGGAAGAAGTTTTGACGCGAGCATGAATCACAATCCGTTGATTTTATATGTAGTGTAGCTTTCTCGTAGCAGTAAAGATAGTTAGCGGTCTTGAATCGCAATTCGTTGTCAAGCACATTTCCCCATCTATTTTCAAGGACATTAACCTATCGAGCAGCGGTGTCAATAGCGGCAATGTTTGGGCTCGCAATGTTCACGGGCCAGATCGACGTGTACATGTTCGAAATCACTTCGTCGAGCTTTGCACAGATCGGGGATTTCAGTTTGAGTGAGATTTCTCAAGCGCCTCGACAGTGCCGACATCATCTCATGAAGGACATTACAGTACCGTGTATCTCAAGTCTACACGAAGACATGACACGTTTTGAGATAACCAAACACACGGCAACCTATTTGAGGTAACGTTAGTAAAAGATACCCATGCCGAGTGGTTTGAGAATCTCACGCCCAAACGAAGATTGCGGCGTTCTGGCCAAAGATCGACGAAGTGATTTCGAACATTGACTCGTCCATATGGACCGTAAACACCGCGAGCCCGAGCATCGTCATTATTGACATTGCTGCTCAATGTACTTGTGCCTGGTACAGTCTCCAATACATGTGTCCTGCACGTACAAGTTTTGATCGAGCTTGCATTTTGCGACACCCTCCTCAAAATTCAACATCAGACGTTGGCCAATCAGAGGCCGAATCCACGTTTCATCAGTAGCGGCCTGATCACCCAAACTGCAAGTCTGCAAGTCAATAGGGCTCCGATCCACTTCATTGACGTCACTTTCGATTCCGCCGGCTGAGCAGCAAGCGCCACACCCCGAGCAAGACTCTCCAAGCACAACCCAACCCCAAGCAAGCCATGACCACCAAGAACACGTGGGCCGTCTCCGAGAAGGGCACGTTCGTGCGCGACCCGAGCAAGTTCCGCAACTGGATCGAGCCCCGCGCCGACGCCGAGTTCCCAGCCGAAGCCAACCGCTACCACCTGTACATTTCGCTGGCCTGCCCGTGGGCGCACCGCTGCCTCATCACGCTCAACCTCAAGGGACTGCAGGACATCATCGGCCTCTCGGTCGTGCACCCGGTGTTCCAGCGCACGCGGCCCAACGACCCGGAGGACCAGCACATGAGCTGGGCCTTCGCGGACCCGAAGAAGACCCCGTGGCTGCCCGGCCCGTCGGGACTCGGCGAGTACTCGTCGGAGGGCTCCATCCCCGACACGGTCAACAACGCACAGTACGTGCGCGACCTGTACGAGATGTGCTCGAAGGGCAACACGCGCTACACGGTGCCCGTGCTGTGGGACAAGGTCAAGAAGACCATCGTGTCCAACGAGTCGGCCGACATCATCCGCATGTTCAACTCGTCGTTCGACGCGCTCGCGCCGTCCAAGTTGGACCTGTACCCGGCCGAGTTCCGCGAGGATATCAACGCGATCAACGAGTGGATTTACAACGACATCAACAACGGCGTGTACAAGTGCGGCTTCTCGACGACACAGGTTGCGTACGATGAGGCTGTGACCAAGCTGTTCGAGAGCCTCGACCGCGTGGAGGACATTCTGTCCAAGCAGCGCTTCCTCATGGGTGACGTGTTCACCGAGGCGGATGTGCGTCTGTTCACGACACTCATCCGCTTTGATGAGGTCTACCACGTGCACTTCAAGACGAACAAGAAGATGATCAAGGACTACCCGAACCTGCTCAACGTACGTGGTCATTAAATACTGCATGGATATCGCTTGCAACGGTTATCTAACGGTTCTCTTGACTTGACAGTACACGCGTGAGATCTACCAGTTCCCGCCCGTGGCCAAGACGGTCAACATGCAGCACATCAAACTCCACTACTATGGGTCCCACACCCACCTCAACTCGTTCGGCATTGTGCCGGCTGGGCCGAACACCGACTACAGCATCAAGCACGACCGCGAACGCTTCACGGCAACGATCCCCGAGTTTGCGGTGAACAGCAACTGAGCTGCCAGAGACAAGGAAAGTAGTTGCGCAATTCGTTTGCATTGATTCGCTCGAAGTAGTAAGCCAAAAACAAGTTGACGAGAGATGCGATTAATGGTGAAGCATTGTTCGAATACAGATGACAAGTTGTCATTGACAACTAACGAGAACCAGAGGCCGGTTGTTATACCGTTCGCAGCTTGAAATTGCGGCTTTGTGATGACCAAGAACATTAGCTTATTTGTCGCTCGAGTACACAGCAACCACCGAGTCAGTAGCGCCTGCTGCCAGGAAAATCCGATGCGGGTGGAATGCCAAGCACGAGACTGGACCAATGCGTTCGCCCAGGAATCCTTCGTGATAACGGATGAGCGCCAACTGCTCACCGTCGCTGCGGAACACCTTGATAAATTGGTTGTGCGAGCCACTGCAAACAAAATATGTTAGTTTCAAGGCACAACTACCGACGCAATAGTTGAAAACGCACCTGGCGAAGATAGGGGCGTAGTCGTGAACGGCAAGAGCGGTCATAGGTGATCGATGCGCTTCCAGAGACTTGACGCTGTTCTTGGGATACCGCAAGTCCCAGAACTTGAGCTCTCCAGTTACGGACCCCGTAAGCAATTCGTTCCGGCCGGCATAAATGTGGGTCTGCACTACCCATGAGGAGTGTTCCCGCATGATCGTCTTGACTGAGTAATCTGGTCTGCTTCGCGAGTCGAAGATCCGCAACGTGCCATCTCCAAAGCCGGCGACAACCATCCCCGGAAGACTTTCATCACTCGCCATACTGGTGATGCAAGAGTCCGTTTGAGTCGGGAGGGCTACCGTACACTTTTCTTGGCGCAAGTCCCACCCACGAAGCATGCTCGAATTGCCGCCAGCATACATAGCTCCCGCCTGTTGCTGCCAGTTCATCACCAGACCAGAGCCACGTGTTCCTGGCACAAGGTCAGGAACCGCAACAAAGGCAGACACGAGCTTTGGACTGCCAATAGAGGGATGTGGGCTGTGTAACCCGTGATAGATTTTTATCACGCCGTCATCGGATCCGCAGGTAAGAAGACTTTCTTCCGTTTCGTTTATCCAGTTAAGAGATGTCAACCGAGACCTGAGAACAAACAAACAAACAAAAAGCAAATAGTGCGTTAGCCATGCACACCGCTTGATAAGACATTTTGCAAACCACTTACCCGGGCGGGTTCTTGTTTCCGAAGCTGAGCACCTTCGTTTCCGTTTCCTCAAAGTTGTAGAGCGATATCTGGTCCTTTTCGTCAGCCACGAGCAGCATCGTTTCGTATGGATGAAACAGGAGCAATGACGTCATTTCGGCATCATTATTCAGCACAGCGCGTTGGCGAAGGTTTAAGGTGAAGTCCTTCACTTCTTCCTGGTCGCCCAAAGTCGATGCACGACGTGTAGCATCGTACTCCATTGGCGAATACAGCGGAGGGTTATGCGGACTAGCATCGCGCAGACCTAAAGCGGATCTCTGCATCGCAGGAGACTTTGCTGAACTCCGAGGAGAGGCAAACCCAGGGGCCAATTTCAGAGCTGCCACCCGGATTCGATTATAGCGTCGAGAACGCTCCCATCTCTCAGCCCCCTTCTCACTTAGTGGGTCCTCATCTTCACGCAGAGGCTCCAAAATCGGGTCGCTGAAGTGAGCCTTGTGCCGCTCGTAGCATGTGGACACAAGTGAAGGCGGGAAATCCTCTTGACGGCCGTATTTTTCCATGGCAGGGAGTACATGAACAGGATAACCCATGCCACTGTCACCGGGAACCCCCGTGTTCGTCATTCTGTATCCGGAAGCATCGGACCCAAGATACTGGCCTTGAATCATACCTCCTGTGTTCGCGGGAGCAGCGGGTGGCATCACATGGCTATCTCCAACCCCAGGAGCTAAGGCGCCAGGTCCTTGCTGAAATTTCTCCTGGTACTGCCGGAAGTTGCCCACTGACACAGCTGAGCGCAGTCCTATTCCGGTCGTCGCCGGCATTTGCATGTGGGCTTCAGGATGTCTGACCGTGTTGCCTCTCTCAGGGTTAGCCGACGCATGAGCATTTGCAGTTTCGGTGGAACTAGCAAATCTCGGTTCGCCCTGCTGAGCCTGAAAGTGCGGCAATCCCGGCACTGATCCTTCTCGGCGAAGCTGCGCTGGCGGGCCTGCACTTCTTTCATGGCGCAGGTGTTCGGGGTTTGCACTACGCGGGGGAGAAGCCAACGCACTTCCTGTTTGACTGTTCTCTCGCAATTGATCTTGCTCGGATTCTAAGATGCTTGCGTTCACGAAACTCACGATTGCTTTGACCGCATCAACAACGTAGGGGAATGGGTCCCTGGACTGCATCTCCTTCAGCGCGTGCCAGATTTCAGCGTACAATTTTGCGTCTTCCCCAATCTCATCAAGTAGCTGTTTGTCAATGAATACATCTGCGCCAAATTGGAAATTCGAATCATTGCCTCGTTCCAACGGACTTGGTGCACCATTTCCTTTCTCGTAGTCCATGCCGCCTGATGGGGGTCTCTGATCTCTAGGAGAAGCAGTTTGGGCACTGGCAGGCTGATTCTTGATGTGCTTCGCTACAGATTCGAATCGCGGCTGGTGATAGTTGTGCAAAATTACATTTGCTAAGCCGAGTACACTTTCCCGACGGACAAGTGGAGAACCATCCCGGCAGCCCCGTAGTAATTCCATAGCTACGATAATGTCGTCATGTGCCCGCTGACGAAGGAAATCCTCCAGACGGTTCAAGTCAACCTGTTTCCCGCTGACATTGGGGTCACATTGGAAGCCAACCAGCGTACCAAGCGCATAAGCCGCGGCAGCTCGTACTTCGGGTCGTTCATCGCGAAGCTTCGCACCAAGCATACGCGGCACCTGGTCATCGATCGCTACTCGCTTGGCATCGTCGAAGTTCTCCCATAACTTAGCCATGCACAGACAAACCCATTTGCGCACTTCTTCATCCGGGTCCTGGAGGAGATTCACGCAAATTTTGTGCAAATACTGCGGTAAACAGCTCTTTTGTCCTGGCAAATAATTGTTGCAGATAACCGAGATAATGAACGCCGCCATGACTTTCTGTTCCGGTGGCAACAAGCTGCCGGTAGCACTATAGGCGCTTTGATTACCTCCACCATTGTGAAGTCCAGCCGCGAGATGAGATATAAAGTAAGAGTGGCCATCGTCCTTGACAAGGTCCGTCTGGCAGCTTGAATCCAACGCCAAGATTTTTGCCCAAATAAAGACAAGCACTTGACGAAGTTCGCTAGCGGGGGATTGAAGAAGCTTCAGCACATACGGGAAAATTCCAACAGAAAGCGCGAGATTGACTGCCCACGGTCCTAAGTCAAGAAACTTTTTCAACAACACGAGTGCGCGGAGACGGTGAACCTGGCTTAGAAGCACCTGGAGTACCATAGGTAATTGCTGCGGAGGCGCTTTTTCCGAAGAACCAAATTGCAACCACACTTCGAATGCTGTGAGTTGCTCGGCGAAAAATCGTGATGGCTGAAAACTCATGTCGACGTTGGGGTATGGGTTTGACAACTTGTATAGTTGGTTCAAGCATACCTCAGCGGCCAAGTCCCAAGAGCGCCACAGAGAATGGTGATTCGTCGGTGGCAATGCCGGGAGCGAGCACGGAGAGCAACCTTCAGACTTCATAATTCGTTCAGCCAGCAGGAAGTTTCGAAACAGCGACGCCACAAGCAAATCCTGACGAAACAATTTCTGGAACAACTCCCGGGGCAACATATTCCACGCGATCGTATCCGTGATAGCAGTAAATATCCAATTCAGCTCTCCCAGTGGGGTCTTCCTGTCGGTGAGCTTTCCCGGGATTCGCTCAATAAAACTGGCGTCAAGATGCGCCATCGACAGCTCGTTCTGCGAGATGAACCACCGCAAGGCGACGGTAATTGGCGTCGTCAAGCAGGACGTAAACACGTCTGCACATAGCTCGGGGTTCATAGGAAGCAGTTCGTCAGCCGCACAAGCTGCAAGCACGATCGCCTCATTGGCTGACGGGCTTGCATTTCGTCCATGGGATTGAGTTGTAGTTGTCGGAGGGGTCGAGAAATGACTGAGCAGTACTCCTGCTGCCGAGCAGTCAAACACATAGATCGATGGCGTCCCCACCCACGACTGCAGGTCGTACACCAGCAGCGGGATATACTGCGTGTAGCTCTTGTTGAACACCCACACCTCTCCATTCTGCGTCGGTCGGGGAACACCATGGCCGTTGTAGTGGAACAGCACGCGGTCGTGCTTTGCCAGTCTGCGTCGGTTCACACACAGCTCTCGGATCTTCTCCACCGTCGGGTCCAGGCTCTGCTTGTACCGTGCACGCGGCTGCCAGCGTTCGTACTGCGACTGCAGCGTGTTGCCGATCGTTTCGATGGCTTTCTTCGGAGGCATGGAGAATGGGTCCACCCAGCACTCTTTGCGTGCGCAGGGCGTGGACTTCTCCACGTCCGGAGGGTCTGTACCAATGTTGAGACACAGCACCAGAGCCACGTCCATTGTCTTCATGCGCTCGCGCATGCGCCAGGGCACGATCTCCACAGGCTTGGGCAGCTCGTCCTCCTTGTCCGTGGGCTTGCGCTTCTCTGCATCTTGGGCGAAGCGTAACCCGCCGGCACGCTCGGTCGGTCGACTTCCGTTGACGCTTAGAGGGTCATACCCGTTGGTGGCGGTCGTGACCCGCGGAGACGCAAACCCGGGCGCCTGCGACGTCACTACCATGCTTTACGCTGCTCTCCTGGAGGCCCCAGAGCAGATACAAGCGCCGGCTCAGCGTCAGTCGGAGCGCGGTAATTAGGCGAAGAAGATGACACCACTTGTTCTGGGAGCGGGGCACTGCGACGAACGCTAGGAGCTGAAGGACGACGATACTTCGGGCGCGAGCTTGCCGCCTTCTCTGTGGCTCAAAATTGGGCGAGTCTGCAAGTGAGATCGAACTTAACAGGGAATATACTGACATTTGTATGTGAGCTAGCGCTTGAGTGCATGAATTGCGATCGGCCCCGCAAGCGACGGAAGATCAGCATGGAGAACGCTGCGGTGCGTGCCCTGCGCGGCGCGTTGTAGGCTACTAGAGGCGTGGTATGATGGACCAGGCAGCTGACTATTGCGTGGCGTGGTCATTGACGCAGTACGAGTTCCACCAGATCCAGGACGAGGTCAAGAAGATCGCCCAGGAGGTCCGATCCTTGGCATTGAGAGGGTATTAAGCACAGAAGAGCGCTAATTGGTGGCGTTGTGAGCAGATTCCGGAGAAGGTTTTGGTTGGCAACAGCTATCACGCAGCGGACGTGCACCAGTGGACGACGGAGATCTCGTCGCAGTGTTTGAAGGAGCTCAAGGGGGTGGCGAACGGCTCGGCGGGTTTCAAATACATCGGTGCGTTTTGTTGTTTGCTGAGAAGGAAGACACGGAGGCAATGGCTGTTGCAATGACGTTAAATAGTTACGGACAAAATTGAGTACAACGCAAGCTAACGAATGCCCCTGTGGGCGCTGTCACAGCGAACTGCACGATCCTCCAGAAGCGGAACGCCGGCTTCCACACCAACTCGTCGTGCTTTTGGGACGCTGAGCGCGATGGTGAGTACCGAAGTGTCGAGTCGAATGGTCTTCGTCGCTGACACCAACAATGCTGTTGTGTCTTCTGGACTTCCAGGCAGCGTGTCGATTCGATGGGAGAACGCGACCATGACGTGCGTGCTCACAGTCTACTGCGTCAGTCTCCAGTAGTCGAGGATGATCGAGAACAGTGGCATCATTCCGCTGCGTGTGTGAGTGGATGTTGTAAGAACCTTGGCAGGCGGAAGCAGTTCTAAATCTCCATCGAGAGGTTCGACGTGTCAATTGACAGGTTTGCGATGTCCATAGAGAAGTTTACGTCCATGGACATGCTGGTAAAGTCCACCATAATCGACTCCCCTTGCTGTTTCTCTGGAATGCGTCTTTTGGAGCCTAGGCGGCGACCGAAGATCACAGTGTCGATAACGTTTCGCCGGAACCGGTCCGCGTACGGGATGGGCTTCATGCACGATATGCCCTTAGCGTCGCGACATTGCAAACGAACACGCACCCAGCGTTCAAGGCTCTTCTTGAAAGACCACGGAGTCAAAATGTCGATGATGCCCATGTTCACGACGCACGCGTCTGCAGCAAACGGCGCAACGTTGGTCCTAGGGTGGCTGAGACCTTGCAGGGTCGCTCCGTTAGGGCTCAGCGACTCCAAGTAACCAGCCTCGTCACTGCTATTGCCGCCGACAAACAGCTTCCCTTTCACCGTCGGTCCACCGCTGCGCGAAAGCACAGTACCGCCACCGCTGGAAGTCGAAAATGACTTGTGCCGACTCAATCCGATCACCAGGCTGTAATCCATCGAGTTCATGCGCTGTAAAAACTCCGTATCTGCGTATAACTGACTGCCGAGTTGCTCCGCTACATCAGTCGGAAGCCCAAGCCGACGACACGACCAGTTCAGATCTTTTCCCACAACAAACTCAGCATGGCCAAATCCAGTGTTGGGGTTCAGAGAGCACGTCTCCTCGGACATGCCCACGACGAAATCGTGACCACAGAACTTACACACTCGTTGCGTTCCGCTCGGCGAGTCGCCACGGTGACGACCCACCCACGCGCCCTTGAGATCGTACAGTTCGTCGATGTTCACGCTTGGGTTGTTCAAAATATTGGTCAGCACGATAAACAGAACCGAGTGGTGCTCCATCACCAGCTCGTGACAGCCCACGTAACGGCAGAGATAGCTGTTCGGATTGCGCCGGAGGTGTGCCATGTACTGAGGCAGAATATACAGAAGATACTTCTGCTCGGCTGGAGTGCACGTCTTGAGGATGTACGTCTGGTCACCGGTGTAATAGAGGAAAGAGCCGCTCTTGCCCTCGCTGAATCGTTCTCGAGTGCTCCCCTTGAAGGATTGAATGTAGCTTTCACGGGAGATACCCGACATCCGACGGATTTCGTGGAAGACCTCCGGTTCAAAGTCACGGAAAATAGCTTTCTGGCCGGATGTGGCGCCATCGAGCTCAAAAGACAAAACACTCGGGGTTTGTGATACCACACCAAGTCGCAGTTGCCACGGGAAGATACCCGACCGCTGCGTAAAGGAGAAGATCGACTCGACGTTCGGGTTGATGCTCTCGTTCTCAGGGATACCTTTAGCGCTGCTGGCTCCGAGCTGGATACCCTTGGTTGCGAAATACAAGATCTCGCGACGCAGGACCCACGATGCATCATACACCTTGAAGTAGTCGTCCCAGTTGCGCTGTCGCCACAGCTTGAACGTTTTCAGTATGCCCATCGATTTAGTCCACAGTAAGGCGCTGCCTGTGCCCAAGAAGGCGATTGCCACCCGTCCCATAAAGCGCAGGGCCTTCTCCGCCGCTGAATTAGTAGTCACTACGTTGCGATGCCGCAGGATGTACGGGATCGTCACGATCATCCACAGGGAGAAGCTCCAGAACAGAAAGCTGCGCATCGAGTCCAGATTCGTGCGAGTTTGGGCACTCCCGCCCATTGTGAGTCGAACCCGCTTGGTGGCAAGAATGTAGCAGCCGATGCTGATGCAGTACCCGGCGCAAATGGGGATGAAGAAGATCTCCAGAAGGATGAACTCGCCGTCGTCGCTGTCGCCGTCGTACTCGGTCGCGTACCAGCAGTAGCCGTAGGAGCTGACTCGACCTGTGCCGAGCTGCCAGGCCACGATGGCCACCGCGATGCTGATGGCCCAGACCGTCACGTGGTAGATGGGGTTCAGCCACCGCGACGAGCGGAACGGGTACTTGGTCGTGAAGTAGAAGTTGAAAGCGAGCGCGAAGAAGTACAGTTCGTGCGAGAGCAGCGCCAACTGGACCACGGGAGCCGTGGTGCAGCAGTTGCCGTAGGTCGCGGACATCTGGGCCAGCACGGTGCCGTGGAAGAGCATGCCCATGAGCGCCACCCACACGAGCAGCGACGAGTGCTGCTTGCGCACGGGCGGGAAGAGCAGGTACGTGATGAGGATGAAGGCGAAGCCCAGCAAGGACAGCGCGTTCACGATCGTGGCGATGGCCACGGCGCCCGGGAACTCGTTCTCGAGCTGCACGTAGCCATCCTCGGAGCTGTTGCTGCTGGCGCTGGCCAGCTGCAGCAGCCGCCGGCCGAACAGGTTGGCGCTGTCGGTGGCGCTGGCCACGCTCGAAGACGCCGACGCGCTCTGCGTCGTCTCGGGGATGCACACCACCATCGGCGCGTCGCCGCTGTGCGTCGCTTGGGGTCCCGGCAAGTCGCTCGCTCTCTCGGCGCTGGAGCTGGAGCTGAAGCTGCTCGCTCGGGGCGCTCCGGAGCAACGTTGTGTGGCTCGGTCCGGGCGTGGCGAAAGTGTCATGGCGTGTCCGGTCTCTGTGAACAAATCGCTGTGACCGTCTCTCGAAGACCGGGCGTGTAGAAGGGACGATCTGAGCTTTTGAACCAATAAGACAGTTCCATTGGGAGTCTCCATTGGTGGAAACTATTCATTAGTAGCGGAAGAAGGCCTAGCCCGCGCGCAATACCTCGTTGAGTGCCTTCACTTGGTTTGACTTGGGTTCAGTATGTAAGGCCACTTCGATATATTTGCGGCCGGAAGCCTTGCTCCGCGCCCGTAGTGACGGCCATGCAGGGCCCGCCGGCTGGGCGCAAGCAGCGACCGAGATTGCGGCGACTTGTGTGGCGCTGCCTCCAGCTGGCCGGGCGCTGCGCCGCGGAGCCAGAGCCGTATCTCGCGGGGCGAGCAGCGCCGATGCGACCGCTGCCGAAGAAGAGCCTCGGGGCCGCAAGCAGACGAGAATCTCGCCATGAGTCAGAGAGAGGGAGCGCTGGGATGCGGCCGGCCTGTTTTGGTGGAAGCGCTCTTGAGCTCTTGAGCCCTGCCTCCGCCTCCTCCACCTGCATGTGTACCTCCATCGCTCCGCAGAGCTCGCTATTAGAGCTGGTCGTAACGCCAACGGAGCAATAAGGAGAGAGCATGTGCAATGCGTGCCACCAGGGACTGCAGCACTGCGTCTAAGGATGAGCAGACAACTGGGGCTACTTTTTGCCTAAGGCAACTTCAACTTGCGTCGACCAGCAGAATGTGTGTGGCTTACACAAACATACGTAGCCCCACTATTTTGTGTTTCTTACACGAAACTACAGGGCCCAAAAAGAAGTGTGCAAAGCGGCGTGCAAATCGTCGACAACAATCGACACAGCACGCGATCCCCCCGACCGACCGCAAGTTGCCTAGCACCATGAGCGCGCTGGTGACCGTGGCCACGTGCAACCTGAACCAGTGGGCGCTGGACTTCGATGGCAACCTGGAGCGCATCCTCGAGTCCATCCGCGTGGCCAAGGCGCGCGGCGCGCGCTACCGCGTGGGCCCGGAGCTCGAGGTCTGCGGCTACGGCTGCGAGGACCACTTCCTGGAGCAGGACACGTTCTACCACTGCTGGCAGTCGCTCGAGACCATCCTGCGCTCGGACGTGACCAACGACATCCTGTGCGACATCGGCATGCCCGTCATGCACAACGGCGTGCGCTACAACTGCCGCGTCTTCTGCCTCAACCAGCGCATCCTGTTCATCCGCCCCAAGCTCTTCCTGGCCGACGACGGCAACTACCGCGAGAAGCGCTGGTTCACCACGTGGAAGCCCAGCCTCGAGACGGGCATGTCCCGCGGACTCGACAAGTTCGTGCTGCCCGCCAGTCTGCAGAAGCTCACGGGCGCGGTGCACGTGCCCTTCGGCTCGGGCGCCGTGTCCACGCTCGACACGTCGTGCGCGTCGGAGACGTGTGAGGAGCTCTTCACGCCCGACAGCCCGCACATCAACCTCAGTCTGGCGGGAGTGGAGATCATCGGCAACGGCTCGGGCTCGCACCACCAGCTGCGCAAGCTGGACCAGCGCATGGACCTCATCCGGGGAGCTACGACCAAGAGCGGCGGCGTGTACCTGTACGCCAACCAGCAGGGCTGCGATGGCGGCCGACTGTACTTTGATGGCTGCGCTGTCATTGTGGTGAACGGTCAAGTGGTTGCCCAGGGATCGCAGTTCTCGGTCAAGGATGTCGAGGTGGTCACGGCTACTGTCGACTTGGACGACGTGCGCTCGTACCGCGGCTCCGTCAGCAGTCGCAGCGAGCAGGCTAGCTCCTTGGACACGGTGATCCCCAAGATCGACGTCGACTTCAGCTTGTGCCACGATGAGGCTTCCTTTGTGCACCCCACGCCTGCTATTGAGGTTCGCTACCATGTGCCGGAGGAGGAGATTGCTCTGGGACCTGCTTGCTGGATGTGGGACTACCTTCGCCGCAGTGGAGGCAGTGGCTTCTTCTTGCCCCTTTCTGGAGGTGCGGATTCTTCGTCTGTGGCTTGCATTGTTGGTGTCATGTGCCACCTCGTGGTTGAGGCTGCCAACAAGGGCGATGAACAGGTTATCAAGGACGTGCAGCGCATTATGGGCACGTCAGGCCAGGAGTACAAGCCTTTGAAGCCTGCAGATCTGGCCTCGCACGTCCTCCACACCACGTACATGGGCACGAAGAACAGCTCGGCTGCCACCAAGAAGCGCGCTGCAACGCTCGCCAGCGAGATTGGATGCTACCACCTCAACATGGGCATGGACATGATGGTGGATGCCGTAGTCAAGACCTTCGAGCTGTTGACTGGCAAGACGCCTCAGTACCTGTCGCGTGGGGGTACCTTGCAGGAAGACCTGGCGCTCCAGAACATCCAGGCGCGTCTTCGTATGGTGATGGCCTACCTACTTGCGCAGCTTTTGCCGTGGGTGCGTTCCAAGACTGGATTCCTTCTCGTTCTCAGTTCGGGCAACGTTGATGAAGCGCTGCGCGGATACATGACCAAGTACGACTGCAGCAGTGGTGACTTGAACCCGATTGGTGCAGTCTCAAAGGGTGACTTGAAGAAGCTGCTTCGCTGGGCTGCCGTCAAATACAACTACCCAGCTCTGCAAACTGTGGAGGAGGCTCCTCCGACGGCGGAGCTGCGTCCCACTGACGAGAGTGCTGGTGAAGATGCCGACCACTCCCAGCTTGATGAGGAGGACATGGGCATGACGTACGACGAGCTGGGTTTCTTCGGTCGCCTCCGTAAGATTGATCGATGTGGCCCGTACTGGATGTTCCGCAAGCTCACCAACCTGTGGAGTCATCTCGCACCCACCGTGGTGGCAACGAAGGTCAAGCGGTTCTTCTTCTATTACTCGGTTAACCGGCACAAGATGACCACTCTGACCCCGTCTTACCATGCCGAGAACTACTCGCCGGATGACAACCGCTTCGACCTGCGTCCGTTCCTCTATAACTCGCGCTGGACTCGCCAGTTCAACTCCATCGATACGCTTGCAACGAAGCTGGAGGAGAAGAAGGAGCAGTAACTCCGTTTGTCAGGGCAAAATGGTCGGCTGCTTGCTGGCTGCTGTCGCGATAGCGTCGTTGATGTCCTTGATATCATCTCCATCAATAACTAGACTTGCGATAGTTGGCAGTAGCGTCGTGTTGATCGGAGACTGCGGGTTTGAGATGATCTCCTGAAGGCTGTCTCGACGACAAAATGAAAATCCTCGGAAGAGGTTGTTGTGCTCCTCAATCACAGCGTCGCACATAAGGTCCGAAGCCGGCATGGAAGTAAACTTCTCGTCAAAATTGCTTGTGTCCACGTCGTCCGCTACACTGGGGACTTTAGGAGGAGGGACGCGAAGAGTCTCCATTTTCTCCCAGTCCACTTTCTGGATCAATGAATATGCATGCAGTGTTAGTGTTTTCATCAAAATGAGTGCAATCAGATCCTCCAACCTTGAAAAATGCATGGCGCTTGATCGCCTGCACTCCTTTCACCACAAACATAGACGACTTGCCACCGCCAAGTCTTTTGCTCACATTACGCTCCAAAAGCGACTTGATAAGCGAATGGGCTTCGCCTGAAAGCCACCGCGGTAGCTGCACCTGTGTAGCCACAAGGAAGACCGTCATCGAGTGAGCACTAATCGTCTCACTTTGGACTCACAACGACGAACCTTAGCCGACAGGATTTTCTTGTGCAGGTCTGCGGGATTTTTCGATCTAAACGGTGGGTTTCCGGTCAGCATCTCGTACGCGAGGGCACCAAGAGACCACCAGTCCACAGCCTGGTAAAGCAAGGATAGCAGGCGGATAGCGTCAGCATTATCAACGTTCCTGTTGAGTAGTGCCAAACTTACCGAGTCGTATCCTTTGCCAAGTAGCATCTCCGGGGCCATGTACTCTTTCGTTCCGCATACTGTCAGGAGTTCCTGCCCTTCAACGTATTCCTTCGCCAAGCCGAAGTCAGTCAGCTTGATGTGGCCTTCGGCTGAAATCAGAACGTTTTCTGGCTTCAAGTCGCTAGAAGTTGTGCAACACGTCAACTCTTAGCTCCAGCTTTCTCATCCCCAGTAAACGTTAGCATGTACCGATGTATTATGCCGTGCGCATGAAGGTGCTCCAACGCTAGAATCATTTCAGCCAGGTAAAAGCGCACCACGTCCTACCACCAAACAGCAACAAGTTAGAGCAGCGCTTCAAACTAGCGGCAGGATATTGAGTACCTCGGTGAATGTGCCTTCCTCTTTCAAATACGAAAACAGTTCCCCTCCAGACTGGTATTCCATGACGAGATAAACCTACGCAAAACAGTCGTCAGGACGACCACCAGGCTCGACCACAAATAAAATAGCCACGTTGCGAATTCTAACCTTGGATTCGGTTTGGAAAGCGTAATTCAGCCCGATCACGAAAGGGTGGCGGATCTGACAATGGCCATCAATAGTAAAAATCGTTAGTAAACTGGCAAGAAACTCAGATATTCATCTTCCGGTTGATCCAACCTTGGTCATGACATCGCGTTCGGTTTTCATGTAGTGCACGCTGTCCATGTCAATGACAAACTGCTTACTGATAATCTGCCGAATCCCCAAAACCCCACCAACAAGATCTTCGTAAATACACTACTAAGTAGTTCCTGTTGGTAGGGATCATTTCAAGAATACCTTCATTGCGTGCACTTTTCCGGTGGTAGAGTGTCGCACGAGAAGCACCTAGGCACAACAACATTGCACATTGTCAAGACCAAATTCCTCTTACCTTCCCCATCAGCGACATCCTCCCACCTTCCCAAAAGCTCCCTGTCCGATGACACTCAGCAGCTGGAAATCCGCCAGCGATGCAGTCTTCTTGTCTCCCGGAGTCCGAATACTGCAAGTACAGCGAATACTCCCATAATCAACACCCCGCACTTTACCACGCAATCATACAATACTGCGCCACGTACGGCAGCGCCTCGGGCTCGCCACCAAGATCCACAGGCTCCCTTCCGGTGCGAAAGCATTCCTTGCACACCGGGCGCGGCAGATGGCGCTGTCCGCCGTGAAACCTGCTCAAGCCGGGGGGGGTCAGATACAGTAGTGATTGCAGTATCGAGGTGGTGGGCTTGGGAGCTGTACGCACTTGTTGAAGCCCTTGGTGACGCAGCAAGCGGCGCAGAGCGGCATCGTCGCCAGGTTCAAGTCCGCAGTAATTGCGCTTGTCGATCAGGTCGTCTACAGTCTCATTTAAGCCAATGGGAGAGGCGACCGTCTCCTATTGGTCACAACTCACCTTGGACGGTTCGCTTCAACAACGGCAACTATTTTTGCGCTTCTACAGTCGAGAGCTATCTTTGTCGAGCGAGATGGCGGCGACCTTGGGCCTCTGGACGAGGCGAAACGTACACCACGACGCTAAAACGGAAAACTCCGCGAGGCCGGCAGCGCCGCGACGACGACGGCAGGGACAAAGCTACTCCTCTTGGCGCTTGGCTGTCAATACGTGGACCAGTGGGTCACCAGATGCAGCACAGCTGAAGCCTTGGTCTGTCTTTCGTCCTTCCCTGCGATTCCGAGCCGCCATTGAAGAAGGAAACCCTTCCAACAGTACAGCAGTTTGACTCGGCCGTCAGGCGTCTTCGTTGTGCGTGGCGAATAGCTTTGCTTTGTGCGTACTATGCCTGACCTCACGTCGGTCCAGCCGCTTCCGTCGTCGCCTGCGAAACCCCGCCGAAGCAACAACCCAACCACCACCGCTACATCCAGTATTAGCAAGGTTGCACCGTCGTCGCCCTATGGCATCACGCTCGAGGAGATCCGGAAGCTCAACCAGGACCAAATGACTGAGGCCAACCTCGAGGAACTCACGCGGATAGGAGGCGTAGCGGCCTTGGCGACCCTTTTGTGTGTGAATCTGGAGCATGGTTTGCCTCGCAGCGAGATCGACACGAACTTCATGGTGCGGCGCGAATTGTTCGGCCGGAACGTCTGTGCAGATGCGCCAATGAAAGGACTGTTTCGACTTTTCGTTGAAAGTTTTCAAGACACTACACTGATCATCTTGATCATCGCTGCTATTGCGTCCATGGTTACGGGCTACATGGAGCACCCGGAGACAGGTTGGAGTGAGGGGGTCGCAATTCTATCCGGTGTTACACTGGTGGCTGTCGTGACTTCGATCAACAACTACACCAAGGAAAAGCAGTTCCGTGCTCTGAGTGCCAAGAATGACGACGTGCTGGTGAAAGTACTGCGGGACGGCAAACCGGACCAGGTTCCAGTTGGAGAAATATCGGTGGGCGATGTGATCATTCTTGAAACAGGCGATAAAGTACCGGCCGACGCTGTGCTAATACACGGCAGCGACCTCAAGTGCAACGAGTCCAGTCTTACCGGAGAGCCTGATGATGTGAGTAAGGTCCCTACGAAAGACCCTTTCTTGCTATCTAGCTGTCTCGTAGCAAGTGGTCGCGGCGAGTGCCTTGTAATCGCTGTTGGTGCTGAGAGTCGCTGGGGGAAGATCAAGTCCAAGCTCGTTCGGGAGCAGAAGGCTACGCCTCTGATGGAGAAGCTGGAAGAAATGGCCAAGCAGATCGGCTATGTTGGAATGGCGTTCTCTATTGCTACAATCGTAGCGATGATCATCATCTACTCCACGTCCGCTGAGAAGAAGCTGGAATACTCGTGGCCGTCGTACATTTTGCACACCTTTTTGATCGGTGTCACGATCATTGTGGTCGCAATTCCGGAAGGTCTGCCGCTCGCAGTGACGATCTCGCTTTCTTACTCCACCAAGAAGATGCTGCGGGATAATAACCTCATCCGGGTGCTGGCGGCTTGTGAAACCATGGGAAATGTCACCAGCATTTGCTCCGATAAGACGGGAACACTGACGGAAAATAAAATGACCGTTGTGCAAGGATGGGTGCTGGGCAAGTTTTACAAGGACGAGTTCACAGACGCGACCCGGACGCAATTCCCTGTTGACGCTAAAGCGCTCGAAGAACTTGCAGCCAACATTGCTGTGAATACAAGCGCGTTTCTCAAGGATGTCAACGGTGTAGCCCAAGTGCAAGGAAACAAGACCGAAGGCGCAGTGCTTGTATGGATGAACAAGCTCAACTTCCCCATTATGGACATCCGCCGAGAAAAGTTCCAAGTTGCACGGGGTGACAGACTATTCCCGTTTTCGTCAGAAAAGAAGTCTATGGCTGCAATTGTCCGGCGTGGAGACGGAAGCTACCGCCTATACTCGAAGGGAGCGGCCGAGGTCATTTTGACGCGAGCAACCAAGTTTATCGACATCGATGGCAACGAGCAGGAGTTGACCGCGAAAAAGCGTGACGAATTAAACCGTATCATCAGGCAAATGGCCGAGTCCGCACTTCGCACGATTTGCATTGGCCATCGAGACTTCGCAAGTGGAGAGTTGCCGAACGACTTGCAATCGCTCCCAGAAGCACCAGACCAGGACTTAGTCGTCAATGCCATTTTCGGCATTCAAGACCCGCTTCGCCCGGATGTGACCGATGCCATCAGAGATTGCAAGCGAGCTGGTATTATGGTACGCATGGTCACCGGCGACAATATTCACACAGCATCAGCAATTGCTAAGCAGTGCGGGATTATGACCGAAGACGGCGTCGCGCTTGAGGGTCCTGTATTCCGAGCAATGAGCGTTGAAGAGGTGAGCAAGCTTATCCCCCGGCTTCAAGTGCTAGCACGATCGTCTCCAGACGACAAATTTCGCCTCGTCAACTTGCTGAAAGACCGATCGGAAGTTGTGGGCGTGACTGGTGACGGAACGAACGACGCACCGGCGCTACGTACGGCTGACGTTGGTATGGCAATGGGAATTACTGGCACTGACCTCGCCAAAGAGGCATCCGACATCATCATCATGGACGACAAGTTTTCATCGATTCGGAAAGCCGTTCTGTGGGGCCGGTGTGTATACGACAACATTCGCAAGTTCTTGCAATTCCAGCTCACTGTCAATATTGTGGCATTGGTCGTCACGTTTGTCAGTGCCGTAACTGGAAAGGAACCACCGCTAAACTCGGTTATGATGCTCTGGATTAACCTCATCATGGATACTATGGGAGCGTTAGCACTTGGTACGGAGGCTCCCACCGAAGCGCTACTTGATCGACGTCCGTACAAGAAAACTGCGAAGCTCTTGGGAAGGTGTATGGTGAAGAATATCGTCGTTCAATCTATTTTCCAGCTACTACTCGTCTTCTTGCTGCTCATCTACGGCGCGGAAAAGTTTGGCTATCATGATGGGAACGAATGCGTCAAATGGGACTACACGGTAAAATCTAGCTTCCCGACTCTCAGCAAGGATACTTGTGTTACTGCAAGGGGTGGAAGTTGCTGGAGCTTGTCCTGTGACGATTATGCCAGCAATTCGTCAGTCCTCGATTATCCCACCGACTGCCTAGACGAGGACTGCACAGGCTACGACTACCGACATTACACCATCATCTTCAACACATTCGTTTTCTCTCAGCTATTCAACGAGTTCAACGCGCGTCGGACGAATAACGACTGGCATGTCTTCAAAGGTATAGTGGGTAACCCGCTTTTCATCATGATCATCGTGATCACGCTTTTCGTTCAAGTGCTACTTGCCGAGTTCGGCGGCGATTTTACAAAAACGAGTGGGATCTCGTTCACGCACTGGCTTGTCTGTTTCGGCTTAGGAGCTCTCTCACTTCCTGTTGGTACGAACGCGAATTGCAGAGCGTGTATTTGAGTTGTTTTGTACTAACCTTCTTGCGCTCTTCCTACACGTTTTTCAGGTGTATTGATGCGCTTCATCCCCCTGACAGATTCTCCTGATGCGTTTGCGAATCCAAACGGAATTTCGCAAAGATAAGCACATATGTGGGTGATCAACTCACGCAGTCCGACTCACTCAAGCTCAGGGCCTAATCACGACGTGGGCGAGACGTACTTGCCTGCAACAATGCTTTCCACGAGAAAGCTGGCCGTAGGAGGCTTCATTCCAAGATGAAGACATGATCCGCACAGATGCTGGAGAAATCAGTTGCTAGGCTATGGACGGCGACAGTAAGACGAATAGCGATGTAGTTTATTTCAAAAATATTAGTATACCCGATCAACACAACGTGCGGCAATTGTCCATTCTGCCTAAAGGAAAGCTCGCAAGTTCTCGCTGGAAGTTCCTTGCCGCTGGTTGGAGTTTTCGCCGTTCTCATCTTGCGAAGCACGATTAAGTGGTACGTTTTCTTTTCCTTCATCTGCTCCACTTCTTTCGGATTGGACGTAGAAAAACATGTAACATGATTCCTGACTTCGGTAGGCTTGTAAAGCATATTCTTCCGAAATCTGGCGGTGCAGAACGCAAAAGCAGTCTGCTGTTAAACCCAGGCACTACATACAGAAAGCGACTAGTACGTACCATAGACTCATGTGTGTCGTTCCGGCGAATCCACTGGCCTCCAGCATCACAAATGTCGGCAACATAATGCCCTTCGTCGATGCTCTTACCCAGGTGATGGATGACACTCTGCGCCGCACACATTGATGTTGATTAGCATCACAAATATCCGACGGCCACGCAAGATAGTATAATACGTACTTTCAGCACATAGCGCGACTCACTTTCTGATGGAGCCGTATTGTTAATCGAATGAGCTGGATCAATCGTGGCGGGTGGAACAATCGGATCGCATCGCTTGAACAACGCGCCAGTATGGGGGTTCACCTCGAAGCGCTTAAGGTGGAATACAAGAATCGAAGGCAGAGACTTGACCTGGTAAGCCGACTCTGCTTCCTTGCCCACTTTGCACTTCTCGCAAGTCAACTCCAGCACCTCCGTCTCAAATTGTTTCTGAATCAATGTCTCCAGCTCAATCGTTGACGGTCGTGCTTGCCAACCGGAGGCAGGAGTCTGAGGCGATAAAACTGATTTCATCGTCACATCCGCTTTATCGGGGGAAAAAGCTGATTCTTGAGTCTCAACCATTTTCTCTTGATAGCTGCAGGACGACTTTGGGCAGCAGTAGAAGCGTTCACTGCCCTCACCCATCGTCACAGGGGACAAGTTGCAAAAGCACTGACGTTCTGGTGGGGGTGATGCTTGAGGCTCTTGTTCTGCTGTGGGCTCCGGCTCTGGAATCGGGTAGTAAGGTAGATCCAACGAGAAATCGTAAAACGTTTCAGCTTGCTTTCGACTGTAGCCACAGTTCCGGCAGGTCAGAGTACGGTAAAGCTCTGCTCGAAAACACTTTGCAGGAGGCAGCTGGCAAATGAGCTCAAGCTCTGCATCGGAGGTTTTGTCTTTTTCAGGTTGTGCTTCGTTTGCTTTGGGGTTGTTCCGGAAGAAGTTTAGCAGGCTGCCTTTTTGAGGAGAAGACTTGGCCTCTGCTTGAATCTTTTCCGTGACTCCTTTGGCCATTTCCACAAGCTCCTTCTCGTATTCAGTCACAAGGTTGAGCAAAAACTCATGGGCATCTTGCTGAAAGTGGCTGTGACATTCAAGACAATGAAAATATAAATATTGAAATCAGTATAGTTTCCATGGGTGTGAACAATAAACAGCACTTACGTTGCAAAGATGGCGTTTTTCTTTCCCATCACAGCCTTGAGCGGTTCTGGATTGATCGACGTCTCGCTGCCATTGATAACAAGGTGAAGCAGCTGCCCAAGTGTATACTGCAATGGGAGATGCTTGGTATCACCGCTGGTTCTCCAATCGTCGAAAACGGCCTTCAGCTGCTCCAATGACTTAGCCCGAACGCTCGATTGGGGTTGTTTCAGGATGATTTTCAGCAGATTGTTCTCGTCTTGAACAGCACTCACGAATTCAGGAAGAGCTGCTAGAGCCTGCACGATAGCATTCATGTAGCAGTAGTTCCCAAGATTCAGTAATCCATGCGTACTTCTTTGAGTCGCGTCTTGTGGCGATTCGCCCGTGCTTGGGTCAGATGCGTCAGTCTTGTCATCGTTCTCATCGGTAGCAGCGGAGTCCATCGATAAATCAAGCGCCCGTGCTGTGTTCTCGTGCTGAGAGGTACTAGTTGGGTCCTTCTTGAAAAAGTGCGAAGTGATCTTCCGCTGAGCTTGTGCCTCGGGGTCTTTGGCAGCCGAGTCGTCGTCAAGCATCAATTGGAGAGAGCGAACGCGCTTGTTAATCGACCCCGTGATCGACTTTCGGCGGTTCTTCTCGCCAGAGCTACGAGCAGATCCACCGTTTTCCTTCGTAGTCTGGCTTTGTGGCGTGTGACTGCTGTGTCGTTTCAAATCCGGTGGAGTTGGGCCACTGCGCAACTTCAGCGATCGAACAGGACTCAGCCATTCACGCACAGGAGACCGCGACGATGGGGTCTTGCTTTCCGCAGATGACTTTGCTGCACTCGATGGGCTCAGCGAGAGTCGCGCTTTCTTGCGGAACGGAGAGCGAAATGGCGATCTCAACGGCGAGGACAGGGACGAGGACGCTCCTTTTGCAGTCACTGGCAACGGTGGTGGGAGCGTCAACTGAGGAGTCCTTTGAGGCGTCCCGATCTCAGCCAGAGGACTGCGTTTGGGGGTCATCGGGGGCTTCTTAGCAGGACTATTGAGCACTGGAGTGGGGCTTTTGAGGGGGCTTTTCATCGGGCTTTTGAGCGTGTTGACGGGCGTGAACCCCATGACTTTGCTCAGCTGCTTGCGGATCTTTCGCTTCTTCATGCGAATCTCCACGCCCGCCTTGCCGTCCACTTGGTCTTTGAGGTCGGCGTAGAACTGCTTGCCGGCTGCGTCCAAGGCCACAGTGAACACGAACCGACGCTTACCGTTCTCCACACGCACCGTGCGAGTGGGCTTCGAGTCCACCGTTGAGTCCTTGTGGGATAGCACTCCCTTGCCCACCCACAGCATCGCATCGCCACTCACGAGTCGCGCATTGCCGACTTCTTTGCGCAGCACCAGGTCGGTCTGCAACGTACTGCGGTCGATCTCGCCGTCGTCGCGCGTCACCTCCAGCACCACGTTCTTCACGCACTGAGAGGAAAGACAGTGGGAGGTTAGACGTAAGAGGTGCGTGGTCATAAGCGCGAAGGGTTACAGTCACTTGCCTGTATCGAGAGGTCGGTCGCCATGGCCAGCGTCGCGCCCTGGTGGAACAAAGGGAAGTCACAGGAACGGCGCGCTTGACGTGCTTGGCGGGAATGAGCGGGTTTTGGCGGCAAAGAGGAGGATGGGATCATATGCTTTTACACCAATCACAGTACTCCGATGTCCGGGGTTTGGACCAATCAAGGGGAACTGGTCTCACTTCAACTTGTTCAACTTCAAAAACTGCAGGGACAACACTACGGCGAAACATGCATGGTACCGGTGGCCTCACGTACTGGGCCAACTGGGAGGATTAAAGCGTGATTTCTGCTGGCTTGGCGAGAGTTGGTGCTCTGATAGCTCGGTGGCCGCGGCAGTATCCTCCACCTTGACTACTCTTGGTGCATCCGTCAGCACGGCACCTCTTGCCACCTTAAGCAGAACAAAGCAGCGTGAGATGGTTACACCACTAGAGCCCCCTTACGCATGTGCATTGCATACCACCGTGCGTCTTGCAAAGTCCGCGGGACTGGGCAGAGTTTTTGCATCCTTCAGTAGCGCAGCGCTTGCCTGCTCAACCATTTCAGCACACGTCAGTTGAGCCCTTAGTCAAAGATCATAGCATGAGTATACCTCCGCCGTGCGCGATGCAGTATCCACCTCCTTGGTCGCTGCGAGTGCACTCTGGATAAGTGCATCTCTTGCCGCCACCATGGCGCTTGCACAGTCCTCTCGAGCGAGCGCCTTTCGAGCAGCCAGGGATCATGCACTCTTTTGACTTTCTCGCTGATTTGCACTGTCGACGTGCTGAGGCTGCGGTGGAAGCAGTACGTGTCGTTCGGCCGCTCCATGAAGCACGTTTGTTTCGAGTGGTTGGCTTCGGTTGTGGTGGAGCTTCAAACTTGAGCGATCGGCTGGCAGGACGCGTCAGCGAATCCGCCCTACTGGACTTGGAGGCCGAGCTGTTACGCCTTGTGGGTCTCTTTTCTTCTTTCAAGTGTTTCTCGACGACCAAGTAGTTGCGAGGGAAGTGCACTTGCCTCTGCTCCGTCAGTGGCTGCTGGCGCGGGAACTTCTCTCGAAGGCCAGGACGCCTCGGCACATTGCCTTCACAGAAACGAAACGCAAGCGGTTCAGAGTTAGATTAAGTGAGGTACATCACTGTGATTCGAATGGTACGTACGCTGGGGTCGAGTGATTGGCCCAAGTATCGTGGGGCGCTCTGCTGAAAGGGTGTTGAGCGGTGGCAGCATCTTCGGTATCGTTGGACTGTCGATAAATTCTCTGCCCGTCAGGTCGAGCTCTTGGTTGCCTTCCATCCGACCTTGCCTCTCGATGCACTCCTCGACATCAGGACTGACGTAGTCCAGACACTCGGTCTGTTCTAATAACTCCATCCACTCCTGAGGCTCGAGTCTTCCTCGACAGCAAAATGCACCAGAAACGAAAAAAGGCGTTAGCGGTACAGATCGACATCAGCAATAACGCTCTGAATGAGGTCCTCTCGTACCTGCGCTCATTGTAAATAGGGGCAGGTGCTTCAGGTACAACAGGTTGGTCAACAGGGAATGGGATCCACGGACGAAAGTTGGCGTGGCCGCTCGGGGTGGTTCCGGTCCTGGGCTGCAAGGAATCAACGCGCCGCTGAGTCTCCGTCGCTTCAAACACCAACTCGTGCTCGCCACGTGCAGATAGCGCTGGGGAGTGGGCCGCTTGTTGCTTCTTGTTCGCCTTTTCCATGATCGCTGCTGGTTGTGGGCCAGGCCGAGTCGGGACGTCGGAGAGCAGGAGCTGGCGTCTGTAGTCTCAAGGCGGAAAACGCAGAGTGAGAGCACGCGTCTTGCCTTCCGACGCCTCCATCCAAACCTTCTTCGGCAGACGAGAAAGGCTGCACTGAATCAGGTCTCGAGTTCTCCTTGGCGTTGGTTGTGTGTCGCCTTTTCTCGAGTTGGTGCTGCTGTCCCAGCCCAACGAAGGCGCACGCTTCCAGTCAGGACGCAACCAGGTGAGAACGAGCTGCAGGGGCGAGCGAGAAGGTTGGCATGTTGTCTGCAACCACGAGAGGCCGTCACAGGAAGCAGGCGGGGGCCGTGGCGTCAGCAGCGCTGCGTGGTGGTCGATAGTCGGTGTTTGAGGAACTGACGCACTTTCTGAGGAGTGATGGTCCGTAAAGTTGAAGTTGTGTGCTCCACACCAATGTGTCCATTCGGAGCGACCGATCAAGAGTTGCGAGAATGAAGCGACCGATGTGCGGCGGACGGCTGCGTTGCTGCCTCAGATTCTTGGTGTTTGTGCTGACTGTAGCTCGCGTTGCTGCTGACGGTGAGAGTCTCTGGTTTGGTTGGTTTGTGGTTGCATCCTGGTGCTGAAATCGGGCTTATCTTTTTGTTTCACTAGCTGGAACTTTTGGCTTTGATGCTCAGAATTACACTTTCGATGAGAACGTTGGCACGGCCCAAGTGAAAATTGTCCGAACTGGAGGATCGAGTGGGAGTGTCGTGGTGAAATATGCGCTTGCAAAGCCGATGGATGCTACTGCGACGGCTAACAAGAATTTCAGACTTACTGACTCAGTTTACGAAGTGAACTTTGACGACAATCAGCTCGAAGGTAACATCAGCATTGAGATCATTAACGATGACGTCTACGAGGCAAACGAGTACTTCTACCTCGAGATTTCTAGTGTGACCTCTCCTGCCTCAATTGGTGCAAATCAACTCGTGGTTGTCTTCATTGCGGACGATGGGGACGCAGGACAGTTTAACTTCGCAGTTCCGTACATCTTCTGCCGGGAAGACAGTGGCAATGCGGTTGTGTCAATTGAACGGAGCGTTGGCTTTTCGTCTGCTTCTTACGTCCCTGTCACCCTCGTCGTCTCGACAGTAACCGCGGACGGCAACGCCACGAGTGGAGGCAGTAAAGCGTTTGATTACTTGGGCGTCTCTCAACCGCTCACTTGGGCGACAGATGAAGTGAGCAAAACGTTTGCAGTGAAGATCTTCAACAACAACAAGTATCAGCCTCAGTCAAGATCGATCAAAGTTCACTTGGATTCAGTCGAAGGTGGCGCCAGCATTGGGGATATGTCGGATATGTGGATTTATATCATCGATGATCGCGACGCAGGAACTCTGTCGTTTTCTTTGTCGCATTACGAGGTTATGGAGAACGGTGGGAAAGTGACGGTGAATATCACACGTTCGGGTATTCCCGATTCTACCAACGTGAATACATATACCGATGGTGCAGCAGGGGTTGACATTTCAACGTACGGCGGCACAATTGTGCCGGGTAAATCCAAGTACGATCTGGGCTACGATTATGATGTAGTTGAGGCTCGAGGCTGTACGCACATTAGTCCATGTACTGCAGAAGAATCGGTTGCATATACATCCGTTCAAACAACAAGGCTCAATTTCGTAGACAAGGAGGCGTGGAAAACAATCGACATCGTTATTCTAGACAACGATCTCTTTCAAGCGCCAGACCAAGTTTTTAAGGTAGTTCTTGCAAATGTGGACGGTGGTGCTCATATAGGCGTTGACTACGAACATCCTGTCGAGTGGAGCTGGTATCACGACGAATTCATGGCCTTGGAGACGCACGCAGATGAATTGCTGGACAATGTCGGCACGATTGTGACAATTCACGACGACGGTGATCCTGCTGTGGTTGTATCGAAAGCGAGCCTTTCGGTATCTGAAATCGGACAGATCGATGCTTTTGATGTTCGCCTGAACTCGAAGCCAACGTCTGATGTCACTGTTGAACTGAGTGTTAGCGCGTCGGAGTTGGAGATTTCTTTACCCTCTCTGACCTTTTCACCACTGAATTGGGACCAGAACCAAACGGTCAGCGTCGAAGCCGTCCCTGACGATATCGCTGATGGTATTCACAGTAGCTTAATTTCCATCTCGGTCTCCAGTAGCGATGCGTCGTATAACTCCCCTTTGAAGACAGTGGCAGGTTCTGCTGGATATACACTTGCGCTTGGAATATACACACAAAAATGGGGAATATACGATACAGGAAATGTCGAGCATGCCTTTCCATGGGAGGATAAAGATGGTGTGTTGACGTCTCCTACGCAGCAATCAGCGATTAAGGTGTTTATTCTTGACGATGATCAGCCGACTGTCAAAATTGTTCCTGAGGTCGTTCGTTATCAGCTAGCTGGTAGCAAGCCGCTAGGCTTTGTGTGCGTTCGAGAGGGTGGCCACAATGCATCTGTTGAAGTTGTATTGTTGAGTGAGCCTCGCGCTAATGTCGATATTTCCTTCGTGGTTGATGGAGCTTCCAATCTACTGGTTGATCCCGACGTGATTCACGTCACGCCTGCTATGTGGAAGGACAGTCAGTACATTGTTGTATCGGCTGTCGTCGCTTCAAGGCCTCAGGTTTCCAGCGAGGTGGATTACTCGAAACTTGTAGTTTATTCTGCGAGTACTGGCGATGCCATGTACGATCAAGGAAACCAGCCGGTTGCAACACTATCCGTGCAGCGATTTCCTCCTGCCGTTGTCTTATTGGATTCGACACGGGCTTCTACCAAAGAGAATGGTGGCGATGATGCAGTTGTGGAATATGACGTAAAGCTGGGAAGTGAACCCATGCACTGGCAGCCAGAAGAAGGCAAATATGAACCATTTGAACTTTTACTTTACCCAACCGCGGACACTACTCTTCTTTTCTCACCCGACTTTCAAGGGCCTCTTGCAGCTTCTGCATCGCTCGTTGCAGCGAGCAATTCCTCCCAGAGCACAGCCACAGAAACGATAAAATCTGTAGCTGTGGTTCGCTTTGACACCCATCCGATTATTCAAACGGAAACCGGTAGCGCCCAGGTTGGCTTGGCGATTTTACGATTGTATCGCTTGTCAGGCGGAGAAAATGGTGGCCTTGGTGGAGTGGTAGCGGGCGTTACTGCTGCTAATGTGGAGACATCGGACAGTTGGAGCGAAGCATTGCTTGAAACGCAGTGCGCAGAGAATAATGTTGGGCTTGTTCCAACATGCTTGTTAGCTGAAAACGGATCGGTGGTGTCGTCGCTTTTCCCGACAACATTTGAGGATGTTAGCGTACAGACCGACGGGGAAACGCTTGTCAACCAGAGTCGAGAAGTCGACTCGGATACCAACAAATTCATGCCGTCATCCGGATGGATCGAAATTGATGTCACCGCAGCAGTGAATCGAGTGTTGTCGCAACAACGAGTCACACCCTCGGATTCTCACAGCATATCTTTCCTCGTGTATTCGCGCTCAGTATCTACTTTCTTGTACGACGGCGTGGACGAAATCACGTTCGCATCCAGAGAGTATAGTGACTCAGACTTACATCCTCAGCTTCGAATTCTTGCTTCTGGTAGTGTCAATCTCGCTTTGTCTGGTACAGCCTCCCAGAGCCAACAAGGCAACGCGGACGCTGCTATTGATGGTGAAGCAATATCGAACTCGGGAGTCGCCACTTCTTACGCAATGTCTCGTAACATTGACGCTTACCCGTGGTGGCAAATTGATCTGAAAACTATCCGACGCATCGAGGATATCGTAATTACAATCAAGAAAAGGGTACCAGCGGCAGACTTGGACGATGAACAACTCACAACAGTATTCTGGGTCTTCTTGTCCGACAACCCCTTTCCTGAGTCTAACAATGAGACCGAGGATTTTATGTCGACCAAGGATAGTGCGCTGTACTCGCGCCAGTTTAAGATTTTGTCACGGTCTTTCGACGCACCTGAAGCGGAGACAATCACGTATCGGTGGCGAGTGAATGGAGAAGCTAATGGTTACTTTGGAGAAGACCGATTTGTTGCCAATTACACGACTTCCACAGAAGCGCGATACTTGCGGCTGCAAGTAGAAGGAGAAAACAGCATTCTTCTGAATGAAGTCGAGATATACCAACAAGCTTTTGCAAGCACGAGGTTGTCCGTTGGAGGATACATGCCCAGCGTAGCGTCTGCTCATGTCAAGCAAAGTCAAATCGAATTTAGGCTTCCTTCCATGCAAGGCGCAGATCCGTCACCATGTGATAACACAACTTTAATTTGCCGCCATGAGCTTTTATTCACGTCTGGAACTTGGAAAACCGCTCGGCAGGTACAAGTGAAAGCTGTTGACGATAATGTTGTTATCGGTGATCGTGAAGTGATGATAACCCACACAGCTGAATCTCTCGATTCCGACTATGCTGGCGACTCGTTTTGCAAAGACTCCTGCAACGGGCAGTTATTCAACGATTCTAGTGTCAAAAAGCTCCTTATACTGGAGGATGATGAGAACAAAGTCCTTCTGTCCAAGTCAGAATTTATCGTGATCGAAGGAAGCAGCGCTTACCCGAATGCAACTCCATTCTATAAACTGTCGGAGCTTCAGGCACGGTATCTCCGCTGTAGTAGCGATCCTGCTCTCGTAATTGACCTTCAGACAACATCCAGTACGGCTTGTGCAACCGCTTTCACTGAGTCATCAGGTACACCCTGGGAAACTTGCATCTCAAACAGCAGTGCTTTGCCTTTAGAGGCTGGCAGTGCCTGGGTAATGGCTGGTTTTGAGTCAGCAACAAACCTCTCCACTATGGCGCTGGTAATTCCAGCGCTGACAGGATCGAAATACATTCGCCAGGTCACGCTGTGGGGGAGCTCTGAGAATGCAATAACTAGCGCATCGGATGAAATACTGGACATTACCGAGGGCTGGAGTGAAATGGCAACAGCGCAAGTGTCGATGAAATCTGGCGGTCCTCAAACCATCACTATGAATGGTCTCTCAAGTTTTCCAGTGCGAAGTGTTTTGATCGTGTTCGACAAATCATACGATGCCAACAAGGGTTGTCTTCTTGCACCTTGGGTCGCCATGACTGGGTATAAGCCCGTCCCGTTTCCTTTGTCTGTCCGAGGTGATCTCAATAATCCTGACAGCGTACCGCCCGAGGTTAGCCATCTGTCACGAATGCACTTGTATGGAATACCCGACAGCGTGAAAATACGTTTATCAAGTGAGCCTCTAGCTGATACACTTGTATCCATACTCGCGGAGGTTGTCAGTGCTGATGTTACGACATTCGATGCTACAAATGCGTCGAGCGCCTCGGAGTCACTGTCAGATCTGATTGGGGCCAAATATGAATCCGGGGACACCAAGAAGTTCCGAATGCCGACGAAACTGCGCTTTAATGCAGAAAACTGGAATACCAGTCAGGAACTGACATTTATGGCGGTTGACGATAACACCTACCTCGGGAATCGAACGCTTGTGATGCACATTAGCTCGTGGTCAACGGATACCGAAGGTCTCGTGGTTCCATCTCAATCTATCGGTGATACCGCAGTCCTACGTTCTACCGTGCAACTTTCGACGTCCCTTTCGTACTCGAATGCAGAATTTATAGTCCGTGATCACCAAGAGACCGTGTGGCCTTTTCATATCGCAACAAAATGGCAATCTACGTCTGGATCGATCCAAGTCACTGTGGTGGATGACGATCTCCCGGGTGTTACCATATCAGCAAGTGAAGTTGCTGTTTCGGAAAGCAGCTCCAAAGCGAATTTCTCCGTCTCACTTGACTCCGCTCCACTTCAAGACGTCGCCATTACGATATCGTACGAGAAAGACCCAACGTTATTCTCTGCGTCGCCACTGGAACTGACTTTCACCCGATTGAATTGGTACCAGCCTCAATGGGTCGGTATTTATCCTGTTGCAAACGAGGTCAATGATGCGGCATTTCCGTTCACTCTGAATTATGAGAGGCTTATCCCCAAAGCAAAGCAACCGATAATGGTCCTTACGGTAGCCAGTACGGATGAAAGCTACGACGGCTTGAAAGTTGGTACGAACGAGGACGGATCCTCCATAGCGTATGCAGTAAACCAGGGCACTCGCATTGTTATTCAGGATGACGATACCGGATGTGACAAGGAGTACGATTGTGTGAATGGCGGTGAGTGCCTGAAGAGCTCGTCCGGTAATGTTTGCTGGTGCCCTCCAACGTTTGGAATGAAGAACTGCTCTTTGGTATGCGAACGAGAAAGCGAGTGCGCATTTGACAGAATTCTGTTGAACATAAGATGTTATGAAGGCGAAGGGCAAGCAGCATGTGGCTCCACTTTTTCCGCTAAGACCCTGACATCGGTGCTCTATCGGATGCTCACAGCAAAGGCTTTCACCGGTTTAGATGGGGTGGTCTATCCCAAACTGTCGCTTGATTCCGTCTCGGAGGCCATGTATATCGTCAACAACACGCGAGTGCCATGCGTTGACGGGTCGGAAGGGTGCACTTCGGTGTCTATTGACTTCATGAGACCCGACCTAGACGATACTTCCATCACGAAGAAACTGTTTGCGTACCAGGAGGCAGGATCGCTCAAGGTATCTCCCATGTACATCGAGTTACTGACTTCAGACCCGCAGTACGTGAAAAGTAGCAGTGCGACGATCGGAATGTGGATTTTCGTAGGGTTCTGCGGAGCTGCGTTGACCGGTGCAGGCGGCTTGTTCGCGGCTCGAGCCATTCATGCCAAGACTAGTCACGTGATACCCGATAATGATTTTGCTGGCGAGGAAACTGAACTATTAGCGGTTGGAGCCACATCCCCGAGGGGAGGCGAAATGCTGCCATCTCCAATCAGTACATAAAACACTATCAAAGGAAGAATATGAAAAACACACCTTTGTTGAAAATGAAAACACTATCGACTGCGAGCAGCATTAGCAAGCTACTAACTAGCCTTCAATCGGCAATCAGACTAAGCATGGAGCTCATCGGGCACGTGGAACCATTCTTCATCTTCAAACTTCATCTTCTGCTGTCGGAAGCGTGGAGACATCAAAAAGGATCCGACGGCCGAACCCGATAGACTTGCAAACGCCACCGTAAGCACTATCGCCACAAATTGGAAGAAGCTCTGTTCTCCGGCACTACGGTAAGCACGTGCCGTGTAAACGTCCGTCAGCCCTTCGCCGTAGTACTCGTCCGAGACGACTAGCGTGATCAGAGCGGCTGCGATTCCTCCAACCACACCGGGCATTCCGTGCAAGTTGAGGATTCCACACGTGTCCGACATGCGCATCGATCGTTCGAGGAACGGTGACACGAAACAGTACCCAAAGACGGAGGCGAAACCAGCGAATAGGCCGATCGTAATTGCCGCGACAGGGCTAACTCCGAGGTTGCAACTCGTGCCGATGGCTACACCTCCCGCAAGTGTGGCGTTTTGCACGTGCACCATGTCAAACTTTTTCGCGTGGCTCATCACCTTCGTCGCAGCGAAAGCCGACGCACAAGACGCCGAGATGCTAAGCACAGTAGCCACAACGGCCCGCTCCTGCTGAAACCCGGCTGCGGGCACCATTGCGGCGCAGAATGACGGCCAGTAGATCCAGAGGAATAGGGTGCCAATCATGGCGAAGACATCCGAGTTGTACTGCGAGGTGTTGTGGATTTGCTCCGTCTCACTTGGGACTCCCAGCTTGATCGTTAAGGCAAGCCCAAAGAAGGCACCAAACGCGTGGATCACCATGGAGCCTCCAGCGTCTACAACCTCCAAATACTCGGTCAAGACGAACTCGTTGATGGCGTAGAAGATGATTTCGAGGAATGTCATCCACACCAGCTGAGTAGGGGTGATCTTGCCCAGTAGTGCCCCAAAGCTGATGAGAACAGCGCCCGCAGCGAAGTCACCGTTGATCAATGTCGGGACGTCGATGATTTTGGTCGAAAACTCGCCGTCGCCAAATTGGTGAACGAGGGTCACCACGATGATCCCCCATTGCAGCGACATGACGGCGACGATGAAGTTGAGCGACACAGCACTCATGCTGTATTTGCGGAGGAAGGTCATCAAGAACCCGAAGCCAACGAAGATCATCACATGGACGTCCATGTACATTGTGTAGTAGCCGCGCAGACGAGCTGGGTCGGTGTCCGTCTCCGCGTTGGTGTTGGTGTTGGTGTTGCCGGGATTCGCCAAGTCGAACTTCCAAGCAAAACAGAGCAGGCAAAGTGTCTGAAACGCCATCAGTGACCAAGCGAATCCTTGCTGCTGGCTTGGCCAGGTGCGGCTTGAAGGTTGCTCCTTAGATGGCAGTAAAGGCTGGTTTTCGTGGTTCCCCATGGTTCCCTTCGAATTTGGTCGATGTATTTCAAGACTGCCAATTGAAAAGTGAGGCTGCTTAACCTTGCGAAAGAAACAAAGCTTTACTTACTAATGTAAAATTGGCTCCTCGTTACCAAGAGCGGCATCATCAATCTTCATGCTCTGTAGCGTTGTGGGCAACAGTGAAATCTAACCGGCTCTGCAAAAGAGAAAGAAATGATTAGCGGACCACAAATCTCACTATACTTGCTTTTTGTATAGAGTAATGTTGCTTAGGTTAGGCGTCTATTACTCGCCACATTTCGAGAAACAAAAGTCAGCTTTGCAGGTATCCGAATCTCATCCGAATCCCAGGGACCCATCTCATCGTGGCATCTACGTGTAGTCTATCAACATGAAGTTGGCGTCTCCTGCAACCCTGCTTGCTTTCGTAGCCGAGACGATAATAGAAGTAACAGTTCAAGTGCATCCCAAGCGCCACACCAGAGTTACAGACTGGATCTCTCTCGATGTACATGTATCCTGCTGCAACTGCTCAACTTGAGGCTCAAGGCCGAGGAGGGGAGGGTCCACATATACCACTCGAACGAGTTTGCGCAAAGAGATAATTTGATACTTTTCTGAAAAGGAAGAATATCAGCCAAGCGTGTGGGCATTGGTGTGTGCCGCCTGCAGCATGTACTAAGTACAGTAGTCGTTTTTGTCATCCAGGACCCACTGATGCCCACACCTACAACAGATTTCGTCGCGATTCCGCAAAGAGATGGACGTGAATTCAAATGTGCGCTGTACTTATGGACTGGCAGACTTATAGCTGGCATAGGTCAGCGCGCTCCGTGCCACTCCTTAGCAGCTCCCAGAGATTCCGAGGCCCGCCAGCGTGACAGACGAAAGTCCGATCCAGCTGCGCATCGCGTTCACGATCGACAGGTCACGGTGTACACGAGTGTACTTGCCTCCAGCGAAGCCCTCAACCGTGTAGCCGCAGGATCCAGCCCGGAACGCTTTCTCGTAAGGTACGCTGGCCGTGCATTTCTGGCCTTGAGATGAGTCGAAGCCACTGCAATCTGAGTAGCCGTCGGGGAACCCAGCGGCGCCGTTCGAGAACCACGTGTACGAGCTCAGAACAACCTTGATCTGCCAGTCGGCGTCCGTGCGAGAGAAGAGCTTGACCTCAAACGAACGGTGCCTCGCGACGTCCTTGTCCTTAATGAGCACCGATCCAGCATCACCCATGTCGCGGGACGACGAGCCATCGTTTTGCTGATCGTGGTCATCGTTCTGGATCACAAAGCGGGACGATGGCAGAATCCAGGAACCGCAAATTGGGAACTCTTTGGGGTAGTCCGACGACCAAATCTTCAGCTTGGCGATGTCCGTGGACGAGATACCGTTGGCAGCATACTGCGCGTCGAGACCTTTGTAGAAGTTGTAGCCCGAGTCTGCATTGCAAGCCAACAGACTAGCTTCACCTCCGAGAATCACCTCACCCCAAGAGATAAAGTCGTCGGGGAGGCTGCCGCCCATGAAGGTGTTCAGAAGCCCGTAGATCGCACCTGCATCGACAGGGCCGATGTGCTTCAGCGCGTCCAAGCGAAGCCCACTAAAGCCAATGCCGAGCAGATCCACGAAGTATTGAGCGATGCGTTCACGGACGTATGTCTTCTCGGTGTTCAGATCCGTCAGACCAGTGAGCCATCCCGTTTCGAGCTGCAGGGGGTCAGTCCACGAACTCATTGTGCGTTCGCAGTGAAAGTCGGAAGGTCCGTACGGCACAGCGGGGAACTCCAGCGCTGGGCGAGCCTTCGTGTACTCGTTGACACCGTAAGTGTAGCTGTGGGTGTAGTATGGCGAGTGCTTCGCGCTGGACTTGGCACCCCAGGTGACACAGGAACCTCCGCTGCTGTAGCGATGCGAGAGCACGTCGTTACCTCCACCAGACATGTGGTTCACCACGGCATCGGCGTACACTCGCACTCCGTTGGCCCGGCATGTTTGAATCATCGACCGCAACTGAGCTCTCGTTCCGAGACGCGAGTACAAACGGTAGCTCACGGGCTGGTACACGAAATACCAAGGGTTCCGCTGACCGTTCTGGGGCCATGCATCTGTCAACACAGACTCCTGCGGCGGATTGATCTTCACCCCCATGTAGCTAGCCTTGCCCAAGAAGTCCGAGCACTCCTGCGCGATGTCATCGTACGGCCAACCGAAGAGATCGACGATGGCTCCCTTCTGTCCTCCTTTCATGCCGCTGGGTTGGTTTACCGCGTTGTTCTGCCAGACGAAATTGACGGGGTCCAGCTCCAGTGTCCATGTATCGGTTCCGTCAGTGCACGTGACTACAATGATGAGGTCGTCTTTCAACGCGTTCGTGACTTGATACGTCGCAGACGTCGATTTCACTCCGTTGAAAGTGAACGAGCAGGTGGCAGATGCAACTCGAAGGAAGGTGCGAACAGTGACGGTGGCTGAAGTGCGAGCAGCTCCATAGACAACATGAGCGTATCCAGTCAGCGATCTGTAGTCTTGGTAATCCGTGGACCACCCGCTCGCGTTGCGCGGCGGAGTTTGCCACTTCCTCTGGTCGTCGCTAGCTGGGAGTTCTGTCTGCGTCGAGCTGGAGCATGAGTCCTGTCCGTTGTAATTGTAGCAGCTTCCCGATGGAGTTGGCGCAGAAGTAGTCGGCGATGGAGCAGCCGTGGACGTTGGCGTGGGGCTGGCAGTGGTCGGTTTCGGTGTAGCAGTGGGGGGGGCTGGCGCCGTTGTGGGCGTTGTCGTCGTCGTCGTCGCGGGCGGGACACTGACTGTGCTCATGACGATCCATTTGCCAGCGCTAGTAGCCTCGTAGTTCGCGTTCTTGTTGTTGTCCCAGACTCCATTGCCGTTGTTGAAGACGAACTCGAGAGACGCCTGCGGGACGGCCACGTCGTACTGGAACCATCCAACTGAAGCGGGGTACGTCGGATCGGTGCTTGCAGTCATGAGCTTCCCCGGGGATGTAGTCCAAGTGGATCCAGTCGAATAGTGAATGTACGGGGCCCCCCAACCAGTCTGGAAGAAGACGTGCAACCCCGTGCCATCACTGGATGCCGTCTGAACTGCGGTCGATGGTGGCGCACTCACGGAGCTCGTCACTTGCCAAGTCCCGGCTCCACTGAGCTTGTAGTTCGCGTTGTTGTTGTTATCCCAGACACCATTGCCGTTGTTGAACGCGAACTCCAGCGATGTCGTGGAGGCCGGGAGATCATAGTGGAACCAGCCCAAAGCTGCCGGGAAATTCGCCGCGTCGGTGCTCTTGGTAATGGCTTGGCCCGGTGAAGTCGTCCACCCGGTGCCCGAGTTGTAGTGAATGTAGGGCGCTGCCCACCCCGTGCGGAAGTAGACGTGGGTGCCCGATCCATCGCTTGCTTTGGCCAGAGTTTGAGCGTCCGCGACCCCAGTGAGCAAAATCGTCAGCAGAATTGCGACGAAAGGGTAGATGTCCTTCATCGCGCTTGGATACTTGAGTCTTGTCAGCAGAAGCAGTCACGAGTGACTCCCAGTTGAGTGCTTGGCGTGAGGCCAAAATAAAAGTGAGGACCGAAGGAAGCGCAGTGCATGTAAGTGAGCCGCCAGCCTCTCGCATTCCCCAAGCCGCTCCAGTCGAGCTACCCTCGGCTCGGCTCGACCACATTGATGGCTATGCTCGTCTGCAACGCGCCCACTTGATTTATTCCTTTCGCTGGCGTGGCACTGCCACTGGCAGGGCATCGATCCCAGCGTACTGCGCAATGCAGGCCTACGACGGTGTGCCTGGATGATGTTGAGGTTTTCGTTTTTTCTTCGCCCAACTTGGGCTTCGCATTAAGTGGTAACACTCAATACGGTATTAATATAGCACCCCATGCCTACTGTATTGATACTGGGTGCACCACTATCTGGCTTATGTATTAGCTTCATTACTATAGTTGTAGTTTGTATTATACGGTCGTAATACAGACGGGGCCATGTCTACCAGTACGTAGAGTGGCCGCAAATGGCATTGAATCCCGACACTTTAGCATGCAATGGGCTTGAATAGGACTCCTGCTGTCGATCTGGGCTCCCGTGGCATGGATGACCGAGATATCGAACCACCGAAACGCGAAATGCACACGACTCTACAGTAGACTACGCAACAGTATAACAGCAAACTACAAAGCAGCACCCATCTACTTCCAACTCCGCCGAATTGATTCCGAGATCAATCGTATCCGGTCAGTTCTCAATTCCTACTTACTAGCTGTGAATCGCACTTATGTGGATACTATAGTTTATCCTGGTAAATCTTTGGGAGCCCATTAGACTGCTGCTGTATCTACTACTGTAGTACTGTATTACTACACACCCTGTTTATTTCTGTGCAGCATGCTACTATAATAATGCACACCATTCATTCGTAGTACAGTACCTGTTACAGTACCTGTAGTGGTACAGCTCAAAGGTGGTTAATGCGAAGCCCTGCGCCCAAGTTGAAGTGCTGGTCGATCGATCACGGTTCCCTCCAGTCATCATGGAGCATGATCACGAACAGCGGGAGTTAACCAGAGCTAATACTTGCCCAGCTCAACGTGGAGGGCTTGGTACACGAAGTAATCGATGGCCCAGCTCAGCGACAAGTTGTCACTGACAACCAACCATCTCCACTCGTCACCAGTTCGATGGCATCGCGCTCATGCTGGTCGTTTGAATATACTCGGGCGCCCGTGGCATTCACTCTCGGTGGATTATACTCTCCTGGATTTCTGTCCACCTCCCAGTCTCCGATCAGGCAGGCAGCGTGTCGAGGTCCTCGACTGGAGGAAAACACTCGAACAGCAAAGGCAACTGTACGGCACATCCTATTTGCACGAGTCTGAGTACGGCGTCGAACTGCTTGCCCGGTGTCCTCGTCGACCACAGAAACACTACAGCTTAGGCGAGGCTCTTCTGCGTTTCGAGTTGCAGACGCAAAGGCTCGGGATTGCGGTGATTTCACTTTCATGGACCTATTTTAGAGTCTGGACTATTTTTAAGTCCTGACTATATTCTGGATTTCTTAGCCGATCTAAATCTAAAACGTTTCAAAAATACAGTCTAAATGTGATCTTGAATATTGTATTGATAAACTGGTAGATATCGGTATTTAATAGTATATGGGTTTCTATTCAGGAGGGAATTTATTTGGGACTTTTTCGGGTACACAATTATGTAGCACTACACAACATCAAGCAAGACAAGCATGGATCTCAACGCAGCGTGGCAGGAAGTGGCGCTCTTCCAGGAGACAGGCATCGCCACCTCCGCTCATCTGCATGCGGCCGATCAGGAGAATGCGCTTGTCCACGAGTTCCTGGCAAAAATCCCGATCGCGACGCTGTTCGCGTGTCTGCAGGACGCCAGCGACCGCGGATCCGCCAAGCAGGTCGGCTTCCTCATATCTACAGTGGGATTCTTTACAGCCGCGCAATGACTTTCTAACGGGTATTTCCTACACTGCCAACAGGTGAACCAGGCGTGCAGCTGCATCAACCGCGTTTTAGGTGCCGAGGGCGATGGCACGAGCCTTTTCTTCCAGCCTGACGTAAGGAATTGGGTCTAAGTCGTGCTGTGTTTAGATGCTTTCGTGCTGATACTATGGATTTTGCGGACAGATTGTGCCTTTCGTACTGGCGGGACTGGCGCACGTTGAGAAAGAGGCGAGAGCGCTGGTGGTGAACCAGTTCATCGCGCACCTGGGCAGGAAGCCCTCGCTGGGCCTGGTCAAGGTCGTGGTACGTGAGGAAAAACTGACGCTAGGAGGTGAACTGCTTGGTGATACTAAGTGCTTGTATGATGTTGCTAGACTGACCCGCTGGTTCTGGAGCAGATATGCAGCGTCGTTGCTGATGATGACATTGAGATCGCCGCAAAGGCTTCGACCGTGCTGGAAATGGTGCGGTTGGTATATTGCCGCTCTTGTTGTGAGGTGAAATGACACTGACTTCTAGGTTGCCTATGTGTGAAGTTTTCAAGCATTCCTGACAGCGCAATCTACAAAACCGTGCTCGACTCTCTAAAGACCAAGGCACAGAGCAGGTTTGTGGAACTTCATATCACTTTGCTTGGATCGGCGTGCTGGCCGTGCTAACGACAACGCTCGCTGTGGATTAGTGAAATTACGGAGAACTCGATCGAGTTCATGCGATATCTAGAGACAATTGTAAAGATCTGCGCCCAAAAGGATGAACACATGGAGTACGGTATCTCCACGGAGTCGATTGATTTGGTGCGTTCTGCATACAGCTCATGAGGTTGCATGTGGATGGGGCTGACTACGAATTGATTGTGCAAATAGATCCTGAACTGTCTGAAGTCTGATGACCCACTCTTCCTGATGAACGTCGTGGATTTGGTGCCGGCGGTGTGCCAAACCACGATTGGTGTTCGGTATATCTTTCAATCGGGTAGGCCAGCGCTACTGCCGTCCTGAAGTATCTTGCTTGGTGCTCACCGTCTCTCTTTGCGGTTTGTTTCAGGAACATTGAAAACGTTGCTAGGCATGACGGAAGGTGAGCTGCATGATAATCTGGTGTGGGCTTGCACTGCGTGCTGCGGATACTCACATCGTCCTGAGATCAGATCCGTTTGTCGGAGGCAATGCAGTTCGCCTCGTGGGCGAGATCTCGGCTACAGCGGCCAGTCTGAACATTGAGTCGTGGAGTTGGGGCGACGCCACTTTGTCCAAGGCGTTCCTGGAAACAGTGGAGAGCAAGATGCAGAGCACGGATTCGTTGCAGCAGATCGCCGCAATGGACGCGCTGGCTGCGTTTGGATCGTCATCTGACAAAGGTAGGCACAGTTGCTGGTGCTTTTTGAATACCGTACTGGCGATCTTTGCGACTGATGCTACGATGTTGTCCCCAGAGCTCCAGCTCTTGCTGCAGCATCGAAGCATTTGCCAGATGTGGTTACAGTTTGGTAGCAGTGTGAAAATGCCCGTGAAGGCGAACTGTTTCCACTCGCTCGCGCGCGTTCTCGGTGCACACACGCGACTGACGAAGCAACCCGATCAAGTTCCTGCGGAGAACGCGGGCGTTTGGAGCATGTGTGAGCGCCTGTTCAACAGCCTGGGTGCCGAGTGCGCGCAGCAGTCCACGATGGTGCAGCTCATGAACGCGCTGAAGCAGCCGTTCGAGGAGCTGCGGACGTCCGTGTTCCACGTCATGCGCTCGGTGGCAGCGCAGAACAGTCCCTGGGGCATTCGAGCGCTGCTGTCTTATGGCGGCTTCTTCGAGTTCCTCATGGATCGCACCACGGAGCCGACCAAGGAGACCCGCGAGTGGAAGTTCGCCGTGCTGGACGCCGTGCTCGCCTCGCCGTTCCAGTCGCAGCTGGGTACGTGTGCTGAGTGCCTGAAGCTTTGCTCGAAATATGTTGCACGGTCTCATGCATGCCACTTTTCGTCTTGTTGTGCGTGTCGTGCGTGGTGCAGAGGCGTCTTTACTGGAAAAGCTGCAGGCGAGTCTGCGCCGCGGACCGTACGCTGGTGCGGCGGCGCCCGCCGAAATGGAGCTCGAGTCGGCGTAGGCTCGAAGTGAATGGCTTGCATGTGTCACTCGTGCAGCATCTTGAAGTGGTGATCAGCCTGCCACGTACGCACCAGCTGCTTACCGCTTCATTTTCCACCAATTGTAGTAGGTTACAAAGCGACTTTTTGGACTTTTTGCCAATCAAATACCCCTATTCCTGCCCGACGACGTGCGACTTATCCACTTTCAAACACCATTTATCTCTATAATTGATTAGCCTACTTCTTCTATAAGCGCCAATCTAGTGTAGTATCACGAATGGACTGTATAATACAATATCCCACTATCGATGAAGCGAACGGGAAACCTATTTATACAGGGTTTTGGAGCGCTATCCAGCGTCGGCGGCATAAGCTGGTCTGCCTTTAGGCCGCGCGCACTCCGCCGACAAGCGAAGCTGCGTCTCGGTGAGCGAAGTCGTGGGAAGATGGACACCCCCGGGCGCGCCGCCTTCCTGTGCTCCAGCACCGCCGCCTTCCACCCTCCCGACTGGTACGACCGACGGCGTTCCCGACGCCTGCTTGACTATCGCCGAGCTAACCCGTGTGCTGATCCCTTTGCTCACTGCAGGGCGTGCATGCCCGTCGAGGCCAACTCGCATGCGCGGCTGGAGGCGTTTCGCGACAACCGCCACTGCGCCACGTACATGGTGGCCACGCAGCGCGTGAATCTCTTCGGACGCGACCAGGAGAGCTGCGACCATGTACTGGGCAACCCCTCGGTCTCCCGGAAGCACGCGGCGGTGATCCACGACAACGAGGGCGGCATCTACGTGCGTCCATCATTGCTGCACTGCTATTACTCGTAGTTGCACGCTGTACTGAGCACTGCTATATGTTTCTTTTGCTGGTATAAGCAGATCACCGACCTAATGTCGCGGCATGGAACGTACGTGAACCGCAAGAAGATCCCTCCGCACGACCCCTATCTGCTGCATGGTATGCGCGCGTCCGTTGAAGTGGAGAAGAGTACGCGATGCTAACGAGTGTGCTGCTGGACAGACGGCGACGTCATTAAGTTTGGGCAGAGTGTTCGCGTGTACATTCTCAAGGGCGCCAGCTCCAAGGGCAACAGCGCGCCAGTAAAAAAGTCGTGGGGACGCAAGCTGCGTGTTCCGCACGTGAGCATCAGCGCCGTTGTCCCGAAGCGAAGCCCCAGCAAGCCGAAGGCCTCGTCAGCGGTGACTAAACTGGTGAATGCGGTTTGTTACGGCACTTTGAAGGACGAGAAAGTGGCGACGTTTATCACGGGCGTGCTGGAGCTTGGCGACGAGGACAGACAGGTGCGATTTGGACTACGTTTGTACCGGTGCAGACGATTATTCACACGCCTAACTGGGTCCGTGCATGAACACAGGGCGTTGCTGACACGCTCGTAGAGAGGCTTCAAGCGAGATACGAGTTCTACGCTACACATGTAAGCAGCCTACGTTCTGGTACTATTCTTGTTGGTAAGCGCTAATAGTTTTTGTTGTACACAGGTTCACCGCAATGCGTTTGTCGCCACAATGGCTTTATTGAAGCAAAACCTTTGCGTGGAGGAGCTCGAGGAAAATCTGGACGTTTTCACCCACATCTCCCAACAGCGTAACGACAACATTTATCGCGCCGACGCCCGAAAGCTCCTACAAGCAATCGCTGCTGTTCGATTGGATCCAGACAATCCCCAATTCACTGATTTGGATTCAACCGAAGAAGACGTCGGCTCTGCTTGCCCACCCACCGCAAACAACCGCGAAGGCCGCGAGCGATCTATCAGTGACGAAGGAAAGAAATTGTTCTTGGCTGGCCATGGATATCCGGGACGCACAGAATCGGTTGGGGCGATTAATGACCGAGAGACAATTGGCCACGGTGACCCTCGGTACCAGACGTCACATTATCCATCAAGCAGCGAGTATGATGAACGTGACGGCGAATATGACTCGAGATCTATGGATAATGGATATGCTCCCCCAATTAGCTTGGCGATGGGCAATGGACCGAAGCAGCCTCCTGTTGTCAGTACAAAGGAGTCGGGCTTCAACTTTATCGGACAAGCAGCGCCGGAGGCAATGAAGCCCAATGGGTCCGCCTTCGGGTTTATTGGCGGCTCTGATCCAGTGGACGATTCTTCTTCTCACACTAGCTCAACGGATCGACCTTCTGGACAGTCTGGCGTGGGCTCTGCGTCGAGGAATCCTTCCGTGTCTGCTGAAGATTTCTTGCTTGAACATCCGTCTGTCGATGCCAGCGAGTTCGAGTACATGTGGGAATCGGCGAACGACGAATCGTACGTTCCTCGTCTTGTGACTACATAAACTCTCATTGCTAACTACATGTTTGTGCTTGCAGCGAGGAGTGGTCAGTAGACCTCGGCTCAGTAGATGCGCATGAGCTGGACCCCCGTGTTCTCCCGGTGTTCTTGGAATCATACCGTTTGTTGTGTGCGTCCAGCAAGAAGGTTGCTGGACAGCAGCAGTGGCTATTTGTTGCTGAGCAGGTACGATACTCTTATTCCTCTGGTGTGCGTTTATCATGTGCTAACCAATTCTGAATATACAGAAGACTGAAGGGAACCTCTTCTTGGTGGACATCTCGGTCATGCCGGGTTTGACGGACATGTCGGTGACGCTGAAGTGGATTGTCAACTCGCTGCTGTACCGAAATGGGCACGTCATTTTTATGGATATCCTCAAGTATGCACTTCAGCAGTTTGCCGAGCAAGCTTACGAGCTTGCGTCGACATTGCCCCTGCCAGCACAGCCGCACTACCAGAACAATGTGCAGCAGCAGCAACAGAATGGACGAGAGCCTGAGCCTGTTAAGGCCAACTCTGCGATGTACCCCGTATCGCACTCGGTGTCCCGAACAGCATCACACGCAACTTCTCTTGACGACGAAGATGATGTCGACGACGATGCTGATGAGGACACAATGTCTGCGCGCGACTACCTGGCGGAGAGTCCTGCGATTGATGCTGGTAAATTCGAGCAGGTCTGGGCAACGGCGACGGAAATGTAAGCTTTGTCTCTCATCCACGGTTGAACTCGTAGCTATTTACTGACTAGGATTGTTTTGTGCAGTGCGTCGCTAACCTACACGCTCAACGAGGTGCCAGAGGTAGATGAAGTTATTGAGTTCTTCCAAAGTAACTGCCTCAGTTGTCTGGCAAGTGGAAGCGTGGAAAAGGTGGTCAAGTTCTACTTCTTCGCAGAAATGGTACCTTCTTGTCTACAATGCTCGTGAGCTGCATCGATACTTTGCTAACACCCCTTGCCTGTGCACCTACGCGTAGACGGAGCTTCAGTGCGTGTTTTGTGTGGAAATGGCGATCAGTGTGGACACGGGCGCCTTGGAAGGAACTGTAAAGCGGTTAACCGTCCAGAAGCGCAGCGAGGAGGAGGAGGAGCAGATCGACTCAAGTTTTGTAAGTTTCATTGAAGACGTCCTCCAAGAGCTTTAGGAGGCGTCAACGACCAAATCAATCGATCAAATGTGAGTGAAAGTCGATTCTTGTGTTACATCCAATATTTTCTCGCTACATCGACGTACAGCAACGCTACAATTGTTCATTCTCCGGCTTGTTTCAGCTCCCTCAGTCCTCACGCATGATCGCACTTCATGTGACGGAGAAAGATGGAGCGCCAATTCGGAGTCCGAATGTGATCACGACCATTTTTAATGTCGTCAACGATGGTGCGGCATGGCGACGAGCCGCTTGCGTGGAAGCTCTGACGGAATGCATCGCTGAGGTCCTGGACGCCGCCACGACACTCTTCGTAAAACATACACGTCATCTTCTCCACGTCCTTGATCGCGTCGAGAGAATCTTGCGAGGCTTCAGTCAACGCCGACTCAACCGAAGAACTGTTCGAAGCCGCTGCAAGTGCCTCTCTGTACCAAGAGACATCATCTGTCTTGTTGGTAGGCACGATCACCGCTTCGACAAACTTGTGCTTGCTCTCCGTAGTGTTAGCCTCGGCTTCGAGATGACGGAATGGCACTCCAGCGCCCACAACGCGTGGCCCTAAGCCGGCACCGGGGCAAGTCGTGAACATCTCGGCCAGCAGTCCAGTCATCTCGTAGTTGTAGCTGAACACGCCGATATCGCGAATGTCCGAGAAGCTCAAGTACTCCGACGGGAGCGCCGCGAAGAACGGAGCCAGCATGTTGAACCGCGAGAACACGGGCGACGGGTTTACTCCTTGCTCACCAGTTCGCAGCAAAACACTCGACTGCGGTAGCAAGACGTTCCGATCAATCGCGTTAATCGGAAGCGGTCGCTGACGAGGGCATTCCGTGTACACGCGTGGGTCACCCAACTTTTGCTCCAGCGGGATCGGCACAGTGTTGCCGACGACGCACTTGTAGTAGATGGAGTGCAGCAAGTCGATCGTGGCGTGGTGCGAGAAGAAAATCGGGTCGGCCGGCGCTTCCAAGACGCCCATGGCTCCAGAGAGCGCGTTGTGGACGGTGTCTGCATAAATTGCAAGGCACAGAAACGACTGTTAGTGAGTTTGTCAAGCCAATTTGTCGACGCTCGGTTACTTACTGTGGATTCCCAGCTCCAAGTTGTTGACGACGCCAGCGATTGTCGGGGTCGCGAAGAGCTGCCGAGCGAGCGAGCTCACAGTCGTTGTCGGAGGGAAAGCGGTGCTCAACCAATTTCCACGAGGCACACACTGGGCACAGGCCCCTCCACGAAGGTGCGTGGCCTCACAGAAGTGATTCAGAGGAGGCGTCTCCACACAAGTTCCACTGATAGGCGACCCGTTGATCTCGACCGTGCGGCTGTACCCGTTCAAGGAGCCTCCGAAGTCACGCAAGAGCATCGAGCACTCCTCCATGCTGCCACATCCTCCCATCATGTAGCGCTGGTTGTCGTCCACGTAGTTCCAGTAGGGCACTGTGATGCAGGAGAACTCGCCTCCGTAGCTGCGTAGCATATTCTCCCACCCCAACAGCAGCAACCGGTGCCAGTAGACGAACATGCACGTGTTGTGGGCCTCGATCGTCGTCATCTGCTCCGTGTGGATCTCCACGAACTTGATGTAGTAGCCGTCGTCCATGGCCCTCGCGATTGCGCGCAAGTAAATGTCCTTTTCCTGCGGGAGCAGCAGTTCCCAGGGCTTCCGGATGCGCGGGCCGCAGTTGGCCAACGCTAGTTGCTCGGACGCCTCCGTCACCGCAGTAACATTGGGCGGAGCAGTCACATCCTGCGCAGTCGCCACAGTCACGGCGGTGGCAAGCAGCGCAGCAGAAAGGAGCCGCGACACGAAGTTCTTCATTGCACCGAGTCTTGGAGGCTGTCGAGGATCGATTGGTCTTGTTGGCGTTGTGCGTTCGAGGACAGTTGAGGTATGAACTCCTCGCTCTTTGGGGCCGCCATCGCTACTAGCACACTGTGCTCCCCCTTGGTAGTAAAAACATACGCAGCATGAGGGAGGAGACTCGACTCTGTCGATGCGCGGGGACCGCCAGGACGGCGGGTGTTCTCCATCACGCCGCTCCGTCTCAAAAGGGCAACTTCCGTCTGTCAAGCAGACCGGTGTTACAGCTCTTCAGGATCCGGATTAAGGCTTTCTATTGGTCGAAAAGAAAATGCTTTATTACCAATCGGATACTTTATAGGCTATTTGTATGGGCCAATGGGAGCGAAGCTGGACCTGGCTGGCCAGCAACCACTGGCGCCCAGCGCCGCGCCGCCACCCACACCCAGTTGGAAAACACAGCAGTCAAAGCGAACATGGTAAGTGAGGAGACGCGGTAGTGGCCCGGCCGTAGCGCGGGCCGTAGACGTCCGTAGAGCGTGCAACTTGCGCGGCTCAATAGCTGAGATCCCCACCTTTCAGATGCACTAATTTTTTTCTGCGCTTCCTTTCAATCCGTAACACTAGGGTGCCAACAACTTTGTGCTGTTCGAGTCAGCCTCGGGCTATGCGATCTTCGAGGTGGTGGAGAACGAGGAGATCGCCGGCCTCCTCGCCGAGGTGCAGGCGGCTGTGGCGGACGTGTCCTCGTTCGGCCGCATCGTGAAGCTCAAGGCCTTCCAGCCCTTCACGTCGGCGGAGAACGCCCTGGAGAACATCAACAACGTGTCGGAGGGTCTCGTGGGCGACGACCTCAAGAACTTCCTGGAGATGAACCTGCCCAAGGTGAAGGCCGGTAAGAAGGCCAAGTTCGCCCTGGGCGTGCAGGACAAGGGTCTGGCCCAGTCCATCTCGGACGACCTGAACGTGCCCTGCAACACAAGCGAGACGACGCTCGAGATCGTGCGCGGCGTTCGCATGCACTTCAGCACCTTTGTCAAGGAGCTGGCCAACGGCAACCTGGCCAAGGCCCAGCTCGGTCTCGGCCACTCGTATTCGCGTGCCAAGGTCAAATTCAACGTGAACCGCGCCGACAACATGATCATTCAGGCCATCGCCCTGCTCGACCAGATGGACAAGGACATTAACACGTTCGCCATGCGCGTGCGTGAGTGGTACTCGTGGCACTTCCCCGAGCTGGTCAAGATCGTCAACGACAACTACGTGTACGCTCGCTGCGCTTCGTTCATTAAGAACCGCAGCACGCTGAGCGAGGACTCGCTGGAGGAGCTGTCCAAGATCGTGCTGGACGAGGACAAGGCCCAGCAGATCCTGCACGCCGCCCGCTCCTCCATGGGCATGGACATGTCGGAGATCGACATGATCAACGTGGACAACTTCACCACGCGTCTCGTTAAGCTCGCCGAGTACCGTCGCCAGCTGCACGAGTACCTGGTGTCCAAGATGTCGACGGTGGCCCCCAACCTTGCCTCGCTCATTGGCGAGTCGGTGGGCGCTCGCCTCATCTCGCACGCTGGTTCGCTGACCAACCTGGCCAAGTGCCCGGCCTCGACTGTCCAGATTCTGGGTGCCGAGAAGGCTCTGTTCCGTGCCCTCAAGACCCGTGGCAACACCCCCAAGTACGGTTTGCTGTTCCACTCGACCTTCATCGGCCGCGCTGCTGCCAAGAACAAGGGCCGCATCTCGCGTTACCTTGCCAACAAGTGTGCCATCGCTTCGCGTATCGACTCGTTCATTGACGAGCCCACCACCAAGTACGGTGACAAGATGCGCGAGCAGGTGGAGGAGCGTCTGGCTTTCTACGAGAGCGGCGCCGCCCCCCGTAAGAACGCTGACGTGATGCTGGAGGTGTCTGAGGAGCTGAAGAAGGAGGCTGCTAAGGGCGACAAGAAGTCCAAGAAGGACAAGAAGTCGAAGAAGCGCCCCGCTGAGGACGAGGACGCTGACATGGAGGAGGTCAAGGAGGAGGTCAAGGAGGAGACCTCTTCCAAGAAGTCTAAGAAGGACAAGAAGAACAAGAAGCAGAAGAAGGAGGAGGCGGCTGAGGTGGAGGCACCCGCCGCTGACGCCGACAAGAAGAAGAAGAAGAAATCCAAGAAGAAATCCAAGACTGCGGAGTAGAGTGCCCCGCCCACCGACGCTAGCGGTAGTAGTACACTTATTCTCGTTGCGGTTTCTCTCTTTCTTTTGACGGTCTGGTTGCTGCCGCCGAGCGTGTTGTACAGTTCGATAACGCTGGCCGTGCGCTACAAGGCTCAATATATTTGCAATCCCATTCATGTCTTCACACTTTCTTCTTCTTGCTGCCTCTTCCTTCGCGGACAACATCTTGTCCCTGATCCGTTGCGGGGCCGTTGCAGTGCGTTTCAACTCTGCGTCGATTCATGCATGGTGCACTTCCGCCGCATTCGAGAAACTCGTCTTCTTGATAGCTTACTGAGGTCCTTCGTCTTCGACGGCGATGGCGGATAACAATGACCCGGCCTTCATGCCACTGATCCCAGGCATGCGGTCGTGCCACTACGAACAAATGACCAAGCCGCACTTCCGCCGAGGCCAGCTCCTGGAGCGCATGTCGATAGGCAAACTGACCTCGACCGAAAAAATGCAATCGGCACCTGCGACCGCATTTCGCTCGGTCGTATCTGCTGCCACCGCCGCAAAGTCCCAGGAGCTGCGGCCGACGACAACTACACAAGCTACCTACGTCGCTCCACCCCAACCCGAGCTGAATCGTCTACAGCTCCCTAGCTCCAAGTACCGAGTCGACTCGAAGCAACCGGCTTGGATCACACACGATCGACTCGTGCTGCGATTCTTCGCGTACTTCACGGAGCCGGTTGAGCTCGTCGACGGACGAACCGAGAGCAGGGTCAGACGCGTCGTCGTGTGCTTCTACCTGAGTGACCGATCCATCTCGATCTCCGAGCCTCGAGTGGCGAACAGCGGCATTTCACAGGGAGAATTCATGCGACGAACTGTCGCTCGGAAGAGCGGCAACAAGAGCAACTCGTTGCCTCGGGAGAATATCTCGGACGACTTCTACTCGCCTGAAGACTTTCGCATCGGCGGGGAGTTGCGTTTGTACGGGCGAATCTTCCACATCGTCGACTGTGATGCTGCGACCAGGAGTTTCTACTCCGAAGCGCTTGGCGAGACGTTGGCATCGCCACGCATGTACCCGGACGAGTCAAGATCCAGAATGGACGAGGTCGACGAGCTGAAGAACACACTGCGCGTACGCACCCGCGCACTTGGGGCCAGCAAGGCGGAAGCCACGCGGAAATTCCACGACCTGAGCCAAAAGGTCCTGCGGTTCTACGCGTCCTGGCACGACGATCACCCGCTGTATCCCGAGACTCGACACTTTGTGATTCACTACTATCTGTGCGACGACACTGTGGAGATCGTGGAAGCCCGTGACAGAAATCGAGAACGTGGGCGAGGACAGTTCGGTGTTTTGCTTTCGCGTAGGAAGCTGGCAAGAGAGCCCAGGACAGGCAAAAGACAGCAGAATGACGACAATGAAGAAACCTACTTCATTACGGACCGAGACTTGCGGTGCGGTGAATGGATCAACGTATTTTCGAGACGGTTGCTACTGGAAGACTGCGATGCTTTCACTCGCGACTATTATCTCGAGACCCACGGGGTGACCCAAGAGAAGTTCGAGCCGCCAACTCTTGAAACACCACAAACTGCTCCAAAGTGGAAACTCTTTCAGGCTGCGCAGCCACCTCAGCCAGCTCTTGCTTCAAACGGCCGAGGCACTAGCGGATATTCCGCCAACAACAACAACAGCTGCATGCAAGGCGGTCTCGTAGCTCCGATCCCAGGCGGTCAGAGTTGTGGACGAAGTTTCGTGACCCCGCTCTGCCGAGACGATGATCTGGACGGGAAGCAGTTGCGCTTTCGTGCACGCTTTCAAGGACTCCCACGCGGCGACATGAACGCACAGCGAGAATTCGTCGTCACCTACTTCTTGGAGGACGAAACGCTGGCAGTATTCGAGCCACGCGTACGGAATTCAGGGGTGTTAGGTGGCCGCTTCCTCGACCGCGCTCGTTTTCGAAAATATCCTAAGCTTTCAAACACTACCGGGGCACGAGATGGAACCGTTCCGATGCACTACCAGGCATCCGACATGTATGTCGGTGCCGTGCTTTGCTTCGAGTTCTCACCCCACCAACGACTGGAGCTCTTTGAAGCAGACTCGCAGACATTGAGCTTCTGCGAAAGTCACCCGGAGATTTTCCGCTTTTCAGACAGCTCAGCGGTGCTAGCACTAGCAGCCAAGTTGTGGATGAAGGGGTCTCGTCAGTTGGACTTGCGAGGCGAATGGCGGCAACTTGATACAAAAAAGTCACACTTGGTGACTCTGACAACCATGAAGAATGTCATGGGTCGAGCTGGATTTACTTCAAGCATGAACGAACAGCAAGTGATAACCTTGTTCCGGAGGTTTGCGAGCGATCCCGTCGGGTTCGATAATAACCAGGTTCAGGAGCCACTTTTCGCGTACGACGACTTCTGCGATATCCTCGCGGCACTTGTGAACAAACCGCCAACCCACGAGGAGCGTGGAGATCCAGCACGCAGCATAAGTTCCAAACTGATGAAAATCCCTAGAGTGAGACGCTTGCTGTCTTCTGTTGGATCAAAACTGGTATCGGTGAGTGATCTACTGCGCGTTCTAGAAGACCGATCCATGAGTCTGTCAACGCCTGAAGTGGACGTGTTAACAGCGCGGTTTGCCTCCAGTAATGGGAGGATTGACATCCATCGCCTGTGCGACTACGTCTTTCAATTACCCACCGGCCACCAGGAAGCCGTCGACTCCAAGGATATCAATTTCAGCTTGGATTTCGGTGGTGGGGGAGACGAAGCCTTACCTCCAGGGTCGGCGAGTACTCCTTCAACAAAGAGATCGGAATACAACACAGAAACACCTCTGCTGTCTGCTCGGAAAACTACGGGAGGGGTGCAGACTACTCAACCATTAGCAGATCCTCGAGTTGTAAGTTTGCTACAGCGAGTTTTTGGAACACGGAAATACCAGCTACGGAAAACTCTACGCGAGCGAGACAGCGAGAAAAGCGGGCGACTTTGTGAAGATGAATTCATGGACGCTCTTTTATCGGTGGAGCCACAGCTATCGGACGACGACTCCTACCTGCTCGCTGACGCGTTCTTCCCGACCAACAACTGCTACGTAGACTACCCCGTGCTGCTTGACAGTGCGTTTCGAAACTAAGTTGCTCTAGTACTCAGTCGAGGGAGCAGCCCAACTAGGCTCGGGCACTTTGTACACCTGACCGTCAAGCTATGAATCACACACAAGTGCAAGTTAGTGTCAACGCTATCGCCATCGTGCTAATTGCTGAACGTTACCTTGTACTCTAGTGCGTGCAGCCAGATCTTCGAGCAGTGTAGTTGCGTCTCATTAAAAGCTTCAGCTTCACCGACGTAGCACCACGTGCAAGTCCGCTTCATAAACTCCCCTTCGCTCTCCTCCTCCTTTCGAGGCGTGGAGAAATCTACCGGGTCCTTAGGCGGAAGATCGGCCTTGCTGCGTTTGGCATCTGCGATCTCTTTCGCGCGCTCTGTGCTTTCTCCAAAGTGCAGCTCTCCTCCGTAGCAAGGATCGTTGGCGATAGGAAACCCAATAAGCTGCAGATGCAGACGAATCTGATGCGTTCGACCCGTGATCGGTTTGCACTCCATCAGGCTAGTGCATTTGTCCGTGCGGATCAGCTTCACTAAAGTCTCCGAAGACTTTCCTTCTTCGTGGCACTCCCAGACGCCGTCACGAGCGGAAAGACAGCGAAGCGGGCAGCTGATGAGGACGCCACCTTCCTTTGGGAATGAAATCTCGCTGGCAGGGCAGGTCACTTTTGCTGAGCTAACCAGCTTCTCTTGGACTGCGGGGTCCAGAAGATCAGGAAACTGTCCGCGCACACGGGCCAAATACATCTTGGAGGCCTGGCGATTAGCTGGTTGATTGTTGCAGAAGACACGGATATATGTAAGATACAAATGCGAATCCCGTTCAACAGCAGCGCAAACCTTACCAATGATCGCCGACAGAGCCTTCGCCTTAGCAGCATTTTTCGCCAGGAGGACGACACCTGTTAAGATATCAAACTCTGGTGAGCATCAATTCTCAAGCCTGAAATTGCATCTCATGACTTACCTGACGTCAGCCGATCGAGCCGATGAACGATATTCAGTTGCGGGAGATCAGGGCGGGTAGCCTGCACGATCGAGTGCAGCGAGTTGTGCCGATACGCGCCGCACGGGTGGGTGGGCATGGAAGGTGGCTTTGACACTACGATCTGAATGGTGCAAACTCTGGGTAAGCACAACCACCGTCAAAGTGAACCACCAGCACACGTACCAAATCGTCGTCTTCGTAGACGACCGAAACCTCTTCTCCCGACACGGGCGGTTCGTGGCGATGAGCCTGTCCAAAGAACACATTCAGTTAACAACCAAGTAGCAGCAGCGATGCCATTGTAGCACGCAGACTTACCGTATGGATGATCAAGTCTCCGTTCTTGATGACGGTGTCTGCAGGCACGATCTTGTGGTTCACTGAGATGCGTCCAGACGCGATGGCGAATTTCTACAACATACAGCCCCACTGCATGTAAGCCTCCCAAACTCTAATACATGTAAAACAACAAAATGCTACCACTCACGTAATACTCCGGCGAATTGGCCCCAAACTCCTTTGTGAAAATCTCCAGAAGTTGCCGGTCGAACCACCTCGCCTTGGCAAAAGTGCGAAACTCATACACATACGGCTCAACCATGCGATAGCCTGCAACCATAGCAACCAAATCAGCCCCAAATCTACAAGTAACAACTTCCTCAATAGTATAAGAGCCGTTACCATTGGCGAATGAATACTTGGGTGCCTCGGCCTGGAAGTGCTTGGCGTTCTTGGCGTCGCGCTTGGACTTGCGCTTCTTGGCCTGGCGCTCGACGGGGTCCCTTTCCGCTCTGCGCAGCTTTTTCAGCTGTCTCTTGGACATGCCATCGATCTCTTGCGCCGTAGAATCCGTCGCCACAACCGCCTCAGCGGGCTGCGGCTCCGCTTCAGCGACAGCAGCTCCGTCTTCGTGCTCCATTGAAATGGTTGCCAACAATATCAAGTTTGCGTTTAGAGCTACATGTAATACGAAATTTGTATTGAATATTACCAAAAGTGTAAGTTGAAGTGCACTGCAACATGAACTTTAGCTAGCGTGCTTTTCTCTAACTTTACTTTACTCGAGCGTGCTGGACGCGAGCAGCGGCGTGGTGACTGTCGGCTTCTTGAAGAGCAGCGACTTGGTGTCGTCCACGCTGAAGTCCTCGGGCAGAGCTGGAGGAGTGTAGTACCGGAGCAAGAGCGAGGACGTGACCACCGACACGGACGACATGGCCATGGCGCCACCCGCAAACATGGGCGGGATGCTGAAGCCGAACGGGTACAGCACGCCCGCGGCCAGCGGAATCAGCAGACAGTTGTAGCCCAGCGCCCACACGTAGTTCAGCCGGATGCGGTTGAAGATGGTCCGGGACAAGTCCAGCGCCGTGATGACGTCGAACAGGTTCGCCTTCATGAGCACCATGCCGGCAGTCTCGACGGCGATCTCAGTGCCGCCACCAATGGCGATACCCAGGTCCGCTTGAGCCAGAGCAGGCGAGTCGTTGATGCCGTCGCCCACCATAGCCACAATGCGCCCGGTGCTCTGCAGCTGCTTGACCTTCGACGACTTCTGGGACGGAACCACCTCGGCCATGACGTTGCGACGGCTGATGCCGAGCTGGTCGGCAATGGTGAACGCCGTTCGTGCGTTGTCTCCCGTCACCATCCACACCTCCAGCCCCATTTGCTTCAGCTTCTTCAGCGTACGGATCGACTCCTTGCGGGGAGCATCGGCAACACCGAAGACAGCGCTCAGTTCATCGTCGACACCCATGTAAATGGTCGTCTTGCCGGCATTCTGGAAAGTCAGCGTGGCCTGCTGTAGCACGATGCTCGTCATACGCTTGAGCCCATTGTCTGCCATCCATTCGCGGTTGCCGATGATAACCTTGTGCTCGCCCACCATACAGGCAATACCCCGTCCAGAAACTCCGCGGAACCCCGTCGGCTGTTCAAGAGACGATGAGATGAACTTCGCATACTCGATAATCGCCTTGCTAAGCGGGTGTTCACTGCCAAGTTCAGCCGAGCCAGCAAGAATAATTAGCTCTTCGGTGCTCAGCTTCTTGCTGAGCACCACCACGTCCGTCACCACTGGCTTCCCCACGGTCAGAGTTCCCGTCTTGTCGAACAGAATTGTGTTCACGCTGTGTGCAGCCTGCAGCGGCTCACCGCCCTTGATCAGTACACCGTGTTCAGCACCAACACCCGTTCCAACCATAACTGCCGTAGGCGTTGCCAAGCCCAACGCACACGGACACGCCACTACGAGCGTAGCGATGCCGAAGTTGAAGGCAAACACAAACTTGCTGTCGGTGTGTGGAATCCAGCTTTCCGGAACGACCTCAAAGGCGCACAAGATGTACCACGCCGAGAATGTCAGGAAGGACAGCCCCAGCACGGTTGGGACGAAAATGGATGCAACGTAGTCTGCGTACGCTTGAATCGGCGCTTTTGAGGTCTGCGCGTCCTCCACGAGGCGAATGATCTGGCTCAGCGCAGTATCGTTATCCACACCCGTAACCTTCATGTGGAACAGCCCGTCTACATTAACCGTTGCCCCCAACACGCGGTCACCAGACACCTTCTTGATCGTCTTGGATTCACCCGTCAGCATGGACTCGTCAATCCGACCTTCGCCGTACACGATGACACCATCCGCGGGGATTGAAGATCCACGAACAACCTTCAAAGTGTCTCCGCGCTGCACCAATTCGATCGGCACGACCCGTTCTTCCCGGATCCTTGTTCCATCAGCGCTGAAAACCAGCAGTGTAGCCGACTTAACCTGCAGCTCCATCAACTTGCTCAATGCAGCCGACGTTTTGCCCTTGGCAATCGACTCCAAGAACTTGCCGAGGATCACAAACGAAATCAGCATCGACGACGTCATGAACATGTCCGGGTTGGCGACGCTTGAATCGTTCAGCAAGAAGGCACGGATGATGCTGAACACACCGTAGAAGTACGCACAGTTCGAGCCCATGGATACCAAGAACGACATACCAAGCACTCGGTTCTTCATTCCCTTCCAGGCATCCACGTGAAAGCGGCGGGCAGGATAAAACTGCACTGGGGTAGCTAGAATCGCCACAAGCAATGTCTGCCACGAAATGCCTGGCAGGATTCCCGATGCCAGACCGTGCTCAACGGCTTCGATGTTGTCAAGCACCATCATGATAAGAAGAACCGGGAACGTGAAAAGCACCGAGACGAAGAAGTCGATGCGGTATCGCGTGATTTCTTTTGCACGCTGGTCTCCAAGGGCCTTCTGAGCCTCTGCCCCGGACACGTACGAGGCGTCGTACCCGATGTCTTCAACTGTTTCAACCAGCGTTCGGATACCGACCACGTCCTTATCAAAGCGAATCGTTGCTTTCTCCGTCGCAAAGCTGACGACGGCAGATATCACACCTTCCGTTTGCTTGAGTGCGTTTTCCACCGAGTTGGAGCACGAGTTGCAGGTCATTCCACCGACCAAAAGCGTCGCCTCCCCAATGTCAGTTTTGTCTGAATTGATAGAGATCGCCACATCATCGGACGTAGTCGAAGAAGCTTCTTCCGTTTTCGCTGATAGCTCGGCAGTCTTCTCCACGCTTGAGGGCGCTGCCAGCGTTGCTGGCTTGACCAAACGAGCACTGAACTTCGAGCCGGCGCTTCGAACAACTTGCAGCAAGTCCTCGTCGTTGAATTGTCCATCCGGGTCAACTTCAACGGTTGCCTTCTTCGATGAAAAGTCTACAGACGCCGAGACGACGCCTTCGGTCTCACTGAGGGCTTTCTGGACTTTGCGCGCGCAGTTCTTGGCGCAACTCATGCCCTCAATTTCAAGCAACACAGTGCGCGGCGTCAGAGACGGAACGTACACTGCTGCATCCAACTTGGCGCCCGCACCACGGACAACGTCGATCAGATCATTCTCCGTGAGAGAACTACCAGCTTCAAGCTGCACGGTAGCGCGCTTCAGCGGAAAATCCACAGTCGCGCTCTCCACGGTCGGCACCGCGTTCAAAGCCCTCTCAATTTTGCTCGCGCAGTTTTTCGCACAGCTCATGCCCTCAACCGCCAGAAGAATTGTGCGCGGGCCGCTCGTAGGCGTCGCCACTGTCGCCGTGAACTTCTGGCCGGCTGAACGCACCACGTCAATCAGCTCGGTTTCCGTCAAGTGGCTGCCAGTCTCCAAGAAAATCGTCGCCCGCTTCGTATCGAAGTCCACCTTCGCATTGATGACTCCCTTTGCGCCGTTCAGCGCGTCCTGGACCTTTCTAGCGCAATTCTTCGCGCAGCTCATGCCATCGATCTTGAGGTAGACCACGCGCGAGTCGCCGTCATTGCTGAAGAGCTCGTAGCGCGACGCGTCGAACTTCTTGCCAGCACCGCGAACAACCTGGATCAAGTCTTCCTCCGCGACCTTACTCTCGGGCTCCAGGATGATCGTCGCGCGCTTGTTACCGAAGTCCACAGTGGCGTCAATGACCCCCTCGGCACTCTGCAGCGCCGCCTGAACCTTCGTCGCGCAGTTCTTGGCGCAGCTCATGCCAGTGACATTCAGTAAGATCGCGCCTGGAACGGAGCTCGTGCGCTCCTTCTTCTCCTTGGCAATGGACGCGCTGAACCTCGGGTTCGCGGCGCGGATGTACTTGATGAGGTCCACCTCTGTGGCTGTGCAGCCCTTGGCCAGAGCCACCTCCGCCGTCTTAGACTTGGAGTCCACGTGAATGTGCAGCACGCCCGGGATCTGCTCCAGCGCGCGGATCACCTGGCGGCCGCAGTTGGTCATGCAGCGCATGCCCTCAACGCGCAGACGCACGATGCGCTCGCGGTGCTGCCACACCGGGTAGGCCACGAGCTGCTCGGGCGTGGCGCGTCGCACTTCGTCGGCCAGCGCCGCCTCCGCCGCCTCGTCCGCGCGGCGGCGCAGCTCGATCCTCGCCAGCTTGTCCAGCAGGTCCAGCTGCACGCTGTGCACGCCCAGAGCGCTGGCCTTGAGCGCCGACTCGATCTTGGACGCGGCCTCCTGGTCTCCGTCGGAGAGCCCCGGCACCACGAGGAACACCACGCGGTCCTCTTCGTCGCGCCGCTGGGACGACGTCACGCTGGGCACGTCCTCGGCCGCGGGCACGCACGCGCCGTCCTGCACGCCACGCACCAGCGGCAGCAGCTCCTGGTCCGTCACCACCATCGGTATCGCGTCTCCAGGAGAAATGAGAAATGAGGTGGTGTCGGAAGCAAGATTGGGGCGGCAACCACCCTGCGAGTCGCAGGCTGCGACCCACGAAAAGTTGAAGCGGGTCGCTTGGGAGTTTTAAGGAGGGCCAATCAGCGAATTTTGCTGGTTTTCAACCAATCCCGACGCGCGTTGATATCATAATCGATTACGAAGCACATCACCCTGGAACTGTAACGGAAAAACTGGGGATGAAATGGAGCGCTTGGCTTGCCAGCCAGGTTACAGCCCCATCAATGTAGAATGACATCTTGAGAAGACCACAAGGCTTTTGGACTCTTAGAGACACCAGCGTCCACATCGCTGTCATGCATTCACAGGTACAGTACAGGATACTGACTCAGACCAGACTTCTAGATTTCACGTGCTTAGCATTCGGCGAACCTTCTTGTCCACCTCTGTTGTCCACCTCTATGGGGTTCCCCCGTTTGGACTCAAGTTTGACGTCAAATCCTGGCAGACGAAGTTACCTCAACGCTGAGCTACTGCTCTTGCTTTCCGACAGTGAGAGAAACACTGTGCATTACTCTACCGAGCTACGTACGGCGTATTATTTGACGGAGAGAGCAGTGCTTGGATGTTACGCTACATCTAGCAAACCATGAAACACTTCTAGAGTAGCCATCACTTAGAGCTGTAGTGGATTCCTAGTAAAAAATTACGGAGTAAATTCACATACTTCTACACTAGCAGTACCAGTGCTAACACTAACGCTGCTGCATTCTCCGTAGATATAAACTCGCGTTGATGAGTTCTCGTCAAGAACTCGAGAACTTCTCGATGCTATAAGAATCTGCGAATTTGACATTGCAGTGGAGTGGCCAATTTAGAGCTTAAAAGGCTTGCTCCGGCGACTGAAGTCCAGTCTGCACTACTTAAGTACTGCTGTTCAGAATCACGATCGCTCCAATTGCTCTCCCTGCCAACCAGCTCACCAAATATTCGCCGTGTAAGATTTGTTTCCTGCGAGCAACTGAGACTATTACATGCACACGTAGAAAATGCCCACGTCGTCGGGCAATCAAATGAACCACAGACAATGTCGGTGGCGAGGCACGGTCCATGACCACGATGTGATTTTCAGCTCGCCGTCCGACAATCCACGACCCGTTTCATCACACGTCGCAGATTTGTTTTAAAACCCATCTTAATCACCCAAAAACCCAACTGCACCACCACACGTTTTGACTCTCCTTGTTTTTGGTGCTGCGCCATGCTGTCGACGGCGCGGCTGCTACGGCTCGCGCTGAGGCAGGCGGGCCCCGCCAGCGCGACGCTGCAACTGCGGAACCTTCATGCGTCTGCTGTGGTGCCGGCTCGACGCAATCGCAGAGGCTCGCCCAGCGGTTCGTCCTCCAAGCCAGCGGCGGTTTTCCAAGGCGGCGAGGTGCGTTTGCGTGTAATTTGACCACTGCATTATTCGTGGGCATCCCTTCACTAAACCGTGGCGATGCTGGGATCAATTAATGTGAAAAGGGTGATGATGAGGAGTTCGCCAAGTGGTTCGAGGAGATGCAGAAGCAGTATCCGAGCAAGGCCCAGGTGCAAGAAGAGGAGGAGCTGCCGGAGACGATGGAGCTGGTCGAGGAGGAGGAAGACGAGCACGACGACGGCGAGGACCCGGATGAGGAGACCGAAAAGTTCCTGGATGAGGCTGAAGAGCTCTTCCGCCTCAGTCCTGCTGAGTTCCAGAAGCGAATGGACTCGTTCGACCAGCGCCACGCTGACGAGATCGATGACGAGGACGAGGAAGACCCCGACGACATTGAGCGCGCCACGGAGCGTATCCCGAAGAAGAAGCTGCTGAAGGTGCTGGGAGAGCTGAACCCGAACAGTGCGTCGACGGGCAAGAACGCGGAGCGCATGCCGAACCCGGGCCTGAGTACGTGAAGCGTTTCCTGGCGGAAACAAATGGTTCTCATATCCATCGATCTCTTGTCGAAATGCTGCTGTAGAAACCAAGAACATGGCGCCACTGGAGAAGAAGCCCAAGCAGCCTAAGGCTGAGCGCGTGACGTATCGCCAGGAGAGCGTGGGTATTGCCGTGCTGGAATTTGTGCAGAACCTACTGATGGAGGACGCTGATGTGTCGGGGGCTGATATTGTCCCTACCATTGTCGAGGTGAGTCATCAACTTGTGCCCATGTTGTTTGGCCATGCTCTAACTACTACAATTCCTCTCTCCTGCAATTCAGGCGAACGTGTCTCCTGACCTGCGCCGGGTCGTGCTCTTCTGGGAACCTGTACGCTTGAACTCGGAGAACCAGAAGATTGGAAAGAAGAAAATCGAGGCTGTGAAGAACCGACTTCAGCGCCAGGAGCGTTGGGTCCGCCGTAACGTCACTCAGCACCTGAATCTGAAGGTGCGTACGCGAAACACTTCTGTGGCAAGTTGGCCATGGCTCTGATCGCTTACTATTGTTTTATTTGTCTTTGCGAAGTACTCTCCTGTCGTCCAGTTCAAGCAGCAGACGGAAGCCAAGGCCGAAGAGGCACGGACGCTGTTTGAGGACGAGATGAAGTGGCTAGACAGAGTGTAAAATCTTTCGCCCTACAATAGTAGACACTTTGTTGGGGATTGTATTACCCACTCACAATGCTGAGTTACGTCATGCACTCACAGTCGGAAGCTGTTCATCACATGGCCCGCCTCGCGTAGAAGAAACGAGTCTAAATCGAAGCGGAAGCCTTGCGACGATGCCAGCATTTTACTTCTGCACAAGCTCGTAGATGTCCGTGCGCGTCTGGTTCGAGGTGGGGATGTTGCGGCGCATCTCCTCGACCTTCTCGATCTCCACGTCGGCGTACACAATGGTCTCGCCGTGGTCGCACGTGGCCACAACCTCGCCCCAGGGAGAGATCACGGTGGAGTGGCCCCAAGCCTGGTAGCCGCCCTCCGGGCCACGCGCAGGAGACGTCGCAGCCACGTACAGCTGGTTGTCCACAGCGCGAGCGCGCTGCAGGAGCTCCCAGTGCGCCGGGCCGGTGGTGAGGTTGAAGGCGCCCGGGAAGAGCAGCACCTTGGCGCCCTGCTTCTTCATGAGCATGGACAGCTCCGGGAAGCGGATGTCGTAGCAGATGCCGACGCCCATCTTGCCGTAGGGCGTGTCGAAGAGCGTCAAGCTGTTGCCCGGGGACAGCGTGTCCGACTCCTTGAAGGTGATCTTGCCGGGCACGTCAATGTCGAACAGGTGCACCTTGCGGTGCTTGCCGAGGATCTCGCCCTCGGGCGAGTAGATGACGCTCGTGTTGTAGACCTTGCCGGCCGCGTCCTTCTCGGGGATGGAGCCGCCCACCAGGAAGATCTGGAGCTTGGCAGCCAGCTGCGACAGCGCGTAGGTGGACGGGTGGTCCTTCTCGTTCAGCAGCTCCTTCTTCTCCGGGATCTCCTCGGCGTACTGCGGGAAGGACGTGGTGGCGTACGGCGAGTTCCAGCACTCGGGCAGCGACACGACCTGCGCCGCGTTCTTGGCGGCCTCCGTCACGGCGGCCGTGGCCGTGGCGATGTTCTTCTGCTTGTCATCGCCCACGGCGATCTGGCACAGCGCCAGCTTGAACGTGGGGGCGGCGGTGCTCATGGGGCTTGAGAGACGGGTGGCGCGCACGAGAGGCGAGCGAGCTTGGGATCTGACGAGGCGGCTAAGCATTTTCCCCGATCCTCAGCTTTTGGTTGTCAGTCACCGACCTAGTCTAGGCATTTAACAAACCTAGCGTAAGACTAATGTAGGCTGCTGTGCTGGGATGATGTGGTCCACAGGCAACTTGAATCGCGTGTCACCGCACGCCGGCATCCAAGAACCGGAGGAACGAACGATCGATCCATTGACATGCTGCCTCTGCGGGTAACGCAGCGCTGCATACATGCATGAATGGAAGGGAAGATTGAGTGTGTGCATTAACGGCTGTTCATACTACTGCAGTTTGCTCGCCAGATTCGTCGCGTTGGCTTCAGCCACACGCCGCTGCGTCGGCTCAGCTACGGGGCGGCCCCGCACTCTGGCAACCAGGACAACTCGAGCTTCTTCACTCTGCTGACGCTGGCGGGTGTCGTCGGGTACGGGGATCAGGGCATATTTTGTAGTTAATTCTTCGCTAACGCTCTGTCGCTTGCTGCTAGTGGTGTGGCGTACGTGTACTACGACCCGGATGTGCTACCCGAGAGCGTGAAGAAGTGGCTGCCGATCCAGGAGCCGGAGGGCCGCGGCATGAGTCTGGAGGAGTACGAGCAGTGGCGCGCCAAGCAGGCTGGATACCCGACGGTCGTCACGCAGAAGAAGGAGGAGGAAGAGACGCAGTCTGCCCACTCGAAGGAGGAGGAAGATGTTGAACCGCCCAGCATGGAGGGTTCGTAATGTGCAGCTATTGTTGGTGGATATGACTGATCTTTAGGTTAACTTGATACGGATTGCTTGTGACGGCAGATGACATTCCTATCCCCCACGGAGACGTGTCGCCTACGGAAATGAAGGCATCACTGGAGAAGCTCCTGGCGGAGGCGCGTGAGAACGAGGCCGCTTTCATTGCTGACATCAAGTCGAACCGTGTCCCGGTGTCCGACGAAGATCGCCAGATGGCAAGTTGTTAAGTTGGTCAATGTTTCGAGTAGGGTTGCTGACATGTTTACTTGTTGGGATGCAGCTGCAAGCGTTCAAGGACGAGAAGGCACGACTAAAGAAACAGCTTAAGTTCCTGAAGTCCAGCAAGTAAGGCGAGCAGTGCAATTTGTTAGCGCAGCTTGTTTAAGCTGGCGATCAGGTCTAACTAAACAAGCAGCAACCAGACAGCAAGAAATGCAGCTTGTGTACTTCTGATGGCATTAGTCGCTCTACTCTTTCTTCGCCTTGTTGTCGTGAGACTCCGCAGTCCACTGCCAATACGTCAAATAAACGAGGACCAACAGAAAGTGGCCACAGGAATACGCCGCAAAGACGTAGTCGTGGATATGCGGATACCGGGCTGGAGCGGTGATCCAAATCTGAGCTGCATGGATAGCTACAATACCGACCAGCGAAAGCTGTTTCAACAACAATTGGTTAAGATGAAGTCACATTCCAACATCATCACATTGGAGCAGCACAGTACCATAACGTAAGCCCGGAACAGCGGGTGCGCACTGCCATCGCGCTGATACCCTGGTGCGAGTTCACGTTGCTGCACGTGTAGGTGCTTCGCGGATCCTCCAGTCAAGAATGGAGCCACCGCAACGCTGGTGTAGGCGAGCTGTAGTACAATGTACGGGAGGACTAGCCCGTCCTTCTTGAGTAGGAAATACATGCTGCAAAGATCCAATAAATTGATGTTCAGGTACCAAACACACAACCAAACACTCTAAGCAACAAACCTGAAAGTGGACAGAACGCTAAACCACCCCGATAGAAGTGCGTTGTGTGCAAACAAGAACGATATCGGCAACAGCGGCAACAGAATTGTCTTCTCGTGAACTGTCGAAGCGTTGCACAGTGTTAGCGTAAAGAACAAACAATACTTTCGAGCACTCCCCAATAATGTGTACCTTGAAAAGAAAACAAGAAAAACGACAGGGAGCAAATTGCCAAAGACAATACGAAGCGCAAGTTTGTCGGTTTTCGCCGTAACAGGTCGACGACTGAAGGAGAAAATCCAATGAGGGTCATCACGGTACTGTAGCATCATAGAAACAGATCAGCATCAGCAACTTATCGCGAGCGTATCGGTAATTCTGCAGTGTACCATAACCGCATCTGCAGTGCGGAAGTTATGTGGCGCCGAATCTTCAGAACGAAGTCAGCGATGCACCAAAAGTTGGCCACCTTGTCCTCAAAGAGGCCCCGGCCAAATGGGAAAATACGATGAACAACTAGAAAAGGACCATAAAATTAGTAAGGACAACACAAGTCAACCAAATCAAGTTGAATGCGTACCTTGCGCCATAGTTGACAGGCAAGTCTCCCCGGTTGATGTATACACACAGAATGGGGACCACATCAATGCGAACGTGACAATGACCGCAACCGCTAGCTTGATAAGGTGAAGAATGCACATCTTCCGATAGAAGCACCGCGCAAGCAGGAACACTCCAAACGCAGGTGCGTAGTAAAGCGCCATTTGCTTGAAGTTGAGCGCCAGGCAGTAGGAAATACTACCAAGGAACTCGTGTCCTTGCATAATAAGAGCCACGCCCAGCGCCGTAAGGCCCAAGCACACGTTATTATACTGCTCTCATAAGTTAAAAACATACGAGTTAGAATCGTCCAGACGAACAGTGATTGAAAACTGCCTTTACCTGGAAGTGACCGTGGTCAATGAGCAAGACCGCCGGCTGCAGCAAAATCAGCAGTAAAAATGCCGTACGCCGCGTCCACTGCTCATTGCCGTATACCGCCCTCGCAGCGCAATAGATCGCTGGAATGAACAGCACGACGTCGCAGAGGAGCACGGACGTGCGCATGAACACCTTGCTCGTAGCCGACTCATATCCCCTCGAGCTCGTGAGCTCCACCATAGCCGGCTCCGTAACTTCCGCCACGCGCCCGAATAGATACGACACGTATGCAGTCAGCGGCGGGTAGTCCAGTCCCCAGTAGAGCAGGTCGTTGGATGTGGTGTTGAAGTACCAGTCCGAGACCGGCAGGTTGATCGTGATCTCCATCCAGTGGCGTTGCGCCTCGTAGTCGCCGAACATGGGCGGCGTGTGCTCGCCAGAGTACGAGTGGAGGCCCACAAGCCAGCGCACCAGCACTAGTAGTAGCCACACGAGCCACACACCAGATCGCTTCTCGTCATTCTCCTCCAGAAACTGCAGCCCGCGCTGCAGCAGTGAAGCCTCGGCCATGGTGCACTGCAGAGCTTTTGAGTGATGACGCGGCAATCCTCGGAATAGTGCCACGTCACAATGGGTGGGCAATCCGGGGTGTGGTCCACGTTGAACTTTGCAACTTCAACCGTCACGGGCTCCGGATCTGCTGCTGGACGGCGTCATTCATTATCCAAAGCAAGCGCGTGGACAAGAAGACCCCGTTCTAATGGCCCTCTCCTCTCGCATCGCTATCGTCACTGGTGCCGCCTCCGGACTGGGGCGGGCGACGGCCACTCGCTTCGTGCAGAACGGGGCGCGCGTGATCCTGTGCGACCTGCCGACCAGCGACGGCGTCAACGTCGCCAGGGAGCTCGGCGTCTCGTGCCACTTTAGCCCCACCGACGTACGTTCCCGGAACCGCTTTAGTATGAAAAAATTGTCTTTAACGGAGACGACCGTCGTTGGGCTTGTGTGAGTAGGTGACCAACGAGGACGACGTTACGGCGGCGCTGGACCTGGCCGAGTCGTCTTTCGGCGAGCCCGTGAACACGGTCGTCAACTGTGCGGGCATCGCGCTGGCCATCAAGACGCTGAGCAAGAAGGGTGTGCACCAGTTGTTCCAGTTCCAGCAGACCATCAACGTCAACACGGTCGGGTCGTTCAACGTCGCGCGCCTCGCAGCCGAGCGGTGGGTGCCTCAGCCACTGTTGCGTATCATGGTGCGAGAAAGCTTATATTGAGTGCCTAAAACCTTGTGCAGCATGTCGAAAACGAGACCGGGAGCTGGTGGCGAGCGTGGTGTCATCATCAACACGGCCAGCATTGCTGCGTACGATGGACAGATTGGCCAGGCGGCGTATGCTGCTAGCAAGGGCGCGATCGTAGGCATGACGTTACCTCTCGCTAGAGACCTTGCCTCGTACGGTATCCGCGTGAATACCATTGCCCCAGGTACATACTGATTGCTATTCAAGCCCCCATGCATACAAAACTAACTGCACCATTTCAAAATTCTTCGTAGGTTTGTTCATGACCCCACTGTTGGCAGCACTACCGGAGAAGATGCAGCAGCAGCTGGGCGAGAGCGTTCCATTCCCAAGCCGCCTGGGCAACCCCGAGGAGTACGCGCAGCTGGTGCATGCTATCATTGACAACAAAATGATCAATGGCGAAACCATTCGCCTCGATGGTGCTCTCCGCATGCCCCCCAAGTAACCCACTCTACGATGGTCCAACAGCGCACTTGCTACACAAGAATGTCATTTCTTGTTAACAAACGCAATAAATACGGTAGCTGATGCAAGCTACTGCATAAGCCTTCTGAAACTTGTGTCGCTAAACCCGATCGGTGGGTTGCAAGAACTCACGGTCGGTGAGATCGAATAGATCCTTTTCAGACGAGATCGCGCGAATCGCATCACTCCCGACAACTTCTGCTACACTGGCATATATGCAATCAAAGGATGTATCGGTGATTTCTCGCAATGATCGCTTCAGGAGATCCGTGAAGAACGCCATCACAAAATCTTCGGGGCCCGTGAAATATAACAGCGCAAGCCAGCTTTTGGGCGGGCGAAACACCTTCAGGTCCAGCAAAATCGAACTGCTCTTGAACGGAATAATGCAAGCACCGCGACTGCGCGAAAGCTGCCGTATCGCACCCTTCTGAACCACCTTGGCTGCAACAAGAGCCGCAATAACGCTTTCGTAGCCTTCGTCATCCGATCCCTCCGTGGAGGGTGGTAAGTCATTATCTAGACCGGGTACCGCAACCAGAACGTCCAGTACGGATATGAATGCGGCACCGCGCGAGAAAGACCCACAGGGAAACACCTGCACGTCTTCATGCCACTTCTTGAGGTGTATGAGGATGGCGTTGAATGCTGTTTTCCCGTCTTGCTGGCTGATCATGGGTCGTCGAGCCACGGACACCGCATCTTCCCCCGCAGCAGATTTGCACCCTAGATACTCCATTCCAACTCGCAGGTGCTCGGTACTTGATAGGCCGTGTGTAACAGCTCGGAACTGCTTGTCGGTGAGAGTGCACGCACTGAGCGAGTCACTGCCAACTTGCTCCACCAGCCGCAGCGCCAGACTCGGCTTCATCCCGTATATGTGGAGCAGGCCACGCACTTGGTCCCACTTGGATGCCAGTTGCGTCGAGACGCTCTCGGGTACATCGGTGAAATAGAGCTCCTCCTGGTGCAGGTAGTTCTGCTTGTATTTGTCCCAGTACCGAGCAATGATGCGCCAGGCATCAAGCGCCACCCCTGCGACCGTGGTCTTCTTCGCGACGCAGTCAGTTAACACTATATCCCCCTCCAACGACACCACGCCAAGCACGTCCGCCTCCCACATACTTGTTAGCACTCGCCGAGCGACCTTGCACGCTTGCACCCGCCAGCGCTGCTGGCCTTGCCACTCATTGCGCGCAATGAACTCATCGAGCGCCTGGAGACAGAACAGCAGCATCGGTCGCCGGATAGGGCCTCGATGCAGCTCGCACGACGCTCTGTCGCTGCGCAGCCAGCACGGCGATAGCTCGCACATCCGGTCGGCGTCGTAGTAGTCTGCGAGCTCCAGTCGCGCAGTGGCCAGTGGCTTCTCCGAAATCATCCCAGTATTGACCAGTGTCGTCACCGGCAACGACTCACTCGTGCCAGCAATGTCATCACGCCTTGCCTCCACATCAAACTCGAAACGCACGTGCTGGTTCTGGCGCTTCTGAGAGGTGTTGCTGCTGGTGTTTAGGCTGCCGTGGGGCAGGAAGAGCAGGCTGTCCGCCATGGACTCGCTCTGCTGGCTCGTTCCGAAGCTGCTGACCCCGCTGGAGCGAGTGCGCGGCGCGCCGAACTCCACCGACTCGAACGAGTCGCCCGTGAGCGGCGAGTGGGAGGGCACGAACAGCGTCTGCACGGCAGCATCGCTCGCTGGCGGGCGGTTCTCGGGCAGCTCGGGGCCGAAGAAGGCGCCGCGCAGCGGTCGCACCTCCGGCGGTTCCTCGCCCAGGAGCTGAGCCAGGTCAGCGAAAAACTTGCGCTTACGCCGCGGGTGTAGCGCCAGTCGCGTCGGCGCTGACCGGTCCAGCATGCCTGCTGGAAGTTGATCGGCTCCCGAAAAGAGGTTTTACATAATGAGGTGTGGCGCGCACACTCGACTAGGTGCGATCGAAGCCATCAGGCACTGACTCACCCAACGCGCGCCGCAACGTCCATTCGCGTCCATGGAGATGACCAGACGGCTTCCAGACAGATGTGTGAAATGCGGCGGCGAGTGATGGCGAGTGATGTCGGTCGTGTGGGCGGGCACTCGCTGACTTGGGGCACGCTGGCTGAGCGCGGCCCTAATTTGTTGAGTTTTGCGTTTGTGGCTCTCTACCGCCGCAAACCATACTGAACCCCAGTCAGTTGGGCGGGAAGAGGCGCTGACAACTTGACTCTGATTCGACGAGACAAACTATGGTCCTTATGACCCCGACAAAGTTGTTATGATATCAGTTAAGGCGGTCTTATTGATGCGGTTACGGATATAGCGTGAATTTTACAAGCGACGACCCAGCATTGATCCCCCCCCCCGACTTCTCAAGAATGATGGAGGCTGGCCCAGTTCATTTGCATTAACTGATTTTGCCTTAGAATCGGTTGTACGTCGTGTTCATAGTGGCATTAATAGTGCAGTCTCGAGCACATTCTTGCGGCTGCGAAGCAGGCGCAGGTGATGATGCCCTTGGATCGTGTGGATTGCGTAAATATGAATGCAAGTGCTTACAAAACAACATGCTTTGATATTTTGGCAGGCCCTACTAACACGACTAACGAGCGATCGCCTCGCTCCAGAATCCAATTATCATCGTCGTTAGTGGAGCGCTGTAGGATGTTGGTCAAGTAGGAGTAACCTGAGCTGAATAAGTGACCTAAATAGTGCGGATGGTTCGACCGGCGTTTTAATTAGGATCGGTTGGATTGCTTCGTTTTGTATGGAGCTTAAATTTATCATTGGCGGTGAAAAGTAAGTTAGCCAATCCTATCCCAGCCTTCGCGAAGCCCTAGTTACCGGTGGGGCGGTAATTTTCTCCCACCGGTGCATTGTAACGCTTAACGGGAAATTTAATACGGCATAATTTAGGGAAATGGGGCGCATTTGCGGTGCGCCCTGCAATGCCCGGTATAAGATTGGCTCGTACAGTAAATGGTTACGACGCCCACTTTCATCGAATGGGGATACGTCCGGTATGTCGTGGCCTGCGAGGCTGCCTTGCGGGCCTCTTGGCGGTGCCCAAGACATTAGGGAGGATGCAACCTCGTGTTTTTACCTCAAAAGTGGTCACTGCGAAGCCATGCGCCCCCCGCAGTCTGATAGTGTCGAGGACAGTAGCAATTGCGTTCACGGTCGCTAGCGCTTTGCAGTGTGCCTGTGAGGGGATAGAATAGCGCAAGGCTAAATCGCCGTGCCTGTTTTTTATTAACTATTATTTGCGGTGTGGACCACAAAGGCTTTTCTAAACTACGCTTCCTGCGACATCAAATATCGATCTGGATAGACGAAAGCATGTGCGCTGACGGGCTCAAAGCTAGGGCTAGGGAGTCTGAAATTCTGTCCAGTCAGCTGGGTTGCCCGGAGAATTCCTCGGGGTCACTGTCCAAGCCGCCTCATTACGCAGCGTGGCACGAGCGGTCAGCGGCCTCAACCCAGCGCCGAAACGTCCGCCCTGAGCGGCCAGCAAGCAGCAGCAGCGAGCGCTAGCCGAGAGCAGGCTGCGACACCAGCGCCAGTCGCGCCCCACCCACCCGCGCTCCGCACCCAAAGATCACCTTTGAGGCCAGCGCCAGAGAGGGCAGCAGCACGCGCACGCGCTCGGGCCAGATCGTTCCTCTTCCCCCCTCCCCCACCATGATGACAGCCCAGCAGCAGAGCACGGACCAAGTCAAGCCTACCTTCGCATATCCACACGCGACGCCCGCGGCCGCAGTCGACGTCGCCCCCTCCTCCTCCGCCGCCGCCGCTGCATCGGAATCCAGCAGCGCCATGTCCGGAGGAAACACCGCAGCTGCTGCCGCTCCTTCCAGCAGTACAGCGTCGCCTCCCACCGCCGACAGGAAGCGCAAGCAGCCCTCAAGCCCCACCGACGACGCCGGCGCCAAAGGAAGCGCCGACACGTCGGACACCGACAAGAACAAGGAGCAGCAACCGCAGCAGCCGTCCAAGAAGTCGCGGCGCGAACTGCCGCCGCACACGGTCGCCATCCTCAAGGGATGGATGCTCTCCCGCGAGCATGTGAAGCACCCGTACCCGACCGACGAGGTACGAAGCGTCAAGAGATTAAGAGGATGTCGTCAAGTGGCTGCCTCTCACTAACTTTTATCCGTTGTCTTCGTGACGTTGTAATGACGCCCTCCAGGACAAGCAAATGCTGCTCAAGAAGACTGGCATCAGCATGAAGCAGCTCACGAACTGGTTTACCAACGCCCGCAAGCGCATTTGGAAGCCCATGATGCGCCGCGAGCATTCGCGTCAGCTGCAGTCGGCAATGGAGTTCGACCACACGGCTGTGCGTGAGTTTCCAGGTGCCGGATTGAGCCAACAGTACGCCGATAGCAGCTACGCCCCTCGTCCGACGGTGCGGCACTCTTTCGATGCTGGCAGTTTGGGCGCTCCGCCCCACGCGGCGGCGGCAAATTTTGACCGGTATGCGCGGCCGCAGGCATTCCCGGTGAACGCTCCTATGTGCCCGCCCCGTGCTGTGCGCTCCATGTCGGAGGCACCAGCAAGGACGGACGTAGACGATTACCTGGATGCAGAGCGAATTCGAGAGCGTGTGTTGGAGCGCGGCCACGACAATCACGCCCCTCGCAACAGTCTCTCACCGCGAGGACACAAGATTCTACAGGAATGGGTGAATGCGAACGCACGGCGCGAGTACCCTTATCCAAGCGACACCGAGCGACTGCAGCTTGCTAGGGATACCGGTCTGGATGTGTCACAAGTGGACGGATGGGTCACCAGTCTTCGCGAGCAAATGGGGGCCACCCCCGTGCGTGCAGTGTCATCTATTCCATCTGCAGGGAACCCGGCGTTCCCGCCTCCACCAGCGTACGGCGAACGCCGATCCATCCCCACCAGCGGCAACCCCATGTTCCCTCCGCGGCCGACCGCGCCCAGTTCCATGCGACCATCCATTCCTTCTGCTGGAAACCCTCAATTTCCTCCGCCTCCAGCTCGTCGGGAGGCCACCGATAGCCGCTTCCCACCATTCCCCTCGGCCGCCTCCCATTATCCAGGCCAAGAGGTGACGCGAATGCGCTCCATGACCATCAGTGCCAGCCCGTATCTGCACCCTCCTCTGTCTTCCAGCTCTACCAGCAACGACTCACAGGGCCAGCAAACCGCCAGCGCGTTGCCGTCGCTGTCCAGCCGGAGCTTGCTGAGCAGACCACCAACAATTGTCACGTCTGGAGGCCCCACGATGGGACAGCCGCGTGACGGCCGGTCGAGGACGCTGGATATGGGCCAGTTTGCAGACGCGCGGCGGCGGAAAATGAATTTCCAGGACATCTTGGCGTCGACAGGCGGGGCCGCCGTCAGTGCCGCTCCTGCGGTAGCCACATCGAGTGCGTTGCTGCAGACGACAAGCCACCCCACCGCTAGCAGCAGCAACATGGAGAACGTGTACCCGAACAGCAGTGCGCCGTCGACCTCAGCATACGCAGCCCCCGTGTCTAGTGGCTTCCAGCAGAAGCACCCCTCTGTGTCCTCCGAGCAGCAGTCAGGCCGAGTAGTATGATGGCGCACCTAATTTGTGAGTTGAGCCTGTGGGCTTCACCTCAATCCTCGCAAAATGCTTTGACTGCACGTCACTAACTTTTCGTGTATATCGTTGAGCCCGTCTCTATAAAATAAAAGCTAGTTGGCGATAGAATTCTTCTTCTCGTCGAAGCTGAGTCCCTGTAAGTCCGCCCAGAGGTCAGCAATGCATTGGTCCTGCAGCTCTTCGAGCTGCTTGTGCTTGATGCGGAAGTACACTTGGTAGCGAATGTCAGGGGAAAAGTTGAGACCACCGCGATGTGCGAGATTTGGGTGCGCGAGTACCAGGTCCCCACGTGCAGCCAGGAGCTGTACTGGAACCCCAAGATCAGGCAGCGTGCCATCCCCCCACACGCTGTCGGCCTTGTAGCATTCGTCGTCGTGTCCGCGCAGCTTACCGTCTGCAGTTAGGCGACTGTGAAGCGAGACGTGCGATCCAGAGAAGACAGTCAGGTTTCCGCATAGCGGCTCCGGGACATTTGACAGCGCGATGCCTGCCAGCAGAGTGAACGGGTGGAGTCGGCCTTGCCGCATGCCGTCCATATGCCATTCCGTTCCCAAAGGTTCACGAGGCTCGCCAAGTTCCGGGAACCGCAGGGCGATCTGCGCTCCTTGAGGCGGCACAACTTGGTCTGCGCCAACGAGCGCTTCTACGTACTTGCATACGTCTGAGAGGTAGTACAGATCGAGAATCGCGTCGCTGTTGGACGTGTTGCCCGCCAGCTTAATGTTGCCTTCCACCCCGCCGTCGATCATGTTTCCAGGGATGCCGAGGTCGTGGTTGATGCGGCGCAGCGCTGCGTTCGCCAATGGCAGCGGCACGGCCCCGCGGATCTGCAGGTATCCGTGCTGCATGAACGAGCGTCGCTGCGACTCGCTCAGTATGGAGCCATGCCTTGACTGCGTCATCAGCGACCGCGTCGGGTCCAGCGCGAACGCGGCACGGGTGGACACGACCGTTAAGCGGAACAAACTCTCTTCGCCCTTGCCAGCGTCGCCAATGAGACCCAGCGACGGCGACGAGGCCACGCCCAAGAACCACCCAGTGGACTCTGAGCGGCTCGTCTTCTTCTGATGCGCCAGCGACTTGAAATGCACCAGGAAGCCGTCGCCCTTGGACTCGTCAAACTCCACGAGGAAGGCGGCGAACTTGGCGGCGGCCAGCGCCCAACTCACGTGGCCGTTGAGTGCCACCTTCAGCTTCTCGTAGGGCCTCTCCAAGCTGCACAGGCTCAACATGAGCGCGCCCGACGAACTGCCGCGCTCCACCAGCGCCCGGAACGAGAAGCCGCTCGCCACATGCGTCACCTGCACCACCGCGCCAGTCTCGAGCGCAGCATCCGCCATTTTAGCCTAAAACTTGATTGGCGAGCTCAAATGGCTGTACGCAAATCAATAATTGATTTTGTCAAATCCCACTATTCAACGGTACGCATTAATTTTTACACAAAAACAATTATTGCAGCCCAAATCTAAACCGATCACTATCGGGAGTTTTTACAATATCTTTTTATGTCGTTTTGAATACCATAATTGTGTGAGATGAAAGATTGTTGGAAATACCATTGCAGCCATATCAGAAATGCTAGCCCGGCGGAGGAGCTCGGCGCGCCTGGATGCGGAACGGGATGCCGTTGAGCTCCAGGTGGAGGACGCCTTCGAGCAGCAGCATCGGCGCAGCGAAGCCTCGGATGTTGCGCTGCTCCGACGCAAAAGCTTTGGGTACCTGCCGCCGAACTTGCCGCACACGGGCAAGAGTCTACGCGTCGCCAAACATGTCATTCAGGTACTTACGACCGGAAGATACTGGAGGAGAGCGTGCAGCAAATACTCACAAAGATTTCTCTCTGCAGGATGTTTACTCTCTCCAAGAGATGTACGACAGGCAGCACGCCATGGAGAACGCAGCCTGTGCCATTGCAATGGTGAGAAGCACAGCTCTGATGACTCCTCATTGCAATTGGAACTAAACTTTTACGACTTTTTGGAGTTAGGTTGGGGTAGTGCTTGTTATCTTGGATATCGAATACGTTACCAGCAAGAACCTCAAGCTCGCGCTGCGTATCGTGAACGCTGTTCTGACCAAGTTCTTGCTCAGTCTCATTCTTTGGCGCTTCATCATGAAGCGGCGAATCCTGATTCGCCGCAATGTGTTGCCACCTAATGTATCCTTCATCCGGATGCACAAGCAACTGCTGCAACTAGCGCTAGAGCTTGGTGCGTGTGCTATCGTTGTCCCGCCTGGAACCAGTGGCAATTTTGAGGTTCGAGAATGGAAGTACTACACAGACGATGGGTCGTGTGGTGCGCCGTTTGTCGTTAAGGAGGGAAGCTGCTACCTTGAGTACTCCTATCCGTACGTATCCTTCATGGCTCTGTTTATACTGACGAAATTCCTGTTGATAACCGCATAACTGACGAGCTCTACGCTATACTTTCGCAGATTCGAGACCCTAGGATTGATTTCACTGCTACGACTGTATATGATTCCACGAGTAGTTCGGAACTTGTCCAGCTTTGCGAGGTAACAGTGCTTTGTCTTGTCACCGGCAATTCCACCTGTGTCTTACACTTCTTTACTACTTTGTTGCCCAGTTACCATACATCGTACTTGGGAGCGCTGCACCGCGTAGACACTATGACTCCTTTGTTCGCGATCAAGTGTTTTCTCCAGTCGCATCCATTTCGACTACTTCTGGCTGCTTTCCTGGGGACGTTGGTGATTACATCATACGCCATTGCTATCGTGGAGACGCCAGTAAATCCGACGCTAGCACCGCTTTCCAACACGATGTGGCTTGTAGCCTTAACGATGGCTACGGTTGGTTATGGAGATGTCGTGCCTCTAACAACGGCTGGTCAAGCTCTTCTTGTCACCGGTGGAATGGTTTCAGGAATTCTGCTCGTCGCAGCATTGGTACGTCTTAATCTGCTGACAGTGTCATGTAGTATCTTTGTACCGACATTTCTGTGAATTGCGTATTTGATTCCATTTCATATCGTTTGCAGAGTGCAGCATTGTTCGCTTTGTTACGTCGTGATGAGCGAGATAAGCGTTTCATTTACTCTTTGCGGCGCCATCAATTCGACTGCCAGCTGCATAATGCGTGTGCACGCACGATTCAAGTTGCGTGGCGACGATACCATGCTGTTGAGCCTGGAGCCAGTCCGTATCGAAAAGGTAAAAGCGAATCAGTTGTCTTTGAGGCAGCTTATGGATGTCTAACATTACATTATTACCCTGTCACTCCAGTTTGTGACAGTCTCTATCTGTGCACATCCATTCAACGTGAGCTTCGGAAGAAGTCGATTGGTGACTACGTCAGTCCTGAAATTGGGATGCTCCAGTGCCGAGATATATGGTTATCATCCCTTCGGCAAGAACAGAAATCCACACTTGACCGACTTCGAAATGTAGAACGTCGTTTAGATTCCCTGGTGGCGGCAGCTACCGCCGCCGTAAACAAGCCGCAATAAATACTCGTCGATTTCATGCTACATGACGCTTGGGAAACTTAGATAGCTGGATGATGGTGATGACAGATTCTTTTCATCGGACGAAACTGGAGCGTTATTGTTTGCCGGAGCGCGTTGTCTAATAACCATAGTTGAGGCGTTGATAAGATCCGCTTCATACGACTGGAAAGCTGTTACCGAGTCGGATCTCTGACATTAACATTAAATCACGCAAAGAGAACGTATCAGTCAGCTCGAAAGCAATTCAAAGCACGCGATGAAAAATATACAAGTCTTACCAAGATGTCGTGGATACTGGCCCGCGGTATGGTATTGACCGCTGAGAACTGCCTCCCAGCCCCTCTGCAAATGCATTAAAGTTAGTGAATCAATACATTCGCGTTGCTGATAAATATCAGTTTACCTGAAGCGAATACGATTCGCGGGAGCTTTTGGTGACCGTGTTATCACTTCGCCCACTGGAGACGGAAGAAGCACCGACGAGTCCCGGAGCGGAATGCCAAGCATGTTAGTGGGGTATGGAAATGAGATCGATTTGGGCGATCGTATATACGTGGACTCGGGGCCTTGGAAACCGTTGCGCACTGAAGAAGTAGGTGGCCCAGGTACTGCTGAAAGTTTCGATGGGGACACTAGCGGCATAATTGAATCGCTAGAAGGGTAGCTGTTAGCCGCTCCAAACCCACTCGCTGCCCCCTGCTGGCTGATAGCCTCCTCGGGTTCGTCGCCAGCGTCATTGGAGGCAAGACTGGGTATGGCTCGACGACGAGACTTGATGTGTCCATCAGGGCTGCTCTTCGTCCTTCGAACTTTCGGGTATTTGCTGCGTAGCTTTCTTCCACTTAGTTTGGGCGGTGGGATGTAGGCGAGATCAAGTCCACTTGTAGAGTCGTCAGTAACGAAAGCTGGATCCGTAACATCACGTGCGGTCCCGTCAAGAAGTCCACTGGCCAATGAAGACGACTTGTTCTGTTGACGGCTCAGCCTTCTCCGTCTTCCTGATCCTTCGCTTGTTTCAGTCACTTTTGGGGCTCCCGCATCCGATGTACTGACTGTCCGTACTTTGGAAGGCTTTCGCCTGACAGATTTTGGAGCAGCCTCGTTTGTGATTTTCTTTCCAGATCCAGTCTTTCTATTGAGGAAGGAAGACCGCGGATTCGCATTAGTCTCCAGATCGACTGATGAGCCTTCGCTCACAGCTCCAGCTTCACGCAAATGGGGTTCCACTAGCTGTGGAATGCACATCGAAGAGTCGTCCACCTTGGCAATAAGCCGGTCTCGAACGCTCACATCACTTACGCAGGCCTGGAACAACGTTTCGCAAAGCGAAGCCCCTGCTTCACGGAGATGTTTGGTGTTGAAATGCATGTTTTGCAGCTCGCCGTAGTTGGCACCACAGAATGAAGCCTCTAGTGTAAAACTCCATGTGATCTTCAGCTCATTCGCTATAACCACACGGGCAGTCGTCTCCTTATCCTTGCTCACTTTGAAGCTACAATCCGGGAACGAGATGTACTTCTTGGCCGTCTGTTGCATTGAGAACAGTTTCGCAAATTCCCGTGCCGCTGGGTTTGGTTTTCGTTTCGTATCGCACCCATACATGAACACGTTCTTCTTTCTCGAATGGCCGTGCATATCACAATAAAACGCAACTCCCCGGGAAGAGCGCTCTTTAACAAGCAGCTCTTTTGCGTGAAAAATCGTCGGGTGCAATGCCTTGCTCGGTGCTTGCCACTGGCGATTCAAGTCACACGCGGAGAGCCCACACCGACTGTTGCCATAGTACACACCGTCGGGGTTGAGCATCGGGATGATCTGGAATACAAACATTCGACGCAGAACACGCGCCACATCCGAGCTTCCTAACAAGAAATCGATCACTCCTCGCATCATCCAAGATGCTTGCGATTCTCCTGGATGAACGCGCGAGGTAATAAAGACTGCTCTCCGTGCGTCCAATTCTTGTGTAGCAACAGAAAAATCCGAAATTGTCAACAAGTCACAAGTCCTTCCACTGAGCGTTGTACATAATGAGCTGTGCCGAAGAATGTGGCTTGTGTCGTGACCTGAGCGGAGGATGCTGTCGATGTGCAGCTGATGCATTGTCAGCGTGTACGGGTAGCTGTGAGCGACGAGATAGGTATCCTCTGCATTCGAAAATTCAAGCGTGAACGTCAGCGTATAGTACGTCATGGAGGGGGCTGTCGTGGTTGGCACTGTGGTTGCTACCTCCGTGGGAGCAACGCCCTGAATGTTTGTTGCGTTCCTTGGTGGCCTCACGAACGAGTTGGCGAAATAGTATATATCTGTCCCCGATCTCACCCACCCTCTCCCTTTCTGGTGAGCATCTCGTACAGAATACACCACCGGCTGCAAACCTTGATTGAATAGCGAGTTTGGCTTGCATAGGTTGACAATATTGAATCGGTACTTTTGACCACCACGGGGACTTGAACCTGGCGTTTGGATGTTGCTTACAGCAAAATAGAACCACTGCATATGGCCGGACGAGTTGAAGTCATGACACAACACTAGGTCATATTCGTATTCACCGATGCGAATGGCGCGCTCCAGATTCCCACTCTCAAAATTGCTATCGAACGTCAAACTGCTGGACAGATCCGGAAAAGCTTTAGTTTTTTCAGGGACACAATACGGAGCATCGTGCTGAGTTATGCTGGAATTCAGCAAAAATGGCGGAATACCTGCAACTTTGTCGCGATCTTCAACCATTGACAAGTTCTCGTAGACAGTTCTTGCTCTGGTATTGACTTCGCTAGCAATAAACTCCGCTCGTTTTGCATTCGCTTCTTCGACGAAGCGTGCACCAGTTTCTGCATCTGGCAGGTTGCAAGGTTCAAGAAATCCGGGTTCGTCCAGTACGAACGCTTCTTCACGGTTGTTCTGGCCGTCTTGATCCATTCTTGACGGGTGCTTCGGATACTTCACAAGAGAGCTATCCATATAGTACCATCTTCTATCTTCGAGGTGATCGTAGAAGTGCGCAACTGAAGAATCTCTGCTAGTAAATTTGGCGGAAACAGAGTTTCGGCGCTCAGGAAGAGGCTGAACAACACACGGAGTGATTGAACACAAGCTGGGGGCTCGAAGAGCTTCAACGCTTCCACCAACAGCCTTTACATTTTCAACATCAGCATCGTCTTCGTCGTCGTCATCACTGTCATCGTTATTCCCCTCGTCTGCGTTATCTGCGTCTGCATCATCCTCTCCACTTGAATCAACAGGCACGGTCTCGGAGTTCTCAGTAGCATTATCTCCACAGTCCTTCTTCTCTGCTGGCTCTTCGCACTTTATTACATCCATTTGGGCTTTTCTCTCCGAGTCCGACCGATCAAACGATGATTCACTTGAGCTTTGACAGATAGCACCATCTTGTTCACCGCGGTCAGCTTTTCTTTCAGGTTCAGCTTCGTTTTTCGGCTTGAAATGAAACGATTTTCCCCGATGAGATAGCTTTGACACATATTCATCATATTCTACGTCACCGGGACGCAAGGTAATATCTTCCATGAGACCATTCGTAGCGTCGGATTTGGCTGAAACATCGGTGCTAAGAACTGTCAAATCGGTCAACCCAAGTACAGCTTTCTTCAGCAAGTTTACCACAATAGCAGCGAGTTTTTCTCCTCCAAACGTTCCACGAAGAGGTGGACTTCGAGGGGCTGGGGATGAACTACGAGAGCCAACGCGGTCACAAGGTACCCCATCTTCAGAGCCGAGGTCATCTCTGGGAGTGGGAAGATGAGTATGAAGCACCTCCAGTAAATCCTTTCCACCACAACTTAACACGACTTCAGCACCATCTCTCGCTAGCATCATTTCTCGAATGAAGTTAATGATCTCAGCCGTCTGTGTCCATTTTTGAGGTGTAATATACGTCAGCAGTTATGTTACAAGGGCATACTGATAGTTCGCACATACCTCGTCTTCCCAAGGCTTCGATGCAGGAATTGTGCGGCATAGTATCTCAACTGCAATACCCACGTAGCCAGTAATACTGTGCACACTTTTCGCCTGGCACTACAAGAAGACATTATTTGAATAGAGTCGCTTTCATAAATGTCTCGAGCATCTTCGGAGTCCAACTTACCTGAGTCTTCCAATGTCTCGCCATAATCGCAAACACTTGAGATGTGAACCGGACATTTTCGTGGTAATTCCGCAAGCAAAGAAATAGGGCTGGGAGCGTAATATCTTCCTCTTGTATCGTGAACTGCTCCAGTGTCGATCGGCTTAGCCTCACAATCACGTGAACTAGATGCCCCGCCAACTCGGCCAGGTAACCTGATCCACCAGCGAGTACATATAGCGACAGCAATCCTTCAATCGTTTCCGAATTGATCAATTGGGGTAAATCCACGGGGTTGTCCGACACATTGACAAAGAAGCGAAAAGTACTATCGACAACGGCGGCATCCTGAGCGTGACAGGTAGCAGCAAGGACCAATGTTTTCCCTCGACAAGACTCCATAAACGGCGAGAGGTCCAGCTTGCATTCTCGCGCAAAATCGGATAGATCGGCAATAATCATGCACGCCGTAGCTGCCACCTCTCTGAGGTTGCTGTTCCGTTCAATCACTTGGAAAAGCAGCGGCACCATTTCTTCGTGAACAATCTGCCCGTACACTCGCGCTTCACGCGCCAATCGTAGCAGCAAACACACCACAGCGAATTCTACGTCACGTGCGGGAGTTTCCATCCGCAGACAAATACACAAAGCGCTGACAAGATTGTGCGCAGCCATCATTTGCAGCATCCCGGGAGCTTCGCCCATCAGCATCAACACTTCACACGCCGTGCGCTTCAAGTCGGCATTGTCAACACTCTGTCAATAAACAACACAAAATATTAGCACAACTGGCAAATTCATACACAAAATAGAAAAAAGCATACCCTTCTCACCGACTTCAGCAGCTCGATGAGCACTGCGACAGCCTGTTCCGTCGCCGCAACTTGGATCCTCTCTAAGCTCCCGTCGATGAATCGCCCCAGCGTGTCAGTGGCGCGCACCAACACCGTGACGTCTTCGTCTGCCCGCTTGATCATCTCCAGCACCTGCTTCACCACAATCGCCTGTCTCTCCTGCTGCTGTGACTCCGTCGTGTGGGCCAGCAGGTCCACGAGCTCCAGCGCGCGTTTCAGGATCTTGGCGCGTCTCCTGCCGCCCGCCGCGCCCGCCGACAGCTCGTGCAAGCACCTGAGCGCCAGCTCCAGCGCGCCTCCCTGCGCCGCCTTGGTCTTCGCCTTGGCGTTGTCCAGGATCAGGAGCACCAGCAGCTCCAGCAGCACTTCGAGCGCCTCGCCTCGCGGCAGCTCGTGGTCGTCTGCGGCCAGCGCCAGCAGCGGCTCCAGCCCGTCGGCGAGGATCGCGGCCTTGGCGTCCGCGCAGCGGCAGCACGACGCCAGCTCCAGCAGCAGGTGGCGCACGGACGCGGGCGAGCGCTTGCCGCGGTCCTGCAGCATCGTGAGCAGCGCGTGGACCGTCGACATGCTACTGCTGTAGTTGAAGTGACCACTTCTCGCAATGAATGAAAAATAGCGTCCGTCGATTGGCTGAAATGCGCAGTCGTTACACGTGATCACAACGCTCTGGCATTGGCCAAAAAGAAGGTGCATGATTTTGATGCACCCACTTCAAGTCGGAGAGCATGGCGACTTCGCGCGACGACGAAGCTGTGGCGCTGGAGCCGCTTCTGGAGCGGTCGGATGGCGGCACGGCTTCAGATGACGACTATACTCTGCGTAGGAGGCGGCAGAAGAAGAGCCCGAGCTGGCTGATGGTGCTCGCTGCCGTCGCCGCGCTGCTGCTGATCGTGCACGTTCTGTTCGTGGCGCTGCTGCGCAAGACGACGGTGGCGCTGAACAAGCTGACGCTGCCGGATCTGTGCCATCCCCGCACAGTGGGGGAGGTGGTAGTGGAGTTCCAGAACCCGTCGTACTGCTCGCCGGTAGTGGGTCCGTTGAACATTACGTTCGCCAAGAAGAGCACGACGTTCCTGCACCTCCAGGTGCCGGCGTTCGAGCTGCAGTCGGGAGTAACTACTATGATGTTGCCGGTGGGTTTCGAGATGCTGACGTCGCCGGACGTGCTGTATAGTCTGGTGTTCGCTGATGGAGGAAATATTGACGTCCACGGAGAAGTGCCGGTGCTGATTTCGTGCATGCTGGTCCCCTTCACGGTTTACTTGGATGTCTCCAACCTACTCAGGGAGACCCCACGGCCTCCAGCTAGTGCGGTTATCCCGCCAAAGTGGAGGTATGCGCTAGACCCACCGCTTGTTAGAGGCGATGCCTGGGGTTCCGGTGTCGTGAACGGGATCAAGACCGAGCTACAGCATGTTGTGACTCAGGTGCTCAAGACCATTGCGCTCTCGCATTTTCATACGGAACAAGACGACCGAGAAATCTTCGCCTTTACGGATGTTTCCTTTGAGTACGCCTCGCGAGTGCTGTGGAACATCCCGTCCCTGTCGGTAGAAGTCCGCTCTGCTGAGCGAGAGCCCATTCTTGTTGCAGGCTTGAAGCGGTTCCTCCTCGGCAGCGGCCAGACTTTCATCTCTGCATACACAGAAGTGTTCAAGAACCAGTCTGAGCCGCTGCAATCGATGCTGCAGTCGTATCTGGAAGGCGACGACCTCGTGCTGCACGTCGGTGGCAGCAATCGCGTCACCACGTGCTACTCACTACAAGTGCTCGATCTCGTCGACGTCAAGCTGAACGTCCCCGCCAAGATCGACAACAAGCCGGCGCTGCTCCGCGAGTACTCGATCAACCCAGCACTCAAGGAGCTGGATTCCAAGACGCACAAATGCCTGCTGGAGCTCAAGGTGTCCATCAAGATCAACAACCCGCTGCCCATTCACTTCGACCTATACGACATCGAGCTCGACCTCCTGTACGAGAAGGACGCGGCCCACGACAGCCCCAAGCCCAAGTTCCTGTTCCACGTCAAGGACTCCAAGCACGTGTCGTGGCTGTCGCACGAGGAGAACAGCATCGTGCTGGACACGGCTGTGCACGACTTCGACACGTGCATGGAGGTGGTGGGGCTCTACCTGCACGACCAGCTGGCGTTCGACATCCAGCACGGCCACATCTCCATGGGCGCCGGCAGCGGCAACTTCAGCGTGCCGTTCTCTGTCAGGGGCATCCACATCCACCCGAGCTCCCCGTCGCAGCCATTTGTGCTCGAGGAGCGGTGACCGCACCAGCTGGCAAGTTGAAGTAGCTGTCTGACTCTGGGCAACTTAAGCGCAACATTAGGGTTGCTATTATGGCTGGGCCATCAATCTTGTCTTTGCGTCCGTCGAAGTAGGGACTAAGTATGGGCGCGACGTTCTCGCGCTGCCTGTGCCTGGGCGTGGGCGTCGCCTACCCTGCGTACGCGAGCTTCAAGGCGCTGGAGCGGCCTCAGAGCGGCCACGACGAGAAGCAGTGGCTCACGTACTGGGCTGTCTACGGCGCCGCGACGTCCGTCGAGTCGGTAGCGTCGCCGCTCCTGTTCCTGGTGCCCGGATATAGCATCACTAAAACGCTCTTCCTCATCTGGATGATGGCGCCGCAGACGAAGGTAGGTCGCATTATGCATGCAGCTCCGTGGAGTGTTGCAGCGGGTTTATTAACGGAGTGGTGCCGCTAACCAACAGGGAGCGACCATCGTGTACGACAAGCTGCTGTGCCCCTTCCTGAAGGAGCAGGAGCCGTACGTGGATCGCAAGCTGCAGGAGGCCCAAGAAGCGGCCGAGAGTGCGCTAGCCTCCTTCGTTCGAGCCTGGGGTCAGACCATCGCTGACCAGGTCGTCGCTATTCAGAAGAGCGACGAGTTCAAGCAGATTTGCTTGGCGATCAAGGCGCTGGCGTCGCCGGACTCGCCCAAGAAGCGGAGGAAGAGGAGTAGCGCGAAGAGCAAGCAGTCGTCCAGTGAAGAGTAATTTGAAAAATCGACATAATGTGCGTGTGCATGAGTATGCTATTATGCATTGACGAGCTTCAAACACCCGCCAACCTGAACCGTCAGATCGGCTGTCGTCTTCTTCCTTCCCAGCTAACTATCCTCCTCCTCCTCCTCTTCTTTGACTCACTCACCTCCGTCATTCATTCGCGTACAGATTTTTAATAGTGGTGCACGTACTTGAAGTCCTCGCGAGAGTTCACCTTGTCGATGTACGAGTGAGCCTTGAAGTGCTCGGCCTGGATGAGCTCCGCGAGCATGGGCGCGACCGACAAACGCTTGAGCTTGTCAGTGTGGAACGCCTTGGGGTCGGCAGGGATAGTGTCCATGACAACCACCTGCGACACGTTCGACTCGTCGATCAAGCGCTCGGCGTCGCCGTTCAGCAGCGGGTGCGAGGCGAAGCAGTACACCTTGCGGGCGCCCTTGCTCAGCGCGAGGTTCGTGAGCTTGGACAGCGTCTCGCTCGTGTCGATTAGGTCGTCCACAACAATCACGTCGGCGCCCTTGACGTCGCCCACGATGTCAGCCGGGGTGTGGTCGCCCGTCTCCTTCTTGCCCGTGCCGTGGAAGAACATCGCAAACTGCGCGGGCGAGTCCGGCAGCCACTTGTTCAAGCCCGTCTGGAAGACACGAGCGCGACGCAGGCACTCCGGGTTGGGCGCCATCACCACAAGCGGGCGGCGGAGGTACACTTGCGTGGCGAAGTACTCAACGCCAGCCATGATGGTCTCAATGGTCTCCACGGGGATGTCCGAGCTGAAGAAGCACGCCTCGTGGCCCTCCACGCGCATCTGCAGATCGACAGCGATGACGCGGTCCACACCCATGACCTCCAGCATCTTGGCGATGTCAGCGGCGGGGCTCTGGATGAACTTGGAGTTCAGACTGGTGGCCGCCGGGTTGGCACGGCGGTGGTGCTTGTACGCGTAGTACGGCAGCACGACCGTCACCTTCTTGGCGCTGGCACGACGCATGGTGCTGACCATGAGCAGCAGCTCGATGATGTTGTCGTTCACGGGGCTCGCCAGACTCTGCACCAGGTACACGTCCTTGCCGCGCACGCTCTCGCCCACCTGCACTTGCACCTCTCCGTCGGCGAAGCGGCCCAGCTTGATCTTGCCCACGCGCGTGCCCAAGCGACGCGCGATGTCGTCGGCCAGCTCGAAGTGCGACGAGCCCGAGAAGATCTTGAGCTCGTGGCAGCCGGGGATGAACATGCCCGCGTGCGTGCACGGGTGCTTGTCCGACGGGAAGAAGGGCGAGAACGGGTCCACGCGCTTGCGGTCGTGCGGCACGCCGAACTCGAGGTCGCGCAGGTCGCGCTTGTCCTCGGCGCGGGCCACGCTCGAGTGCGTCATGCCCAGCGTGGCGCCGCCCATGAACACGGCGAGGCCCGGCGTCAGTCGCGCGGCGGCGGAGCGGAAGGCGAACACCATTCTGCTGACTGTCCGAGTGGAGTCCGTAAAAAAAGATGAATGGCGAGAATATGCCTCCCTTTTTGTGAACCTCAGGATTGCAACACGCGATAACTTGTATGGATCGGACCCTTGGAATAGTGACCAGATGCGATACGAAGCGGTCTACAAGTCAAAGCTGGCCCATGTCTATTGCATTCATGTCGTCTACAGGCCAGCATGCCGGCAGAAGATGTATAGCTGCACTGCTGCTCCCTACATACTCGGAGAAGCGCTTTACTCGTCCTTCTTGTGCAGGCTCTGCTCCAGAAGCTCGGCGAGAATTTCGTTCAGGCCGCCAAGAATGGTGCGGCCGTCCTCGACAAGGCCAGCAGCCACCGTCGCGTTCGTGTAGATCTGGTGAATTCGTGGACAACAAGGTTAGAGCGACTATATGCCTACACCGGAAAAGCAGAGACAGAGAGACGAACCTGACGGGCCACCTTCTTGGCGAGGGCGTCGTTGACTTCCCGAAGCGCGTTCAGGTCCACGATGATGCTGTGGTTGGGATTGATCTCCATCACGTTCTTGGAGAGGCCGCTCATGTCCTGGCCAGCGCGGTCGTTCACCATCTGCATCATCCTGTACAACACAACATCATTGTTCAGCAAAAGTCTATCACAATGACATCAGTATCGGTCACTTACTTGCGAATAGAGGCAGACTCGTGGTCCACGATGATAGCGGGCGAGTCGGTCAGGCGGGACGTGAACTGCAAGCAGGCAGACACACAGTCGAGTTAGTAGCCGTACTACGGAAGAAAAATGTATCGCAGCCATACCTTGACTTCCTTCACGCTGTCCTCCAAAGTGAGCTTCAGCCAAGCGCCGAACAGCTGCTGCTCGTCCTTCGACAGCTTCTTTCCAGAAGCACTGCCATCGTCGCTGTCGACATCCACCTTTGCGTGTTCCGCCGACACGACCTTGCGGCCGTTGAACTCGGCAACGTTCGTCATCACGAAGTCATCGATGGGGCTGTAGACGAACAGCACTTCCTTGTTCAATTTCCTGTCGCGCAAAAGCAAACAAAGTTAGTAAAGGAATAGGAAAGTAGGAGCCCCGGCAAATGCTGTACACGTACTTGAAGGCTTCGAAGTACGGCGACGACTCGGCGATAGCGCGGGTAGGCGCACACAGGTAGTAGATCTCGTTCTGGTCCGGCGGGCAGCGCGACACGTACTCATCAAGAGTAGTCAGCTTGCCTTCATCAACCTGGCTGGACTCGTAACGCAGCAGCTTCGCAAGAGCGTCCTTGTTCTGGAAGTCCGTGCAAATACCCTCCTTAACGAACTGGCCGAACTCCGTGAAGAACTTCTCAAACTTCTCCGGTTCCTTGGTGGACTGTGTTCGGCAACAAATAGTTAGAGAGAAAGACATCACAATGTCAGTCCTCGACGCAATGATCGATCAAGATGCCTGCCGCGAAGTCGACTTACCTGACGCTCCAGGAAGCGGACGATTCTTCTCGTCAGGACATCGCGGATCTTGTGAATGAGGCGGCTGTCCTGCATCTTTTCACGCGAAAGGCTGAGCGGGAGATCCTCGCTGTCAACGACACCACGCACGAAACGCATCCAGTCCGGAAGGATGTCGGGCGAGTTGCGCTCAATCAGGACCTTGCGCGAGTAGAGACTCACACCAGGTTCCAGACGAGCATAGCCAAACTTCTCGGCGTGCGAGGATCCAATGAAGAAGAGCGTCTTCAGCTCAATGGGCGCGTCCGCCTTGAAGATGATGCGGTAAGCCGGCTCGTCAAACGCGTTCGCGATGAACTTGTAGAACTCGGTGTACTCTTCGTCCGTGACCTCGCTCTCGCTCTTGGTCCACAGAGCCTGAACCGTGTTCACGGTGTCGCCGTCGAGCACAATCGGGAACGACACGAAGTTCGAGTAGCGGCGGATGATGGACTCGACCTTGGCCTTGGTGCCGAACTCCTTGCAGGAATCCTTCAGGTGGATCACGATCTTGCTGCCGCGCGTCACGTCATTCGCCTCGGCAACCTCGTACGATCCGCTGCCGTCCGAGCGCCACACTTGACTCTGACGACCGGCGACGGCCGACTGCGAGAAGACCTCGACCTTGTCGGCAACCATGAAGGCCGAGTAGAAACCGACACCGAACTTGCCGATGATGCCGCTCAGCGCGTCGCCCGACTCGCCAGGGGAGCTCTCCTTGAGCTGCTCCAGGAAGGCCTTGGAGCCCGAGCGTGCGATCGTTCCCAGGTTCTCGATCAGCTCGTCCTTGGACATACCCACGCCCGTGTCTGCAATGGTGAGCGTGCCGGCCTTCTCGTCCGTGGTGATGACGATCTTGGGCTCCAGCTCGGCGTCCTGGATGCTGGCGCCCGTGGACTGCAGGTGGCGCAGCTTCTCCAGCGCATCGGAGGCGTTGGAGATGAGCTCGCGGATGAATACCTCCTTGTCCGTGTAGATGGAGTGCGTCACGATGTCGAGCAGCTGGCGCGTCTCCGCCTGGAACTCGCGGCGGTCCGCCTTGTCGTCCGCGGCGCTGGTGCTGAAGCACGCGCTGAGCTGCTGGGCGGACGGCGCGATCTTTGCGCCGCGCTGCGCCAGACGCGAGCTCGAGGCCACTCCGCGCGGGAGCGTAGAGCGCTGCACGGCGCGACGTCCGCTGGCCGCAGCCGAGGCGCCAGCACGGCGGGCAATGCGCTGCACGGATCGCATCATCATGTCGGACGAGTTGCTTTTCCAGCCACAAACGAGCTTTTTCAAGTGATACCGACGCACTTGACAGGTATCTCGTGTAGACCACATGAAATGGGTCCAGAAATTTACTGTAGCCACCGAAGCTGTTCTAAGATTTTCGAAGCGGCTGCTGCCACCGAACGCAGCCGTTGCAAGTGCAACTTGGCGCTTCACTTCAACCGCGCCGCGGGGCGCTAAAGTAGCAGCGGCTCTGTCGGGCACCACCGTCGGCAGCGCTTCCTGCGCCGCTCGCCACCACCAAAACGCAGGAGAGGCTCTGGTGAGCCAGAGGGTGCCCGTCGCACGCCAGCCTCTCGTTTTACAAACTGGAGGCTTACCCAACAAAATGCTGGATCAACGTCTTATTGCGCAATGACTGGGGACTATGAAATTCTGAATTTCATTCATAGTATGAATAAAACACATTAGCCGGAGGCTCTGGGCCTGAACGCCTTCACCCAGCAAGTGCTCTTGCTTTCTCGTTCACCAAGTTCAGGGCGGACTGCATGCATGTGAACACCGGGCATGGGCTGATCATGCCACTTGCATGGGTTTTAGAGGGTCTCTAAATGAGAGTCTAATAGAGACCTTGCGTTGCACGCAGAATCACCCTGTCGCATAGAAATGGATTCTGCTTGGGGCCAAAAGCTGGGTGGGGTACGTCAACGCATCCTGCTCGAGCTCATTCCTCAAATTCACAGCAAGTACCCAGCACACCATGTGGAGCCGACTCGCCGCCACCTCCGCGCGCCTCAACGCTGCGCGCTCCTCCCTCCTGCTGAGCCAGCAGGGCCGCCTCATGAGCACGCGCCGCGTGCCCTCCGAGGAGACGCTCTCGGCGCTCAAGGCGCTGCTGGGCGACCGCCTCTCGACTGCCGCGTCCGTTCTGGAGGTGCGTACTCTAAACACCAGCAGCGACGCCGTTAACAGCTTCTTTCTCTAACTAATCGCTCTCTGTATCTACGCCCACCTACAGCAACACGGAACGGACGAGTCCTACCACGCGGTGGCTCCCCCCGACGCCGTCGCCTTCGTGCAGTCCACGGAGGAGGTGTCGGAGGTCGTCAAGATCTGCGCGGCCGCCGGCACGCCCGTCATCCCCTTCGGCGCGGGGTCCTCGCTCGAGGGCCACATCTCCGCCACGGAGGGTGGCGTCTCCATCGACCTCACGGGCATGAACAACATCCTGAGCGTCGAGCCCGAGAACATGAGCTGCAAGGTGCAGGCCGGCGTCACGCGCGAGCAGCTCAACGTGGACCTGCGCGCGACGGGCCTCATGTTCACCGTGGACCCGGGTGCCAACGCCACCCTCGGTGGCATGATCTCGACCAACGCGTCGGGCACCACCACCGTGCGCTACGGCAACATGAAGACGAACGTCATGTCGCTGACGGCCGTCATGCCCGACGGCCGCATCATCAAGACGGGCTCCAAGACCCGCAAGTCTTCTGCCGGCTACGACCTCACCCGTCTGCTTATCGGCTCGGAGGGCACGCTCGGCATTGTCACGGAGGCTGAGCTGCGTCTGTTCGGCATCCCCGAGGCAGAGAAGACGATGATCTGCCAGTTCGACTCGATTCAGAACGCCGTTGACACGTGCGCGACCGTCATGCAGATGGGTATCCCCGTTGCGCGCATGGAGCTGATGGACGAGAACGCCGTGGAGGCGATCAACAAGTACTCGAAGCTGGAGACCCCCGTGCGGCCGTCTTTGCTCATTGAGCACCACGGCTCGCCCGGTGAGGTGGAGGAGCAGAGCTCCGTGGTCGTGGAGATCGCCAACGACTTCGAGGCCAAGGACATTGAGCTGGCCACGAGCGCGGAGGAGCGCAAGAAGCTCTGGAGCGGCCGTCACGCCGCTTGGTACGCTACGATGAGCCAGATGCCTGGCAGCCGCGGTCTGTCCACGGACGTCGCCGTCCCCTTCTCGAAGCTGACGGACGTCATCGTGGAGACGCAGGCGGACCTGAAGGAGACTGGTCTGTTTGGCACGATCGTCGGCCACGTCGGCGACGGCAACTTCCACGTCATGCTGCCGTTCTACCAGGACAACGCGGAGCTGATGCAGAAGGTGCGCGACTTCTCGGACCGCCTGGTGAACCGCGCCATCGAGTACGAGGGCACGTGCACGGGCGAGCACGGCATCGGCAACGGCAAGATGAGCTACCTGTCGAAGGAGCACGGCGACAGCGTGGACGTCATGCACACGATCAAGAAGGCGCTCGACCCCAAGAACATCATGAACCCGGGCAAGATTTTCTACGGCAACGAGAAGCACTAAGTAGTTGAAATAGTAGTAGAACTTGGCTCAATCTAACGTAGTGATCGTCCACCAACGTTGTGGTTCATGCTCATGAAGCAGGGCAACAGACAAGATCTTTTCGCACTGCTTAGTTGACAGCACCTGGCTCACCGTGCCGCGATTGTGCAAATCAACTCACAACGCATCACGCGGAAATATCTTCAACCACGCTCAGTTGACGAAAGCCGTCGGGGACATGTGGCATCACTCCGCCCGCGTGCTGAGGGCGACATCCGCCCAGTATGCACTGCAGCGAGCATCGCTAGCACAGCTTCCTCGTCGTCGCCTGAACACGCAGCGAACAGCTTCGCCGGATACCATCTCGGCGTTGCGAGATCTGCTGGGCGATCGCTTATCCACCTCTCGTTCGGTGCTGGAGGTCAGTTCCCTCCGCGCCCTTGTGAATAATGTTAAACGACCCCTTGGCTGACGTCGTTGGTGTTGGTGACCTCTGCAGCAGCACGGAACGGATGAGTCGTATCACGATGTCACGCCTCCCGACGCTGTCGCCTTCGTGCAGTCCACGGACGAGGTGTCGAAGGTGATCAAAATCTGCGCAGCGACTGGCACGCCTATCATCCCGTTTGGTGCCGGCACGTCGATCGAAGGGCATATCTCGGCTGTAGCTGGCGGCGTCTCTGTTAATTTATCGGGAATGAACGAGATCCTCAAGGTGGCATACTGCACCAGCAGCGGCATCAGGAACTGGGGGGTTAGTTTCGCGGAGCTAACGTTTTATGGCGTGACTTGCGTTTGTACAGCTTGACCACGAAAATATGAGCGTCAAGGTGGAAGCCGGTGTTACCCGCGAGCAGTTGAACGCAGACCTGCGTGCCACTGGGCTGATGTTTCCTGTGGATCCCGGCGCGAACGCTACGATCGGGGGCATGGTTGCTACGAATGCGTCAGGAACAACAACAGTCAAGTAAGCGCTTTGCCGACGGTGGGGGCATGCAGCAAATGCTGACGAATTCATCTCAAACAGATATGGCAACATGAAGGCAAACGTGTTGTCTCTGACTGCAGTCATGGCTGATGGACGCATCATCAAGACGGGATCGAGGTTCGTACAATACGTTTCTTGAGCGGTCAGACCTCAGTGCACCCTTACCACTTCGATGCTGCTTGTTATTTCGCACAGAACTCGAAAGTCGTCTGCTGGCTATGACCTCACACGACTTTTGATCGGAGCCGAGGGCACCCTGGCGGTTGTGACTGAGGTACCGATTTTACTTTAGTTGAGGAGGTCGTGTTTTCAAAGGATAACAACAGGTGTGGGCGTGCTATCGCAGATAGAACTTCGACTTTGCGGTATTCCTGAGGCCGAGAAGGCTATGATCTGCTCATTTGACAAGATGAAGGACGCTATCGATACGTGCACGACCGTGATGCAAATGGGGATTCCCGTGGCCCGAATGGAGATGATGGACGAAAACGTCGTCGACGCTGTGAACAAATACTCGAATCTGGACAACCCGCTTCGACCGTCTCTGATTATCGAGCATCACGGTTCTGCAAGCGAACTGGAGCAGCAAAGCAGTATTGTCCAGGAAATAGCTCGAGACTTTGGTGCCACGGGAATCGAGGTGGCCACAACGGCTGAAGATCGTAAGCGCTTGTGGAGTGGGCGGCACTCCGTGTGGCACGCAGTGCTGGTACGTAAGGAGTCGAAAAAAGTGATCACTACAGTGGAATGAAAACGTGCTGGTTTCGTGCGATGCTATGTAGAGTCAAGTCCCTGGTAGCCGAGGCTTCTCGGCCGATGTGGCAGTGCCATTTGCCAAGTTGACGGATGCGGTGATTGAGACTCAGCAGGACTTAAAGGACTCCGATCTGATCGGTATAATTGTGGGGTGGGTTTGCATTTGTTTCACTGCTGCCGGGTTGGTGTTACATGTATATACACTGACACTACGGATCCTGCAGGCATGTCGGAGATGGGAACTTCCACGTCCTGATCCCGTTCACTGAAGAGAACAAGGAGCACCTGGAACGCATGAAGGCATTTTCGCACCGCCTGGTCAAACGCGCGCTGGCTTGTGGTGGCACCTGCACTGGGGAACACGGCATCGGCATCGGCAAAATGGACTACTTGCCGATGGAGCACGGTGAGGCCGTCGACGTCATGCTCGCCATCAAGAAAGCGCTCGATCCGCTCGATATCCTGAACCCCGGTAAAATCTTTTACGGCAAGCCGCGCTCTAGCTAAAGACTCAAGGGCCTAACAGTTTTGGTTGCCCGATCTGTTAAACCAACATGTTGCATAGTTGAAGTTGTGTCCGGAACATACGGACCATGCTTGTCAAAACGGATCCACTTTGAAGGGTAAGCGCATCCCCACGTTTCGCGTCATTCCCGGACTCCCTCCTCGACTTGAGAGCAATGTGGCGCCAAATGCTCCCCGCTGCGGCCCACCGTCCTCTCCGGACCCGATCGCTTAGCACGCGTCGCACCGCCTCGCCTGAGACCATCTCGGCTCTGAAGGACCTGCTGGGAGACCGCCTGTCGACCGCGCGTTCCGTACTGGAGGTGAGCAGAACTTCCCTCCCCCCGGAGCTTACTGTGCGAAGTGAAAAATTGACTGACATAACTTGTGTACTCACTGTAGCAACACGGTACGGACGAGTCGTATCACAAGGTCACTCCCCCGGATGCTGTGGCTTTCGTGGAGTCCACGGAAGAGGTCTCGGAGGTTATCAAGATTTGCGCCGCTGCTGGGACGCCTGTCATTCCCTTTGGCGCTGGGTCGTCGCTAGAGGGCCACATCTCTGCTACGTATGGAGGCGTCACCATCGACCTGACCGGGATGAACAAGATTCTCAAGGTTGGTTGGGATGGCGGCACTGCCGGAAAGAGGACTTTCCCTATTAACGAGGTGTTTGTATGGTTATCGCCCAGGTGGAGCCGGAAAACATGAGCTGTCGAGTGCAGGCTGGTGTCACGCGGGAGCTGCTGAACACGGATCTGCGAGCTACGGGCTTGTTCTTCCCCGTTGACCCTGGCGCCAACGCCAGCATTGGCGGGATGATCAACACGAATGCCTCGGGCACCACCACTGTTCGGTACGGTGTTGTATTGACGCTAGCACATCTGTACGATGCTAATTCAGCTTCTGGTTGCAGCTACGGCAACATGAAGACGAACGTGATGGCGCTCACTGCTGTCATGGCCGATGGGCGCATCATCAGGACGGGCTCCAAAACGCGGAAATCATCGGCAGGATATGACCTCACGCGGTTAATTATCGGCTCCGAGGGCACCCTCGCAGTCGTCACCGAGGTAAACGGTTGGCATAGATTAAACGTGCATCGGGACAAGCGAACCTAACGATTTGTGTTTTGCCAGGCGGAACTTCGGCTCTTTGGCAACCCCGAGGCCGAGAAGACGATGATTTGTTCATTCAATACCATGAAAGACGCGGTGGATACATGTGCAGCGGTCATGCAAATGGGCATCCCAGTGGCACGCATGGAACTGATGGACGAGAACGCTGTCGAGGCGATTAACAAGTACTCGAAGCTGAACAACCCAGTGCGTCCATCGTTGATCATCGAGCACCACGGCTCCCCTGGCGAGGTCGAAGAACAGAGCGCTATTGTTGTTGAGATCGCCAACGACTTCGACGCCAAGGACGTTGAACTGGCGACCAGTGCTGAAGAGCGGAAGAAGCTGTGGAGTGGCCGCCACACTGCTTGGTGGGCTACGCTGGTACGTTGCAACTACCTACATTGTGGTTGAAGCAAACTATTGATCATATTCCTGCTATGTACAGAGTCAAATGCCGGGAAGCAGAGGGCTTGTTACCGACGTTGCGGTGCCACCGTCGAAGCTGGCGGACGTGATTGTTGAGACGCAAGTCGACCTTAAGGAAACGGGTTTGTTCGGAGCAATCGTCGGACACGTTGGGGACGGCAACTTCCACGTGATGATTCCATTTTACCAGGACGAGCCGGAGCTAATGACCAAGGTCAAAAGCTTCTCGAACCGCCTGGTGGAGCGTGCTTTGGAGTACGAAGGGACCTGCACGGGCGAACACGGCGTCGGCCTCGGCAAAATGAACTACCTGTCGGTGGAGCACCGAGACAGTGTCGACGTGATGCTCGCCATTAAGAAGGCTCTGGACTCGAAGGACATCATGAACCCGGGCAAGATGCTCTACGGCAAAGCTCCTAGCTGCTAGACATTGTAAAACGCAGTTGTTGCAGTTCACTTCAACATACCCGTAATTGTGACAGACTTCAAACAACACAACTACACACGCGATTTTCATGAATCAATAGACACCTTTTGCCCACGGAATTTACGCGTTTTTGAGCACACGTTTCCGAAGTGGGTCCTCCGACGTTAACTAGCCCTAACCTCAGCTCAATAACGTTGCAATAACAAGAATAACGTCACCCAAACAATAAATGACGCGTAAAATACGCGACAACCAAATCCCTCATTCCGGCCGGATTTTCCCTCAGGATTAAAATACTCATTTGAAGTGAGGGTTTTCCTCGATTAATTTCGAACTTAAACGGAAAGAAGCTGTACTTTAGGAAAAGAGGGAGAATCTCAACCCTCCATTTCAGAAAACCAGCTCGGACCGCGCAGCCACCTCCTGGAAACATTACGATAGCCCTACGCACCCGCTGTTAAAGGGTGGGGCAAGCCAAGCGACTTCACGAATTAAGTAAGTTTGACCTTGCTTCTTACAGGTGTGCATTAATGTTGCTTGTTATATGTGCATTAACTTTGGTAATTTGTTATTGTTTATTTGGTATGTATTAACCCCTTGAACCCGAGAGCCTGGACTGTACATGTTACGCGCAAAAGCTTAACGTGGACCGTACACGTAAAGCTTTTCTATACTTGGTTTTTGTATTGGTCGCTACAATTTTCAAGTCATCGAGGGGTAGGCGATGTATCCATGGCTTCCACGGGAATCGACATAAATGATACATTGAGAAAGGCCAAAAATGCACGAGAAAGCGCACTGCCGATCAAACTTGCATATTGCATATGTACTATGAAGGGCGAACGAACTGTCGCCACTGAATTTTCTCTCATTTGAAGATTCACCCCCGAGGGCCCAGAACCCACGCCGCTGCTAGGAATGGCGTTCCAGGCTAGATGGCGAGAGCTGAAGAAGGCCGGCTGGCACTCCAGAAAGCCGACCGGCTAATCGGTCGACTTTACCTACTTGAAGCCCGGGAAGACGAAGAAGGACACGCGTGGCGAGGACTACTTTGTCGGCGAAGAAGAGCTCATGAAGTATTTGGACAAGCTTGACATCGGTATGCCTTTTTGTCGCGAATTGTCGGTCATGCTTTAATCCTAACGACATTCTGTCTCTAGCTGCACTCCAGGCGAAGAAGAAGGCGAGGCGAGAGGGCTCTGCAAACACCGCCAGACGTTGAAGCGCGGTGCAACGTCTACCAAGCAGCCAACCCAACTCAACTAACGGTACTATGCTCATGCGCTGTATCCTACAAGTTTGGCTTGTATCTAATCGTGTATTTCATGGATTTCGTGGACATGCAGCATCTCCAACGGCGCCGACGCCACCAGCAGCGACTCCGAAGCCGTCGACACAGCGCCTGAAGCTGATTCTCCGGCAGGTTCGAACATGTGTGATGTATGTGCTACCGTATGCAACTCATGATTTAACCATGCATTTACTGTTGTAGAAGCATCGCCGGAAAGGCGATGTAACCTCACCTCCGATTTTGCAGATGCCGATGACGGAAGCGAGTCGTCCTACCACCCGGATGATGACACTGACGCCTCGGACGATGACGATACTACGCCAGTAGTAGACGTAGCAGAGGAGCCCAAAGGCGATGAAGAAGCCGATATTGCGACTGGAGGTTAGTCAAAACTGCCTATACACGATTGAGAATGCATCTAACTTGTATGTACAACTTTTGCCGTTTATGCAGATGCTAATCTCGTCGATGAGTCTGAAGACCCACAAGCCTACGTAGCGTTCGAGTCCGATGCAGAGAACGATGACGGAGATGACGAGGGCGACGCACCTGAAGATGACTTGACTGAGCTCGACGTGCAACTGCCCGTGCCACCGGAGCTCCGGTTTGATGGCAAGCTTATTGCAACTATTGGTGGAATGGAGAGTATTCTGTCGGGGACTGTGTCCGACGAGTTGCTGCGAGACATGGGAGAGAAGGGCTGGTCTGACCTCTCCACGTCAACGCCGTACGACTACTTGATGCAACCCTACGAGGATTGCCCAGCCAACTCGCTGAACCAAGACTATCCTAACCTGTACTCAGGAGAGTCGGGGCCGACTGCCAAGGCACTCGATGCGGCTGAGACTCCGTCTGGTGCGTTCTTCTACTTCCTGCAGCCGGACCTCTGGGAAGATATCGCTTCCGAGTCCAACGATTACTTCAAGGAGAACATGGATGAGAGGGTGGAGGGTCAACACACCAAGCAAGTCGCTTGACAGCTGAAACACCCTGAGTTTAAGCCAAAGACGAAAGAGTAGTTACGAAGTGAATTGAAAAACTACCCAGGTATTACACCACGCGAATTGTGTGTTTTATTGGGCTTCTTATTGCAAGATCGATCGTCCCTAACAAGGAGAAGCTGGCGCACCATTGGCGGACGACGGATGAAGGCGCGATACCTCGCGGATGCTTTGGTCAGTTCATGGTTCGCGATAGATTCATGCATCTGTCGCGAAACCTACACTTCAGTAGCAATAGCAACGTACGTGCCTCGAGCGACAGAACCTGGAAGCTACGCCCGGTCATCGATGCACTTCAAGACCGTTTTTCTGCCGGCTTCGTTCCGCCTGCGGTCATGGCTTTTGACGAAGCTATGCTGCCATCGCGATCTACGTTCAACCGAATGATGGTTTCATGAAGGATAAACCCCACAAATGGGGGACGAAGCTTTTCATGCTTTGTTGCTCGAAGTCGGCGTACTGCATCCGGTAGGCGATGGGCGTGCCTCGAGCGCCCCCGTGTTTATTTTTGGCGCGTAAGATATGTTATCGTGTATCCTACAGACTAACACTTTACTATTGTTGTACGATACAGGTTTGAGGTGTACTGTGGAAAAAAGGAGACTGGTGGTGCGTCCGGCTCCACCGACTACAAGTCCGGACTGGCCGCCGTCGCGCGCAACTTACGAGAAGTTTTTGGTCCTTCACCTCCTGCGGATGGAGCGATGCGCCTTGTCGTCACGGATAGGTTTTACTCTGCGGTTCCTCTCTCGATGCAGTTGCTCACGATGGGGTTCTACTCAATTGGCACCGTCCGCACCGACCGTCTCGGGCTGAGCACGAAGCTGATCCCGAAGAAGAAGAAGGGCGGCAAAAAGAAGCCGCCCAAAATACCCAAGAATCGTCCAGCCAGTATCGGGAGAGGCACATACATCGTCTCCGACGCGTTGCACATTCCTGGCATGAGGGTTTTGCGTTGGTGGGACACCCGAGCCGTGCACATGTTGAGCACTGGCGGAAGTGTTGCCATGGACCGGATCGTACGCCGTGACAAGATGACTGGCGAGCAGCATGAAGTGGCATGCCCGCGCATCGTCAAGGACTATCAGACCTACATGGGCGACGTGGACTTGCACGACCAATTGCGTCTACAAAGGTGAAGTTGAGTATCTTATATATACAAGTTATGATTGTATCTAATCGTGTATGCCACATATTGCAGGTATTCGCTGCAGTTGTGTATCAAGTACAAGAAGTACTACATGTCCCTGTTTCTCGGACTCGTGGATCTCGCCATTATCAACGCATTCATTGTCTTCAACGCTCGACGCGCAGCTAGCAATCTCCCAAAGCTTAAGCACGTCAAATTCTTGAAGCAACTCCATTTGGAGCTATGTCAGCTCCGTGAGGAAGACTGGGAGGCGTTACAGAGCAACGAGCGCTTCCAGGCGACGCCGTCCAAGCCGCGGCTGCGCAGCAAGGCTCCAGCAGCGCACCAGCCTGTACAGAACGACGAATGGCGCCCGGGGAACAACCAGCAGGGGCGGAAGAGACGTACGCGAGTGTGTAAAGTCTGCTCGCTGCTCAAAGGCACCGACAATGCTCGTGGAGGCGATTCTTCCATGTATTGCAGCGAGTGCAAGCTGCCGAACGCGTCCAAGAATGGCGAGTGTTTCTCTGCGAGAAGGTGCGGCACACCTACAATGGGTCTGCCATGTCGTGCTTCGACATCTGGCATAAAGCCCAAGATCCGCGCGCGTACGCCGGCACGCAGCGGGAACGAGAATGAGGAGAAGGATAATGGTGGGAGTGTGCAGTCGTCGAGTGATGAGTCCACGACAGGCGGCCCGCATCTGCCAAAGCGAGCTCGTGTCGCTCCGGATGCTGTGATGCGTGATTGAACGGGGCTTTGCGTCCGTCCCTTTTTACTTTTGTTTTGTATACCTGCATAAACACGACATTGAACTTGATTGCATCTGTTCCATTCGTGCAGTTATGTACAGCCTTTTCCCGACTCTGCTCATGGTGATCATGTCTCTCACACGTGCATGCGTGCACACCATACCGTTTACTACGCATAAGGTGTATATTTATCGATGTTCCTACTTGTATAAAGTGGAGATACACGATAGGCGAAGAGGCACTCACCCAGGGTTAGGAGTACTGTGCGCCTTTCCAACAGAAACAATACCAAAACAACCTGGTTTCAGTATAGTATCCCTTCCCCTGGTATACACGTTACCTTAGCGGATGGGGGGCCAAAACACCTTCGGTCTCAAGGGGTTAAGACTGTTAAGGAGGCGGCAAAATCGGCAGGATGCCTCGTAGGGGCAAGCTGAACGCATTGGCATCGGAGATGGTCAAGCTGCGAGAGTCTGTCCCCCCCTCCCGCGAATACTAAAGGTAACGTTGCTCTGCGCTCTATTGTCTGCTAATGTTGCTCTATGATTGATAACACTGCTTCATTAATATTTATGTCTCTATGTTGTTTTGACGTTGGTATTCAGCTTCAAGCTGCGCGCCGCGGGACGACAAGGACGTGCGGGCCGAGAGGGAAGTCCACATCTAGCAGAGTACCGATGTTACCAAACCACTATCATCGTCCAGGTCCCTGACATAATGGCTGCTGCTTCGCGTTGCTTGTAATTATGTTCTGTAATTTCCGTACACCTATGCAATTGTCGTCCTAAACGTTTACGAAGCATTTGCGCCCAAGCGCTTAGGTTTAATCGAATGAGGTCGACACTACCGAGAACTAACGTTGCTTCTCAATAACGTTGCATTATGGTTAGCGTTGCGCATTAACGTTGCTCCAAGATAACGTTGCGTTATGTTTAGCGTTGCGCATTAACGTTAATCCAAGATAACGTTGCTTTATTTTTAGCGTTGCACGTTAACATTGCTCGTTAATGTGATTTGTCCTACTCCCTCTGTTCTTATATAAAGCTAGTGTTCAAAGGGTACAACGCCTTCCCCAAGGCGTACTTATAGTTATCAACCGCCAAACTATTCAATTAATTGTATTACCTGGGTCAGACGCATCCGCCATTACATGATCACTGTAAAACTTAGCAAAGTACTTTACTACAATGAGAGAGGATAGCACTACGGTGACTTATAGGAAGTATATTAAATGGAGGCAGGATCACGCATCTGCATACTATGCCTATAGATATATTGAGTCCATTTTTAAGAAAACAGCGATGTATACCGTATGATTTAGAACAAGATCGCAATCTACTTTGATATCACTGCTATTAATTTGCAGCACACAACTGATGAGGTATCTGTTTAACGCTTAGCATGGACATGTCGGCTAGAACCTGCGACCCTTCTGGTAGATTAACTGTGACGATACATTTATGCATCACTTCGATAATGTTACCCTAGATGAGTTTGATAATAGATTCTACGTCCATTTGTTGCATGTGTCGATGTGTGGTAGTTATTGTACACAGTAATACGTAAAATATAAGCATGAACAGCTATGGTTTATCGGCTAAGCAACAGACATCAATTCAAGTCTTACGCTGCTTAACTTCCAAATTTTACAGCGACGTTAACCCTTTAGCTACGAGCTTTAATAGTTCTTGCGCAACGTTAACTGGTTTTACCTAACAATTATGATGCGCGATTGACGGTAGCACCACTCGTACTAAGCCTTTTACACTTCATACTGTTAAAATATTGAAGCCTATTTATTGTAGGTGAAGTACACGCAACCTGGCAATGTAGTCATTGATAATCTGGCGGATGTACTAAGACGGAGACAACGAGAGTATAACTAAATAGTAACCGAAGGTAATAGACGTGCACCTAATAGTTTTATTTTATAGATTCTGACACGACTTTATACAGTAGACGCGGAACTTCCGTAGTAGACGCGGAACTTCAGCGTCTACTATTATTCCAGATTTTCTGAGAAGAGGTCAACTAGTTTGTAAGAGAATAATTTTTAAACTAGTCAATGCACGATGGTACAGCATTAAATGCATAATGAAAGTGTACGTACACTCACAATATCATAATGTTATAACCAGCGACGTGGACCTGGTATGTTACTTGATTTATCAGTAGGGTTTGCTGCCGTGCAATACTAGATAGGTTTCTTCACCCGCACCTTCACCCTCAGAGCAAAATGAGCAAAATCGGGACCAGAGTACTGGAAGCTGCTCTAGATAGGTGCGCATACAATTGTACAGTCTACCTGTATAGATAATGTTCGTAATTGGAAAGTTCGCACGTGAACTTAATGAATTCGTACAGGTGCATCTGAGGATCAAATTCTGATTGGTTTGCAAAATGTAGGGATTTTGCCCACTGATTGCACACTGATCTGTGTGCAAAACGTGCTGCGAGTGCGAACTTAGACGGCTGTGAAGGTAAAGTGAGGGTGAGGAACGCTTCGAAACCTATCTACTGTCACCAACAACTTACCTCGAAGAAAGTTAATGGGCGATGTGATCGAAGGGCAACGTTAGCGGGCAACGTTACTGCGAGAGCAACGTTATCAAAAGAGCAACGTTAATGGTTACGAAAAAAAATAATGGTCACTTTTGAAACGCTTTTACGAGTGCTTGATTAGTTATATACTCTTACAAGAAGAACTATGTCTCGTTGTCGAAGAGGTACAGCCCAGAAAACCATTGACATCCGCGATAAAACGTACCCATGCAGAGATAAATGAATCCGAACACCAGAGTATTCACATTTTGAGCCTCTGTTAGCATACTTTGCGCTCACAAAAGTGTACTCGTGGTGTGTGCCACTTCAGAACTCTCCCACCCTCACATCTGAAGTCCTCAGTGAGCGGCTCGATAGATTTGCGCACCTCGTGAGCCTACTATGTACTCATTCAGCACAGATAATACCTCAGAAATAAATTACCTGTGCAACACACGAGGAATTTATCCGATAAATTACAAGTCCGACCTTGTCCTACCATGTACCCATGTTGCTAATAACGTCGCAATAAGGCCCTAACGTTGCCGTAAAAGCGTTGTGACGTTGTAAAATGATGACTGATAACGTTGCAGGAACGCCACCCCACGTTTCCGCACAAAATACGGGAAAGTCATTCGGTAAAATTGCAGAACGACATACTGCTTATCATGATATACCTTTGAGATATAGTGTTTTATGGAAACATTATATAAAATAATTTATCGAGTCTCAATAGTAATTTTACGAGTTGTTCAAATTGACGGCATGCGCATCAACCGCACGACCTCGGCAGCGCCGCTGTGCTTGTATCGAGGTGAAGCCGAACGAGGAGTATTATGCTCACTTGTTCTTGATCATAGAAGATGAAAATTGACGTGTTGCAGCGGGCAAGATCTTCCCGGCCAGTTGGGCTAAACATATTTTTTCTACCGCCACACAGTTATTATATAGTTCCATATCTGACCGCAAGGTGGTCAAAACGTCGTTGAAGGCCTCATAACCAACAGCTTGGCTCTGAACAGGCTTCGGGGCATCCCATTTAATCGCATCCCTCAACGCACTTGGTGCAGAATGTGATCTTGTGCTGGATGGGCTGTTCGTCAAGCGCAATAAAGCTGATCCGCTTGTGAATCTTGCATGAGTAGTACACACGCATGACGTACGTGATGCAGAATAGTGTACTCTGCAAACATGTTCGAGCTTTTGACAATACACCAACGATATGTATATATTGCAAACGCGTCCGTTGTTTGCTGCTCTAAGAAGTATAAGTCTACGTTGACACCAAAAGTCCTTCAAGGAAACTGCACGCGGTACCGGTTGTCTAATCGATGTTTCAAGTACGCCGCAAGGCGTCGGCTACAACAGACCGAGGCAAACGTACGCCCAGTTCGACCCGCCGACCGCTCAGCAGCAAGAGCCAAGGACCTATAGTGGCCACAAGCGCTTGCCCCAACTCCACTCCCTCCCGACGATGGTAGCAAAGCGCAGCAGGGACTCGTACGCCGTAGAGGAGGAGCTGGAAAAATATTTGTCAAGGAGAGCAGATTTGGTCCTCGTGCCAGTCAGCGTTTACATTTCCGAGTGGCTGCATGATGAACGGATGAAAATTGTCTGACTCTACGAACACGTTAAGCTTAGCTAAAATCAATCGCAAACAAGGCGGAAACGCTAGTGTTTGCTATAAGGCGGTGCTTTGTATAGACGATGGGGTTCAAGACCCTCACCTTCTTAGAACGCGTGACGAAAGACCCATTTCGGGTATATGGAGCTGGTCCTGGACCCAGTGTCAACGCTGGAGCATCCACGAGAGCTTCATCATCTGTCCGATGTAGACGTAGTTCGAGGCTCCCCGGTGTAAATACTGAAGGTTTTTACTTTATGTTTTTGAGGTTTTGCGGGAAAACGGTGGGAACCCTCAAGAAGAGAGCAGCACTAACCCACCGGCGACCGCTATCCCGATTTTGCAGGGATAAGAAAAACCTCGGGGGAAAGTGCCGTTTCAAGCCATTCGGCCGTGGCGACCTTTCGAGATCCCGCCGACTTGGTTCCTGCCAATCAAATTGCTTTGCGGATTTCGTGCGTGGTAGGTCGATTCGCGCGCGCGAACGCGTTCGCGCCTCGATTGGGTGTCACGCGTGGTTTTACGTTTGAAAGTGCAACATGAGCGCCACATTTTAGCGCTTCAACCTAATGTAAATTTCTGAAAATTAGCGGGAGGTGGACCGCGCATTATCATAACCAGTAACGTGACCATAGCGTCGCTCGTGTATTAGACGCTCACAGGCCCATACCTTTTGGTGCATGCCTGCAAGTCTCGGTATGGGCTTGTCTTGGGTAGGCGTCGTGCTGTGGACAATGCTATCCATGCTCCCAACAAGTACTTTACACGTCAGCATGTGGGCATGAGGATCATAGTAGTTCCCAGAAGCATAGCGATTACGGAGCGATGAGACTAGTACATGGGATCACCGGGAAGACGTCACACATGCGTAGAATATATCATGTGTATTCAGCTGTGGCAGCTCCGGACTGCCATCGCTGCCTTGGCGCCCCGTCATGCTCTCCGATTCTCCTTCTAGCACCACGAGCGTCATTATGAGTGTAGCACTGACGGTCGGTAGCATCTTGTCTTGGACAAGAAAACTCTATTCGATAACTGGGCGATGTTTTAGATGGTCTTGGATATTTCATACTCCCGCTGTCGTCGTGTACAAGTATACTACAGAGGCTGCTACTACCGGTCTATGATATCGAACGGGCTGAAGGAAAATATGTTGCGCCAACAACATCTCCGCAACGCGCTGCTGTAAATCCTATCTTTTCAGCGCGGGGTTCACCTGATCCTATTAACGCGGTACTTCGCCCTTGGCAGGTTATTTGAGATGATGTCTCGACATAAAGAAAATGGAGATGTGTCTACATTGGTTTCGGTAGGAGCTTCGCGAAGAAACGATGAGACGTGACAGTATGTATCGGATTTTGGTATGGTCAACCATGGCAATATGGCTTCGCGGTCTTGTCAACATTGACATGTTTGTATAGTTCTTAGTATAGAGGTGTCATGGTTGATTCAGAGATGTCGACGTTGACATGTTTATCTAGATTTTAGTATATCATGTCGTTATTGACTTTGATAAGTCAATATTGAGATTGTTTTTACTAGGTTTCAGTATATCAAGCAAACGGTTTGATATATTGCTCCGTTAATCGAATGTAAGCTAAACCTAGCATGGGCTCCGGTCGTTCGCCGATCTACGAGCCTCACTGGGAGCTACGATAGGCTGTCCATGTGGGGCTGGTCGAGGCCCAAAAGCGCGTTGTACATGTCCGGCTTCTGAGAGACCTCGGCCATGCCGTCCACGCAAGGCCTCTAGAGGGGCGCGGGCGTGCCGTCAGTGTCAAAGTTGTCGAAGTTGTCGATCGCCACGAACGTGCACTCCGTATCGGGCTTGGCGGGGACTGCAAGCGTACTGTCCAAGTCGATGTAGTAGAGGATCGGCATATAGCCCGAGTCGGGCTGATCGGTGGCCGCGTGCATGAGATCCGCTCCGGGCCGGACTGGTCCGCGAGCATGCAGTCCATTCCGGGCTTGATCAAAGCCGTGGACGTGCCGTCCGTATTGGGGGTGCTTTGGGTCCGCGGGCATGGGGTCCGTGTCGAGCGGATCGGGGGCCGCGGGTCTGCCATCCGTGCCGTGATGGTCTGGGTACGCGAGCGTGCTGCTCGCGCAGGGCTGGTCGGGGACCACGGGCGTGCTGAACTAGACGAGGTCGTCGGCATGGCGTTGGTGCCGGGTATGTCGGGGGATTCGATCGTGGATTGCTTGCCGGGACCATCCGGGACTGCACACAGGCTCACTGAGCCGAGCTTGGGGAGGACACCGAGCATGCTGTCCGTGCCGTCCGTGTCGGGGGCCTTGGGCATGCCGTCCGTGTCGTCCATGCCGGGGCCTTGGCCATGTCATCCGTGTCGTCCGTGTCGGGGGGCCTTGGGCATGCCGTCCGTGTCGTCCGTGTCGGGGGCCTTGGGCATGCCGTCCGTGTCGTCCGTGGCGTCGGTGCCGGGCATGTCGGGGCAGTCGGCATGGCGTCGGTGACGGGCATGTCCGGGCCCGCGAGCATGCCGCCCCAGTAGACAGCAGCAATTTGGGTTCGGCAGAGGTCGGATGAGAGGACGCAGGGAGCCGGGCGCGATCACGACATTGTAGGCGCTTGAGTGCTTGTCAGCATTTTTAGAAATGAGCTTTCGATGCGGGGCGGCGGCGAGCTTTGGTTCCGTTCATATGCCCACAAAGACGCCTCTAGATTCCGAACC